GAGAGAGAGGGAGATGGAGCGATAGAGAAGTGAAAAGAACAATAGCGGTCATGAAAACGAGCGGGCAGGAGTTATGATTTTTGTATGTTTGAGATTACTCTTCTCGGCGCAAGGACAGGTCCAGTATCTCTTAATTTTGTATTCCAACCCGCGAAATTTGTGGGTCTCTCTGATGCCCTCTCTGATGTCCTCTCTGATGTCCTCCAGTCTTATCCCCCACTCTTACACCAACTTCTTGCCCTCGACGGCTTCGCCTCTTCTAGCGGCGAATTTCGTAGCCGCATCGACGCCTTCCTTGACCACTGCGACTCTCATCGTGGCCAAAACGTTGTGGGCAGCGTTGGAATGCAAATAAACGCCCCCGTTGAACGCACGAGTGGCGTCTTTGCCCAGGGCCGCTTGGATCAACGTTTCACCACCTGGGTGTTCTGTGATGTATCCGGACACGTCGTGAACGATCCCGGAGATAACCACGAGGCCCGGGTTAGCCTTGACATTATCCATGAATTCGGACTTATCCCAGATCGGTAGTTTGGTGAGCGGAGTGCCCCAGTTGAGCTTGGTGCGTTGACGATCAATCTTTTTCTGCTGTTGTTGAACGATACCCTGTTGGATAGCGTTTTGGGAGAACTTTTTCAAGTTGAAGGCGAGTCCGATCACGGACGACACGTAGATGAAAACCTTGGTGGGGTCGTATTGGTACCATTTGATAGCGTTTCTGTAGTCCGTGGGGAACTCGTGGTGGAAGTTATGGTAGCCTTCACCGAAAGTGACCAATGCGGTGATCCAGTTATCGCGAGGAGTTCTTCTATCGTCAAAGGGTTGGTCTCCCAAGTAGTGTGCTAGCGAGTTAATGCAGAAGGTGGCCTGTTGGATGCAGAACGAACGCAAGATCCCGGCGTAGATAAAGCCGCCCAACATGTCGTTGAACAGATATTTACCTAGAAGCGCAGGAAGCACAAACGCGCTGAAGAACATGATTGGGATGTAGTGTCTGTGTTGGAACCGGACGATCCAGTCGGCGGTCAAGTCGTCGATATCGGCTCTAGCACGGTATTTAGGGTTGGGCTGTAGAAGCATCCATCCCATATGCGAGTACCATAGACCCTTACGGGCGTCGTAGGGGTCTCTGTTAGTGTCTGTGTAACGGTGATGAATACGATGCGAGTGGCCCCACCATTTGATCGAGCCTTCCACGGAAGCGGCACCGAAGAACGCAAAGAATAGCCGTAGGGGCCAGCGGGCCGAATAGGCCCGATGCGCCCACAGCCGGTGGTAGCCGGCTGTGATAGAAACACCGCCTAGCACGTAGTAAACCACGGAGAACAAAAGCATGTTGCGGGTCAATGGGGCACGGCCGGAAAGCGCGAAATACCAGCCTGCGGCTGGTATCGCGCATACCAGCACCATATTGAGCCAGTTAATGTGTTGATGCCAGTTGTTGAGAGTCCAGGGTTGTTCTGAGATATGACGGTTGGCACTGTAGCGTTCTTTTTCCTCCTGATCGCGTTTCAGTAGATATTCCATATTGGAGTCATTGGCACCGGCTTGAGCCTGGGCCTTGGCAGCGTCGAAATCAACTTCCACCATATTCTTAGATCCCATCAACGATCCGAGTCCGTTTACGACCCGGACCGATTTCTTGTTGGCGCCTGCAGCCAAAATGTTGGCATTTACCAGGTCTACCTGTTCCAGTTTGCCTCCAGCAGCTTCAGTCATGGCAGATGGGCAGTTGGAGTAAAGGGGTTGTTGAGCTAAGGTCACGCCAGAATTCTCTCTGTGTGATATTGATGATCAAAACGTAAAGCCATAATTAACGTCTCCAATATTTCGTTTTTGTGTCTGGTCTTATATAGTCTCCGCCAGGGGAGTGAGGAGCGAGGAGCGAGGGGCGGGTACCAGGTTTCCAACAAAAAAAAATCCAAAGAAAAAAACCAATAAAAAAAAAAAAAAAAAAGAAAGTGTGAGACCAGAAAAACCACACCAGAACGAGAAGGACAATCAGAGTCGTTGAAGACGGGTGTCACGTGCTGGGGGTGGGTTAAAGGGGAGGTGTAGGGGCGGGTTTTTTCTTTTTGTTTTCCAATTTTTGCTGAGCCCGGGTCTGGGCTCTCGGTTATGATGTGAGCGTTGCTTTTTTCTGTTGGGAAGAAAGGTGGAGAGAGAGAGTGGGAGAAAGGGAGAGAAGCGATAAAGGCGAAAAGCGATAAGGCCGATGGGAGATGGGAGCGAGAGGCATGAGGCGTGAGGCATGAGGCGTGAGGCGATAAAGGCTAAACAGAGTTCAACAAGTTAGGGAACGAGCGTTGGATTACCACAAGCACAGTTGAACTACTGGGAGCGATAGCGAAATAGTGGTTTCTAACACAGTTGAACTACTGAGAGTGAGAGCGATCAGTTGTGAATAAGAAAATGAGCGTTGGACGACTACAAGCACAGTTGGACAAGTTGGGAGCGTAGTGAAATGGCTATGAGCACAATTGAACAATTCAGAGCGATAGCGATCAATTGTGAATAAGAAAGAAAATGACTACAAACACAGTGGGACAATTGGGAGCGTGAGCAAAGAGAATTGGCTTCTGACACAAATGAACAAGTGATCGTTTACGCTCTCGCTTACGCTCGCTCTTGGTTGTGAAAAGTGGTAAGTAATGGCGTGGGCAGGGTAGAACTGAGCTTTGTAAAACAAATGAGAGAGCTGTAACACTATTGGTAGGTGACCTCTCAGGATAGAAGCAGATGTAAACGTTTAAAAGCGTCAGCGAGCAGTGGGGGGTGGGGGATGGTTCGTTGTAAGTGATAACAATGCTTTAGAAGCGTCAGCGATCATATATCTTGTGCTTGTAACGGTTAGAGTAGAGATGCGAGCAGTGGAGGGGGGGGGGGGTGACTCGTTATAAGTGATAATGATGCGCCCCGATAAGCTTTTTGTGTCAAAAAGTTTTGTTTACATTTTGGGATGCCACAAAGATGCGGGTATAAAAGAGGGCGGCAAGGTGGCAACAAGGTGGTGGAAAGCACAATTGAGAACTGGGAGCGTCAGCGAGCAGTTGTGAATGATAGAGGTGGCAACAAGCACAATTGAACAAGTGAGAGCGTTAGCGATCAGTTGTGAATAGTAGAGTTGAATAAAAGCACAATTGAAGAAGTGAGAGCGCATGCGATCAGTTGTGAATAGCAGAGGTGGTTTTTAGCACAGCAAAACAGGTGGCGACAATTGAGCAACTGGGAGCGTCAGCGATCAGTTCTGAATGGTAGAGGTGGTGATAAGCACAATTGAACAAGTGAGAGCGCATGCGATCAGTTGTGAACAGCAGAGGTGAATAAAAGCACGAATGAAACAAGCGAGAGCGTCAGCGAGCAGTTGTGAATAGTAGAGTTGAATAAAAGCACGAATGAAACAAGTGAGAGCGCATGCGATCAGTTGTGAATAGTAGAGGTGGTGGTAAGCACAATTGGGCAACTGGGTGCGTCAGCGAACTTTTGTGAATAGTAGAGTTGAATAAAAGCACGAATGAAACAAGTGAGAGCGCATGCGATCAGTTGTGAATGGTAGAGGTGGCGATAAGCATGGTTGAATAATTGAGAGCGTTCGATATCAGTGGTGAATAGCAGGGATGGCCAAACACACAATTGAGCAACTGGGAGCGTCAGCGAGCAGTTGTGAATAGTAGAGGTGACGGTAAGCACAATTGAACAAGTGAGAGCGTTGGATGTCAGTTGTAAACAGTATTGATGTCGGCAAACACAATTGAGCAATTGAGAGCGTTGCATTCTAGTTGTAAACAGTATAGATGGCAGCAAGAACAATTGAGCAATTGAGAGCGTTGCATTCTAGTTGTAAACACTAGAAATGGCGGCAAACACAATTGAGTAATTGAGAGCATGAACAACCGAGAGCGGCAGCGAACAGCAGTGGATAGTAGAAATGACTACAAGCACAGTTGTAATCTTCGCTGACCCTCTCAGTTGTGAATAGTGGAGGTGGCAACAAGCACAATTGAGCAACTGAGAGCAATGGATGTCAATTGCGAATAGTTGAGGTGACTACAAGCACAAATAAAACAAGGAAAGCGCTAGCGATCAGTTGTGGGCACTTGAGATTACTGACCACTGTAGAACAACTTAGATGTCAAAGATCACCTGGAATTGCATTCATTTTTGCATGCATAGGTGTACAGTAGAGAAGGCCAGCAATCAGTTATGAGTAGTGAAGGAAAATACAACCACAAATGAAACACTGAGAGCTTTGGCTCAGTTGTGAGTAGAAGAGGTGAACAAAAGCACAATTGAGCAACTGGGGGCAATGGATGTCACTTGTGAATGAAAGAATTGGCTCTAAGCACAGCTGAAAAACCGAGAGTGTGTGCGATCACTTGTGAGCAATAGAGGTGGCTACAAGCATGAACAACTGCTCGCTGACGCTCTCAGTCGTGAAGAGTAGAGGTGACCACAAGCACGCTTGAGTAATTAGAAGCGCCAGCGATCAGTTGTGAGTAGAAAAGGTGACTACAAGCACAAATGAAATACCGAGAGCGTTGGCTCAGTTATGGACTATAGAAAAGGCGGCAAGCACGACTGAGCAACTAAGAGCGTCAGTAAACAGTTGGGAATAGTAGAGGTGGCGGCAAACACGGTCGATTTATTGAGAGCGTTGCATTCTAGTTCTGAACAGTAGAGATGGCGGCAAGGACAATTGAATAACTGAAAGCGCCAACGAACTGGCTTCTAGCACATATGAACCACTGAAAGCCTTAACTATCAGTTGTGAATGGCAGAGGTGGTTTTCAGCACAGCGAAACAGGCGGAGACAAGCACGCATGAACAAAAGAGCGTCAGCGAACAGTTGTGAAAAAGAGAGGTCAATACAAGCACAAATGAAATAATAAGACCGCCAGCGGACAGTTGTAAACAGAAGGTACGACTACAAGGACAACTGAGCAATTGATGGCTTAGCAAACTGGCTTCTAGAAAAGGTGACAACAAGCACGGCTGAACCATTGATGGCGTCAGCGAACCTTCCTCTAGCACAGGTGAATCACTGAGAGCGTCAGCGATCGGATGTGAAATTTAGAGGTGGCAACAAGCACGGCTGAACAACTGTTCGCTGACGCTCTCAGTTGTGAATAGCAGAGGTGGCTACAAACACAGACAAAACAATGAGAGCGTTAGCGATCAGTTGTGGAATGTAGAGGGGGCGGCAAGCACGATTGAGTGATTGAGAGCGTCAGATATTAGTTGTGAATAAAAGAACTGGCTTTGAGCACGGCTGAACAACTGAGAGCGTATGCGATCAATAGAGGTGGCTATAAGCATGAACAACTGTTCGCTGACGCTCTCAGTTGTGAAAAGCGGAGGTAAATAAAAGCACAGTTGAACAACTGATCGCTGACGCTCTCAGTTGTGAACAGAGGTGGCGACAAGCATATGTGAGCTGCTCTCTAATGACGCTCTCGTGAAGTGGCTACAAGCATATGTGCAGACGTTCTCAGTCGTGATGTGACTACAAACTCAAAGCGTCAGAGATCAGCTGTCAACGAGTTATTGTTCGAACTTATGACGGCTACAAGTTGGAAGCTTCAATTACAATTGACACAACTTGCGGGTGTTTTCATCGTTCACAAAAAAATAGATCAACCGTTTTCGTACAGTAAAGGTGGCTTCTAGCACAATGAGCGATTGAAAGCATCGGCGACTGTTTCCTAAGAATACAGGTGGTGCTCTCAATTAGGAGTAGCAGAGGTGGCGATAAACATAGCTAAGAGATGACGACAAGCTCATTTGAATAAGCTAAAGCGTCTGCAATCAGTTGTGAATTGTAGAGACCTACGAGCACAAATGAGCAATTGAGAGTGTGAGCAATTATGTATGATGAAGTCTGCAAAAAGCGCCACGATTGACCGACCAATGTTACTGCCTACAATCGAGAGCTAAATGCATGTCCGTACAACTTTGAACAATGGTTACAATTATGAGTAATGGAAAATATCAGCAATTGGTTGTGAACTGTCAAGTCTGATCAAGGATGCATTGAGCTCTAGGAACCAACCTTGAAAGCGCTCAGTATTGGATTATAAAAATTCTTTAAACATACTTGAGCAACTGATTGCTTACACTTTCAATTGTGAGCTCTAAACAACAGAGACTAGTTGAGATCGGGCTTCATGCTCAAAGTGTATATGAACAATTGATCGCTGAGGACCTCACTTTTGAAATGCGAAAGCTATTTCGATCTCGATTAAGAGCTCTAATGATAGCCAAATATTAAGCTACCGAGTGTTGATGTCCCCAGACATGCACTAAGACGAAATTGACCATATAACGGCTGCGACATTCTCTCCCAGCACAATTTACAGCGTCAGCGACCAATTGCTTAAATGTGCTTTTTTACAAATCAACTTCCTACAGCTATAATCGCTGACGCTAACGCTCTCAGTACTTTGCCCATACTAGCAGCCATCGCCAACACTCTAGCTTATTTTTCTATGTGTCGTATTCATCTCTCGGATCGACCGCCAGAAATTTGATAAAGTGATCTCCTTCATGCACTACGCGCTTGCGTCAGAATTGACCAATATCGAAAATGAGGACACCAGAAAACTGATTTTCTAGCGCCCGATGATGAGAGGGGCAACGAGTGGTACCGCTACACAATTGTAAACTAGTCTCATATCAACCGCCGCCAATTGCTTCCCTCAAGCCCCAGCACGGGGGCCTTTATCCATCCAAATTATTCAATCGAATCGATCAGCCCTAACACTCGTTGATCATGTCCATCAATTAACAGCTTGTGCTATGTCAAATTTCCCCCACCTTGCCTTGTGCAAGGACGTTATCCCTAAGTCAAGCTCGGACTTCGTTCTAAATTGCAGAATGAGAGCAGCTTCGAGAAGCTCGTTCATTTTGATAGTGATGTGACTCGTTCAATCATTGAATATCACCAAAGTGCTTAAAGAATTCAAGAGAACCTCAAACTAATCATTCGATTTACCCCATCTTTACCTTCTCTTAATTTTGGTATTTTGGTTTTTACCTTCTGATAAACTTGAAGCTCACTTTGAGCTCGTCGAATTGTTTACTCACACATGCCTGTGATAACATCTTACAGTTGATCTGCTATTGCTTAGCTTACCGACAGTTCTGACTACCAGGAATCCAGAAAAAAAATACACAACTCAACAAGTGTTTCATCCGGATATCAAGTAATCAAGGAGGAATGCCCTTGCTATCCACGTCTATTTTACAAGTGCTGTAGCTATATGCGAGCAGCCCCATGAGTTACTTGCGCATCGAGATCAAGAGTGTCGATTACCACATTCCCTCTATGTTGCAGCAGACCAACCATTAAGCTTTGTGCGCCACGCAATCAGAAGACTTCACTATCATTGACTGCCACTCGGCGGGCTTAGTGACGTATGTTTTTATACACTGAGGCCCAATATCCTCAAGACGGCCTTCCGCACAATAACTAGGTTGCAAACAGATCTACAAACTCCAGAACTCATTGTTTCGAGTCTAAGAATTCCAAATTGATTCGTTTCCAGTCCGTTACGTTTCTCTGTGCCGCTTAAATATTTCACCCAATCCTTAAAAATTGAAATGGCAAGAGAGTTGGTAGCGACACTATCAGAGGAGACCGGGCGTCATACTGTATGCTCATAAAACGGTTATAATTGATCACCAAGTAATCTTCCCAATCAATGTTAAAGATCCATGGTGTATAGAATGCATCTCAAAATCGTCGCCCAGGCGGATTGCTGGTCCCAAAGGGCTGCTTCTAGAGCAGAGGCAGAAACCTCAAGCGGATAAAGGCGCCATAGCGTTGCCCAATAATAACAGTTTTGAAATAACTCAGATGTCAGCAGCGCAGCGCGGGAAAGAGACTTGAGTAACTTCAGATTCAGCGCCATGACCACGAGTTCATCCACAACGCTCTCACGAAACTTTTTTGCAGGAGATGGCACTTTTCTATCCTACAACGAGCCCATTAGATCTTCATTAAATTTTCCGGTTGTTCAGGTATTTCTGCATGGAACACTTGAAAGTTCCTATGGGTGTTCGAGTACTGATCTCGGAGTTTACGCATCCCTTTAAACGACTTACTTATCAGCCGGAATGCGGCTCATAGCTTTATGCCGTGACAATTACATCATTTATGTTTTTCGTTGATACGGAAGCATCACGGGGTTTGTGATTACGCGTCAAACGCATTATGCATACGCGTAATATTACGCGTCACACCAACGCATTGTTCAGAGTAATCGAACCGACAATCGTCACTTCGCTGTTTTGATGTGAAAGTCAATGCTCTTGTGAACGATGAGCATAATGCGGCTAAAAAAGTGCAATCTTCCTGTGGAGGTTTCAATCAAAACTATCGTACGCTTAAAAAGCAGATCGAGCCTTTGCAAGGAATGCGTTTACAAGTGTGTATATAAAAACGAGAATGAAACACAATCGATATTATCGAAAATCAAAGATATGAGTGACAAGCCTTAATTGGACTCCACGTTTATCCTCGTGAAACTTTTCTTTACCACTTAAATGGTGTTTCTCATACTGGAAGGACAAATACTTGAAATCGCTCTCAAAGCCAAGGGTGGTGACAAATTCCTTGTTCCGGCTAAGTAATGTCCTTTCCAAGTTCAAAATATCAACATAGCATCTCTCTAAGTGTTCTTTTTCCTCATAAATAGTGTCATCACCTTTCGTGGTAATGTGTGCCTAATACTTAGGTATTCGTTTACCGTCAAATCACACTGTATAAAAACTACAAAAAAATAACAAACTCTCAAGTACACCCGTTTTGTTCATCTTCTCGATCCATAGTGAATTCAAGATTACTGCATCTAGCAGATTTATTTTATCAACACACAAGTTCGACTTAAAGCTCTCACAAGTGTTCATTGAAAACCGCTGCTATTACCGTTCATTGTCATTATCATTAGTCCACGTATCTAGTATACATATATGCAAGTATAGAACCTCTCTGTGTTCTTAAACCTTCTCTATAGCTTCAACAACAGCCTTTCCGGATTCTGAACAGCTATCGCTTTGAGTGACAGAATTAGTGGAAGGCACAAAGCGCTTCGAGTGACGAGCACTGGGGCAAGACTCGAACAGTTCGTCAATTTGCTCAAGTGTGAGACCTTTGGTCTCGTAAATGAAAAAGTAGACGAATAGGAAACACAAGAATGTGCAACCTCCCCAGATGAAAAACACTTTGGACTGCAAGTTAGCGTGTTGGCTGTCAACAAGGTATGGCGTTGCGTAGGCAATGGCGAAATTGAACAACCAGTTAGAAGCAGCACATACAGCAACAGATTTGGCTCTAACGGTTAATGGGAAAATTTCGCCAACCACCACCCAGGCTAGCGGACCCCACGTAGATGCAAAGGAGGCAATGAAAGTACAAGAAAATGCAATCAAGGTTTTGTTGGCCGAATAGCTGTCTGGTAGTGCTGTACCAACCGAAGCAACAATGAGTTCACTGACGCACATACCAATTGCACCCCACAGAAGCAAATTCCTTCTACCGGCTATTTCCACCAAGGCAATACCCGGGATGGTCATCACAACATTTACAACGTTCATAATAAGTTGAATGATGAAGGGATTCTTGATGCCGGAGTTTTGGAAAAACTGGGTACCGTAGTAAAAAATGAAATTGATGCCTGTCAACTGTTGCAAGCCTTGAATTGCGATACCAATAAGAATACGCTTCAATTGATGATTTGTTGGCTTAAAGCAGTCTAGAATGGACGACGAGCTTATGGAATTTTCATAGTTGTAGTTTGCAATAATCTCCTCAAGTTCGGCTTCAACATATTCATTGTCCTGTGGAAGTCCTCTTAGTTTTGCAAGTGCTTTGTTAGCCTCAGGTATTTTCCCTTTCATGACGTAGAAACGTGGCGATTCAGGAAGAATGAGCATACCAACAAAGAGTATCAAAGCCCATAGGAGCTGGATAGCAATTGGAATTCTGTAAGACCCAGAGTCATTCCTGGCGTGAGTTCCCTGGTTGACACATGCTGCAAGTAGTAGACCGATCGTAATGGCCCATTGGTAGCACGAAGTCACAGCGCCTCTAATCCATTTTGGAGATGCTTCTGCTTGGTTTTTGGTTGTGTAGAGTGTTAATTAAGATTGATGTACAACCCGTAGGAATTGCAAGTTGTTGATGATGTTTTGAGCATACAAGTCAAATGGTACTATTGAAGATGGTATTCTGCTCTCTTTTTATACTAGACTGAAGGTGGTGAGTATTGGCGTCAAAACCATCCTCGGTCTTGGTCCGGTTTTCTTTCTGGGACGTACGGAATAACCATGATTTTTATTTGGCTTCTACGCATATCTCCATGGCAACAGGCAGTTTAGGATCTCGAAGTTCTTCCGGGCCTTTGTTTCACCCGCATTGTTCTTCGCTTAAATTTTTCCGGCAGTCACCGCTCCACCGGAAAAACTTGTTATCGCTTTTTCCGGGGAGCTAGTTTTGTACGAAGATAAACATAATGATTTATTCAGGACATATTGAACCCTTGAGCTCATCGCTTGCGCTAATGAAAGAAGCACGAACGGCGAGGTGCAACAGGTTGCCAAGAAGGAAGGTCAAGCTCTAGCATATACAACAAACTGGTCAATTTCAAAAGGAAAAGCCAACCTGTCAAGTTGCTTATGAAAAAAATCGAGGTTTTTTCGATGAGTAACTGAATAGTTGTTCAATTGTTTGTCAATGGTCATTACGACAGGATATAAAATCGGATCGTTACTGGTTTCATGAAAACAACACTCTTTCGTAAGCTGAATTTGAATATTTTAGCGTCATTGATCGCTTATATACAATGAAAACACCTTGTAGACGGTTTGAATCACTCATTATCGAGCTGAAGCCCACGAGATTACAAGACACAGCATTCAGACCAATACAAACACATTTGACAGAGCTGCCTTTTACTCAAAGTCTCTTATTTGGCATAGAAGAACGGAACAGCCTAACGAATGTAAGCGTCGGAAAATTGATGTGCTCATGATGTCTTGAAGTAATAAATCGGGAAGTACTGGAGTGCTGATAACTCAAGCCCGATGCAATGATGACGGAAGACAAAGTATTTACCTTCCAAGATTTCCTCACTCTGGTATCTCATCAGATGGGCCAAACTACGAAAACATCACTAAACGGGACGAAGCTCTTACCGGGTCAAACTTAACAGAGGAAAATCGACAAAGGAAAACATTTGTTCTGGATACGCAGGCAGTAAGAAAGCACAGCGTGGATTTTCAGAGTCTCGGGTGGAGAGAGTAGCATAGAATTGCAAGATTATCATCGGGCCAAAACTCTATTTTTTGGTTTTGACAAAGTTGCACTTTTTAGAGAAACCGGAAGATAGCTATCTCCACTGCTTTCAGGAAATACGGTGCTTGATTTGTTATACAAGTCTGCAAAAATGGGCGGGAGCTGGTTTCAAAATCAAATAGGCATGTCTGAAAGGAAGTGATTGTAATCTTGTCCTGCACTCTTCATGCCCACTTGCCCAACAGGGCCATGATGCCAGCACCTAAAAGTACACAAGCCACACTGAAGCACACTCTTTTCACATCTCTATTTGAGCTTTGGTAAAACAAGAAGTCTCGAGCCAGAAGCTCGACTAAACCCGTGTAGATTAGAATACCGGCGGAGATGGCGTCAAGTACTCCTGAAACAACGTTGACTGTGTAGGAGTTACCATCGTACGTGGTTCTCACTCCAAGTCCGATGGCAATGCTGATAGGGGTTGTGATCCCGTACGCTACGCATAAAGCGTAGGACCACCATCTTTTATCTATTGGAAACTGAATTGCTGAAAGTCTGGCACCGATTCCCAGACCTTCAAAAGACTGATGGAACACTAAAACCGCATACAAAGTCGGAAAGCTATCACCGGTGGTTCCGAGATTCAGACCGATCATCACCGAATGGAAAATAATGCCAAACTCTAAAATCAGGAAAGCACTTATTTGACTTTGAAAAGGTTGTTGGCTGATCTCAGTTTCAGTTTCCGAAACAGTTTCGTCGTAAAACTTTTTGTTTGAACCATGGTCTGTGCTGCTTTGTTCTAAGTCGTTGTTGGAGCAGCTACCGCTCACTCTCAAAGATCTTCGGACTACCACGGCATTTTCGATACATTCATTGTCACAACACGATCCTAAGCGGTCCCCGTACTTTTTCTCCACGTAAATGCCACTGAAAAGGTCAACTAAGAATGTGATCATCACTGTGGTTAATACAATAGCTGGACACCACGAGTAAATGGCCCAGTTACCGGTCTGGCCCACACAACTGCCGCCGCCAATCTCGTCGTAAGCAGGATCTAGCAAGTGAATGAATGCAGTGGCTATAATCACTCCAGTTCCAAAATACCTCGCAAAGTAGTAGATGTAACGTGGGATTCTGAGCCATTTTACTTGGGCGGCCACAACGGGGAAAAGTGTGAAAACTGTTGATACAAACAATATCACAAACACAGACGACAAACGGGATCCAAATTGTCCATTATAGTTGTTCCCACCATAAAATACTTGCGAAAGAACGCAGGTTTTCCAGTTATCTGGCACACTGGTGTCTCCAATGGTAACCTCGTTGGGATCCCACTCTTTCCACCAAGGCGTGGTCATAACGCTACTGATTGATGGATTCTTTCTTTAATGCCAGACAGCGAAAAGTGTGCGATTATGCTCAACGTCCAATTTTTATACTGGTGTGTTGCGGGTGTACCATGATGGTCGTCAAAACCCTTCCAGTGTAAGGAAGGTGGCAATGTTGAGCAAGTGACAAGAATATGGCATTGAAAAGTTAGCTTCGCGTTAGCTGGTTTAGGAATGCTAACCGCGCAGGTAGAAACTGACAAGTCTTTTAAGTTATGGGTGCTGTGGGATAAAAGCTGATGATAACCTGGAGGGTGAAGAGAGCGAAAAAGAGAGCAAACAAGAAAAAAAGAGAACAAAGATGCTGGAGCGTAGTACGAGACACCTTACCATTGAGGTATAACCATTGTGACGATCTACTATGGATCTGTTCGGAAGCGAGCTCTTGAGTTTTAGCTCTTGCAGTTGGCGTGGAAAATGAGCATAGACTACATTTGCGAGAAATTCAAAATACAAGCTCTTCATAATTGATAAAAGAACGAGAATAAGTGGAGGCTCAACGATAAATGGTTATCAAACCACATCAAGTATTGCTGAAACCTCTTTTCAAGTTTCAAGACATTTCTTGGCAACGACGCTATCACTTTGAACTCTAAGGCCACACTGACTTCAGATCACGTGCCATGAAGACTTAAATTTGAGCCAGTCTTTCAACTTCAAATTGAAACGCACGTCTAAATTCAAGTCATTACTGATTGCTCACATCAGATTTGGATCTTCGTTTCTCCGAGCTTTCTTTGTTTTTGGTTTCTCTGAGCATTTTTTTTTCTTGTTGTCTTCTTGAACTTTCAAGCTTGTATGTGACACCTACAGACGAAGTGAGAACGAAAAAGAGTCCCATGACAGCACCAAAATATCAAAACAGAAGCCCTCACTGGTGTACTAATGATTATCAATCGAAAGCGACATTTCAAATGGTAAAATATTTTCACACGTCAATAAAGAATTCTCCGTCGCCAGAACGAATTTTTACAAGCACTTACCAACGGACTCGAGGAAATGAAAAGAACCATTCAAAACCTAGCATTAAAGTTGTTTAATCAACTCGAGTTGACTCGATCCGGGAACCTTTTTTGATCCAAACAACTGCAATGACAGTATTCAGCCTTAAATATAGATATAGACCTTTACTTATTCAAATCGTGTCACTTCTGCACGAAAATCCCTAATCTAAAATTTTGCTGAACCTTCCCCATGTTTTAACCCATCAACAGAAACACCTCAAAGACTCGCCAAATCCTCCAAGCCAACGCCATTGGAAGCCATGAAGGAAACTGGCAATCAAGGCCAGAACACAAACAATACATCGAGACATGCCTCTATTGTAGAACTTTTGTCTACGCCGCCAGCAATTGCGCAACAGCCCTCAACAGCAATGGAATTGGAATCTATCTCATTATCGCGCAACGCTAGTGCAACGTCTTTGGACTCGCAAATGAGCTCAACCACGTCGTGTCTCACCAAAGTTCACGCTCAAAAATGGCAACATATCCAGCTTTCGCAGCTGATAGAAGAAAACAAGCTTGTCACGGTGGATGGATCCTTGTCCGTGGAAGAAGCTTTCAACACGCTGGTGCGTCACAATCTCACGTCTTTGCCCGTGGAACAATCCTCAAACGACATAAACTGCTTCACTTTTGACTACAACGACCTCAACTCGTATCTGCTGCTGGTGCTGAATAAAATTCAAGTAAACGACCCACAAGTGGCGCGCGATTGTCAAATGGGGAAACCGGTTCCAGTGGGCCAAATCGTTAAGCTAACGCCCAAAAATCAGTTCCATAAGCTACGCGAAACCGACAATCTCAGTATGGCAATGGGTATACTCGGGTCTGGCGTCCACAGAGTGGCCATCACAGACCCTGGAAGCACCCAAATCAAAGGTATCTTATCTCAAAGACGTCTCATCAAATATCTATGGGACAACGCCCGCCAATTCAGCAGCTTGCAACCGCTGCTGAATTCCAGCTTGAAGGACTTGGGAATTGGTGTGCTGGACACTCAAATGGCGCCAACAAGCCGGCAATCTCGTGTCATATCCATACAGGGCGAGGAACAGCTTATAATGGCGCTTTACAAAATGCATACCGAGCGTATTTCGTCGATCGCTGTCGTGGACAACCACGGAAACCTCTTGGGCAACATCAGTGTCACGGACGTGAAACACGTCACTCGCACTTCCCAGTACCCGCTTCTGCATAACACATGTCGCCATTTTATCTCAGTCATTCTCAACAGTCGTGGTCTTGAAATGGGGAAGGATTCTTTCCCTATTTTCCACGTGTACCCTTCGAGCTCTTTAGCAAGAACGCTGGCCAAACTCGTCGCCACCAAAGCTCACAGATTGTGGATTGTCCAGCCTGAGAACTCTGCGGCCTCAACACCTTCTTCTGCCATATCGGGCTCACCACAGTCCACCTCGTTGAATGCTCACGCCAGTGGGAATGATCATGAAGTGCCCAACAGAAGTGGTTCCCCGATAAGTGTGAAAAGTTTTGAGGAAAACACAGCACAGGCTACAAGCACACCATTATTTGAAAAAGAATACCGCACGGGAAAACTTATCGGAGTGGTTTCATTAACAGACATTTTGGGGCTTCTGGCAAGGCGACAAACCGAACACAAGCAGGTGGATCCGCAGGCCGCCAGAAGACAAAGAGGCAGTGTTGGTGTGTAACTATGCTGCTGTGTAGCTGTGTAGTGTGGACCTGTAATTATATTTTTGAAATCCTCGAGCTGCAAATACATTGGTCAAATAGTCCGACATCTCAATCACTGAATTTAAAAATCCGATACACTGGAGTTCAACTTGTGTGGGCTCAGTTTGGTAATTATTGGATAGTTACTGGAGGCAATCGAATGGCTTCTTTAACTTGAGCCATTATAGGTTTAAATCATTATTTAGCTACGCTGTCCGTCATGTGAGAGACAAATCAATTGTCGGCTAGAAAATAGACCTGTAGCTCATCGTCGAAGTGATTTCTTAAACTTGGAGGAACGTTCGGTATTCCAAGCGTGCTTTTTGTATCAGCATGTTAGGCCACTTTGCGGCACTTCGTGCAATTGGGTTTCGATCAAGATTTTACCAAACTACGGCCTCCAGAAGCAAATCTGTACCAAGATCACTTTTGCAGCGACAAGCTAAAAGAAGAGGAGATATAGATTCCACTGCATCATCACAGCTCATAGTGACGTCTTTCAAGGACATTTTCTCATTTTTCAATCCCTCGGGTCTCTCGCAAGAAGATGATGACACGGAACTGGCCCAAAACAAAGAAGCGATCATTGATAAAATAGAACATGGCGAACTGCGAAACTTGTATCTGCAAAGATTTGCTGCGGTCCCAATGACAGCAAAAACTGACTGCGAGGACTCTGTTGGTGATCTAAAAATTCCCACACAAAGCATGCTACAGGTTTTCCCTCAGCTGTCACAGCAAGACAGAGAATTGATCGAGGTTTCGCTAAGTATGATTCCCGTCTCGATGGACTGGAAAGAAATCTCACTAGTACAAAAGCAAATGTTATTTTATATGGGTTATGGATCGTACGGTCCTAGAAACGACGTTACTTTCGTGGGGCCCAAACCTGAGGATTTTACCTGGCAAGGCCCTGCTAAAGTTGGCGAGCCGAACCAGAGGACCCACAGACTACCGAAATCACAGATTACACACGTCTGGACCTGTACGCCGTCCAGGAGAACGTTTTTCGATGGTATGACTAAACGTTTGGACCCAGGTACATTGTCGGTAGCATTCATTGGACTCATTGTGGCGGTATGTGCAACTTTGAAAGAATATCTGCAACGTCAGGACGACAACGCTGTTGCAGAAGTGGCTCAATTTGAAGAGGTAGAAACTTCGAACGCTTGAAGCGATGAGTTTCCCAGAGCGTCGAGCAAGGCAAGTGATGCAATTCTCCAGTTTTTCTTTTTCTCCAAATTTTGATGCTACACGATTCTTCCTGTGCATTTGTTCCATTGCATTGAATGCCAGAAAAAAAAATGAGAACGCACCTATGTACAAAGCACGGTCATGCTTCACTCGTTGCCATCCGCTTCATCGTCGCTATCCTCGTCTTCGTCGTCATCCATGTCATCCATATCGTCTTCCCATGATTTTTCCACAGTTTCTTTGACACGTTTTATGTACAAAGGCTTTTGGTTTTTGAATAGTGTAGCGGCCTCCACGTTGGCCGGCGATGCTGGATTGGGATCGTTGAACAGACTCTGGATTGATGTCAAGATAGAAGCCACGTCATATGTTGGGGTCCACCTATTCTGAAGAATGTCTAGACAAATTTCACCGTTGGCATACACATTAGGATGGAACATCTCGCTGAGAAACTTGACATGCGGAGGTTTGTTAGGGTATTCCTCATCGAATTCCAACAGTAGACGGAACGTTCCGTCCTCGTACGGTGTTTCTGCAGGTCCGATAATCATTGCGTTCCACACCATCACGTTGTCTGGCAATGGAGAGGCAGAAACACCGGGAGGTGCATCTTCCTTCATACGCTAGTTTGCAAACAAGTTAGATTCGATTCAATGCCGTTAAATACACCTGGAAAACGAGGAAAAGAATAAAACATACTTTAAAGTCTCTCATGAGTCTTCTCCTAGCTGGAGTCGACATTGTATCAAGATCTGTGTGCTTGAGAACTCTTGTTCGCTATTCTAAGTTTCTGTTGGTCAAGTTCGTTCATCAAATATCAAAATGAGAGATTGATGAGCTTACATATACAATTTTAAATTATAATCTGTCACCTGATAGATAAACACTTACAAAATCCATCACGTGACTCTGTGATGGTAGTCGAGCTATGACAGCGTCGTGTTTGAGCCATCCTTCTCGATGGCCTTTCCTCAGGCTTCGAGATCCTCCATTCTTATACTTTGTCGAGTTGTAATTTGTCCGTGTGATACATGAGATTTCCCAGCTTCAAAACAGTATCAGTTCCATAACCTTTGATGGAATGGACTGTCAAATCGCCATTCCAATATTCCGCATAAACCTTGCACATAGCGAGTCCAATGCCCAATTTGTAACGTGAGGATCTTTCCAACAGCCCCAAGAGCGGTTTCTCGAATTTGTGGCCGCTTGGCAAATTTGATGCACTGACAGGTTCCAAGGATGTAAACTTGTAGGGATGACTAGAGGGCTTTCTTGCATTCGCATCGTACATGTAATCGTAAAGTGATATGGTCTGGAGACCGGGGAGCTTGTGGAAATTGTCTAACGATTCACTTGCAAGCTGCTTAGATTTCCCAAAGGACCAGATAGTTTTTTCATCATGCGGGATCCCGCCAGCGCGATCCGAAATGCGGAAAATGAAAGACTGCTCGTTAGAGACTATGGTAACGGTGATTGGCTCCGGCTTTTGAAGTCCCAAACGTATGTATTCTTTCATAGTGGCCTCGTAACTGTTCCGCAGCACTTCTCCTAGCAGATACTTCAAGTGCAGGGGCAGAAAATAAAACTTGAGCTCGAGATTGCCGTCAACGACAAATTCTGGCAGTTTGATGCCCTCGAAATACATGTCTTGAATGAATTTTTCACACATCGCTTTTGCCCCCAAAAGAAACTCATGCGCGCTGCATTCTTGGAAAATATCACCCAGCACCAGCGTGTTCTCCTTCTTCCCGCTTTGATAATTGGAAGTCATACTGAGATGTTCCTCCACAATCAACCTTCTTGAAATACGAGCCCTTAGAAGACTTGAAATGACCTTATCCATTTTGTGAGGAGGATACAAATCTAGGATCCGACATTCAAGCGCGCCCATGATCAGATGTGGTAAATTCAACGAGTTGAAATCCGACAGAATCCCTTGGAGAAACACGGCAAATTTGTCGTTGTCCGCAACCGTCTTGATTGTAGGATACCGTCTAAACCGCTCAAAAATGTTGTAGTATGATTCGTACACCTGGCTAAAATGAAAATTGTTCACAACGTTGAAGGGCAATGTTTGAAGCAGATGGATCTTGTGCGCGATACGTGTAACGAGTTCCTGCTGAACAAAACGACCACTGTTAACAATTTTTTGTTTTGTCAACGCGTTGGATTCATCGAAGTACTGCGCCAGCTGTGATAACGAGACCGGATGTGGTTTTTTTGACAGATAGTGTTTCTCTAGAATACCCTTATTTTGGTAGTAATGTTGTTGATTCACGTACTTTGATTGTAATGGATACGCGCACAGCGTTGGAGAAACGTATGGTGCCAGTTCACCGATGAACTTGGTTGGCGAGTATTTACTAAAATCTGGAATTTGCGAGATGTGCCCCGGATGAGACCCTACTGAGCTCCTCGCTTGTGATTCATATCTCAAAGTTCCCTCTCTTAAAGACTTACGCCCTGCTTGAATAACAGACCTCACAGAAGTCCCACCAACATACTCTGGCATTGCTGGAAGACTATCTTTTATGTTCTTAGGCGAGGCGATGAGGTTAGTCAAGTTCATTTAAATTAATTGAAGTCATTTTGACTAAAGTTCACTGAACTTCTGACATCTTTCAATGAGAAAAACTGCACACCAATGAGCGACAAGAGTATGCTTCAGTGAGACTCGTTCTCAAAATATATGAGTTCCCACATTTGACCTTTTTACTGACTCCAAAAACCCTACAAATAGCCGAAATAAATGGCGTGAAAGATCCAGCTGATTCAGTGACTGATAGCACGACAAATGGGGCGAATAAGAGGAAACTGGAAGAATCTGAATTGTCTACGCAAGCCTTAGAGGGACATTTGAAGTCCAGGAAAGCAGTGAAAACTGAAGAACGCAAGGTACCCAACATAGCTTTAGAATTGGCCAAGAACCGTACAACTTCTGTGCCAGGATCCAGACCTCTTTCATCAATTCCGCTTTCATCACTTCTTTCGGGTGACTCAACAAACGGATCAACACCTGAATTGAAACAGGCCACTCTCAAGCCATCCAACCCCCGGCTCAAAGTATGCTCTTTGCTATCTCCAGATTCAAACGCTCGCACCGAAAGGCCGTCAAGCCCGAAAATCATTTTACCCACGCAAACCTCCTCAGCAGGAGCTCTTGGTGCGGAATCTCCGGGAATGATGGTTGCCAGGACCATTTCCCCAGTTTCATTTCTATCTCCAGATCAGAATTCAGGCGCAAAGCTCAATAGAAGCCAAAGCACGCTAAACCCGGGCAGCAGCACAGCGGTCTCGCACATAGCGACCAAGACAAGTTCCGTACCAGCGCCAACTGTGATACCAGAGCTACCCGGGAAAACCAAAGCACGACCTAAACAGAAAAATGTCACAACAAAATTGGCCTCTGAACTGGATGCTGCTAAGATAAATAATGATTCTGAAAGTCCGAACAACGTCTCTGACATACAGCAGCAAAGTCAAGCTGGAGTGGAGAGCAAGCCCAACACCTCTGATGCCGCTCCAAAAGGTTCGGCCATTGCAGGTCCTAAAAAAGTTGTTAGGCGTAAAAAAGCAAAGGTCAATGAGCCAAAAACTGGATCCGAACCCACAAATGTCATTATTGAAGATATGGTAAAGGCAGCTGAACCCAAAGCGTCTGTTCTAAACCCATCACCTGTCGAAACAACAAAGAAACCAGCCACAGTAGCAATTGATGGTGAACAAGAACAGACGAAAGCAGCCAAAACACTCGATACTCCAGCTGCCAAAAAGAGCACCAAAAATCCCACCGCCAAGAAAGCCAATAAAGCTACAGGAGTCAAGAATACAACGGAAAGTAAAGGTATTGCTAAAGCGAGCGAATTTGGGACAGAGGTAAAACATACAGAGACAGCCGATCATCCAAATCAAACGAAAGGCAATTCGAAGGTATCAACTGCAAAGAAGAGTGCCAAACCTGCTAATGCGAAGCAAACTTCCAAGCTCGCCCTTCCTGCTCCGCCTACCAAAGAAATGGATGTTAAAAATGAATCAAAATCGACCAACTCGAAAAACGACGAAACTATAGCAAACGTCAAACAGCCGTCTAAGTCACTTGAGCCGCAGAAAGATAAAACAGCACCCACGGTGCCGAAGGATGTCAAAAAGAAGGAGAGCAAGACTACAGCTAAAGAAGATACAAAGAAGGAAAGTAAAGCAAAACGAACTGGCAATGTATCGAAAAAGAAAGAAAACACACCACAACCTCCAAAAGGTAGTGGTGATCATAAAGAAGTATCAACGCCCAAACGGCTTCTTTCTGCTCCACCTATAAAATCGCCATCGCTATCGGAAGCCTTGGAGAAAAGCCAAGTCTCTGACGATCGTGAAGAGCCCGTCATCTTAGTGGATGTGCCATTATACCCTTCGGATTCTAATGATTACCTGGACGAAAACGGTCAGGTCGTGTTCAACTTTTACAAGTTAGTACAGGACAGATTTGGACAGCCCAATAAAACCAAAAGGAATCTTATATCTGAATTTCAAGGCGGAGATGAAGACGATGAGGATGCTGCAGAAGTTGAAGACGATGATGGAATCGAAGAGGAGGATGATGAGGACGTCGATTTGGAGGAAAAGAACTCAAATTCGAATGCCACTGCTGCCTCGCCAAAGAAGAAATCACACCCAATGAAAGGGAAAAGCTTGATAGGGAAGTATGACACGGAAGATCCTTTTATTGATGATTCTGAACTACTTTGGGAAGAGCAGCGTGTCGCCACCAAAGACGGATTTTTTGTCTATTTTGGCCCACTAATAGAACGAGGTCAATATGCAAGCTTTGAAAGAGTTAATGGGACAATGAAAAGAGGCGGAATTAAATATTCAAAGTGATTAATAGGTTAACTATGTAATTACAAAGTTGTATGGGTTTCACTGCGACAAAAATGTTTCGAGGTTTTCATTTGCCAGCTTTATGAACTCAATTTCAGGCTGCGACTTATCTTCGAGTTGACCCACTGTCTTCTTCGCTGTATCTCGTATCTCCATGAGTAGTGTTCTGTCCCATTTGAGCCTTAAACTGACGAAAAAATTCAAGTAAGTCAAAGAAAGCATAAGATTCTCTTTAATCGGCGCATTTTTTGAATCCTCGAAGCTCATTATGGCTAAAGCGTGTATTGTCGCTTTTCTGTCTTCATTTATGATCATGTAAGGCCTGGAAGGCAATTCAGGCTTTGAAGGTTGTTTCGATGGTTGCGTTGTTTCATCGGAAAGACTTAACTTGGAGAGAAGCTTGCTGGCATCTGCCATGGACCCGCGAACATTCATCATCAGATCTTTCAAGATGCCCAAAATGCAGCACTTCATGGGGTTTGAAGGACAATTCAACATCGTGTCTTTGACGAATTCAAAGGCATCGGCCTCGGGTATTAGACACATCAATCTTGTCAAAAGAGTGAATGATGCCATTCTTGGAGCTTCAGTGGCTTCGTTGAACGATCTCAACAGCTGGATCTGAAGAAAAGTAGCAACGATGTAGGACGGCATGGTTTTCAAAATTGCTTGATTTTCGGTACACGAAGAATTTGTTACCGCCACCCAGATCCAAAATTGACAGCATTCAATAGCATATAGGTTGGGGGTGGTTTGAGAGTACACTTCTGGCGTAAAGAACCTTAGGAACATGTAGATGGTCTCATCAATTCTTATTTGAGGATGCAATATTTTTCCCGTCTCCTGGTAGTGATAAGTTGCCAGAGCAAGTATTCCAGCAGGGTCCAAAGAGAGATTTCTTTCCGTCAGCTTCTTTTGGATGTTATAAGTGTGCGCAAGTTGATATATGAGTTGAGTAATGCCACTTTTTGCAGTCTCGTTGACAATTTCTGAGTCTTTCGGAAGCGATTGGTAAATAGAGACAGACTCCTTGACGCACTGAATTATGAAAGCCTCTTTGATATCAATATCGAACGAATAGGCAAGGTGGTAGCACCTTCCGATCATGGAGCGCATGTTTTGGCGTATAGGGTATTCGAAAGAAGATGTGTCTATTTTTTTCAATTTCATGACATACTCTGCGGCAGTATGCATTTGTCTGGTTAGAAGCAATTGACCCACAGCATTTGTGAGTAGACATTGAAGAAGTTTGCGCTGAAGCGCGTTTTCATCTTCCGACAATTTTTCCACTTCTTCGGGATCTAATGTATTTGTCGCATCGGCTTGAGGAAGAGGAGGGATGTAGTTCCGGCAAAACATGTAGATACGACGTAAAACAAAAACACAGTCATCGATAAGTGGAGCGTTTGTCTTGATAAAAGAGAGAATGGCTCCTACAGCAGTGGCGAGAAATTTGGAAGGGTATGAGGTATGAATTCTTTTGATAGTCGTACTGATCAGCTCCATTAGGGCGTGCAATTGCAATCCCAGAGCGTATTCTTGTGGATCACGATCTATCACATCTATGATTGCTTGCGAGGCAGCCTTTTCCATTGCAATCCTCGCTGCAATTTCTTCTGTCGACGCATTGTGGTCACCGTCTTCAGAAAAAGTCCTGTCGGTATCGTTGTCGTCAAAGTCTCCGTCATCTTCGGTTTCGTCGTCATAATCACCCTCTGGTTCGTTTTCCGGTTCTATGTCTTGCACACTCAGTTCTTCGATGATCTCACAACCGGCCAAAAAACATTCTTTGGCATTTCCCGACAATGCGATTTCGTTGAAACATTTGATCGCCGTTGAGATAACAGCGTTTTGTGATAGAGAAACGTTTGGCTCAATGTTCCTGATGTCCAGAAACTTCAAAAGAATCTTCGGCAAATCCCAGCCGATCTGTTCCGCTAAACGCGGGTTTTTCCGCAAGTTTGAAAGAATGATTTGCAGAAACTGAGCCTTATCCGCTCTGAAACTTTCATTTATGAGGTCCACCGAGTAAAGGTCAATGATTGTCACCAAAGAAAGGGCATCGTTTTCACACTCGGAAAAGGCCAATTCGAGCTTTTTGCAGAGTTCAGGTCCGTGCTTCATAGATCTAGTAGTTAACGAGCCTTTTTCAGAGCAATTCAGAGGTGATGGATTCGTGATAAGTTGAAACTAAGGTGTGTGTGTTGTTCTGTTCTCGATTGTGCGGTTTTGGTTGAGTTAACTACCTTTTTAACAAGTTTCTTTCTCACGTGACCGCATATAACGAAGAACGAGTTTTAGGGGTTTTCCAAACGGGTTTTCAAACGGGTACCCGTTTGGACGTGCTTATGAACGACGGGTAGTTTGTGGGTAGCTGGCCGTGTATCGACTTTAATATATAAATGAGCCTTTAAGAACTATAGATGTCAGTAAATAGAATCGATGTCTATGGAAGCGGTAAAGTCTAAATTGGTAAACGCTTTATGTTTAAGCATTTTTGTTTTTGATAACAATTGTTTTCAGCAACTATTCAACGTTGCTATCATGGTTGATGCTTGAACTTGAAAATCGTTGGGTTCGCCAGTTTATCAGTTTGATTGGGCTCACGAAGATTGATTTTGAAGCATTTGGCAATATTCCTTCACGTCAGAGACTAGTCCGACCATCGGACTGTTCAACGGGCTGGCCCGGATCAAGACCCTGCAACCTTGGGTAGTCTTTTATATGAAACAGGTTTTTTTGGGTACCAATAATTTAGTATTCACGAATCTTACGATGAGTCTCGATTACATTTTATCCGCGTCGCCATCGAGTTGGGACTACCGAACGTTGCATCGATGATATAAAAGAGCAGCATATGTCTTTTTTCTATGCCGAAAAAGGTGTAGGCTTGGTGTGATTCGTAAATTGTTATCCAGGATGGATACGGGTCATCATACTGATTACACCGCCCAGCGATTGTCAAAATCATCATAATCAGTACCATCATCATTATCAGTACCATCATCACTATCAGTACCATCATCATTATCAGTACCATCATCATTATCATCACTATCATCATTGCATTCATCCTCAAAAAGCTCCTCGTCGTAAAGACCAAAATTGAAAAAGCGGTCTCTCAAAACCATAATCATTCTCGCATTAGCGCTTCCCAAACCTCCATGGTCGCATTTCGTCAATTTTTCACTGATAGATAGCGTTCTTTCAGTGTTGAAACTGCTGAACTTTGTGTACATCATGGATATAGCCAACGGAAACAAATGAGGGTAGACCAGACGTCGCGAAAACCACCACTCAACGGCATCCGTCACAGAATCTGAAGATAAGCGGGAATCAGCCTTATAGTTCTCCCATTCTTCCAGAAGTTTAGAGATTTTCTCTCGAGGCTGTTTGAGGCGCAATATTGGCCTTGTGAACTTGGTGACGCGATTAGAGTTCACCAGCTTCAGCATATTGTCATTACACGGATATTTTTCGGCTTGGCACTGCTTGAGGTAGATCTTGACATATGCCTCTACCCTTCTTAAGTGCTCTGATTCCTCCTCCTCAGAAAAAAGTTCTTTGAAACAATCGTATTTGATACTAGGATTCAAGAACGCGGCAACAAAGTATATGTCGTTCTTCCTGTAAAGCTCAAAGTATTCGTCGAATTTTGGCCTGGAAGAGATAATAGCTCTCAAAACAATACTCTTTATGTCATCAGAAAGGTCAGACTTCCCATTGATGAAGGTAAAATCGAAAAACCCTAGTGGAGGAGCTGGTACAATCTCCGTGTCACCACTACTGCATAGGTCATAAAACTCCCTCATTGTGTTATAGAGAATGACTGCATTAGCTATGTTGTTTGCACCATTATTTTGCAAAATATCATTCATCTGCTGGAAGATTGAGCAACAGCCTGCAAAATACTCTAAGAGTTGTACTGCTTCGTCCGAAATCTGGAGCCGCATTTCTATTTTCGAAAGGATGTTATGAAACTGTTCATTTGATTTCAAGCTTTTGACCCACCCTAAGTATCCTTCGTAATGCTTTAGAAATGTAGCGATCTGTTTCCAAACGGACATTCATTGCGTTTCGGGAGCTGAGGGTACTAATGGTAGGCCAGCATTTTCTAGAGCAGACCTTAAAAGCGATGATCTTTTGAATATTTCGGCGAATGCGCCAACATTTCTCAGGCCTTTTTCAAACCTTTCATCTTCCTTCAGCCTTCTCACGATATCCTGAAACAGAAGATTCAATATGTGACGTGCGCAGCGAATATGATGAAAGTTTCTTGTCTTTTGAAATGCTGTCGTCCTCGAAGGTTTTATAAGATTTTGTAGAAGGAGTGAATGCAGGGCCGTATTATTAGTGACATTGCCAGTGGTGATGGACAGGACTTTGTTTGTTATTTTGAATCGGCTTAGAACCTCTACGACCGTGGTATACAGACTTTCACTTGTATGACGTGAGTCGCTGATATCAATAAAGTCCAGAAGGTGACTGTTATTGGACTCTCCACGGTTATTCAGTAATGCCTGTGCCCCAACGCCTTGCAACAACTTTTCATTCAGCAGATTAGGAGCAAAAGAGGCTGCAATACCCAAATAGGAACGACCATTACCTCCAGACCAAACATTTAATTCCAAGTTTATAAAGTCGGTGTGTTCCATCGCCGCAACGAGTGCCTGGTCAAACCATTGGGAGTAGGTTTCGAGTTTTGTATCTATCGCAGTGCGAGACTGAATAAATGACATTTCTGGACATGCTTTACCAATCCATTTCCACGTTTTAGAGCTAACAAACGAAAATGGCAGCAGTCTTTCTGTCAAAAAACTAATTGCCGCGATGGAGCCAGGGCTATTCGCACATTCGCGAACGATATCACTCGGCAGCGGAAACGAGCGGGTTTTCATGATCAGAGAGTCTGGTGAACGATCCTTTAACATTTTAGCCTTTTGACTTCTGTAATGATGGGGATGAAAGTTCTTGACGTGCTTGGAGAGATTTCCCGTAGAACTGCTTTCGTCGAAGGTTTTTCCGCAATGTAGACAGCTAGCCGTGGTCAAATCATCTGTCTCAGAGAGTCGAAAGTGCTTGCGAAGTGCGGACCTTTGCAACCATTGTAACTCTCCACGCGCTAGAGCCTTTTTTGTATTGCGATGAGGCAAGTCATTTAGGTAGTTCTCAGGATCAATTAGAATCGTATCCCCTTCAAGATCAGTACTGGGACTCGGCACTAGTTCATGTGGTGCACTCATAAGAGGGGCTTCCATTGTTGGTAGAAACCGTCGCCTGAGCCATGTTTCTGAATTTGAAGATCTGAGTTCTCAATTTTGTCACCTTTCATATATCTTCAAAAGTTTACGCGTTGCATTTAAAAAAAGACGCGTTCAGGTTCCTTTCAGGTTGCAGTTCAATTATAAGCGGGTTGCACGACGGGTTAAGCTTTGCCGGAAACGGGTTCTTTCAGGTACCTAGCTATTTAGCAGATGGGTCCTCAAATTTTATGAATTTTTTTATGCCCGGCCAATTTTGCAACCCGTTGGACAGCACTGGGAACCTACTACCATCTCGTGTCACACGGAAGCAGCGTTTTAGCCGCCCAGATGCAGATAACGGGGATAAAAAAAAAAGGGGAGAGATGAATACCGGTTGGGGACCCGATCCGTTCACAGTTACATACCCATGGATCCTACCCGTTTTTTAATTTCACGGGTAGGCAAATGAATACCTGTTTGAAAATACCCATTTGCGATCCATTGCAGATCCGGTCATCTACAATGAAGCTACCCGTGTTTACGCAATCCAAGTACCTACCCAGCTACAACTCGTCTGGAGCGACTACCGTTTTATGACCCAGTCAATCAGATGACCTTTTTCTAATTCTAACTTCAAGATTCTTTTAAAAGTGGAAGATAGAGAAGATGGTTGATGAATGGATAGTTCACACTCCTAAACTATCAGTCGCAACCCGTTTCGTCACGCCATGAGTCAACTTCTCGAAAGTGAGAGCGATGCCGGGTCTTCCAGCAACGTGGAAAGCTCGATTTCGCAAGAACGCCAATTCAGCATGCAAGATGAACTAGAACAATATGCCAAAAAACTAGATTATCTGGGCCTGGACAATGATTCGGAAGCGTTGAAAGATAACTCAACAAGCTCCGGGGATCTTCAAGAAAGCAACGGCAACATAAGGGCTAATTCCGTACCGACAAACAGAGCTCCAATGACCACATCTCGGATACTGACACATCTTACTCCGGCAGGGGACGCAGCGATCAAGCACGTGATCACCAAGGAACACGACCAATTGCCCATAAAAGTACACATAAAGTTCCAGCCCATAGGTTCCGTGCTGCAAGTCTCACCGCAGACTGCTCAAATCTCTTCTTCCCAGCCGTTTTCCGTACTGGTCACTTATTTGAAGAAAAAATTGAAACTGGCCTCTGTGTATTGCTACGTGAACAATTCGTTTTCTCCTGCACCGCAGCAGGCCATCGGAGATCTGTGGTTGCATTTCAAGGTTAAGGACGAGTTAATTGTGAATTATTGCAAGGGAGTTGCGTTTGGCTGAGTTTTTGGGCCTTTTTTATGAAGTGAAGCTCGATTTTTTTTGAGAGTTGGGTGTTGTCCGAGCGATAGTCAACAGAATCACCATAAAACATCAAATTGATGGTCTAAGGAATCGCAAGCTGTCTTGATCTCTCGAAAGTTTGTCAATTTTCCAGCTTGAATTGACCTTTAAGCTCGATGACTTGGAGCACGTGACTGAAATTTGTATTTCGAGATCTAATTCAAGATGCATTTCATTACCACGTCTATCAACTACGTCAAGTCAATATCGTCAAACAAATCAACAACGCAACTCATCTTTGGACTACAAACCCGCATTATTGTCACTTCCTAGCAAGTCTCGCGAAACCACCATGGAGGGCAATGGTCTCGATAACTCTGCTATCAACAAGCTGATACCCGAAATTTTCGATCAAATGCGTTCAAATCTCAGTATAGGGCCATCCGGGAAACCTCTGAAACCTTTTGTTTCCGCGGCAGCAACGCCTTCCAGCATGACCGCACAATCGCTATTAGAAGAAAGCAAGTGTTTGGACGAAATAATACCCGTCATTCAAACTCTAAACTCGTCTCTAAGCTCGGCAGGACCGCAGCACCTCAAACGAATTCGAGAAACCTGCGAATCTTCTAATAAGGTTTTGGACACATGGATTAGAATTCAATCGCAGGCCGGATACGCATACGAACTTATGAATGACGAATCATATTTGGAGTTCGTCACAGCTGCCCAGCAAGACCAAACGTTGACGCCACAAGCACATCTAGAGCGAAAACAGAATCAAGTGACGGAGCTGAGGCGAATCTTGGAAAACAAGCAGAATTTAAAGGAAAAGGCACAAGTCGAAGAAAAAGAGCGCCAGTCTATGAATAATTCGTCGATCAGACGTCCGAAAAGGTTCGGCACCACAAATCGTACCCCAGCCACAAGAGGTGGCATGCGGAAGCCAAGCGGGATCCCAAGAAGCACATCAAGAATAACAAAGCCAACTCCGGGAAATCGACCCTCCACCAACCGGTTCCAACGGTAAACATTGCCGTATGTGTAACATTAATAACTGCATTCAATAACGGAACATAAAAAAACTATTAAACTCGCTCGTAAGATATTCTATTGTACAATATTAATAACTTATCAACCTTTGAAGCGAAATACGCATCCAGCTTTGATTATTGGGGCATTTACTCCTTTGGTGGCACTGAGTCCTCCAATAGGACCAACAGGTCAGAAGCATCCACATTTTCACCATCCTTGACCATGACATCTTTCACTTGGCCGTCGCTTGGTGAAGAGATAACCATTTCCATCTTCATAGCACTTAGAACAGCCACAGGTTGACCCTTCTTGACCAAAGAGCCCTTGTGTACTTTTACCTCAATGACAACACCAGCCATTGGGGCACCAACCTGATGAGGGTCGTGAGCGTCAGCCTTTGGCTTCGCTAGAGATTCGATCTTTTGAGACTTGTCAAGAACAGACACTTTTCTCAATTCACCGTTCAAGTCAAAGTAAACTTCTCTGTAACCGGTCTCTTTGTTCAACTCACCGATTGCTTGAGGCTTGATGATCAAAGTCTTACCCTTTTCAATGGTAACAACAATCTCTTCACCAACGGTAGGTGGTGACAAAAAGTTTTTGGTTGGTAGCACCGATAGGTCACCGTACAGTTCTCTCATTTTACGGAAATCCTCATAAACCTTTGGATACATGTTGTAAGAAGCAACATCGCATTCATCAATGTCACCGAATCTGTCTTGAAGCTCTTCTTTGATCTTAGGCAAGTCGAATGGGCTGAGTTCTAGTCCTGGACGGCCTACCAACTTTCTTCTCTTATTTTTCAAGACGTCGCTTCTCAAAGGCTCTGGGAAGCCACCGTAAGGCTGGCCGATGAGGCCCTCGAAGAAGTCCATGACGGAGTCTGGGAAGTCGAGCGAAGAGGCCAACCGTCTAACGTCATCCGGAGTTAGCTTGTTCGAGACCATGAACTGCGCAAGATCCCCCACAACCTTTGAAGTTGGAGTGACCTTAACCAAGTCACCCAACAAGTAGTTTGCCTCCTTGTAAGCCTTCTTGGTTTCAGCCCATCTTTCACCAAGACCCAATTGTTGGGCTTGGAAGAGCAGATTGGTCAATTGACCACCTGGGATCTCGTGCACATAAACTTCTGGATCGGGGCCCTTTAGGTCGGCCTCAAAACAAGAGTAGAGCAATCTCATTTGAGCCCAGTAAGCGTCAAGCTCACGAACAAGATTAGCGTCCACATTGGTTTCGATCTCGCCATCCAAGGAAGCAAGCAAAGCATTGATCGATGGTTGGGAGGTCAAACCAGACATAGAGTTGGTAGCAACGTCAACAACGTCAGCACCAGCGAAAGATGCTGCTGCCATCGAAGCAACCGCGGTACCAGCGGAATCGTGGGTGTGCACGTGAATAGGCAATTCAGGGTACTTAGCTCTAATGGAGCCGATCAACAATTTCGCAGCAGATGGTTTCAAAGTACCGGCCATATCTTTGATGCCCAGAATATGGGTTCCCATGGCAACAATTTTGTCCGTGATTTCGAGGTAGTAGTCCAAGTTGTACTTCTTTCCTGGTTGCAGCATATCGCCTGAGTAGCAGATTGTAGACTCGACGACACCGCCAGCTTTCTTGACAGCATCGATACCAACCTTCAATTGTTCTAGGTCATTTAGAGCATCGAAAACTCTGAAAATGTCAACACCGTTCTTCTTGGCCTGTTCAACAAAGTGGTCTATGGCATTGTCAGGCAAAGAAGAGTAAGCCACACCGTTGGCGCCACGTAACAACATTTGGAAAGGAATGTTAGGAACAAGTTTTCTCAAAAGTCTCAAACGCTCCCATGGGTCCTCGTGCAAGAATCTCATCGCCACGTCAAAGGTGGCACCACCCCAACATTCCAAAGCAAAAGCACCGGACAACGCATGCGCGGTAGTTGGGGCAATTGCGGCCAAATCGTAGGTACGCACTCTGGTAGCCAATAACGATTGGTGAGCATCTCTCCATGTGGTGTCCATCAACAAGGTTCCGTTGAACTCGCGGACCTTCTTAGCAAAGCCGACTGGGCCTTGATCTAGAAGAACCTGTCTCCAGCCAGCGGGAGGTGGCGTTGAAACATCGATTATATTGCCACGGGAGTCGCTTAGAACAGGAACAGTTGGCTGAGTGTGCAGTTTTGGCAGACCAACTTGGCCCTTGATAGAAGATCCGTTGACGACTAAATCGGCGAGGTAATGCAGCAGCTTCTGAGCACGGTTTTGAGAAGAAACCATTTTAAAGAGTTCAGGAGTGTCGTCGATGAAAGTGGTCCAGTATGTACCATCGATGAAAACAGGGTTTGTTAGCAACGTTAGCAAGAAAGGGATGTTTGTCTTGACACCTCTGATTCTAAACTCAATCAAAGCACGCAGCATTTTACGACGAACAATCTCGTAGGTAGAACCCGAGCAGGAACACTTCACCAACATTGAGTCGTAGTGAGGAGAAATGATGGAACCGGCATAGGCGTTACCACCGTCCAATCTCACACCGTTACCACCCGCAGAACGGTAGACCTCGATACGACCGGTGTCGGGCTGAAAGTTCTTGGAAGGATCTTCAGTTGTAATACGGCACTGAATGGCAAACCCTCTTGTTGTGATTCTGTCTTGCAACAGGCCTAGTTGTTGTAGAGAGGCACCAGCAGCGATTTGAATCTGAGCAGCCACAATATCAATACCGGTGATCTCTTCGGTGATTGTGTGTTCGACTTGAATTCTTGGGTTGATTTCGATGAAATAATGTCTGTTTTGGTTGTCGACCAAGAATTCAGCGGTACCGGCGTTCTTATAATTAGCTTCCTTGGCCAATTTTACGGCATCAGTCAAAATAGCATCACGCAATTCCTTTGACAAAGTCTTGGCGGGAGCAACTTCGACAACTTTTTGATGTCTTCTCTGTACCGAACAGTCACGCTCGAACAAATGAACGACGTTACCGTAGCCGTCAGCCAGAAGCTGAACTTCGATGTGCTTTGGCCTGTCCAAAAATCTTTCGATGAAACAAGTACCGTTACCAAAAGATGTCTTGGCTTCTGAAGTGGCACGCTGGAAAGCGTCTGAGATATCATCACCTTCACGAACGACTCTCATACCTCTACCACCACCACCAAAGGCAGCTTTGATGATGACTGGGTAGCCGTACTCGGCGACAAAGTTCTGAGCTTCTTCGACGGTATCAATTGGGCCAGGAGTACCTGGAACTGTGGGCACATTAGCGCGTGCAGCCAGGTTTCTGGCTGAGACTTTGTCACCGACAGAGTCGATGATATCGGCGGAAGGCCCGATCCAGGTGATTCCAGCGTCTGTCACTTTCCGAGCAAATTCGGAGTTTTCAGACAAAAACCCGTAGCCTGGATGGATGAAGTCCACTTCGTGGTCCTTGGCGATCTGGATGATTTCGTCGATGGCCAGATACGCTCCGACTGGTGTGTATTTGCCCTCTGGGCCCAACATGTAAGCCTCGTCGGCCTTCAAACGGTGCATGGAGAGTCTGTCTTCGTGCGAGTAGATCGCCACGGTTTTCATCGACAGCTCATGCGCCGAACGGAAGATACGAATAGGGATTTCACCTCTGTTGGCCACCAGAAGCTTGTTTTTCTGGCCCAAGAGATTCGAGCTGTCCCTCAGCCCTGCAAGCTTCGACATGTTGTGATGTGATGTGATGTGATGTGAATGAAGAGTAAAAGGCACTGGTTTCACGCTCGTCAATTGCAGCGGATGTGGGGCAAATTCAGCGTCCTTGATCACTAGCTATGGATTGAGAGTCCTTGTGTTGATAATTGTCTCTTTTATCCAGCCAAAAGACTTCTTGGAGAGCCAGCCTATGTTGATCTTCTTCGTTACGTCCAGGGTCTTTTTTCCATGGTGTGAGAATGGACTAATAAATCTTTCGCCCTTTATATACTTGGCCCTCCATCTCCGCTCGTGGAAAGAGACTGAATTATTGACCAATCACAGCACAGATCGCACATTGCCATGATCATCGTAGGATGACTCGTTTTTCGTCCCAGGCGTGACTGACAGTACACATGCTCATAGGACGGCGTGGGTTGTGATTAAACTGTGTTTTTTGCAGTGGAATTGGAAGCCCGATCGATCTATGACAGAGAAGCCACGCTGATTTTTGAACCAAATCTTGATAAGCCCGTCCAGGAAAGATTATTGTGCGGATCTAAAGTTATAATGCGCCACAGACTTCAGGATAAGGAAGACGCGCGCACACACACACACACACACACACACACACACACACACACACACACACACACACGCATTGTCATGCAGACGTCACTGGTGTGTAAACATCTGTGAATTTTTTTTTTCAGTTTCGTAGGAAATTATCTTGTGTCCGATCGACTGGATTATTGGGTAGAGAAAGGGACATGATGGCGCTTGCAGAAGGATTTCGGGAGGTGAAGACTAACAAAGTGAGTGATTCCAGTTTTCTACCCGTACTGGAATATTCTTAGGCTTCATGCTTCAGCTCGTGCACCCTGTTTTTGGGGGGAAAAAAATGGACGATTTTGAACCTAGTTACTCCACCGCTCGACCATCTCGTTCATCCACTGGCCGCCCTGACTCTGCAGCACCTTGGGCAGCTCCTCCACACCCTCAAGTAGTCCGTCTTCGTTGATCGTCGCCGATGCCAGAAACCCGTTCAGTAACTTGAGCATAAACAGACAGTTGGGATACACTATACATTGAGCATACGGCGGCTGGCACCAGTATTCCAAGTATTTCAAATATGCCTTGAACTTCGGATCTCTCCATATTTGTTGCTGGCTGAACAGAAATATCACATACGGCACATTTGCGAGACATTGTACAAACTCAAGCTCCACTTCGAAACGGGTGGGCGGTACATCGACCTCTCCTTCGTGTTCCAGCCCGTCGGCAGCGTCGTTATTCTCCATGTCACTAAACCGTAACGTTGCTAATGCTACAAATACTCAGTAATCCCAGAGTTGTTGAAAGTCAATTGAAAGTCAACTGGACCTGACGGATCTCGAGCCGTTGAAGCCTGTTCATCTCGTGAAGTGGTTGTTAATTTAAGATCTAACAATTGTTAATTTAATTTAGCCAAACGCTTTGTACGAGCGCTCATATTCACTAACTATATATACCAACTGTCAAAAGGCCACGAATCATCGAACTTAAGCTAGCTCTTGAAGATCAACAAACTCAGTGTTTGCACTGGACTTCATATCATTATAACTATATATGGATTGGTCCCTATACAAAGTTTTCCTGTTTTCGCTTTGCCCGGTGACATTAGTTGTAGGCCACTTTCTGTCAAATCATATAGTATTGGAAGTTGACCGAGACGGATGGTTTAACACATTTTTTGTCAAACAGGGCTGGTTCTGGACGAGTGTGGTGGGATGGTGGTGTATGGTGAGATATAGAGGCTTGGGTAATCGCGGAACTTGGAAAAAAACGCTGATTAGGTACTGTGTGCTGACAGCATGGTGGATGGTGTTCACGCAATCGATTTGGTCAGAAGCAGCTCCATTAATGGACCTGGTATTCACCGCAACCGGTGGACGGTGCACGTTTGATCTTTTTGATCCCACAGACCTGAAATCTTGGACTATTAATAATGGATTTCACGATACGTTCAAACGCCGGCAATCGAGCTTCCGCAAAATTTACAGAGCGTTGAAAGAGGTCTCTGCAAACCCGTCCTCGATGCTCCAAAACGCAGTTTCGGAACTCGAACACTGGATTTCAGAGGGTAAAGAACACCTCACAAATTTGGAAATGACCCCGCATCAATTCAACCTTCTTATTGACGAAGCCTTGCATTCCTGGCGTAAAATCAACTCTTCCAGTCTGTGTAGATCACTAGGCGGACATTGGAAGGGTGGACATGATCCTAGCGGCCACATTTTCCTCATAACCCTGATGTGCATGTTTTTGCTTGGGGAGCTCCAAGTCATTGGTAGGAAAGCCCTAAGGAAGCTCAAGACTGATCGCAGTCTTTTGAACTCGATCAGATCATACGGAACCAACATCTTTCAACTTGGGACTGATCTTCTCAAGCCCTCGCATGGAACCGCCACCGGGAAAGAGAAATTGAAAAAACTTGCCTCAATTCCTTTCAAGCTCACTGAGCAACTAGTGATGCTTATAGGCTCCACACTCAAATTTGTTATATGGGAAAACCCCATACTCACCCTCATTCTACTAACCGTTATGTGGTGGTGGAGTTTTCTCGTTACAACAATTGCATTTCACACACTTCCCGAGCAGATCAGCGGTCTACTATGTGCGTATATCGTAGCAGTGATCGTTTATTGGAAGCTTGCTTAGAAAAACAGGCCACCTAGCATTCTTTTAATCGTGTATATATCTAACGACACTGCCATGAAGATAGAGGCAATCTCTGTAAATGTTGAGCTCGTCTCTTGATAAACCCAAAATAAAGTAAACAGCCCATAGTGATGCAAAATAGATTAGTGACAAAATAGCCATCTCTCAGAGTCAGCCATTCACCACCCGCTGCGATACAATGCTCCTTTTCTGTTGCGTTTGCAATTGTATCTGAGTAACGACAGGCATGTTTCGTGAATCGATCGATCATGTTTAGAATCAAAAGTCGCGGCCAGGTCCCGCCCAAATTACTCAAGGTATTAAGCAGTGTCATGTACGTGCCTCCGATGGCAGGGTCAGCAATCTGAGTGTGGAAGGAGCAGATCCCGACAAACTGAACAGTAGTCATGAAAGACCCGAGTAAGTGTTGGAGTATAACCATGAGAAAATATCCGCGAGTGATTTTACCATCAGTGGGGAAGTATGCGATCAGCACATTGGCTAGAGAAGCAGCGGTTAGTCTCCCAAGAAACCCCCACATCCAAGGTGTCAATGTTCCCGTTTCACCGACCAAAAATTTGACTATTTTGTTGGTCTTCTTTGGCGCTTTTGTTTCGTAGGCAACATTTGCACTCCATTTAGCTACGTAGTAACCAAATATAATCTCAAATGGGAAGTCAATCAGGACAGTTACGGCGAGATCTTCTCTTTTAAAACCTCGTTCTAGCAACTTCAAATTGGTAGCGCCCTCGTTGCACTGAAAGGCAAACTTGCTGAAGAGATGAATGGCCATTAGGGACTGGACACTTGGAAGTTTCAATACTTTGAAAAAGGAACGATACACGTTCGACAGACTTGTGTGAGCTGGATTTGTGTCGTAATTGTAGTCAATGAAATCATCGACTTTTTCGTCACTTTTCTTCTTCGGTAATGCTGGAACATCAGTGGGATTTTCGGTGGTGAAAAAGACAAGATAAAATGTGACAAGCACGTACAAGGCACCCGCAAATTTCATGTACCCACCAAGACTGACTATTCCGTGGTCCTTAGGAATCACACGTACGTATTTGTTCATAAACTCTGCAGAGTTGAACGCCAAGAATATTGTGAACGACAAAAAGTAGCCAGTATTGAGGCCCACAGTTTGAGCAGTAGAAGCATATGAGAGTGAATCTTTTGACAAGATCTCCAGAGCCCATCCATCGACTGCAATATCCTGGGTTGCACAGAGTGCAATCAAAGTGAGAAAACATATCGTTAGAGTTGTAATGTTCAGTGCTGGAGATGAAGAATCCGACGTTGATGCTTCGGTAGCGTGAAACGCATCATCTACACCTGCAAAGACCATATTGCTCGAAATTGCTGCGCCAAGGAACCACAGGATAACACCGCTCAAAAACTGGACCGGAATGATCCACGACCGCCGCCGACCAGTTTTCCGGCTATACACAGAGTCCACGATAGGCGACCACAGAATTTTCAAGGAATATGGATATGAAGCCATGGTAAAAATGCCCAATTGAGTGAATGTCGTATCCTTAGCCATAGATTTCAACAGGAAAGGTACGGTACCAAAAGTTAATCCAATGGGCACACCTTGTAAGAAATAGAGAAGCACCAACAACAAAAATGGTCTGACATCATGCTTCGCCAATTGGTGTGGTACTTCCCTCATTTGCTTATGATGGCAGGCTGACTAGAGAGTTCTGCTGGTCTATTCAAAGCTTTCTAGTAAGACCATTGTTTAAATATCTGATCGAATAATACCAATGTATTTACACGTTTTCGTAGCACGCGATCAATAAATGACAGATTACACAGGCGTACAATATGACATATATTCTCAGCGTCACACTTCAGCACTGACATTTTAGATCTAGGTGGGTTTAAAATAGTCAAGGAGTTGAGTGACTTCCATGTATTGGTTGAAATTCCTTCATTGGTTTACGGGGCTGGTAGTTGCCTTGATCGATCTCCCTTTCGAATTTCAAAAAAATATGTTAATCGAAGTTTTAGTCGTAAATTGTAAGATGCTCAATTGTGCGCAAAACCTTTTTCAAACTACTATTTCAGCGTAGGTTAAAGCATTCAGTGCATATTCAGTAAGCTTGTTCGACCCATCTGAAGGTGTAGTTTTTTTCAAATTTCTTCAAACATAAGTCTTGATAATTTGCAATCTATCAGCAGGACGTGTTACTAACCAGAATATAAATCTGTCCGTAAACTCAAATGCCAGCCAAATCATCGATTAGGGTATGGACTGGGGTGTCGACGACACTTTCAAGTGGTAACCCACTCTGTTCACTTGTCAAAGCGCTGTCTCAACTTGCGAATGTTCTTGAATTCGACATATATATAAAATAATATAACCCAAAAATTGGAAAAAAACCATGACGTTGACGACCTGTATAGATAGGGGCACCGTGGAATACATGCTGTTTGCCCATTTGTGTGTGGATTTTGACTCTCTCCTTTCAAAATGCCATGTCCGAAGACTAAGGGAATAACATGACTCCAACTGTGCCGTATGTAGTCTGGCCATCAATTTTCAGACGTTGATTCAACTGGAATATATTTATCAGCCAGTTCAAATCACGAAACCTCTCTCCTTGAATCGTGAATGCGCTGTCTGAGGGTTTATGCTGCGGTGGGTCTGAGATGATCGCTCTAAATTTCTGTAAGCCTGTTGCTCTCTCCAAAACAACAAGAGTGCTGAAACGTGACGATCACTCAGTGCGTGAACTCAAAGGAAAGGAAAGGATGGATCACGTATTAAAATGGGTTTGAACCTCTCGTTTTGTAAAAGGAATTTCGTAAACCATATTGGTAATGGTAACGCGGTTGCTAGGCTCCAGAATCTGAAAGCACAGCGGTAGAATTGGCAGAATGAAATATACTCCGCTAAACTTACGCGTGTTTCATTTTAGTGACTTGGAAGCCGCTCGTCTTAGATCAGAGAACCGCTTATTCAACAGACAAGACCTTTTTGACGGCAGAAGCAATCACGTCTGGGTCTGGGAAGGCAAAGTCTTCCAATTCCTTGGCGTAAGGAGTTGGAACATCGGCACCAGTGACTCTTTGCACTGGTGCGTCGAGGTAGTCAAAGGCTTCGGATTCCATGATTTGGGCCACGATTTCGGAACCAACACCAAAGTTAGGGAAGGTGGATTCGACGGTAATCAGGTGGTTGGTCTTCTTAACAGACTTGATGATGGCTTCAACGTCCATAGGTCTGATAGCGCGCAAGTTGATCACTTCGGCAGAGATGCCGTGTTGCTTTTCCAAAGTCTCGGCAGCCTGAAGCGAGAACTGAACGTTTCTGGTGTAAGTAATGATGGAAATGTCGGTACCTTCGCGCTCGACCTTGGCCTTGTATGGCAAAGTGAAGTCGGTGGACAAGCATTCCTCGGAAACCTCGAAAGATTCACCGTACAAAAGCTCATTTTCCAAGAAAACCACGGGGTTTGGGTCTCTGATGGCGGCCTTCAACAAACCACGGGCGTCCTCAGCAGAGTAAGGCACCAAAACCTTCATACCGGGGATGGAACCGTACCACGCAGAAAAGTCCTGCGAGTGCTGGGCACCGACACCAACGGCTGCACCATTTGGACCTCTGAACACGATTTGGCACTTTTGAGTACCACCAGACATGTAGTATGTCTTGGCAGCAGAGTTGACAACCTGGTCGATGGCTTGCATCGAAAAGTTGAACGACATGAATTCCACAATGGGCTTGAGACCCTTTAGCGCAGCACCCACGGACAAACCGGTGAACCCCATTTCCGTGATTGGAGTGTCCACCACACGACGTTCACCGAAACGATCCAACAGACCCTTGGTCACTTTGTACGCACCGTTGTACTGGGCCACTTCTTCACCAATGATGAACACATCGTCATCGCGGTCCATTTCTTCAGCCATAGCGCTGTTCAACGCGTCTCTGACGGTCATTGTCTTGGTGGAGGCCATTCTCAATTGCGAACTGGCAGCTGAGAGCCCTTGACCCACCAATGTTCTGCTTGTAGGAAGCCTCATCATCTGTTTGGCTCCGCCAAAAACGTTGACGGGAACTTTGAAAACCATAATAGTCTTGGAAACCCGGGGTTTAAAGAGAGAGAGAGAGAGAGAGATCTGCTGCTGGTTTTAATGCTATTCAAAAAACCACTACAGTAAGTGCACCTTCTTTTCCTTTAAGTTACAGTTTCAAAATGTAAGTTGTTCTAGAGAAAATGAGTCTGTCACGTACTGGGAAAGGTCCCTTTATATAGTCGTTAAATTTTTGAAATTAACTAAGTTCGACGAACTACGGAGGTGGAGAAAGGTAAGTAGCGGGAAAAATTAAAGAGGTCATGTGGCCAAGAGTGGAGAGCCAATCAGAGCAATTTAAATAACGTGACACAGAAACGTGACAGTCACGCAATATTCACGTGAATCAAACTCTCTTTAGCACGTGACTAATATCTAGACCGTAAGAAGTAGCACTAGTAGTAGCATAAGTACTAGTACGTACTAATAGTGATTCAAAAAGAGAACTAGGATCTCTTAGATTGACATATCATATACCGGGTGCTGTTTTAACGAGACTTTCCCGCTACTCTAGCTCGAGTCTCTACAACTTGCTCTTTCCGGCGAAAACCTCAGCGATAATCCTGCGCTGAATCTTGCCTGTAGCTGTCTTGGGCAACTTGTCGACGAAGAAAATGCGGGTGGGGATCTTGAATGAGGCCACACTTTTGCGCATATATTCTGCCAGTTCTGCGTAGTCCAATTTCTGACCAGGTTTCAACACAACGGCGGCATTGACCACCTGTCCGTATTTCTCGTCAGAAACGCCAAACGACACGGCCTCCTCGACTTTAGGATTCGAAAGCATGACGTTGTCGAGCTCGATAGGCGAAATTTTCTCGCCTCCGCGGTTGATGAGCTCCTTCAGACGTCCTGTAAGCACCAAAAAGCCCTCTGCATCGAAATAGCCCTGGTCACCAGTTCGGAAGTAGTTCTCCCGTTGCGTGAAGTTCTCGCGGTTGGCCTTCTCGTTGTGTGCATAGCCGAGCGTGACGTTTTCGCCACGGATCGAGACCTCGCCCTGCGAGCCTTGCGGCAATACATTGTCCTTGTCATCTAAAATGAACACTTTGACACCTTGAGGCTGGCCAACCGTTCCCGGTTTTCTTTTGCCTGGGGGCAAGTTGTTAGACGTCATTTGGTGCGACGCCTCTGTCATTGCATAGGCCTCGAGAACAGGTGCCTGGAATGCATGTTCCAGCTTGTGGAAAGTGGACGATGCCAACGCCGATGAGCACGACCTGATAAACCTGATTTTAGGCAATGGTTCCGGTTTGGGCGTGTTAAGCAAAATCATGCTGATTGTAGGAACGCAACTGAACCAATTGCACTCCCAGGCAGTGAAGTCGGCCCAGAACTGCTTGGCACTGAATTTAGGAGGTACCACTACAGATCCCTGTGCCCAAAATGAAGAAAGCAGGACACCAATTAACCCATGCACATGAAATAACGGCATGACGACGTACGAGCGGTCCTCAGGGCTCAAATTGTATGTCGCGGCGATGTTCCGCATGCTTCTCACGATGTTGAGATGCAATAAAGGGACCGTCTTGGGTGCAGACGTAGTCCCGCTGGTGTGAAGCACCAAGGCCACATCTGAAGATCTCGCAAAACCTGGAAACGAGTCGTCGTGGTTGACAAAAGCACTCTTGTTGATCGACGAGTACACTTTGGCCTTGTAGCCGTCCTTGTGCGTATAAATGTCGTATTCTACCCGGAAACGATCAGGGTTGAATGACAATTCCACTACAAAACATTCGAATTTGGCTGCAGACTTCACGATCTCGGCCTTCTCCGCTTTGCTGACTGTTCCCTTAGGCACGCAGATCACTTTAGCTTTCAAATCGTTCAAGTAGAAATTGAACTCTTCAGCTCTGTAATTGGGATTCAAAGGTGCTCCAATCTTGGCATCCGTAGTCGATGCTAGAAAAGCTGCGATGAACTCAAGTCCATTGGGCATTGAAATTGCAATTGCAGATTGACGACCCACCACATCAAACAGAGGAGAATCTGCCGAATGGAACATCGTTTGTAGATGACCTGTCATGTGGGAAAGATCCCTGTAGGTGACTTGTGCACCTGCTTCCGGCACGATTACCGCAACATTGTCGGAAACGCTGAGACTTTCGTTGAAAGAGGCAACGCCTGTGATTTTCTTCACCATTGTGCTTCACCAAATCGAGTCTTGGTTCAATCAGATAACAACCCTTGCAGTAAGCAGCATTCGGCTTGGCCGTAATTGTTTCTCATTTTATAGCTTCGAAGACCAAAGTCATGTGCAAAATATCGCAATGGGTTTCTCACGGCGGAGGATGGTTTCTGTAGCTGTAGATTTCATCAGTGTCTCTTGATAGCATCATCACGAGATATGGCATGAACAATGATTTCCGTACCGACGTTCCCAGCAGCAACCGTCTTGAATCGCTAGTGCGATTTAATCGACCAGAACATCTTGGCTTTTGCCAGTAGAGCATCATCAGGCAACCTTGATTGATGTAGTAAACGAAAACCAGTCACTTTCGAGATTGCTGATAAGGGTTATTGTAAGCTTCCTATGCGAAAGCATCGGATATTCTTGAAGTAAAATGATCCTGGTCAATGGCATGTAAAAAAAGACAATTTGGCTCGTTGTTGTGTCAATTCAGGCTTCCCTCCTTCTATTTTCAAGTGGTATCCCGAGCAAACGTGGTTGTTTAGTTAATGCCCCATCTTATCATGCATTCACCCACCCATGCCATGGCAAATGATATATGGCGCGCAGCTGCATGTTTGCCATCACTCCGTTTATTCTTCTTTCACGCGTGTGGTTCATGGCGGTTTCCTAGTGAGTCGGGCTCGTCATAGGCAGCAGAAATACAGAACGAGTCATCTTCACCGGTGTAGGGAATTGGAACGTTTTCAAATGGGATCATGACACTCAATTTCTTTCTATCGATCGACTGAGTCTCTGATAGTGAGCGTCCAGCGCCATTAAAATTACTGTAGGCCAGATCAGCAGCACTTTCGATTACAATCTTGACTTGTTTAGTTGACTTGAAAAGAACGCCGACCTCGTAGTTGCGTGGTTTGGAAGAATAAGTGCCCCATGCATTCATGCTCAAGTTACCAGTGGTAAACAGCACCCAATCCATCTCCTTGAAAGGAGCGGCATCCGAACTTAGAGTGGTAGCTTTCATCAAAAACTTGGTATGTGCTGGAGTGCTTTTCCTGACGCTGCCCGCTCGAGGATTGCGCTTGTATAAAACATTCCAATCTTTTATCTTCTGGTATAATTCCCGACTAGCTTCATTCCGCTTCCAGTGATAGTGAAACCAGCCTCCCGCCATGTATCCCATGGGACTCGTTCTCAATTCTTCGGCGGTTGGGTATATGATATAAGGTTTGATTCGATTAAGCTCAAGCCACTTTTTATATTCTGGTATGTCAAAGGCTTTGGTGCCGCGCTTGGTATTGGCCTCTGGTTTTATCAGGCCAGAAAAGAGCGGAATCATGAAATTCAGGAACAGATTCCCTGGAGACCGGAGTCCACTCTTGATCGGCGACCCTATTGTCGAAACCTGGGCTAGATAATGATGTGTAAGGTCTTTATCTCCGGCATTGTGGTGTTGGTCTTGCAATCTGCTCCCGAGCAGAGGCAATCCGGAAGATGCGATCTCGGGATGTGAGTACACGAATTCTATGCCTAGTTCGTCGAGCGGAAGAAAATCCACTTGCTCTAGAGCCGCGATAACAGGTTTCATGTCTACCCGGTAGCCTTGGAGGTACCTGATTAGCGCAGTTCGAAATGCAGAGGGACGTGACGCAGAAGGAGATCTTTTGAGGAGCGGGCTGCACCACACTATTTGCGTAGGAATATTCGTCTCTGCTGAAGTGAAGTTGTTGGAAGGAATATAGATGCAGCAGTCGCCGTTTTTGAACTTGTTAACCACCAACTTGGAGTGATGACACGCATAAGGTGGCATATGCACGAGCAAAGTCTCCAAATTTGCGACCAGCTTCAGTATTTGGGGTGTTTGCAACGTTGCTGGTAAAATTGTACCTTTTTGTGCAATTATGGTGATGCTGGTGTTCGCTGCAAAGATGGGCAGGATGTAGTCCAATTCGAATTGAAAACTGAATAGCCAACATTTGGACAAATTCGGTGCCCCAAACATCGATTCCAGAGTTATGAAGTGTTCTGACGATGTGTTTTGGTCATATATTTCTGATTTCATCAGTCTGAAAGGATGAATAGTCGTAGGAGGAGGAGAAGAAATGCTATCTTGTAAAATGTGCTCCTCCCTGGTTATCGACGTTGACTCTTCGACGTCTTGCAGTTCATCTTGGGATATATCTGTCTCGGAAGTTTCCGCATCGTCACTTTCCTTTTCACTGGTTAGATCAATCACCTCAGTATTCGCATCTTGTGTGATCCCAGAACTACCTTGCTCATTCTCGAATTTGGACCTTTTGGAACGCTCCAAATTTCCCCAGTGTTCTCTAAGTCGCTTTCTGACGTCTGAAACCGGTTCGTGGTTCGACATTCCTTGTAGACGGGGAGCTTTTAGTTATCGTTAAATAGTCCTGTCTAGCGCTTTGAAGTTGACTTTCTGATAACCACATCTTGATCGATATAAAAATCACAGAGTTTGTCAAAACTACGCTACAACTAGCAAAGGGATCGGTAGAGCTATGGTAACAACTTTCGGAATTGTCACTCGTGTCAGGGATGCGTCCATAAATTCCTGGGAGTCAATCTGATCGGTTGGCGTGGGTTTGTCGTAGCGCTGGAATGGGAGAGCTGAAACCATGGAACAGATTTTAACAACCCGACTGGTGAAGAATAGACTTCTCTTCCCATTAAAGAAGATATTGGATAAGGGAAGAAAACATTTAGAAGTACTTTTGGCATGGCACGTCGAAACTATATGATTTATTGGGTTCGTTTGCGCTAGAGAGGTAATTATGAATAGCCGCCCATGTGTAGAGAAAGATAGGCCATCGCTTATCACATTGATGTTGCGGGAAACAACAGATTAAAGTGTGTTACAACTATGGCTATTCTGTATATCCTGGTGACGAGATCATTTGTCATAGCAGACCGCAGGAGCTAATCGCTGAGTAGAAAGACTCTTCTGAGCGGCGCATCTTTCAACTTGCGCAAAAAAGGTTGTAATGGGTACCATTGCGGCTTGTTACACCACGTACTGACGCACAGATTCGTTTCCAGAGTTTTTTGAGGACTCGCTCCATCGGGTTCGCGTTTTCCCTTACGTACGCACAAGAAATGGTCAGAAATGGTTCAAAGATACTACAAAACTGATCAAAAGTGGCCAAGTCAACCCGCAAGGCCGTTCCAATCTCTACAAAGAGTTATCGAGAATTCATTGAAATGCACTTTCAGGCAATGCCGTCGTATCAATGCTATCGCATGCAACAATCTACACTTCATGGAACACAATTTAGCATATTTGACAAAGAGACGAGTTCTTAAAACGACGAACTTTTTCGACGAAGCATTCTCGCGAAACTCGTCGTTCTAACATCACACCAATCGGTGTCAACCACTCGTTTCTCTAAACACAACGGCCTCAGAAAGTTGTTGATCAGATTTTTCAGCTACCGGCAAAAGTCCAAAGTTCTTACAAAGTTCTTTCAAAGTTCCTTCGAGTCCATTCCAGCTTCGTTTTCACCAGCAAGAACTTCACAGTTTCACGCAAGCCGTCGGAAGGGCACACAAGGACTCACACACGCACCGTTGGCGGGTGTATGCCACTATCTGTGCGTTCTTGATATCTCACGTGAAGATTACTATCTTGAAAGTTCGGAAATCAGTGCTCATATCACCTTTACTAACAGTGGCTTTAGAAGCGGGCATAACACCGACCACCATAAGCGTGTTCGATCTAATTCACATGGCCTGGCTATATAAACGAAAGTGCTATCATGAGAAAGGGCCTGGGCGGATTGGAAGCGGTAAAGAAGCAGCTAGCGTGAGGCAAAGCACGGTTTTTTTACTTCTGCTGGGAGAATTGAACAGTCTTGGAGAGTCTTGGACACTTTCTTTCTTTCTTGGTCTACAACAGCAGTTGAGAATCTCAATTTTAGTTTGACGTGCTCTACCCTTGGTGTGCACAGTACAGGCAAGGTTCGAAAGGATAAGAATAAAAGCCAAGCTAAAGCATTCGAATCAACATTTTAGGGCAGACAATTCAAGATGAGAGTTTCCGAAAAGCTACAAAAAAACCTGGACTCTGCCGAGAAGTCGAAAGCCACTTTCTCGTTCGAGTTCTTCGTCCCAAAGACCTCGCAAGGTGTCCAAAATCTTTACGACAGAATGGACAGAATGTACCAGACTCGCCCTCAATTTATCGATATCACTTGGAATGCAGGAGGCAAACTGTCGCAATTGTCGACCGATCTGGTGTCGACTGCTCAATCCGTGCTGGGTCTTGAGACATGCATGCATTTAACTTGCACAAACATGCCGGTCGAACTGATCGACGACGCACTCGCCAAAGCGTATGAGTCTGGGTGTCAGAACATTTTGGCTTTGAGAGGCGATCCACCAGTAACCACGGGAGAGTGGAAACAATGCGAAGGTGGATTTGCTTACGCTAAGGATTTGGTGAAATACATCCGTGAAAAATATGGTGACCATTTTGACATTGGTGTTGCAGGATACCCAGAGGGCCATCCCGAAGAAGAGGCCACCCCTCAGCTTATTGATTTTCTGAAAGAGAAAGTTGACGCTGGTGCCAATTTCATTATCACGCAGATGTTCTACGACGCTGACATTTTCATCGATTGGTGTCGTCAGCTCCGCGAGGCCGGTATTGACGTTCCAATCATCCCAGGTATTATGCCTATCACCACGTATGCGGCCTTCTTGCGTAGAGCGAACTGGTGCCAAATCCACGTCCCTGATGAATTTATGGCCCAGCTGGACCCCGTTAAGGAAGATGACCAGGCTGTTCGTGAAATAGGTACCAAGCTGTTAGCGAAGATGTGCCAAAAGCTGCTAGACAGTGGCTATGTGACACACTTGCACATGTACACTATGAACCTGGAAAAGGCATCATTGATGATATTGGACAAGCTCGGGCTACTGGCAGAAGAAGAGGACATTTTCAGAGATGAAGTGGTGCCTATGCCTTGGAGGAAATCTTTGCATCCACAACGTAAAAACGAGTCTGTGCGTCCTATCTTTTGGCAAAGAAGACCATACTCGTACGTGGCACGTACCTCAGAATGGTCGGCGGACGAATTCCCTAACGGTAGATTCGGAGACTCTTCGTCCCCAGCTTTCGGTGACCTAGATTTGTTGGGGTCGTCTTTGATTAGACAATCGCCTCAGAGGGCTCTGGAACTGTGGGCAACGCCAAAGACAATCACGGATATTTCGAATCTGGTCATCGGCTACTTGCAAGGCAAGATAAAATGTCTTCCATGGTGTGACGTAGCTTTGAACCACGAAGTTGATAGTATTGTACCTCAGCTATTGGACCTGAACGAACATCAAATTTTGACGCTCAACTCCCAACCTCGCGTTAACGGGCTCGCCTCCAGCGACAGCGTGATTGGCTGGGGTCCCAAGAACGGCTACGTTTTCCAAAAAGAGTATTTGGAATTCTTGTTGCCCAAGTCCAAACTATCGCAGTTTGTGGAAATCATCGGCAATGACACCAGCCTCACATACTTTGCTGTTGATGCTGCGGACAAGCTCTACTCCAATCATCCTGACGATACCGCAGCCAACTCTGTTACATGGGGGATATTCCCCGGTCGCGAAGTGCTGCAACCCACAATCGTGGAAAAAGTGTCGTTTTTGGCGTGGAAGGAGGAATTCTTCCACATCCTGGAGGAGTGGCGTCTCATTCTGAGCCAAGACGGCCACGACGATAGCGCCGCGCTTCTAAGCACCATCATCGACGATTATGCCTTGGTGAACATCGTCGATAACGATTTCGTGGCCCCAGGTGATCGCATCTACGAACATCTTAAGGGCCTATATTGATTGACCTTGTTGTTTTGGAAACTAACCATTTCAATGGGGCCAACTCCTACTTTTTTTTCTTTCTCCTCCTTTTCCTTCCGCATTGCCGCGGGTCTGCTTTCTCAACCAAGCGTTCGACTTTTTTTCGCGGCACTTTTCGTTTTCTTTCTGCATTCAACATGGGATTTAATAGAACTGGGTTCAAACTTAACACATTCAAACAAAACAAACAAAACATTAAGCTCGACACACCATCGACGAATAGCTTTGTTGGTGCTGGACACACACCTTCGATTCAACAACGTCAGTGTGTACAGCGCTACCTGTACAGACACATACACAACCAGCAAGTTGTATATATAGCATACAAAACAAGACTATTCTCGCGTCAGTGTTCTTGATCTTCTGGATCTTCTGATAAATCTTGGCTGTTTTGGTCGTGTTTAAACGATTTGGCTTGCCGTATTCTATGCATTCGAGTCCTGCACCGAATCGGCTAACCGTTGAAATTAATGAAAAATTAATTTTAGAATGGTCAAATTAGCTAATTCGAGCAAACCACTGTCAAATAAGCCAAAATTTAAGCTAAAAACACCGATTTTGAAGCTAAAAAGAGAGCTGCCGTGGCCCAAATTATACGGTGGTGAGTTTCGGAATCTTTGAGGACAAATTTAAGCTTTTCAGCATCAAATTTGACCTGTTTTTGAGTCTGGCGTTACCTAAAAGAGAGCGCCTTCTTATTATACCTTATATAAGTCATAAATCATAGCGGGGTGGTGAGAAGCAGACCTATACCGAGAAACATCGAGGTTTGTCACCGACGATGGAGGGCAAGAGACTTCATTGGAAAGCCGGCGTTGCAGCACCGAGACGAGTAAGCCGTGGGTTTGCTCAGACGGGAAAATCCGCGAGTTCAGAGAGCCCCGGAACGTCAGTCTCGCTTTCACCAACAGCAGAAACTAGCAACAACAAAAATACGAAGTCGTCGTCTTGGGGGTCCTCAATCTCGACCATAACAGAGGAACTCCCCAGCGCAGACGTGCCAGAAGCCATGACCAGAGTGCCGTCTGCATCAAGTGCTTCCAGGATTCCGTATTGCTCTACTCCTGGCGGGTCTTCGCTGTCTTCGTCAAGTAAGAGAGAAAACAGCACAGTGGAAGGCACCAGATCGTGGAACACCTTGCCGCGGGCCGGCGAAACATTGCATCTTCGAAAACATTCCATGAACGTGGCGATCCATACCGTCAACGGCACTCCGAAGCAAATTGTGTACGATCCACGCTACAATCCACTGTGTCCAAAACTTGGGATTTTTTACATGTTCAACGCACAATCGCCGCCCTTGGATGCCTACACGCACGCCAAATTGAGACTAGAGTCTTTTGTCAAGTTTTTGGAAACTTATCATGGCTCCCGGAAATATGCAGCTGCTTGTCTACCCTTCAACGTGACAATTGCACACAACAGCTCTTCGAGCGGATACCCGTCTTATACTTCAGGCGTGAGCTATAATGAGATCGGGGAGGTACTTCAGCTTTGGTACTTGCAAGCTTTGAAATTCTTGCTGGATAAAAATTCATTCCTGTTTTCCAGCGAGATAGTCGAGTATCTGGTTAATTCGAATCCCGGGAAAAATGTCTCCATCAAAAACGATTTCAAAGATAAAAACCAGCCTGTTGGTGCTTTCAAAGAAACTGTCTCCAGGGCCGACATTTTACTTATACGATGCTCGCTAGAAGAAGAGTTTGGGTGGCAGTTAGCCTTGGATGAGCCCAACTGGAATGTGGTGGATCTGTTTGTGGATTTCGCGCGTCTCCGCAAGCCTTCTTTTGCAACTGGACAAGAAAAAAACTCGGATGACGACAATAATGGAAATGCCATGAATTCATCCCACATTTTTTCGAGCTCTTCGGAAAGTTCGTTTTCTAGTGCTACTAGCAACCTTTCTACCGCCAGTTCCTCTAACAACGAAAACGACAAGGAAGCGGGTGAAGATGGCATCAGCTCCACTGTTTCTGGCGTGAATGCCCTGTCTGAATCTACACAAGAAACCGACAATGGCGCTGTCAGAGTGCTAGATTGCGTTGGCCGTGACCTGGAGCTACTTTACAGGACTAAGAGAACTTCGCAAGAGTTTGAAGAAGCTAGCCGCAGATCAAGCGTTTCGGGCTCTCCCAGCCAAGAAAGCGTGCCAGAACAACAACCTTCTGCCAACAAGAGTAAATCTGATCAACCTGGGCTAATAGCAAAAGGTTCATCTGCACTTGGGCTCTCCAATTTTTTCAGGAGAAAGAACTCCCATGCTGCAACGGAAAAGAGTGAATCGCCAGGCTCCACACGGCAATCTTCACCAGGTGAACCTACTAAAATTAATCTCAACATTCAAAATCAGTGCTTGGAAGACTACTATTCATCAACTTTAGCCAATTATAGACGAATTGTGCCCCCATCCCAAAGTCTATTCACGCGTGCTGATCTTCCAAAGGAGTACGCTAACCGCAAAAAGAGTGGGAAGTCGAGATCATACCAAGAGGATTTTTTGCGTGTTCGGCTTCCGCTTGAGGATAATTCGTTTCCTGTTGTCATATGTCCTGACATATGGTTCACAGTGGAATTGAAGAGATGGAAAGGGTTTTTGAGTGAGATTTTCCGGTGCATCAAACCTGGTGGATACTTGGAGACTTCCACCTGTAATTTTTCTTCAGTCAACGACTTCAGTGATGCTGGGAATTCGTCCCCGCAGTTTTCAACCAGTGCAGAAATGAGAAAGCTCAAAGATGTGATTTTGATGGGAGCCGCCCGAGCTGGTATTCAGGTATATCCCATGAGACACCTTGTACAGGTGCTCAAAAAAGTTGGTTTTGTTAATATCAAGCACTCAGTAGTTAGTCTCAAAATAGGCGATCTCACTTCTAATATGGGGATGCTATTTGAGTTTCTGGCAATACGCCAATTCGACTTCCAGCTTCGAACGAATTTTCTCACGACAAGCACAACGCCGGAAGGAACTGACCCCGCGTCGTTGCCATTACGTTTTGTCCAGGAACATATGGGCAAAGTAGATGAAAGTGCTGGAGTTTTACGTTTTGTACTGATAACTGCCCAAAAGCCAGGTGGTACAAATAACGCTTAATGATAATGACTATCTATACTATTTTAATATTCTTTGCATGGTTCATTACGGTTTATTCGAGGTATCACTCGAGATTTTCATTCGTGTCTTTTCTTGCCCTGCAGTACCCGGGTACCCACTCGTCCATAGATTCTATCCAAGATTTGTCCCTTCTTGGGGTCCTCTTTGTGCACGTCCTCGATGAATTGATCCCGTTCTCCTCTGGAATAGTACTTGGCTGCGACATTGGTCGCCAAGGAATGCTCAGACTGTTTCAACATTTTGACAACATGTTCGTTCACCAGAACGAAAGAAATGCCAGAACCTGGGCATTCGTAGTTTATGTTGAGTAACAATCGCTCCATAATGCCTCTCAAGCCTCTGGCACCAGTGCCTTCGTCTTGAGCAAGGCTAGCAACTCTCATAAGGGCTTTTTCGGTGACACATAGGTGAACCCCAAACTGCTTGAAAATGTATTCGTACTGCTGCATCAAGGCATTCTTGCACTCCCGAAGGATATGGTACAGATCTGATCTTTCTAGCGGCTCCAACGCCGTTATTATTGGAACTCTTCCTATAAGTTCTGGGATGAGTCCGTAACTCACCAAGTCTGTGGGAGTGGCGAGATTCAAAGCAGAGGTTTTCTTACCATTGGGAAGCTCAACCTTTTCTATAGTGCTACTGAATCTTAACCGTTTTGCTTCATCTTTTTTAGTCTCTGACTCATTCGTTGGCGAAGTAGTAGACTTGGAACTGTTGATCCTCTTGACGATGTGTTTATCCAAGCCCACAAAAGCACCCATCAATATGAAGAGAATGTTTGAAGTGTCGACAACGAAGGTTTCTTCCTTTTTGGCATTGATCTGATTGTTTTTAGCGTCTTCTTTCTTGTTGATGGGTCTTTTGGCCACAACTTCGACAGAACGACCTTCAAGCATCTTCAAGAGCGACTGTTGAACGCCTTCGCCTGACACATCCTTCGTTCCAATGCTAGCTGCAGGTTTTGCCAATTTGTCTACTTCATCCAACACAATGATACCTCGTTCTGCTTTAGCCACGTCGTAGTCAGCACCGACCAAAAGCCGTGTGATGCACACCTCCACGTCTTCGCCAATGTAGCCTGCCTGCGTCAATTGGGTACAGTCTGTAATCGCTATTGGTACGTCGAGTACCCTAGCCAATGTGGTTGCCAAAAGGGTCTTACCAGAGCCCGATGGTCCCACTATCAACACATTACTCTTGGAAAGCTCCAAATCTTCATCTTCCTGGCCCATATCTTGTGAAAGTCGCTGACGCAAGTGTTGGTATCCAGATTTGGCTTCTAAGCTACCGGAGTAGATTGGTTCGTCTTTATCATCAATTTGACGCTGTTTCTCCAGCAATTCGCTCTGTATCTTGGCCTCCAATCGCTTCTGCTTGTCACTCACCCTCAAGTAGTGGTTATACACCGCTACACTCATCACTCTTTTGCCAACGTCTTGTCCCACCACGTAGTTGTCCAAAAACTGTCTAAGTTCCTTAGGTGAAGGTATGTGTTTTAAGGAATTGGAGCTGCCATTGCTGGCAACCGTTCTCACAAGCTGCAAAGTCTTGAGCGACTTCCATCCGATTCTCAACATGTAGTTAAAGCTAGCTAGATGTGGTTCGACAAGTAAAGTTGTGAAATCAGTGATGATGAGTCAATTGATATCGAAATTTAAGCATTTCTTCTCGACTTGTTAAAGAAATCCGATCAGGATCACCAAAGATCGGTGAGAGATGAATCATGGAGCTAGACACATCAAATCATAGAGTTCCTCAGTTCTACTGCTGCTACTTACTTAGGTCAAGTCTTAAGAGACAATCTTTTTATATAGGTTCTACGCCTGATCCAGTACGAAGACTTCGACAACATAACGGAGTTCTTACCAATGGATCTGCTTATAGGACCAAGAGAAATGGCCTTAGGCCTTGGGAAATGATAGCTTGCGTGTATGGTTTTACAAGCAATATCGCAGCGTTGCGATTCGAACATGCCTGGCAACACAGTTATCATACGCATTTCATAGATGACAACGAGCGGATTGTGAAAAACAAGACCGGTGGGAGAAGTCTGCATCACAAGCTGGGAAACATTCGACTGCTTTTAAAGGCCCCATTTTTCCAACATATGGACCTGGTTGTCCATTTTTTTGATAAAGACGCTGTGAACGCTTGGGAACAGAATAGATTCAAAATCGACAGCTCTCCGGTGACAGAAAGGTCCGAATTCAACAGTCCCGAGGGGATCGGTGAAGACACGACAGGTTCTGACGATCTGTCGCTGTTGAATTTGGACAAAGTGGGCAAGCTCTTCCAGGATGTTGGACAAGTATATGTCAGGAATATCGACATACAGCAGAAAACTTTGGCAACTGGGACTTTGAATTGCGGTGTGTGCCATGGTTCTTTTAGTTATACGGACGACCAGACCGCTGAAGAAAATAGTAAGCCTTTGGTGGCATTCTGTCCTCAAGAACAGTGCTCTTTTGTATCTCATCTCAAATGTCTGCATAGGGTCTTCTTAGATGATGAATTCCTGGACGGCAAACGCAAGGGTCTCATCCCCAAATCAGGCAACTGTCCACTTTGCGAAAACGTCATGTCTTGGCCTACAATTGTGAAGTATGCCACTGGTATAAGAGATTGTGGTGCGCCGGTAGAGAGATAAATGAGCGCTATGACAGCTCAAGTTGCCATGCAGCTTCCAAGTCCAGCTTTGGATTTTCAACGACAATCAAACCGGTTTCCTCTTCCCTGTGGAGTGAATGGATCCAGCTGTTGTTACCTTGCGTGAACGTGGCGCGTGTAGTCCCACATTTTTCAGGTAAGGCAATTAGAATTCTTTCGACTTTAGTAGAGAAAGCTTCTCCTTCAGTGGCAGCATGAGTGATGGTAGACGTTAAAACACAGCTTTCGAATTCAAATGCCACTTCAAGGTAATTGCCAGTTTCGTAACTAAATGTCTCTCCGTCGTCCACGTATAATCTGCCATGCGCTTTACCTCTAGCATCCGGAGCTATCAGTAAAGTATAAGGATCGTTTTTTTGCAGTTTAGAAGACCGTCTAAATCTGTCTCTTCTTACCAGTACGTGACCGCCCTCTATGAAAAGCGCTTGTTCACTCAACGGAACATCAACATCCATGTGCCCATGATTCTCCACCATCAAGGCCTTCATAGTTTTATATTCGTAATAGATTCCTCTGGGGAAAAACATGCTCACCGCCGTTCTTCCAGCTTCTGTTATAGGTTTGACTAAAAGACCGCTATCTCCCAAGTAGAACTGATCGTCGATATTGTAGACTTCTTTCAACTCTGGGTGAACGTAGAACATTGGATTCATGATCGGAGTTCCGTTGACACTTGCCGAGTGGAACGCAGTGTAAAATGTGGGTAGAAGAGCATACCTTAGACGTATAGTATCTCTTACAATGGATTTTGTGGGTTCCTGTAACAAGTAGGGTTCTCTTCTCGCGGCATCAACGTGCGCATGGCCTCTAAAGAAAGGATACCACATTCCTGCTTGGTACCACCTTATAAGAAGCTCTTGGGTTGGATTTCCTGAAAAACCAGCAATATCTGCACCTATAAAGGGAAAACCGGCAATGTTATTGGTGAGACACATAGGAATTGACTGTCTCAAATAGTCCCAATTTGCAACATTGTCACCAGTCCAAGTGGCTGCAGTGCGTTGTGAGCCAGCAAAAAAAGATCTGGTAAGCACAAACGGTCTTGTACCCTCGGTCCTGTAAAAAGCCCTCATGGCGTCGTACGTGGTTTCGTGCACGGTTAAACCATACACATTGTGGATTGATCTCTCTTCAAACCCATCACTGTGAACAAGATCTTTCGGAGCAGTTGTTTCGGGCCCACTAAAAATGGATGGCTCGTTCATGTCATTCCATATATGTAAGTTTTGGCATTTGTCCAAAAACTTTGTCACAAGCTCGCTCCAAAGATCTCTAGCAATACTGCCCATCGTATCGATCCAAATTGACTCTCCGGGCCAGCAGTGACCATGATAGCTGCTATCGTCATGACTTCGAACAGAACTTCCTGTATCTTCCACCAATTGACTAACTTCATAATTGGCTTTTAAGTGCGGGTCGATTAATGCCACCAAATTCCGACCATGCTTCCAAAGCTTTCTAAGCATTCTGTGAGGGTTGGGGAAAGCATCGGGCTTCCAGGTGAAGAACTTTTTGCCGTCTGTGTACTCCAAGTCCAGCCAAATAAAATCATACGGTATGCCGGCTTTGTCCATCTGAGAGTCGACTGTTAGGACATCTTTTTCATCATTGTAGTTCCATCTGCATTGATGATAGCCTATTGATGAAATCAGAGGCAATTGCGGCTTTCCGGTAATCTCTGTGTACGCGGTTGTGATATCTAGAGGATTATCCGCCAGCAAAATTATCACATCGATGACACCGTTTTCTGATATCCAATGGGTTTCGGTATTTTCCTTCGTGTACTCGACATCTACCCATGTATCTGCAGAATTGACCCAGAATACACCAGCTGCGAAGCTCGGACTATTGCCGATCATGAAGGGAATGGAACCATACATTGGCGTTTTAGCGTTAAGATTGTACTCGAAAACATCAACGTTAAACAGACGGTATGGATCACTTTCCCTTGTATCTTTGAGACGTAAGCTGTCCGCATGCTCTGGGATACCGTAAACATCATTGATACCGATTAGCGTAAAGTCTAGAGCTACCGATTCAGGTCCGAACGGCAAAGAATCTTCTCTTGAGTAATGAAAGCTATCTTCAAAATCGTCAAATGTAAGCTCTTCTGGTAGTTTTTCATGGGCATTATTCTCAAGAGTTCGTTGGTGCTCGATGTTCAGCAGCATGCGATCATTGACGACTAAGCGAAGAATTCCACGATGAAACAATTCGATACGGAATTTTGAAAGGCTTATCTTCAGCGACACTTCAGAGCTTTTGCTCTTCACCTCGATGCTATCCTTTTGAAAAGGCCAAAATGACTGTCCAAAGTCAACGTCGGTTGGTCGAAGATGAGCTTGTTTGTCAAACGCCCACAACGCTGCTTCATCGTACCGTCTTGGAAGTAAAAGTTCTGATTTCGAGTCTGGATAACCTTCACGCAACTCATCTATCTTTAAGCGTACGCCTCCTCCTTCTAGCACATCGATGAGAAGCGGCAGGATCACTTTTTTCCCATCTTGACCGTTTTCACCAGATGGAACCTCTTTCAAGATGTTTGCGGCAAAACTGTGGTTAGAATTCCCATATTTGATGCTAGATGGATCCAGGGAATACACATTTCGACCGCTCTTCATTATTTCCTTAGCATAGTGTCTGTTTCGCAAGCAAAATCCAGATTGTGAACAAGACTTCAGCAGGTAGTCGGTGAAGGCCAGAGCGTAACTACACAATGTGAGGCTCACGAGGAGCCGTGAGAGCAGCCAGTTCTTAGCCATATGCGATGCCTGGGATTGCCCTTCTTAGAATAAGAACAACTGGTGAACCTTAATGTGAACCTTAATGTCAAGTATGTATGTATGATATGTTCATTGCAAGAAATCGCCAAAAACGAGGGTATGTGTTCAAGTCTCTATAGAAGCTTCCCAAAAGGTCCTTGGCGTGAGTCAATTGTGCAATTGGGATGCCTGGTTCTAAGTTCTGCCGATTCTCTAACAGTTCAATGATCCATCTTTGAAGTCGACTCAATATTTGTTGTTTGATCTGGCTCTTGGTTTGCGCCAGTTTAAGAATAGAACCAAATTGCCAATGTAGCGAGACTCCAGAATCAGTGGGCACTATTAACAGATCCCAAGTGTTTCGCTTGCTCGAGCGTTAAATAACGTCGAAACTTTGGATCAATGTTTAAGAACCTGGATCTTGTGATTGGCGAAACAATTGAACTAGAGGGTAGCGAAACTTTCCTCGAATAAAAATATAAGAACACCACAGATGACGTTGACCAGACTTGAATCTGTTATGTTCAGGATGACAATCGGAAACTGGAACACATTTTGAAAATCTGAGTCGTTCATTGTAAATTCAAATTACCTTCACTGGAGCATCCGTGACACTTTGAGAGAAAAAAGCTCTACAATGCAAAGCGGTGCGCTCATTCAACATGGCGCTTTTCAAGAGCTTCAAAATATGACTGCTCTTCCGAGAATTAAAGTCTTTCAGAAAGGGTCCAGAGTAAGGCCAAGTTTGCCCAGTATACGACAACTGCTTCGTGACATCAATTTGCGCAGCAGCGAAAATAATTGCCCAGCCCACACCAATAGTAAAGCACCCATTCAGGCCCATGTGTATTCCTCGGTAAGCCCAGCTGAGACGAATTCATCCAAAAAATTTACAAGACTGTCTCACAACAACGATGATCATTATTCTGCGGCAGTTTCTGGGGCGCCGGGGTCTCTCACCGCTACTCAGCACGTCGGTAAAGTCAGTTCTGAAAACCAAGCTCAGTTTGTACCACTCCAGCCAAACAGGTTGGCGCCTTGCCCGCCAGTGTTTCCCAGTAAAGCAAACAGACCAAGCGGGGAACTTTTGAAGCTAGCTTACATTGTAGAATCTTCTTCCCCTGACGCTAGCAAAAATACCAACGACAGTATCACACAGCTCAACAAGGATTACCAACTGAAGATCGCGGAAACGTTGGATAGTCTTCAAACACTCTATCGCCATATGCAAGAATGGCCGTTGTCATTGCACACTCAAGACATGGAAGATCATGATGAATTCGCTCTTTTAATTGATTATGTTTCGTCCGATAGCCTTCAGCTAACTATCAAAATGGCAAGACGTGCTTTCGAGTCCCTGAAATCAATCGAGCAGTGGAAGTCAAAATACAAAAAGCTGCATCCCAGTATTCCTGCGAGCCGACCCGGGAAGGTAATCAAGAGGGATAACTCGCCACGCATGAAAGACATCGCAAAAAGGAAAAGACGCCAATTTGAATTTTTAAAATCAAGAAAAATGGATAGTAGAAAACCCTTAGTTAGTGCCGGATCTGAGCCCAGTGAGGCGGTGAAGAATACTTCTCAAGGCAAATCAAGGGCTTCTCTCGAACCAGCAGACAGCTCATCTTCTGAAGGACTGCAATGCGCTCATTGTTCAACCACCACGACACCCGAATGGAGGAAAGGACCCTATGGAAAAAGAAGCCTATGCAACGCATGCGGGTTATTTTATAAAAAATTGATCAGAAAGTTCGGGGACAGCCAAGGTGGTAGAATCATGAAATACAGAAAGGGAATTTTGAGTAATGATCGCAAAGTTCCAAGGGTTTTCGATGTTCCAGATTCTTATTAGTCTTTGATGCCATTTCAAACAACATCACCTTTTTAGTTAATTCTTATTTCGTTCGTGCTAGCAATGTATGAAGAACCACACACATTCAAAAAATTGCACCATTTTTAACAAATAGCCTGTCCTCGTTTTTGCGACACCAGTCGACGATTGCCTTTGCACTTTTCAATACAGCATTTCGGTCACTTGCACCATTGTTGCAAATCAAGAAAAGCTCGAAAGTCGGAGTAAGCCACGCTAAGCATAAAACATCAACGATTTCACCGTGTGGCAGACCGCTTATCGGCAGGCCGTCACTTGACCACTGCACAAAGCTCAAAACAGACCTGTTGAGCGGAGTCCCATTTTGATCTATGACATTGTTCCGAATGTGAGTGTAAGTTCGCATAAGTTTGTAGAGATAATTTTTATGCTTTTCTCGTTTGTGGTTGTCAGCATCATCTTCTTCACTTTCGCCATCTCCGTGTTTTGCGGTGAAAGTGTTTGTCCTATCGTCATACGGGTCGTTATTGTACAGGTCGAGCTCTTGGAGTCGCGGCATGACATACTGAACATGCTTTTTAGACTTGTAGATGAAGTGGTGAACGAATTTGGCGGGTATATCGGCCATGGTGAAGCCAAATTTGGATGCCGTTGCGATGTGTTCCAAGAGGCTCTTACTGACTAAATCGTCCACAATCTTTTGACCTATTTTTTTTAGCTCAAAGAAGCTCTCCTTTTGAGCGCTTATAAGCACAAGTGCAGGTGTCGGAGAAGGAGGTACTATAGCCTCCTCTGGTTGAGCCTCCGAATGTGTGTTTTGTATTTCTGACTCAGGAGCGTCGCGATTTTGGCTTCTTGAAGTGAGCTGAGGGGGCAAACGCCTTATAAAACAATGCAAAAAACCACTGGAATTGAACTTTGGGAAACAGATAGGTAGCCAAAGTTCTTGATCATCTTGCAACCCCTGGAACTGGTTGAAAATGAGCGAAAACAGAAGATGTAGATCTGTCGTATGCAGGGTATGACCTCTTGGCCTTAGTACGGCACATAATTGCCCTCCTGGTGCAACTATGAGACCGTACAAGACCGTCCCTCTCTCATTAGCAGCTTCTGCGCTCTGCACGTGTGTCAGCATGGCTGTATGCAATGCCTGGCGAGTTGACTTGCGCATTGTGAGACATCTTAGAGCCCCTAGCAGAAAATCAGGGTTGAAACCATTGGCAATGGATTCGCATATATGTGTCAGGTTCTCAAAGTCCGTGTTGGTGAGAAAGTGACGTAGGTCGAAGTTTTCACGTTTTGAAAATAAGCGGGTTAGCTGGCGTCGGCTCAAAGTGCAAATGAGGTATGAGTACAAAAAATCAAGCTGCTGTGAGAGGTCGTTCACCGATTCCTCGCGAGATGAAAATGCCATTAAAAGAATGGGGCTCTTGTCGAGAAAAACGAGTTTTTGTTTCACACAATTTTCACCCGAGTTGGTCATAGAGCGAAATTTCGTACCGTGCACCTTGAAATAGTCGGTAACGGTGTTTATAATACCCATGAGGCCCATTACCAGCTCGTCTTTGCCATGCATGGAAAAAATGGGCTTCCCGGCTGAAGATAAAATAAAAAACTGTTTTTCTTGAGGTAGAGCCGCTGGTGACACAGATTCAGGGTCCCTTGTTTCAAATAAACACGGTATTTCATTGCTAACGGCGTGGTCTCTAGGCGATAGGTCCAGCGATCGCATCGATTGCAACAATTGATTTTCCAGATGGAGACGACTCGTGTTTACCGATTGCTGATCCGATGCCAGATCTAAATAACCGCTTGAATCATCTGCAAACGGGCGTGAATTGGATGAAAAAGAAGACGTTAAGTTTACACTAGTGGTAGGATCTGTAGCCCTGACAGTAAACGGAGATGAACGATGCGAGTTCGAGCGCGAATTGGAGCGCAGTTCGTCCACATAGTGCTCGCGTGGAGGTTCAACCATCTAGATGCCACCACTGACCAGCAATGGATTTGAACTTGAGGTTAAACATGGTTTAGTAGCTTGTACCCGGACTCATTGACGAGAAGAACCTTATATGATATTATTATATATATGTATGCAATAAACTCGATTTCGTTCGTGGTGATGATGATGGTGTAAGGTCTTCAAAATCACTCATCAGTAAAAGTTGATGGAGATCAACAACAATGGCAGTGCCGTCTATTCGCTTTGATTATTGTAGTGTTTTGCTCATCAAGTTGGTAGATTAAGTCTTGTTCAAGAAGCTCTCTGTGCTTCTGCCAGGTGAAAAATCGCTTGCACGAAATATTAACGTGTAATGTGGGTTCATCGTCAACAGTAAATCAAGAAGATCCTACTCGATTATTGTGGCTTGTAGTACTATTTAGTCGAAGAAATATGAATATGATACGAGGAATGCTGTGATGGTGTTAAGCGTGAAAAGAAAACCGCGCGGGATTCAGTGTTAGTGTGATTGTGTTGTTAATGGTCATGTCATAGCAGTTGTAAAAATAACTGCGTCCTGGATCTGGCCTTTGCCCTGCTCTTTAAAACGAAATGTCTTATGTTTACAACTTCTTCTTGTCGAATTTGGAGTAGTATTTGACAGACAAAAAGGCGTCGAGGGCCAAAAATGCAGTAGCAGCACCCACGGTCGAAATGATGATCGCGTCAGACTTTCCCCTGAGGTATCTGGCGTGGTGTTTGGCGTAGCCTCTCAAGAGCTGCGGCACTAGAACCGCACCCAACGCTGCGTTGACGACCACCACTGGGTTTTGTAGCTCCCTAACAGCACGCGACGACGAGCTTCTGATCTTGGCAGCGAAAAACGATCCCAACGACACTGCACGGTCCGATGCAATACGCAAGTATTCCAACGCCGTGTTCTTGTACTTTTCTACGGCGTCGTCGTTCTTGAGCTCTTCAAACTCACGGTCCGCTTCGTCTCTGAGTTCCTTGGCCTCAGAGCGCAATTCCTGCGCGGCCTTCTTGGCCGCGTCAGGAATGTGCGACGCGTCAACCTCCGCTTGGTTCACGGCCTCTTTGGCGTCCTTCTTTGCGTTCTTTACGTGACTGTAGAAACACATTCCGATCTCGTTAGTATACTGCTGTACTAGACATTTCTGTATTACTGTTTTCCTTTCTCAACATACTCTGGCATGTGTGATCGATTGTGTGTGTGTGTGTATGCTTTTGAATGTGCTTTTTCAACAACTCCTCAATTGGCCTTTTCTTCTAAAAACCGATACTTACCGGGGTAAAGTTCTCCCTTCTGTCGCTGCTTTTATACTTTTTTTTTTCGGGCCTCCCCTAAATTGCGTCAAAAATCTGATATCCGGTCTTTTTATTGTTATTGCTAAAACACAGCGACACGAAATGTGAAAGTGATATAAATTTGCGCGAACAACTCCAGCGCCAAGAGTAGGTAAGAGAAACAATGAAGGGACGAACAAGTGTTATGCAAGATGTGAGTTTATAGATCGTACATTCAGACGATTATTTGCATCTCGGTGAGAAGCTAGTTCTTTTCCAATGTATTGTTCCCAAAATGAGAAAAGACTCGGGTTCAGTAAAGTTATATCATTAACGACGGCGGTTTCTGGTATGAGTTCGATGAAGAAAGAAGTTGTAGTTATAAGAAGCGTTTTTGATGATCCGGGAGGTGCTATTGTGTGTGAGAGTGTGCTGGAAATAGGCTAAATCGCACCGGATCTGTAAGTTCGTTTTCTGTATTCTTTTCCATTGATCACGTGGTCGGCGTTCTAGATTCGAAATTTACATTTATCTCATATCTCGTTATGTGGCGCGACGGAGCCCTTTTTAGGAGGAAAGGGTGATGAGCGAGTGAGACCCTGACGGATCCGACACGAACATTAAGAATAAAACGGAAAAACTGGAATGGACTGATTCAAGCAATGATAAATAAGCCTTGTAGATGGAAAATTTGAGAGTTCTCGCATTTCCTCCGTGAATTTTTTTTCTCTCTTTCGGGATAAGCCGATACTATCAGTGAAATCGAACGCTTCGTCTAGTCAGTCGGCCTCCCATGCCCGATTTGATGTATTTATTTCATTCATGTATAGTATCCAGATATCAAATCAAACTGTCAATAAATTTTAAAAATTTGAATCCTTTAAGGTCACGTGGTCCATTTTTCAGATGTGACTGTTTTGTCTTTTCTAAACACCCATACATTTTCTTGATTTTTGATATTTTTTTACGATGAGATCTCTTCTCTCCTGAAAAAATCCACAAAAACACCCACGCACCCACGCACCCGATGAGAAGACCGACTCATCTGAAAAATTTTGGACAATGTACTCGGGTCGCGGCGATGGTGTGTACTCGCCGTCTCTGGGAACGCTTCCCAGTAATACACCGAGCTAAGGCATCTCAAAGAGAAGTCCATCGTCTTCCCATCTTCTCGACCACTCTTTCTTTCACATCAGTTTTTCATTCAAGAGAACCCAGTGTCTACTTAACAACTCGCAGTCGATCGAAAGTTACCAACCATCAACTTTCCGTGATCCATTCCGGCTTCAGCAGTTCCACAGTCGATACAATTCAAATAGCACCAATAATGTCTGCTCCAGCTCCATCTCAAGCTCCAGCCCCAGCCAGAGGCGGCTTCGGTGGCCGTAACAAGGGTCGTCAACAAAGAAGAGGTAGAAGAGACCAGGAAGAAAAGGGATGGACTCCAGTCACCAAGCTCGGAAGACTTGTGAAGGCCGGTAAGATCTCTTCCGTCGAGGAAATCTTCTTGCACTCTCTACCAGTCAAGGAAGTCCAAATCATTGACACTTTGTTGCCAACTTTGAAGGACGAGGTTATGAACATCAAGCCTGTCCAGAAGCAGACCAGAGCCGGTCAAAGAACCAGATTCAAGGCCGTCGTCGTCGTTGGTGACTCCAACGGCCACGTTGGTCTAGGTATCAAGACTGCCAAGGAAGTCGCTGGTGCCATCAGAGCCGGTATTGTGATCGCCAAGCTATCCGTGATCCCAATCAGAAGAGGTTACTGGGGTAACAACTTGGGTCAACCCCACTCTTTGGCCACCAAGACCTCCGGTAAGTGTGGTTCCGTCACCGTCAGATTGATCCCAGCCCCAAGAGGTAAGGGTATCGTTGCCTCTCCAGCTGTCAAGAAGTTGTTGGAATTGGCCGGTGTTGAGGATGTCTACACCTCCTCCAACGGTTCCACCAGAACTTTGGAAAACACTTTGAAGGCTACTTTCGTTGCCATCGGTAACACCTACGGTTTCTTGACTCCTAACTTGTGGGCCGAGCAGCCATTGCCAGTTTCTCCTTTGGACATCTACGCTGACGAAGCTGCTGTCCAAAAGAAGAGATTCTAAGTTATTTAGTCTGTAATAAAAAGAAGATCTACTTTAGCTCAAGAAAAATAGTTTCGGAACTGTTGGTATAGCATGATTTTGAAATGCCGGTTTCCAGCGTCGCGCGCCTTGTAATGCTAGTTTGCGATGCTAGTTTCCTCTAAAGCCTTCAAGGCACTCCGATGTAACCGGAACCCTACTCAAGCGCAGACCATAGACTATTGAAATTGCGCTCCATTTTTCAATCTAACACTTTAACTTCCAGTCAATGATGTCAGTTCAAGACTGTGAGTCCAACTCAACGATTGTCGCTATTTTAATACGCTGACTGTCTCAAAGGCAATCCTTTGTCTCGCCAATTTCGATCCCACACACACTTCCCTCAAATGCTATCAATGTAACGCATCTTTCATAGTCAGTATGAAATATCGAGTCAAAACCTTTTGAACCGAAACTTCGTATAACTATATAAAATGGCGTTCACATAGGATGTTAATTGAATTGTAAGCATTTCCTGGTATTGCAAAAGCAAAGCGCATAACTGCACCTCACATCAGCTCAACACTGGCCGGCTTTTGACCAGCTTGCTTGTCTTTTTTTTGCCTTTTTTTTTTGGTTATTGTAGATATTAGATAGAATAAATTGTAAGTCTTGACCAACTCCAACTATCCCATGATGGCATCGTTTTCCTGAGATGGCATCGACTCAGTAACTTGATTGTCCGGTACCGCAAAAGGACGCTCATTAGATGATGAGTTTCCTCCTTGCAGTTCGGGATTCACCCAGGTGTTTTGAGAGTTGGAAGTTTGCGAAGGTTTTTGAGGTACTTCTCTTCCTTCAGGATGCTTGTACAAACAATAGATGTTTCGACAGCCGACTCCGAATTTACAGTCTTCATTAATTGGATGACCGAACAAGCAATCGATTCTGGTACAGTTTGCACCCTCACGACACATAATATGAGAACGGGCATGTCTGAACTTGCATCTTTTGTTCGTGCAGTTGGAACCAAACTTACACTGTTCGAGCGATTTCTCAACCGGAGGTCTCTGTGGTTTGCGCGATACGACCGGTGCGACATCTTTTATTTTCGAGGATGAGCTGTGAGCTTTATTGCAGCCAGGATCTTGACAGTTCAAGTTCTCTGGACACCACGCGAATGTTATCACCTTCGCAACATCATTGGCCGGTGTAGGGTGACCAAATGGACACTGTGGGTTGGTGCACAGTAATCCGAATTTACACAGAACGATACCAGTACGTTCGTTGTTGTTTTTAGCAGCGGCAAAAGCAGCTCTTTTTTCGCGGAATTCCTCGCGAGTCCTCTCGATTTCTTTCATGAGCTCCACGTCCTCGTTAGGATGTAGATAGTTGCAAGTTCCCGGAGGATTAGAACAGTTAGGATAGTCTCTGCATGCCTGCGTTGGGTGTGAATGCGGACAGTTCTTACCCAGCGGACAACGAGGAAAGACTTGGCACCGTCCCTGTTTCTTGTTCACAATATTCACATTTGAGTTGTCAAGACCGAGAGCCATTGCCAGGGCGTTGCTGTTGGCGTTATTGCGTCTCGTATTTCCTGCTTTATTCGTACCACCGCCTCTCTCCGAGCGTTCTTGACGGCCACCGCGTGCTCCAGATTTGGTAACACCACCGCGACTTTGAGAGTTAGTTCCAGAGTATGCAGACCGTTTTGGCCCTGCTGAAATGTTGACCAGACCTTCAAACGCTGATTTTGGTTGCGAAGGAGCCGTATTGGTGGAAGCGTAAATAGAACTTTCCGTTCCGGATCCAAACTGATTAGAAACGTCTGATGTCTGTTGTGGCTGCTGTTGCTGAACTTGGGGCGGTTGCTGTTGTAATTGCTGTTGTGCTTCTTCTTGTAGCGGAGGTGTTTTCTGTTGCGTTTGTGAAGCGTGCTGGCCCGTTAGCTTATTTACTGTCGTCTCCAGGGAGTCTCCGTTCTGCAAGTACTCCATGGCTTTGTATGCATTTTGTGCAACCGATTGGAAAGCCTGTGCGGAGACAGTGTCAAACAGAGACGCGAGCTCTTGAACCACAGATTCCACATTTCCTCCGTTGGACATCAAAAGTACAATATATTCTGCCACATAGTTGACATCTTCATTGAAATTAGGTAGAGTTTTCAAATTTTCGGCGATAATCACCTTCAAATTGTTCACTACTTCTTCCTGGACTGCTGACATGTTGAAATAGTGGATAAACCAGTTATTCTTGTCCTTGTTCTTGAATTACAAAAGTGGTATCGAGTTCGGATGGTTTGAATTATACATGTCAAATTTGTCATATTTGCTGAAAATCAACGTATCGCTCTGTACGAGCTGCTCTGCGATCTCAACTCTCATGAATGACTGAGAATATGACAGAAGTTGAAGATTAAGCATGGGATAGCGGCGACGATTGGCTGGTTATGCTGTGGTCTTTGATTTCACGTTTAAACTCTTGAGCGAGTTATTTTCCTCAATTTTTTTCACCGTCAGATCAATCGCTCTTCTCTCTCTGTTGAATGCTCAGATTTGTGCTTGAAACTTAATTTACATCTATGTATCCTATGATTACGCAAAAAATAATCAATCCCTGTGCTTGCTCTTCTTGCTCTTCTTCTTCTTATCGCTGTTCATGTCCTTCACAAGCTCAACTTTTTGCTTAATGCGTTCCAGCGAAAGTTTGACATCTCCTTTTCTGAAATTATCCAAGTCGTAGTACGCAGGAGCCAGCTCTATTAGCCACTCAGGCCTCACAGACGTGACAGTCCTGATATAGTTTTTCGACGTGAGCACAAACTCGTTGTAGACAACCCACTCGGCATCGTGGCCAAGCACAGCGCTCGGGTGGATCAGAACGTCCTGATCGTCCTTTACTGTGATATAGCCCTTTCCACCAGATCTCTTCTTGGCTACCTGCATGAAGAAGCCTGCAGCTAGTGCTTTTCTGATGTTGTCGAAATAACGAGGATCCTCGTAGTCTGTGGTAGTGAGTGGCAGATTGTAGCGAAGCATCATTCTCTCTAGCTGTGCCCTAATGTTGTCCGCTGACGACAAAGCTCTGTAGTTCAAAAAGTTATCGCGGCACCATTTGTTGATTCCGTACTCGTAAGCCTCGTCGGACTTGAAAGCATGGTAAACGTTCAGCAACGTGATGTGGTCGCCATCGGGATGCGCGAAAATAGCCTTTGCATCGTCCGCTCTCTTCCTGTCCTTAGCAGGGCGCACAAAGACGCTTGGCACAGACAACATTGCAACAATAGTCAACATCTCTTCAGCACAGTGGAACTCAGAAGAACCTATGAGCATCACTGCCAACATAGGATCCAGTGGGAAATTTGAAGCCAGACGGCCCAGTGGTGTCAGATTACCTTCGTCATCCAAACACGCTAAATAATTTAGCTCTTCCAAGGCGCGCATCATGGTCTCTGGTGCAGGTGGATCCATGAAGTCGAAATGAACCAAATCGTTGATATCAAGTTTTTTCAATTCCAAAACAGTAGAAGACAAGTTGGAACGTAAAATTTCGGGATAGCTCTGTTCAATCAATTCTCTCTGAAAGGCTTCTTCCGTGTAAAGTCTGAAACACTTACCTGGTCTTGTACGACCAGCACGACCGGCTCTTTGCTGGGCAGAAGCCTTTGAAATGGGCGACACGAGCAACGATTCAACTCTGATTCTTGGATTGTAAACCTTTTGCTTCGAAAAACCTGGATCGACGACATATACTATACCGTCAATTGTCAGAGACGTTTCGGCAATGTTGGTTGAAACAACAACTTTTCTTCCAGCACGTCCATTAACAGCTTCTGGAGCTGGCTCAAAGATACGTTGTTGATGGTGAGGGGGCAAAGACCCGTATAACGGGTAGACACTAATGGGCCCACAGTTCTGCTCTCTCATCAGTTGATCACCTTCAAGAGAGATTTTCCGCACCGCATCTTCAACTTCTTCTTCACCTGTCAAAAACAACAGAATATCACCGGGTTCTTCTGTGGCATGGATCTGAAGAACCGTACGAATGGCCGAATCCACGTAATCCCTTTGGAACTCTGGTGTATAGTATAGTTCCACAGGGAATGTTCTACCTGGCACTGCCAGCAAGGGTGCGTCCATGAAATATTTCTGAAATTTGGCAGCGTCCAAGGTCGCAGACATGATAATGAGCTTCAGATCTGGCCTCCGCACCACCACTTGCTTCAACAGACCCATAAGGATATCAGTAGCCAAGGTTCTCTCGTGCGCTTCGTCGAGAATAATGCATGAATAGCGGCTTAGGTTATGGTCCTCCATAGCCTCTCTTAGCAACATACCATCGGTCATGTACTTCAGAATAGTTTTATTAGAGGTCTTGTTCTCGAAACGAATCGCATAACCCACCTCTTCGCCCAATTTCACGTCCATTTCTTCGCTAACTCTCTGGGCCACAGACATCGCTGCCACACGACGAGGTTGAGTACACGCCACCTGGCTGTTCTCTAGATGTGGCATTTCATCAAACAGCACGAACTGTGGGATCTGGGTCGTCTTACCGGAACCGGTTTCACCTACGAAAACCATGATCTGGTTTTCCTGGTAAATTTTGAGAAACTCGTCTCTTTGAGCGTGAACAGGCAAATCCCTTCTTATCTTCAAGATGTCGAAATAGCGAGGTGAGAATGCAGACCCGGTAAAAGGATTGACCGTGCCGCTTTCTAGCTTTTTTGCTTGTTCGGCAGTGGTTTTGTGCCTTTGGAGTTGAGCAAACTCGCCTGCATCATGATGCGTTAACGGTTGGTCATGGAATTCGTCTCCTTTCTTGGTCAGTTCCTCGGCGATTTCTGCCGCGTGTTCGGGCACCGAGCTTTCCACAGCAGATTTATGTTCACTGTTACTCGAAAGCCGTCTTTTAGAAGTCATTTGGGCGTCTACTGGCAAAGAATCTGCTGGTACTTTTAAGTTGTAGCATTCCAGCTCATCGCGCGATGAGCTCTAAAATTTTATGCTAGAATTCGATGTCACAGTACACGTTTTCCAATGACAGCGTCAGTGATGATCGAAGTGATGGGCATTTCTGAAGGTTGAACATTCATGCTTCTTAGTGTTCAAGCGCATCAGAGCAAAGCACAAGTTGATCTTAGTTTTAAGCGGGGAATTTTTGACCATGCTGGTACCTTGATCCAATATTCATTGCAAAATTGAAGCTTAAAAAAAGAGATCCATTGTGGTGGTCCTAACAATCAATTATATACTGAATAATCTGGCGCTTCAAGAGATCTAAACTTCATATTGGAAGCTTTATCTAGAACAACTTGCTATCTCTTTGACAGTTTGTTGAGGTAAATGTTCATTTGACGTATTATTCTATAGCAGTGACAGTAATTTATTGATATGAACTATAACATGAATAAACTAGATAATCGACAAAACAAAAGCGTTGCAGCCATAAATCATTTATTCGCTACTCAGAATATTATCTGGCTATGGAAACAAACGTTTGGCCTGAATTAGAGCTTGCCTCGTCCTATTCTCTGAGAACTACAATAGTTTGACACAATTATTCGAAATTTACCGAAAAATCCTCAGGAGATGGAACAAAAAGCTCTGAAAACCATCATTGACACAACAAGTGCTTGACGATTGTTACCAAGCTTGAAAAAGTCTTCATTGGCTAAGCTTTATCCAGGATTCGTGTCATCTTTGTTCATATCTCGTGTATCGTGACTAGATGTTAAAATACTATTAAGATATCTATGGTTAGGCAGACATATTCTCGACTTATACCTTTGAACTAAAGTTGTGGAGCCAGAATCGTTCCAGTTCAAGCTCTCGGTTTCCCTTTCGAGTGTTCCGCCATTTTCACCGACTACTCAAGTGCCAATGAGCAATCGACAATCCTTGTACCATGCTTATTGTCTGTTAACATCTGCTAAAGACGTCGTAAAGGGAAGTGCATCCATTGGATGTGCATCACTGACATCTTGGGCTGAAAGCTCTACTTTGACAAGACCTATCTTGACTAAGAGCCGTCTATTCTATGACCCTGAATGGGAAAAAGCACGATTACTTTCCGACTCAATAAGGTCCCAGCCCAAGAACAGAAGCAAATCTAGCAAGAAAACCAACGTAAGGCACTATTCAACGTATAGAAGCGTAAGACTGAACTCTACAGATGCGAAAAAAGTGGACCTTCCCAAGAGGGCAGAAAAAGAGGTAAGTTGATTAATGTGCCAACCAAAACTAGAACAGTTGTACTGTCATGTTGATACGATACTAATAATAAATTACATATGAAGCAAAAAGATGCTCTTCAAAGCTCTGAGATTCCATCCTCAAGAATCTCCCGTCTTTTCCATTACGGCTCCCTTGCGGCCGGGGTTGGACTTTCTGCGGCAACAGACGGGTTCTCGCAGGCCGTACGCGGTCAATCGCTTGATTTCAAGTCACTGATTCTCTCGGATGCCAACATAGACCGCATCACTCAAAAATTCTCCAAAATGCGTGGAGCTGCGTTGAAGATAGGACAAATGATGTCTTTTCAAGATGAGCGAGTTCTGCCCAAGGAGCTGTACATTATTCTGTCTCGCGTTCAAAACGGAGCCCATTACATGCCTCAAAGACAGCTTGATAGACTCATGAATCGCGAACTTGGTTTGTCCTGGAGAGATAAATTTGCCAAATTCGACCCAATACCCATAGCCGCTGCGTCCATTGGCCAGGTCCATGAAGCAGTTCTACCGTCAGGCCAAGAAGTTGTGGTTAAAATTCAATATCCGGGGGTAAAGGATTCCATCGATTCAGATCTCAATAACGTGCTAATGTTTCTGACTGCATCTCGTTTGCTTCCCAAGGGACTCTTTTTGGACAAGACGGTGGAGAACGCAAGGACTGAGTTGAAATGGGAATGCGATTACAAGAGAGAGGCGGCGGCTTTACAAAGATTTGAAACTTTGCTGCAAGGGGATCCAGTTCTCGTTACTCCCAAAGTTTTCGAAGAATTGACGACCGATAATATAATCACGATGACCAAAATGCAAGGCACTGAGATAATGAAACTTCCTGAAAATACGGCGCAGGAGACCAAAAATTTCATTTCAGAAGCGATCATGCGTTTATGTCTGCGTGAAATAGCGGAGTTCCAGTTTATGCAAACTGATCCTAACTGGGCCAATTTCCTCTACAACCAAGGTGATAACACATTAGAGCTCTTGGACTTCGGTGCGTCGCGGGAGTTCCCACATGAATTTATTCTTCAGTACCGGCGCATGCTGACAGCAGGCAGCTTGAAAGACCGCGCGAAAGTCGCTCAGCTTTCTCAACAACTGGGCTATTTAACGGGACTAGAGTCCAAAGCCATGGTCGACGCACACGTTGATTCCGTTCTCACTTTGGCCGAACCATTTGTGGGCCCCACCGATAAGTTATTCGATTTCTCCGAGCAAACCATCACGGATAGAATCAGGGCCAACATCAATTTGATGTTAAAGGAACGTCTGTGTCCACCGCCTGAGGAGACCTATTCTTTGCATAGAAAGTTCAGCGGAGTTTTTCTGTTGTGTGCAAGGATGAAAGCTCAGATCCCAATGGCCAAGCTCTTCCAGGAGCATTTTGCATTGTATGATTGATATAGCATATATTTTGGACGATTGAACATTGAGCTAGCTAGCCTCACCTCTCGTAGCGTATACCCAAGCGTGTGTCCAATACTGCAAACTTAATGTCAGATTAATAGACCTTAACAAAAAAAAACAAACACTAGAAAAAGACATGGTTTTGAACAACCGAGATAGTGCTAATAGCATTTCAAACAGCACAGTTTCTGGCCTACGAAACCAAAGCTCAACTCACAGCATCACTTAACAGTTCTTTTACATGCCCTCTGTTTAACAAAAATCTATTTTCTATTTTTTCGAAAAAAAATAAAATGAAACGGACAGGAATTGAACCTGCAACCCTTCGATTGCAATTTTCCGTATAAACCAGAATTTAACTGGAGTCGAAAGCTCTACCATTGAGCCACCGCTTCATTCTTGAAGAAAGTACAAAACTTTACAATATATATAGGAATAAACACAACACATGACATTTCTTAGCTTGACCTTTTGAATCACATATATTACCATATAAAAGAGAACTCAAGGCTAAGTCAAAAGCTTAAAAGCTTGAGGTTTTATCACACCGGTTCCATTTTCATTCGATGGTCGGACTTTTCAACGGACAACTCCGATGACTCATGTCTCGTGATTATATTTAACATTTACTTTTCAGGACCTGACTCATTTTATCAGATGTCAATTTTTTTCCTTGCATATAAACCCAGATTATAGAACTGAACTCGATGACAGTGACAAGGCTCGACTGAAAAGACGATAAATTCAACGGGATACCTTAGTGTTCTTAACTAGCTATTCACTGATCAAATGGTAACTGGCGATTCGAGGCTTACACCAAAAGTTTTGGAACTGGTTTCCGATGTGGTGAGAGATATCACAACTTCGTTGACAGAGCCGTTGACTGAACTCGTGGATATGTTGACGGAGTCACTGATGTATCCAAGAGGGAGCAGAAAATCATTGATGAACATCCTGTGCAGGACGGATGAAGAGATCAAAAACTTTGAGAGTGCTGATTTTGTAAGTCAGGATTTGGGATCTGTATGTCTGCTGGATGCGGTGCACACGGCAAAGCTTATAGGAAAACTGAACGGATTGAGCAAGGGCCGTGAATATCCTAGCACGCAGTCTGCCATGCTGGAAGAACTGCACGGTGCGCTTGTGAACCTGCTGAAACAGCTGAGCGGTCAGATCGAGATCAACTCCCACCTCTGTTTTTACAAGGATTTGCTGCGGGAAAACGTGGTGCATTTCCGTCACGCGTTCGACGCATTGCAGAATCTAGACAGTCTCAGCTCGGCACTCATGAAAACGGCCGCGGACTTGAGACTTTCGGAGTCTGCAGCAGTCTTGAAATTCGACGCTAAGACTGCAGAATCCATGCGTTCGTTCACAGTGACCAATGCGAAATGGCACGATCAACTGCTACTAGGGTCTCAAGCGCTAAAGGAGTACCTAGTTCTTCAAGACCACAATATCGACACACTGAGTTCGGACCCTCAAAACGATTTATACAAAGAAGCAGCGGTCGTTGTACGATCGCCGGTCTTCAGAAATTACGTTCAGGCGCGAAAAGCGAGGCTCAAAATCACACAACGAAGGGTATTCTAAATGGATAAAAGCTGTGTAAAACTACACGATTCTCGAGCATAAAAGACATTCTTCCTGTCTTACAAACTTTTGACGTCTTAAGATTATCGCGATGTCACTATGTACATATGTGCCGCGGCACGAAAACCGAAAACAATTAAATTGATTTTACTGACACTTGAAATGACATTATCATCAAAGATCTGATGAATGAGCAACAACAAAGAGAGAACATTGAAGCTATCAGGTTTCGTAACGTCTATTCAGTAGCGTTACTTCCCTTCTGTTATATGTAAACCCATTGCATTCTCGAGCTCCCGAAAAAAAACGAAACCAAGGCAGTTCAAATTCGCCAAGGTCAAGTTTCGAGGCCAGCAAACGTGATGGGAAAGAACCCCAGGTTCAAGCCGTCTACTGAATGCCAAAAAACACCGAAAACTATCTAAAGCACCAACCACGATGTCAGATAGAGTTGTCTGGCCCAGATTCACGCTTTTTTTCCAGTTTTTTTTCCCGCTTTCACGCTTTCTCAGTAACCAAACACAGTTTTTTCAAAAGAAAAGAAAGAGATGCGCATCGCGCATGTGCTCGAGGACAGACAAGTCATTTCGAGATAAAGCTGTATAAAATCAAGCACATCTGTCCAGTCCAGTTCAGTTTTGAACGTTTTTTGAACGTTGAAATAGCTTTTCAGTGAGTGTTTGTGAAATTTCTTGCAACGTCCAACTGTACAGGCATCTTACACATACGCTGGTCATAGACAATGAGCGAGCAGGGCAAAGTTTCTTCTCGCAGTAACGGCACTGCAACTGAAACCGTGGTTTCCAAACGTGCCATTGATACCAACGGCAACGTCTTCGAGGTTCCGGACTACACGATTAAAGACATTTTGTCGGCGATACCAAAGGAATGCTACAAGAGAGATTTGTGGTGGTCGCTGCACTACGTGGCTCGTGACATAGCCGCGATCGTGACTATCGGATACGTGGGTACAAACTACATCCCAGTATGGTTCCCAACCAGCACGCTGGCGCGTGCTGCTGCCTACATGGTGCAGTCGTACTTGATCGGACTTTTCGGGTTCGGACTCTGGATTCTGGCACACGAATGCGGCCACTCTGCGTTTTCAGACTCTAACGCGGTCAACGATACCGTGGGGTGGGTCCTACACTCGTGGTGGATGGTTCCTTACTTCTCATGGAAATTCTCGCATAGTAAGCATCATAAAGCGACAGGTCACATGACCCGCGATATGGTGTTCATTCCATACACACAGAAAGAGTTTTTGGAAACCAAGAACAAGTCGAAGATAAGCGAGGTTGTTGAAGAGACGCCCATTGCTACGCTTTTCAACCTATTGGCCCAACAACTTGGTGGATTGCAATTGTATTTGGCCACAAATGCTACCGGCCAATCGTACCCGGGCGTCCCCAAGTTTTTCAAGTCCCATTACTGGCCCACCTCTCCCGTTTTCGACGCCAAAGATTTCTGGTACATCATTCTCAGTGATATTGGCATTCTAGCCACTTTGACTGCAAACTATGTGTGGTACAGAACATACGGTGCTCACGTGGTGCTGATCAATTGGTTCCTGCCCTGGCTATGGGTCAACCACTGGCTGGTATTTGTCACATTTTTGCAACACACAGACCCTACAATGCCTCATTACGACGCTACCGAATGGACTTTTGCCAAGGGCGCTGCTGCCACCATTGACAGAAACTTTGGGTTTGTGGGCCAGCACATTTTCCACGATATCATCGAGACCCATGTTCTGCACCACTACTGCAGTCGTATTCCATTTTACAACGCCCGCAAGGCTACTACTGCTATCAAGGACGTGATGGGCAAGCACTACCGCTACGAGGGCGAAAACATGTGGAGATCGCTATGGAAGGTTGCCAGATCGTGCCAGTTCGTTGAGAACAACGAATCGAAAGACGGCGTTTACATGTTTAGAAACATCAACAACATTGGAACCCGTCCCGTCAGCGAGTGAGAAAACAAGAGCCAAAAGAGACTAGCAAGTCTCGCCCACCTTATTTAAGCAAAACGAACCGATACAATACGGTATGTACCATAACATATTCGAATATTCCAAGCGCTTGATGTAAAAGCTCACTCGTGCGATGACCCGTGTAGAATGACCAAATAGCCCTCCGCCGAATCGGGGAAAAGGTAAACATCAACACTTTTTTAACCGGTTCTCGAGCACGGTAAGCACAGAGGGTTCAGTTTTGGAAACTTTGCTAGTTCTGAAAGACAGACCTTTTTGACTTAAGAAAGTTTTTAAGGAAAGACTCTCATCCTCAAATCTGTTCTTGTTTTCTTATTTTTGAGTTCTTAGTTGGAAAGCAAGCACAGCAAGCAAAGCTCAAAAAAGTCGAAAACATCAAACCCAACTGCAGCTTAGGATCGGTCAAAATTTATGACTAGCTTATGCCAGACAATCGCACAAATAGACTCAATTTCACCGATAATGCTAGCAAATCCGTGCTTTCGTTGACTTCGCCGGCGAAGTTGAATGTGGTATCTTCAGACTGGTCGAAGATGACGGCGAAAAAGCCTGCGGGCAAAGTGACGAAGAGACAGACTTCGAGCAGCTCGGCCACACTGTCGAATGTGACGAACATCATGCCGAGCTCGAAAAGTGGGTCTCAAAGACCCACGTTGCAGTACGTCCCACCACTTCTCAAACGATCATCTTCTTTGTTCAAAGACGATCTGGAGTCCAGCGATAATCGCAAATCCATCAAATCTCAGGATTCAGACGAAAGTTGTTTTACCACAGATCGCTTCATCCCTCTTCGCAAAGAGAATTCGTTTTCACATTCCAAAATCGATCCGCTGGATCTGGACGAAGAAATTCCACCACCCAATGCATCGCCTTCGACACATTTAAAGGCTCAAACCAAGCGGGTGTTCAAGCAAAACGTCGCAGAAGCTTGCGGACTGGACATGAATCAACGAATCCTGCAATACATGCCCCGACCTCCTGCATCATCAAGCTGCAAGCAAACGTATTCGATCGGCAATCGATCTCATTATTCATATTCGTCATTGCACGGGCCAGGACCCGGCCCGGAGCTTGCCAAACTCAGAAAGATCAATTCCAATCCCGAAAGAATCCTCGATGCACCAGGGTTTCAAGACGATTTTTATCTCAATCTGGTGAGCTGGTCAAATAAGAACGTTCTAGCGATTGCGCTTGATTCAGCATTGTATCTGTGGAATGGTGCAACTGGAAGCGTCACATTGTTGGTGGATTTCGAACAACCGAACGCTATAAGCAGTGTTACATGGTCCGATGACGATTGCCATATCTCGATCGGCAGGTCTGGTGGAGACACAGAGATTTGGGACGTTGAAACAATGTCGCATGTCAGGACCATGAGATCTGAATTAGGCGTTCGCATAGGGTCTCAGTCATGGTTAGAGACATTGATCGCAACTGGAGCCAAAAGTGGTGAAATTCACATCAACGACGTGCGAATCAAAAACCACATCGTATCTAGCTGGGAAGAACATCGAGGTGAAGTTTGCGGCATAAGTTACCGTCCTGATGGGTTACAATTGGCTTCAGGTAGCAACGACAATACCGTTGTTATTTGGGACACCAGAACATCTTTACCACAGCATATTAAAAGACAGCATACCGCCGCCGTCAAAGCCATGGCCTGGAGCCCTGACACCACAAACCTTTTGGCAACTGGTGGCGGTCAAACAGACAAACATATTCATTTCTGGAACACCACAACAGGTGCCAGAACTGGCAGCATCAACACCGGATCTCAGGTGAGTTCTTTACACTGGGGTCAGAGTTACAGTTCAAGTACAATGCAACGAGAAATAGTCGCCACAGGTGGTAATCCAGAAAACGCTGTATCCATTTACAATTTCGACACCAAATTTAAAGTCGCCGAGATTGTCAATGCGCATGAGGCAAGGATTTGCTCTAGCCAGTTGTCTCCAGATGGCACGGTTTTGGCGACGGTTGGTGGTGACGAGAATCTTAAGTTTTACAAGGTATTTGAACCCAGAAGGAAAAGACCTCAAGGAGTTTGCGACGGTGAGAGTCTTATGGGCTTGCTCAACGTAGGAGATACCTGTGACGATGACGCTTCACGGTCACCAACTCGAAGAAACACTTCAGATTTTGTCATAAGGTGATGATTCCGCTGGAGATGGTAGTCGGGAACAATGCATAAAATAACAAATAATTTAACAAACAAACAAGCACACCAACGGTATCAACAATTACATAGCGGCAAGCATACCTTAAAGTGAGTATAACAACGAAATGGGTGTAACGAATTCTATAATCAATGGATGAGCTCATCCAATCGACTTTAGAAGTAGGTTTTTTTTGAAAAAAAAAGGGGGGGACGAGAGAAGACCAAATGAGAAGCGTACGCAGTGCGGAATATAACCGTGCAATGACTGCAACACCTCTGAGCGGCTCAACGTCGAAAAAACCTTTAAAACGGCATTTGCCACTTTTCCCACACAGACGGGCCTAGAAACCATCCAATGCAAGGAGCCGGGAAAACGAGCAAGCTCGCCATATTACAGCGTCGAAACACGACCGGCAACACATCAGGACAGAAAGACCAATCGGCTCCCACCACCCGAAGGCAATGGGGCGCAGTATAGTGGCACACACCTGGGTAAATCCAACGTCAAACATTCGGCCAAAAGCGCAACAAATAGAGAAAGAAAAAACCCCCGAAAGAATCCGCCCTCTCCATTTGGACATCTTTCAGCCAAAAAACACCCTCTTCCCTCTAGTGCGGTTCCAAAAATAGGATTTGTAACATATTAAACATCCTCATTGAGGACATTCCAGTTGTTACACTGAAAAGAACAGATACTACACTTGATCTAAGCCAAAAGGCAAAGAGATTTGGTTTTTAAAAACAAGAAAATGCGAGTGGTAAGAAGAAGGAAGAGTTAAGTTTTTCATTGTCTGTTTTTATACCTTTCAAGAATAGATGTTACCCGACTTTAGTACAAAGTGACCTAAATTCCAGAAATCAAAAACACTGGAAAAATGGCTTAAACCAAATGAAATCAATTCCAATGATATGGTTCCGAACTTGTGGCAGTTTGCTTAAGTAGCTTCTTTGGCTGTTCGCGTCTCTTGTTTCGAAACTTTCAATAATATTTAGTATATTAAGTTTTTTCCGTAAAGCACGTGACCTTTAACCAGTCGCACTTTTCTTTAGACCACCACCTATAAGAAATATATCATATATAGTACTCCTGTCTCCTTTAACACAAGGTAAAATGTCTAGTGACCAAAGCCTAAAGACGAACAAACAGGCTTAAACAATAGCTACAGAAGCTCCAAACCAGCTGCATCATATAGAGCTTGAAAAAAGCTTTCCAACGATATGCCGGAATCCATACCTGTCGAGCAGCAACTCGCAGTACAATCGATAAGAAGATTTCTGAAATCGAAGACCTCCTACGATGTTCTACCGGTATCATACCGATTGATCGTGATGGACACATCTCTACTGGTGAAGAAATCGCTGAATATCCTTCTGCAGAATAACATCGTGTCTGCGCCGCTTTGGGACTCACACACGTCGAAATTCGCCGGTCTGCTGACGTCGTCGGACTTCATCAACGTCATCCAGTACTATTTTTCAAACCCAGATAAGTTTGAGCTCGTGGATAAGCTGCAACTGGACGGGCTCAAGGATATAGAACGTGCGATTGGCGTCAGACCGCTCGACACTGGTTCGATTCACCCTTTCAAACCGTTGTATGACGCATGTTGCAAAATGATCGAATCGCGCAGCCGTAGAATACCGCTTATTGATCAGGACGAGGAAACGCACCGCGAGATCGTTGTGAGCGTGCTAACACAGTATCGGATTCTCAAATTCGTGGCGCTCAATTGTCGCGAAACCCGTCATTTGAGAAGACCTATCGGAGAATTGAACATCATAAGCAGAAGCGAATTATTGAGCTGCAACATGCATACGCCGGTCATTGACGTCATCCAGCTGCTGACGCAAGGCGGCGTATCCAGCATTCCGATTCTGGACGACCAGCGGCGGCTGGTGAACGTGTACGAGGCGGTAGACGTGCTGGGACTGATCAAAGGCGGGATGTACAACGATTTGTCGCTCAGCGTGGGCGAGGCACTCATGAGACGGTCCGACGACTTTGAGGGCGTGTATACGTGCACCAAACACGACAAGCTATTCACGATCATGGACACAATCCGCAAATCTCGGGTGCATCGCTTTTTCGTGGTCGACGACCAGGGTCTGTTGACGGGTGTTTTAACGCTGAGCGACATTCTGAAGTATATTCTGTTTGAGGAGAACTAGAGCTCGTCGCACACCCAACGCTAAGATGCTCAACAGATCTTATTGTCCTACATTTGGCAAAAAATCGACTTCTACCACCCGCTTGCATCATTGCCACACCACAATGTCACCTCTTCCACAAATCTCCCAGAAACACAAATTGTAATTCTCCGCTGTGCGGTGTAAACCTACAATCCTGAGGCCAGTTCCTCCAAACCCACAACTTTACTTAGTCAAAACCTACTTAATTTTTCAGCATAGGTGATTGATTGATCATAAGAATACTTAAATGCTTGTTTCTGGTATCAAAAGATCGCCAAAATTCTACATTTTAAACTTTCCCAAGTGATTCTTCAGATGGGCTAGTTCAAACACACATTAATGGGCTACGTTATCTGCTTTTGACTCACATTTCTTAAGTTTCTCGGAATTTTTCACCTTTATTAGTAATTGTTAAGGCTTTTGATATATATTCAGCATTGTTCTTGAAAGTTCATGATATCTTCAAAGGACTTTGTCGTCGATAAAGGATCTTTAAAACCTTTGCTGAACTTCAAAATCAACCGGTCGACCATCTAGCGAAGTGAGCTTTACTTTATTTACACCCGGGGGAGCTTGAACCACCCATTCACCAGGAAAATGAGCAGTGTTCCCTTTGAAAGTAAAGCGTTAGTACATCAAACTTCAGTGAGGGCTACAACGGCAGGGTTGATCATAGGATCGCTGGTTCTGATTTCTAACTTCCAGTTTGGGCTACAAACCGGATGGGTATCAATGATGTCGTTGCCCTCAGCGTTGCTGGCATGCGCTATCTTTAAACAGGTCCTACCAAAACTTTTCGCTGACATGGCACCTTTCACAGACGTGGAAAACGTGTACATCCAGTCCCTAGCCGTTGCAGTCGGTACGGGACCGCTTGCATACGGATTTGTGGGTGTCATACCTGCAATTGAGAACTTTTTGACCACCGAAGAATCAGGGTTCACTAGAGAACAAGGCGCGCCCTTCACGTTCCAACAGCTATTGCTGTGGTCTCTAGCACTAGCATTTTTCGGCATTTTCTTCGCCATCCCGCTTCGCAAACAGGTTATTGTGCGGGAAAAATTGCGTTTTCCCAGTGGCAGTGCGACCGCCACTCTGATCGCCATTCTGAACAACTCCGAGATTTTGCAAGAAATCTCACCGTTAGAACTACAAGAACTGCGGGAAAGAAGACTACGCGAGTATAGTGATGTTCTGTCAAGTGATGAGTACCGTTTGTTGGGGCAGGACGACCAGCCAAACTTGGGAATAGAAGAAGAAGGAACGTCTCCTAGCGAATCAGAAGATTTCAACAGAGGAAGTCACTATGGGGCTACCCCGGATATCCCACCGACCGTTAACGACTCCAAGTCAACGTATGAGAAAAACATTGCAATTCTAGTCAAAACGTTTGCCGTTTCCTCCCTATATACCATCCTTTCCTACTTCCTGCCAGCGATAAAAGCTATTCCCATATTTGGGAATCGACTCTCGAAAAGCTATTTGTGGAATTTACAGCCGTCTCCTGCATATATTGGTCAAGGTATTATCATGGGAATGTCAACTGTCGTCTATATGCTTTTGGGCTGTATCTTAGGCTGGGGCGTGCTTGCACCTCTCGCTCGCTACAAAGGATGGGTTGACCCAGATGCAGACATAAACGATTGGGAAAAAGGTGTGCAGGGCTGGATTCTGTGGTCATCTTTAGCCGTGATGGTGGTCGACTCAGTTGTTGGGTTCATTGTCTTCACTACAAAGTCAATACTTAGATTCTGCCTTCGTGACGACAAACGGATAGCCCTGGAGTCTATGATTGATGACTCTTTACAATCTATGCTTTTGGAAGAAGAGAGAATAATAAACAGAGAAAGCTCTGGCGCGGGTCGCCGCCGCAGCACCGTCAAGCTGGTCAGCTCGGACCAAGACCACGAAGTAGACTCAAGGCAGTTAGTGAAACTGACCACAGTTATCAGCGGCCTTGTTGTGTCCTCGATAATATGTGTTGTATGCATGACCTATCTTTTTGGAACCCACATCGTCCCACTGTCATCTGTGTTTATTGCGCTGATATTAGCCCTCTTCTTGTCAGTGCTTGCGGTGAGAGCACTAGGCGAAACTGATTTGAACCCCGTTAGCGGCATAGGGAAACTGTCTCAGTTAGTGTTTGCTATCATCACACCTCGTTCGATGAAAGGGGGGGTTCTTTTAAACCTAGTTGCTGGTGGAATTGCCGAGGCAGGCGCTCAGCAGGCCGGAGATTTGATGCAGGACTTGAAAACCGGCCACTTACTGGGCGCTTCTCCAAGGGCCCAATTCTTTGCTCAGCTTATTGGGGCGTCATGGTCTGTCGTACTTTCCAGCGTAATCTACATCCTTTACAATCGCGTTTACGAGATACCCAGCGCACAATTTAGAGTCCCAACAGCAGTGATATGGATTGACTGTGCGCGACTAGTGACGGGCGAAGGCCTTCCGGATAAAGCTCTTGAATGCACAATTGTTTTGGGGATCATTTTCGGCATTTTGTCGCTGATAAAAAACCTGTATCGCGACAACGGGTACAAATGGCTGATTTGGATACCGTCCGGCGTTGCAGTGGGGGTTGGAATTTACAACGCACCAAGCTTCACCCTCGCAAGGTTCATTGGAGGATGCTTTGCACACGTTTGGCTCCGGACTCATCGTGGAGACACGTCTGCCAAAACGTCGATGATCGTGTTTAGCTCTGGTCTCGTACTGGGAGAAGGTATCTGCAGCATTTTCAATATGATTTTTGCAGGATACCATGTGCCACACTTATAGATGAGGACCATTAGACTTCGTACAAATAGAACAATACTCATTTTCTTGTTTTTAGGTACCGGATAGTCGCTGTTGCAGCTCTGTCTTACGCATCTGCCGATATTTGGCGTCTTTGAACGTTTCCACACGATTCAGGAAATCTTGCTTTTCCAAGTAACCGTCTTTGTTGTGCAGAAAAAGCTCTTCGTTGATTCCCTCTTTGTCAACGTATGTAGCCCAGTCCAGCTTCGATTTTTCCAAAGTCGTGAGTTTTGGTTTTAGAGCTCCTGCTATTATCTGTTCCAGTATGGGTGGTCTCTTGAGCACTTTTCTCAGTTTCAAGCCCCGGTCGTTCATTGCAACTTTAGCCGTTGCAGTGGGTCCATTAGGGTTTTTCTTGAACCGCTGGTTATTCAGATACTCTTGAGCTTCTGCGCTACTCTTGGGAACCATTTTCTTTTCATGCAGAATTTCGCCAGCGAACTCGTATCTGCGGTCTATGAGTACTAGTTCCTCCTGAAGACCATTTTGGGGCTCATTGGCCGAATCCTCGCCCATGACAGAAATGCTTTTGCGAAGCCTTTCGTTACTAAGCTTTTGAAGCTCATCCCATGCACTGACTGTCTGCTGTGAAATACCCGTTTCTCGCAGTTGTTCATATTTGTTTTCCAGCAGCTGTTGTTCCTCCAGTATTCTGCCATGTCTTGTACGTATCAGTCCACCCTGTCCGCTTTCAATATTCGAGTAATCCGGTCCCTTTTCGTTGTAATCGTTGTCTTCTTCGTCTTCATCGTCCTCCTCATCGACTTGCTTTTCCACCTCTTTTGATGGATCAAAATCCTCGTCTTCTTCCTCATTGTATGAATCTTCGCCCGCTGAATCCTCTGCCACCACGTTTGTCGCTTCCAGGTCTTGTTTGGAGCTCATGATGTGCTAGTTTCCACCGTTTTGTTTGGTTCTGATGGTCTAGTTGACTGTTTAAATAGTTAAATGGTCAGTTTCTGAAATATATGGTGAACTGTTTGTTATTTTACCAGAACACACCAAGAAACCTTAGTCTTTCGAGCACTACAGCACACAAGGCTTGGGCGTATAGATACCAAGGTTGTTGGTTTGAGGGTGGTTGAATCAGTGGGTTTCGAACCGTGCCAGTTACAATGGTTGGTGCAAGCGAGAATTACGAAGATTTAGGGCAGTCGTCGAACTTACTGAAGCGTAAGAAAGAGGACTGTGCGGAGGAGTTTCTAGAGGCTGAAATCAAAAGGGTAGCGCTCAATGATGATGTTGATGACAAAAAAGATCAGGATGGAGAGTTTCCGGAGGAAAACGTTGAACGCAACGGTTCGGTGATGGATTTAAAGATAGATAACGATGGAATTAGACAAGGAGAACAGCAGTTAGATCCACAAGGTCGCTCTCACAGCAGCCAGCAAGATTCGAACATAGCACTCGAAAATGATCAAGAATCAGATATTAAAGATTACATTCATTTACGCATGCTTTGTTTGGTTAAACAGGCCTCGATGATAGTGGGTCCGGGCGGTGAGAAAATCTCCAAAATGAAGGCAGAGACCAACACGCGAATCAATGTGTCGGACAATATTCGTGGAGTGCCCGAACGAGTTATTTTCATTAGGGGTAGATGTGAAGACGTCGCCAAAGTATTTGGGCTCATAGTGCGGGCCGTCAACGGCGAAAAAGAAGGCGAATCCACTCAAGTCTCAACCCCGTTGACCTTGAATATTTTGGTGCCACATCATATGATGGGGTGTGTGATTGGACGCCAGGGTTCTCGTCTGCGAGAAATAGAGGATCTGAGCGCTGCAACCCTGATGGCAGGCCCCCAGACCCTGCCAATGTCGAACGATCGAATTCTTTGCATTACAGGCGTGGCGGACGCTATTCATATCGCCACCTACTACGTGGGCCAAACGATTTTGAACCACAAGTCCTCGTTTGCCTTGAAAAAATGCATTTTCTATCTACCAAGTGCACTGCACTCCGTGATTGTCAACAAGTATGGCGTCAGCATGCAGCAGCAGCATCAGCAACATCATCAGTATAGACCAATGGAAAACGGCAAAAAGCGATTCCACCGTATTGCGTCTGTTTCTAGCCCTCCTGAATTCCCGTATGGTTACAATCCAGTCACCCCACACTCTGCAAACTTCACTCCTGTGGTGAGCGTCGATCATGTTAGACTCTCGGATGCCGTGAGTGCTGCGCCAATTATGCCAGAGTTGACTCCACGACTAAGTTTGATTCAGCACGAAGTCTACATTGACAACAGCTACGTGGGAAACGTTATCGGCAAAGGAGGAAAAAACATCAATTCGATCAAAGAGAGCACAGGCTGCTCAATCATTATCGATGATCCCGTAAGTGGCTGTAGTGAGCGGAAAATACTAATTAGAGGGACACCGACGGGAAACCAAACTGCAATTCTATTGATAAACAACAAAATCGAAATCGACAAAAGGAACAAAGAATCAAAAGAGCACAGGGACTCGGTTGGCAATTCCGGCTTCTCAGGCTAGTCTATTGACATCACTTATAGCCTGTCGAACTCATCGGTTGCGAAAGGTAACTGTGAACGAAGGGACATCTATAAATTTCCAATATTGATGTGAAGAAGACTGCACATCGGTGCATCGAATGTGGAACTGTCCAACCACCAAAGGTCGCTCATTCCGATCCATCTGGCCTATGAATCTCTTTTTTTGATGGAGTCTGATGGAAACAATGAAGAAAGATCTTTGCCACAGGACTTTCAAACTGAAATAAAAGCGAATGCCTTGAATGGATTGACTTTCGTGGGATCAACTCTTGCCATCCCAGACTCCTTGGTGGACTACTCAAGTGCACCACAACTGATAGAAGAGTCAAAAATAGCTTCTGAACTGCACCCGGTGCTATCACGAGCCTCAAGATCCTCGAAGCACGTTTTTGAAATGGTCAATGGATGTAAAAACCAATGTTACGTTTTAGAAAACTACATCAACCAGCATTGGGTGCTATGGAAATTGAAAAAATCGCCTGCTTCTACATCTGGTGACCTTTCGGGTTCTGAAACTCGAGATACGAATACGAGTTCCTCTTCCATCAATTATGCCAATTGGTTAGAGTACAAAGTTCCCGATCTTTTGGCCTTGTGGGGTGAAGAACGTTGCTCACAGACTAGAGAAACTTCTGAGCTCATGGGTGAGGTAAGGATGAAACCTAGTAGGAGAGGCAAGACGATCAAGTATAGGTATCAGAAGGAGAAGAACTCCCTATCTGTTGATCCTAAAAATTATCTACAGAGGAAATACTACGAGGCTCTTTATTCTCTACGGGTTCCCCTGGCTTACTTCGTGAAGTCAAATTTGGTAAGGACAAGTCTCTTGAGCCGAGAATCAGGTCAAAAAGATGGCCTATCTTATCAAGTACATCTGGTTGAATTAGCCCTGGAACTTGAAGATTTTGACCGAAGACAAGATGAAGGCTTATTGCAAGTCGACTTAGGCTGCGAAATCGCAACCGAAATTCGCAGTAACAATTTGAGTAAATTGGGACATTTGATAATGTCGGGCATTCCAGATGTAATTTCCGATTTATCTATGATTTTCAAGGTACGTGAGATCAAATTGCAAATCATTCTCTTACTGGAATTGATCTTCCTCAATGATCTGGATTCCAAACTAGACAATTTCGAGCAAAAATACGAACGAAGGTTGAAGAAGCGAGTCAAGAAACTTGCTCCATCGGGATTGCCTTCTCGTCGACGGAAACAAAATAAGCTTTCAGTGCGTTCTGATGTCCAGCAACTTGACTTTTGCGAAAAGCTTGACGTTTATGTCGATAAGTTATGCATCGTGGAGGCTATGTTGTTAACCGACGTTTCTATTCAAAAAAACTCGCCTATGAAGAGTGGTGGAGCTGCTCTAAGCTCAAGTAGGGAACTGAAGAAGAATATGCTAGATCCAGAAAAAGAGGCGTCTGCTGCAGGTTTCATAACATACGTGCTTATACCACATTTTATGAAGAAGGCTCCTCATGCCGTCGCGTTTATATCACGGAAACTAAAAGGATCTCTTTATGAGTCCTTGCCTAAAAATGACAAACTTCAGGTTGACGATAGTGGCTCTAGACCCGAATCTAATGAGCTCGTTCGGGCTGTTGACTCACCTGAATTACAACATGATAATGAAGCTTCTTCCATTTCCTCCGCCCATGGCAATGAAAAGCCAAATGAGCCCTTAAGATTGTATCGGAGGGCGTCTTTGCCTCGTCGCTTACCATTTCCAAACCTCCGAAGCGACTCGCAATTGAGTGAGATTCTTGATATGGAGACGGGCAATAGCAAAAAGTACGCCTCTGCAACGCGCGGAAGTTCTGACGTCTTCATCAACAAGCTCCAGAAACGTCAGCTGCCAGCCAGCGATCTAGCACTAGAAAGGGAATCTAGCATCAGTCGAAGCAAATCAGACCTAACGCTTCTTGAAGAGACTTCGAAATTGAAAAGCAGCTCTTTGACAGCTACTTTTCAAAGAACGACAAGACGTAAAATTGAACCGCGTAAACTGGTAGCAGGCTCCAGTAAGGTCCCCAGCGTTCAAGTTGAAGCGACTCCTTTTGGAAAGAAGGCAGTAGACGACACCGCTCGCATGCGTAATCTCGCTATAATTGAGTCACCTTTGAATTCCATCTCAAAGGCATCTTTGGAGAACGTGCCAGTTTCAAGCAAAACATGCCCGACCGTCACCCCTTCGAAGTTTGTCAAAGAAACTCATTTGCAGGTACCATCGACAAATGTGAAGCTGACGGCTCCTGGGGTGGGCAGCAATACACCCCCACAGCTTCCTACGAAAAGAAAAGTACGCAGGCGCCTTTTCGCACCCGAGTAAACATAAGACAAAATACACAGTCTATCTAAGCTTCTGAAAACTTCATTTTACTCGATAATCGTTTTATAAACAGCCCATGTACGTATAGTCACTATCTACTCACCAAAGAAAATGGCGGCAACAAGTTCCTTGGCATCAGGACGTTGAACTATACGTGATGAGATTGTTGTCCCACAGCGCTTCTTCAATTTCTCTTTATCTTCTTCTGTTATCTCACCCTCGTACTGCTTGCCATTAGGAAGGTCGGCCTTCAACACGAGCAGCGAATTGATGATAACCTCGCACAAAAGATTGCTTTCAAGATCCGAAAATTTTCGAGTGACAGTTTCACCCTCTTTGCCACTGTCAGTGGCATGCTCCTCGAAGACGAGGCTAGCCCAACTTTGTAAATTTCCTAAAAAGAATCTCACTGATTCTGGTCCAAGAACGGTGACACCCTTTATACAACCGTAATAAGTTCCAAAAGACCGATTTGTATCGAGAAATGTTTTCAAAAGGGTTCTCATCACTCTCGGCTTCAAAGACTTGTATACTTGTGGAAACTTCTTCAATACGTGGTGAAGAAGGGAAGCGGCAAAATCACGCAAGGCGTTAGTCTTGTCAAGGAAATCTTCGAAAGATGAAATGCCGTCGGTTTTTGAGTCTTCAGTCTGCTCTTTTGTAGTTCTTGGAGGTTGAGAACCGCCCAATTTCTTTGCCAAAAGCAGTGTCAATATGGAAGGCATCAAAGAATGAATATAGGGGTCCAAAAAGACATGCTCATTGCTGAGAAGAGAATATATCATTTCGAGCATTGTTGTGAGAAGTCCTAAATCAGAAAGATTGTGGGTGATTTGTTCAGCAATAAACTGAATAAAGTAGGGAACTAGCTGATGAAGACCTGTATCTGATCGTAGCGACGTTAGGGCCGCGGCTCTTAGATGTTGTGCCTTGTCATCGTTTTCCTTTGTCGTAAGTGCGCTCACTACTTTGTCGAAATAGATCCTCAGCTCCTTCGACAGAACGTGTTTAACTAAAGGCTTGACTTCGTTGGCCTGGCCCGGCTTTATTGACGATATGTGCTGAGACTCTTTTTCTTCAGAAGCTGACGTTTGCAGACTTGTATCGTTGACTGTGGTGACAATAGCTCCACGCACGATAGGTGGCTGCGATAAACGAATGTCGTTGAGACTCGGGTTTTGGGGAATGGTAGGTTGTACTCCTTCTATGGCCAACCAGTGCGTGGTAAAAGTAGGCAGCCGCGGAACTTGAGGCAGCGGTTCATTGATGAGTTTGTCAAAATCTACCTCTTCATCGTTAAGGAAAAACAAAGACTGGCCACCTTGTGCTGAAATCTTCGAGAAAGACACATCTTTCGATCTTGCGGAGCCATCTTGATATCCGTACAAAGGCTCGACATTCAGCACCCTCAGAGCACGAGCAATATCTTCTGTTGTCAAAACCTCTCTTTTCGCATGTCTTTTGAACTTCACAGCCTGTTCCACTATTTCTAGAATGCGGTATTCCACGTCCATTGCCAGTGATCTCAACACATCATCGCTGGCATTAGAGATTCCTAGCGAGTCTGCAACATCTTTCACCGTGTCCTGCGGCGACCAAATAGTATAGGATTGTTGCGGATTACTCATGGTTTTGTGCCTGCGTCCAAGAACCGGTAGATAATGAGCTACAGGATGCCTTGAACTGCTTGTTTTGATGGTTTTGATGATGTTTGAATTGGTGATGTGACGATGAATATCAATAAATTAAGAGATCTTATCGTCAGTGATTACCATAAGTTTGAAAACTATAAAAGAAGAACGGTTTTCAACCTTTAGAGCCCGTCTTCTTGCTGATTGTTACAATTTGTTAGCTCTGTTCGTGATGTGCCAGATAGTGTGAGTTTTCTGGGCGCTTTTACCTCTTAAATAGCGCTCTTGAAGGTGGTTTTACGCAGTTGTCGAATTTCCTGTTCATCATAAAGAAAGCACCTTAAAAATGGTGTGCGACCAGATCAAAAGGGCTGAAAATGGGTGATTGAGATACTCAACACTTCACACAATCTGCGTGACACCCATTTCGGGCTAAAATGGTAGCTTTGAGCACTATTTTCAACATTAAAATGGAAATTGCATCGGAGAGGACTCTCTTTGAAAGCGGCTCGTAAGTCTCCTTTCCTATGTGCCAATACCACCAATTTGGGACAGTGGAACATTTCCATGAAAACCCGACGTGTTACTGGGAGGAAATGCTTTGTCACAACTGTGGAAACGAGATGGACACGATTCTGAAATTAGACTGCTGGAAAAAGGCTTCAAAAGATGGCTTTGAACAATGATAAAGCAAGAAATGTTTGCTAGAACTCTAATAGTAAGGTTTCCGCAGCGGAATGGCTCCCTATAGAGGTGAACCCGACGCTAACAATGGCTTCACGTGACCAACGTCAGTGACAGTAAGAGGAGTATGGAAGCGGAAGTGTGGAAGCGGGATTGATGGCCGCGACCGCTTGAAACTCTTGTGGTTATGCCTTGGTCAACTCTCAAAAAAATAATTTGAATTCAGGACGGGCAGATTGAACTTCCCAAAAACTGGCCTCAAATTTATACGGCAAACTGCTATAAATGGCGTGGTTTCTTATGTGTTCAATCAGGAGCGATGTCTTGAAGAAATTCGGCAAAATATCATACAGTTTGAGGGAACCATCTGGTGTGGTATGGTTATTATCAATCGTGATATCAATCCCTCAATAGACACGGTCAGATAAAAGATTGTGATTTCCTACACAATTTAGTACCAGACTTGACTTAATTAATCTAGTGGCGATAAAGAGACCATTCTTGGCTGCTCCAGAAGCCATAAGTATCGCCACGAACACGCATAAGATTGTATAATGATGGTTCTGTATGTGTAGCAGTATGTCTTCCTTCGTACACGTGATGAACATTAGCTCATCTTCAACTGTAATCGATTCATAAACCAAGCTCATCTCGTCAACAAAGTAACCTTTAAGTCAAAAAAGAAGGTCCGATTGACCTTCGTTACGTCTATCTCAATTGAGCTACCATATCAAGTATTGCCGATGGATCTCACGCCGCTGCAACGCAGCGTTTTAGACAAATATGAGACGCTTTCAAGGTCACTGCACAATCTCGATGACACGATCAAGAATCTAAGGGATAACGGGACTTCAGAGTCCCCAGAACAGGTTCTTCAGCAGCTCAGAGAAATAGAATACAAAATTGCACTTGTAGGAACACTTTTCAAAGGAAGTGTGTATTCCTTGGTTTTGCAAAGAAAGGCAGCGCAGGACGCTGCCGGGAAACCGGGAAATATGCAGTGATGAAAATAATGTATTCTGAATCTCTGTTCCTTACGTGCACCAATTTTCTCTGTTTTTACATTCAACTCTAAACTCTATAGACAACGATTTTCCCGTCAAGACCAGATGAAGATATTTCGGTGACGTTTCCACCACTTTCCGCGAAAGGTGCAAGTTCCGTAATGGCATTTTCGTGGGTGCTTTCCTTGACTTGAGTTGAAACTTTGCCCTTCAGATCAAGATCTTTGAACTTTCTCAATGCTGAGATACCGAATGTTGGATTTTCATCTTGGTCTTCGCCATTGAAGCTTGCAGCCACAGGCGTACGGGCATCGACGCTCTTGTCGATGTTTTTGGCAAATTGCCAGCCGTGTGCGCCCTCTGAAAACAGTACCGGATGACATGAAAAACCACCGCAAGCGGCTTCGTGATCATTAACCCATACAACAGAGGTCAATGGCAGACCCTCAGGGTATTCTGCACTGGAAATTTCGTCAGATGAGTTCACGACGTTTAAAGTACCGCTATGAGTCACAAACGCCAGCTTTTCCTGAGAGCCTCTCCAGGCAACACCGTGGATCCAAGCACCGTCGTACCATTCACGGATTAGAGCTCCAAAGGGGAACTTGTCTGCCCAAGGAGAGTTAGACACCTGCTCTTTGGAGTCCAGACCTTTAACGAACCCTGAAAATGCCCGAACGTAGCCGTCCGTACCTCCGCAGGCTAGCATGATTCCATTGGGATGCCACGACAAACAATTGATGGTCGATTTGATAGGTTTCTTGATGTGTTTAGAGACCCACCAATCGTTTTCCTGTTCGTAGTAGCAAATAGCGATGATCCTGGCGGAGGATCCCACGGCGAATTTATACCCACTTGGAGCCCACTTGACACACGTTGCTGCCCTGTTTATACGTAAGAGAACAAGTGTGGGCTTATAAGAGCCATCGCTCAAAGGTTCCCATACGATGGCATTGCGATCCTGAGAACAAGTAACGATACGTCCGTGGATCGAGATGTCGACCGAGGTGACCGTTTTGTCGTGGTCTGTCAGGGTAGCTACCAATTGTGGTTTCCCGTGAGCCACCAATCTAAAGACCAAACAGTCAGTGTTCAAGGTAATCGCTAGGATTGATCTATCCTGCGAAAAACAGTGGGAATAAAGAGGTGCTTTGGCAAGCTTAAAGTCGTAAACAACAGAATCAGACATTAGGAGACTCTCAACTAATGTGGACTTAATAAAGGGACAAGTGTGGTGGTAGTTGATGAAACTTTCGAGGTTCAAGTCGAACTGATTTCAAGTTGGTCTCTGGCAATGGATATTCCTTAATAGGAGAGATTGATTGAGAATCACGAAACACGTGACTCGAATATTTGCATAGCGTCGGTGTTGAACTTCGAGATTTTGGTGACAATTTGAAAGGGAGGCGTCTGTTCGTGACAAAATTCGTCTTTGATTGTGGAATTCCACAATTCCCAGGCTCCAAGGTTTCTCTTGGCTGTGTTTTCCGGGTCGTTTTCTCCTTTACGGTTTGTTAAAACTGCAGCGACAGCAAATTGACATGGTGTAATTACGAAAATTCCAGAGACCCCAATGTGAACAGTCTGGTTTCCGGAAACCTAAAGGCTTTGAAAATGTTTCGGCCTTTTTTTGGGTCCACTTTACCACTCTCCTGATTGCGTGATACTTCAACAGCACGGTTTAAACTATGATGGGCCAGAGAAAGAAATCCAAAAAAAAAAAAAAGATACCTACTATACTTGAGCTTTCGAAACTTCTTGCGTAGTGGCTAACGCAATACGCAAATACAACTAAGCTACTGTGCCACCCATAATTCTCAGATTACGGAATTTTCCATTATTTGATATGAGACTCAACGATGCAATCCGATTATTCGCACCAATCAAAAAAAGTGTTTCAAGACGTCGAAGAACAACAAAGTGTACAATCCAAAAATGCTTTCTTGATCCCCACGCAAGTCTAAGCCGTCTAACAACGCCGTCCATCAGCTATACTTGACTAACAATTTTCAGTCGTTATCACTTTCTTCAACACTAGAGTACTTGTAAACGACTTTGGGTTCATCATGTGAAACGACTTGTGGAAGGTTAAAAACCCAAGGTGGTCGGTGTCCCTTGTAAACAGGTTGGGGTTTACATTGAGTATTGAGTGTGGAAAAAACGCGTAAAAAATGGCATTTGGCGTGAAAAGGCTTTTATTTACGCGACTGCAGTATACATGAAGCGCTAGAAAAATCAAATGTAACCCATAGCAAGCCTAGTCTCGAGCCTACTCGAATTTCGTCTGCTCTTGATAACTACTCAACATGACGAGCCCTAAGGTAGAGTTACTCGTTAAGTTACATCGAGAGATCTGCGGTGTTCACAGCTTAACGGGATACTTGCAGTATCTGGCCCGGCATTCAAAGATTGACGGGCGCCAAGAGTTCCTACGAAACTATGATTCAGGCCAGTATTTTCTGAGGTACCAATATGGTAATGCTTATATTCGTCAACTAACGAACGCAACCACACGGCGCGCACCGCAAATGGCTCTCGAGAACTTAGAGGATAGGGGAGTTTTCTCCAATGGAGAGCACAAAGCATTGGAAAAATACCTCGAGAAGCTGCTTGTAGATGAAATCAATTTTGAATCTATAAGAAGGACCAGAGCTCGGGGCAAAAATTTCCGGTATAATAGCAGATATCATAGCGGTGGGAGGTTTCGACTTACTTATACGGACGCTGACTTCCGCAAGTTGACCGGATTTAGTAAGTTCGATCTCGATCGCATAGTCAAGGCACTGAAGATACCTTCTAACATTGGCTCTTACTCACTTGACGCTTTCGAATGTTTCTTCATCTTCATCGTTAGAATGAGAAGTGGCTGTACTTACACAGTACTGACCAGCATTTGCGGCAGAGAACCCACTACAATATCCAAGATTATCACATTTATGACATGCTACTTGTTCCACATTGTAAGCCCATCTCTGTCAGTTGCAAATGCGCCGTGGCTTGCGAGCCGCTTATCGCTCATCGACCAAAGCCTTCTGAGATCCAACAAATCAGTCCCTAACAGCAGAATTGTGGGCTTTATCGATGGCACGCACGTCAAGATTGCGAGGCCGCATGGAAGTTCTGAATTGCAAAATTCAGCGTATAGCGGGCATAGAAAAACTCATATCTTGAAGTATCAAGCGGTGACAACGCCTGATGGTATTTGCATAGATTTAGCAGGACCCTTCGCTGGTAGTCAGCACGACTCCTTTCTTTTAGCAAATAGCGGCTTATACGGAAGATTGAAGCCAGCTCTAAAGATCAGTAGCGTTCAATACAGAATATACGGGGATCCTGCGTATCGGAGTTCTGACGTGCTCACGGTGGGGTTTAAAGGACAGAATCTGACAGCTGCCGAAAAAAACTACAACAAAACCCTGGCGAAATCTCGTGTTTCGATAGAGTGGTTTTTTGGTGCGGTAAAGAACAACTTCCAGATTTTCAATGCCCTGGGAAAACTGAAAGTAGGTAGAGTGAGATTTTGCGGTGCGTACTTTACCATCGCTGTCTTTCTGACAAACCTCAAACATTGTCTAGAAGGATCGCAAGGATCCAAGTACTTTGGTATTGACCCACCATCCTTCGAGGAATTCACGAGTAGGCTCAAATTTCCAAAATATTTTGACAATTTTATTATCGATAATCAAGGAGAGGGCACTTACTACTCTAGACAGTATGAGCACTTAAGCTTTGATCAACTGGAAAACCTTGCTTGAGCCAGCTTTGCAATGAAAACTTTGTAAATCAGCCATGCGGACAAAATTTAGCTAACACTGACACTCTAACATTTGTGATAATTAGTTCACGCATAGTGTGCTAAAAAGTCTTGAAGCATCTTCTTTACAGCATTAGTCGATGAAGAAATCCCCTTTTCTAGGCTTTGGGCCATGAGCGTCATTTCCATTACAGTCTTAATCTTTTTGGCTTCATGATCGAATTGTTCACGCTTTTCTTTTTGAGCGCTGTATTCCATTTGTTGTTGTTGAAATTCTATAATCTGCTGTTGAGCTTTTGCTTCGCGTTTCCTTTCTTCCGAAAGTGTTGCTTCAATAGTTCGTAGCGCAGAATCTTGCAGTTCTCTCGTTGGTGCTGAGAGTTCAGAGAAATAATGGGCAAATGACGCGACATCTCTTGAGTTCAGCGACTTGCCTGATCTGTTCCTCTTTTCGACCGTGATAGTATTAGGTTGGTTCACGTCATCTATGGAAGACTGCTCATCAGAGTCTAAAGGGACAAGGCTCTCAATGACACTCGGAATACTATTTGAGCATAGCATCTGGCCCACAGACCTCTTATTATGTCGTTGGTCGGTAACACGTTTATGGTATTCTGCTTTACTCAGTTCCGAATCATTTTTCAGCCTACAGAGCTGTTCCAAAACGTCATCTATTTTGTCAACTCCAGTAATCGAGAAAGGATTTCTCTCATCTCCTGTAGTGACAGCAAATAATTTGGGATGTGCCATGTCTGTTAGATATCTGCACCTCTGTTTAATTTGACCCTCTGTTGGTATGATATTGTTTTCGAATTGTAATGACAACAGAAGATCATACAAAATACAACTCCATTTAAGAGATATGAAGCTGCTTCGTTCTAGCTTCTCAACTCTAGGTGATTTCAGACGTTCGAAGCCGTAAAATGGACCGATTTCGTTGCAATACTTGACCAGGTAGTACGTCGAGTTGTCAGTCCACCTGAACTTAAACTCTTTCCCATGATCTGATGATCTGTAGCCTTTCACTCTTATCAATTCTCTGATAGCATTTGCCATTTTATCCAGTGAAAGGCGAGGATTCTTTATAGTAGCTAAATCCTCCCTTATGATTGATGAATGAAAGTACTCAAGATAAAGCTCCGATTGTTCCATTGCGGCATGATTCGTTGAGCTCGCGACGTATTCAGCGGTGGCTGATGTTCTGTACTCATCAAGGCCAGCACCAGTTGTTGCTGGGTTGGCTTGTAAACCCTCATCAGCGAGCGAGTCACTTGATGAAGCGTCAGAATGATGTTGACCCGTTGACTGGTTGTCACTTGTACAAGAAGCTGCTTCCATTGCCCTCTTGAACTTGTTTCTCAATGGTCAGACCCACTGGTGATCATCTTCTGATCGACCTGATACGCGCTATTGTTGTTACTTCAATAACAATTCTTTAATCCACAAGTCACTGGGAACGAAATCAGCTCGAAATCAACTTGTGGAAATATTTCCCAAGGTACTCGAAAAATGTACCTTGCGTTTCAACTTGTGGACAAAAAAAAGAAAAAACGATCCACAAGTCGTTTCACATTATAAACCCAAAGTCGTTTACAAGTACTCTACTGACTCTCCGTGCATGGCGATCTGGTAAAATTTTATGCTGTAAGCCTGTCCTGGCGCTAGAAAGATATCTCATCTCATCTCATCTCATCTCATCTCATCTCATCTCGAAAGCGTTCAATTGCATAAGAGAAAAGGTTCCACAAAGCATAATTCTTCACTTATCAATGAGACTTCTGGTGGCGTGTGACGATAGCGGGAGTATTAAAGAGGTGCTATGTAATCGCAAGACCGATACTTCGGTGCAAACGGCACCTCAACCTTTCCACATAGGAACGCATCTAACCGAAGGTTTGGCCAACAGAGTGGAAATAATGCAAAAAGTCTCCGACGACAGTATACTTGTGGCCAGAGCAAACGGAACGGTCCAGGTTTTGAAACTGGATCTCGTTTCTCGTCCTGAGGAGAACCAAAACAGTGAGATAGGACCTAATTTCGATATTTCTGATCTGAAAGTGGTGTCATCTGTACAGGGTTTGTTGGATGACTCTGTCCTGTTGGAATTGCATAAAAAGTCCAAAAAAAGGTCCACACCGCGAGATGGGTTCATAGCCTTGCAAACGGTACCAGGTGCTTCTGATAAAGTCGTATGTGCTTCGAAATCGGGCCACATCCACATTTTGAGCCTGAAAGACAACAAACTTCATATTTTCAAAAGCCACGCTGTAAAAGCACCTCTAGAGTTTGTTCAATTCTACGATAACCAAATCGATGTTGCCAGTAAAAAACGGTTTACAACACTTGCATATGGCGGAGAAGAAAACTTAATAAAGCTGGCGAAGCTATCGCCAAATTTTGACAAGCTCGAACAGTTCTGGCAAGCCAAGAATGTCTCTAATGACAAACTCGATCTAAAAGTTCCTATCTGGCCGATGCAACTCAAATTTATGAATCCAACTCCAGACGCTGACGTCAACGGGGACGATTACCATTTTCTAGCATTGAACCGTCTTGGACACATACGTGAATATGACACGAAAAGAGGCCGTAAACCAAAATCATCACATCCGCTTTTACCCAAGAATGAGATAGCAACAAATCTTCAGGTTTTGAACACAGATCTTACCCCACTGGGCAATATCAAATCTGAGAGTTTCGACAACCTAGAAGTGCTTATCACAGACTCCAAGAGAAATGTCCTGGCATGCGACACCTCACCCAGAACTATAGGAAAATATGGAGCTGGGGAAATAACGGGGGCGACTACGTTCGTGAGTGTTGTTGAGAAAAAATATCTTCTACAATGTGGCCTGGATAGATATGTTAGAATTTTTGACGTTGAATCCCGAGCTTTGCTTTGTAAAGTTTATCTGGGAGCCAAAGCCAGCTCTGTGTTGCTCATAGATGACCAGGAAGTGGAAGTACCGCAACCAGAAAGTTCTGAGAAGAAAAGGAAAGTCAAAGACCGAGACGTTGAAGCGGAGGCTCTAGAAGATGAGGAGATCTGGACGACTTTAGAAGGAACAGCCAAAAAAACTAGAACTAATTGAATAGACTTGTATTTTTTAAAACTCCAAACAAAAGAGGGTACGAATTAGTAGATAATATAACTAAGGCATTACTTTGGACATTTTTTTATCGTGTCCCGATTTCCTGTTGTGATTAGCTCTAGACGATTTGTTCTTCTCCTTTTTGGCATTAGATCGACTCTTGTCCCCATTGCCATTAGCAGACGCTTTCTTCGGCTGTGTTTTATGCTCATCTCTTGAAGCGCGCCCTTCATTTTTATCACTATCAGCGCCGTCTTTATTTTGGACAAATGCTTTCTTGCCAGCGCGAACGTTTCCTCTAAACATGTACTTCTCTTCAAGAAGCTGTGCTCTTTTGGGACTCCGCTCTAACATGCGCGCCCAGCCTTCAATTTGCTCATCTGACCAGGAAGAAGCAGACTTCATTTCCTTCCTGACCTTGGATCCTCTATTGGAGCGGTCGAACAGCGATTGATTTTCTTTGAATACTGCCCACAAATACCCTTCGATCTTATCGTATGGATTTTCTGCACTAACCTTATCCTCGGCTCGCACCGGCTGAGCTTCTGCGTCATCGTAAGTATCATCTTTTTCGTCTTCATCGGCCTGGTAAAGAAGAGCCAAGGCCCTCGTGAGAGTCTTGTTACGCACCTCGTCAGGGACATGCTTAGTGTTAACCTCCTCATTTGTGACCTTATCACTTTGAGTCAGCTCGCTCTCGAATGCCGTAGTTTTTAAACCTTGCACCGGTTCTGATACAGGGTCTTCGAATGTTAATTCCTCTTGAGACTCTAAGGGATCTTCGAATAAACTTTCAATAGCCACCTCCACATTACCGTCACTTGTCTGGAGCCTCTTCTCGGCTTGGCCCGTAGTCAAGAAGGGGAAAAGCTCTAAAATAGTGTTTACATCTTCGGCTTTAATAGTCGCTAGACTTTGCTTTTTGTGTTCGGCCAGTAATGGTCTCAGGAATGGTAGCTTTGACTTGAGACCCTTGAAATGTGTTCTTGATGAGCGATGCAAGAGTACAGCTGCCAGTAAAGGATAGAGCTGCAGCGAATCTAGCGTGGCGATGTTGAGTTCCGATACTACTTCAATTACTCGATTTTCACCAGCACACATGTATGTCAAGATCCCTAGTTCTCGAGACGTGGCCTTTAGGGTCCGCTTATCCTGTTTGAACCAGCTCTCCATGATCTCAACCCACTTTGCTGTTAAAAATTGGTCTGCAAACGAGTTTGTTCGTTTGCTTCCAGAATCGGACAACAGGCCTTCTAGTGCTTTTAAATCCACTCTTGAAAACTTCGAAGTATCCACAAGCTGCTTTAAATGCTGGTGGACCTGGTATGTTCTGTTAAGGAGTGCTTTCTGCGTATTTATCTCGGGCTTTAATGTTCCTTGCACCAGCGAGCGCACTGTTTTGGGGTTTTTTCTCACATACAGCTTCACAAAATCCCATAGAGCGTCGCCAGAAAGCTGCAAGTGAAGCAAACCGCATACTTTGACCAACGAAAATACCCATCTTCTCAAAATTTGTAGCTGTTCTTCAACATCTTTATTCATCCCAAGACTCAAAAGTTTGCCCTCCTCCTCAGAAAGTTCTCGCAGATAATGTCGCACAAACAAGCACAGATTTTCATATGTAGAGTCACTCAGCTGCTCCAGCCTTCCGTTGGACATCAAATAAGAGAAGTACTGATTGTAAGTTTCTATAAGATGTAACCATATAACCGGATCTTTCTCCACCATTGCTGCTCTTAATTTGAATGGTGGAAACTTCACAATTGGCAGGGAGATTTTGTCACCCCCATTGATCTCCCAGATCTTCTGACGGCTCTCAGCAATCATGATGGACCTGATATTTTGATTCTTGTTCAGTTTATTCTGGTTCGAACTGGTATCGGTCAATAATCTGTCAAAATACTAATTAGAATATTGACATCAAATTGAAGTCAAGATACAGTTCACAGTTGAACAAGTATAAAAGATAGTTCAGGAAGAGCCGGGAACTTTTCAAGAGTAGTTCAAAGCTCTATAAGAAAGATCGAAAACCAAGCTCACACTCAGCTGCTTTGTTTGCATTGGTACAACCGCTCAGACGAACAAATAATAAGTACTCTTGGACTATTCCGTGAACTTCAGGTTTAGAAACTTGAACATTCAACTGAAAGAAAAAAACCAAATAGTGAAGGCTCGACTGCTGGCAGCGTAAGCATCTGTTTTTGTACTGACGTATGTCTAAGTTCTTTGAACTTCCAGGATCTCACAAACCACATAATGCTCAGGAAAGTGATCCAATCGCAATCGAAAACGATCGTCGGGCTAGTCTGACCTATTTTGACTATGGTGCTACTGAAAGATTTCCAAAAACGTCTTCGAAACTAGACACAGATAATCCCAACAAAGGAAAGCTTGGAACATTTGACGGAGTTTTTGTGCCGACAACGCTAAATGTGCTTTCAATTCTGATGTTCTTGAGATTTGGCTTCATCATAGGACAGATGGGGATTTTGGGAACCGTTCTTTTACTGGTTATAAGTTACGGGATCAATCTTTTGACAACGTTGAGTATTTCTGCAATTTCCACAAATGGTACCGTTCGTGGCGGAGGCGCATATTATATGATTTCGCGCAGTTTGGGCCCCGAGTTTGGCGGCTCCATCGGACTCATTTTCTTTTTGGGACAAATGCTAAACAGTGGTATGAACGTGGTCGGTCTCATTGAGCCTCTGATGTACAATTTTGGGTCTAAAATCGACCAAGAAACCCCGGCTATATATCCCTTGTTGAAACGCGGTTACTGGTGGGAGTTTTCGTATGCTTCTGCTATACTTTTATTTTGCTTGGGGATTGCCCTGATCGGCTCTGCTACCGTTTCCAAAGCCGGGAAAATACTATTTTGGCTACTGCTTTTCTCGACTCTGTCGATTCCCGTGTCTGCTCTCTTTGTGTCGCCTTTCAACGATGGTCAAATTCTGTACACAGGGCCTTCGATGCAAACTTTAAAAGAAAACTTGTATCCGCAGTTTACTAAGCGGGCTGCTGGATCGCTTTTGAAGGGTAAAGAAACTTTCAACGATCTCTTCGGAATTTTTTATCCTGCCACGGCCGGCATTTTTGCAGGTGCTGGCATGAGCAGTGAGTTGAGAAGGCCATCCAGGTCAATTCCAAAAGGAACGCTATGGGGACTGGTGTTAACTTTTTTCTGCTACTTGATTGTTATTTTCACAATAGGTGTGAGCGTCCCGCGCGAATCTCTACACAAAGATGTCCAAATTATCCAAACCATAAGTTCTTCCCATATTGTCATTTTGATAGGCGAGTTGTCCACGTCCATATTTTCAATTATTGTTGGTATCGTGGGCGCCGCGTTCGTGCTTGAAGCAATAGCTAAAGATTGCATTTTTCCCGGAATCTCCGTGTTCGAAAAACATCCGATTTGGTCAATTCTATTCACCTGGCTATTAACCCAACTATGCCTTTTTTCCGATGTGAATCAAATAGCAACCTTCATTACCATGACATTTTTGACTACTTTTGTCGTCGTGAATCTAGCTTGCTTCCTTCTCGAAATCTCATCCGCTCCGAACTTCAGGCCTTCGTTCAGGTATTTTGATTGGTACACTGCTTGCGTTGGTGGAACTCTGTCAATACTGGCAATGCTCGTTGTTGATGCCATTTCTGCGTCGTTAGTTATTCTGGCCATTTCAGTGATTTTCGTCGTGATACATCTTTTCTCTGCACCTAAGCCTTGGGGCGATGTCTCTCAAAACATCATTTACCACCAAGTCCGCAAGTATTTGTTACGGTTGAGACAAGACAACGTGAAGTACTGGCGGCCCCAAATTTTGCTGCTGGTTGATAATCCTCGGACCAGTTGGAACTTGATTAAATTCTGCAACAACCTCAAAAAAGGTGGTCTTTACGTGCTGGGACATGTTACAGTGGGCGAAAGCTTTCAGAAGGAATACGAAGAAATGAGGAAACAAACCCGTGCGTGGGTGAAAATAAGAGATATGGCGAGCATAAAAGCATTCGTCCAGGTGGGTACTGGTCCCACTCTTCCGTGGGGTGTAAGAAATGTATTTCTGGGCTCTGGATTGGGAGGGATGCGGCCAAACATAACGGTGATTGGCTTCTTCGATTTGGAAAACTACCATAGAGAAAAAAACAAAGGCGAAGGGCCTTCCCACCGGAAAAAGACGTCCGCAAAAACGTTCTCCGGCTTGCCAGCGAGTCGACAGAAAAATGGCGGCTTAGCAGTCGATATTCCAGACACTCCTGAAATGTTGCCGACTGACGTTTGTAAGAATGAGCGGAAAGTAAAGGTTCAACAATGGGTGCAAATAATTGAAGACCTGTCACTCATGAACAGCAACATTGCCGTTGCTAAAAAGTTCAAAGACTTGAAGTTACCCAGTAAAAAGGACCATGTCAAAAAAAAGAGATACATTGACCTCTACCCTATCCAAATGTCAGCGAAGGTCGAAATCGAGGACGATTCATCACAGAGCGTTACAGCCACTAATTTTGACACATACACTTTGATTTTGCAACTGGGAGCGATTTTGGTCACTGTGCCATCATGGAAAAAGACGCACCGTCTAAGAGTGATAGTTTTCATCGAGAACGAGTTTGAGAAAAAGGATGAGAACCAAAGAATTAGTAATTTGCTCAGTATCCTTAGAATTGATGCAGAGATTGTTGTTGTATCACTTGATCAATTCCGCGTTTACAATACTATAATCAAGGGAGATTCTATCAAGATGAGGGAGGTCTCTGAAGTTCTTAAAGATGATCCTTGGTGGGCGGAGCTAAAAGAAGCGAGAGGAACGCATAAAACCAGAAGAAGATTCAGCACAATTGCAACACCTGCGATCGAGCCCCGAAATGGTTCCGGGAAAACTGTACCACGGTATGAGGTCTCTCAGCTGCAAAGACTAGGCGTCTCGATGTCGATGAAATCGAGCTTTCTCAATAGCCAATTTAGTTTTCCCGATGGCTCTGATGATGAGGAAACTGAGACAGACCCTAGTTCGGATTCCGCCGGTGACGGATCCAACTTCCTCAAGGGAAGCAAAATTGATAGAATCAAACAGTACTTATCGGTTTCTTCAGCCGGAAACCAGGCCAAAACAACCCGGTCCAAAAACCCAAAGGTTTCAGACGACCGGTCAGTACGGTCTTTTATGCCAGTTTTTTCTAGCGACGCTCTACCGAAGACAAAAGTGATTGAGGAAGCAAGCGGAGATACGCCTTCTTTAGTTCCTGTTGTCGAAAATGGTAGCATGAACTCATCGACACAAGAAAGTGGCAGGAAAAAAGTTCTTTCTCCTCTCTCTCCTTGTCAATCTTCTGAAAGTTTGCTAGCCGATCTCAAGAAAATCTCCTTTAATGACGTTCCAAGTAGAGCGCAGCATTTGATTTTGAACGACGTAATGATTCAGGTCTCAGGCAAGTCGGACCTTATTTTCTCAACTTTACCTCTGCCACCTTTAGACACCCACAAGAGCGAGGAAGGTAGCCTTGAATACATCGAGAACCTCAATGTGTGGCTAGCTGATTTACCGCCCACAATGTTGATCAACTCAAAATCAACAACTGTAACCACTGCTCTTTAGAAGAATAGACTAGTTTTAAATTTAATTTTATTTGACCTTTCTGAAAGCGAAAACAGTGTAAAAATATGACGCAGCCTCTTTCTCGTCGCCTTCAACACCAAATTTCCCGTCACTGCGTTGGAGTCCTTCGAGCATGCGTGGTGAGAATTTGTTCAGCCAGTTTGGAATTTCTTGAACAAAAAAGGCATTGAAGGGCATTTGAAGTTCGAGTTCTAGGCCATATTCGTCTGCCAAACTTCTTAGCGACTCGAAGGGGATCACATACTCCGGGACATTGTCGATAGCATCCTCAAGCCAGTAAGTATACATTTGACCAAATGGCGGAGAAAACTCATTGCCGTTCTTCTGATAATCGTTGTTTTCGAAGGCCACTTTGTAGATGGAATTGCCCCAGGATGGCTTCTCCACATCTTTTGAAAACTTATTCAGCTTATAGCGTATGAACTCGGAGTCTGGTATGGTTCCAAAAAAGTATCCACCGACCTTAAGGGATTTTGTTACATTCAAAAGCGTACGCCTTGCTTTTTCCTCCGATTCAAATGCATAGTGCAGGCAAAACTGGGCCGAAACCACATCGCAAGGAAATCTGCACTCTGGGAACGGTGCGACTGCTGTCCCAAGAGACTCACCAAAGCAGTCGCCGGTTATTAGAACCACCTGAAAATCGAGGTTGCCCATTGATGAGAAACGTTTTTGAGCTTCGACAATGGATGCATTTGAGATATCGACCCCGATAAATTGGGAGATCCCAGCAGAACCATACTTTCTGAGATCCCCACCTTTTCCACAGCCCAATTCCAGAACGACATTTCCTGGGAAGGTAAACTTGTCGATCAACATATACTTTATGGCATTGTTAAAATTCCTCAGCTTGATGATTGGGGACAAATTTCTACGCTTTCGTCTTGCCACGAAAGTTCGTTCGTTGTAATGCTCGCGAATGATCTGGTCGACATTAACAACTTTGTTTGCCGTCATATCGATTTCATGTCTTTTAACCTGTTCTTCTCTCATTCGGTGCAATTGGCTTTTCTTACGTTTCTCATCAACATCGTATCGCTGCCGTTTACGTTTTTGTAAGCGGTAAGCGGGCTTTTCCGGTTCCTGATCCTGCCCTTGCCCCGTTCCATCCTCTGTTTCTTGTTTTGCAACTTTATTGGCTTCATCTTGAGCTGAATTGTTCTGAACTTGATCCTCCTCTAATCCTTTCACAGCAGGTTTTTTGACCACATTTTCTTCTACTAAAGTACCGTATTGTTTGTCATACTGTTCCTGGCTCATCCAAACCGGTTTCTCCGGCCTCAAACTCATCTTTAGTCGATGTTTTGACTCAAATCTGACTTACGATCTTGAACTTGGTTTAAATACAAGTTTTACAACTAGTCCTTTAGATATTTGAGTTACTCTTCAAAAGACAAAATCCAGTCAAAGCATCGTGAAGACCAGTTGCTTGTGGACCTGTGATGAGTACTGTAAGTGCTGAAGAGAAGAAGAGACAGCTGCTTGAAAGAAAGAAGAAGTGGACTAAGAAGAAAGCTGAGGTTGACGCTTTAAAAGAACAGCATAAAACTAACGAGAACAATAGCGATGCAAACAATGAGAGTGCCAAGAGTGGGCAAATCGCCGAACGGAAGGCGAAACTGGATAGCTGGCGTCAAAAACGGGAGCTGAAACGGAAAAGCGAGGTTTCTGGGAATGACAGTCCCGCAAGTGTAAAAATCGTCCCACCGGCGAATAAGAACGGAAAGAAGAATCTCGATAAGAAACGGTTGTTTGACGAAAGTGATGAGGAGGAAGTTTCAGTTGACGTCAAGCTTTTTAAACCAGGAAATTCGGAGGACATCAGTGCCCATAAGAAACCCGTAGAGGAGAAGGATTCAGCGGAAGATTCATTGGAGGCATTTTTACAAAGCTTGAGCCAAACTAAAGATTCTAGCAGCACCAGACCCCGCAGCTCGGGGGCGCTAGATGATTTAGGTGAGGCAGAAGACTCGGATCCTTCTGGTGACACTCAGGATCACGATGAAGTAGAAGCCGAATACAAACGCATGAAAAAGCTGAAATCAAAGAAAAGAGTAAAAAGAATCGCCACAGAAGGCACTGAGTTTGAACCGTTCACCAAGTCCTTTTATGTCGAGCCAGAAGAGATCAGGACAATGTCAGATACTGAAGTCACCGATCTAAGACTAAGTCTCGATAATGTAATAATAAAGGGCCACGATTGTCTCAGACCTATCACGAAATGGTCTCACTTGGGTCTCACCACTGATGTTATGAACCTTATCACGCAGGATTTCAAGTTTCTCTTTCCAACTCCCATTCAGGCTCAAGCAATCCCCGCGATCATGTCGGGGCGCGATGTGATAGGCATCTCAAAAACCGGGTCTGGCAAAACGATCTCGTTCCTTCTGCCATTATTGCGACAGATAAAAGCGTTGCGTCCTCTCTCCAGAGAAGAAACTGGCCCTTTAGGCCTGATTCTGGCGCCTACAAGAGAGCTGGCAATTCAAATCTTCGAAGAAACGTGCAAATTTACTAAAAACTCACCTAAAATAAGAACAATATGCTGCACTGGAGGTTCCGAGCTTAAGAATCAGATCAATGATATTAAGAGAGGTGTGGAAATTGTCGTCGCCACGCCGGGGAGATTTATAGACTTGCTAACACTAAACTCGGGGAAACTGATCAACACAAAACGTGTGACCTTTGTGATAATGGATGAAGCAGACAGACTATTTGATCTTGGATTTGAACCACAGATAACAGAGATCATGAAAACGATTCGGCCTGATAAACAGTGTGTCTTATTCAGTGCTACTTTCCCTACCAAACTGAAATCGTTCGCATCGAGAATACTGCACAGACCAATCAGTATCACAATCAACTCAAAGAGTATAGTGAACGAAAACATAGAACAGCAAGTGCAGATTTTCGATTCAGATCAGACAAAATTCGAATCGCTTCTGAGGCTTCTTGATACACAAGCCCATCATGAACAGGCAGAAGATCGCGACGAAAAGACGATTGTTTTTGCTTCAAGTCAGCAAATATGCGATTTACTCTACAATCGTCTCGTTGATCAAAATTACTCGCCATTCGCTATTCATGCAGGAAAACCTTACAACGAGAGAGCATCTAACCTCGAGAACTTCAAATCAACCAAAAACAGTATTCTTATTTGCACTGAGGTACTATCCCGTGGACTGAATGTTCCAGAGGTCTCGTTGGTTATTCTTTATAACGCTGTGAAGACATTTGCACAGTATGTTCACACAACCGGCAGAACCGCAAGAGGTGATAAGCACGGCGTTGCCGTCACTCTTTTGTTAGATGATGAGCTCGCGGCAGCCTACATTCTCAACAAGTCATTTCGGGACCAGGAGTTGCACTCTCTGTCAAACGAAAGCCGAGAGCGTCTGAAGAAAATGGCTGATCAGTTTGAGTCTGGTATGAAAATCGGGAAGTACAGATTAGCCAAAGGCTTTGGAGGGAAAGGTCTCGAGCATATGGAAAAGCTCAACGATGAGAAGCAGGATACAGAGCTGAAAAATTATGGTGTTGGAGACTACAAGAAATCGGACGGCAAAGAAGGAGCTGAGGGAATCGAGATACATACAAGTCAAGTTTCAATTCCTAAGCTGGATTATCTGTTTCTGCCAAACAAAAACTCAAATGGGCAAGTTACGTACAGCGCAGAAGTCTATGTGAATGATCTCCCTCAAATGGTCAGATGGGAGGCTACCAAAAACACAACACTGTCCTTTGTGATTCATGAAACGGCGTGTAGCATCACTAACAGGGGTAAGTTCTATCCAGAGGGAACAGCCCCGACGAATTCGCAAGACGAACCAAAGCTTTATCTTCTCATCGAGAGTCAAGATGAGAAAGACGTAAGGCTGGCCATTGAATTGCTAGAGGAAAAAGTCAGAGAAGGTGTTAAAAAGGTGAGTGCTCAAGAAAGTAGAAATACCAAGTTTTAGCACAAAAAATTTCGGATGTACGCGCTGCTTCAATCGTAGATACCCGTGAATTGCTAAATACGTAACCTATATCCTTGTCTAACTATTAGAATAAAATTTTGAAGCTTGCTAGTCGTATATCAAAGCTGCCTCTCTCTCCTTTCTTCGACTTTCGGCATTATCTTTCAAATGTGTATTCATTGTCTTGGAACGTTGCTGATCCAGTTTCTTGCCCAAATCTCCATTCTTCAACTTCTTCTGTGATTTCTCAAGTCTCTCAGTTGCAGCTATACCGGCCGCACGGCCAGCAGAACTTTCCTTTCCATCTTCGCCCGATGTGCCCAGCGTTTTTCCCACTCCAGGCTTCTTAGAGTTTTTGTTTACTTTTGGCAATGAGGTCTTAGGCTGAGAGACTTGAGACTTCTGAGTTCTACGTACAGCTTGTAATTTTTGTGTCGACGACGAGGTTTTGTCAAGGTTAGACTCATCTTTTGATCTCTGTTTACTAGCACAAGATCCCATGATTCGTGATCTCGACAATGACAAAGACGATGAGTTTGCAACAATAGCTTTCCGGCGATGAGCTATCCGTAAAAGGTGTTATTGACAGAGGTTAGCCGACAAACAATTATGAAAACAGTTAGCACTCTAGTCTCGGAAAAACAATGCCTTAACTATTATCATGACATGGAATAAGAACATATTAGTGTATCATACATCAAAGTATATAAAGATCATAAAAAAACCAATTTTTGAGCATGGCGTTGTATCTGATAGTAGGGGCCTGTGCCTCAGTTCTGAGGTCTCAAATTGTGGAATTGAGGAATATAGACGTCGTTGACATCCAAAGTGTTAAATTTGGATAGGGCTTGCTGTAACACTGGGTATTTCACAGCAGTACCTGATGTCAAGCGTGAAAGCTGGCGGGAATCACGGCAAAAGATGCTGTAACGTTTGACAATCTTCATGTAAAGATCCAAACGGCTTTCCAGCTTTTCTTGTTGGTGAATGTGTGGTGTTGTTTGTTGTGGAATATCGTCAAAGGCGCCAGATGCGTTAGCTGCTTGCATGGCAGCGCCGAAACCGTCGCTCCCGTAAAGTTCTTCTGGTGATGGTTGGGATTCGTTGTTTTGAGTCCATGTGACAGTAGCATCCCTCAAAGCGGCCCAATCGGCATTGGCGATGAAGGATTGGCCGATTTCATCGGACTTGGATACCAAGTTACACCAACGTTGGAAGATCTCTTGATTTGTCACCTGAACGGATCCCATGGACTTCAAGAGAATACGGTAAGCAACAATGGTTCTGGGGGTCTGGTAAAGATCGTAAGCTTTATCGATAGATTCGATAATTTGACGATCTTTCCAGACAGTGCACTTGGCAAGAATAATGTTAAAGAATGGCTCGTCAATAGGTTTGATGTCGTTATAGGTGGAGATTATCTCTTGTAGCTGCTGCAATCCGGTGAGCTTGTCTTGGGAGAAGTTCTCGAAAAAGATATCGAAAAATGTGTCATTCAATGATGAGGAGATTCCATGGTTCACATCACGGCCGTAGTGCACTGATGATTTGTACCAAATTTCATATACTTTTTGAAAGTCTCGAGTTTGAGACCATATGTTGCGCAAAAACGACTTGACGTAAGAAACCTGGAGATCAATCCTGTATGGCATTTCATTGTTTAAGGCTTTGTCGAAAAATGCTTGAGAGATAGAAAGGTCCTTACATTCCCCAATAAAAGAGAGGTGTGTTTCTATCAAATAGCCATATTTCATCTCGCTCGATTCCTCGCAAAGCTTTTGAAATAGGTTGAGGGCCATTTCATTTTCGCCCGCACTCAAAGACGCACGAATCATACCCACAGAGAGATTGGGGTGGAAATAAGATATCATAGCTGAGGATTTTTCGTAAAGGTCTTGAATTTCTGAGTATGTTACTCCGTTGTCATAAAGAATTGGAAGTACCACACCGACCACCCTAGGATTCAAGAAAATGTTTGCGGTGTACGTGTTGCTTCCGTTAATAGCAGAGCGCCATATACTGACGGCTTCTTCAAGTAAAAGCAGCTCTTTGAAAGCGGTGATTAGATGCATTGCACCATACTCATTGAGCTCAACCTTGCCAGACAACGCATCTTGAGATATCTCGCGCAGCGACTCACACAGGTAGTTGGTCATCTCCTTGTGGAAGGACTGAGAGTCATAATCGGGCTTTTTGTTCATTCGCGTCAGCTGGTTTCTGTTCGCACGCAGTCCGTTGTGTAAGAGATGCACTAGTTTCGAAACCCGGTCACTGTTGAGCTCTGGAGTACCCAGAAGTTCACGGTATAGCCCCATAGCCCGACCTATAGAGTCCCAGAAAAGTGGGTTGGTATTGCCACTACCCAGAGATGCCTGTGTGCGTCTGGAGCCTGCGTTTCCGTTATTGTTATTGTTCCGTTTGCGTGGTGTTTGTGACAAATACAGTGTCTGTGCTACGCAGTCTTCGAACGCACAAACCTTATGGAACCATGGTGAATCTGGAGCGGCTGATAGCTGCTTGTCAATCTTGATGTTCCTACGCATGGCGCGTACCTTTTCCACAGCCTTGGCGGCCTGTGGAGGAGTGTTAGCGGCAGCAGCAGCAGCCGCTTCCTGCGATGGCGAGCGTTCCATTGCCACGGCTGAATTCAGCCGCAGCGAATGATGGAAAGGCGACCTTGCGCTGGCCGACACAATTTGGTTCGAAACTCTGCTCTTGAGCACATGTGAGTGTTGTACGAATCTCAGCATCTTTGCAAAGTTGGTTTTGTTTGATTTCAGTGAGATGCAAGTCTTGGTTGAGATGTTTTATCTATCCTGTTCGTTCTGTTTTTGAAGATGAGTAAAAAACACACAGCCGAAGAATACAGCTGTTATAATGATTTTGAGCTTCCCAAAAGTTGTTCTCTTCCGTTCACAGAAACGTTATACGCTTTAATAGTAGCACCAAACTACTGATAGCTTCAACGTTGAGTCTTGGAATTATGGTGTGAGAGTCAACGATGAGCGATGCCTGTAGGCTAGATTGAGTGGTGTGAAAAAAAAAAGTTGAATACACGCTGCGCAGCCGGTGACAGATTGGAAAAGAAAAGACACCTGGCCGAGCCAGTCACATGAGGGACCATCAAAATTCAGTTGAGTGTAACGGAAGGGCTCTTGCGTAGGTTTCCAATAGAAACGCAGGCAAGAATGTTGATTTGTTGTGTGTGCCGTGATGTGCAGTTGGCTAGGAAGCAGAACGAATGCATACAGGCGCAGTTAACCGTGATTTATGCGAACTAAGTTTGGCTCATCTATTCAACATTTCGATTAAAAGGCTCATCGGGCGGACTTTAGCTCAATGGGACTATCCAGGAGGCAGCGTTGGGAGGAACTTTAAGCTGCAGAAACAGCGAGGTTTGGTGGATTGAGCCAGAAAAAAAGTGGTTGGGTTTTTGCTAAGCTTTATCGGAGGCCTCAAAGGGTGGGAAAGTCTTTGGGAGTCAAAGAGAAACCATCTCGGAAGAGGCCGTGACCATAGATTCACAAATGTGAAGTTTGTAGAGATTTGTTTTAGGCGTCCGCAGAAGCTTTTGTTTTTTGAGTGGGGGGTGGGGGGGGACTTTCTAAATCCTGTTCATGGCGATAGAGCTATCTAAAGGAAACACATGGACTTGCAATACAGCCGATGGTCCTTGGAATATACAGATTCCAACCCTAGTATTTCTCAAAAGACACGCTTGAATCGCTAGTTCAAACTCAAAATTTTGGAAGTAATGCTCATTATACCGCCTTTTTGAACTCTTTTTTTTCGGAGGCGACGCAGAAATCGATCTGAGAGCGTCAAACAATGCGGCTGTTGCTTAATGAAAGAAAACGCTTCATCAATGGGTTGGTGTTTGATTGTTTGTATCGTGTTTCATGTGTGGTTAAGAAGGCTAAAGTACAAAAACATTTGTGCTTTTCGTTAATTTAGCCGCGCACAAGATTCGAAAGAGACGATCACGTGTGGGTGATGGTAATCTTCTGTCACGTGATGACTTTTCTTTAAAAAACAGACTAGGGACACAATTTTAACAGTTTTTTTTAGGAGTTTAGCAGGTTTTGACCTTGTGGCATTCGAAACTCCGACATTTGTCGCGTCTATTCGTCAAAAGCTTCAAAAAAACCTCAAATTCTAGTCAGCTTTTGAGACTTTCGTTCACTTTAAATTCGGGTTGCAAGATTTTTTTCAAATCCAGCAATTTTGAAACCTTAATATGCACCTGAAATCATAAGCCAGATCAGTGGCCGGTATTGCTGCGTCTTGATCGTTCCTAAAAAGCAGATTTGAAACTGAAAAATGATGACGCGCCATCTAGTCATTTCTCTACCCACGAGGGGAAGATCGTCTTTCCCAATTAGCTGTCATTTCTCACGAGAGGGAAAGTAGAGAAAACACGAATGTGTTTAAATATTCCAGTATTTACTGTTTGGAAAACACAATCCGTCCAGAAACTAACGATTCTCCTGAGATACCCCGCCTTTCCAATTGTTTGGCTACCCAATTGATTCATAGCATAGGCAGCGTTCTGGAACGAATAGAAAGTTGTATCAATTTCGGTTCTCTCCGCTAATACGCTCATCACACCAAGTCATTTAACCATGTCAGAAAAGACCCAGAAAGATATCTTCACGCTGTTCGACAAGCAAGCCAGAGGCAAGATTTCGAAACAACAATTGGGCGACTATCTGCGTGCCATTGGATTCAATCCCACCAATGCCCTAGTGGAAGAAGTTGGTGCCGATGCACCCGACGCTTTGACTCTTGATGAGATCACAACACTGGTGTCGAAACATCGTGAAGCATTAGACAAGACCACAAAGGCCCAAGTCGAGGATTTCATCAAAGCTTTCCAGGTTTTCGACAAGGAAAACGAGGGTAAAGTCTCTGTAGGTGATATTCGTTACATGCTTACCGGTCTAGGGGAACGTCTATCGGACGCAGAGGTCGATGAGCTTCTCAAAGGTGTGGAGGTGGACGCTGATGGCGGTGTAGACTACCGTAAGTTTATTGAGGACATTCTAAGGCAGTAGGGGTCCAGGGCTTTTGGAGCGTCGTAGTTGTTAAATATACCGTCTATAGCTTTTCCTCTTCAACGCAGCAGCACATCAATATACGTGATACCTAGGCATATTGTTTCCACTATGATCGGGCCTGCTAGCCAGCTAGCGGTCTCTGGGATGTCTCATTGCTTCTCTTCGTTCAATATTGGCATGAAATTACCAATAATCATCAATGGCAACCCAAAAACATCCCTTTTTAACGTCCAAATGCAACAGCAATTGATTTTTTGATCGCGAACAGGTGTAAGCAATCTGCACGTCTTCATGCGTTCGCTACCTTTGAAATCTTGATAGGCCACACGATTGAAAGTCTTGAAATACTCACGAACACTTTGATCGTCCATAAGCTCGACGATGAACGTCATTTTGAACAGTAGATCCGGTCTAGACCATCCTGTCAGAAGCGTAAACTCGTCATTGACATACGACACCTGTCCATTACGCCGCCAAACGCACGTTGGGGTACCAATCTGTGATATGAATTGATCATATTCCAATAGGGTTCTTTGGTAGCATTGTTCCATGAAAATCATATCTTCCTCTGTCAGTGTAACGGCGATTGCAATGAAAATGGGTCGAAATTCGGCAAGTGATCGACACATCTCTAGAATATCCGCTCTGCTGAATCGAGATCTCAAATATTGAAGAAGTGAGTGAAAACCAGATGTATGCGAAAAAGGAGCAGATATGAGGGTGTATATTTCGAGCGGAGTTTCGTAACGCAGTGTATGGGCAATTTCGGGAAAGTTCTGTACTGCACGCTGTTCCTGCGAAGTAACGTCTAGCGCCAATGATACGAGCTTGTGATCAGGCTTAAATATGTTGATGATGTCAGCTAGAGACCGTTGGTGATTCAAATAGTACTGTCGTACGCTGCCATTTGAAATATGTGAGTCGATGGCAGGTTGAGAGTTTTGATTTTCGAAGGGAATAAGAGGGAAGTGGGTAGTGAGAATGTCAACGTCCTGCTGAAGCGCCTCGCGACCCTTTTCTCCCAGCAAAACCCTGTAGCGTTCCGTTTGAGCGAGCATGACAGTGCTGGCAGTAGGAGCTGTATGATAGATGAGTGGGTCTGTGGAAGGTGCCACCAATGGCGGAACACTCGATGCCGAGTTCGAATTGGGCGTTGAGTACTGAGTGCCATTTCCCTGCGGATCCACGTTCTGTGAATACAGTAATTCGACAGGAACTTTTCCCAGTAAGGCATCCTGATGTATAATATCCGAAAGAATAGAATACTCGGAATCTACCGCATCAGACATAAACCGAGGCTTATGTGCTATATTTCTTGACTTCTCAAGGTGTTGAAGTTCTGGTCTTTCGACTGGAGGCTGTTTGAACTGCCCTGCCAATTGATCGGTCGGCACATCGGCCAGGTATTTTCGCCGTTTTCTTGGCGTATCAACGCATGATTTCTCTAACCCTTTTTTTACGCAACGTGTGCATGGCCTTCGTTCTTCACAGATTACATGAGACTTTGAGCAATTGATGCATGCTACGCTGGTCTTAGTTCTTCGCGGAGCCATTTTTTGTCAACATGTAGGATCATTGAAGCGTTAGCTCATCGCTTGATTTTTCAGTATAAATAAAGCCGTTGTAATTAGTGTATATAAAATGGTACCCACTACACGCCAAAGCGAAAGAACTTTGGGCAGTAGCTCATGGGTAGCAGCCGAGCTTGAGATGTGAATACCTCGAGCTCTTACGGTATCAATTTCGAACACTTTGAATGTGGTGCTAGCTTGCAGACCTTGTGAAAGATCAAAAGTCACGTGATCCTGGATGTTAGTGATGAGCCAAGGACGAGAACGTGCATCGCAAATGAAGTTTAAACCTCTTGAGCTTTGAATTGTGAGAGGACGTGAGCTTTGGGCTACTGAACGTTCATCGTCGTGAAATTTAGTTCCGCGGTGAAGAAGCACCAATAAGGTTAAAAAAAAACCGAGGTAGCGCTAATGTACATTAATTTTTCGCCTCTCCGGAAGCCACTCACAAACATAGACTCGAGAGTGCATCATTTTCGAAAGTTCACTGATCGTTTCCGCCGGTAAGCCTGATGTAAGTGTTTTCTGTTCAAATCACTTTGTACTAATCTGTCGCTCCACTGGGAAGTAAAATATTCAAGTCAAAAATGCGCACCCTAGTTGGTAAGCATTTGTTTGATTACAATAGCTCTCTATTTTTAGAATACTAAGATCAACTCAAGAGATCATCGCCATAAACACTGAAATTTTCGAGAATTTTACCAAAAACCTCAGAACAAGCAAAACGCTTTTGAAATTAGATCAACAGGCGTGAGAAAGATTGACACCTTGGATAAATTTCTTCTTTAATTCTAGTTCGTCGATACCACACACGCACTTATCAACGATAACACATAACTCAAGTCTGCCTTAAATTCTCAGATTTCCTACAAGACATCATAACAATATCGTGTCGTCTTTCTCGTCAAAGGTGATCACAGCCAATGACTCGGAAAATTTTGGACCAAATGACTGATGTAGTAGTAGTGCTCATCATTTCTATCAAAAACCCCTGTTAAAGCATACGTTGTTCACTGTCAAGACTGGTCAATTCCTTCGCCAGAATTCAACATTGAATTATGTCCACTTTCATTGAGAAATTTAGATCTCTCTCGCTTTCCAGCGAGCTCAACAACGAGCAACTTGCGTTGGCTACACAGTGGGAAACTGTGGTGAAATCTGGACAAATCCAAAGTCACATTGAAGAACTCAACTTGCGTCTAAGAGACCACTCTTTTGTTTTGGGAACTTTGGTCCCTACTGAAACCGACGCTACTGTCTTTGAATCAGTTTTCCCGATCATCAAGGACCTTTTGGCATCGTCTAAAGATGTTAAAGGTCATTATGCTCAATACAGACACATTATCAGATGGAGTGCGTACTTACAAGATCTGTTGGACGTTCCTGAAGACCAAAAGCTTTCCCTAAACTTTGATCTCGAGTTGCCAAGGGAAGTGATTGAAAAGAAGAAAAAGGAAGACGCCAAGAAACCAGCCGGCAATGATTCCAAGCCAGCATCCAAGTCTGAGGCCAAGGGCGAAGCATCGAAACAGGGGCCAAAGGGTAAGCCCGACGAGGAAACTTTGAAAAAACTCAGAGAAGAAGCTAAGGCCAAGAAAGCTGCCAAGAAGGCCCAGCAGTCTCAGCAGGCCCAGCAGCAGGAACAGCAGCCTCAAAAGCCCAGACCTTCTGCTATTGACTTCCGTATTGGTTTCATCCAAAAGTGTATCAAGCATCCAGATGCCGACTCCTTGTATGCCTCCACCATTGACGTTGGCGATGAAGAAGGTCCCAGAACGGTGTGCTCCGGCTTGGTCAAGTACTTCCCACTTGAAGCAATGCAGGAACGCTACGTGGTTGCTGTGTGCAACTTGAAACCCGTGAACATGAGAGGTATCAAATCCACAGCCATGGTGTTGTGTGGTTCTGATGAAAACAACGTTGAATTTGTTCAACCACCAGAGGGCAGCAAGCCAGGTGAAAAGGTCTTTTTCGAAGGCTTTGGTGATGAGGAACCTGCCAAGCAGCTCAACCCTAAGAAAAAGATTTGGGAACAGTTACAACCTAGTTTCTCTACCAATTCTGATCTAGAAGTCTTTTTCAAGGACGAAGAAGACAACGACAAGCCTAAGAAGTTGACCAATGCTCGTGGCGATTCGTTCAAGGTCGCATCCATCACAGGCGCCAACGTCCGTTGATAATCTAATGTTTATATGCATCGTTCTTTAATATTTTTTTGGCAACAAAAGAGTCGCTCTATCAAATCTTATATTGAAGTCATCTACTTTAGACCAAACATATGTCTCTATAAAACTCCTCATTGCACTGCAACTGCAATTCCCAGAATTTCAGCTGCATTTCTGCGTGAGTTGTGTCTGTACATTCACAGATTTGGTCCATCATCACATTGCTCCAGTGTTGCAGAATTAGACGGACTGTGTTGATTTTTAGCATCGCCGTTAGATCATACTGGAAAAGGTCCTGTAGGCCAGCCTCGGACAGGAGTTCATGACAATGGATGAGAAAAGTGATGTTGGTGTTGTGGCTCAATGTATAGGCCACCAGCGGGAAGGAAAGGTAGGAAACTTTGGTTTGCGACTGTATCCAGCGCGACAGGTAATCCACGTACTGGTTTGAGTCATCTGCAAGAATTATTAGTACCAAATACAATGTTTGGATTTCCATCGAAAACTGTGGTATCAAAGGAAGCCATTTCGAAGGCTGTAACCTCTGCTGCATCACTTCTTCTAGGAATTCTGGATCTGCTAAATTGATGACATTTTCAACACGGGCTGTCAGCCAATCCACGTATGCGGGCTGTTGCAAACAAAAATTCGACTGGTTTGACTGTAATAGAAGAGGCCACTGGCATGCTAAAAATTTAGTGGTCCCGTCAGTCGTTGACGAACGAGCAGAAGACGAGGCCTGTGATATTGGAGTATCGGGCAAAGTTGCCGAAACACTGCTTGCATTGTCGGATTTTGAACTGGAAGAATGAAAAGATGTAGATGCTTGTTTGAGCGATCTTGACTGCTCTGGAGACTCTTGTTTAAAAACGTGGAAGGGACCGCTACCACTGTATTCACCATTCCGACTTTGCTCTTCCAACGCGGTCAGAAGTTCTGAGAGCTGCTGATTGACGAATTTTTGGCTGTAATCTTTGGTTTTCTTGCCGTGAACACAATCGAGTGCATTTTCATACAATTTAAGCCTTCGTACACTGATAGTGAAGGAAGTGGTCTTCTCGTCTTCTCCACTGTCACTATTATCATTATTAATATTATTATTGTTGTTGTTGTTGTTGTTGTCCCAGTTCTGTAATTCAGAGTCGTAGATCTTATCATCGTCCCTGCCGGTACCTTCGTCGTCCGAATTTGGCGGTGAAAGTTCGCGGAAATGTGTCCTTCGACAAAATTCCTGTTTGGACATTCTACTTTTGTTGCTTGTTCTGCATAGTTTCTTGAGTTTTTTCCAAGTGATGAGCTCTTTTGCTTCGTTCACTGAGAAGATGTTCTCATTTTGCCAAACCAGTCTAACGTCATAACAGCATTTATCGCCGTGGAGTAGACATAGTGAGCAATGTGGCTTCCGTTCGTCACAACGTCGTTTTTTGAATCGACATGCCCAGCATCCAGTGAAAGTTCGTGAATTGGCTTTTTCGCCAAGCACTCCTTTCTTCATTTTGTATCTTCTACTTAGCTGATCACCACACAGTCTCTGGTATCAAAGTTTCCGCAACCTCGCCTACAAAGAACTCAATTGTGACCACAATGGAATCCGGTTGGTAGCTCTTATTATATATCGATCATATTTTATTTGGTGAGTCTAGGCTAGCTGACTTCTCGCGTGATATCAGCATTTTCGTATGGTTGAGACATGAAGTTAACGCCTTGTGAGTTTGATGCGTTTAGTTCCTTTGGTGTAGTATGCAATTTCAAGGCTAGACAATATATTCAACGGGAATAATATGTCCGAGCTTTTAGAAACGACTTGGCAGGAGGAAGTGATCTGGCACCACAGCGTCAGTTTCAAGACTTGGTGATCCAGATTCGGCGGAGGATTGACACATAAATAGCAGGATTCTATTGTCTCCACCGAAGCTCTGCTTCATGCATTCCCTTGGTTTCTGGAATCTTGAACTTCACGTAGGCTGTGAATCCAGCAGCATAAACGGTGAAAATTAGGAAGACGTAACCACCCAGCCATTGGTGAAGAAACGGGAATCCGTACCCAACAACAAACGTGGCAAGCCAGTTGCAAGTGGTTCCGTAGCTTTGGGCAATGCCTCTTGCTTCCGGCGGTGAGAGCTCGGAAATAACCAGAAACGGGATGGGACCCACTCCAAGTGCGAAAACACACACGTAGATAATCGTGGATGTCACCAGAACGCCAGCGCTGTCAGTGAGTATTCCAGCAGAAACAAACGCCGTGGCAGCCGACATTGCACCTGCCGAGAAAATCAACAACGGCTTGCGTCCCCAATGATCCACGAGTAAAGAAGCACCAAACGTGGCCACCAGGTTAACGATGGATATCGCAAAATTCACCGCGAGCGCATACTGCGGTAATTGCCCACTGATCACCTTCACACCATAGAATATTATGGAATTGATCCCACAAAACTGCTGGCTCACCAAGATCGCGGTGATAGCCCACCGCGATTTGGTGTAGCGAGGATCGGTGAGATACTGCGTTATCGATAACCCGTCGTGTGTGTCTTGCGATGATCGAAGCGACGACTGTTGTGAAGCGGCTCTTGGTGAGGGGCTGACATTTCTCGGGTTTGAGCTGTAACTTCCACCCGCACCGCCTCTAGAACTACCACGAGCTGTGAGCCATTCTTCGACCTCGTCGCGGGTGTGATGTAGGTCTCCACCACGCAAGCTGTGTAAAACGCTTTCTGCCCCATCCACGTCACCCTGAGATGCCAACCAGACCGGGGATTCGTCCACTTTTAGAAGCAGTAATAAGTTTGTTAGCGCAAGCAGTGCTCCGGCGAACATCAGCCATCTCCAGCGGAACGAATCTGCCAAATAAAGCGCAAGCAGTTGGGTCAGCAGGATTCCAAAATTGATGCATACCTGGTTCATAGACCCCATAGAGCCACGCAGCTCTTTGGGAGAGATTTCATTGATGAAAAGGGATGTAACCACTACGGAGCTACCGCAACATATGCCTGCGATAAAACGACCCCCAATCAATTGTGCATACGTATTGGCAACGAATAGCGTCAGAGACCCGACTATACCAACAAAGCAATTTGCAAAACTGTAACGTTTACGACCGTATCGATCTGCCAATTTACCTGCATATAGAGAGCCTACAAGTCCGCCAACTGAAAAGATAGCAGTTGCAAGACCCACTTGTTGTTCAGAAAGCTCAATGCACTCGTTGAAACCATGAGATCCAAGCCACGTATGGCTGTACGGTATATCAGGCCATGGATTGTCGTATTTAGAACACGAAAGCACCTGTGCTGGTGCATTCAATTCAGCCATATGATAGCCATATTGAATAGATCCAAAACAAGCCACTAGTGTTGTGAATGCCAGAGATGGTGTCACCTTATGTCTTTTGGGCATGAGGGCTTGTGATTCCATTACGAGAGAGCCAAACAAATGCAAGATGTCCAGCTTTAGATCCGGTCTTTTTCACCCTGGCGATGCTAGATCTATAAGGGAGACCTGAGTTTATTGAGTGTGTGCTATCTGACACTTTAACTGAAATTGCAGGCGCGACGGTAAAAGCGAGGGTGATGGTAGGGATCAGAACGAAAAGCGTGCGGAAGCAAGTATGGTGGTGATAGATTCATAATGAGAGCTATATTTTGCGGGTTTCTCGTCTTCAGAGCGCTTCTTAATGTGTTCTTTTCAGCTGCGACACAGCCGTACAAACGGATAAGAAGTCGAGATTGAGGGTATAAAATATCCGGATTGAAGTCCAAAAGTAGGCATTTAGAGCTAGTTCATGTGTTGTGTAGAGACCAATATTTCATGGTGGGAGGATTCTAGATTTGGGCTAAGGTTAAGATGTCAAGAGTAAATTCCAAGGCAAGGCGTCTTTGATTGAACCAGTGGTGGTAATTAAAGTTTTTGACGTATATTAACATATTAAAAAATGACGTTTTCTTTTCACGATGTGAAATATCCCAGTGGCCAAAAAGTAATCAGGAAGAATGGGTGAAGAACTATCGGCAGATCAGATTCCTATAAGCAAATTCCATAATAAGATGCTTAAAAAGAATCTCCAACTTGAATTTGAAGTCCGACATAGTCACGTGATATACACAGCTGTTAAGATCAAATAGTTGCACTACGTATCCTAGCTAAGACCAAGACTCTCCAATTTACTCCTGAAAGCTTTCATATAAGGCCTGCTGCGAAGACTGCAATTTTCCCACCATCAATTCCTCTTATTTCAAGCAAAATAGCCTATACTCCAGGACCCGATCAAATTTTTGTTTACGCGACGAGACCAGTTCTTTGAACGAAAAGCAGTCTCTAAGTCAATCTCATCACGCGTGCAGTCACAACCTTTTCAATGTAGGGCTGTATTACAGTACAAAACACACGTCACAGCCGTACAGAGTGACAAAATAACGCACACTCTATTCTTACTGTCACATTACAATCTTTTTAGCGCTGACACTCTTTCGAATCCATAGCTATAATTTTCGTTCCTGGAGCTTCTTCAACTTCCACAAAAAGTTCTGTTTCTATACTACTTCGTACGTCCGAACATTTTCTACTTTTGCTTGTGACTGCTTTTTTTCAAAATATTTTTCAAAAATCAAAAATTACAAAAAACAATTCGGATTTTGACACCCACGCAAAAAATTGAAATATTTCACCCACGCACTCGAATCCACTGCTTCATCGATATTTTCCAAGTTCAAAACTATTAGATGGTCGCTTTGAATCTTGTTATGCTTGACACACGTTTTAGTTTCATTTTTGACTTACGACTTTAGACAACAAAGATGCCAACTAGATTCACCAAGACCAGAAAGCACAGAGGTCACGTCTCAGGTATGTAGTTCCATGGAAGAGGGAACGAAAGAACCAAGACGTTGATTTTTCTGGGACGAGGAAGAACAGACGCAACGTGGACATAAGAGGGGAACAGTGCAAGCGTCGAGAAATTGCACACCGGTGTGCTTAACTGTACATTTTTGAACTTTTCTCGCGGTTGCTTTTCTGTTTTTATTGAAGTTGTAGGACTTGTGGAATAAGATTAATCTTACTTCCTTTGGAGTCCTTTTTACCTAGCTTCTCTTCCAGGAAGTGGGGTCTCTCTTTTTCATGCGGAGAAACTAGCCCTTCCAGTAACCTCGATCCAGCTGTTGCGCTTCTCGCGCCCAAGGGACTCACAAAATTAACGCCTATGGCTCATTTTCGTCCATATAATCAACTCAAACTTTTTTACTAACGCACTGTTATAGCCGGTAACGGTCGTGTCGGAAAGCACAGAAAGCACCCCGGTGGTAGAGGTATGGCCGGTGGTCAGCACCACCACAGAACCAACTTGGACAAGTACCACCCTGGTTACTTCGGTAAGGTTGGTATGAGATACTTCCACAGACAAAACGCTCACTTCTGGAAGCCAGTCTTGAACTTGGACAAGTTGTGGACTTTGGTCCCAGAGGACAAGAGAGACGAGTACTTGAAGTCCGGCTCCAAGTCTGCTGCCCCAGTCATCGACACCCTAGCTGCTGGCTACGGTAAGGTCTTGGGTAAGGGTAGAATCCCTGACGTTCCTGTCATTGTCAAGGCCAGATTCGTCTCCAAGTTGGCCGAAGAGAAGATCAGAGCTGCCGGTGGTGTTATCGAATTGATCGCCTAAGCATAATAATCTTTTACTGCGCTCTTTTTTAAATTCAAAAATGTGTAAAGTAATAGATGTCTTTTGAGCCGTTTTCATAAAAACTCATTCTCCTGTACATTAGAAAGTGTAGTGTTTAAAATCATAACTGGAAATCGATGTCTCTGCTATTGAGCGGCTGGAACAGACGGTTGATTACAGTTCGGAATTATCGCGATGAGCTTGACCGATTTCCAAGTATTCAGTCGAATAAATTGATTGTTTATTTCACTAACTTTACATATAAAATCTTGAACTTTGAGAAAGTCATCAAGAATAGCAGTTCTCGCTACTTCAACACACTGTTTTACGCTCCGGGGTTGCGTTACAATAGATCATTCACAATGACTACAACTTCTGTGTGGAAACCCGAGGATCACGTACCGCAAGAGGTCAAAGATCTTCTTTCCAGCTCTGATCAAAACCATGTTTTGGCTTTTATGCATGTGGTAGAATTACTCAAGGTTCAAAAACGTACAGGTTGGTTGGACCACAACATCAAAGAGTGCGAGAGCATTGCTGACCATATGTATCGTATGGGTATTACAAGTATGCTCATTACGGACCCTGCTGTCAACAGAGATAAATGCGTGCGTATCGCTATGGTGCACGATATTGCCGAATCTCTGGTGGGTGACATCACGCCTTTTGATCCTGTGGGAAAGGAAGAAAAGCACTTACGGGAATTGGCTACGATCAATTATCTGTGCGAAGAACTAGTCAAACCGTACAATCCAGTTGCCGCGCAAGAGATTTTGGACGATTGGCTCGCGTATGAAAATATAGGCTCTTTGGAAGCCAGATACGTCAAGGACATTGACAAGTTCGAAATGCTAGTCCAATGTTTCGAATACGAAAAGAGAGCAGGCGGAAAGCGAGACTTGAATCAGTTCTGGGATGCCATCAAGAGCATCAAGACCGAGGAAGTACAAGGCTGGGCCCGTAATCTAGTCCAAAAGCGCGAAGCTTTTTACTCTAATCTGAGCAATTGAGATATTCTCCATCCTTCGAGATTTTTCACTTTACTTATCTATTCACAATCTAATTGCATTACACAGCGTATAAAAAGTAGCCGAGGATTTGAGGGCTAAACAAACTGAATGTTGTCGTGTCCAAAAATCAGAGATCCCAAGCAGTGCCTTGCTGCTATGGCCGTAAGTCCAATCAGCAATTGAATGGTCAAAATCCTATTGCACAATTTATCTTCGCGCATGGGTCCCCACCAAACAAGCACTAGGTTTATTAGCGTCATATTTGTGCAGCTCTTGATTTCCTTGGTCTTCGGTTCAAAATGGAGGTCTATCAACTTTAACTTGTGTAGAATTCGAAGAATCGGTAGCATAATTTTCTTTGGTGGTTTTTCAGAGAATTCGGCCCTTGACGGATACAGCAAGCCATCCTTTTCCTCGAACCTTGGCATTCGATGTCTGGGACAAGGTACCAGGCCGAAAAGCTGTGGACAAGAATAGGCGAAATTGAAAGTTTGAGGAATGAATAGTAACAGGGTAGTCTTAGAGAAATGACCAAGAATTCCAACCACTGAGAAAATCATTCCTGCGAAATAACAGAATGTGTCACCAACAAAAACCTTGGCTGGCCATTTGTTCCATTTCCACAGTGCCAAAGCCACTCCTAGAAAGGGAATGATCAGGATTGCCGAAAACCGGTGGGCTTCCTTGGACGCTTCATTCCCTAGCGCCAAGTATAGTGCGTCGTTGATCAAAGATATAACACCCAGCACTATACTTTGCCCCACTTCCAAACCATTGACACCGGCGAGAATGTTGATAGAATTCGGACAGAAAATGGCCATGGACGCCATGTACACGTAGTAAAAAGCACCTAGGTTCAATACAGTTTTTGAAGTTCGGAACCAGCTTTTGACCGCGTCTGGAATCAAAACGTAAGTTACACTGAAGTCCACATAGTATACCACGAGAAGCGGGATTGCTGCCACAGCGGGCAAGAAAAACTTGTGTCTCCATCTTAGGTCGAAGAGGTCATCTGCCATTCCCAAGAGCACTGTACTCTGCAAACACAGAACAGCGCTCAGGTACTCAGACATTTTGCCGTGTGGGAAAAGATACTCTTCTTGCCCGATTGATTCCAACACGGAAACGTCCCTGTGTCCCCCACCGGACGTAGTAACCACCAGGTACTTGTAAAATAGGAATGGGATGTAGAAAAACATGATGAACAAGTAAACCATTGCTGAAACTGCACCAATGGACTCAGGAATAACCGGTTTTCCCGGCTTGCTTAGATCTTTGCCAAATAGTCCCTTTTGGATAAAAGAAGGCGATACACATGGGATCAAAACGTCTGTGGCCTGGTATCCTATGATTGCGAACGCAATTGCAGCCAGGAGTGGCGAGTAATGTCTCGAAAAGTACAGAAGAGTTATGGCGATCAATATCAGCAGATATTGTCGCATTCTGGGCCTTTATATCGTGTTCAAATCCTTGTTTTACTCAAGAAGTTGTTAACACTTGGTATCATCTAGGCATTGAAATCGAATATTAAATATGATCTTCAAGATATTTCGAGATTTAACAATCGAAGAACAACTAAAGACTACCAAAGATTGAGCTGAAGACTTATAGATAGCTCAATTCAAACGTTGCAATATCAATTACTCAAGAATGAAGCCTTTTGTTACAGGCCATGAGGACTTGGTCCACGATTTGGCGTACGATTTTTATGGCAGACACGTTGCTACATGTTCATCGGACCAGCACATCAAAGTTTTCAGGTTGGATAGAGAAACGAACGAATGGCAGCTGAGCGATTCTTGGAAAGCTCACGATAGCTCAGTGGTAAGTCTGGATTGGGCAAGCCCAGAATATGGAAGAATTATTGCCTCAGTTTCATACGACAAGCTGATTAGATTATGGGAAGAAGAACCAGATGCTCCAGAGTGTTCAGGACGCAGATGGACCAAGCTTTGCACGTTGAATGATGCTACAGGCCCACTTTTCAGCGTGAAATTTGCCCCGGGCCATTTGGGTTTGAAGCTAGGAGCTTTAGGCAACGACGGAACTCTAAGAATATATGAAGCGCTAGAACCATCGGATTTGAGGTCCTGGAGTCTAACGTCTGAAATTCCCGTACTTGGATCTCCACCCGCTTCTCATCTACAGTCTGATTTTTGCCTGACATGGTGCCCGTCCAGATTTCTGCGCGAAACTCTACTTGTATGTGCTTTAGACCAGGCCTTGATCTACCAAAAAGACAAAAATGACAAAATGTACGTGGCTGCTAAGCTTGAAGGTCATGAAGGCCTGATCAGATCCGTCAGTTGGGCCTCCTCAATTGGCAGATGGTACCAGTTGATCGCCACTGGTTGTAAAGACGGGAAAGTTCGAATTTTTAAAGTCACGGAAACATTGAAGGGCGCAGATGGAGGCAAACGCGATGAAGATTCCATGAGCGTTGATCAAGATAGCGATTCTTCTGAAAACAACGGCAAGGATTCCGGACTGAATGTTGAGTTGGTCAGTGAAAGTGCTGACCACAAGGGCGAGGTGTGGTCTGTATCTTGGAATCTAACTGGCACCATCCTCAGCTCTGCGGGAGACGATGGGAAAGTTCGTTTGTGGAAATCATCGTACTCGAATGAATTTAAGTGTGTTTCTGTCATCAGCGCTCATCAGCGGTCATGAAAAGAGCTGCCAGAAATCTGTGTGTAAGCCAAGAAACAAAGCCGGTCGAGGCGTTGGATGGATGGAATCGAGAAAGAACTTCAGTTGAAGGTGCAAACCTGCTGAACTGTTCAAGTGGAAAGTTTATGTGACGCATCTCGGTTGATGTCGCCAAGCGACAGTTGTTTGAACTCGACCAAACAGCTGCTACTCAAGTATTTGTTTAAGCAGAGGGATCAACAAGGTCTTGCGGTCAAGAACATACAAGAGTGGAAATGATAATTTACGCTGTGATAACAAGGTTGGGGGAAAAGAACTCAATGTTATGATGAGCACAGATACGGCCGATTGAAGAGTGTTGTTAGGCTAGCATTACTGTCGCGCTCTGAATTCAGTACAGAGACTGCATCGCGTTCTTCATGAAAGGCGTCACGAAATGGCAATATATATATATGAGCCTACAATTGTTGTCCAAGTTCCAGGTCCATATATATACTGTTGTAAATAATAGTTCTTGGATTCTCAGTCTTGCAGCGTAGTATTCAGACTTTTGGTGACAGCGTCAGAACTAAATTTGAAAGGCCCGCGACCGATGTGATGTAATGTGCTGAGGAGCGAGCAACACGAAAGTCTGACCGGAGGTGAATGTTGCAGACAACAGTTGACGAACGCCTTGTGCGGGATTGGCACGATCACAGTTTCAAACCAGGAGCCAGTTAGTGTAAAACAACTGACGAATTTAGAGACTGCGAGTTTTGGTAAATGTGTTACGTATGTGTTATGTAGAGGAGGTGGCAATATGAAAGGTGGGATGTTGCAAAGAAATACGGTTTCGAAGAACGAGATCCGAGGAGACATATAGTCAGGGACATGATGAATGAAAGCGGGCAGATTCAATGGCTTGGATGTAGCGTCAAATTCGTGACAGAGAGATTTAGGGCACGTGACATAGCGACAGCCATGGAGACTATGAAATTCAAGCAGGCCAGTTTCATTTGGCCAGCACCGGGGTGGTACCCCATGTAGCGGGTCCATGTGGTCCAGAGTTTCAATAAAGAAGACGTTTCTAGAATTCAAATATCTTTTTGCTTAAAGGCTCTCAATTTTGAGAAAGAATCCTACTACAAGTCTTACGGCAACTACCGTATTTCACGAGAGATCACGTGCAAGTGTGTGTGTGTGGGTGTGTGTGTGTGTTTGTCTGTCCATATTGGGAGCCCAAATCAAGCCCCATTTGGGACCCGCTTAAATTTTGTCCGTACAATGTCGTAGCCCGTTTGCACCTTGTCCGTAACAAGGCACAGCCCACTTAAAACTCAGCCGTACAAAACCACAACCATGTTGTATCTTATCCGTACATAACCACAACCCGCCTGCGACCCGACCGTACAAAACCACAACCATTTTGTATCTTGTCCGTACATAACCACAACCCGCCTGAGACCCAACCGTACAAAACCACTACCCATTTTAACCCACAAGCTCCAAAACTCTTTCCAGCTCCCTCACCGCGTATTTTTGGGAGCTCTCTCCATATCCCGCAACAGGCTGCGCCCTTTTACCAGACACAATTACCATTCTTCAAGCTTTGTCCCGATTCCGCTTATTATGACTAGTATTTCGATGTCGTCCTGTGAGCAATATACATAGTTGCTACTGACCGCAGTGTTTCACGTGCCGGTGTTCTTACATACTCTCTTACACTACGCCACATTGTGTTGATTGTTGTCCGGGCCATGTTTACGGGCTGGCCAAGATTTCTTGAACGGGCACGAATCAGGTATCGCACTGCGAGACCGTTATACAGTTGCGTTTTGCCTCCTTCTACTAAAATTGCAAACCGGTTGGTTATTCCTCAGTGATGTGTGGTGTCTATGCAGTGTGGAAGCAACGTCTGTTGCTCTTGTTTAAGTTTTTGTATCAGCCGTATCTGCCGCATCTGCTGTGTCTACTGTGTTTGTTGTATTTACTGCTTCTCTTTCTTGTGTCTGTTTTTCTTATTATATAAAGCCTGTGTTTTCCTCTTAGATCTCAACGTTCTTTAACCATATCTTACAGCAACTCTTCAAGAACATTCTTTAAACTGGGAACTTGACTGGCTCAAGAAAAACTTATATTTAAAGAACCTGTTTCCAGCCTTTATTTTGTTTTAGCCCTCAACTCGTTTTGGAACCCGTTCGTCTTATCAATCTCATTTAGCTCGCTCTTCCCCTTTCAAAAGACAAAAAACTTTGGTTCCACACACACTTTTGTCTTCTCTGTTCACCACTTCAACAACAACAACAACAACAACAACAAAAACAACACCAACGCACTCACATTCAATATGACAAACCCAACAGAACGTTTTTCCAGCACGTCGTCAGAACACCACTCCACCAGTCACCACCAACACTCGAACTCCAAGTTCTACGAACTGGCTCCTCTGGACAAGAAGGGCCAACCGTTCCCTTTCAAGAAACTGGAAGGCAAAGTGGTGCTGATCGTCAACGTAGCGTCCAAATGCGGCTTCACGCCGCAATACCAGGACCTCCAAGAACTCTACAAACGCTACCACGACAAGGGCTTCGAAATCATCGGATTCCCCTGCAACCAGTTTGGCAAACAAGAACCGGGCACAGACGAGGAAATCGGCCAGTTCTGCCAAGTCAACTACGGCGTAACTTTCCCAATCATGAAAAAGGTCAACGTCAATGGCTCAGACGCAGACCCTGTGTGGGAGTATCTCAAACAGGAGAAACCAGGCATGTTGGGCTTCAAGGGCATCAAATGGAACTTTGAGAAGTTTCTCATCGACAAACACGGCAACGTTCACGACCGTTACTCGTCGTTGACCAAACCAGCCAACCTTGACCACACGGTGGAAAAACTGCTAAACAGATAGGGAAAACAACAGCACTACTGCAACCGTGTAATAATAATATAGGGATGTAATTTTAACCAGGCAAGTAACTAACTACACAACGAACTGACCGACCAGGTAGCCAACTAGTTAGTGGCTGATGGACTGACTAAAAACTTTTGTTTAAGTTGAAGAGACCGGATCGGCCAGAACAGACGTTGTGGGAAAATGACATGAATTTTATGCTCTAGGCTCGTACGTCGTCCAGTTGGGCCCTTTTGGCTGAGGAATTTTCGTGGCCTTCGATGTTGGCTCCAGCTTCAGCATCAGCTTCTGCAGATGACTCGCGTTTGCCATAGCCATTCACGTCTGCATCGTGTTCGGCATTGTGGGTTCCATTTCCATTTCCATTGGTCTGGTCAACAGCGTTTTCCGCCTCTGCCATTTTTTCTGCAATTTGGTCCTCCTCTGCTAAACGGTGCTTCATCGCATCGTCCAACACCACCCCGGCATTGAACTCCTTCTCCAAACACTGCAACAGCGTTATCGCTCGTCTATTCAGCTCAATAGGCGTACGACTCTGAAAGAAAAAATCCAGCTCAAACAGCGGACAATCACGAATCTCGTCCCGGATCAGCTCGTACACGTTTTCGCGGTCGATGCCGTACTTGAATAGCATCAACAACAAGAACCTGTCTTCTTCTTCCGAGAAAACACGCTTGTTGTTGTTGGAAGGTGGATGTTTGAGTTTCAGATCGAACAATGGGTTGGTGCACTGCGCAATCTTGCGGCGCAGCGATTCCTGCTGCAGCTTCGTGCGTCTGATCCTTTCCTCTTCCGCCTCGATGTTTTTGATATACCGCTCATAGTCCTCCACACGCTGTATGTTGGCCCAAAACGCCTTGGCGTAGTCCCGCACCTCTTGCTCGGTCTTATGTGGTGCAAAATCCAACGCAATCGCCTTGATCGAGTTTCTGCCGTATTTGCCACAAGATGCTATGAATTTACGGAAATCGTTCTTGTTCCAGTTCGTAAATCCTTCTGCCTCCAGTTCGGCCTTCTGTTTCACTTCCTCTTCGCTCAGCGGTTGGGCGTTGCTCACTGACAGTAACAGTAAGTTCAACTTCTTCTGTCGCTCCTCTTCGTCCGCAATGTCCCCATAAGTATTCTTCACATCATCCATCGTTGGCACATAGTTGTTTTTCTTGGTGTTCCACATTCTTTCTTTCTCATAAAGAACTTTTAGTTGCGGCGACAGAAGCTGATGACTGTTGAACGGCTGCGGCCTTGGCATCCGCGGTTGAGCCGGAGTGGTGGACCTGCCGGGATTCAACTTGTCCTTGTAATAACCATCGATGTTATAGTTTTCCTTCCGCTCACGCTTTGTGGGGTTCATAAGACTTGGACTTATAATTTCCTTGTGCGTGGTTTTCTTGAAGTCTTTGCCATTCCATTCGTAAGCCGAGTCCTGGTTGAATTTTTGCAAATCATCTAGTCCGAGCGCCTCGTACTTTTGATTCAAAGACTGCGTTTTATCTTCCGATTTGGAAAGAAGAGCGTCTAAATCCAAATCTCCGTCAACATCGCCAGCAGAATTTGGCTGTGGTGTTCCCTTGCTGCTGGAAGCTTCGCTGTTGGAGTTGAACACATCAGCGGCTCCATGTTGAATCATAGTCAATAGAGCATCCTTTGTATCGTTTTTCTTCACTTCCTTATTGTTTGCAGCACCTCTACCCTGTTGAATGACCAGCTGGTCTAATCTTAACTTTTGAGTGGCTCTTTCCAAAATCTTCTCCTCAACCGAGTTATCGGTCACTAATCTAAAGACTTTGACCTGCTTTTTCTGCCCAATTCGATGCGCCCTATCCATAGCTTGTAAATCGGCCTGAGGATTCCAGTCAGAATCAAATAAAACAACAACATCCGCAGTCGTCAAGTTGATACCCAAGCCACCAGCACGGGTCGTCAGTAAAAACACAAACTTTTTGGAATCGGGTGCATTGTACTCGTCAATCGCTTCAATTCTATCCTCATGTGCTGTAGAACCGTCGATTCTGCAGTACTGATATTCTCTGAAGAAGCAATAATCCTCCATAATGTCCAGAACCCTCGACATTTGGCTGAAAATCAACACTCGAGAACCTTCCTCTTTATATTTCTTCAAGAGCTTATCCAGAACTTTCACTTTGGCAGAATTGTATATCAAATGCTCGTCTGTAGTATATGGAGGGCCTGGTTCGGCACCGTCAAAAAGATATGGGTGATTACAGCATTTTCTTAGTTGCATCATGATGTTCAGTAGTCTGGTCTTGGACTCTTTCACTCCATTAGATCCATTCACAGCGTCAATATCTTTTTCTAAAATCTGCTTGTACCATTTTTTCTGCATCGTGGACATACCAATGTAAAGATTTAGCTCTTTTTTGGGTAGAAGAGATGTTTCCACTTCGTTTTTCAGTCTACGCAGCAAAAATGGTTGAAGAACAGTGTGCAACTGTCTAACCACTTTTTCTTTGTCTTCTTCCGTCGATTCGGCGGAGAACCAATCATCAAAAGCTTGAGAATCAGAGAATACGTCTGGGAGCAAGAAATTTAATAGGGCCCAGAGCTCATGTAAATTATTCTGCAATGGAGTACCAGTGATTAGCAGTCTGTTGCGAGAGGAAAATTCTCTGAGGACTTGCGACAGTAAAGACTCCTCATTTTTGATTCTGTGCGCTTCATCAATCACAATGTACTGCCAGTCAATTTTCTTGAACGAGCTCTTTTCTTTGATGATGATCTCGTAGGATGCTACGACGATTTCGAAGTCGCAAGCCAAAAGCTTTCCGGAAACTAATTTTGCTCTCTCTTCTTTATCACCCTGTAGAATAAATGCTCTAACTTCAGGGGTCCACCTGTTGATTTCCCTGAGCCAATTGTTCAGCGTGGACTTTGGAGCGATGACCAAAAATGGGCCTGGTGTTTTTTCCACGTACCTCAGGTACCCCAAGAACGATATAGTCTGTAATGTTTTCCCCAGACCCATTTCGTCGGCCAAGATCCCAGCTAGACCATTTTTGTGCAATTGCACCAGCCAGTTCACACCTTGGATCTGGTACGGTCTAAGCGATCCGTTGATAAAAGGTGGTGATTCAGTAAAACGGAACTCGATTTCCCCATCAACCTCATCTTCCTCTTCTCGCAGAAGTTCTGCATCCTCTTCCCGCTCGGTTTTCCGTCTTCTTATGTCGTGATGAACTCCGTTTTTTGAGCCTTTACCTCCCGTTGGATTGTCTAAAATGCTCAAAACTCGCTGAAACTTGGCGTCTTTTGCGGCCTTACGCTCAATGAAGTGACGAAATAGTCCACTTAGATTCAGCAAATGCTGGAACCTCTTTATCGTACCTTCAAGATCGAATTCTGATTTTTTGGAATCCTTAAGTAGGTACTTTTCCTTGTTGAGATTCAAGTCCCAAGCAGGAACACCTTCTTGAAAAGGTACGAGGGCTTCCACGTACTCTTTATTATCCATTGAAACTTCCAAAAAAAAATGAGCTCAGTGACTTTCAATATATATTCAAATGGTAGCTTGAAGAATGAGGAGACAATTCGGTAGCTATCCGTCTCGTCCTGTTTTAATTTGAACAACACACTTGTTCATCAGCTTTATTTTCACATTTTGTATAGTTGATCTACTATATCTTCAAAATAGTGAAAAGACTCATGAGTACTTTCTTTAAAGATTCGATATTTAACGATTCATTCACGGTCTTGCCAGTACATAATGGTGAAGTATCGTCTCAGTATAGACTACCAATGTGTGGTATTGAAGTGTCTCAAAGTCTTTTAGCGCATGCCAACAAGCCTCCTTGTGCTTTGCGTATTGTGCGCGACAAGTATATTCTATTGGGAACGTACGATCTGGACAAAGAAAGTGGGTTGAGAACAGGCTCAATCGAGATCAGAGACCTTGAATTGCGATTGATACAGCAATATAATACTTATGGAGCGATTCTAGATCTCAAAGTTTCCCCGTTTGACGATACCCTGCTAGCAAGTGCACACTCGACAGGTAATGTACAACTATGGAAAATTCATATGGACGACGATGATGTTTTCCAGAGGCTAGATACGCTGGCCAATTTGCAGGTTTTTGAGCCCACAGTGCTAGTCACTTCTTTGCATTTTTCTCCCCTAGACCCCCGCTGCGTTGTTGTAACTGCTACCAGTGGAGAAACGAAGGCATTGGACATCCAACACTCTTCAACTACTTTCTCAGCGGATGCAGTTGGCAGCGCTTACGATAAAATAGAGAAACAGCAGATTCAGGTCCAGGACCAAACTGTGGCGACGACCAATGTTCCAGGTAGGCTTTTTGATCATCGGCACGACCTGGAGGGCTGGATAGCAGAATTTGGTCAGCTTGCGCCGTTCGAGAACGTGCTGTTTACCGGAGGTGATGACGCCACTATTGCAGCTCACGACCTGCGTTCCGGGGCCAACATATGGACGAACTCAAGAATCCATGAAGCCGGAGTTGTGGCTATCAAGACCAGTACCCCAACTTTCCGCGTCTCGAAGCCCACCAGCATTGTCACCGGCTCTTATGACGACCACATACGAACACTCGATTTGAGAATGTTGGGAGATAGCATTTATCCAGGCCACAACATACCTTTGGCCAAGACAAATAGCCTGAATCTGGGTGGTGGAGTCTGGCGCTTTGTCGAGTCCCCACAGAACTCAAGATCTAACCATTTGAACAAGCTTCTCGTGTGCTGCATGTACGACGGTGCCAAAATCGTCACCGTAGGAGAAGATGACGAGCTAAGTGTGGAGTGTTACATGAAGAAGAACCACGAATCTATGTGCTACGGTGGTGATTGGAGCACCGGTACGATCGCTACGTGTTCATTTTACGATAAAGTTGTTCAGGTATGGGATGAAGCGTCTTGAAGGCCGGGAATTACTCGTTAAATAAGAAGTTTCCGCTTTTCCTCCGGAAGTCCTTTTGCAGTGGCGAATAACTAGAAACAGACGCTCCCATACTTGCTGAAATGGACGTCCCGTCCTGGAACACTCTCCAGTCAGAGAGTGTACTACTACCAAGTCAAGTTCAAAGTACTCACTAAGAACGAAGGTCTCAGCAGTTCGAAAATTTTAGTATTAGAAAGCTCATCGCATCCTTCGCCATCGCCGCCAAAGGTTCAGAACAGCACCAATCGATACTCCAGCAATGCCTCCAAGAGAATCAACTAAGAAATGGAAACCTCCAAAGGGTCCCAAGCCCATTCAACGTAAAAACAAGAACACTATTGGTCTTGGTAGGGCTATACAAAGTGCTCGTGCAAAGGAAAACGAGGTCCAAGTGTTGCCAGATGGTGAACTTCGTTTCACTACCGACAAGCATGAAGCTAACTGGGTCAAACTGAGCTCCGTCACCCAGGAGTCTGCTTTGGACGAGTTCTTGAACACAGCAGAACTCGCTGATAAAGATTTCGCTGCAGACAGACACTCTAATGTCAAAATCATAAGAATGGACGCTGGAAGTGATTCAAGATCACAGGAAGTTTCTTTGACAAATAGTCAAAAACAGAAAGTGAATGAGCTACAAAGAAGCCAGGCAAAAAACCTCATTGTTCCCAGAAGGCCGGCGTGGAATGAGAGCATGACTCGCTTGCAATTAGATAGACAGGAGAAAGAAGCGTTCTTGAACTGGAGACGAAAATTAGCCACTCTCCAAGAAACCAACGAAGATTTGCTGCTGACACCTTTTGAAAGAAATATTGAAGTCTGGAGACAACTATGGAGAGTGACTGAAAGATCAGACTTGGTGGTGCAGATCGTAGATGCTCGTGACCCACTGCTTTTCAGATCAAGAGACTTGGAGCTCTCTGTCAAAGAGCTAGACGACAGGAAACAGAACTTGCTTCTTATCAACAAGGCCGATCTGCTCACCAGAAAACAGAGAATAATATGGGCTAAGTATCTCCTGTCGAGAGGCATATCGTTCACGTTTTTTTCTGCTGCTAGGGCAAACGAGATCCTAGAGAAGCAAAACGAACTGGGCGAAGAGTACATTCCCAAAGATGAGGAAGAAGAGGAAATTACAGAGGTCGATGGCGAAGCGGTTGACGCTGAAGTCTTAGAAAAAATCCAAATTTTGAAAGTCGACCAGCTGGAACAGCTCTTTTTGGAAAAAGCGCCAAAGGAGCCCCTCGTCGCACCTCTTCCCGGAAAAGAATCAATAATACAAATTGGTCTGGTTGGGTACCCTAACGTGGGTAAATCGTCTACAATCAACGCACTGGTTGGTGCCAAGAAAGTTTCGGTGTCTGCTACACCTGGTAAAACCAAGCATTTCCAGACCATCAAATTGTCGGACCGTGTTATGCTGTGCGACTGTCCTGGTCTAGTATTCCCCAACTTTGCATACAATAAAGGTGAGCTTGTCTGCAACGGTGTTTTGCCTATTGACCAGCTTCGAGACTACATTGGACCATGTAGTCTTGTGGCGGAACGGATTCCCAAATACTTCATCGAAGCCACTTATGGTATCCACATCCAGACAAAGTCGGAAGAAGAAGGCGGAAATGGAGTCCCTACAGCCCAAGAAATTTTAGTTTCCTATGCCAGAGCGCGTGGTTATATGACTCAGGGTTTCGGTGCTGCTGATGAGTCCCGTGCCAGCAGATACATTTTGAAAGATTACGTGAATAGTAAGCTGCTTTACGTCAATCCTCCACCTCACCTAGAGGATGACACTCCTTACTCCAAGGAAGAGTGCGCTGAATTTAACAAAGAGCTGTACACTTTCGAAAAGCTTCCTGAGTCCAGGCAAGAGCAGCTGGCGGATGCTGCCAAACACAGAAATATCGAAGGTTTTGATTTGGCCCGTGACTTAAGCAAACTAACTTTTTCTGCACACATTGGACAGGGAGCAGACGGACAAGAAGCTAGATCAGTCAACCATGGTGGTAAGCAGGCCGCTCTTCACAATGCTGCCCAGGACCTGGACGACGAATTTTTCAAACTCAACAGTGTTCGCGGTCATTTAACATCGCCCTTTCACAAGTCGCTCAACAGCAACGACAATGGGAAGAAACACAACAAGAAAAACAAGAAAAGCAAAAAGAAGTCATCAGCATTGGATTGAGATATCATAAGTAGCATTATAAAGTAATTGAACAAGGCACCATCATTTTCTCTCGAACTCGGGCTTCTACACTATTATGACGGTTAGGGCTCTCACGTAGCAGTTCATCGAGGTTACCCGCAGCTCAGCTCGATGAGCTATAAAAGAAGTGATAATTAATTTTGAACATAGCTTCTCGGCTCTCACTTTTTAAAAAACCAGTGGCTCTTAACACATTTCGACATGTTCAATACATCGTTTTGATCATCTGGGTTATTGCTGGGAGTTTTTTTCAGCTTTAACCTCGTTTTCGCAAGAAGACAATTTGACCAGAATGCTCCACGCATGAAGAATAAGCTCAAGTAGCCCATAGCTGGATTATTCCTTACGCCCTTTTCGCTAACAACGACTGAAACCCACAGATCGTAGTTTGATAGTAGATGGGCGGACATTTACATACATAATTTAGTGCCTTGTTCGCGGAAACGTGGTACATCTCTTTGACTAAAAAACAGTAGATCTTGATTTTTCTTGGAACTAGCCCTGATTAGAGAAGAGAGCCATACGGCCACATAATGGTCTTTTCTCTTGAATTAATGGTGTTTAACGCTAGTATGTGTCAAGTACTAATTCAAGAAGCGCTAGGTTTTGGGTATGAATTGAAACATGCTATTACATTGTTCAACAAGAGCCTCGAATCCATCAGAGATGATATCCAGCGCCTGCGAGATCTCGGAGATAGTATGTAAAGAGATTAGTTTGGGTCTAAACGCATTCCGAAATCCAATTCTCGAGAGTTGTGTGCCTCTTGATTCAATTTGGCAAAATTCTCAAACTTTATGAAGCTATATTGGCAATGACAGCTGGATCATGATCTCTGAATCACAATTGAGCCCTATGATCCACGATGAGCTGTAAATAAATTTGAACTATGAAACCAAGGCAAGGTCTCACAGAGCTCATCCAAATTTTGTAGGGCCCAAGCATTCTCTTTTGCAGACACTGAGCGCCATAAGACCTTAATTGCACTCAATTATACCCTCACCTTCATCCGAAACGACATTTTCTAAGAGTGATGCTCTCCAGAGAGAATCCTCCCAAATTAAACCTCCCAAAAGCTAGGTAATTTACGTCCCGAATTTTCCTCTGTATAACAAATCGCTGGTCTTACGCTTAAACTGTTTAAATTCCGGTTGTACGTCTTGGAAGATGGTATTCCGCTGAACAAAGTTGTGCTCTTGGTAATTTTCGGTATTCAAAGCCATTCTATCGACATTTTGACCTTTCCAAGCCAATTGAAAGCCAAAGTTCCGCAATCCCTCAACAGTCGATTCCAACATTCACTGGTCGTACAATTTTTGGAGGTTTTACCAGATGCGCTGGCCACCAGGAAAAGAAAAGTGCATAACCATATTAAGCAAGCAAATTCATGGCTCGCTTTCTTCATATAGCTTTACCACGCAATATGACAGAAATAGTTCCTAAAGCGCTGGAAAGTAGCAGCCAGTATGTATCATGAATCTGGATTTCAGCCTGATCTGGACTTTTTCGCTCTTGAAAGCTCGATTTCGTTCATTGAATCTGGTATTCTGACATTGCATACGTTCCAATTCTCCAAGGGCTCCTGGTGAAGGCTAATCATCAACTAAGAAGCCCGGAACTTACCCTTTTAATCCGTTGTGCGATAGTCCTGAGAATGTCTGGTCATCGCATTTAAGCTCCCCTTAGCATAGTTCAACGTAAGCTAGCGCACGTTCAAAGCTTTTGTCTTAGAATGGGTCCAATCCTGGCGCTACTTCGTCATCACAGATCCTGGAATATCTAAATCTAACAAACAACTTCTTGAACATTTATCGCAACACCGCCATTTTACAATTTGAGAAGCCCATTAAGATATCCTGACTAGCAAATACGAACGGTGATATTCATGACATGAGAAAAATGGCACCTGAATCCATTTCCCTTGCTTTCCATGAGTTTTTGTTTCTTGTTTGATTCCTTATATGAATTGAAATCGAGGTTACCATACTCATCTAGTTTACCAAACTAAACAAAAATCAAGAAAGAAGCCCAGATGACAGCTATTTCCGAGACCTTATCATACACCAAACATGCATTCGAAACTTGTCATCTTCCAGCTTTATCTTCAGACGAAGAACCTGCGTTAAAAAACGTTCTGAGTGCCAAACTATGCTCAAATCTCGACGTCTTGCGGAAATCAGTGGTGAACAGCAAGATCGAAGGTAAAGAGCATGAGAGAGATGCTGACAGCAAAGGGGATTTTGCAAGATTCCAGGATCAGTTCGCTGATATACAATATACTGTTTCCATGGTTCATCATTCTTCAATGTCAGCCTTGAAAGAACAATACGCTAAGCACATGGAGTCTCAAAAACCTCATCGTTTTAGTGTGGATTTCGATCAAGAAATCAATTCAAGCCCTGAAACGCAGATACAGATTGAAGATGTGGCGTCTGAATCGAAGAATGATGATCAGGATGACGAGAAACTGGCAGAACTACGAAATCGTTTATTGGGTAAACATCAGAATCATACCGGGGACACATCTGAGCCAGGCAGCTCAATGGAAAAGCAAATTCAAGTACAGAATAATATTCAGGAAGAGCTTCTCAGCGACATGTCGCAGCTTGTGTCTGGTCTCAAACAGGGTGCTGAAGCATTCCAAGCTGCATTGGATGATGATTCAACAGTTTTGAAAGCCACTGAACTCGGACTGCAGGCAACTTCACGTAGCCTAATCGACCTTGGTGGGAAGCTGAAAAAATATCATAATTCCAAAGTGGGGATTCTATTCTATTTGACATGTCTCTTATTCATGTTCATCAGTCTGCTCGTTACATATCTCATCATCAAGATATTCCCCAAGATGTGACCTAAGGTGCCATAAAAACTCCATTTGAGAAAGAAGAAGAAGAGTGAGAATATCAGTGCTGAAATTTTCAGAATCAACCGAGACAGATGACAAGATTCGGAATCACAACACTTGAAAGACATTCTATTACAGCACGACAAGCAAAAAGCTCTCCGTGGTTGAATACTTTTTGACTTTCTCATTGGGACTTCAACCCAACTAGAGCTAATGGTGATTTGTGTTGGGAAGTGACTTTGGTATCAATATTATATCGTCACTGAATTCACACGCAATCTCTGAACGCATTTACGAGGGACGTCATCGACAATTGTGATGAAACTCTTCTCACAGTTTTGAAGGATTGGATCACAATATTTCTCCTTCAAGGCGCGTTCACGCATCTCAACTCACGCCAATAACAGGGTCAATCGCCGCCATTCCCCCATTAGAACCGCCTGAACTAATTGCCTGTCCAATTGACTGTTTTGAGACATGCTGGTTTAGTTCATTCCTGAAAGTCGTCTTTAGAATTGGAAGTGGGAATACCTACGTCGTGTTCCCGCATGAAAGCTCGCGATGACTCAGATGCCCTTTCGAGGAAGCAAAGATGTAATGTAAATACAGCTGAAGGGCCGCTTTGAGGGGCATCTGTGAAACTTGCCGGCGTCAAGTCCAAAAGCAGGTACATAGACCCTTCTTTGATCACAAAATTCCGATTTCAACGCTTTACGCGCTTTTCCAATCTAAAAACGTCTATAAATGCCTGTGAAACTTACCTACTGCACATCCAGCATCAAGTCGTCTTTGTTTTCGAGATTATTCTCAAACTCTCTGCTCTGTCCAGCCAGCAGTTCGCGCCTGATTTCAGGGCCGATATCTCTATGGCCTCTCTGGCGAACTGTTTCCAACAAGAAGTCTCTCTGGTCTTGAGTGATATCATTTTTATAGCGCTCGGCGAACGAGAGAAATGCTTTGTGCCACACCACAGGAAGCGCGCGTTCGCTATCTTCGCCGTTACTCCTGTCGCTTAGAATTCTGAATCTCATGAAATAGTAGACGCAGTCATCAACAGTTTGGTAAGGTAAAGCATACTTTTTTTCCAAAAGAATCTTTATGAAGACGGTGGTAGCAGGTGAAAACGGCAGTCTCAGAAGATAACTCAAAGCGGCCGAGGAATGTAATGCTGGCACGGATATCTTGGCTAACACGCTTCCCGCAATTGTTGCCTCGCGTATGTTACAACCCGTTTCTACGAGAGGAAAGAGGAAGCCCTTGAAAAAAGCGCTAGGCTTGTAAAGCGATTTTTTCAGAGCTCTGTAGATGTGATAGTTAACAGAATGATCCTCGCTAGTTTCGATGTTATCACGAAAGCGGTCCAAAAGCACTATGTTGATGAACTTTTGGGCCTCCTTTGCTGTCAGGTTCGACACGAATAGTTTGGTAGCCTCATAGACAAGCTGGGGCGACCATTCTGGAGGATTTGTCACATACAGCACATCTTGCCAGTTATTGAGCGAGGGAATGACTTTGAAAAGTTTGGGCAATTTTCCGTGTGTCCAAGTCTTCAGAATGGATCCCACTGTTGTGTAAGCTTTTACAACCTTTGGAGGCAGTGCCACACCTTCTGGTTGCTGATTGTGACCGCCAGATGCAGACCCACCGTTTTTCCCGCTTTCCACCTCCTCTTGTTCCATTTCCTTCTCGCGAATGGAGGCCATAATTTTATCTGCCAAGTTGTAGCTTTTGAAATCTGAGTTGTAATCGCTTGCCTTTTTGAAATATTGTTCGAACATTGCGGCATCCTCCTCGTCGATTTCCACCACTTCTTCATCTTCTTCTTGCTCGCCATCTTCATCGTAGGGTTCGAAATCAGAGATGTTGTCACCCACAGCGTCTTCGTCTTCGTCTTCGTCCTCATGATTTATAGGTCTGCCAATGCGAAACCTGGCGAAGGGATCGTTTTGCTCACGTTTGCTTTGTTCCTGCTCTAATTCCACTTCTTGCTGTTGTTCTTTAGCCAATTGCAAGATCTTTCTTGACGCAGCGGCATCCACGTATTCTTCAGCTTGCTCGTCGTCATCGTTGTCATTTTGATCATTTCTTCTTCTCGAAGCTTTCCTCAAGTTTCCCTGAACCGAATCTAGATCTTTCAGCAGCGGGTCATGTCTTTGTTTTGCGTGCTTGCTGCTGCTTACTCTGCCCATTTCTATGGCCTTGGCTTCTTATGTACAAGTTGTTAGTCCGAGACTCGAGATGCGATGAGATGAGATGAGCTTTAAAGCTCTTCTCATCGTGCGTTATTGAAAATTTTCAGAAAAAACCGTCAAAATATGAAAACGTGATCTACAGACGTCAGTAAAAGTAAATGTTATCTCGAAAGAAGTGTAAAATCGAACAGAATCAACGACAGTTATGGTTGACTATCCGCCTAGGACCTTGTAAATGTTGTTCAAATGTTGGAGGAGACGACAGATGAAAATCACGGTACCACCTCCGCAAACAAGGATTGACACGCCACATAGGACGATCACGACGTTTGCAGTGCAAATGGCCAGTCCCGTGGCATACGCCGTTAAAAGCACCCCTAAGTCGCCAAAAATATTGGCGATTTCCGTTATTGCAGCGTGGAGATCTCCCCCCACCACCATTTGCTCGATTTTATGGGCTATTCCCTCTGCAATGATTCTACCCACATCCAACTCGTCGAGAGAATGGGCCAACTCTTGTAAATCGGGCGTGTAGTTTGCGGTGACAGGCGCAAACCTATTATCGACCAGAAACGAGACTTCCTGCAATGTTGCTGTCAATTTTCTGAAATTTTGAACAAATTTCGCGGCAGCTGTCCTAGTATTTGTTGATATGACATCAACATCAAATTCGGCCTTCAGGTTGCGAAGGGCCTTTTGTATTATCATGTCCAGATGATGGCGAACGGGCTCCCATTCGTCTCCTTGCAATCCCCGCGCGAGTTCGTCGCTCAACGACTTGACCGTCTGGCATTGTACGAAGATCTGTTCTGCAATTCCGATACTTGGATCTATTTCATAGAGATGCAACAGCTGCAACTCTGCTCTAGTGATAGCTTCAACTGCACTTTTTTCCCATTTTGACGAAATGTCAGAACCAAAAGCGAAACTGTCATTAGTTTCGAAACCCTGCGGATTTATCTCCCATTGCATATCAGACATCGCTGTCCATGGGAAAGCTACTTCGCCGGCATCTTGCGACTGGAACGCCCACAAAAGGGTACAAAAGCTGCAAATATATATAGTAAAATCGAATCTCATATCTTTAACAGACACTAGCTCTTAAGTTTTTGACAACTACAAAAAGGTTTACTGTTTCTTGCAGATACCATTTTTCCCATGAGCCTTTATATACGATTTGAGCCAAGGGGCTAAAAACCCACATTTATAAATCAAGCTGAAACTCTCGCAAGGTGAAATAAAGATCCTTAAACCGGCATATTGAACGTGTTTCTCGTGTTGTTAGTAGTCTGGTGAAACTATTTTGACGATGTCAGTTTCTATAACTTAATTTCTAATTATCACCATCATTATTGACGGGACGATAAATCATTTAAATTTAGGCTAATATACATAAACATCATCGAGCAAGCTCATCGGACAGACAGAAGTCAAACTCAAGAAGAGCCTTTGAGGATAAAGAAAGATCAAACGCTCTTGTTTTGAATAGCATCTCATTAAGATGAGTAAACGTTCGGCAAGCCCCAGTTCAACGCCTACAAAAAGAGCCAAAAAACATCTGGTTTCAACGATTCACAAGCACTACAAGTCGATCAACAGCCAAGATGATTTCAAACACATGTATATTGCAGTTGAGCCCTTGGATATCTTCTGTTGGGGTACAGGGTCTATGTGCGAGCTGGGATTGGGACCTGCTGCCAAAAACAAGGAGGTGAAAAGACCCCGTTTGAATCCGTATCTGGGCAAAGATCAGGCGAAAATAGTATCGTTTGCAGTAGGCGGTATGCATGTTTTGGCTTTAGGCCAGGATAACAGCGTTTGGTCGTGGGGAACCAATGATTCTGGAGCTTTGGGTCGCGAAACTTCCGGCGCAAAGGTCCAATTGAAGGATATGGACGCTCAAGACAGTAGTGACGACGAAGATGGTGACCTGAATGACGAGGAAAGTACGCCAGCAAAGCTCGATGGAAACGTTTTGCCCCTAGCAGAAGCCAAAGTCGTACAGCTGGCAGCCACCGATAATCTCAGTGCAGTGTTGCTCGACAACGGAGAGGTCTACGCCTGGGGTACTTTCAGATGCAACGAGGGTACATTGGGGTTCTACAAAGATACTATCAGTGTACAAAAAACTCCTTGGAAGATTCCCAAATTTTCCACCTCTAAGATTGTTCAAATGGCAGCCGGAAAAGATCATATTTTGTTCTTGGACGAAGCTGGGATCGTATATGCATGGGGTAACGGTCAGCAGTACCAGCTTGGCAGAAAAATTCTGGAGCGCTCTCGTCTGAGAACTCTAGATCCCAGAGCCTTTGGTCTCGACAACATTAAGCACATTGCGTCCGGTGAAAACCATTCATTTGCTCTCAGTAATGACGGCAAGCTTTATAGCTGGGGCCTCAACCAATTTGGTCAATGTGGTGTCACCGAGCAAGTCGAGGACGGCGCTTTGGTAACAATTCCCACCGAAGTGCTACTGCCAGAGGGCACTAAAGTGAAGATGGTCGCTGCCGGAGAACATCACTCTCTCGTGCTGTCAGAAGAAGGAGAGCTTTACACCTTTGGTAGGTTCGATATGTTTGAGATCGGAATAGCCAAAGATAAGTTACCTGAGCAGACTTATATCGATGCACACAACAAGCCTCGTGCTGTCCCAGTTCCAACTAAGCTTGAGGATGTTCCTCGTTTCAAGAATATAGCTGCCGGCTCCCACCACTCGCTCGCTATTTCTGAAGATGGTGTTGTCTTTTCATGGGGATTCGGAGAAACCTATGCTGTAGGATTGGGTCCTTCTGGAGATGACATAGAGGTTCCTACCAGAATCAAAAACACAGCAACCCAAGACCATAATATTATGTTTGTTGGTGGCGGTGGACAATTTTCTGTTTCTGGTGGTGTGAAATTGAAGGAGGAAGACGCAGAAAAGCGTGCCGACAAATATGACGATTGATGTTCTCCAAAAGTTTTTAACGCATTATCTCATGCAAAATTGTACGTCGAAGCAGGCTTCAAACCTGTCAAAAGTTATGAACAGTCTTCAAGAATTTCTATAATTGTATTAGGACTAATAGACTTTATAAATCAGCATCCAATTAGTACTGAACCTCACAAACGTCATTTGTGCAACGCCATCAATGAAATGCTGTACTATGCAGAATGCTCAATCCATTCTAACTTTGTATCCTCTGCTCAATAAATGCTTTTTAACGTCTGTCACGGTAAATTCTCCTCTGTGGAACATACCAGCTCCCAAGCACGCGTCTGCTCTTGTTTTTTCGAACGCCTCCTCGAAATGTTCAGGAGAACCAGCGCCACTAGATGCAATGATTGGAATGCGCACCGCCTCTTTGGCGTGTTCGATCAATTCCAAATCATAACCGGAATTGGAACCATCTTTGTCGATACAGTTCAAGAGCACTTCGCCTGCTCCGAGTGCCTCACAGGCACGCGTTACCTCCCAAACACCAATGTCTCTGCTTTCTCTACCACCCTTGATTGTACACTGATACCAGCACCATTCCTGACCCTTTTCATTGGGGTATTTCGTTTTGAACGTCTTGTTCTTCGTGGATTCAGGGCCATCGACGTATACTCTCTTGGGGTCCACGGAAATGACGACGGCTTGAGCACCGTACGGCTTGGAGATAGTCTCTATTGGTGACGTGCCGTCGCCATGTCCACCCAATGCATAGTACTTTTCTGCAGCATAAACAGCATCTGTACCTATCGATACCTTATCAGCTCCTGACTGGAAATAAAGCGCGGCCACTTGAAGCGCGGGAATCACCTTCCCGTCGACGTCTGTAATGTCCTTGATACCTCCACCAACAGTGAGAGGAACAAAAACGGTCTTGGCGGCCATTCTAAGAACGTCCAGCATGGGGGTGTCTCTCAACGGGCAGTCTCTGAAGCTGGTAATATTTAGGAATGTCACTTCGTCTGCACCCTGCTCATAGTAGTTTTTCGCCATTTCCACAGGTTTACCAAGGTTCCTAACGTTACCACCTTCTTCTTTTTCACGTACATCATATTGGTCACCTTTTGTAACAACCAAGTCACCTTGGTCGTTTGCACGAACGTCCAGACATGCAATGATTCTTCTACTTAGCCCGTAATTTGAGTAGTCGTTCATCAACAAAGCATTTTCTTGAGCTGAATGGTGGATGGCTGGGTGTTTTTGTTCGATGAAGTTTTTGATGATGGAAAGACCTGCGTGCCCAGATTTTTCTGGGTGAAACTGTGTCGCAAAAATGTTTTCTTTGGCGATGGCAGCGATGTATTCTTGAGAGCCGTATTTCGACACTGCAATGTCCCAGCCAGCCTGATTTAGTGCATTTTTGGAGTCTTTGTTCAAAACGGCAGCATAGGAATGAACGAAATAATATCTGCTGCAAGGATCGAGTCCAAACAGTTTTCCCTGTGGAGTGCATGTGTTCCAACCGATTGCAGGGACCGGTTTCTCAGTTGCATCGAATTTAGTCAGTTGGTAGTCCAGGAAGCCCAGACCTTTACTGGCTGGCGATTCCTCTGAACCCTTGAAAAATGTCTGCAACCCCACACAGATACCCATAATAGGTCTTCCCGATGCAATGTAATCTTTGATTGGTTGTTCGAATTTCCTTGATGCCAAATTATCCACGAAATGGCCAAAGTTTCCCACGCCAGGAAGCATCAACACTTTGGCTGCAGCCAGCTCTGGATCATCAGCACGGCTGATAAGTTTAGCTTGGAATCCCAAATATTCGATGGCATTCACCAGAGAGCGGAGATTCCCGCTTTCCACATCGATGATGTGAACCGTTGTCATTTTGTTGCCCGATTTATGTGCGTTTTAGGCGATTGAAAAGTGAGAGAAGTCGCGTTTGTTTCACCAATTAGCCTCAATTATAATAACCAGTAAGTTATTGAATCTGATCTCTCGAAAAGAGACGAATTAGTGGCTATATGTACACGTTTCGATTCAGATTCTATGGTATGACTCAAGCTGTGATCAGGCTAGTTTTTCATTTAAGCATCCAGCCAGAAACTTTACAATTAATATTGATATCACTATGTACGGAACATGAACTAATAATTTGAAAAATTATTGAATACAATGACAGTTTCGTATGGAATGAAGCTGCTCATCGACTAAAATCTACAATCAACAGAGTAGTTTACAGCGTTTAGTTCTGACGGAATAATGGCTATTGAAAGCTTAGTATTTCAATTGAGTAGTCCTTTGCGTTGGTTTTGTAATAAGAATTTAAGTGATTTCTTACTTCGACGTTGATTCCACCATCGGACTTTATAATCGCATTTCAAGCGCAACGAAAGTGAACCTGGTTTTCACGACAAGGATTGTTTAGAATGGTCACAAAGTGCACTTGTGGTCTTTTTTCTATACATTTCTGCTGTCATTATTTAAATTTTCAAAACTTTTCTTGTTCTGCGAGAAGAACCGCAGCTTGAGTTGCGAAACTCTCAACTCAGAAAAAATAACGGCCATTTTTAAGCCGAGGTAGAGTTTTTGCGCTCTCTTCTCTGTCTGACGGCGCTGGCCAAATCGCGTAGGACCTGCTCGGTGGTTTCCCAGCCTATGCAGCCGTCGGTGATGGAAACACCGTATTTGAGTCCGCTTTTGCCCTCGGCAGGAATGGACTGCTTGCCCTCGTTGATGTGCGACTCAAGCATGACACCGATGATTCTGTCTTCACCGTTGGCAATTTGCTCACAGACGGCAGCGTTGACCTTAGGCTGGTTTCTGTAGTCCTTGTTGGAGTTACCGTGCGAGCAGTCGACCATCAATCCACTACCTTCTGGTAGCTGCTTCTTGGCCTCTGCCACAGATTCGGCATCGTAGTTGGTACCCTTGGTACCACCTCTCAAGATCACGAAACAGTGTTCGTTACCCTTGGTGGTAGTGATGGCAGCAAACCCGTGCTTGGTAACACCCATGAAGTGATGAGGGTGCGAGGCAGCCAACACAGCGTCGACGGCGACACCCAAACTTCCGTCCGTACCGTTCTTGAACCCCACAGGGAAAGACAAGCCCGAAGCAAGCTCTCTGTGAAGCTGAGACTCGGTAGTTCTGGCTCCAATGGCACCGAAGGACAACAAATCCGCTAGGTACTGTGGAGAGATGGTGTCAAGCATTTCAGACCCGATAGGAAGGCCCTCGCTGGTCAAGTTCACGAAGAGTTGTCTGGCAGACTGCAGACCCTTGTTGATGTTGTAGGTGTTGTTGATCTCTGGGTCATTGATCAAACCTTTCCAGCCCACGGTGGTTCTTGGCTTTTCCAAGTACGCTCTCATGATCACGCAGATATCGCCTTCGAGCTCTTCAGAAATCTTCTTTAGACGTCTGGCGTATTCCTGAGCGGCATCAAGGTCGTGAATCGAGCAAGGTCCCACAATAACCAACACTCTGTCGTCCTTACCGACGATGATTTCGCTGGCTTCTCTTCTTCCCTTCTGCACGGTTTGCAGACATTTGTTGGTGGCAGGAATTTGCGATTGCAGTAGCGCTGGCGACACCAAAGGGTCGAGGTTAGCGATTCTAATGTTCTCAGCTTGCTCCAAAAAGTCTTCTCTTACTGGCGAAGCACTCATTTTTCAGAATTACTATTATGTTTCTTGACTTTTGATCTCGATGAGCTAAAAACTAGCTGTATCGTACTGTTTTCTTGAAATGCTCTCTTTTTGAATTCAAAGAAAAAAAGCTGTTAAATAGCTTGTTTTTGAGTCTTTAAAATTCTGGATATATGTAGAAGTCTTGAAGGATAATAAGCCTCAAACTGTTCGACTGAAAGTGTTCTTTTAAAGCTCTCTTTCTGCTCTTTTAAACACTTGAATTTTCAATTCTATAGAAGTGAAATATTATTTCAAATTCTGCGCTAGAGTGACTAATTTTTTCTAGACTGAAAAATTATTCAGCTGGCACGGGCTGGGTCTCGAACATGGGGTCGTTGAAAATATGGCGAGATGGGAAGAGATGAGATGAGATGAGCTGACAAGGTGAAATATTGCAGACAGGAAGGGCTAGCCCTGGGCTAGCCTAGACAGATGACAGCTTTGGAGGTGGATTAGGAAGATATCACGTAACTTGAACGTAGCTAGAGGCAAAAACAAAGACCTTTTTTTCGGGTCTGCTTGCAAGAAACTCACTACTCTGAAATTGGTCTTTTTACCCTCTAAAAGGACCCTTGGACTTTCACATTTCGGTTCGTGGTGTTTCTCAGCATTAACGCAGTTTTCTTTCTCTGTGGAGACGGCAAGAAACCGTGGTAACTGAAATATTTCTCTTAGAAGCTAAATCAATGGTGTTGTAAGCACACCAGCATATTATTATTGAAAAACAAATCTAGAATCATAATGGAGCTCGATGACACAGTCACGACAATGACTGCTCTCGAGTTTAGTGTATGTAGCTACGCGACGTAAAATAGTCTCCCCTCCCATGGTCTCAAAGTAGTGTCTTTCACATTGGAGGGTGTAGCGTAGTTACCGAAAAATTGGGTCAATTCAGCGTCTGGCCATGGCGTGGAAAAATCGCAAGGCTCTGGCGAAAAATTCAGGGCTGCAAACATCGTGTTGCGAGTCGTTCCGGGTTCTCCATTTTCCTTCGTAAACATAAACAATTTCGGGTGGTCCACGTCGTGAAATTTGAAATCCTGACCGTACACCAAAATGTCACTGTGGTGTTTCCGTACTTGAATGGCGCTGCGCCAAAAGTTCATGACCGAATCAGGGTCTTTCATTTCGTCTTCTACATTAATGCCCTCCCGAAAAGTGTCGTTGAGAGCCAGCCAAGGCTTGGCTGCAGCTTGGCCTCCATGCAAACCAAACCCGGCGTCAGGCTCTCTCGAGGACCAGGGCATTGGATTTCTGGCGTGGTCGCGCGAAAAAAGAGCTACTCCTTCTTCAAACTTCTGCATTTGCAAGGAATCATCCCCATATTTCTCCCGTATTATAGCCCTTTTATTTTTAACGTCAACGTCGTCGTACTGGTCCAAACTCCAGCCCTTGTTATTGATTTGACCCAGCTCTTGGCCCTGGTAGATATATAGCGTTCCAGTAAGAGCAATCTCCAAGACTGCCAAAAGTTTGGCAGAAACCTCCCGCCATTGTGGGGAGTCGTCTCCGAATCTTGTCACGCTGCGAGGTTGGTCATGATTCTCCAGGTAAACGGTCGACCAACTGTCTGTACGGTTGGCAAACAAGAAACTCGCCGCAATTCCCAGCTTCCATTCTTTCAAAGTAAAAGGGTTCACACTGTACCGATAATATGGAGTAGACCCCACATTCGTGTGCGCAAAGTTGAAAAGTTGGCTCAACTCACCTTCTCCGTCGCTAGTGTATCGCAAGAGGCCTTCATCTGGACATGAGCCTACTTCACCCACCGTAAAAATCTCTTTCCCGGGTGGAAGCTATTGTTGGAAATAACGGCGCAACTCTTTGTGGAATTCGTGAATTCGAGGTCCATTGCGGGTCTCAGAACCTGGATACTGCAATTCGCTGTCAGGGTTGGTAATGGGTGCATCTGGAAGCCCATCAACTTTTGAATAGAGTCCCGCTGTGTCGATACGGAAGCCATCGACTCCGTGGCGAAGCCAAAACCCGGCGGATGAGTCGTACAAGTTTCTCCGCAGCTCATCGCTTTCCCAGTTGAAATCGGGTTGTTTTGTGGCGAATAAATGTAGATAAAACTCTTGGGTTTTCTCGTCCCACTCCCAAGCTGATCCGCCAAAGAAAGAGCACCAATTATTGGGTGGAATTGGTTTGCCATCGGCGTCGAAACCTTTGGCAGGTCTCCAAATGAACCAATCGCGCTTTGCATTGGTCTTGGAAGAGCGCGATTCTTTAAACCATTTGTGCTCAGTAGAGCAATGGTTGATCACCAGGTCGACCACCACTTTAATACCGTTGTGGTGTGCTTTTTCGATTAGTTCGAAACAGTCTTCATTGGTACCGTAGCGAGGCCAAACTTTTTCGTAGTCCGAAATGTCGTAGCCCATATCCTGTTGTGGGGAATCGTAAAAAGGACAGATCCAAATAGTGTCGATTCCAAGATATTTGAAATAGTCCAGCTTCGAAGTAATGCCCGGCAGATCACCCCATCCGTCATCGTTACTGTCTTTGAAACTTGCTGGATAAATTTGGTACACGGTAGCTTCTTTCCACCATTTTCTTTGAATTCCTGTCATTGGAAAAGTATTAGTGCTATGGAAGAGAATAAACTACTTTGAAAAGATAGAAATGGGATTTGAGCGGGACGGTCAAGTTGGGTATTTATACGATTTCTTTGCAACGTCTCACATCGCTCCCACGAAATTACATACAGTGGTTGAATTACGGTTTCGTCTGCTAAACGTAATACCTGGGGAAGAAACGCTCTTGGCGACGATTACGTTAGAAAACTTATTAGCGGGACGGAAGCTGCGAGATAAAAGTATCTACTGATTCCGTTGAGATGTTTACCTATTGGGAAACAATAGTTGCGCCAAGGATTGCTCTAGCTACTCGTATTTGAGACCTTTGACTATTTGACTATTTTTAGCGGATCGTGGGTGATAAACAGTCCGGGGTAGGAAAAGAGTGTGGTATTAATGGTGGGGGGATGTAAAGATGATCGATCGGTGTTGTTTTACGAGGGATTGAGCGAGGTTGTGCATTGCAGCACGTAATTTGGGCTAAGGTAAACAAACATCCAATGACGACATTCTCAGTTAATGGCGATTCCAGCGACGGAGGAGGCGGAAGTGATTTTGGGGCCTGGCAAAATATCGACAGTAGCTGATGGACGTAGCGGAACGCAAGAGACACTTTTCGTAGAGGGAGATTACATGAGACCGGCTATGGGCTTTTTTTTCTTTTTCAGTTCAGAATAGAACTAGAGAATACTGGGATGGAGTCCTGCTTCATACGAGGAAAAACGTGCCGTAAAAGAAGGCTAGACGTTCAAGACAAAGAGAATTTTTCACATCACACGATGCATTGGATTTTGAGATCCGGTGGATTTTGACTTGACCCTCGAACGAAGGAACGCTTGGCACGCTTTGCACGCTTTGTTTATCTTGCATTTCGAGAGCAGTTCAGACTAAAGACCCGGACAAAAAGAACAATTGTCAGGTTAATTATAAGTGTCACGTGATGCGAACCCGAGTCTGACCAAAAAAAACAAAATGGAATATTGGATGCTATTTTTGCGATGCGTAACGTATTAGACAATTGGTACTGCGATATTAGCGTTTCTGGAGAGTTTTGGAACAACATTGTACGTATTTCAGGTCAAATTAAGAAAACAGGCTTTTTTCACCATGTTCTGTGCTCTTAATAAAATAACTCCAAGTGTATCACTATACACGAACCTCCATACGCGTAAAACTACAAATTACAAAGTACAGCTATGGATAAATTAGTTTATCGATCAAACACAATCCATTGACGCTCACTACGACAAAAGCCCAGTAACACACTGTTGTGTGGGGTCTTTCTAGAATGCCAGCAACGAAAGCGACTATTATATCCTCGTAGTCACAAATTCCACGTCGTCTCGTCTCGTCTCGTCTCGTCTCGCTTCGTCTCGCTTCGTCTCGTCCTGTATGCCGGGCTACCAACACCCATTACTTATTCCACTCCTAGAATCTAACAGCACCGCACCGTCTGTTTGTGCTTCCGGTTCCAACACCAGGCCCGCAATTCCGGTATTTCGCAAACAAAGGAAAAAAGATACTACTGCCACCCCAATCTACATATCCAATTGTCTCACGATATTTCTCCTTCTTTCTACTATCAGCCATCCGCTTTGTTTGTCCTTGTCCATTGTTTCCTGGATCGAATCCCAGATACACCGAGAAGAGCATGCAATAACTTCCTATTATGTGTTATCAATCGTCTCCGGATCGGATCACGTGACCCCACTCCTTCTCCTCCTCCTCCTCCTTCTCTCTCTCTCGTCAATTATCCAACAGAAACACGTTATGATTCCGGTGTAATTTCTTCACCTTTTCGTCAAAGAAAATGCACCTCAAACCACATTTGACACCCTCTTTTCGAGCCCGCAAAATGTCAGAAATTGACTGCCATTCTGTATTGTTATCTGTACGTCCCGGTTGTCCCATATGCAACAAAACAAGCCTTTAACGTACCGCATATGACATTTTCTCGACAACCCGAAAACTTCCAACCGTTTATGCACCGCTACAATCAAAAAAAACTCGCTACGGACGAGCGGGTGCAAACACTCCGTCTTTGTTTTGTCTTCTGGGTGACTGGGTGTTTGGAATAATATGGGAGGAAGGCCTTTAAGGCGGACAACCATTTTTATTTTAAGGGGTGAAGGGGTTAAAAAATTACATGTGTCCGCGTGATTGTATGTCCGCCCAGCGGAGTTTCCATCCTGTAAAGAGCATGACACGATAATGCGGAAAAGCGGGGTATCGCCTGGCACGGAATGCGGGGTTGCGGAAACCTTATTTTTGCCAGCCGCCAAAGTATATAAAGCGGCAAATGAGACCGATAGGAATCTTTTCATCTTCACTACAGGTATTTTAGAGAGAAAAAAAAATACTCTACACAACTATAGACAAGCAGTGAGAAGCATAGTCATTGAAAAAGAGGCATAGCTATCAAGTGTAGCTATTAAGTGTGTTGAATTTGGTTCTGAGTTGCTCCTTTTTTTTCCCCCTCATTCCCCCAGCTGTTGTTCACTCCGTAACAAGAAATCGTTTTTCTGTTTTTTTCTCCTCTTTTAGCGCCTCACAACATGTCTGACAAACAACATCTCACGCATGTGGAGACTATCGGGTCGTCCATTGACTTGCCCTCACAGTCGCCCACCACCAACTCCAAAAAACAGGAAACCCAACACATGGAGTTTGCAGGCACAACGGTGTCAGAAACGGACTTTACAACGTCCGCCGTCGGAAGTGACACGATTGCCAAGTTTCTCGGACTTTCAGAAGATGCGCGTCAAGCGGACGGTGAAGAAAAGCACATGTCGTTGTTGCAGGCCATTCGCCAATACCCCAAGGCCGCGTTCTGGTCCATCGTGTTATCGTCGGCGCTGATCATGGAAGGCTACGACGTCACCCTGTTGCAATCGCTCTACGCGTTGCCAGCTTTTGCCAAGAAATTCGGCAATTGGAACCCTGTCGCCCAGGTGTACGAGGTGCCTGCAAGGTGGCAAACCGGTCTTTCCATGTGCACCAACGTGGGCGAAATCGTCGGGCTTCAAATCGCCGGTGTCGTTGCAGAACGCATCGGCTACCGCCACACCTTGATCGCCTCGCTAACCATGGTGTTTTGTTTCATCTTCATTTTGTTCTTTGCGCCCTCTTGTGCAGTCCTCGCTGTCGGTGAGGTCTTGTGCGGGATCCCATGGGGTGCCTTCCAAACCTTGACTGTGTCTTACGCCACCGAAGTGTGTCCCTTGGCACTCAGATACTACCTCACTACCTATGTTAACATTTGCTGGATTTTTGGCCAAATTTTCGCCTCGGGAATCCTGAAAAACTCTCAAACAAATCTCCAGCATTCTGATCTCGGTTACAAACTGCCTTTTGCACTCCAATGGATTTGGCCCATTCCTATCGCCATTGGTATCTATTTCGCACCCGAATCACCTTGGTGGCTCGTCAAAAAGGGTAGAATGGAACAAGCGGCTCACAGTTTGAGCCGTCTCGTCACGGGTATTCCAGAAGAAGAAAGAACAACTGTCATTGACGCAATGCTCAACAAAATCCAATTGACAATCCAGAAAGAAGATTCGGCTACCAAAGACGTCACATACTGGGACTGTTTCAAAGGTGCTGACGGCAGAAGAACAAGAATCGCATGTCTCACGTGGGTCACACAGAACGCATGCGGCAGTGCAATGATGGGTTACTCTACCTACTTTTACATCAAGGCCGGCCTCAGTGATTCTATGGCGTTTTCATTCACCATTATTCAGTACTGTCTTGGTCTGATTGGTACCGTGTTGTCGTGGTTCATTTCCAAAAAGTACGGTCGGTTTACCATTTTCTCAAGCGGATTGAGCATTCAAGCTGTTCTTTTGCTGCTAATCGGAGGCTTGGGTTTCAAGCACTCTTCCGGCAGTAGTTGGGCTATTGGCTCTCTATTATTGATTTTTGTTTTTGTTTATGACATTGGCGTAGGCCCAGTGACTTACTGTGTGGTACCGGAAATTCCCAATGCAAAGCTAAGAACCAAGACTGTTATTTTGGCCCGTAATTTCTACAATCTCATGGGCATTATCAATTATATTTGGACCCCATACATGTTGAACACGGAAGAATGGAACTGGGGGGCCAAGACCGGCTTGTTTTGGGCTGGCATCAGTTTGATCATGTTGACATGGGCAATTTTAGAGATGCCCGAAACCAAAGGACGCACTTTCAGCGAGATCGATGAACTATTCAATCTCCGCGTGCCTGCTCGTAAGTTCAAATCTACCGAGGTCAATCCATTCGATAGCGGTAAGTTGATGGCCGAATTAGACGATGCTCAAATCGAAAGGATTGTGAAGAATGACGAACAAACTAGAAACAGGTTTTTGGAAACCATTGCAGAGGACTCAGATTGATTAAACCAACTGTGCATGCTCTCTGTTGAACATAAACATCAATTGTATGATAACATGATAATGGTGAAATTGGGGAAACAAATACAGAATATTGGAAAAGAGGACATTAATAATGACCAGTGCAGTAACATTTCAATTTGATGGAGGAATGGAAGTCGTGAATCCGAGACCTTTTCAAAGAGTTTTTGAATTGTCATTTGGTGAGTCAGTAAGGAAATGAGCCCTTTACGCGTGTGTTGTTGTAAGTAAAAGATAGGAAGAACGCTGGATCGTTCATTCCACCTGATTTAATAAAATCAAGAAGTTTGCATTTCATCAATTGTTTCGCTATACTTGGGTGGTGTGAGTACACTGAGGTTGCGTTGAGGAGCAGCAGCAGCAGCAGATTCCACTCGGGACTGATATCTCGGCAGATCAGTGTAGAAATTAGAGTCGTGCTCCGCAATTATGACAGGAAATTTGAGTTTTATTTGGTAGCACTCTGAGCTACTCGAGCCTTTCCCAAGCTTTATCCTTGCCCGAATTGTGATATTGATGGTGTGTGAGATTTTGAGCTTAATCGTGTTCTCGTCGGTTCCAAGTAAACAAGATCCAAATTCAATGTACGATGGAAAGAATCTTTTGTCGCTATAAGCCTTTTTCGAAAATGGTGGTATAGTCAAGTCATTGAAGACTAAGTTGAAAAATGTTTGATTGTCTTCACTGACCGGGTGCTCTCGCAGACACCAAGAAGTCGATTCATCATAACACTCCCCATTCGTTCTTCTGCTTTCGCGATCATAGCATGGAATAGTCATGGTCTGGTGGAGACTCACACACACGGAATCAATTGCGCAGATATCGAGTCTTCGGCTTAAGTCTATCGACACCTGAAAAGAAGCACTGGCTTTCAAAAGACGTGAGCCTAGAAATATATCATACTCAACTAATCCGTTCCTCCAACGTCCAAATGCAGAGTGTGTTTGTAAGAGCGCGTAGCGATCAATGGGAACAGTGTTTTTGAGTGAAACAATTGAGCTCAGAAGTATGGTTTCGAACTTGGATTTGGGTCTCAAAACGGTGATGAAAGACTCAACTCTATAACTTACTGAGCCGCGATGAGACTTTAAAGATCCTGGAAACAAACCTGGTTCGAGTGGAAATTCGAATCGATATTCATACGAACCTGGAGGAAGAATTTCTAAGTGATCGCCATGATTGTGTTCATGAGTATTGAATACTACCACGTCCTGTATGAAGGGAATTTTAAATGACGGACCAGTGCTTGATTCGGATCGATTGACAATCCTTACTACGTTATCTTGTATTTCGTACCCACACTCATGCGAATATCCGCTGAGTCGTACCTGAACGTTCTTCAGTGGCACCTCTTTGAGACCTTTGACCGTCAATCGCAGTGTCCCGCATACAAGATTAGTGGAAGACCGTTGTCGTTTGGGAGTGGTGTTGCCGTCATTGCATGACACTTTTAATAGTGACTCTGTATCCATGTTTTGGAAGTAAAAAGTGTCTGAGTCGAGCACGAGTGAGACTTTCAGCTGCTTGGTTTCATGGATCAACACAGAGGGATTCTCCTCAAGATCAAAAGGGTTGTACTGGAATTTTGGAATCTCTGGTGAAGTGTGTTTGAGTAAAGTTCTGCCCGCTTTGAGCTCGCAGATTTTGATATTTGTTGTCGCCCTGTCTGGGCCTGCAGCGGAAAATACACCAGAAGCGTTTAGTAAGTGATGTCCTGACATAGGCGATGATCACTTCAGCTAAACTGATGGTCCAATCGGGGCTTGGAGGTGATCAACAATACTATGTTTTCATTGAGAGCTGCTGCTTATTTCAGTACCGACTTCGGGCTCAGGCGAGCAGTTAGAGCACTTATATATGAGCTCATGGCCTTCAAGCTCCAAGCAGTTGTTTGGCCATGGCATGTAAGGACTCATGGTGGAAACACGTCAGCCCAAAACAAGGTCGGGTCGCAAGCCTGTGACAATTGAGTGAAGAGGCTTGGTGTAAGTGATAAGAACGTACGGTTTGATTGGCTGGTAGAATACTCTAATGCTCGCGATGACTATTACTATTGTTTTGAAAAGTCAAATAGCGCTGTTGCAAAGGCATAGATCGAAGAACAACCGGTTGTCGGAGATGACTTTTCTAGATGATACAAGAACAGGAGGCATGCAGGGATTTGCCACAGATTTCAATTGGGATAAAAAGATGACAAACAACAATGAGTCACAATTGTCAAGCGCGATGAAACGTACCCAGGAGTTTGTCAAGAGGAGAGTAAGTTGGTGGTGAAGCGGAAAATACAATTTTATGCTGTGTTGGTGGAGTCGAGATAAAAAAACCAGCTCGTTTTCTCAGTTGGAGGCCGTGCATGGTTTTGGAGAGGTATTGTGAACAATAAATAAGAAATTGGCGCATAAGTTTGTTCGACAATAGGGAGACCAATAAGTGACCGGAAATCGTAGTCGTGCTTGAAAGAGTTAGTAAAGTCGAATTGGTGAGCTAGTTGCAAACGTACACCCAAGGGATCTTGTTTGAAAGGCAGGCTATGGGCGGCGTCTTAATAGCTTATTCTGTGTCACGTGACTTTGGCGACAGAAAACCTAAGTGGGTCTATCAGATGGAAACAATGTGGGTGGTTCAAACACGCTGTTCGCAGAGGCTTTTTCTCTGCGTGGGTATGTACTTTTAACAATCGATTGCAATTTAGAGTAGAAAAAGGAGCCCTCACCTCGCTGTGTTATAAATGTATTGATTTCCTTCAAAATTATGAAAAGCTCACCGAAATAGTTTGAAATAAAACCAACTCAGCTTTTGCTGTAAATCATAGTCGAACAAGACTACAGGTGATGTGACCAAACACAAGTTGAAAACAGAACTCAAGACGGCCAAAACCATGAACATTTACCAGAAGGTAAGTGACAGTCGTTGTGTCACGTGATCGGGTGACAATCTAGTTGAAATTTGCTAAGTATCACAGGTGTTCAATTGTAAGCTGTGTCTAACTGTAATCAGGGAGGAGAAATACCTGGTCGCTTTTTAGTATTGGGTATCGCACACGCCTTGAGAATTCATTTTCAAGGACTTTACAAAATTTGTATGTATGGGTTTTTCCGTCCACATCACGTGATGCAAAAAATGTCTTAGACGGTGAATCTGACGCGCATGAATCTGGGATTCCGCGTCAGAATGGTATACTAGCGACAGCGTCAGAAAAAAACAAAATGAGTATCTTTCTCGAGACGCGAGTGGAGACGAGTAGATTTTAGTTTATAACGTGTTGTGAAATTCATATTGAGTCTCTGAAGTGTTATGGAACGAAAACTGTTTCTACCCTGGGTGATGCGTTCCATTGAGATTGAGTGACTATTGTAGTGAAATGTAGCGGCCAAGTTTATCATGTTTTGAGTGCACAGAGGATGATATTCAGGCTGAGCAAAGTGAACCATTGGTCACTTTTGTTCGGTTGGTGTAATAATACCAGGTGGTACCCTGGGGTCGAATTTTGATATCTTATCGATTCTGTCGATGCTATGTATCACGTGCTTAAGATCACTCTTCCACCTCTAGGTCGAGGCAAAAAGACCTATTTGAAATAACGTGACTAGATGGATGTGGCAACCTTGTTGTAACACATGGACAATTGGCGTCTAGTAATATGCATCAAGGAACGCGTGAGGTCACGTCAAATCGAGCCCTCGCTCAGTAAAGCATTGAAGCGCCAAAACATTTGAAAAGATGAATAGCGTCGCAGCTCCGAGACTCCCTTTGGCTTTTTATACAGTGCACAAGGTTGCCGGCTACTTACTCATTGAACTAGACTTGTATCTCAGCCTGGTGCCTTAGAAATGGAGTCCCGAACTATGGAATTTTCGACAGCTGTGGCATAGTATAGGCTATTTGAAGTACTTGCTCAGGCGTGGGCAGCTCGATAGCCCCTCAGAATTTCTGCAAAACTTCACATCAGGCCAATATCTGGCCCAATATCAATATGGAAATTTGAATTTTTGTAATGCAATAGGTAGCAGTGCCAGATCGACATCGCAATATGAGATGGAAGCTCTCGAAGATGTCAAAATGTTTGCTTCAGCGAAACGATAGATAAGGGAGCTGAATTGGATTCAATTGCAGATTCGAAAGCTTGCACTTGCGGGACTCAAAATACCAAGAGCCCGAGGTAAGAAATTCCGGTATAATCATGATTATGAAAGAGGAGGAGACTTCATGTTGAAGTATACAGACGTTGATTTTCGTAAATTAACAGGTTTTCATAAGAGTCAGTTGTCCCAAATCGCGAAAGCCTTGAAAATACCAAATAACGTCGCCAACTTCGCGTTGACACCCGATGAGTCCTTTTTCATTTTCCTTGTTCGCCTTCGCAATGGCTGCAATTATAGCGCTCTTTCGGGGCTCTGCAATAGAGAGATATCGACAATTTCCAAGGTGGTTTCTTTCCTCACCTGTTATCTGTATCATATCGTAAAACCAAAATTAGCTGTCACTAGCGCAACTTGGCTACCGGATCGATTGACAGACATTGACAGGGCACTTGTAGAGGCCAACAAATCAATCGAAGACCCAAAGGTTGTCGCCTTCATCGGTGGTACTCATATGAAAATTGCTCGGCCTTACAATAACACTCAGCATGGATATGGAGTTGCCCCAAACGCTGTTTACAGTGGTCACAAAAGAACCCATATTTTGAAATACCAAGCAGTAACCACTCCCGATGGAATTTGCGTTGACCTTGCGGGCCCTTCAGTAGGAAGTCAGTATGATTCATTCATGTTCATGTACAGTGGCTTGTATGATAAACTCAATGGTTTAAAATTTGACAATGAGCAATACAAGGTGTATGGAGGTCCTGCATACAGAAGCTCTGACGTCCTGGTAGTTGGGTACAAGGGCCAAATGCTGACCCAAGACGAAAAAAAGCAGAACAAGATTATGGCAACATCTCGGGTTTCCGTTGAGTGGTTTTTTGGTGCTGTAAAAAATAACTTCTGTATCTTTAACAGTAGTGGTGTGAGGGGATGTGGGGCTTATTTTCTTATAGCGACATTTTTGACAAACATCAAGCACTGTTTGGAGGGATCACAGGCCTCCAAGTACTTCCAAGTTGTTCCCCCAACATTGGAAGAATACATGGATGAAATTAACTTCCCCAAATTCTTCGACGATGTTTTAATTGATCCAGCTGGAAGCGGGTGCATCTATTCTATGCAACAGAAAAACATAGTTTTCGATCATTTGAGTGATCTCAGGACGATACATACTGGTCTTTCAACTTAATAGAACGTTTATGATCTCAATTTTTATGTTAAGGTTTCATTACTAGAGAAAACACGCCACTGGTCGCCTATCAATTTTGCTAGTTCTGGGTTAGTGTTTTCAAGCTTTTCATGGTATTGCAAATATGTGGTCATCAGTGAAGTTACACGAAGGTTCTTGACTTTTTCCTATTCAAGTGCAATTCTTTCCTTCTCTAATTCCATGTTTTGTGCAATCTTTTCCTTCTCTAGTGCCATCTCATCTTGCTTAGCCTGGATGAGGAAGCTGGTCTCTAGTTTGAACGACAGTTCTGGCTTCAAGTTTTCAAACCCCAAAAAAGGACCAATCTCGCAACAGTTCTTCGCTAAATAATACGTTGAAGTATTATCCCACCTGAACCTAAACTGTTTTCCATCGTCTGAGGTTTTGTAGTGATTTCTTTAAATCTCTTACTCTATGGCTTTGACAATTTGAGAATTAGCACTTTTGGGACACCGCAAGCTCGACAACTCTCCAGGAATTATACGAAACTGGTAACTTTGCTCATATAGTTGACTCTGCTTTCTACTATTGTGAGTTGCTATATTCGAAGACTGCTCTGAGATCGACTAGTTTTCTACCGGTGAAGTACCGGCGCGCTCGACCTCCATCGTCCGAGAGCTTGAAGCATATGTCCTATAGGCGGGTAGGTCTATCGATCGTTCGTTGTTTTCGGTACCCCCCAGGGTTCCTCTGTATCAGCTTTACTAAGGTACCGCGAATGGTGCCAAAGGGTGTCATCAACGATTATCTTTAAACTTACGCGTTTCTCAAGTTTATTAAATTACATCACAACGTACAAAGGTATATGGAAGTGATCACTTGACCCGCAGAAGCGTTTCACTTCCAGATTTGAAATCTTGAGGTTGGGCCGAAAAAACTATCTCAAGAATCGCCACAAGATGAGTTTGTTTTTCTCTCGCGCGGTGACTTTTGCAAGACAAGCTCTCTAATCTGACACCAGATTTTAAAAAAAAGTCCGGACTTTTTGATTCGGCACGTGACGTAATAAGAATCTCGAAAAAAAAACGTTCCCCCCACACCCTGTGCTCTTATACGACAAGGTTGCCAAGCTTAGCGCCAAGAAGTGACCCACTCGGCGTCGTCCGTGATGATAAACCTCACATTCGCAGACATGATCAGCGCGGGTCGCAATTTTGTTTTAATTAAACCCGTTGAATATGAACCGTATACAGTGATCGTGCTTTGAAGTACTCAGCACATTGTACGAATATGGTTATGGCTGCTCTTTTATATGACCACCGACGATGTTTCTCGACTCCAAATAATGAAAATGGCTATGGTGTCCTACGTAATGGTAGACGGAAACCCAAGGCTGACTCACTCGTACATAACTACATTACCCAGCTCAACTCATCACACGAGACGACGGGTGGGTAGAGCCAAAACCCGGTGTAAGAAAAAACCTACCGGGTGTACACAGGGATCATGTATGCCCAGTCGTTTTTCATAATTAACCCAAAAAAAAAAGAAAAAAAGAAAAATCTACCACTCAGGTGACTTAGACCACGCTGGGTAGTTTGTTTCACCTCGTGCGTTATGGTATCAAGAAGATATCTATACATCAGTTCTGTTTGAATTTTCTAGAGCAATTACACCCAGACACCAATAACCGTTCACCCCTGACACCCACACCCAGACACCAATAACCCTTTTCACCCCTTACACTCTACACCCTTACACCCTCACACACCAACATTCCACCCATTCATCCTGCACACCCTGCACCGTCACGCCCTCATTCTACTGTGTCCCGAGACTTTTAACAAACTGTCATGACCGCCCGCCGCGCCCTTAGACCACTTCGTGCAATCCCAATGGGCCAGCCAGCCAGACCCCAAACCTCGCCCGTTGACACGTAAAAGTATAAGCATCATACACGCGCTATTTTTTTCCTTTTTGGTGCCAATTGCAACCCTCCCACGCCGCGCCTTCCTGACACAAACGCGTCCAGAAGCCCGAATTACGCACTACATTACATCCTACGTTGCGTTCTAAGTAAACTTCACCTTTTTCTTGGATTTTCTCTTTTGCCTGTGGGTGCGGCTTCCTGCTCCGTAAGACCTTACTACAGCTGGCCAATCAGAGCCCGCCACTACGGTCATACGTAAGTGCTTTCCTGCATGGGTTTCTGAGTATGATTGTTTCTTGAACCATAACTTGAAGCTTTACGCATACACACACACATACACATACACACATACACACCTACAGCAACAGCCAACTCTCTCTCTCTCTCTCTCTCGTTTTGGCAGGTCTGGGCCAGATCTACCTCTACCTAAACAAGCTAGCTATCCCACGAGGAACCAGAGCGTATATTTCTCTGTAAATTCCTTTTTGTCCTTTTGTTCCTTTTTTTTTTTTTCTTCCCGTTGTTTCTTAGTTGGTTTCTTTTGGTGGTTTTTCCCTCCTCTTACGTCTTCACCTAGGTCTTTTTCTTACATGGCAGATAGGGTTGAGATCTCCCTAGAACTATGATGGAGTGTGTTGAATGGCATATTTATGCGAATGGGTTTCCGGGTCTAAAGTGAGTAGCTTTGAGGGATGGGAAAAATCGAAAAACAAGGAGGTGGAGGAAGAGGCAACAGGCGGAAGAAAGAAGAAAGAAGAAAGAAAGTGTGAGAGAGCATATTCAAAGGCTATCGGGAACCCCGCATTTGAGAGATTTACTACAGATAACAGTGCGAGAAACGTGGCACACTGTACGAAGAGGAAGAGGAGAAAGAAGAAAAAAATAAAATAACATAAAATATTAAGGCGACAGACGCTCCATCTATCCACCCACACACCCCGCCGGGCAGAACAGTAGTAAATCCGACGCTGTTTTCTTCAGTGCAGAGAAGGAATACATAAAGCAGAGGAGAGTGAAAAGAAAGGAAGAAGGAGAAGAGGAAGAAGAAGAAGAAGAACAAGCGGGAGCAAGCGGAAGCAAGCGGAAGCAAGCGGAAGCGGAAGCGGAAGCAGAAGTGCTCGCGGCAACATACGTACACAAACACACAAACACCCAGACACCATGTCGCCACATGTCAAGCTGCCCTCTATTCAAACGCTGATTGCGTCGTTGGACCACCAACAGGACAATGCCAATATTAATACCAGTAGCGGTCAACAACAGCAACAGCTACAACAACACCACCATCAACAACAAATGCAAACGCAGATGCAATTTCCACAACATAATATAGGGTCACGTGATAACGGCGTGCTCACCAGGCCGGTTCCGGCTCTGCGGCTATACGTGCCTACGCCGCCGGCATCGGCCGCGCCCTCTGCGGTTCCGTCTGCGGCTCCGTCTGTGCCGTCGTCTGCATCGTCGTCGTACTCTGCAGGCTCGTCTTCGTCGTCGTCGCTGTTCTCTTCGGTCGCGTCTGCGCCGTCGCCCGCGTCTTCGCCGGTCCCGGCCTCGGCCCCGGCCCCGGTCTCGGCCCCGGTCCCCGTCTCGGCGCCGTCCGGAACGACGCCCCGCCGCTCCAACCTGCCCAAAAAGACCGTAGAGATACTAAACCAATGGCTACTAACACATCTTAACTACCCGTACCCATCGCCACAGGAGAAACGCGAACTACTGCTCAAGACAGGTCTCAGCAAAGTACAATTGAGCAACTGGTTCATCAATGTACGGCGTCGCAAGGTCTTTAGCGACTACTACCTGATGTCGCGATCGTCGTCGTCCAGCGAAACAGACGCGTCGTCGATAGCCAATACGGGAAGCACCACAACAACTTCCAAGGCTTTCCCTACTACCACAACCACAACGGTCGCGGCTACATTAGCGGCTCCGGTACCCAAAGAAGCTGGCTCCTCTTTGCCGTCGGAAGTGACCGACAAACGCGTAAACGCGGCTATACCACCGTTAACACGACGCAAGAAACTAATTGATCGTCTAGAAGAACTGAAACGTGCTTCGGCGCAGCCGTGAACGATGATGATGACGACGAAGCGTGGGAATTTCTTACTCCAGTCCTACACCCACACACCCCCACCACCAAATTGTACTAATCTGACGTTGATGTTATTGTTATTCTACGGGACCTGGCGTCCCATGCGAGTTTACAGCTAGTAAATAAAGAGAATCTAAAATTGAAATTGAAATTGAATTTGAAATTGAAATTGAAATTGGAATTGAAATTGGAATCCTAAAATTCTAGCTTTCGATCCAATCCGATTTTGATCTTCCTGTCGTACATGGTGATCACACGCACACTCACCCATCAACCCACCACAGTTTCACTCCCCAGGTACGTAATTATCGGGTTCTTCTTGCTCCTCTTCTTGCTCCATCCCGTCGTCAGCGTCTTGTAACTGACTGCCCCCGGTCCCCTCTTGATCCTGGCCTGGAATGTACGTGTCTCGCACACGACGGGCCCCGAAGTTATGGGTGTGGTTCGTGCCAATACGGTCCACCAGCGGCACCGTAAACCCTCCTCTTGAAGCGTCGAACTCAAACCGCAGCTCATCGCTAACCTGGCCACCGGATTTGCCCCGGCCAAACTGTCGTCCGTCTTCAAAACCGGGATCCAGGTCCAGTGATATGTTGCGGTCGTCCAGTTTCATGTCTGACAGATATTTCACTGCGTTCAGGGCCTCCTCCGGCGTGTTGTAGATAACAAAGCAAAACCCACACGGCGTGAACTTGAACCGGTCCAATCCCATGATGATGCGTTTGATAGTACCGGATTTGCTGAACAGCTCGTATATCTGCTCCTCAGATGTGTAAAACGAAAGATTGCCCACGTATATCGTAGCAGATTTCATAGATTTGCGAAGTTCGTCCAGTCCATTGGGATTTCGACGTGCTTTCTTCATCAAATAATTTGAAGGCACGTCCAGCCGCGACGTCGAGTGTTCGTAGTGTATGTCGTCAAATTCTGCCAAAGACATTGTACGCCAGTTTTATGTGATTGTAAGGGACACTTCACCACTGTTATCTGTCGTCGTCGTGTGTGTACGTCTGTGTGTTTTAATCGGTTGCAGTTTTCTTTGGGTAAAGTGTAATATTTAATGTGGTCAATAATATTTTCAATCTACAAACAGCTGGCGCCAGTGTCAAGCACAGAAACAGGAATAACGATGAATCATTGTAAATGTGGTAGAAAGCGAGGCTACAACAAGGATTGGTGATGGAACGTATTACCAAGATAGCAAAAACGTTGTTAGCTTGATTGTTTGCACATTCGAGTGAATTCATCTTTTGTCATGTGGTGTTTAATTACGTGTATAGCGTTAGCATCTTTTACCACATCATCTTCGAGTCCGATATAGTGTAACGGCTATCACATCACGCTTTCACCGTGGAGACCGGGGTTCGACTCCCCGTATCGGAGATTATTTTTAATAATTTTTTTAGATTTTCTTTATGAACATTACTTTGAGCTAATTAGTCGACTTTCGCCTACAACTCAGCTTTTCAGCTTTTTAACATAAAAAACGATCATATTCAAGGCTATATATAAAGGTAACTAAGAGAAAAACTACACGCAGCCGAGAAGCAGAATCCTCACACCACTTCTTATGCTAAAACAAGCATGCTAGCTCTTGAGCTTGTTCTTGACACCATGTGGTTTTAATAGCTCAAAACTGCACATGAGCCCCGTAGTTACGCTCATGACAGCTCCCCAGTTCTGAAACTCACCACAGTAATTGGGTGCAGAGAATACCGTAACAAGTTTCTTGCGTGCAAAAAATTCGTAACCGTCCTCAACTACCATGTGGCCACGGATAACCAGGTCGAAATTAAATCGGGAACAAAAATCAAGGACGTTGCGCTTCCCAAAAGTGACCGACACTCCACGGTCGTTCACAGACCAGTCGGATACTTGAGAATCAGGGTCACTCCACAGAAGGTCTGTTATCAGACCTTCTTCAGGTATATCAGTGGGTCTAGCCACGCGTTCGATTTGACGAAGTTCGCGCAAGTGTGGAGAAATACCACCATGGACGCAAAAAATCTTGTCTTGAACAACTGCAGCAAGCGGCAAAGAGTTGAAAACGTCAACAAAGACTTTCCAACTTTTGGAAGACAATCGCCGTTTGCATTCGTCGTAAAATCCATACATTTTGGTGACGTTGGCCGATTCGTGATTGCCTCTCAGCATGAAAAATCTGTCTGGAAATTTGATCTTGTAGCAGAGCAAAAGCAGCATGGTCTCGAGTGATTGCTTACCACGATCCACGTAGTCACCCAAGAATAGGTAGCTCGTGTTTGGCGGAACACCCGAAAGACGTAGAATACGCATCAAGTCTGTAAATTGACCATGTACATCCCCAACAATCTTGATGGGGGCTTGCAAACGTAACAGAGATGGCTGTTCCAAAAATAATTCGCGTGCTTTGCTGCAAATCACTTGGACCTTCCAGGCGCTGAGTGGAAATTCCTTGGCCTGGTAGTATCTGGTACTTCCGATCTCCAATAGTCTTTCGATAACGTCGTCGATGTCGACATACTCGGTTGCTTGAGCGTCATGCGCATACCGATTCAAAATGACAGGTGGAGCTGCAGTTCGATCGTGTGGTATTTGGGAGGCTGTGGCTTTAGGAGCTCGGTTCTTACGCGCCAGAGAAGCCGATGCCTGAATCTCTTCTTTGATTGGAGGCAACGGGTGCGTAGTAGAGGTGCCGAGCGCTGAACTGCCCACAGGTGTCTGTGGTTCGTTGTCTGTGAAGCTGAAATTCATAAACGACGAATCCGTCGAGAACGATGGAGGGGTCATCGTACCATTATTGCTGGAACCAGAGCTGGTGCTGGACCCCGACCCGGCCAAAGATTGTGTGCCCAGAGCTTTGGCAAACGACATGTCAATGTCAAGATCGTAGGGCGCGGTGGTTGACCGTCTGCGACGATGTTTCGTCACGTGCGCAGTGGGATAACCATCGGGGGCTGGTGAGTGCGTGTAGTGGGTTGAGCCGAGCGATGCCAGGCTTGGTGGGGGTGAATGCGGTTTGGATTTGGATTTGGGTTTAAGCTCTCCAGGAGCCGATCTCGGGACGAGATTTATATGTTGTGTTGGGGTGTTGATAGTAGGTAGAGACCTACTATCATCGGGGTCATTAGGTTCATTGCTGTTCAAGTCATCACTCGAGGTGAGGACTCCGTTGGTCGTGCTGTTGGCTGTCTTCGTACTCGGCAGGGCATAGCTGGATTTAGACGGGCTGTTTCCCATAACTTGTAGAAAGGTAAAGACGATGAAAAATGGGAAAGCGAAAACTCGGATCCGTTATGCGTCGATTATCAATCGAAAGGGGGGGGTTTTGTTGTGTTGTGATGGGTGGTACAGGAAGTGGTTGTTGTGTGTAGAACTGAAGGAAAGCTGTTGGTGTTGAGAAATAGGTTGGGTTTCGAAGTTGTAGTACGTGTTAAGCTCGATAATTCTTCTTTTCTCTGTGGGATTTCCATAGGTTTTCTTTATTTGTCAAGTGGACGGGGCCCAAGGTAGGCCGGGTAACGTGGGTGGAAGAAAAAGTTAATTTAGAAGCCGAAAAAGAAAAACCACTATAGGCTTTCAAGGTTGGGAATCGATTTCGATGATACGGGTTTGAAGATCAGGTGGGAAGTGTAGAAGACGTCCTGGTTGTCGTAGATGTAGTTCCCGCGATCGATCGTAGAAAATAGTGGCTTTTGGGTTCTTTCCCAGGCCTCGTTTAGGCTGGTTTTCTGTTGGTATCTTTTCGCAGCCTCTCTCTTCGGAGATACTCGGTCTGTTGAGAGAGCCCATGTGGGGAAACCCATCATGTTGGAAAAAAGTGATTACCATGCACATGGAAAAATGGGTCTAGACCAGGGTGTTTCGTCGGACTGGTACACGAATACTAACAGTTTGGGTGCGATTATTGGAGGATGATCCATATAGGGGAATTGGGAATGGCTGTGTGATACGTATGGAGCGTATCTCACTTCAGATTCCTTATCTGTCTCTCTATCTTGAAATATCGTGCATGACGATTGAAATATCAGATCCACGAGTACATTTTGCGAGTACCATCGCTCGCATCGTACGAGTGCGTCGTAGGCCACCAAAAGCCCGAATCCTAGACATATAAGAGCATAGCAAACGTGTGTGTGTGTGTGGGAGCTTTTGACAAACAGTATTGTTTTTCTTCACAGTACATCACAAGCTTTTCACCAGGATTTAATCGTTTCTAGAGTCCTCCCCCTTCCTCCTTACTATCTGCATTTCACGCCACAACAGCCGTTCACAGTCTCACACAAATGCTTCTCCCACGACACGTTTCTCTAACAAATGCGCTCCATCGCTTTATCTACCGACTGTCTATCCTTTTAAGCTCTGTGGTGCGGCCAAAAGTGGTGGCCAAAAGTACAAAACGGTTAGCCGCCCAAAGAAAATAAATCCTTGCCCTTTTATACCCCGTCGTGGAAATTGATCCGTACATAGCGACCGCCAATCTTTAAAGATCTGTAATGGTACTCTATACAAATATGAATATTCAACATGAACCTTTATACACACACAATTCCACTAACATACAGAGTTTATCCCACTGAACCTAACAACATCCAGTTTTTCCAGCTCTAGACACCACAAATGGCGGACACGCCGGTGAAATCGATCGAAGAAGGTGCTGTTGCATCAAGCGTTCCGGAAAACCCGGAAGTGCAAGACAATCAACCAGCCGAAATGAAGTCTGTTGCAGAAGAAGCGGGACAGATAGCATCAGAGACACCAATGAGTGGATCGGCTCAAAAGGAAGACGAAAAGGTCCCCTCAGACACTGGATCGCCAGTAGAGCGTTCTGAGGTTCAGAAAAACGAAGTTCAAGGCTCATTAGAAGCTGAGAAGACCTCAGTTTCTGGAGTTCTGAAAAATCCAGCAGATGCAGATGATCATGCCGTGGAAGAAGAAGCAGAAGCTGAAGTAGAAGCAGAAGTGGAAGAAGAAGAGGAAGGTGAGACACGATGCGTTTGTGGAGAAGTAGATCCACCGGACGAATCGGGATTATACATCCAGTGTGAACAGTGCAGCGTATGGCAGCATGGTTTCTGTGTAGGGATTACAGACGGTGAAGGAAGTGCTCCTGAGAAATACTGGTGTGAAAAATGTCGGCCAGAGCTGCATACGTTATATACCAATGATGCAGGACAAGGCAGGTCAATCTACAAGCCCGTGCAGCAATCCAGGCGTCAAAATAGACGCATCAAAAAAGACGACGAACCGTCTTCCCATCGCAGCAATGGTCCTGCAAACACCGGCAGCGGCAAGCGTTTGAGTTCCGCTCTTGAAAAGGTGGATACAGATATTAAGACCGAAACCCAAAAATCTATACCTGCGGAGGAACAGAAACCCCGTAAACGGCAACAGCGACGCAAGGAAAACACCACCCAAGAGCAAGTGATCTACGGTCGCAGAGACTCCGATGAAGACCGTCGCTCGCTCGACAGACGTCGAGCCACGTCGTCTGCACGCGAAGAAAAGCAATACCAATTGATGCTAGAGAAGGCACTGAAGGAAAGCAGACGTGCGTCTCAGGCTGACGAGGAACTTGAGGCCAACCTCGCTTTGGAATCAAACTCGAACGATATGGAACAACAAATTAGTGCCCAACCTCCTGCCTTGGACGTACAGGCTGCAGAAGAGCCCCCCAAAAAGCGCGCCAAGCCCAGTATCAACAATAACAACTCTCCCCCAACTACTTCAGTGACTTCATCAGAGGACGACAGCCGACGGAAGCCAAAACGCGGAGGCCCTCGTAAAGTCAGAGGTCGAAATTCTTCGCGAGCTTCTTCTAACGACACAAGCTCCAATACCTCAGATATCGGTATAAGCAAACCTATTAAACCCAGGCTGCCGACACAGCGAACGAGCTTGAACGAAATGCGACGCCGCGTTGGTGCTATTTTGGAGTTTATTTCACGAACGCAGTTGGAGCTATCAGACGATCAGATCGAAAAGCACAAGTTTACCGAATTTATTGATAATCAAGAGTTTGTCAAAAAGGTGGATGTCGTTTACTCTAATTTTGATGACAGTCTAAAGACTATGGATGAACTGACTAGGAAACTGCTAATGTGGGAAAAAAAATATGCTGTAAACCATTGATGCATGTTTGGGATATATAAAAATTATAAGAGATCTGATACGTCAGTACTTTTTCTACCGGAACCGCTGCAATACTTCATGAATTCATGAGTATTAACAATGCTTGTACCGCCAAGTATAACTCTTATTTTCCCGTCATTTTCATCCTTAATTGTCTTGTTAAATTCATGAACTATCCGGGCCTCCTCAAACGTAGCACCTCCAACAAAGAAGATAACGACATCTTGTGCCGGTGACCTGCTCGCTGGGGTCTCCAAAAACGGAAACTTATCGTCAGAAATTTTGTTTCTTGACAAATCATTCAGGAAAGCAAACAAGTCAGGAACATGTTGCATGAAGACATTATCAGCCTTTGGGTGACCCTTCTGATTGAATTTTTTAGCCAATTCACTAATCAGATCTTCTCTTTCTCGACCGGATGGAGAAGAATTCGTGCGGGTCTGGAAGAGACTATTGAAATGGTGAAGAAAATTGACCTCCTCTGCACTCATTTGAAGAGCTAAGGCTTTTGAAATTTCGGATGTACGTGCAGCGCCGGAATTTTTCAAAGAATAGATACATGCAAGTTTCAGCTTGTAGTAGTTGTCAACGCTAGGATTCGAAATCACCTTAATTAATTCCTCGTAATTCTGAGAGTCCCCGGGGTCTGATGAAATGTTTTGCTCGAGCTCGCTCACCTCCCAGATGTGCTTTTCTTGCAACTGACGATCCAATTCTCCCACAATTGCCATATGTTTTGAGACGTTGCCGGACAGCTTTCGAAATTCTGGATATTTTCCTATAAACTGTTTGATGTCCTCAATTGTATTGATCTGACTGTTGGTATTCGTTTTCTCCTTATAGCTAGAAACATAATGCTTCACCTTATCCCCAAGTTCACCGAAGTTCAGATACATTGTGTCAGAGAAAAAATGATCTTGCCTTGAGGAAAGAACGACTTGCTGCATACTTGAATCAACTTCAGGTGAATTGGACAAATCGACAACATTGCGTTTTATACCCAAATACTCGTTTATCATGGACTGATACGTCCAAGGCTGCAGTAAGGCTGTCAGCGGATCCCGGTGGCGGTCGAGGATCAGAAGTAGTGGCGGAGCGTCTATCTGTGGAAAATCGAACAGCGTTTTTTGATTTTGCTGTACTGTGTGTTGAACTTCTTGAGCTAGTTTGGATGCTAGTCTGCTGCCTCCTTGGAATCGGATCTGGGGCTTGAGTTTCAATGACAGCAGAAGCGATGTGAGCCCCCGACAAGCTTTCTGCAAGCCCGATGGATCCCAAATCAATTGGTTCGAAAAGAGCTCTGGAGACGGAAGGTCGAGCGAGAATAAGTCCTGGTTCAGAATTTGGTAATCCTGGAAAATTTCCTCTACTTTATTAACCACTTCCAGCTCGTCGCTCTCAGCGAGACGCTCGAGCTGTGCCTTGGTCAAAGAGTTATTGAAGAAAAGTTGGTACTCGCCATATTTTGGGTTGCTAAGTTCTTTCGCTACCAATTCTATAGTTTCATCCGTAGGCTTGGCATAGACAAGACACCTCATATGGCGCATGACATCCCTATTTTCGTTTTCCAGTGTGTCAATCAGATATATTTCGCGCTCTAGTAACGCGGTTTGTGTCGTGCACATCGAAATAGTACCTGTTGTGTGTTTGTCCAGCAGAAGGGCTCGGATTCGAGTCTCTGAAACCGCATTGCGAGAACCTCTAGAAGAAGAGTTGGTGATTCGATCGATGTAGACGTCTGCTGCACTAAAGAGGTTCATTGCTGGCAAAGATGTTGTCCGGGATGAAGCCATTAACGATTAGAATTGAGAGCGATGTGCCATTATATTAAAAGGGTTGATGGCCGATTTCTTCACGTGATGTCGAGTCGTTATGGTACAAGAACTTGTATTTGACATTCAATTCATGATAGGTGTTAAGGTCTATCCTTGAGAGCTTGTTGCTGATTGCCAATACCATGTTAGGTATCTGGAGTTTCTTGCCGCTATTTTTTTTCTCTGATCTTCACATACTTTGGATTTTCTTTTAATCAGCGCTGACACCAAAAGGACAGGTTTCATATCCGACTTGAGCACAGTAAGCGCTCCTGGATAAGCTTCTTTTTTAAGGTTAGCTGTAATAATTTTTCTGGCTGCACAGCATTCTCCAACCAGCTTGATTTGCGCGCAAATGTAGTGATAAATCTTCCACAATTCCTCGATGGCAACTAATTTCGTGTCTTTTCGCGAACAAATGGAGGACTTTGCAAGTAAAGAATACGTGACTCTATTGGCTGCTCTTTCTGCTGATTATATTGATTATCGGAATTCTTGTAGTATGACAGTGATCTCTGGAGTCATTTGCCTCGTAGATCAAAATTTTGACACCAGTATTCAATTGAGTCAGTGCAACTAGTTTTCAGGTTTGAAAAGCCACCAGGGCGCGAATGCAATCATATCCACCAGATAATACGTCTTTCCGGTTTTTGAACCAAAATTGGGCGAAATACAGAACAAAAATGTTTGTCATGGTTTATCGTGTGCCGAGAAAGGCGAGAAGATTGACATTGCTCTCAAAAGAGTTTGAAATTGAATTTGCTGGCAATTGATAGTCCGCATTCTTCTTTTAGGATAATCATACTCGAGTAAGAGATCGTATTTTCGTGGCAAAAAGACCTTTATAATATGTTAAGGTATTGCGTAAATTTAGTGACTTGATAGCTGATTGAAGAACGCATCAATGATCGAGACACCAATTGTCAAATGAGCAGCTCTTGAATCAAAGAGATAGCTTCGACTAATGTTCTTTGTTCGGTGCGATCGGTTGTGTCGCTGTCATCAGTGAGTGTTATATTGACTAAATTGAACTATCTATATATGCTGTCAGATAACTTCACGTTTCTCGAAAACTCCGAACAAGAACATGATCCGCGATCAGCAGTACATTTACGGACCAGAAAAGTGATTGGAAAGCATATTGAAATTGATTTATCGAACTGATAGAATTTTTGACGGGCCGAGACAACTCCAAAGCCAATTTTCTTGATTATTGCATTCTTGACGGAAGTCTTGTGGAATCTCCATCCTACTGAATGAGCGTGTATGCTCGAACAATCAAGTGAGAGTGTTCAAGTCAGGCGCTAGCTGGAAAGAAGAGAGAAAAGTTGATTCTCCCACACTTTCAGTCAACATTACGCTTTGGGCTCGATTCACAAGATGCTCCAATTTCAAAGGAGACACCAAGACTACGCACGAACTGATGCTCGCTATTGTCATTGCAGATCCCTGGGATAATGAGAGAAAAAATGGTATCTTGAAATAATCTTATTGGAATTCTTCTCTGATTTACCTACAACGACCTGTCGACATCATCTATGACTCTCACAAATTGGGGATTTTTATTTTACCATTAGCTCAAAGAGCGATCAATTTTTATGGCTGCTATTCATCAAGTTTGCTGCGTCCCATTAATCGATTTTCATCGCTGACACCCACCAAAAAACGTCCGGCAGGAGTGTGGCCCTTTACAAGTGTTGGTTGCGTTCCAGACACTAAGAGTTCAACTCAATTCAAGAGCCTTTAACCACAAACAGCTTTATCCATTCACTAGAAAACATGTTTTCCAGACAACCTGACGGCTGATTTTGGGGTCTTTGGTCCATCAAACAATCAATTTCCAGTCATCCCAATTCTCTGCCAACAAAATACGTGCTCCCCGTGCAATAATACAAAAGAGATAATTCCAGAGCTCGATAACTCGTTCACAATCCTTACAGTTAAAATTCTGGCCGTCCGTTCGCTAAAGCCAAACTAACTTTTCCTGCCGGCCTTTTTTTTACAATACGATGTCACTGATCACATCAGACAAATTCTCAACAAACGGACATACAAGAAAACCATTGGAAAAGGCTTCTTATACTGTTGGATCGAGCACAGCAACTAGATTAAATCACCAAACTGCGAAACACCAAGCAATGAAAACCTTCATTGTTCGACCAATTTTCAAGATGTTAGTAGGAGCATCAGAAAACTGGCGCAAGAGCTCAACAACATGCTCAAGCAACTCCCTAGACTGCTGCCATGGAAGAGTTAAGCTGGTGCTACTTCTTCGATGTCCATACATTACCGATTCTTCAGCGTCAAGTCTAGTCGTATCCAATGCCATCTGTTAATATAGTGAATTATACATGCGGGGACACTACTTGCCTAGTTCAACTTCTGATAAGTGAAAAACAGACCAAGAGACTCCAGAGATCAGTATTTAGGACTGAGCAATAGGTTGTGCTGCACTCCACAGACCAAGAGCTTTGAGCCGCTACCAAAATTCGTTTCATTATGAACAACAAGCATGGTACAAACACGAACAAAAAGCTAAAACAGTTTAGCACGAAATCAAGAAGCAAAAGCGCTGCAAACTTCAAGGGATTGAATCAATTGAGAAGAGTCCTGAGTCATGATGGAAGTTATGCGGTTGATGATCATACAAAGGAAAGACCAGGGTCGATGAAAAAATCCAAAAGTAGTGATTCTTTGCACAAGAGAAAGGCAATAAGCAGTCTCAGTATGACAGCATTGGGACGGACTTCGTCGAACTCAATGAGTCCACATCATGATAATTGGAGTAATCTGTCTGGTCCTGCGTCTGGCCTCAAGCCGCTACGGGGAAATAGCACTAAATCTGTTCTGGAGTTGCGGGACGGCGATGAGATGTATAATGATCACTCAACAACAGACGAAGAAGTGGAATACTTTACAGATGAGGAGGATAAAAGGGAGGGTTCAAGCACAAACGGCAGGATTGAAATGCTCGAAAATGACAGGGTGCAAAAAAAGTCCAGTCATCTGTCGGGAGCTGACGACATTGAAAATGAACGAGATTCATCTTCTAATTCGCAAGTCCAGGAACTGCAGGGCGGCATGGACGATACATCGGGCTCTAGTAGCTCTGAAGAAGAACAAACCTTGTTAGGAACGGATGCGCCATCTCAGTCGCATAATGTGTCGTCAGATCTACGAAACTCCATTTCGCGAGCGGATAGCAATAACACCCTAAGAAATCAGCTTTCCTATGCAGTACCGTCTCATCAACGACCTTCAAGCGATGACCACATCAGCAACGTTGGAAGTTTGCCCGAGCAGGACCAATTAACAAGGAATGGTCATCACAGTGGCAGGGAACATTTGGGCAATCATATTTCTAATGATGACAGGATTGATTCTGCGGATCGAATAGATCAAAATGGCACCGAAGAAGATATTATCAACGCTCCAAACAACATTGAAACAATGGCAAACAGTTTAAAGAGACATGGTCCGACAACAAATAGGACAAGAAACTTGGCGTATGCTGATGACAACGGAGACAATGCTAGTGACGATTATGAGCAAGATAAAGGAAACAGAAATGGCTTGAGATATAGCCCGACTATGATTTTGTCACAGTCAACCGGCATAGAAAAACGATTTGACCGATCACCACCCTTGGCAGAAGAAACAGGCTCCCGCATGTTGAAAAATGACGGCATTCAAAATACTACTAACGGGGCTATCCCCTCAAACAATAACAACTTCAAGTATATCAACAGTGACTTTGCAGCGTCTTTCAATTCAAATCAGGGTGTACAACACTTGAGCGAGAGTTCTGTTAAACCCGATTTTTCCACATCTATTTCCAGTTTATCGAGCCATCTTTCCAGACCAACGCAGTTGATGACAGACAACAAGGCCCAAAAAGCGTTGCACCAAAGAGCTGGTCAGAATTTTGCGACTTCTCACAACAATAATCGCCCTCAACTAAACTCCAGAAAGTCAAGTAGTAAGAGGCCCGATTCTTTGTCGAATTTCAATAACTTCTCTCAATTTTTGCAAACCGAAAGCAACGGAACCGAGTCGCGAACACAACAAAAGCTCTGGCTGCAGCGTGAAAACTCCCTCATAGATCTTTCGTCTCAAACTCCAACCTTAGATACTATTTTCTTGGCCTCTAACATAGAAGTCAAAAGAGAGTTTGAAAGAATATCGAGAGAGTACACCAACGTTAGACGTTTTAGCAATCCTGTGACGGCTTCTTTGAACAGAATAGCTCCTAGAAACAGATTAGACTCAAAAAAGAATCGCCTTGCTCTTTCCCAAACACAAGAGCTCGTTAAAGTTTTCAGAAAAGATGGCTCGCAGAATCAGCAGTCACTGCAAGACTTTTGCAAGGAAAACTTACACTTAGATATTGATATCCAGCGAGTCTTGTCAACAATCTGGAACAAAGAAAGCGCCGCTTTCAACAGAAGTTCTGAACTTCCCGGCCAGAATGATCTCAATCACACGTCAAGCTCTCATGGAATGCCGTTGCGCTCACAGACTCGCAACAACTTGAGAACAAGCTACGGGTCATCAAACAGCATAAACCATCAACGCGGCCTAGGATCCGGATCACTGCAGCCGACGACTAGGGCTGTCCATCGGCGCATGGAAAGCGCATTCAATCAACAGCAGAGGCTTTGAAATTTAATAATACGCACCCCCAATGTTAACATGAATTCTATTAGAGTGCTTTCAGTCTCAAAGGTGTAGAACTGATATAACTGATCATCATTAATTATATATAGTGTTACAACTTCTTCTTAAGGTATAGCCTTGCCGTTTTCACATCAATGCTACAGCGCGGTCTCCTGGCACCTTGAAGCCGCATAGTCTACCTTCTTCGTAAATTTGACTCAGAGCGCTCTCAAAAGTACCGCTCGCAACAAGCTGTTGGTATTTTTTGTAAAGTGTGAGTGCCGTATAAGCGTCTTCAATAGAGTCGTGGTTGCCACTCTGAACATCACAGTCTAACAATGCATATGCCAGGTATCTAAGAGCAAGGTAACGTTTTCCTTGCAAAAAGTATAATGCGGTATCTCTTATTTGCTCTTGAGGAACGTGTATGTTGATATTCCTGAAGTCGTTGTGAAGTCCATGGCCAACAAACACACAACCCATTTGAAGCAGCAGCCAAATTTTGCGGTAAACAATCTGCCGGGGAACTAGCATTTTCGTGCTCGTAACCGGGTCTAGGTCTCCGGGTTCAATACCACTATAGCGGGTAAGATAGTTTTCGATATGATTTGTGTTCACGACGTAATCGTCGATGAAGGGTACCCCAAAGTCCTCTCCGTCGTTACCGCGCAATACTGATATCCTCGCAAGTGCGGTCTTCTTTGGATTGACCAACGTTCGTTGGCCTCGGCAGCTAATTTCAACCTGCTCACCGGCAAGCTCAACGAACTCAGCATCCATGGCGATAAGACTGCCCAACTCGGGAGCTTCAGAGTTTGTCAAAAGTTTATAGTCCTTTTTGAGCTCCAATCTTGTGCCCTTGCCGAAATAGTCTCGATACAAAACACTATGATCGATACGGAATTGCGAAACAGGAACAAATGGTTTGCGCAATTCTTCAGCGTCAGAATATACCAAAATTTCAGGAGTCTTCCACCAAGGAGATATGTTAAGCGCCTCTTCTTCGTCTACTTCAACCACTAAGAAGTCGTTTATCATGAACCATTTCCCTTTCTTCAATGTTGAATCACAAACCCGGACGTAAGTCACCAAATGCGGTTCTGACAATTCGTCCGCAATTCTTGCGACATACGCTGTAAGCTCATACTTGAAAATTGCGCTGTTAGTTTTTAAGTCTGTCGGCTGTAGCTTCAAAATTGGTCTGTCTTTTGATAGCGTTGCATAAAATTCTTTAGCCAGCCAATTCTTTACAGTCTTTGCAATAGCCCACTCATCGTTAGACAAGTCGATGTTTAGGGACAGAAGAGGTGGCAAGTTTTTGACAGTAAACTCAAGCTCAATGTTTTCTGGCTTCTGACACTTCCCGCACATTGATTTGTCATGCTGAACCCTGTTCATAGACGATTCAATGTAAGGTAATATTGTTTGGTTGGTAAGCTTCTTATTCGAATATTTGGGGTTGTTGCTTGCTGGGCTCTTTATGACAAGCGTTGATCTACTGGATGTCTTATGCTCGTAACTGTCACAAGCGGATATGTTCCGAGTCTCAGTGTCCAGATGAAAACCAAATAGCTCCTTCATGACAATGCTATAGGATGAATTCTTTTTCTTGTCAATTTCCTCAGAGATCAACTTTTGAACTAAAAACTCATTGAACCTCTGCGGAAGATTGCAAGTTGAGAGTGACTCAGATGATTTCGAATCCATCAGTAATGGCTGATCTTGAATTTCAAGCCCGGTGAATGACTCTCGAAGGTCAGCAACGAGAGAGTTGCTCAACAACCCAAGTTTTCTGACTTCTTTGAAAGATGTTAAAGTTTTTTGAAAGTTTGATGCACGACAAACAATTCCATCTGCTTTATCCATCATATCATATAGATAGCCTAGCTCTGCCAACAGGGAGTTTTCGGACCAAGGGTCGTCTTTCAAGCAGTTCACCACAAAATTGTAAAATTCTGGTACAAATCGGTACATCTGCAGCACCGCATGAGTGTAGGAGTTGTCTATGTCAGACTCTAGTCCCGAGAGGTGTGTTTTATTGAAAGCTTTAAAATCGAAATCCTCAACTCCGTACTTTCCGTAGACCATTTGGAGCTTTGCATATGCAGGAGGCACTTCGTATTCATTCGAAGCCTTATACCTCATTAATTCCTTCTTGTCTGTGCCATCCTCGTCGGATATCAGTAGCTTCTTTTTCCTTTCTCTCAGAGACTTATAAGGCTTCATCATGTTTCGAGGACCAAATTTACTCACATTATAAGGCATTGTTTGAAACGGTTGTTTTTGTGAAGTCGATCTGTGAAATAGACGTGAGGTGGCCTGTTGCGTATTAGGCAGCTCGATGTTCATGCGTCTTGGTATTGTTCCACTGCTTCTAAAGATGGTATGTGGCCATGCTGATAGTAGTTTCTCTGAATAATATGGCATTCCAACTGAGCTGAGTGGAAAATCTGCATCATCGATATCCGGTTCAGATGGCAGATAATTATCATCCGGGAAGTCTGGATATTCCAACACAGTAGAACTATTTGAGAATCCTGTCATTTCTTTCGATCGCGTCCATGTGTTAATGTTATTATCGTGTTCTAGGACAGCGATATAATCTCCACTCGGGGAAAGCTGAAACTGAGATATAGAATGACAGGGATGACAGTATTGGGTCCTTAACGTCGGGTTGGCGAGATCTATAAAATCAAATGCGCCCGACACAGATGCAACTGTCATAACGGTAGGCAGTATTGGATGAAGCCGTACAAAGTCAGCGCCTGCGCTTCCGGGTGTGTTCACGGATGGATTGTACGAGAATGCGACCGGCGTTAATTGACGCATCATCCGCAAATCGTAGACATTCACAAACGGATCTGAACACAGTTGATTGAATCGTTTAGACATTCCTACAGTTACCAGTGTGTGGTCTCTGTAGTCCATATCGGAAATGGTAGCGGAGTGACCTGCGAAGGATCTGATAAGCTGATTGGAATTCTGATCCAGCAGATCAATGGATCCGCTTTGTTTTCCTATGAGCAGGGTTTTGCTGTCAGAGCGCAAAATCTTGACTTTGGACGCATAATCAACGTTGCGGGCCAGGGCTCCCTTCTGAAGATCAATGTCAATGAGTCCACTGCCGGAGTTTACTCCGCCGCAGTAAACGTGATTAGCACCGCTCCCAGCAAAACACATTGCTCGCATATCACTGAGCTGTGCTACATCGGCGTTTGTTAAGTTCAATCTCGTTATTCCTCGTCTGCTTGCAAAATTCAACGAGTCTGTGCTGAGAGTTATTACGCCGCCAGGGTGACTCAACATGTCCACAACAGCATTACCACCAATGTGTCCTGCATGTCGTGTGTATAGTGAGTAAGATGGATCATAAGAGGAAACTCGACCGTACGTATCCCCGGCCCATAAAAGATTTGCCTGTTCATCGAATATTAGTTTGGTCACATCTTTATTGCGCTCGTCATATAGCAGATATGGCTTTCTCAAATGCTCCGTAAGGTCTGCAGGCGTACGGTATGTCAATTGCCAGTTGTTCATAACCAATCAATGATATCCAACGTACACGAGAGTACCACAACTATTGGCGAAAAGGACTAATATAGGGTACCTTTTTTGGCAGGTAAAATACGTCAAATTTCACCGTTGGAAGTTTCTTTCACCGCGTCAATTCCAGCGGTTTTTGTTCAGCTTAATTTTCGCTTCAAGGACGGTCAATTCAGCTTTACTTTTGGTCGATGACTCTGCGTTTATCTTGTCAAAACATTAATTGAACATATTCATTTCATTATTTCAATTATATATATATATAGATAAAATATTCAATCTTAAACTGAGCACCAAACAAATGTTTGAATCCCATCTGTATAAAAAGGACAGCCTCTCATGGCTTTGAGAGTTGAAAAGCTATCGCATTATGGCCCGTCTCTCTCGGTGAAATTCTATGGCGATTATGTTTTTGCAGGATATGGATTATGTATTCAAGTTTACGATGTTTTCAGCGGCAAACTGGTGAACGAGTGTCAAATTTTCCATCGAAACAAAGTACACGGCATTTCTATAAAAAATGGAAATGTCTTGGCTTATGGAGCTCGCTCTGTAAGCATTGTAAGCATAGAAACTCTTTTGAAGTCCAAATGCCAGTTAATGTGTGAAAAATTGAGCCCCGAGTGGATTACCAGTGCAGAGTTTAGTTTTGATGGAAACACAGCTTTTCTGCTAACGTGCTATAATAAGGTGCTCTGCTGCGACCTAGAACTTGAGATACTAGAAACGAAAGCTGTATACGGCGAAAGATCCATCTTGTACTCGGGAACAATCACGGTTAGAAGCGCAGAAAAAGTTCACATTAACGCGGGTACCGTTATGGACGGCGTGTTGATCTGGGATCTTTTCTCTGAGAAAAACTTGCATCACTTCACGGGACACGAAGGCTCCATTTTTTACGTTACAGCCAGTCAAAATGGACGTTACGTGGCAAGCTGCTCCGATGACCGCTCCATCAAATTATGGGATCTGAAGTCAGGAAGTTTACTTTCCACCGGATGGGGTCATACGGCTCGTATCTGGAATCTTCAATTTTTTGACGGTGATACAAAGCTCATTAGTGCTTCAGAAGATTGTACTTGTCGCGTGTGGAAGGTGTGCCAAGAGACTGGTCAATTAACGCAGCAGGAAGTTCATGAGGTCCACTTGAGTAAAAGTGTATGGGGTTTGGACGTAGATTCAGACAGAATGATTGCTGCCACCTCAGGTAATGACGGCCGCATTAAATTGACGGATCTAAAGCTTCTCAACAGAATAGGTGATGAAACCCAATCTTTCTCCATAGAAGACATTTCGCTTCATGATGTGAACTTTTCATCCAAAGAAATAATAAAGGGATTCTTTTGGCTTCATTTTGGACTTGTGGCGATAACATCAGAAGGAAAAATCATAAAATTCAATCACCGAAATGCCACCTGGTCCCAAGTTCTCTCGAACCACAAATTTCAAGACTTTTCTCTCACCACAGGCGTTCAAGAATTCAATTTAGTGATATTCGCTAATGGCGTTGGCGATCTTTTCGTTGTAAAGTTTTCTGACGATGATGAAGAAGTTATAGAAACGCTCGAAACAACTGTTCCGGGGCTCTCAAAAGTAACCAATTGTCTTGTAGACAGCGTCGAGGGCGATCTGTTGGTGCTTCTTCAGTCTCCTAACCCAAACGACTCCCTGGTTTGTCTCAAGGTCAACAGCAATTGTTTGAAAATCTTGGAAACGTATAGCTTCCAGCGGCCTCCTAATTTCAGCGCTAATTGCATGCTTCATCATAATAACTTTTTGTTGCTAGGCTCAAAATTCAGCACCTTAGCAATTTTCTGCCTCGCAGATACCGAAAAGCGTCCTCACGTTCTGAGTAGGCTGCTTCCAGGAGATACGATAACATCTCTCAAGTATGTGGAACAATCGAGTGACGGCAAATGCTTATTTTCTGTTACTGATCGGGATGGTTTCTATTGTTTTGCTTCTATCGATCTTGACGCCGGTGATGCGGAAACTGTACTCAATAATAAAACATCAAAAAGGTTTTTGGAGGGTGCTTTCTACGATTCGAATGGTGACTATATCACCTATGGTTTCAAATCTAACTACTTTGTGGTTTACAACGAGACTCAGCAGTTTGAGATTATGAATGAGCTTTGTGGCGGCTCTCACCGCCAATGGACTTTCCTGCCTAATTTTGGACTGGACGAATACGTCTTTGCCTATGTCAAGGCCTCGCGTATAAATATAAGAAAACTGCATAAACCCACTTTTCCATTACTGTTGCGAAATGGGTTACACGGTAGAGAAATGAGGGATGTCTCTTTGCACCCAGGGCTATACGGAAAAGGCAAGAAGGTATTTTGCACCGGGTCGGAGGACACAACTGTTAAGCTGAACTCTGTTGATGAAAGCGGGGCAACCAGGGCAATCTGGACTTTCAGGAAACACACATCGGGGTTACAACGCTGCAAATTTGTGAGCAACGAACTTTTCATAACATCTGCAGCCCGCGAAGAACTTTATGTATGGAAAGTTTCGTCGGAGTTCAAGTCGAACCCATACATGAAAGCCATTGCTACTCTACCTCCCTCAACTAAGTTACCTGATCTCCGCATTATGGATTTCGATGTTCAGTTCTTCGGAAACTCTAAAAACTTTATTATGGTCACAGTTTATTCGGACTCTGCCATCAAGCTTTGGTACTTTGACCAGGAAAGTGAACATTTCACACTGATTGGGGAAGGAAAATACGAAACGTGCTGTCTGTTGAATGTTAAATTGCTTTTGCTGAAAGATGTCCTCTTGCTAATAGTTTCACCTAGTGACGGTCATCTTGTTGTTTGGGATATTACCCTCAGCTTGCCCTTCAGCGTAAGAAAGGGAAAACTAGAAGACCTCTTCTCAGGTGTCTCTGCCGTCTCTGCGCTTCCAACCTACTCGACCAGATTCCCAGTACACCGGGCTGGCATTAAGTTTTTAGAGGCAAAGAAAATCAATGAGTCATCTTGTGTTTTGTACTCAGGTGGTGATGACAATGCAGTGGCCATCTCTGAGATAAAAGTGAGCGAAGTGGGTCGTGCAATTACTGGGCACGTTTTGAGCTTTGATGAGACGGCAGCGGCTTCCACTGTGACTGCTGCCTGTTTGATTGACGATGGAAGTATGCTTGTCATTGCATCGGTGGACCAGAGGTTAAAATGCTACGATGTCACCGATCACAGTTTGAAACTCAAAGACGTGATGTACACAACAAATGCGGACACAGGCTGCCTAGACGCCACTTCGACGCCGAATGGCACACTTCTTCTCGTTGGTGGAGTCGGTTTCTCAGCCTGGCGACTAAACTTGGCACAACGATGATGGAATTTTTTGATGTACATAGTGTAATAATATTTTTACTGACGTTTTCTGCTTGCCAGACCTGATGACAATGTTACCATCAACTCACAAAGGGCACCACAAAGCAACCGATACATACCGCCCTTTATTCTCAGTGCTTTGAGGCCTCTCTTTCCTCTCTATTTACATGTTATAATTTCTTCGTGTCTAGCTTATTAGTGAAAGAACCTCAACCTTGGCGTTGCTTATGTTTTTTGTTAGACTTGCAGTAAACATAAACTCTACCTTTACGCCTTACCATCTTGTAATTCAGAAGTTAGTAACAACCAGTAAATTTCAAAAAAAGACTCTCAAGAGCCACTGAGAACACATACGTAGCAATCACTGCAGAACTTTTTGATAGCTGTTCTGACTTTGAAGCCTCTTGAAAGGAACGGGTTTGAAAGCCCAAGGGTGGCTTTCAAAAGTCCTTGGCCTTGCTGCGAAACTGCGCCAGAAGACCTCGCCCGAAGAAGTCCCAGAAACATTTAGATAGCAGTAGAATCAGCCTTTTGCGAGCAGGTTTATCTATAAAATAGCCATAAATCTCATTCACTAAGGTTAAAATGCATCTAATCTAATTCTCAAATTTTTCGAAATCTGGTGATAGCACTTTTGACGGCTCATCGGATAAACAATAATTAATGAAGTTAAACACAACAAACAAACAACAAATAAACAAACAATTTCTAGCTCCAAAACGTACTGGATTCACCCAGTTCATGAGCAGAAAAGCGGAACATTATGGGAAACAATCCGACAGTCAAGATGATGATATGTTGTCCAAGTTTGTGGCTCCAGGTAGAGGTATACTCAAGCAAAATTTAGGCGAAGAAGGGGAAGGGGAGAATTTAACAATTTCGGACATTCCTATGTCTGGTGACACTCAAGACTTCCCGAGCTCATTAAATCAGAACAACACTACGTCCAGAATAAATACATCTAAATTGCAGTCGAAACTGGACCGACGAGTCTCTTTTGCACCAGACGTTACACTTCACAGAGTCGATTTTGTGCCGCAGCTTCCACAGAGCTTACGAGAGCCTAGACGGAAAAATACGCCTAAAAAACCTTCCACTGTAGTCCCAGAAGTTTCTGTGGACTCTGCACATTCCAGGGACCCATGGGAGAGTGTAAAGGGAACTTCGAAAATCGCTACTACTGAAAGCGCAGATCATGCACCTTATACTCCTGTCTTTGATAAAGAAGTATCGATGGAAATCACTCAGTTGTTTTCAAAGCATAGTGGAAAACCAGAAAAACTAGACGAGAATAATGAAGATGCAGAAGATATGGAAGTTACGGAGTTCAGAAGACCACAGCCAGCGCGACTTACCGAAAAAAGCGCTAGTGAGGACGACGTTGAGGAAGATCTGGACCTCACCAACCCGCAAACAACTGACTTACAATTTGGGGTGGTTTCCGACCAGTCCCAGTTCATCGATGACGACCTTTCAGATATGGAGACGACAGAGCCATTCAAGGGTACTGTTACGGTATCTGCTCCAAATTCCAACAGGAGTGTTGCAAACGTCAAGGATAATGCCGCTACAAAACTGCCGACTGTAGATGAGCTGGGCTCAAGACCAATCGTCACCTCAACCCAGGAGATTGATAATCACGGTATCGAGCCAGAAATGCGAAAGGATCAAAGTTACCCATCTAAAAAAAGGAAATTGGAAGCTGCTAGTGACGAAACCCGATTTGTCGAGAAAACGGCGACGGAAATGGATGATGACATGGAGCTAACAATGATGGAGAGATTGTCGCCAATTCAAATACCATCAGCTGTTGAAAGCGAGCCGCATACTGTCGATTCAGTGGAGACTTCCAACCTCAAAGAGAAACACCTGTCATTAAGTGCTTTCTTAGACGTTGTAGGTATGAACGCCCACCGTGACATCGATAGTTCGATGATTGTCAGTAAGCTAGACTTCGGCAAATTGTCTCAGAATGGTCGTGCGGTGACGGTAGAAATGTATCGGGCACTGTACGCAAATATGCCAATTTTAGAGATTTACGCTTTTTGCTGTAAAGAGTTGATGCGAAGAATAAAGAGATCAAAAATTCTGTTCGAAGAGCTCGAGCAGCAGATTGCCACAAACGCGTCGAGCGGTCTATTCAAAAAATACTTTGAATCTCAGGGTGCGACTCGAGAGAAACTGAACGACCGCATCAAACTACTGCGAGATTATTCCAGGCTTCAAGCCGTAAAGGTTTGGTTTGAGTGGCGTTTGGGTCATTTGAGGGGCATCAAGACTGTTTTGCAGGAAAACCTTCTCATTTTGAGAGAAGAGCTGGATGTTTTGTCGATGAGAATTGTTACAGTGTCAGACATCAACAAAAGAGTTCTCGAAATAAAGCAAAGCATAATCAAAGAGATTCGCGTCGTCAAAGAAAGGTCAAAATTTGACAGTAACAACAACGACAGTGCGCGATTTCCAGATCGCATCAAAATTGAGGCCTTGAAGGCCGAATTACAAGACGAGCTGAAGAATCTTGAAAAAATTTCTGATATGTCCAAGAAAGCTGAAGCCTTGAGGAGCCTAATTGAAAACATTCAGCACAGAATTAGTGACACGCAGAGGGAAATATCGTTGCTCAAAGCCAGGGTCAAAAAAAGTGCCCAATATATTGAGCATGAATTGCCAAAGCTTCAAGCGATGTTTCAGATCTTTCAAAAACTGTCCGGGGTTTCGTTGAAACAGTATTGCGGATCTGTCCTAAAAATAGAGCTACAAAGCTCGCCTTTGACACTCGAGTTTGACGTCACCAAAAGCCACACAATCGACAAAATCGCTATCTCGGTCGCGGATTCTACAACTGATCTTTGCAAAGCAATATACCCAACAGCTATTAAATCTGCGCAAGGATCCGCCAAAACTAGTTTTCAACTCATCTCAAAACTTTTGGCAAAATCTGAGAAATTACGCTATATTCTTATGGAGTTTGAATCTCTGAACTCTCTATTTCCGTGCAGAACTGTCACCAGCTTGACAGGGCAAGTTGACATCGAAATAAGGTTCTTCGATTCAATCAACAATGATTGTGCCACATTTTTACTACCACTAGATCAGTTAGTAATAGCGATGGAGAGCCCCAAGCTTAAGAGGCGTCCCAAACTCCGATTGAGGAGCTCAAGTCAAAACGGTTCCGATGGGGAAAGTTTGATGTCGCATTTCAAGTCCAGGGCCTCGTTTTTACTGCCTTGGTTGGAAGCCGCCGAGCTTGTAAGCTCAATGTAGTACGGGGAAGCTGATTCAAAAAACACTTTGACCCATAGACTATTATAGGTGAAGCTAGACTACAAGCCTATGTTAGGTGGGAAACGTACATGCAATGCTATACCGCTTATTTTCTAATTTATATGTGTAGCTTTGTACGAAAGATAGATTATACCAAAATTTGCATTACAATTAGAATAAACACTAACCATTAAGACAAACCGGTGAGTAACAAGTGATTGAAGACTCAATTGCTCAAGAACTTAACCTCTGAGGCTCATTCAATTTGTTCCGAACTTTTGGGCTTTATCGAAAATCTTTTGGGACTTTTGGTTGATCTTGAAGCAGTTCAATTATCCGAAGCAATTGAACTTGTTGATCTCGAGCAATCAACCCTGAATGTTTGGTCCAAATAGTGCGAACGGTGGCTCCTCACTGTTTGGCGGAGGTGTGAATACTTCCACACCGACTTCCAAGGTGGCCTCTTCTGAAAATACGTTTCAACCCAGACAAAAGTCGTCATCGGGAGGACTATTTGGTTCTGTCAGTGGTGTCGCTAACGGGGTATCAACACCGAGCCCCTCTGGAGGACTCTTTGGCAGCAGTCAAACTAATAACGCACAACCTTCAGCAAACACGTTCGGAGCGAAAAATCCAACAAATTCTACTTCCGGGGGTCTATTTGCAAACAATTCAGCGGGGAACAATTTAGGTCAACCATCTGGAGGACTCTTTGGCTCCACCAGCGCTTCTAAAAATCCAGTAGGTGGTGTTGGTGGTCTATTTAGCCAGACAAACGACAATGGAAATAGTTTGAACAGTGGTGGAAACACTCTTTTTGGCTCGTCTGCGAAGAATGCCTCCAACACGGGAGGTTTGTTTGGAAGCACAACCGCAAATGGAACCGCGAGCTCTGGTCTTTTTTCAAACAAACCATCAAGTGGTGGAGGATTCGGAATCGGCAACGCTGGAACAACTGCAAGTGCAGGCTCACTTTTTTCCTCTTCGTCCTCACAGCAAAGTCAAAATGCTAGCTCTCTGTCGGCCAATCCCTATGGCCTTCAGTTGAACAGTCTCACAGGAAGTAGCATGGCACCTATGCCAGAATCCATTACTTCCAATATTTACAAAAAAGATCTACCCTCAGAAAAGAAGAATGGCGCAGAAAAACCTCAGGGCTCTAATATCTCTTCTCCCAACAACTCCTTGTCTTTCTCAAATTTGAAAAGCAGCACTACTTTGATAGGCAAACTGAGCTCTACTTTGAAGAGTGCAAGGAGAGCACAACCCACTCAAGGGCTTTTTTCACCAGCTAGGAAGTCCATTCTTCGGCAGGAACTCAGTCATCGCTCAGGAGACGACATCAAATCTACCGAGTCACAACCATTTCTAAACTCAACCGACGCCGGATCTCAGAACACCGCAAAAGGCTCTAATCTGCGTAAACTTAAAATTGATACAAATAGAAGTGCCTCCAAAAAACTCAAACTGTTGAATGGGTCAAGCAAACCTACATCCATGAAGGTTCTGGCCGAAAGAAAACCAATTCTAGGGAAAGAAGCACATGAAGCTGAGACTGGGGATATACAGCTTGAAAAAGCAACAACGGAAATCAATGTTGAAAATGATTCGATGAAAGGAAGTCACTCGCTAGGAGGAAGCTACTGGTGCTCGCCTTCTATCGATCAATTGGTTCAACTTCCCATCAAACAACTCTGTAGTGTTCCCGACTTCGTCATCGGACGACATGGCTTTGGTTCTATATCTTTTGAGAATGATGTTGATCTAAGCTCTCTCGTCGATGATTTGGAACATAACTTGTTTGGAGAAATCGTGAGGTTTCACAACAATAAAACCGTTGAAGTATATCCAGATAGCGCGTCGAAACCTTCGTTTGGTTATGGGCTAAACGTGCCAGCAACAATTACATTGGAAAAAGTCTATGCATTGGGACAAGGCACTAAGGTTCCTATCACAGATTATAATGCCAAAGAGGTTCAGCTTTTGATAAAGAGGCTCAAAATGCAGAAGGGTATGGCCTTCATTTCGTACAATCCATCTGGGGGCCTTTGGACTTTCAAAGTACAGCACTTCAGCATATGGGGATTAGTTGATGAAGCGGAGAAGAGCGATAGTTATGATCGCTCAACCGATATGAATGATCGCAAAGTTGCCTATCCTAGAAATAGGGCCATACCAAGAGTTCTATCAAAAAATTCTGACCCACACAATATCGAGATTCGCTCAATTGCAGCGGGAGCAAGTTATGGAGCATCAAAAAACATTCTCAGTGCGCTTGACTCGCAAGATGTACCAATGCTGAATATCTTAGATGAGAAACAGTATGAGCCCTCTGATGTCAACGAAGACGATTTTTTTCATTTGGAAGCGCATACAAAGCTGTCTGTTTCAGATGATTGGGAAGTGCAGCTAAAGCTTGCTGGCGCAAATACCGGCTCAGTTTTTGCGTCGACCAAAGTGCCGCGTAATAATTTATTATTCCCATCACTGGAGGCAGATTTGAAAATGCGCAAAGACATCAAAAGAAAACTGCGCATTCTTGGACCAGTTCCCTTTGTGAGATTTTCAGCCAACTCGAAGATTTTGTTCAGCTCCCCCAAAAGTACCGATGGCCTTAAACTCGTTCCCGTAATAAGTCGTGATGAAAATCTTCATCAGAAAACCCGTCAAACTCTCATGGCTTGTATGTCTCGGGCTAGTATTGACACGCGCAAACAGAATGGGTATCCTTTTGTATCACAATGGTCCGTGACTGTTGAAGAAATTGGACATCTGATTAGTGCTGGAAACGATGCAACGCCTTGGACTCTTCTTTCTGTTCTCTTCGATGAAGAAGAATCTGTTTCGAAGAATGTGGATAAGGAGTCACGCGAGCAGACGAGATACAAAAAACTCTGTGGCTGGGCGGCTCAGCAAATCCTGTCAAATCACAAACTGAGCGCTACTGAGGATGCGAACACGAGTCTGTTTCATAGTTTAGTTGTCGGCGATGTGATAGGAGCCGCCAAGTTGGCAATCAAAACGAGAAACGCACATCTTGCCGCTTTGATCAGTCTCTTAACTGTGCCGAATGGAAATGTAAAGTTCTTAGCTCGGGAACAGTTAAGGCTTTGGAACTCGCTCAACAGAACGGTCGAACCTTACATCATCAAAATATATCATCTTTTAGCGGGTGATCTTTTGGAGGCGGAAGGACTAGTTACAATGTCGAGAGAGCATACTTGGCTAGAGTGCTTCTCCATTTATCTTTTGTATGGGGATTTCAAAACCTTATCGCTGAAGGAGATTGTCACAAAGTTTGTGCGGAAGCCTTTCAGTGGAAACAGATCAAAATCTGAAGAGGTCATCTTTCGCATTCTCAAATTCTATGGTACCGAGGAAAGGAACGAGAAAATCTTGGAAAGTGCCCAGATTTCGCAAGATACGCGAGAAGCTTGGTTTATCATGCAAATTCTTCGCTTCAAACAAATTTGCCAACTCTCTGATAAAAAGATGGATAGAATCACCCAAAGTTTCGTGGAAGAGCTTGTGGCCAAGGGCTTTCTCTCTGAAGCTTTGTTTTGCTTACTTTTCACACACAACAACGATGTTGCTAAAAGAGAAATTGATGTATTAATATCAAGAAATGTTCAGTTCTTCTCTCAGCAATCCTCGCAAAAGCTTCTAGAGTCATTGCAAATACCACGTCCGGTTCTTTTCAATGGTCTGGCCCTTTTTGCCAAGTATAATGGTGATTTCTTCGCGGAAGCGGAAAATCTTCTAGAAGGTGGACTTATCGAAACTGCCGCAAAATGCATTTCATTGAAGGTCGGCCCTGAGCTGGTGCTGCAAGGATGTCAAAACAAAAAAAGGCTAGAAAAATTGAAAGACCTATCGCAAAAGGTGCTCAGGCAGCGCACAACAACCTTACAAAATTATCTTAATCTATTTTTGAACTACACACAGTTCATTTTGGAAGACAATATTGAATTAAAACAAATTGAGAAAATTATTCAGACACTGCCCGCTTATTACACCGATTGCGGTCATTCAGAAATGGTATCGATTTGCTGTTCTTTGATGTCCAGCGATATAGCATTGGCCTACCTAGACAGGTATGCGGGTACGACAAGTGTTGCAGATATTAGCGAAAAGCTACTGACATTGCCGATGGGCGAACCTGAACTACATTTCATCAAAAGGAAAATAGAGTCCAAAACCAACTGAGTTTCTGAGACTCACTGTACTATCACTATCATCACTTTGTCATTACTCTTCTATTTTGTCATTTTTTATAAACAGCTCAATGTCTATACATCACCAACGGCGTCGCGGAGTCGCTCCACAACATTCAAGATAGCCACAGAAGCAGGGCTCTCCGGAAAGTCGTCCAAAAAACTTTTGCCTTCATCGCAAGATCTACCCACTCTTGGATCGAGTGGGACAGATCCCAAGAACGGAACACCCAGTTCCTCGCATAATTTTTGGCCTCCTCCGGTAGTGGGTTTGAAAACCTGAGATTGGCCCTTACAATTTGGGCAAACAAATCCACTCATATTTTCGACCAATCCCAAAACCTTGATACCCGCTTTCCGACAAAAATCGATTTCTTTGCGAACATCAAGCAAAGCGACTTCCTGGGGTGTGGTCACAACCAAAGCACCATCGATCCCAGATTCCTTCATGTACTTATTGATTGAAATGTGCTCATCAGACGTGCCCGGTGGGGTGTCCACTATTAGGTAGTCCAAAGCGTCCCAGTCCACGTCTTTTAAGAATCTTTTGATCAATGCATTTTTCTTGGACCCACGCCATATAATAGCAGAATCGTCTTGCGGAAGCATAAATTGGATCGACATCGTTGCCAGATTGTCAGCCACGTATACCGGCGACCAGCCGGTATTTGATTCATGAACACTTTCATTATTGCAACCTAGCATACGCGGCAGCGAGGGCCCACAAATATCCAGATCCATGGCTCCTACTTGCAAATCTTCATCCGATGACAAAGCCCAGCAAAGCATCGACGTGAAAGTTGATTTTCCTACACCTCCTTTTCCTGACAGAACTAGAATTTTGTGTTCTATTCCAGCCAAGTTTTCCGTGATTAGCGGGATATCTGGGTCCGGGCCCTTCGGTAAGCTTTCACAGATCTCTTTGTTGGCACATCCGTCGCAGGCATCGCCTTGACCGGCTTTCTCGGATTCTGGACCAGGACAGTGTTCCGGTTCTGCTTCTTTGAGATGGTAGTCTGGTGGCAAGATTCGCGATACGTCGGCAGACATGGTGGTGACGTTTGAAGCGTTTGGTGGCTTTCTTGAGATGAGTTGAGATGAGTTGAGATGCGATGCGATGAGCTACATTTTGATTTAATGTGATTTATATAGAGAGGGTGTATATTATTGAATTATTAATCTATCTTATTGACACGTGACTATTTGTGCTGATTGAAGATCACATGATCTTGATGGTAAACATATTAAGTCTCGTGATTTAACTAGTCATGTGATGTGTTAATAAGGTCACTATACACGAATGTGTCATCTTGTCCAACTTAACTTAACGACAGGTTAATTCACAAGACGTATACATTTCTGAAAATCAGGCGGAATATTTCAAATTGGAGAGACTCAAGCAGATGGGGGATTTCTTCTTTTCAATGGATTCGCTCTTCCAACAATTGACGAGGCATTTTTTTCTGTGTATTTTTGTAATTGGTCCAGATTGTATATCTTTGTATAGAGATACACAGGCTAATTAAGAGGTTACAATCCGAGAGAGGAGGGAAATTAATCAACGGAAATACGCGAGAAACTGTATAAGACTCAGACTCTATTAGCTATCAAAAATCAAAGATACAAAGTTGCCAAGTGTTCAGAGCACGTGACGAACTTTAGCCAATATATTATAACCGTACATAACTATACCAAGATATTGACAACAATATCGAGTCCCAGCATCAATCGATGCCCTATAATCATCCACTGGGCCAACCACGGCAAGCACGGCACGCTCAACAAGCCCAATCGACTCGACGAACCATTCAACAGCATTGTTTGGTAGGTTGGTAGTAACTTTAGCGCTATCAAGCAAAGCAAAGTATACAGTTCGAGCAAATGACCGTTCAGCATGGGTAGTGACAGTACTACATCATCACACGAAGCGCGATTACAAAATGTAAAGTCGACTTTCGTTAGCTGCACTTTCGCGAGCATATCTAAGGAAGTAGATGACCAAAGCGTAATGATGTGCCAAACGGAAGTGATTGGACCAAATTGCACGACTTTACAGGATTTTGAGAATGTGTCAATCTCAAAGATTTTGGCCAGCGAAGGAAGCGACATTATCTTCACGCAAAACGCTGGAATGAACGATTTGAAGTGCTTTGCAGACACTTCCGCTCTCAAATCGTGGTACGAGTTGGTAAATTTTCTATCTGCAGGCCATTTCGAAGTAGGCGATCTTGACAGAAAATGGGCAGTGGGCGGACGATGGAAGTTTTATTTTGTTGCACCATTGAGTTGGACCTTGGTTTTCGAAACACAGTTTGAAAATTTCACACAACGCCACTGCGAACTGGCTTTTACTCCGGCGCCAGCGGATCAAGAACTTGACTTATTTAATCTAAGTCTGAAACTCTATGAAGCACAGAGAGAATCCAATAAGCAAATCCATATGTTGCAAAACAGATGCAAGCATTTGGAAAGCCAAAAAAATCAGTTGCAAACGGAGCACGACGAATGGGAGGCACGACTTCGCGTCCGTGATCAAAAGACCCGAAGCGTCATTGTGACCTTATTGAACGAAAAGAAAGGAATGATTCGCACGCTTCAAGAGCGGTTGGAACGTGGCAAAGAGCCGCTAGACGTCCCCGACTCTTACCTTATGAACAAATTCATAAACCAGCCCGTCTCCAGAATGACTTCGCCGCGCAAGAGACCTCAACCTCAACCGCATGGTTCAAAAACTCCATCTCCAAGAAAAAGAACGAAAAGGCCAATCTTGAAAAATGAGACTTCCTGGGACGATTTTTCAGCGAAAGGATTCGAATTTCTGGGTATCAACCGTGAAAGGACTCCCAGCAACACTCCCAGCAGTGATAATTTGAACCTCAAGCCTAGCATACAAGAAGCTTCTCGAGAGGATGTTAACATTGACGAACAGGCTGTGGTGGGGCCTGTTGAGAATTCCGGTCAGGAAAAAGTAAATCCTCCCACAACAAGCTTCGAGCTGGTCGACTCCCTGAAACCTGTGCACTCAACCCACCTCCCAGAGACTACACCCACATCTAGTTCCGAGGAGAAAAGCATTGTTGGGTCAGACGCAACGCCAGATACCGCAGAGGAGACAGAAGTCGAAACAGAAATTGAAACAGAAGTCGAAACAGAAGTGGAAACCGAGGCAGAATGAAAACGGATGGCTATCACTCACCTCACCCAGACGTCTGCCATAGCTAAAACAAGCTGTGGTATCAAAAAAAATTGTCATATGCCAGACCCAACGTATCATGATTCGTAATGATGGCACTTCAAGGATTCGAACGCGTGGCTAATCTTCGACCAACGTTCAAAGTGATCTACAGATCCAATTTTTTCAAGAAATTTCGCATTGTTAAAATGTTGACCTCGCATGCACAGTTTTAACAATGAAGCTCATCACAACGCAAGACTAGCTTGAACCGAGCCATTTCATTGTGTCTCAGTAATTTCAGATCCGTGCCATTCGGGGCAAGTTGACTGCTACCAGATCTCGAGGCAAGAATCAGAAAAAAGTCTGAGAGTTTTGCTCATAATTGTGCTCTGTCTGTCGTTTTTGTTTTGTGTTCTAAGCACCACTTCGATCAATAAAAAACACCGTTTGAAAGAAAACTCCAAGTGTTTTCGAATAATATTTGAGCTTTGTGTCCTTTTTTTGCATTTCTGTGATCCCTCTGTGGCCTTGACTTTCCTTCGTTTTGTTTTTCCAAATTTTTTACTCTGGCGATGTCATCCTTTTACCATCAACAATACGTCAACTCGCCCATTTATGGATATAATCCCAGTTCTGCTCACGGATTAACTCCTGACGGGATGGCATATCAATCGCTACCTATCAACTCACACACATCATACCAAAATGAACAGCGTTCTGTGTGGCCCAATCAAGCGTACCACAGCAACAGTAATATGAGCTTCATGGACCAGAAGCCAATGAGAAGTGTACGTCAATCAGGCTCAATTGAACCGCCATCGTTTGGTGTCTCTCCAAACGAACTGGAAACCAATTCCAGTCATATTTCTACAGAAGGTTCAACGTTTTCCAGTGGACCAAGAGCTTCACAGTACATCACAGTGGGTACTGCTGCTGCTGCTGCCGCGGCCAATGCACCCCTCTCGCATAACTCTCTGCAGCCAAGCAATCCCAGAGATTTCACAACGGCACCTAGCAGAACCGTTTATTTGGGTAATATTCCACCTACAATTGAAGCAAGACAATTACTAGATCATGTTCGCAGTGGTGTTGTGGAAAATGTTAGAATATTGCGAGAGAAAATGTGTGCATTCGTCTCGTTTTTGGACGAAAGCTCTGCTTTGTTATTCCATTCCGATGCTATCCTTAAGCGATTGAAGATAGATGGTAGAGACATCAAAATTGGATGGGGTAAACCTACACCTATCGATCCGCTTGTCACTAGCGCGGTTGCCAACGATAGTGCCACCCGAAACGTTTATATCGGTCGATTGGAGACAGACCCACAGCAGGTGTCTGAATTCGATGCGTCCTCTAACGAACCCCTTGTCTCTGAGGACAAACTGAGAGAAGATTTGGGATGTTTTGGCGAAATCGAATCCGTTAAGATAATTGCCGACAAGGGAATAGCATTTGTTCATTTTACTTCCATTTACTGTGCCATGAAAGCTGTTTCTAGCTTGGCGTCGGTGAACCCCTTTTATGCCAATAAAAAGATATTTTATGGCAAGGATAGATGTGCTTTCATCACTAAAACTCAACAGCATAATGCAGCCCAATTCTTAGGGTTGCAACCGGGCATGGAACATTTGGTTCAATACACTGATAGAGAATTCATTTCAAACACACTTTTGCAACAATCTGCAGCTGCAGCTGCAATTGCCACAGCGGCTGGTGGGGCCAACAATTTGGGGAATCGTACTGTTTATCTGGGAAATTTACCCAAGGACGTGAGGATTGAGGAAATCTGTAATGCGGTGAGAGGGGGCCTTTTGCAAAATATCAAGCTTCTCTCGGATCGTCATGTGTGTTTTGTCACTTTCATTGATCCAACAGCAGCGGCTCAGTTGTATGCTATGACTTCTCTCCACGGGCTAACGATTCACAACAAACGGTGTAAGATTGGCTGGGGTAAACACTCCGGTGCGTTGTCCAATGCTTTGGCACTTGCTGTTAGTCAGGGCGCTTCAAGAAACATTTACATTGGTAACATTGATTTTGAGAAAGATAGCAAGAGCGAACAGCCCGTTTTCGTTGAAGTTAATTTACGCAACATTTTCATGGAGTTTGGGGATGTGGAACAGATCAATTTCTTGCCTGAACGCAACTGCTGTTTTGTCAATTTTACCAACATCAGCAATGCAATTCTTGCCATCGACAAAATCAAAGCTAATCCCAATTTCGAAGGCCTGAAGATAAACTTCGGTAAGGATAGATGTGGTAATGTTCCACGCCAATATCATTGAGTAAATTTTCGGTGACCAAGATTCGCGGCCACTTAAGTTTGAATGCCCTTTTTCAGTTCGACAATCTTCTTTTTAATTGACTTTTCATGTACAAGTATAAACTTTAAGGCATCAAATGGTGAATCTAAGAGGACAAGCAGTGTTGGAGGTGAATAAAAGACGTGAGTTCCGGATTTTTTATGGATTCCGTGAACCCAATTTGCCGTTCGACTCAGGTCATTGAGAGGTCTTTGTTAATGAAAGATGGCCAGATGGAAAATATAGGTTTGAAGATTGTCCTGAATGGTTCAAGTGCAATCAAATTTAATCATTAAAAGTGTGCTGCTTGACAAGATCTAGGTGCTCGTATTATAGAATTTGCTGAGACTGTCTTACCTGGAAAAGAGAAGAGAAGTCTTTTCAGATCATGCCAGCATTGTTGGACATTCAAAAAGCTGCATCACCGCGTCGCTTTCGCCTTTTTCTTCTCGGAATACCTGTGGTATTCGTTCTGTCAAGTTACAGCTTGTTTAAAATCGAGAGTAGATGTGACGTTGTGCGACCACAGTTGACAGAAACGTTTCAAAAAAGAACTAATATTTGACTATTAAACCTAGTGGAGGAAACTCACGTTGAGTGCAGATGTGGTCGTGGTCATTGCGAGACTCACGAAATGTTTTGTGATACGATAGTGGTCAGATCGTGAGTAAGTTGAAGCGTGAGGCCATGGTTTTCGTTATTCAAAACGAATCAATTGTACAGTGAAAGGTAAGGTAGATTGGTGGAGGTTGTATTCTGGGACACTGCTCTGGGAATCATGGAAAATTCGAAATAGAGAAAGTATAACGACAAGAGCCAAAATTTTTCGTAACAGAACGACGGCAACGGCAAACATGATCTTGGTTCAAGCTTTGAGTGATGCTAAGCAGCCAGAAATGTAGCCTATGAGGGGGGATTACTTACAAACCTTGACGCTGTTTATAAGGTCACGTGATTGACGCTTTGTAGGAAACTGGCATGAATAGTACACAGAGGAAAACTAAGTAGCATTTAAGTGCAGCTTTATGTTATAACCGCTTCTGTGGTTAGTTTCATCGTGTCCATTTAGAAGTTCTTTACGTTTCATCTCTTTTTCAATTATAGTGCCAAAGCCAATTCTGTCGCTGACACCGGGAACCGTGACAAACGACACGATAAGCAACAGTGACATCGGACTTTTCTGACTGGACAGCGACAGCGACACGATAAACAACAACGACATATATTTTAGAAGCTTCATCCGTGTGGGAAACAGAGCTTGAAAAAGGCTTCGAAACTCACGCTACTTCTTTAGCTATGCCTTTAACATAAATTTCCCACAACCTGGCATAGTACCCTAGACACTCAAACCAAATTCGCAAGAAAAAAAAGTCCCACAGGATTTATTCTAAAACCCATTTCGAAATGTTTTCTATCATTCAATGAAGAATAACTAGCTCTTTTCGAAATACCAACTTCTTTTCTTCATAGCATTCACGTCAGCTTTGTCTCAAAAGCCAATAATTCAATTTCTCAGCTCAAACTTGAAATGAATTGAATTGGATTGACAACGTTCAACTCAAACACTTTAATCCTTAAATCAGTGTTAAACAAACAAAATCAACAACGTTACACCTCTTCTCAATAGCTCATTATGCTGCTATGCTGCTATTCTGCTTCAACAACTCTTGATTCTCTAGCTAAATCCAATCTCTAAGTCACATGCGAGTGTTGTTGCGGACTTCCGAATCTTCGTATCGTCTGATCCTATTGATATCGATCCGGATTGGATTGATTGATCCCTTTGTCGTGGACTATAAAAGGGCAACAGCTTTTCAAAACACGTCTTTTGAACTAACTCGATGTTGTGTACCAGAATTCGTCTTTTTATTGCGATTTTAGCTGATTAACATTATTTCAAGCGAATTGACCTTTCTTGTCTTCAAAAGTCCTACAACACACAGGATTTGGGCTGGATAAGAGTTTATATTCAGTTCAAAAAAGTTTGTAGCATAGAATATCTCAGTTTTAGCGTCTAGGATGAGTAAAATAGTGTTTAAACATCAACCAACAGAACCAGTTTCCATCAGCATTGCCGGAAACTTCACAAATTGGGAAATAGAGTCTATGGTCTTCAACGACCTGGAAAAACAGTGGGAATTCGAGATTGACAATAAAGCGCTCGATAAGTGTCCACACCAGGACGGGAAAATTCACACATTTTTCAAATTTGTTGACTCCAACGGTACATGGTTTACCGACGACAATTTTGCAAAAGAGATCGATGAACACGGGAATGAAAATAACGCTTTGTATTTGTCTGTAGCGGGAACTGCATCGTTGGAAACCCCAGAACAGCAGGACGAAATTGAAAATGAAGACCAAACAGAACAGATGATCGAAACTCCCGTGAGTCCCAATCCCACACCGGCAATTCCTGTAGCGGAAAATTTGGGTGATCCGAACGTTGCTCCGTCCATTGCTCAACGTGAAGAATCGCCTGTCCTGATAAATGAGTCAGATTTGGAAGAACAGTTTCATGAGACTGAAGAACAGGGAACAAAATCCGTGGTGAGAAGTAGCCAGGCCAATTCGAGCTTGGATGCTTCCACTAATAAGGATCCCAAAGAATACAAGAACTTCTTGCAAAGCTTCATATTCTTTTTCCGCAGTCTTTTCTACCGCTGGTTCAGCGTAGACAAAAGATCAAAATAAGCATTATGCTTGGACATGAATCAGGCTTGAGAAAAAAAACAATGCACGAAGACAATCCATAAACCCTTTTTGAAATTGAGAGTCACCGTTGCAGGAAGAAAAAAATCGTGGGAAAACTGGTTTTCGTTGGCTCAAAAACTCAACTTGCTGGCCAAGTTTGTCGAATTGGACCGTCAATGAAATTATAATGATCTTTTTAGCTATATGATGGCCTATAATTGTAATTGCTGAAATGCTAAATCACAGCCGTGAAGAACGAAAGGTTGAAAAAGCTTGATGTAGAAGCTAAGAGGTTGCGAATTGTTCAATATAATGGTAGAGTTTGGTGTAGACATCTCGATCGGAGATTTGAATTGCGGTTAGGAAAAGCGCTTCAATTTGATCAATTAATACATCGGTTGTCCTCTGTCTAGCCTTAGCCATCTCCAAGGCTCAGCTTCCGCTTCCGCTTCTGCGTTTGCGTCTCTTTTGTACATGGGTTGCCCTCTGTCTAGTCTTAGCCATCTCCAAGGTTCAGCTTCCGCTTCAGCATTGGCATCCCTCTTATACATTGGCTGACCTCTGTCTAATCTTAACCATCTCCATGGTTCAGCTTCTGCCTCAGCATTCGCGTCTCTTTTGTACATTGGCTGACCTCTGTCTAATCTCAACCATCTCCATGGTTCAGCTTCCGCTTCAGCATTAGCATCCCTCTTGTACATAGGCTGTCCTCTGTCTAGTCTCAACCATCTCCATGGTTCGGCCTCTGCTTCTCTTTTCTGCTTGCTATTTTCAGAGGCAAGCGCAGAGGCCAAAATTGTTGTGTTAACAACAAGAAGACCCGTATGTGTGTCGTTAGACACTGGCAAAAGCGCCAGATCTTCAGCACCTGTCAAGTCCAAGTATCCGCTTATACTTTCTTGAGGAAGAGCAGGAAATGAGTCGTTGGTTGTAATTGGTGCAGCAGCAGCAAGTTTGGCTAAGGCCAAAGCCAAGTAAATTGAGAATCTTTTGAACATTGATGTAGTGAGAGAATATTAGTTTTTGATGCTTCAAGACTAAAACCAAACCGGAAAAGACAATTTCCATAAACCTGTTGAATCTCGAAGCTTTTTTATATCTGCAAAAGGCGGGCGTTTTGTTTAATTAGAGACAAGACAGAACACCTTATGCCATAGCTCAAGAGGTTCTCTCCAATTCGTAACCTCATCCAAACACCACTAAAACCGCATCAGTAGTTAGGCAAAACTACCCACAAATACAGCGATGGGGTCTCCTTGAGAACTCTTATGGATAAGTTGTTCAAGAGGGCCCTCTTCATAGACGCATATTCATTAACGTCCAAATCAGGAAAGTGAGCTCTGTCGCCCTAGAAAAGGCCGCGAAAAAAAACCAATGATTTTGACAGTTGCCAAATCCAGTCGCTAATGAGAGCTAACTGAAATAACAGATCTCTGCTAGTCATCATGAGACAGTTCTGGCAAGCCACAGAGCGGTTTCCGTGATGGCACATCTTTAATACTCAGTGACCGATAAGTTTGCGGGGATCCTTAAACAATCGTGAACTCCGGAAAATGGGGACCTCATCGGTACTCTGAAATGCTGTTTAACAGTCAAAATGTGTTCCTCAAGGTAGTTGCAGCAGATACTTGTGGTTACATCTTAGCAGGAAAGAAAAAAAACGAAAAACTCTCTCACCACACTCTTGAGTAGCTGTACGTGCAGCTCGAAAGTTGCCTGTTTTGCAAAATAGGTCAATGTGTTGAATGAAGCTATTGCTTAGATTGTGATGGTATTATTCACAAGTTTTTGACTTTTGTTAGATGACAGTGTAGAACAAACTTTCTGCAGAATCTTCCGATTCCCTCGAACTTAGGGTGCCACTTGGCACAGATCATCCAAATGGCCGAATTTAGTCTCAATCTATCAAAAAAACAGCAAATTTGCCATTTCGATATCTTTTTTCCGCATCAAACATCTTCGTAGAAGCCGTTGTTTACAAGCGTGTTGCCCGAAAAAGGTCACCATTTGTTATCGTGAATGTTCATACCATACTTTGACAAACAAAACAAGCGGTTCTGTGTGCTTCTGAGTAACCAAAACCCACCTTTTCAGCACTTCTGTATCGTTCTTTTCAAAATGCATGGAACATTCAAACTCTTGAAGAAATGATTCAAGAAGCATCAAAAACCAAGCAAATTCAATCCTATGAAGACTGTATTTCCAAGTAAGCACGGCATATCTTCAAAATCAGCATCAAGAAATCTTCTGACACCATCAACAGCGACTGAAGTGAGAGTTTCTTGTCTTTTCATTTTTTGAATTATCATCAATGTCACTTGGAACTAAAACCGTTACTGACAGTTTGATGACTTTATTACTTTCAACTGTCACTTTCACGAAATAACTCACAGAAACCACAAAGTAAGCAGGCTGATCAATGCTTGATAGAGTTCAAAGCTTCGTGCTATTTGTGCTGAGTCTCTTTTTGAGAGTTCCATTATGGCTTTATGGTAAATACGTTTTACCGGTGCTGTATGTCTTACCAGTCTTTCAAACGTATAAAACCGATAACTTCGTGTATGCCAGCAAGCTTGTGGAAGAAGTGGTAAATGCGAGCGATATTGTTGATATTTGTCGAGCGCATGGATTTGAAGCTCACGAGCATATTGTGAAAACACAAGATGGGTATTTGTTAACAGTGCATCGCATTGTCAGCCGTCATACTGCTATCCAAGACCTCACACTCAAGAAAAAACCGGTTGTGTATTTCCACCACGGGCTTTTGACAAATAGCGAATTGTTCTTACTGGGGGAATCCACTGGGAAATGTCTGCCTTTCTTGCTTGTGGAACGTGGATACGATGTTTGGTTAGGCAATAATCGTGGTAATAAGTACAGCAGAAAACACATCAATCTGTCGTCGAAATCTTCGCAATTCTGGGACTTTTCGCTCGACGAATATGCCATTTTTGATATCCCCGACACACTCGCGTACATTTTGAACGTTACCAGACAGCCTAAACTGACGTATATTGGGTTCAGCCAGGGTTCCTCGCAAGCGTTTGCCGCTTTTTCGATAAATCCACAATTGCGTGAAAAAATCAAGTTGTTCATCGGACTTTCGCCAGCGATGATTCCACGGTCTTTAAGCCACCCGGTGGCCAAGTTCTTGGTGACGTGTCCGCCCGAGCTATTGTATGCCATTTTCGGGACCCGAGCCATTCTTCCTTCAACAGTCTTCTGGCAACAATTACTGGGGCCCATAAATTACATGAAAGTGGTCGATTGGTCGCTAGTTTACCTTTTCAACTGGAAAAGTAACCATATTGGCACCACGCAAAAGCAGGTGGGCTACCCACATATGTTTTCTCCCTCGAGCGTGAAAAGTGTCGCGCACTGGTTCCAAATTATCAACAGTGAACGGTTCCAAATGTTCCAGGAAAACGTTTCTCAGCTGTATTCATCGGTGCCCTCTCTACACAGCAAACTGCACCGATGTGCGCCGTTTCCAGTGCAAGTTATTGAAAACATGCCCATGATGCTGATTTACGGCGACCAAGATATTTTGATAGATATGGACACCACCAAGCAGAATCTCATGCGTAATCTGAACGATCTTACTCTCGTTGAACTGCAAGGATACGAGCACATGGACACGCTGTGGGCCAACAACGTGGTCGAACAGGTATTCCAACCGTTGATGAAAAAGCTAGACGAGGTCCACAAAAACGAAAATCTCAGCGATACCGATACTGACACCAGCAGTAATTGACACGACCTCTTCAAACACCTTACTTGTTACCAGCATATTTGCATTTTTTTTTCTTGTTCAATCAACATTGAAGGCTGTACCGGTGCTGAGCATGGCACTTACGAATCCTTCGGATAAACCCAAAAATTATGAACCAAATCCTTGACGGCATTGAACAAATCATCAGAGCATAGTTAGCATCGATTCCGCAACTATTTTAATGACATCTGTCATCTCTTTTATTCACTGTCATCATCTGCCCTGGCGCAGCTTATAGTATTACTCGACTTCATGGTCTCTCCGGGTAACTAAACTAAATTTTAGTATATAAAGTGGTAAAACATTCAAGATTATATTTCTTTAACTACGCTCTTATTCAATTTTAAGAGAATAACGCAAATTCACAGCCATTCGCAGCGCATAACAGCATCTCCTCGAGGTCGAACTCCTCAGGGACGTTCTTGGCCCATGACAAGTGTAGATAGTGTGTTGCCCTTTCTTCGGAGGGATTTTTAGCTTGGACTGGAGAAAAAACTCAGAGATCTTGGGTGCGACGATCCATCAGCTGTCTGTTTTTATAGCGGATCTAAGGGTTTGCCTTCGTGCGCCCGTATGGGGATTGTTGCAATGATCACTGGAACATCACGTTTGCACTAGCATGTAATATTCAAAGCAGTAAAATTTTCACGTAGTCTTGAAGGTTTTTGAATTGACCTGACATGATCAGAATTGAGTCGTTTCATGTAATTTCCCATATTTAGGTTAGTTGTCCTTGCGAGAATTAAAGCGGAAACTAGAATTGAAGCCTAAAAGCTCGTTGAGGCCGCGAGTCCAATCATTTTCGGTCTTGGCAATACAGTAGATACCGGAATTCCTGGTCAGATGGCCTCTTTGTTTCGCGGTATTAGAGTTTTTCGTACTGGGTAGCTCAGAACCATTCACATATATGGTACCAACTTCGTTCACCACATGAATCTCGTCGCCCACATTCAGATCCTCCAGTGGTACTCCGTCAATGGATAGTTTGACCACTTTATTGTCAGGACCCTGTAGCGGCTTTGAACCAATCTTGATCTTTATGTGCGACGAATGCGGCAAAATGAGGGGCCGGAATGATAGTGACCGAGGACAGATTGGAGTCAGTAGGATAGAAGGCACCAGTGGAGAAACAATACTTCCGCCTGCAGATAAAGAGTACGCGGTCGAGCCTGTGGGAGTAGCCAAAGTTACACCGTCCGCAGTAGTCCTTGTTAAGTATTCGCCATCGATGTAGATGTCCAAGTTCGTCAAGTGAGGGGAGTTGCCTCTGTGAATGAAGATATCGTTCATGGCATGGTGCCTCACGGGAAGATTGTCGCCCGAGTTGCTACCACGGCGGATGATATGGCACTCAAGACGAGTTCTATGCAAGCACTTGGCCCTAGAACTCATCACTTGTTCAAACACAGCCTTGTGGTCTTTAAAGTTGAACGGAAGAAGAAATCCCAAGGTACCAAGTGAGAATGCTAGCACCGGTGGTACCTGAGCATTAGCAAACAGCGAAGTAGCTCTAAGAATGGTACCATCGCCTCCCAATGTCACCAACAGATCCACTTTATCAACGATTTCTTCGATTTCTCCAGTGTACAAAACGTGTGGTTCTCCGGGATTCGATTGCGGATTTTTAACAAAATCCTGAGCTATTTCTTCAGCAACGTCTGGTGGCACCAGGACATTGATCTCGGGGTATGAGTCGTGTAGATGGGTGATAAACTCCACCATTGCCTGGCGAGTATTGTCCGCCCACGGCTTTTTCGTAATAAGAACGTTTTGTAGTGGACGTTGCCAGATCACAGATTGCAATTTTGAATTTGGCGACGATATGTAAGCCGGTGCCGACACAGTTCTGAGCTTGTTGGCCGATTTTAGAGTAACAAACTCAGACGTATCTCGAAGCCTTGAGTACAGATTGCGTTTGCAAGTTCTAATCGATTGCTGAAATCGAAAGGTTTTAACACCATATCGAAAGGCCTGGACACCATTTACAACGCTCAACATTGGTAAATAGCTAAAGAATAGTACAAGAGCCTTGTGCTAGTACAAAACTTGAGTTCCACGACGTCTAATGCTCTTTGCAAGTGTTTGAACTTACTCTTTTCAAATATGACTGAAAGAAGCTTTATAGTTATTTTTCAAGTATTCGAATCTTACGAGACTATATTATAGATATGATAGCCTCGAAAGAAGAACGAAACGTAACACCAAAGCACTGAGTGTGCCACTTAGCTGCTGGCATTATTTGCTGCGAAACCAATGCTGAAACAATGCTCAGCTTTAAAATCAGGTTCGGTTTTGTATAGATAGTCGTGAATCGATGTAGCAAAGGCATCATCATGTACATAAATTGGGTTCTGCAAAGAGGGCTTTCTTGCCTGAGTCTTGACTTGAAATCAGTTCTTTTTCACCCTGAGAAACGGCAGGATGTGCTCATTTTCTCTTCCATTTCTCTGTATATGTTTAAGCTGCTCAAAATGTTGTCCCCTCGGGTGGCTGTGGTAGTTTTTTGTTCAAAGTGAGCGCCATTTCTTTGCGAAGGTCCAAAAGCACCGTCTCCATGGTGTAGGAGCGCTTCCAGTTCTGAAGGGTTCCGAAACGCTCTGGTTCAACCTCCCCAGTGGTCTGGTTGACACATGGAAGATTGATCTTTGATATAAACTTGATCTTGGGTGGTTCGTCGGGATACGCTTCATGGCACTCTAACGCAACTGAATAGATACGGTTTTCGTGATTGCTGTGAGGAGGACCCAAAATCGTCCCGTTCCAATGCACCATGGCGATGTCGTCGCTATTGGCAAGACCGTAACTGCAAGACTCGGGGCCCAAGCCCTTTTCGCCCTTTTCAAGTTCTTCGAGAAGCCTAAAACTTCTGGGACTATATATTAATCACATCACGAAGACGTTTAAGTTAGCATCGGGTCAGAAACTTCTATGTAATTTTCCAAACGGATTTCCAACTAACATACATCTTAGACATTGGGTATTTATCCTTTTGAGTCGTGAGCTTGTGACGAGGCTGTTGAACTCTAGTGTTCGAGCTGTCTTCTCTTAGCTATAAAGTTTGTTAATTAACCTGATATCTTAACTTCAATCACTGAAATTCAAAAACTTGAGAATCATCACTAAAAACTTGAAAAGGTGAGCCAAAAATCAACTCTAAGTCCTGCAGTTTGGTCCCAGAATCCACCAGGAGTGGTAATTGAGCAACACTGACCCGGCTATGAGCGAAAGTACGGGCTCCTCGCCCTTTGTGGAGCGTCCGATGTCGCCTGAAAGCACCAAAACACATTCAATCGCGCTCAAATTCAAGATGAATTCGCTGCAAAACCAGTTTGAAATAGACAAACTGTCCATGGAGAGAGAGATCTCAATGCTTGATAAGAAATACCGGACCACACTGAACGATTTAGAAAAAGCCGTCGATGACACGAAGTATTTGTATTCCACCAACGGAAAGCTAGAGGCCAAACTTCGAGCAGTGGAACAAGAACTAGCAACGGTAAAAAATGAGAGATCTGCCGAGAAACAGCAACTGCAACAAGAATTGGATCACCGTGATTATGAACTACAAGAATCAAAGTCATCGGCAAGATCCAGAATTTCGTATCTAGAAAACGAAGTTTCCAATGTCAGGATCGAGGCAGATGGATGCAAGAGTATGCTGAAACGGTACGAGGAAGAAGTCCAATTTCAAAATAATCAAATCCGGCAATTGCAAGTGGAAGCAGCCCAGAGAGATGATAACATCGCCAGTCTCAAAGCGACCCGCGTTGTTATGGCCCATCACAGTTACTCCACAGAAGATTTAACTGAGCTGACAACTCTCAAAAATTTACTGAATGAGCAGATGTTGTTTTCGAAAAACTTGGAACAAGCAAACCTCGAGCAGGCAAACGATTTGAAAAAGTTACGTTTCGCTCAGGAGTCTTATAAGTTCTTACAGTCTGAGAACGAAGAACTCCGAAGAAAAACCGAAAAGCTTGAACTCCTCGAGAAGAGAAACCAGGATTTGGAGCTTGCAAACGTAGAACTCCAGTCTCAACTATGTTTCTGGGACAATATACAAGAGGCGTCTAGTGGTGGGTCCAAGAAATCACCCGACGAAGTGGTTCGAGAATGGGCCATCTTCAAAAGTGAAAATTTGAAACTCGTCAATGAAATTTCAAAAGCTCAGCTGGACCTGACTAATGTCCGTATACTGAATGATGAGATGGCTTTAGAACGCAACCAGCTTTTGGATCTGAATAAAAACTATGAGACCAGTATCTTGAATTTGAAAAGACTTAACTACGAATTTGAGCAACAAAAGCTTCTTTCCTTCGAAGAGTGTAAGATGTTGCGTAAGCAGCTCGACGACATGGCACCTTTATCCAAGGAAAATGATAGCGAAAAATCAAGCGATCAGCAAACACTGGATAAACTAGTACAGAGCTACAAGGAAAAAACTGAAGATCTTACAAGTGAACTTAAAAAACTTAATCAAGATATCATGAACAATGGCGACGGTATACCGCACAACAAAAAACGGAAGACTAGCGACGACGTAGCGTTAAACTATTCACAGCGGTTGAACGAGTTGCAGCTACAGAATTTGGAGTTAACTCGCAAGCTCTCAAGCTCTACTGACACAATTGAACTTCTAGAAGCAAAAATCAAAAAGCTTAAACAATTGAGTGAGAAAAAGGTACGCATTCTGCAGCTGCGGGATAATCCATTTTCCAAAAACCAACAGGTTAAGCAAAAGAGGTTGGCTCTGCTTCTTAAAGAAAACGAGGATTTAGTAGCGGGAAAAGGTGTTGTACTCGAAAACACTGTTCCGAGATCCTTATATGAACGGCTCAAATTTGATGTTTCGCAGCTGGAGGATGAAATCTTCAAGCTCAACAAAAAAATCACCAGACTACGTGAGGTGTTCAATCGAAAATCGCTTGAATTCATAGACGCGGTCAATTCGTTGTTAGGATTCAAACTTGAGTTCAGATCCGACGGAAAAATCAAAATGATACCCTGCTACATGCCTGACAAGTTTTTGGTCGCAGATTTAACTAATGATTCCATGAAATCAAACCTGCAGCAGGAGATCGAGGGCTGGGACGCACTTCTGCAAGACTTGGTGTTCGAAAAAGGACAAATGCCTGCGTTTTTCGCCACGATAACAATGAAGCTTTGGGAAATGAAGCAAAAATGACCCCTGTGTCATCTCAGTAGAACAAGAATTGGCGGATAAATACACCAAAACCTCGCAGGTCTCAAGTTGAATGACACTGTGGTTGTTTGCCGGTAACTCGATAGGCTGAAAACTCACAAACTTCTTTAAAAGCTGTTTTCAAAGCTTTCAAACAAAAGCACTTCGATAATTGATAGAATTTTGAGAGAACGAGCTCCCAGCTTCTCTTAGAAGTTACGATGCCGCTGTATTTCGGTATTATCCTGACATCTCGAGAGAAACTGTCACTTTGTAAAATAATGACTACCTTCAGCCTTCGAAATGATATCAGATGAATCTCAATCAGCATCTCTCTATTGAATTCAAAAGGGAAATCAGCTAAAATCAAGAAGCTGATGAACTGATGGAACGAAGCGTTTCTCCATCAGTGAGAGATGTTCCATCTTCAAGTGGAAGCAGGTTGGCGACGTCGCTTTCCAAGCTTTCGACGTCTGGGAAACAATATCACAGATTAAGTGCTAACGATTCGATCTACGGAATCTCGCCGAAGACCAGCTATGGTTCAAGGTATACGACTCATGGGTTCACCCCGTCGATCGAAAATGTCAAAGAAGACAAGAGCGCAGATTTTGAGACAGATAGGGTAAAACGCTATGTTGCTCCGGGTCAAATTCGATCATCTGGACTGAAATACTCTCTTCAAGTGTCCAAGGAATTGTCCAGTATAGATAAAATCAATGACCCACGAATGAGATCAATTGTGATTGCCGGCAAAAACCATCTTGGTCTCTACGAGTTTGACAAAGATACGGAGAAAATACGATGTGTACATGACTACCTTCAAAACAGCGGTGATAGATCAGGAAGTGTGCGAACCTTCAAGAAAATAAGTACCATATCCGACGTGAAGACAGGCTTTCACAATCACAAAAACTACGTGGCGACCTGTGGTACATCAAACTCGGTTTCCATTTACGACATCAACAAGGCGAATGCCAATAGCGGGCCCTTAGCCACTGTCTTGTCCAAACATACAAGGTCGATCAACAGTGTTGATTTCAATATGTCACAAACCAGTCTCATCATAAGCGGAGGACAAGATGGATGCGTGAAAGTGTGGGATCTTCGATCAAGTGACCGTCATCGAAATAAAAGCGATATCACCATCAACAGTGGATCTGATTCCGTAAGGGACGTAAAATGGCAGCCAACTTTTGATACTATCAGTTATGATTCAGTGCCCGGCTTAGCTAACAGAGGTCACAAATTTGCGTCAATCCATGATTCGGGACTACTGCTGACTTACGACCTTCGGCAGCCATCGCAAGCTGAAAACAGAATTAATGCACATACAGGACCCGGACTTTGTCTTAGCTGGCATCCCGTAAACGAATATATTATGACGGGAGGAAGAGACGGGAAGTGCTGTCTATGGAATGTTAGCGTAAGAAATCCAAACTTGGTTGGTAATCCCGCTACACACCAAAGCAATTCTTTTGGCTCCGCGAGTACATTACTCACGCCTACCTATTCTATCAACCCGACCGTGACGGCATCAGACGTTTTGATTAACACCGCGCATCCTCTCACCAAGCTGAAATTTCGGCCCTCAAATGTGGAAAATGTCTTCAACTCAGTGGTTGCCCTATCTTCTTTGGGGGAAAACTCTGATGTCTCTCTTTACTCACTGAGTAGGCCGTTTGTTCCGAAAAATGTTTTAACCACAACTACACCGTCTTGTGGCTTTGTATGGTGGGATGAGAATTTCATTTTCAACATTGACAAGCAGAACATGATCACTGGATGGGACCTTGAACGTGAACCCACTGCTTTGGATAACCTTTCAAAAAATGTTATAGGATGGAGAGACATAGAGGGCGATGGAATGCTATTTGTTTCGCAAAAAAGAGGAGGATACGAACAACTTCAAAGGTCTTCAAGCGATACACCGATCGACAAGCACAACTTGTCGCAGAGTCGAAAAAGTATAAATTCCGTGCATAACTTGTTTTCTGGTAGCAACCTGCGACAAAATTCGAGTACCTCGTCATTCTCTGCACTAGGCTCACAGCACGGCACCAGTTCGGCTTTCATTGATCGTCCCTCGTATCCTCGCAGCAGCACTTCACACAATTTCAAAAACTTACATGGGCCACAATTAGGATCCTACACCAATCAGAGCTTTCAACACCATGATTCAATTGCATCGATTAGTACTTCCTCGACCGTCGCAGACAGTGGTAGTGAGTACATCTCTCCTCGAATTATAAGTTTGGACCTACCCCATCTCATCAATAGAATCATGAGCTCACGTTCAATGAATTCAGTCAATAAGTCTAATACGGCAGATTTTTCAGCCCTCAAGGAGTCTCCTGTGGAAGTGTTTAAGTTCTTAGCAAGAGAGCTCAAATTTTCATATGATGAGGAAGCACCTAACACAGCTACAGATGCAGAAGCCCACACGCCCAGTGAAGCATCTACTCAAAGTGAGGATGACATTGACATAAAAACACATTTGATCAATCAGTTTGGACTCGCTGAGGATAACACTTGGACTAAGTTTATTAGAAATGCCCCGCATAAAGACAAAGACGTAAATGAGCTTGATAGTGAGCGTCTACCTACAGATGCAGATACATCGGCAATCTCCTTTAAAAGCGAGTATAGCTCAAAAACGAACCTTGATAAAATGGATAAGTCGGTGCACTCGAAACAAAACATGTCTGTGGAGGAAAAGAATGTTGCACTAGCGAGGCAAAAAATCGAGCATTTCATTGAGCTTATTGCAATATGTGATCATAACGCTGAGACCTATCTATTTGTTGAAGATTTGAGTAACTTCAAAATATGGATGATGCTGAGAGATGCACTGCTTTGGGACTTAAAAGAAGTAGCCGATAAGGTCAAGTTAGACTCCTCGGACTTTGTATCGGATGTCATGGACAACAGTGGAAATATATTGGACGGATCACACAGAATACGTCGCTCGTCAGAGGCATCCGAGTATAGCAGCTTCAGTGCTAGTGAAATAGTCTCAGCTCAACATTCTAATAGCCTTTCAAAACATGGCGATTCGCTAAATCAAGATAATTTGTCAAGAGCGACCTCAAGCCAGAACATTAAAGCCGAGACGTTACAGACTTTGGATGGTGATCACGAGCGTATGCCGCTGCACTTAGGTTCGCGGCGGACGACATCCGAGGTCAACGCATCAGAAAGAGGCATTGGTGAGTTACGGAAGCAACAATCGCTCGCCGAAGAATACGATGATGCTGCTATTGAAGAAGAATGCGGAGACGGAAACGAAAGCCAGGGAAACAAATCTCAACAGCAGATGCAGGGAATACCTATTCTTCCCAGCGCAGGTCGAAGGATATCCTTTGTCGATAACTTCATCAATAATTTGAGATCTCCCAAAGGTACTCATGACGATCGTGGCCGGGACAGTGATTCCAACACTAACAGAACGACACATTCATTCACCTCTAAAAGATCTGCACCACCCAGTTTTGGCTCTTCATTAATTAGTCCGGGCTCTTCAAAACCACTAGGGACACATAGCAACTATTATGCGAATAGTTTTGCTAGTCTCGAAGAACCCTCAGAAGGATCCTTTCGAAAACCAGTGAATTTGAATGAGGCGCTCGGTATAAACCTGAGCCCGGATTCAGGTACTCAGCATTCGAGAATAAGTCAAATGCTAAAGAACAAGAAACAGAATGAAGTGATTCCTCCATGGGACTCTTCCAAACTGATCAAAAAACACTTTGATGAATCAGTCGAAAATGGTAATGTTCTCCTCACAGTCGCAATCATTCTACTATTCCAGACTACTTTCCGCGTCACCAGCACTTCAGTGGTCAAAAACGCGCTAGCGGAGTTTTTCAATGTACTTCACAAGTACGAATTGTTTGAGACCGCGGCAGACTTGGTAAAATTCTGTCCTTGGGATGACATCTTGGGTTCAGGTACGGGACAATGCACTGTTAGAATATATTGCGAGAAGTGCAAGAAGCTTCTGGTCAACGAACGGTCCAAGGAAAAGTTTATGAATGAACGCAAGCAAACTGGAAATGCAGATGTAATGAGGAAATTTGGATACTGGTATTGTGACGCATGTTCCAGGCGCAACACGCTTTGTTCTATCTGTGAACGACCTCTGAAAAAGCTCGCTATGTGTGCGCTAAACTGTGGACACATGGGACACTTTGAATGCCTACAAAATTGGTTTTTGCATGATCAAATGGATAGTTGTCCATGTGGATGTCCTGGGAAGCTTATATAAAGACATAAACATTACCTGATCATACGTAGTCCGTCAAAAACCTGTGAATTTGCTCCCAATAACCTTCTTGGATGATAGTATCATTGTGGTGTCCCTTGGGGAAAAGGTAAATGCGTTTCCGTTCACTAGGACAGTCATTGTATAGCTGCTGCATGTGCTGTGGTGGAACTATTTCATCTTTTTGACCTGAAAGAAAAAGCCATGGTAAAGTAGGATCTGTTTCTTTCATTTCTCGCTCAGAGTTCCATTTTTCGTGGCATAGGAAGGAAACTGATGAGAGCAATGGGAACATATGGGGGATGACCTTCGGTATGCTCAAGAAGGTGTTTTCCAGTATAACAGCATCACAGACATGGGAATATTTTCTGGCAATGTAGATGGCATTCGCACCGCCCAGAGATCTCCCGTAGAGCAATAGCTTTTGGGTCTTGTAAAAAGAGTCCTGCTGCAAAAACTTCATGACAGCGTCTGCGTCAAGTTTGAGGCCGCTTTCAGAGGGCACTCCTTGAGAGTAACCATAGCCACGGTAGGAATAAATGAAGACACTGGCGTTAAACCGACGATATATCAATTCTGCAGCTGACAAAAAGTAGCCGATGTTTCCAGCATTTGGACATAGTACCAACCATGTCACATTCGACTTTTCATTTCTTATATCGTAAGCTCTAATCTCTATGCTATCTGCAGTCTTGATATGGTGCTCTGTGTAAGGAAGTCCGTATTTATCGGGAGTATCGACAAAGTCTCGAGCACCTTCTGCCCATGAAGGATATATAAGCCTGTTCTGATAAATGTACAAGGCGAGCAGTGCAGCGCCTCCGGTAGCAAGTGTTCCTCCTACCAAAAATCTAAATAAGCGTAAAATCATACTTTACAAAGCGAAACTTGAAGCTTCTGAGGGCCTCTTGATGGGCAATTGGATGACTTTTAAGTAGATGAGTTGTAGTCTTGATGAGATGACTTTCTTAATATCTTAAAGAATAAGTGATAAAGACGACTAAAGAAAAAAGTCAACATCAAAGAAGTTGCCGAGAAGTGCTGATCGGGTCATTTGTAGTCGATTAGCATGGATTTGAGTCGAACTGGAACTTGTTTTACAGTAAGCGAGGCTCGCAAATGTGAATTCGTTAAGTCGTGTCGTTTTGCGAAAAAGTGATCTACATACGATGTACATCCGTGCAACTAGTTTTGTTCTCTTTTGAGGAGGAAGCTGGCTTCGGACGACGTTAAACTCGTTTCAGTCGAGTTTGAATTCCAAAAGTCATGTAACGAGCAGAATTTAGAAAAATCTGCTGTGATTTTGATAAAAATGGCTTTCAGTTCAGGTAATGGTCCAAGTGACTTTATAGTTAAATAGAAAGATGAATTTTGAATCGTTAGAATAATCTCTTGCTTCTTGTTCTATTCTTGTAGCTTTTGAATTTTTGACTTTCGGGTGTCGTTTTATCAAAGCTTGGACCTTAAAAAAACCGTTGATGTCAGATAGTCTGAAAAAGCGAAACTAAACACCGAATATATTTCAGGTATAGTATATTGTTCTTACGAATTGAATTCAGACTCTATCATATGTTTGGTGACAGCTCAAGTCAACATTTCATGGTTGTATGTAACTTTCTTCTTTAGCTGAATTCACACATATTGATACTCAAAACTGGAAAACGGCATGATGATCAAATTAGAGTGGATCGACACATTCTAATGCACGCAGCTAGAAAATGATTGGAAATGACAGTTCGCCATTACGTAAAAATTAGGCTATGGAAATGGGTTTAGGACTAGCGTCAAATTGAAATTCGGAATGATCGGAATTCCGAACCTAGTGTAGCATGACAACACACACATCCAATTCTCTCGAACACGTCGCTGAACGTATCGAAGCTAGTGCTTTGGATGAGAGAAATCTTGATCACTTTGACCGGATCTGTCACTATCATAGGTCACGTGCTACCTACCGGTGAAAACCGTGTTTTGGCCTCATTTCCCCAGCATGCTGTGTAAGGAAAGCACAGTCCTAGTTAGTAAGCTACCGGATGCATTCAGAACCTGATTCTTACAAGCCTACTTGTCTTTACTCATGATTTTCTTTTGGCCAAATATACTGGTATGTCATGTTATCACTATGTACTTATTTGTCGCCCCATTGTGCCAGAAAAATTCAAGAGAAGGAAAAACAAATAATTACTCGCATCGACATACTATGAGTTCAAAGAACTCTCCCATTTGGATGGCATTCCAATACTAGACAAGACATTTTTCTTTCAATAGCTTGTCGCAGTTCAATAGATATACTGAAAAGCATGTGCCGTATAAAGTGACCCTAAAACAATCAAGTTTCCAGCCTCCAAAAACGTCTGCGAATCACCTGGAGGCAACAGCTCGAGATCTCATCAAAACCTTGTCAAGCCAAAAACCAAGCATCTACTACCCTGGTAAAAAAAATGATTTTATTACCAATTTTCTTATTCATTCGTCACTACGTACGAAATGTCTTTCATTGTCTCAGGGCTAAAAATTAAAAATTTTCAATATTGAACATATCAAAATGTACAACTTACCTAGCACCAGAGATCAAGATTGAAAGTATGTGATGATTGCAGCTTGAATCAAGTCATGAGACCGGCTTCATCGAAATCTACGGGTTGATTTTAGTCGAATTGCGATCTTTGCGGTACCGATTGCCTGGCTCGATGCCTTAGACTAAAAACCCTTTATGGCAACACCTCTAAAGGCTAAAGAATAATAATACTAACGACATATCTCGATTGTTTTGTTGACAGATGTCTGTGGAAGAAGTTACGCAACAAACCCAGGATTTGAACATCGAAAAGCCATCGACGGTTTTGTCGAGTGAAAAGGAATTCCAATTGAAGCACCCTTTGAACTCAAAATGGACCCTTTGGTACACTAAGCCAGCCGTGGACAAGTCTGAATCGTGGTCAGACCTGCTCCGTCCAGTGACCTCGTTCGAGACTGTTGAGGAGTTCTGGGCCATTCACAACGCTATTCCAAAGCCTCGCTATCTGCCATTCAAGTCGGATTATCATTTGTTCCGTAACGACATCAGACCTGAATGGGAAGACCCAGCCAATGCCCAAGGTGGTAAATGGACCCATCAGTTCTGGAACAAGACACCCGATATCGATGATCTATGGATGCGTGCCCTACTCGCAGTCATCGGTGAAACCATTGACGAAGACGACTCTCAAATCAACGGTGTTGTCATCAACATCAGAAAAAGCGCTTATAAAATCGCTATCTGGACAAAGTCGTCGGATCAGAAGGAGGCTTTGACCAAGATCGGCTCCAAATTCAAGACTGTGTTGAAACTAGGCGATGACACTCAAATTGAGTTTTTGCCTCACTCCACCGCCTCTGAAAAACACCCTCAACCATCTCTAGTTTTGTAAATTAAACGGTTTTCTACGTATATATATATCCTTGTAGTAGAACAAAAACTGGTTCTTTCAATGATCTAAGGCTGCGATTTCGCTTCTTTTCTTGGCATGCTCAAGCCAATTCAGTTGTCCCATTTGTTCTGATCCATTGCACCCTGAAAGTAAAAGCCAAGTACAACAACACTGTAGAGTAGAATCAAGATCGAGCCCTTGAAATAATTCGATTTTCCTTCCGCGTACAGATACGTGAACAGAAATACGCTTACCATGGATGCCAACAAGTCCCAGCGTGGGAAAATCAATGAAAACATTTGATCTCTTATAACAATCGTATCGGTCGGGATGTGCAATGTGTAGATTATTGAGTAAATCACCAAAGCTGGGATCTGTAAGAGACAAACTTGCAAAGCGTAGGCACTTCCAATCTCCATAGACAGCGCAACATTACCTTGTATGGCAAACGAAATAGCATTCAAAAATTCTGTAGAGTTTGGAACCAGGGCAAATACAGTGAGACCCAAAAATTTGGGGTCCAGTGAAGGGAATTGTTGTAGTACGTTGTCAACGCAATCCACCAGAATTTCGGCGATGATTGCATACAAAAGGGTGGCACCCAGAAGAATACATGTTGACTTTTGACGTGACCAGTTAGGACCGTCGTGTCCTCCGTTTTCTTCCTCTTCTTCCGGTATGAACCCTAGTTGACCGTTGGGCAATTGGGCTTTTTCTGGTATCTGCCAAATTGTCGCAGCATGTGTTCGCAGAGTAAACCACAACCCTAGAGCATATGCCATAAATAGTATCAAAGCACAAAATAGAGACATTGGTTTGATGACGTGAGAATATAGTCCATCAAATTTAAGTGGAGGCTGACGAAAGTAGCATCTCGAGGACTCAGACTGCGTCTCTGGCGAGCAGTTCACCAGATATCCTCCATAAATCTGGTATATTATAGTTGGAACAAACATGACAATCATTGAAAATATCAACATTGCCGACGAAACGCCTGCGCTCGCGGGATTATACCTCTGAGTTTTTCTTTTAAAAGCGCCACCACACATACTCATACCTGGCAAAAGTAGAACGGCACCCAGAATGGAACCGATCATAGACCCTTCAACAAGAAGTCCTTTCTCTTGCCGTAGTGCTACGCAATATAGAAAAACTTCGACAATTGTTGAAAAAAATGCGTTGATAGCTGCACCTACTCCCATGGATGTTTGTGCAGAGATAGAAGCCACTGCTTGACCAATGTAAAATGCTAAAGGTATGATGGAAAGCAAACACAAACAAAAAATGATCGATTCACTCATTGCAAAAACGTGCTCCTGTAACACGTAGAACTGGATGATTGTGAATGCCACCAGAACTCCCAAGTTCATGACCATCACGTTGGTCCCATCCACGGTGTATTTGTAATAATGAGAGCCTGCGGATCTAAAGGTGCATAGTAAAACATTTTTGTCCTTAATTCCATCCACACTTGGCGTCAAGGTCTTGAACTCTAATGCTAAAGGATGTCTCCGACAATGGTACATCAAGTCCCACAGAATACCGCTCATAGGTATAGTGAAGACAGCCAACCAAGTGAGAAAAGAGAAAACCAGCACTACGGGCTGGACAAATAAATAAAGGACCACGTAAAAGGTAAAGCGGCCCAAGGACCATTGACCCCTCCCGAACAATCTTCTTTGCCTATCCACAGCAGCCATATTTCCGCTTCCGGTTGCTCCATATGAATCACTGGCTCCTTGAGAAGGTCTGTGGAAATACAACCTGTTGCGATTATTGGTGACCCATCCATAGAATTGCTGTGCGGAAATACCTTCATCTTGATCTTCGTGCAGGTACTGTTCGTCGTTGACCATAAGGACGACTTTTCCAAAGGGCCAAAATAAGTAGCGACTCAACCTTGAAAGCACAGAAGCATACTCAGAGCCCTTTGAAGTGAATAGGGCCAAAATGCGCACGAGAAAGCTGCTAAGGTTCAAAAAAACTAGGAAAAAAACGCCTAGTGTCATTGCCCAAACGTAATTTGCCAAATGGACTTTCCACGAAATTCTTTTATACTTGGTTTCGTGGATGTCCTCTTTGGCTGCCTTTTGCACAGATCTATGCTTCTTGTACAGTGCTGGTTTCCATATTCTGATACCAAACGGGTGGGTCTTATTGATAGCATCTTGACGTTGTCTCAAAGTGTAGGATTCATTGGATGCAACAGAGCTTTGGTCTTCTTCGTCGCCAAGACGTTCATTCGAGTAATTGAAGCTATTATCCAGGTCTTGGTCTGCATTTTCGTGGTTACTTGGAGCTGGTCCGCCGACAACCGAGGCTGTAGAGTTCTTGTGTCTAACAGATTGCGGTCTGGCACTTGTGGACGGTGGTGTGTTTGTATTTGAAGGCAATCTGTTAGAAGCAACGTACTTCAATCCTTCTTGTAAGCCTTCAAGGTATCTGATATCATGTTCTATTTCATGAATGTCGTCGTCAACACTAAAGACTCGTTTCAAAGGTTCTGGGTTGCTGTTTGCAGTATGCAGAGACCGATCCTTGGGCATCCTAAGGTCTCGACACGGTTGTCGAAGGTGAGTTCTTGGCGTGTTTACTCAGTTTTCGGTGTTTTCACTGTGTCTATTTATCTATTTAAGATTATCATATCCGTAAATATCGATTTAATCGCACGAGGGAGGGAAAGGAAGACGAGCACTACAAACCCTGGCGCGGACATTTTTTAGTTGAGAGAGAAGGAAGAGAAGAGATGTGACAGGTTATTGGAGTTTCGGTGATTTTTTGAAGCCCTATGGGCTGTGTTAAGACATTTGGTAGACTATACAAAAATTGATTAAAGGTTTAAAAAGTAAATCTGCGTTGGGCCAATTCTTGAGAGAGGAGAAAGTCTCGAAAGAGTAGTAAGAGATTATTATATATATATATGTGTGTGTGTGTGTGTTTTGACGTATGATATACTAGTCTAAGTTTTTGCCGTGGAAAAATTCAGTCTCGTTTTCAGACTTTGTAAAAAGAGTGTCTTGAAATGGGCAGCGTTTCATGTAATTTCCATTGATTTTTCTTGCTCATAGGTAATCAACTTCATTCTATAATATTAAGAGGTATAATTGGTCCCCTTTGGCATGAATGAAACGCTTAAACAGCTTCTTTTGCAGTATTTAGAAACACATTTTCGGGTAGTAGAATTGGAACTTTTTTCACTTTCACAAATTTATGCTGTGGCTAGGGTCTTTCCCGGAATTGCTGGCACCTAGTTGTCGCAACTGAAAAGTATTGCTAGGGGAATGTAGTTGACTTGGTTTAGTTGACAGGTACTAACCAAGTGTGACACTTCAAATGAATAAAAGAATCACATGGTTTAATTTAATCACTCTGTCCAGAATCTGAGCCTAAGTCGAATCTCGAGTTTTGCTCAAGAAAAGTCGTGCGGTTTTCTCAGAGCTTGGTGTGACAAGAGGTAAGATAAGCTACAACAGCTGAAAAGCTTTGACATAGTAGATCCACGAGACAAACGGACCAAGGAAAGTCTCTTTAACACGAAATTGACTTCGGGTCACGTGACAAATGTCAGCGCCAGTGTAAGTGAAAAGTGATCTCAAAGCTGGAATTCTTCAAACAAAAGCTGACATCGACTAGATCAAGAGTCCAATTGTGCCGGGAAAAGACTTTGAATGTGACAGGAGCACCAAAACTCTATCCCTATCCAGCTCGCCACCCGGTGGCTTTCTTTCCTCCTGAGTTTCTCGAATTTCAAATAAAAACCTTGTTCATCTCGAAATTTTAAATGACAGCTACCAAAAAAGAAAGCATACCTCTCCACCATTGACTCCCTACTGCCCCCCACTTTAATTCCATTTGTTCTAATTCTTCCTAGTCGATCAGACTCAAAACAAAAGCTTAAATTTCCACCATATTCAACTACAGTAGCCAATAAATCGAAATTTAGCAAAGTAATCCAAACCGAAAATTAAATAAGATAATACAAGGAAAAACCGTAAGCGGAACCAAGAGAGAAGATTTGAGAAACAAACCTCTAAACCCTTTATCAAAATATTTGATGTTCACTTCTCTTGATGTTCACTTCTCTTCATGTCTATAGTCTTTATATATACTCTCTTTGCCAAAATTTCGTACATTATGATCTCACTTCAAGAATGGTGAAATTTCGAATTCAAAGCCTATTTATACACATCTACATCACTGTTTCGTTACAACAAAGAAGAATCAACTCACCATCTAACAATCCGCTAAACAGATCAGAAAGGTTCTGGTTTGCGTTCTCCTTTTCGCGTATTTCAAGAATGTTTTTCTTTCGCTATTTGTATGCGGTTTTCTTGTGTGTTTTGCTTGCTCCAAGCTCCCAAGCAGCAGCAACATTGAGTACCATCACAACGATCCAGAATGGGGTTACCAATTACATTGTAACGACTTTGACGGGTCCTGCGGCCGCAGGAACGGGAACCACAACAGGTACCGGCACCGCCACCGGTACTGCCACTGGAACTGCCACTGGAACTGCCACTGGAACTGCCACTGGAACTGCTAAAACCACTACCACTGGTACTGGTACTGCTACCACGACTGGCACGGGTACTGGTACTGCTACCACTGCCACAGGTACTGCTACCACTACTGGCACAGGCACCACCACTCCCCTCACTCCTGCCACCACAACCACTCCTGCCACCACAACCACTCCTGCTACAGCAACCACTCCTGCTGCCGCTGCAACCTCGTCTTCTAAATCTGTCTCGAAAGCTCCAGGCACAAGACCAGATCCAACTACGAATCAAACTCCTCTGCCTGCCTCAGCAGTGACTACTCTCTCCATCGAATCTTTCATCACCTTGACGGAAGAATCTACTACTTATACCACCACCAGAGCCCCCACGTTTGTATGGGTCACATACACCACAGAAGGACGTACCATTACAACTTCCACAACATTTGTTCAGAGGTATCAAACTCAATTTTCCGTGGCTGCAGACCCTTCTTCGGGATCCATAGGTATGGGTTCCCTAAGCGGGGAAGTGGGTCAGGTTAGAACCGCAGGCGTCGTCACTCTATCCAACGCTGCACCCGATATGATGGCTTCCCTTCCTTTATTCGGAGGTGCATTGGCATTGATTTCATGGTTGCTATAAAAGAGAATAAAATGGCATATACTACAGTAAGTGCTTTTGGGATGTATAGAATAGACTACTGGTAAATTAGGTAAATATGGTATGTTTATCGAGAATTTAGCCGTAAACCTCTTTCACGGCTTTCTTAAAGATGGAAAGTCCCTCCTGAATTTCTTCGTCCGTGATGGTAAGTGGTGGAACGAATCTGACTGTGGACTTACCAGCGGTGATGATGAGCAATCCCAACTCCCTGCATTTATTGATCAGTTCCTTGGGAGCTTCGGCGAATTCCAACCCAATCATTAAACCTTTCCCCCTCAAGTTCGTGATGTGTTGTGGGTATTGATCCAACAGCCCTTTTAAACTATTCTGGAAAGCCTCACCTTTGCGAGCAACGTCTTTCAAGAATTTCCCATCACCGATCGTGTCCATGACGTAGCAGCCTACAGCTGCTCCCAATGGATTACCACCGTACGTGGTACCGTGATCACCCACTTGCAAAGCGTTGTTGATCTTTTCGTTCACCATTGTAGCAGCGATGGGGAAACCGTTACCCAGGGCCTTTGCAGAAGTGAAAATATCAGGATGAGCTTCTTTGGGCAAATAAGCATGGGCCCATAGCTTGCCTGTTCTGCCCATCCCACATTGGATCTCATCGTGAATGACAACAACGTCATTGTCTTTACAAATCTGCTTAAGACCGATTAGTTTTTCTACGGGAACAGGGAAAACACCACCTTCTCCCTGCAATGGCTCTACTATAAGGCCGGCAATTTGATCTTTCTTGGAGCTAATGTAGTTCGACAGAACCGATAGCTCATCTTGAATGTTCAAAAACGAAGTTCCGGGTACCAAGTCACCAAAAGGAGTTCTATACTTGGGGTTACTGGTAACAGACAATGCGCCCATAGTACGTCCATGGAACGAGTTTTCAAATGCAACGATTCCGTGTTTTTTGGGACCCAACAGAGACCCGTGTTTTTTGGCAAATTTCAATGCTGCTTCGTTAGCTTCTGTACCGGTGCTGCAAAGGAAAACCTTGCTGCAGTCGTGTTGTCCGCCCAAACTTTTGGTCTTTTCCACGATCTTCTTGCTCAATTCCAAGCACTCAGCGTTGTAATATAAGTTGCTTGAATGGATGAGTTTCTTTGACTGATCGCACAGGATTTTGGAAACGTTTTCATTGGAGTGTCCCAGCGACGTGACGGCAATACCAGCTGTGAAATCCACGAATTTCTTGTTATGCAGATCATCGTAGAGAATTGAACCCTTTCCTCTGGTTATCAATAGGTCATCGGGTCTGGCGTAGGTAGTAACCTGATATTCTTGGCTACCTATCGCACTTTTCAAATGTTTTGACGAAAGTCTAGCTGTACTTCTCAACTTAAGCATCTCAAATGACAACTTACAACGGTGAATCGATGGTCAAGTAAGTGAACTGTGTGTTAGATGGATGGTATGTTAAATCGATATCTAAATTCTTTTCAATGAGATGATAATGATAGTGAGTCAACTGAGTGAAAAAAATGACTCGAAGATTATCTGTGAAAGTTGAAGTCAAGTAGATTTTCTAAGATGGAATCCAGTCGTGGGTTCGAATCTAGCGGGGGTCGAAGAAACGGCAAAAAAAATCGAGTTGAGTTATGTCCTGTGAATTGAAAAGCCAGGAAGTTTAGCGATCGTCTAGCGATTGCTTCTTCCACGACAAGTATTTGAGATCGCCAACTTTTCTACCCGTTATCAAACTAGTAATCAGCAGAAGAATTGCAAGTCCAAAACATATCACACCACCCACGAGATAGACAATACCTAGGAAATTGTTCCTGCCACCGATGCTAGAGCCGTGGGTGAGGAAAATGCCCTTTTTGCCGTTGAACTCCGTTACAGGCCAATTGAGCCCGATACTTATTTCATATTCGCCCGCAGGAAGCGTGTCGTTGTCGTTTCTGCGGATAAGTCTTTGGAACTTGTCGAAAGCGGGAGCTTTCATCCAGTTTTGAAATTCCTCCCAAGTGTGAATGTCAGGCACATTTGTGGAGTTGTAGCCATTGGGGAATTGTTTCTCCCAGTTGGGTGGGGGCGCAATCTTGGTGTGGTCGAGCTTGGTGGATTTGAAACGGTCTTTGTCCGTCGACCACGCAATGCCCTTATTGGTCAAAGAGTAGTTGCTGGTTGAGCCTACGCCAACCAGCTCCATGGGGAAAGTATCGTTGAACATAGCATTAGCGACTAGTCCACATGGATAGTACTGTTTGTCCTCGCTGTTGGAGACTAGAGGCTTACAATTTATACCCGGATTGCTTCTCACTGTGGTCATTGAAGTGTCGAGTCCGTTCAACTGATCTTCACTGAAGGACAGCACGTACCGTCTATGGTTACCATAGAATTTCTCGATCCAGTAGCTCAGAAACACAGTTTTGGGCAAATCTTGTGGAGTGGTAAATCTGAGATGACACGTTCCGTTGCTCACGTCTGAATCCGCTGGTGGTGTGTAGCTCCATTGAGGAGCTTTATTGTAGGTCAAATTCTTGTGGAACTGCCAGTTGTAGTGGTCCTGCGTTTGGTCCGCCCATGATCCCTGTGGAGCATTTTCCGCACAGTCCTGGTAGTATACTAGCATTTGGTCCACCCGCATTGAGATTTTGAGCAAGACAGCTCCGAAAATAACGAAAATGACGCCCAGAAAAAGGAAAACACATATCACACGGCGCGGAGTGACTACAGGATTGATAGACGCGATTTTTTGTTGTGTAAAGGGGGTATCTTTGGGTCTCCTAGTTTTTTGAAGTGTGGGTTTCTTCTCGTCATCGTCTTCGAATTCAGAAGCGTCTAGGTCTTCTTCGTCTTCGGCTTTAACATCCAAATCTTTATGGTTTTTCTTGAACGCATTGCCCATGGTTTTCAGCGAAAGATGCGCCATTTTGGTAGGGCGCCACGATGGGGAAAGTTTGGCTTTGACAGGAGTGTGTTTGGTCAAAAACCAATGTTCATTGATGTTGAAGAGGTTATAGAGGTCTATGATGGGATTATATTGTAATGATTATGAATAAAGAGAGCTTATTTCTGAAAAGGGTCACGTGACTGTATAATTCGGTACGGAACTCTGTTTTCGAAAACGATTATTTTTTGGTAAGTGGAGAATCACCCTAGGGTGTGTCTCTAATGTATATATATGAAAGAATGAAAGAATATTTGTGCTTGTGTCTACCGCTCTGACCCCGTTTTTTTGTTTGGAAACTGAATAAAAACTAAAATTATATAAAATTAATAGTGTAATATTTAACGAAGGACACGTGACTACGCCATTAAATAAGTTTTTATAAATTGATCACGTGACTCAAAAATAAATTCAAGCAGTAACGACACATTCGTCTATAGAGATATTCAAAAGCCCATAATACGCTATTCCAAGTCTTTAAGAGAGATACGAAAAGCCAAGTTTTTATCCAGGACTGCTGCTACAGGTGGCCTGATATTCGGATTCAAGAGCTGTCGTACTCTCAAATTTGCCCCCATTACAAGTCATTCAACCATTGAACAAAAAAAAATTTTATCACGTCTCCCGCAAGTTGTGATAAAAGCCCTGAAACCAGAGTCCTCACGATTCCCCTTGTGAAACTTGCCCCCTCCCCCTGAACAAGCAAAGAGAAAAAATAGTATAAATAGCCCACATTTCATCAATTCGTCCCTGCTTCGGAACGTAACAACTTAATGAGACCGTCTGGTTTTCTTTCCAATAAACTGTCGTAAGAAACCTGACTTTCACGTGCTATCCACATGATCTTCAGGGTCCCTTCCTCGGCTCTCGGAAGCATTAAAGTTCCTCCGGGTAACTGCCGGCTCGGAAGCCTTAGTTTCTGAACCATCAATAAAGGATAATATCCTTCAATGTCCATCAATGTCCTTAACTGACTGGAACTGATACGATAACCTATAAAAGCTGACAACGCTGCGCTGATCGTCAACTTCTGGTCCTCGAAACACCAAATCAAAAGCCATGAGCGGTCTAGATTCACCAGCTAGAGAAACTGGCTCTTCTTCCAAGGAAAACCGTCAACAACCCGTTGAGGGAAACTCCACATCTGAAAGCGATGCGCAGGAGTCGGACATCGCAGACACGGTTGAAGCATTCAATGAACCCGACAGAGAAAAAATTGGTGAAAGCCAAACACCGGTGGTAGAACCACGTCTTGAACGGATCATGACGGGTTTCTTCTCGGACCGTGTGCGGGATGTTCGCAAACGTCTTGTAGTGCAATTCTTTTTAAATCATCTGGCACTGGCTCTGCTGATCATGTCTGTGTTTTCGCTATATTGGGGGGCCATTTACAATAGATCAAGTCATTTCCACAAAGTCAGCATTTTGGCCGTGCTCCAAGACGACGGCCCCCTTTCGCAGCCTCTGCCCAGTTTGATAGACACTGTACCGGGTCACTGGCACATCTATAATGCTTCGAGCTTTATGGAAAAATACCATGTTTCTGAGTCGCAAGTCGACTCACGCATCACCAAGCTTGTTCACGAACAGAAATATTGGATGTCGCTGAACGTCAAACCCAACGCATCCAACGTATTGCAGGATTCGCTGCAAAATCCATCTGCGCTCCCTTTCAATGCTTCAGCATTCTTCGAGACTGTGTACGAAAGCGGTCGCGACCCTACTAACATGAAGTCCAGCATATTACCCTTGATGCTGCAATTAGAAGCGAAATATCAGGCTGCTTACAGCTCGAGTATTCTGCCCACTATTTTTGCCAATGTATCGGACTCTCTTGGCAAAGTTCCAAAGGTTAACGTGGCACAAGCCGGTTCCATGCTTTTTTCACAGATAGACTACAGACCCTTTGACAATTTCGTGCTGCTAGGTCCACTACAAGTCGGTTTGATTTACTGCATCTTGTTGACGTTCTTCCAGCTGTTGCTGTTCTCGCCAATGCACGCAGAATTTGGCCAAAAACTGAAGGTCGGCCACATGCTTCTTTACCGACTCCTGGTCTCTTACCTCAACTACTTATTCCTGTCCTTGTTCTTCTGTTTGGTCTCGCTGGCTTTCCAAGTCGATTTTGGTAGAACCTATGGACGCTCTGGGTTTATGGTAGCCTGGATGTCGTCCTGGCTGTTGATGGCAGCGGTTGGGGGTGCCAACGAAAATATGCTGACACTCGTTTTGGCTGTTGCACCTCGATTCCCGGGATTCTGGATGATCATTTGGGTCGTGTTTAATATCACTCCATCGTTCTTCCCTATGGATCTCACGAGCAACTTTTATCGCTACGGCTACATGACTCCCATTTTCAACGGTGTTGGCATTTTCAGAGTCATATTTTTGAATTTGTACCCAGGAGCTATGGGAAGATACTTCGGGGTGCTGTGCGCGTGGATTGTGGTCAACATCCTCTTCTTTCCTGTTTGCGCAAAAATATTTGCAACCCAAAAAATGAAGAAGGAGGCACTTGCTCGCGAAGCTCAGAAGTGAAGCTGGTAGACTTTCCCATTGGCGTTGAGAGCTGCTCTAGTTCTGCTCGTTTTACATAATTTTTAATTTCAACCATCCATTCCAAACAGAGCCAAAACCGTAACAAACAGCTCCACCTCCGAATATGTGGATCATCGAATCGGGAGTTTTTTGCATCTCAAATCCCACTAATAGAGGAAAGCCAGCTTTCCAGAGATGCTCGGGCACGCACCTTCGCGTGATTTGCTCGTTGTCGATGTTCACTTCGATAATTGTCGTATCTCGATCAAGAAGCATGTTTGAGTTCGTCCCACCTGCAATTAAAATCGTGTCGGAGTTGGTGTATTGACTCTTGGCCCCGCAACGTTGCAACAATGGATGTAGAACTCTTTTTGTCAGTGTGATCTTATTAGAATTTGTATCGTAGTGGAAACGCCTGAGACCGCCATCAATATTTTGATCTTTCCCCACCCCGCCAATGATAACTCCTGTGCTGGACGGTAAATCATAACTTAAGGCGGCTGATGCCAAAGATGGAATCTCGCCATCGATTGTAGGTACAGTCAACTCGTTCTTTTGGCTGTCATAAATCAAGAACGCGGCCCCTGTTGTATGCCCACCGTAGATCAAAACGCGCTCTTGATCGATTGCACAAGTTGAATGCCTGTAACGAGACTCGGGTAAAACAAGAGCCTTCTCGTAAACCCATTGGCTTAGCTCTGTCTTTTTTAGCAGCCAAATGTCGTCGTGCGCTCTGCTTGGGGAAGCTCTGCCGCCTACTAGGACGCAGAGCTCATTATTTAGTGCTATAAGAGTATGGCACATTCGGGCTGTGGGTTGGCATGAATTGCTGACGACAAATTGTGCCGTATTCAATACAGGATCTATTAGCAACGTATTGTCCAGTCTGCTGGCATAGGAGCCATGTGAGTATAAAATTTGCCCAGAAGGCAGCAGTGTCGATGAACCGAATTTACGCTGTAGCAGGTTCATATCTTTTATTCTCACAGCATTGATGTTCATTTCAGGGCGAAGCGTCATCTTCTCCACAGTTTTTTCGGTGGTAACAGAACTGCATTTGGCTCGGAAATCCTGGTGGTTGGTGGAATGACCTAAAATATAGTGATGGCAGTACATCAAAAACTCTTCATACTCATCAAAAGGTTCAATTTGATCAATTATCATTTTCGTTTCACTGCTAACGGAGTTCCAAACGTCTAGCATGTTCTGCATTTTTGTTGACTGGAACCCCAATCTCTGAAATCTTTTATGCTGGGCAGACAAAGTCTGGTAAGAATTGATAGATCGAAGTGGTGTGCTGTTTTTTATGAAATGTTGTAGCATTTGTCGGGAAAATGGTTCTAAGGGACCAGCTGGCACAAGCGGCTCCAGTACAACGAAATGAGACCTTGGCTGGCGAGAGCAAATTTCAATGATAGCATCAGCGTTTTCTGACTCCATATAAGCCAGTGATACTTCTGCCACAAATATTTTGACAAGCGATGCGTCCTGGAGGTGGTTGCAGGCCTGTATCAGAGCATTGAAGTCATCAATGTCGTTCAAATCACAAGGCACCAAAGTATACTTTTCAGCTTCGAGAGCACCCTTGATACGGTCAGACTCGCTCCAACTGCCCACAATAGACTTGAGTTCGGGTGTGGAATCTATAAGGTGTTTCTTATGGCTTATAAGATCGGGATAATCTATGTCCAAGAACGACAAGCGGCCCAGATTTTTCTCATTTTGCCTGTTTGTGGAATCCAGAAGCTGGAACGGCAGCGGATCAAATCCACATCCCAAGTTAAGTATTACCACCTTTTCGTCTTCAGTTTCTCCTACTATGGAATCAATAGTAGATTTTATTGCATGCATTCTAAGCCAGTAGCCCCGGTTTATGCACGGCGTGCACCTGATTGATTTTGGCACAAAGTACTTGATATACTCTTTGCAGCCCTTCGATTCCTCCACATCCAAATTCATCTTCAAAGGTTGTGTGTAAAGTCTTTCTACAGACCGTTTGCACACGATCGATGAGCTGTTGGTGGCCTGGATAGCCAATGTCGAATTTTGGTCCAGCTTCTGCTGCTTGAAGCTTTGTTCGAGGTCCTGAGACTCTTCTCGCATCTTGGTATTCATTTGGATTCTTGAGAGGTTCGTTGGGCAGCCAAATCTGAATTTAACGTTTAGTATTTTCAATATCGATGCTCATCGGCTAATTTAGATATGCAGCTTGAATCACGTGCCAGAGCTTGTTGAATCCTCGATATTCCTAAAGACCGTCTCAGAAAGACCCAATGTCTTAAGTCTTGTAAGCTTTTGTTTGAAATTCAACTGGTGCTATATATTACCGGACAATTCATGTTAGTCTTCCGATAAGCTTTATTTTATCGCACATGCCCAACTTCAACTTATACGTTCAATTGATATAAGATTTCATTGAACTCTATACGCCAGTATCGCTGAGGATGTGCTAAAATATGGTCTTTAGAGTAGATGGTGCTCTAGAATGCTTCATTTATATTCAGATCTCGTGAAAGCGCTCTAAAATACAGCTCCGAAGATAGAAACAGTTAACTCCGAAATCCGAAATCCGACGTTAAAGACCTCAAAGGTAACGCAGAATAGCGTAGTTCATCATGGCAATCTCGGAGAGCTTTCGGATTTAGCAATACAAGATTCACCACTGCTGAATCTACTTTCTTATGACCACAACACATCATTTTGTTCTAGATCCCACCGCTGGTAAAAGCACCTCGGTTTTTTTCTGTATCCCCGTGGGACAAAAACTCAGAACAGAACGCACTAGCAATGAGACTTTCAGCTTCTCACTTCAGTCAATATCTGAGTTGCAGGACGGAATTGACGTCCGTCTTCAAAAGAACGACACATCCAATTTCGTGACCTATCTCGACAGAATGGCTAAATCTAAACACGTCGAAACCCAATGAAATATGTTCATCAACCTTAGATTGAATTTTTCAATATCGAATTGTACTGCTTTGTTCCCATCGCATCTCATCTCTCTATCTAAAGAGACCATGACCAATCCTCCAGTGCTCTTTTTTCTGACAAAAGGCCTCTCTGCTATCCGTCTGATACACGGTCTTCCACCAGCTCAGCAAACACTGTTTTGAAAAGTGTATTCTCAGCGCTATGATCTAGCTTGTAGTGATCCGACCTCATCGACAGTATTTAACCTTGTTGAATGAAATTCACTTGCAACTTCACGAAGGAGGACTCAAAAAAAGCCAAATTTTTCGTGAGTTTCCTCTAACTGCTATAGTAAGTTCCAGCTAAGCCATTGGCTCTTGGAAAGCATTAACACCCCCCTCTTTCTTACTTCTCAAAGTTGATTTTTCGTCAGGCAGCATTTTGAAAGATTCAAGACTATATATATATATATATATATATATTCAAGACAATGAGCATCTTGAACCTTAAGTCAATTCAACATTACCGAAGAGCTCATAAAATAAAGTTTGCCAGCGGTTTACGGTCTCCGTAAGCGTTTTGGTCGCTTAAAATACTTCTTCCCAGCTTCCCGTGGCGAATTCATGCTCCACAATGGAGCATTCACCTGTTGACAATGACAATAGCCAAGGAAATGCGACAACACTGCCGCAACAACCAACTCCAAAGCAACGGAAGACTAGGAAGTTCACCCTTTCCAAATACACTATCTATGAAACCGAGGATAGAATGTATGTAGTGGGCAGCAACAAGCGGGAAACAATGTTCAGAATTTTAGAGATCGACCTTACAGTTCCTACAAATGATCTGTCTGTGCTTGAGGATAATGTGTTTTTCACCAGATCGGAGATCATGAACGTTTTGGCTGCACTTGAAGATGCTAATAGTGATGGTCTCAATAAGAAACTTACCGGGTATGGTCTGCTGGGGTTTATACGATTCACAGACTGCTACTATTTGATCGTCATTACCAAGACGAGCCCCGTTGCGGTACTCGGTGGCCATTCCATATACCACATTGATGAGACAAAACTGGTGCCGCTTTCAAACTCTTATAAAAAGCCCGACAAGTACTCGATAGAAGAGCGATTCATTAGTACTTTCCTAGATCTCGATCTCAGCAAAACCTTCTATTTCAGCTACACCTACGATATTACCAATACGCTTCAAACAAACCTTCTTCGAGAAAAACTGAAGGCTGTGGGTCGTTCGGACCTTCAAATTCCAACTGGGATCCCAGACTACAACGAAATGTATATGTGGAACAGTAATTTGCTCAAGCCAGTATTTCCATGTATCGACACCGTTTACGATTGGTTCCAAGCGATGGTTCACGGGTTTATCGACCAGGTCAACGTTCTAATTTGGGGCAAAAGTGTTTTCGTGACTCTAATTGCCCGACGTTCGCATCATTTCGCTGGGGCGAGATTCCTTAAAAGAGGTATCAATAAACAGGGATATGTGGCTAATGAAGTTGAGACTGAACAAATCGTCTCAGATATGATTCTAACGCCTTTTCACCGACCTGGTAATGGCTACTTCGACAGCGATCGGTATACTGCATTCGTTCAGCATCGGGGGTCAATTCCATTGTGCTGGTCACAGGAAGCCTCCAATCTGACAGCCAAACCACCAATAGAGATAAATGTCATGGACCCTTTCTTCAGCTCTGCAGCCTTACATTTTGACCGTTTGTTTCAAAGCTATGGCGGAGGACCCCTCCAGATTCTGAACCTGATCAAAACCAAAGAAAAAACGCCTCGTGAGGTCAAGTTATTGAAGGAGTTTGAGCAGTGCATCAATTATTTGAATAAATTTCTCCCTGAGGACAAGAAACTTCAGTACACGTCTTGGGATATGAGTCGGGCTTCAAAATCTCACGGTCAGGTAGTAATCGAGTTTCTCGAAAAGTACGCGGTCAATACAGTGGAGACGACCGGAATTTTTCACAACGGTCGCGACTTCAGCACCACGCAGATTCAAGAGGGTATTTGTAGAACAAACTGCATTGATTGTCTAGATCGCACAAACGCTGCACAGTTCGTTATAGGGAAGCGCGCTCTTGGAGTCCAGCTAAACAAACTAGGTATTAGTGACAACTCCTTTCTGGAATATGACTCTGATATTGTTCACATTTTGACTGAGCTCTTCCATGACCATGGTGACACGATAGCTCTACAATATGGAGGATCTCATCTCGTGAATACCATGGAGACTTATAGAAAGATCAACCAGTGGAGCTCCCATTCAAGAGATATGATCGAAAGCATCAAGAGATTTTACAGCAATTCTTTTGTGGATGCCCAAAGACAAGATGCAATCAATCTTTTTCTGGGCCATTACGTTTGGCAAAAGGGCACCCCTACTCTATGGGAAATGAATACAGACTTCTACTTGCACATGGGACCTGATATTGTGAATAGTCCGAGAAGCTACACCAAGTGGTGGAACGTTTACCACGTCAAAAGTCTACGAAAAATAATAAGGGAAGAGATTCTGGATAAAAACAATGATGTTACAACCGAAAAAGCCTACAACAATGTGAAGGGCTATCCAGGTGCTTTTGATAATTACTGGAATGAATACTATGCACCGCGTCTTCTTTCTTCATTGCAAGATTTATTTGCTTATAAAATGAATTCTACAAGACGTTACAGCACCAACGAAAAGAGTGGAAATCGTGTGTCTCCCTTCCATTCCAGAAAACAAAGTCACTTGAACAACAAGCTCAAGGATTTGGTGACCCAGGAGCCAGAAAAGTCGGACGTTTCAAAGACGGTAAAAAACGAATTGACGTTCAAGGACGAGAATGATCTTTATCATGTATTTTTGAAACGGCAGGCAATTAAGCTGGGGGCTCTTAAATCTCAATTGAATAGTTTTGACTTTCACCATGACGAAAGCGGCGATAGCAGCTCTGACAAAGACTATGTCTTGGAGTCGGGAACCGTCTTTTCCTCCGACAACATGCCCTCTCTCTATTCCCAAGACACTGCCAATTCCTTAAACCTTGAGAAAGAAGAATATCAGAAGTATCAAAATATGACAGATTACTCCGCTGTCGGAGACTACGGCTCTCTCGAGCTGCAAAGCATCCAAGTTCCAATGGCTGATCTCAAAATTTACGAGTCTCATTATAATAAAGTCTGATCCCCTCGAGGGTGGGTGATGAAGGCGATTGGATTTCATGCATCGAATTTATAGCTAATCCTTAGAATTCTGTAATCTCTTGAAGATCCCTGCTATTATGGTCTTATGTTCTGTGGATGCATGATGTTGACACTCTTCGATAGATAGTTTGCAGGCGAGTGCGTGCCTGACATCATCGCATTTAATCCATATTTTCCCGTTTATACCTATGGCCACCTCGAATTGTGCAGTTTTCGCCAACAAAGGCAGAAGCGTATACTCAGAGTTGAAGGCAAGTTCTCTGGCGTAGGCTAGCGAGACTTCGGCCAATATTCCACCCTCCAAAAGCCCAAAACCTGCGTCTTTTCCAGTCGTCGAATCCACACATTCGATTTCTGCCTCCAGTTCTTTGTCTGCCTTGCTGACACGGGCATATACAAGGTCCCCGACCTTTAGCGTGGGACGGTTCTTTTTTGAGGCATTGGGGAAAGCCATGTATGCTAATGTGACGGGCGTTGAAAAGGATTCCAAAGAGACTTTGTAGCTGTCGGAATAAGAGCCCGTAATTAATCCTACCACCAGATCGCCCACCGCGGGAATATACCTTTTGGAGTTGAAATCCACATGTACAAATACGTTTTTTTTGGATTCTCGCGACACTTCAAGACCTGCATTTACAGGCTGCAAGTTTTGGCTCTTTGGATCGCAATACGCCCCAGGACCTAGTACAATGTTTTCTTGTTTTTCCACATGAAAAGAATCGCCTGGTAAAATCAAAGATTCCATTTTCAACGAGGAATGTGATAGATTAACAGCTTGGATGACCAAAGACAACAAACTGCTTCGAAACGTGTGTCTACTTGATCAATCTCATCGCTCAAAACACTTGTTCGATCGACTGCTCATCTCATTGAGACTAATGACTTTTCCAATTGACGAAAAAAGCATTTCGTGTAACGTGATGTCATCGAGTACTCACTGGACTCGAGATTTTGACGACAGCGCAGAGATCAGAGAGTCTAGTTGGCGATGCGAATAAGCTTTGGTAGTTATAGTTCAGTCTCTTTTAAATGCTCTGTTAGATCTTGGGTCTTTGAGGAAAGCTTGTCTTGGTCTTATCAAATAACAGTCACTTTTTGTTTAAATTAGAAATGGCTCAAACGACCCCAGTAAATTGGCAATTGGGAGATTCGGTCAAGCTGTGTTCAATTGAGGTGGCTGGATTGTAACAGCACTCAAGTTTCTGGCGTAAAAATCATTTTACAATTTTTCAAAATGCAAATTACTGAATGTCACTAAAAGTTTCCAAAATATTAATTACTTGTGAAGATGTTAAGAAAAAAGACTGCTTTTCGAAACCTGGCGGGAAAAAGAGAAAGCTTGTATAGAGCACGCATAAAAACCAGAAAGTAGCTACTCATTATCTATTTATTATTATTCGGGCTCAGGAGGCGGTGTGAAGTTGGATTTGATCTTAGCTCCCATATCACTTTGTACCATTATGTCGCAATCTGTTGATGTTAAATTAGACATATATATCACGAGCACATTAGAGAACTACTCAACTGTTCTGAAAACATCGATAGGCGGTGGTCCAACTTACCAGCTTGCCCCCTCTGAGTGTTATGAGCAATGATCAGCTGCTCTGAATTTGGTAGCTACTTTCCGAAATGCCTAACGACATTTCTGTTTTTATACACAGCTACGATAACTGTGCTGAACGTGACTGTATTTAGAGGCATTGGGCTGGTTCTTTTGAGCATATTACTGAGCTTAAGCTTTTTCACGTATTTCAAAGTCTTCAAAACGGGTCCTGGGAGCCCACTGGATTTTCCCAAGTTGCATATCTCCGACCTGCAAGCTGCTGACCAGGGTGTCGAGCTTCCACCCAAATTTCTAACCGAAAGTTCCGTCACTTTGAAGCGAAACGGTAGGTATAGATTTTGCCGTGAATGTATGGTTTGGAAGCCCGATAGATGTCATCACTGCTCTGCGTGTAATAGGTGCATATTGAAAATGGACCATCATTGTCCGTGGTTCGCTGCTTGCGTTGGCTTCCGCAATCAGCGCTATTTCATTCAATTTTTACTCTACTCTTTAGCATATTCTGCCCTCATATTTCTGTGGGCAGGTACAGATTTGCTCTTGTGGTTCAAGCGCGAAAGCTACAAGGACGAAACCATAAATTTATCGTTACTGGTCGTGTGGATCTTTTCAGTGGTCGTTGTGATATCGATGAGCTTTTTCACGGGCTATAGCGTATACATGGTCACTGCCAACAAAACAACCATTGAAATGTATGAGTCATCAGAACAGAAGTCGCGTTTGAGTCTTTTTGATGAAATGCACGGCACAAACACCTCTGCAAACGCCAATTTATTCGATCTAGGGTCTGCATCCACCAATTGGCGAGGTATTATGGGCCAATCTATGCGCGAGTGGTTTCTGCCTATAGAATTGGATGTACAAGCGAGAAACAGGTACAGCCTCGATGAACATGGGCTTTATTTCAAGGTAAATTCCGACATGCAACAGCAAGTTCAAGAGAGCATGAACTTGCAGGAACAACTTATGAGACGGCTAACACCACGGTCGTCATATGATGACGACAGGTTACGTCCTATCGACTTCGCCGTGTGACAAACAACACTGTAACAAAAGATCAGAATGCATTCATTAACTATATATAACATCAAAATACTGCCTTGTATTACTCCATTCCTGTTCATTCCTAAAAGGCTGGAAATCTAGGCCAAAGATCTCAGCCTTTTCCATCATGCTTAAAGCAGATAAGCAACCATTGGGATGAATGCCCCAAAAATGTCAGCTCGCAGCTTAATGCCTGCACCGTCAAAAGTGGACAAGACTCTTGTGGAGGAAGCTTGAGAAGTTTGGCTCTGGTACTCAATTGTGTAAGAGCCAGACAAAGTGGAGCGACTTGGGGTAGGCTGTGAGGTTGCAGATCTTTGAACCGAGGACCCGTAAGAAGTTGAAACCAGCGTGTTCTCTTGCGTTCCGGTAGCCGATGTCATTTCGGTAGAAGCGCCAATAGGAGCTTCGTACGTAGTCAAAAGCTCACTTTGAATGGCTTGCGAGACCCCCGTGAGTACGCCAATATTCGTTGCGACAGAAAGTGCAGAAGAACTGCTCGAGGTCTGCGCGTTAGGCGATTGTTTTGTGCTTTCTGCCTTCTTAGAGCTGGAAGAGAGAGTGGCGGCACCGATGAGTTTTTCAGAAACCGAGACAAGCCCTGACTGCGTCGAGGCTAGAACACCAGTAGAAATACCGTATTTGGTTGTAAAAGATTGAGTGGCAAACTCTGGACTATTCAAAACGGTGGTATTAACAGGCACTGAATGATAAGTTTCTGTATGCTTTTTAGATGTCGAAGACTTGGAAGCAGATAGTTCGCTGCTTTTAGTTGTCAGTGTCTCAACGGGAACCTTAGTTGTGACAAGAGATACTTGGCCACCTTTGGTTTGAGTCAAAGTCGTAGCAACCAGACTCTTGCTCTTAGTTAAAGATGTAGTGGAGGCATCTGATGCAGACTCAGTTGGACTAGTGACAGAGACGTCAGAAGACTGTGCTAGAGTTGGAAACCAGCTCGTATACTCGAATACTTTACCATCACTCGTAGTAGTGACCACCGAATGGGCCAGATAAGCCTTGGTCTGATATTGTGTAGTCTTAGATGAGGCAGACGTTGTGCTCTGAGACTGAGCTCCTTGGCTTGATGAAGCACCACGTTCAGTAGTGCTTTGCGAAGTAACGTTTTTGGTGAGCGATGATTTGATCGCCGTACTCTTTGAACTGCTGCTTGAAGAAAGTGCGGTGACAGCATTGCTTTTGCTGTTACCTACCGTTGCAACAGGGATGAGTGATGTAAAAACCGCAACCTCCCCACTGACTGTTTTGTTAAAAACGGTTTGAGTTGGGTAGACTATCGTAGAGGGGGTTGTGGCGTTGACGACGTAATATGTGTCGGAACCAACGCCGGTTGAGTTGATGCGAGACTGGGAGGACAATGTCGCCACAGGGAAAAAGCTTGTAAAAACCTCATACTCACCATCGCTCGTGCGCGTAACAACAGAGTAGGTAAGAACAGCACCATTACTATTTGAAGTCACGAAGGCAGTGTTGGAAGCATTCACAGAGGACTGTTGGATGGGCGCCGAAGTGATGGAAGCAATGCTTGTGTTCAAGGAAGGATTCACATCAGTATTGATTGTTGAGTTGGAAGTTGCAACAGTAGTGCCGCTCATCGACATCGTGACATTGGCTGAGGGTGCGCTCGAGACTTGAAGTGAGGTTGTGTTTGGCGAAATAGAGGCAGTAGGCCCAACAGTTGTATTGGAAGCCAAGTCAGAAGTTGCAGAAGCAGTCTTAGTGGAGTTACTTCCCGTGACAGTAGGGAACGAACCAGAGCCGGTCACGACGAAAATTTGTTCACCAATGTTATCGATATTAGCATCTCCGTTAAGGACCACGAGGTCTTCAAAGGTTATGGAAATATCTCTCTTGTAAGAGGATAGAGTAGGATAGTTGAGAGTTGCCACCGTTTCAACGGACACTGCATCGACTATTGGTGCAGTGGTGTAACTAATCCGAATAAATTTACCCCCACTAATCTGTGAATCTAGACTCAAATTGATGGCGGACGCGTCCGAATTATCCTCGAAAGCGGTCAAGTTAATTCCCCTGGTAGGCTGGTTGAAAGCATCAACAGCAGTGACGACTTCCAAATATGACAAAGAAGTGTCAAAGGTGAAAGCCTCTTTGCCGGAAAACGAAGCAGCAAAATTCAAAGCACCAGGATACTCGCTGAAAGGAATGTCCATAGTGTAGGTGATGCGATTATTTTCATCAACACGAGCATTTGTTTGAGATTTTGAAAGATCCTGAGCAATGAACTCGATTGACTTGGTAAATGTCGAGCCTGGCGAAACTTCGAAGTCGAAATCCAAAGTTTGCGGACTGTCAATGCTTGACTTTGTTTCTGAAGACAAAAGAGCGAGCACGTTGAAGGTGGACGACCGATCGGTGTCCGACACATCTGGTCGTATCGTGAAAACATTGGAGGCGTTTCTTGCAACGGTTCCCACAGCTGTGACGTTTTGCACCAAATCAAATGATTCCTTGGGGAATCCCTCGAGACTTTGAGGCGCGGTTAGATAAAGTTCACCTTTGAACCCTGCAGAGACATAAACCTCGGCCTCCAACAAAAACCAATGTTCTTTGTCGTTGCATAGGTTGCTTCCTGTATAAGAGTCAACAAATTGAACATTAGAGAAGAAAGCGGTTGGCGAGGATTTGGGCACCGTTGATGCACTTGGGGTAGTGTCATTCGAATAGCGGGCTGATGCCACGCCCGTCAGGCATAGCGCTGACAAAAATGTTTTAACCAACGATACCATAGGAGTACTAGTGAGAGGTTCGATCTAAACAAACCACTGCAACTAGGATAAAGAACTGAAGCTGATGGTGTGGATGAATAGACCTTTGTCCATAAATTTGAGGTACGTTTTGTTAGTTCTTTGCCTCATTTTATATACCAACCTCAAGATTTCTTCAGCTCGTCTCATTCATTTTCTGTAAGATCAGCCATCGACCGTTGAGACTTTGATCTGGGTCAATTAATCAAACGCCAGGATCGAAGCTGGGATCAATCTACATAAAATTAAAATTCGACCCAGCTTAATCTACTTATTCTATCATTGTGTTAGCTTAGAGCAGCTCCGAGATCGGACGGTTCGCATGATGATCCCCCCTTGAAGCTATTGAATGGCAGAATATACGTAAAGCAACATCATTGCTAGCTCAAATGGTTGAAGAGCTGGCTTAATCGTCCTTGTAGGTGCGTTGGAACCAGCCATGTTCAAGTTTAAATATTTAAATATTTGGCTGGTTCCAATTTCAATTTGATTAATATAATGGCTTACCACTACGTCAATAACGACTTCACGTCATCACACATCTACCGATGTCACTCATTGTCTTGACATAGAGCTTCGTTCAGCTCCTTTGATTTAAAATTCGACGCTAGCCATTGGAATTTATCACTAGAAGTGTTCAGTATCAATCTTTGTAACTTTCTCTTCACCTTTGAGCCCTTCTCTGAAATTCAAATTACGTACAATGATATTCCACCCGTTTCCTGACTGAGGGAAGTGATTTTGTAGCTTGCAGGAACAGAAGATAGGAGGGTGCAAAAAAGGGAAGGATCAAATAGAAGCCACCTTCTTAGGTGTCATTCATGGGCGGAATATGCATGATATTTGAATTTCTGACGTTTTAAGTGCTGTCATTACGAACGAGTGTGTCGTTTTCTTGCATGTTTTTCAAGGAAGGAAAGACAGATTCGGATATTGTCAAATGGCTTGACAAGAACTTCCGAATGCAAGCTGCATTTACTCTATAGGGTGCTTTCATAGATCAAAATCTGATCCGTTGCTTATTTCATTCGATCTACTACTGTCTCATCATCTTTGACGACTGAGTCGCTGTTCAGAGATGCCTATATAATACATGCAGCGCTGAGGTTTGCTAGTTTGATGACCCTTCCAGTGTGGTTAGAACTCATCGTCTCTTTCGATGATCGCATCTCTCGCGTGTTGGGAGCCACCTCTTGTGTCTTTGGCAGCCGCGGTGTCCTCTTCAACGTCGCCCAGATCTTCACGATCGCGTGGAACATTGTTAAGTTGTACGCTGGGAGCAAACTTCGTGTTCTCTAAGTTGGCGAAAATACCAGTAAGTACTTTATCCAGGTACTCAGGAGTGTTCACGTTGAACATGTTGGACGGCCTGACGTCAAGTTGATAATCGGGACCGTAGTACTCGTAATAATCGTTGTAAGGCAAATTCTCGTCGAGAATCACGTTGTTGAGAAGACCGGTCTCAAAAGCCCATGTCCTTGACACGTTGCGCATCGTGTAGCCACCCCCACCGACGACAAGCATAGGAATACCAAAAGACTTCATGTAGTTAACACAATTGGCATGCCCACGCATCGAAAGGTTGAAGCAGCCCAATCTGTCACCAGAAAGCGAATCACCACCGCACTGCAAAACCACTGCAGAAGGCTGATACCATTCCATGATCTTTCCAATTACAGGCTCGAAAACAGACTTGTAAGTGGCATCGTCTATACCATCACGAAGTGGTACGTTTACCGAGTAATATCTACCTTTTGAGACACCTGTGTCTCGCAGCTCACCAGTACCGGGGAAAAACTCCCCGTATTTGTGGAACGAGCAGGTCATCACTCTGTCAGTGGTGTAAAAAGCCTCCTCAACACCGTCACCATGGTGAACGTCTATGTCGATGTACAGAACCCTTGAGTGGTACCTCAGCAGTTCGATGATCCCCAGAACAATATCGTTGAGGTAGCAGAAACCCGAGGCTTCCGATTTCTTGGCATGATGCAACCCGCCGGCGTAGTTGATCGCAACGTCACATTTTCCCCGATTAAGCCTTGCAGCCCCTTCCATAGAGCCACCTCCTGATATACTACAGTATTCGTACAATCCGTCAAAAACAGGACAATCGTCACCGACGTTGAACTTGACGCTCTCCTTCTGGAACATTTCCAAATTGTCGGGTGTTACTCGCGACAGAAAGTCGATGTACTCGTCGGAGTGGAATTGGCACATCTCTTGTTTTGTCGCCGGTTTGGCCCTATATATTTCCATTTTTTTGTAAAGCCCGTAATTCATAATCAGTGAGTGGGTCATTCTGATTCTATGTGGTTTCATAGGGTGAGATGACCCATAACTGAAGGAGCCAACGTCAGCATCATAAAAGTACGCCACGCGGTTTTTCCCAGTCGCTTTTACCGTGATTGGATCGAATGGTTTAGCTTGATACACCATTTTGTCCCCAACTAAAGAGCCTTCGTGTCTGCCAGATACAAAAGGATTGGCTCTCAAGTGTTAGAGAGCTGTGTTTTGTTCTTGTAATTCGCACTTTCTTATTAACTGCCTAGCTTGATCTGCAGCGTATCCTTCAAAAATACTGTTCAAGAGCTAGTAAAGAGACACAAAGCTCTGGTGTTTTCCAATAAAATAGACTCAATCGAAACAGAAAGCGAATTAAATATGATGGTCTCAAAAGCTGTTTAGACTTTGAACTGATGTTAAACTTTGTTCAAATTCAAGTTTGATGCTAACCAGCTGTAGACTCTAATCTCGAACCTAATTTTCTAATAACGTCCTTCGTACAAAATGCCATCAACACATTTTGGATCGGACGACAGCGACGGTAAAGGTAAGTTCGAGAACTCTATAGACTAGTTCTAATGGCTAAAAGTAAGCATCCAAAGCTACAAACAATGGGGTTTGAATTATTCCATCTCTTCGTGAATTAAGGCATTTGAATATATTGACAGTTTAATTTCAAAGAAAAAGATAAAGACGCCCTGTGTTACGGTAAAGTGTAAAGTATTTGTTCAGGCGGTTCCTGCATCGGAGCCTTCAAAATTAGATTTCACTCTTAGATAGTGTGCAAGCTCTTCACTTGATACACTGGGAGTGAGACTTTCTTGCGCCTTCAAATAATCTTCCATCTGTACGGTCACAATCGAATCCTCCTCGGTAGCCACGTTGTCAAACCAATAACGTGTAGATACTTCTTTCTGCGTGTGTTCGCAATAAGCCTTGACCTTTTCATCTACGTCTCGCGATGTTCTTGTCATAGCATTCAACATTGCATCAGAGCATAGAGCGTAAAAATCAGCACCAGTATAGTTGAATGGACAGACTTCGGCCACCTGGGCCAAATCCACGTCTTTGTCCAAACAAAACTTCCTGCTTAAAGCTGACAGAACGTTTAGTTGTTTTGCATTGGTATCAGGAATTCCTAGATAAAGCAGTTTATCAAATCTGCCCGGTCTGAGGAGCGCTTCGTCCAGAAGATCAGGCCTGTTAGTAGCACCAATAACGAACACTCCGTTTCCTCCTGTACTCATACCGTCGAGTTCGGCAAGTAGTTGGGAAACGATGCGGTCCATCACACCACCAGAATCACCCTGGTTACCACGTTTCGGAGCAACAGAGTCGAGCTCATCGAAAAATATAACGCAAGGTTTTGCATCTCTAGCTTTTTGGAAAACTCGACGGACGTTTGCCTCCGACTCTCCTATGTACATGTTCAACAGCTCTGGTCCCTTAACACTGAAAAAATTGAGTGAGAAATTGGTGGCAATCGCTTTGGCTAATAACGTTTTTCCCGTTCCAGGAGGACCGTAAAACAAAATCCCACTTCTTTTCTTTAACCCAGAGCTGAACATCTCAGGATGCCTCAACGGCAAATCTATAGTGTCCATGATATCGCCCTTCACTAAGTCCATGCCTCCGATGTCTGCCCAAGAAACGTTAGGTATTTTGGGAGCACCGATGGAATCGGAAAACTCTTCTCGCGCCGATTCAATCTCGGAAAAAAGTTCAGCTTCAGTAATGTCCAGGAAGTGTCCCTGTAAAGTGTACTTTTCTCTGTGATTTTCTTTTGAAATGAAGTTGCTTAGCGCCGAAGACCTGGCAGCGAGCACGATGGATTTGATGTCGCCCGGGGACAAACCTGCTGATCGCTGTGATAGCTTAGCTAAAGAAACGTTGCTATCCAGCCTGAATCGCGTCAGTCCTCCTGTGCAATAATTTAGTTGATAGTTATCCAGGTACCATCGAAAAATATGCTCCCTTTGGGCCTCTGTTGGCACAGGAACTTCAATGCAAAACTGGGCCTTCGAAAGTACGGCGTTCGGTAGCCCGCTAATTTCATGTACCGAGCCCACAAACACTGCACCATGAGATGTGCAGTGATCTATCAGTGATGCAAGTTCAAGGGCCAAAAATCTGTTCAATCTTGAGCTATTTGGATCCTGTTGTTCATCTTCTTTCTGAACAAGCGAATCCAAATGAGGTAAAAAGACCACAGAAGGCTCCACAAATGGTAGTAGAGGCTCAAGTTTTGCTCTTATGTAACCAATCGTTTTCTGCATGGCCTCGGCAGATCCTTGTGCAGAGTTGATAGAGAGACAGTCCAGTTCGATGAGATGCAGGCCTTGGTGTTGGGCAACAGATCTTACCAAATTGCCCTTTCCTACGCCTCCAGTAGTGGAGTGAAGGATTATCGCGATGGGACGTGAAACACCTTGCTCTCGTAGCTTCATGCTCACATTGATAATGTCAACGAATCGTTTATAATAGTCAAAGTCCATAGAGCTGTAGCTAAAAACAGGTGGGAGGTCATTGTAGGCCAGATAATTGCAGTGTGACAATGACAAAGGAGGTTCGGAGACCAGGTTTTGTGTTAGCAGGGTGGTCTTTTTACTATCGATCCTAAATTCACCAGCATACGGGGAATTCTCTTCGAGTTCAACAGTTTCAACCCTAAACCAAACTATGGAATCCGGCTGTCCTGAGAGATCGATTTCCATGGCGACCTCTGTATAAAACGGTGATAGCCTGGAATCAAAAGATATGGGAAGAAGGTCTCCCTCTTTCAAAATACGCTGACGCTGAGTAAGAAACTTCGTCAAGTTCTTGGAGATTACATTCTCATAAATTCTTTGACAATTGTTCCACGATCCGACCCTGGTCAATGCGACCGACGAAGCCACCGGAATATTTGTAGCCGAGAACATACATCTTTCGACGCTGATGTGTTCTACGTTTTTGAACAGGGCCATGACACGCGGTCCCGCATAAATAGTTCCTGGTTTAAAGTTGTGGGGTGCCAGAAAAACCATGGCTTTGGCAATTTTGGTTTTATCCTTGTGACTCAAGGTGATATACGAGCCACTGCTGAGACCAAGTTCCATCATTGTGGAAGCATCTCCAAACACAAACAGGGATTCATCTTCGTGTTCTGAGCATATTGGCCGCAGCAAATCTGGGTTAATCGGGGATAAAAGAGCTCTGAGAGGAAGCTTTTGCACCACGTTGTGCAAAAGGTTCACATCCATGGTTTTTTTTTCTAAGCGAATGTTGGAAGAGCTATCTTGAAGACGCTCTCCCCTTACAAACAGAACTTTGGTATTATCTTGATCGATCAACCCTTGATAGTTATGCTCACCACAGTCTAAAACCGTGCACCAATTCTCCACTAGCTCATCCCCAACATGCAATACCGAAGCTGCACTTATACCAGCTTTGAGGATCACAAATCGGAGTCTGTCTCGAGGGTTTTCCAGCTCCAACAATCGATCATAAAGAGCAGGTTGCGTTGCAATGGTAAGATCACGTAGCACTGGAATTGTTCCTTTGAAGGGCCAAATTTCACACACGTCTATGGCTGGTACACCCCTTTGGATACCGAAAAGTTTGGATGGCAGTTCTATCCATTCTGTCCCAAGATCTGCATTTACTGTACAACGTACCAGCTTTGACCGCTTAAATTTATCATATCCGCCAATTAGAACACTTGCGTATACTGCTCTCAGCGATGAAGGGTCTTCATTATTGTCTTCAGGGACTATTGTTTCCTTCAAGTGCTCGAAAAGGCTGCTTGAGACACGACAATCGATTGTAGCATCGAACCTTAAGCTAACACGGGCTCTAATTGGTTCAATGTTTGCTAATTGCAGCATGTAGCTGGGCAAATGAGCTGCCTGGTAGTGAATGCACTTGTTAGGTGGAACTGTTAAAGTTGATCAAGTTTTTAAAGAAGTGTTGAAGAGATTCAGATAAGTATGTTAATAAATTGAATATATATGCATGGATTAAAGCTTGAATATACAAAAACAGTGTTGATGTCTCTTCAGAGCATTTTAGACCTCATTTCGCAACGATATAGAGGCTCACTACTATCGAGCATTAGTCTTGTTTCAATGGTCGAGCTTCGATCCGTAGATTTCAGTATTGTCATGTTTGGTGCCAAAGTAGACCTGAAAATTGGAGTGTTAATGTACATTTGGAGTGCAAGCTAGAGCTTTGAGCTGAATTCTGTTGAGCTGGTAACCAATTATGATTGTTGGCTGTAGTAGTTATTCACCAGAATGTCAGGTTTTGAGAGTTTTTGTTGGTGCTTCTCGTCGATGGTGTCGTTAAATATAACACTGCATGGTGTCATGTCCTACTCCGGATATGAAGTTTGGACTATTCCAAATATTGTGAAGTCTCTTTCTTGACTGTTACCTCTTCAACATAATGCTATGACTCAGCACGTCTCGGGCCTCGTTCACTTTCATTGCCAGAAACGGACTTCCGCCTCGATCAGGGTGATTTTGTAGCATGGCTCTGCGATGCTTGCGCTTTAGGATATCCAAATTCAGCGTTGAAATTTCGCGCGCATCGATACCAAGGATCAAAAGAGCCTCTGATTCGGTCATTTTTGGGTAAAATCCACCACCATATTGATTCAGCCGAGACCTCAGCTGCGGGCTCAAATCAGCGTATCGAAGCGAACTTTGTCGCTGAAACCGGGCTTCAGAGGCAGATATTCGCAGTCCGTTTAGTTGTGCTATCATTAATGGTGTAAGTCTCTTATATACTTCCCACGCTCGCAGTCCAGATCGCACTGTTAGGGCTACAGTGGTGACTCCAAGGCCGAGGATTATCGGCAAGACCATTTTGGCTGGTGATCAGAGCTTTTAAATGATCTAGAGAGCGCTAGCGTAAGCTTGGTGGCTATAGAACTAGGGAAATTCTTGTTTCTCTGACCGTATCTGATCTTTTGTTTGCAACTTTTCTGATTGACATACAGATGAGTAGTTAATACATAAGGTGCCAGGACGTTTAACGATTTATTTCATCTGATAAGTATAACGAAAGAAAGGGTATAAAAGAGAATGCCAATCAATGTTTTGACTCCAGCGATATATCTTTCTGTAACTGCTACTCTCATTGACAAGATTCCGTTTTTTCCGTAAGTAAAACGGTCAAGATTCGCTGTCACAATTGACAAACAGAATTTTGTGAGTTAAATCTACGATCCAAGACGAAGAGCTGAGTTCTCAAAAAAAAAAGTCAAACAAAGCCCCGTAAATATATGCATTCATGGGATAACGGAAAACCAAGCCTGACTTTATTATGTTACTGACATCCATTGTTCTTCTTCAGCTTGATGCTGTAGCCTTACAGCGATCATCGTTGCACACGGAAAACACGTTGAATCTGTCATCTCTTAGTTTCCAGCAATTCCAAGGATTGAGAATGACCGAGAAACCTGATTCTTATGAATTCAATACTTCCGTGTGTTATCTACCAATTTTCCGTTATTCGCACTTTCAAATTGGCAAAAAGACTGCATTTCAACTTATTCAACTGTCAAAGCTCCAGCTGGCAATTGAAATGACCTAAAACAACAAAGAAACCTGGCATATCCAAAAATCCTCTCATAAATAGCCGCCAACTACAAATCTGGATTGGCTCAAAATCCTTGTTGTTAAGTCTATTTTGAAGAACTGAACTGCTTTTCGTATGTGATGTTCGTTGCTTACCCGAGAGATCTGGTAAATTGAACTTAAATAAGATTACATATACTATATATATGTCTATAAGCATCTGTCATAAGAACGAAACATCTTCAACAAGAAGACTTTACACCTCAAAGGTTCTCTTTATATATATCTATTTTGCTAGAAAATGGCCGTCAAAGGATTGGGTCAACCTGACCAAAAGTACAATGGCTCCGGCCTCAAAGTGGGCATCGTCCATGCCAGATGGAACAGACAAGTCATCGATGCGCTTGTCAAAGGTGCAATTGATAAGATGCTAAGCTTGGGCGTGAAAGAAGAAGATATCCATGTTGAAACCGTTCCCGGCTCGTTCGAGCTCCCTTTTGCCGCTAAAAAGTTGAGCGAAAAATACCACTTTGACGTTGTCATCCCCATCGGTGTCCTCATTAAAGGAAGCACTATGCATTTCGAGTACATTTCAGACGCAACAACCCAGGCGTTGATGCGTTTGCAGGAGTCCATAAACATCCCGGTAATCTTTGGTCTGCTAACCTGTTTGACTGAAGAACAGGCATTGGCAAGAGCCGGCCTAGACGAGGCCAAATCCATGCACAACCACGGTGAAGACTGGGGTGCAGCAGCCGTGGAAATGGCCTCAAAGTTTTGAAAACAAAAACAGAATTGAATATCTTTCTATAGCTAGATGTACATAGAAAAAGTAGAACAACCCACCCTATACCAGGATTCCGTTCCCTTTGGACTTGGAGTTCTTCTTACGATACTGTCTGATAGCGTCTCTCTTTCTGCGCTTCATCTCCTTAGTCCAAGCAGCGCGATTTTCCCAGAAATTGGTGTCCCAGTCGGCGAAAAGTTCGCCAAGCTCACTTGAAGTCTTAAGTTTGGCCAGTTGAGACTGGGAATGCAGAAAGGGAGACGAAAAATGCGGGAAAAACAAACCTTTGGCTGTGGCTCGGACGGGTATGTCAGAAGTATCGTCTACTGCATCATCCAAAACAGCTTCTGAAGCTTTAGTATGCTGTGGGGTTGTTTTCTCCATGTCGATGTCATCGTTCGGCTCTCCCAGAACTTTGAAAGTTGATTTTTCGGCTTCGTCAGGATTAAACAGAGATCGCAGATTTTCAACGTTGTTGACTTCGGGCTTTGCTGTCTCGCCTCCAAAAGTGGGAACAAATTCATCTTCGGACTCGGGCTCTTCTTCTGGCATGTGTGGCTCCGGCTCAGCTTCCACATTCTCATCTTGCTTATGCTCGCTACGAGAGGGCAAACTTTTTTCTTCACCATCGTCCAAATCTTCATCTTCTTGCAGTTGCAAAGGCTTATCAAAGTCGAATCCACCCAAAAGGTCCTCTAGAACGTCGTGAGTCTTATCTGGAACCACATCTTCCGCGTCTGACATCTTTTCGGCATTGTTTTGATCCTGGAGTGGTTCTTGTAGGGCCCTTTTGTTCCATGACGATGCCCGCGAGTAATCGAGTTTGTCGACGATATGACCGGTTCCGTCTCTCCAGTGACGCTGCTGTGTGAAGCGTGCAACCAGGTCTTGCGGCTGCTTGTTCCGTTCGTAGCCCCACAGTTTATTCTTGTAGCATTTGTACACCTTTAGATGGCCATCATTTTGCATGATTCTGAAAGTGGCATTTCGCAGTTGCGACTTGGGTCTTGGGTTTTGGCGCATTCTTCCGTTCAAAATCTGCTGCCTATCAGTCCAGCTCATTTTTATGTTCTCTATCTTCTTGTAGTATTCCCATTGCTGCTTGAGCAGTTGTTTCTCTTTCTTAGCATCGATTAGCTTATCTTCTTCTTGCTGGGTTTCCCTCAGTTCTTGCCAGCTAGGTTTGGCCAAATCGATTCTCAAAACGTTGCGCTTGAATCTGACACCATTGAGACTGCTTTTGAGCTTCAAGAACGCGTTTTCGTCTTTGAATTCCATCGATATATAGGCGAAATGGCCATGACTTTCAAAGCCATCGTTAAGACAGCGTCCGAAGCGCTCAAAACGTGGTTTCAACTCCGCAAGACTCTCGTTATGCTCCTCAATAACATCTCCCACATATAATCTTCGAATTATTGTCATACGGACCTATAAAAAGGCTGGCAGGTCGTGCTATTGTGACGATTTGTTTGAAGTTCAACGTCAAGTTCAAGCTCATCGCTCTTCCGATGAGCTCTTTCTACTGGACGTTATTGATTTTTTCACTTCATTTAAAAACATGTCCGGGTAATATCTAAACTTGAAAAATATATATAAATGACACACTTGAATTCTAACAATCGACAAGTGACACTAGGCGATGAGATCGATGATGAAGGACTTTGAGAGTAAAAAGACATTGTTTTCACGAATTAGTTGTAATTTTAGCATGTTTAGATGAACGAGGCGATCTAGGTTTGGTGGGACACGAAAAACTGCGCTCGAAATTAGCTTTTTTTAGTGAGGTTTTAGAGCGTTTTTTTGTTTATTCAAGGAATCATTTGCACTCTCCTGGTGTGAAGAAGACTGGTATAAGATTACTGATGGCGTGTGTTTTTGGTGGAAATTGTGTAACTCGCCGGAACTTCTAGCATGGCAGCCTTTTTTTTGATAGTAGTGGCATGACACTTTGATAGCGGCTTAATACGAGTGGTTTAAGCTACCGTAAACTCTTGAAGTTTGGCAATGGGGGCATCCATTCAACTTACCAACTGGTAATCTCGGCCTCGAAGATTTTACAATTGTTTCGGGCCTGAATTTGGGTCTGAAACTCAAAATACTTGTCTCTTTCGTGAGACTGGCTGCTTAAGAGGTGAGCAAATTAGTGTGTCTAACCGTGATGGCTTATTCATTTTTTGAGGCTAACAAACTTTCGATAGCGTCGTGATAAGACATTCGTTCCGCAATCTTTGAAATTGATCCGACATTGATGACTGAAGTGGTCTTTTGATACAGTTTACTAGCTTCCTTGGGAGTATTGGATACCAATGATCAATGGCGATCTGAGTGAATGAGAGTGCCTAGGTTTCATAACTCTCCATAATCCGTCGCTGTCGTCCAGTCACATGGTAGCGGTCACCTAAAAAGATGATCCAGCAAAACTGAAAAGAACGTGTTTAAATAACGAGCTGTGAGATCAATGGACACGTCATGAAGATTGATAACTCAACTTCCTTAACCCGAACTAACGTTTTTCATTTCTCACCGAATTACGCTTAAGTGTCGTTACCAAACATATGACAGGCCGGAAAAAAGTGATTTGATGTTTTTTTGAACCTGGTATCGCCCAAACAGAAGCAGCGGCTTTGAGATGAAGGGTCTTTCAATCAAGATACACCACTACCTTGATGGTACCTTTGGCAATGCAATAACGCGGGTATGCTACTTGCTAAATCGATTGGAAAAAATCGCATCATCCTGTACGCTCGCTAGTCACCAGGCAACAAGCACGATTAAACTCGTTTCCCGATAATGCCACAGCGTCATTGCAATTGAATCCATGCTCTTTGAAACAATTTCAAAATTGCCTGTCAGTCTCTCTTGGCAGTGACTAAGCGAAAATCATCTTCTGAGGATACGATATTCACGGCTTCCACTATCAATTTTGAGCCTGCAAAATGTTGAGGCTAAACTGAGAATCACTAGTTAGGCATATTTGCCTCGGGGAGCCCAAAATAAACCTTTAATCCTGGAAATTGACTCAAACATTTGAACCTGGAATTCCGGCACTGACAATGCTCTAATTTGCCTTTCCATAGCAAAACACCTTGCTCTCCAATGGTGCATAAAAAGTTTGAGCGTAATTTTCAAAAGTATTCACTGCCCAGAACACCATTCAAAATCACATTCAAGATGCTCATGGCCGGAATTATGACTATTTTTCAAGACGACTTAAAAGCGACTTTCTCCAAAGAACAAAAATCGTTAACAAGTTTCTGAAAAAAACTTTAGCAATGTTGCGAATCTGATTCACGATCTTATCGTCAATAACACTGGAATCTGATTCTCAGTCGTTTCTTCCTGACATTGAGTGTAAATGTCACTGTGAGTGTGTGATGAATCACGTGATCAAGATCACGATGTCATTAATATCAATACACATCATACTGATGAGATGGCTACCTCTTACACCTAAGTTTGGTGAACATCACGATTCACCAGAACACCACTCTTATATATTCGTCTTTGACTATGCTTAAGTATTGCGCTTCCAAACCAGCTTTTCTGCAATCCTTTTTGGGTCTTCGGCCAGCAGCTTTTGTTCGCGGTTTTAAAACCGAAAGGGGACCTTCTCCCCCACAACTTCCCAAAGAAGAGCAGGAGGAATTCGAACGGCTGCAGCGTATAGCACAATCTCAAGAAGCGATTGATGCTTACAATAAAGAAATAGAGGAGGACCACACAAAGGAAAGCGCAAAATCTCCATTTTTGAAATCTGACATTGGAGGCTTTTCACCCGAGTTTTCCAAAACAATACCTGAATTTGAGGGTGACGTTAACCCTAAAACGGGTGAGCGCGGTGGGCCTAAACAGGACCCGCTCAGATACGGGGACTACTCTTTTAACGGCAGGGTGACGGATTTCTGATTTTTGAAAAAGAACAATACATCAACATTTTGATGTTAGGTTTAGATAATGATGCAAGGTTCTCTGTAAATACTTTATTTGGGATAAGAATAACAAATTGAACTATGGTTTGTGCCTCCCTCACCCATTGATCTTTGTTGAACGAATTTTTTTTCTTTCGTCGTGGCTATTCTAGTTCTCTCGACGCATTTTCAAGCTGCACTTGGCACTCTCCGATTATCTGAGCATCTCTTGCAAGCTGCTCGCGTAACGTTTCCCAAGATACAGCATCTGTTGTTTCTGCTGAGGAAGGACTGTCAACATCGACGTAATCCATTTTCAATTTCAAAAGCGATAACGTCTCGTTCAGATCACGCTGGGAGTAGACTAAGCGATTGAACTTTGAAACTTGGCTCTTCACCTCCATGAACCATTCCATTTCTGTGCGTGATATAGCCCTGGATTTCAGTTCATCGGAAAGTGAAATCATTTTCAACTTGTCTTGCAATGCGTCGAACCTGCCTTTGATGTTGTCATTCGTGTTCTGCACCCGCTTCCACCGCTCTTGTTGAGGAACCAGCTTTTCATCAATTGCTTTCTTTCTTGATATAACGTCACAAACTCGCTCGAGATGGTTTGTGAGCTCTCCTTGCTGTTCCGAGAGACGCGTATGAAGCATCAAGGCCAGTGTTTGAGCTACCATGATTCGAGTCAGTATTTCCTTAGATATACCGGTCAGAACGGAGAGCTGCTCCTCATTAGACTCATTATCTAACTTCCTCTGTCGGAGCTTAGGTTCTATAGCTGTTGTTAAGGGAGTTTTCAGTAATGTTTGTACTCTCTTATTCAGAGCCAAAAGCTCTGTGATTGGCTGCTCATAGGGGCGTCGTTGAATTAGGGCAGCACTCTTTTCGTGCTGTTGTATTACCGGCTGTTTCTTGGTAAATGGGATATCAATGTGGCTTACGGAATGATCCGATAAAAGAACATATTCTTGACCCGATGACCATAAACTGCAACTATTGAATAAACCTTCTTGCTCATAGATCTGTTCACTTAGATCTACTTCCAGTAATGCAGCAATGTCACAATCACGCAAGGCCTGGTCAATTGCCTTTGTGAGACGCGAAACGTCTACCAGAGAAGCTTTATTGGGCGATAAAACGATAAACTCGGTATCAGACACGGCCGATATCAGACCAGGTATTTTCAAAGCGCCGAGTGTAATAAGTGAATTGGTGAGCGCTTCATCGTTACTTTCCCAAGCCATTACAGGCTCTGAATCCCGGAAACATTGTAAAATGGTTCCATCGTCAAATGATAACAGAAGAATTTCACTGGTTCTGTCAGCTAGTTTTAGCGTGTTAACTTGTGTAGCAGTGGCGTTGTAAAGACGTTCCGGGAATGGATTGACTGTGTGAGGACCTTGTAAAACGGAATTTCGGTAAGCGTTTGATATAGGCAGCAAAAGCTTTGCGTTGTTGCTTATATCGTTTTTCAAATGGTCTTGACCCAGGCCGCGGAGCTGAGATGCAAACTTTAGCTGTTTCGTTACGAAGCGTTTGACTTCCGAGCTATCACCATCTTTTAGACCATTGTACTGAAGTAAAGCTTTGTGGAATTGGTAGTTTACGTGCTCCTCAGTCACTTCGATTTCCGAAGGCAAGAAAGGATAGATCGAATATATGTCTGCACCTTCACTGGTGTTAACCACATAGAGGGTCATGCCATCGTTGCTGAATGACATGGATACCACGTCTCTAACAATAGTGTCTATTCCCGGCTTTTGACTAGTTGTAGAATTCCATATTCCAGTGGGCATTGAGATATCGTCACTGAGAAGTTCGTACATGCAAATTTCGTCACTACCTGTGAGGACCACAATGCAGGATCCAACACGGCCATTAGGATGCCACAGAACTTGTTTTATTCCTGCTGGTACCGAAAATTTGTACGCACTCAAGGAATCTCTAGAGGCGATGCCCTCCAAAGATAATATTTGCAGCTCCTTGTCATTGTGAAGGCACAGAAGAGTGCCATGATCGTTCAAGATAGCTGATTGGTAGTTTTCGATTGCTTCAATTTCTGCAAAATGGTACTCATCCTCCTCGGGCAAACACCACTTGATACTATTCTTTTCCACAACCACTATCTTACGATCTTGTTGGCTAGAATGGCAAACGAACCGCTTCGAACGGCCGGTTTCGAAAGGCTGACACTTGAAAATGGGATGCTGTTCTGAAAGCATGTGTAGCAGGTTGTAATTGGCACCTGAACCGGTGTATAAAGCCAGTTGTTTGTACTAAATGGATCAGATTCAAGTTGATGTTGGTGATGAAATGTCAAATCTCTTAATACTATATAGTAGATGCCTCAACGTTGGCAGTGACAGACCGAGCTCAGCTCTGAAGTAGAAAGACTCAGTGCCAGGATTCTACTGCTCCAGCCGGACCTTTATGTTATGCTAGAACAGATATATGTATATGTACAGGGTGTTGTATCAGTTTCACTTGCTGTTCAGATTTCAGACAAGAAGTTGTTTTGTTTGATCTTTTGGCGATTGGAGGTTCTCAACTGTTTTCTGCGCAGCTTTAGCGGGTCCTGTTGTAGCTTATTTAGCTGAGCTTCTTTGTCCAAAACGCTCCAGAGCCATTCTGGGTACTCGTGGTCTTCCAAAGCCACGGGTTCCTTGCCGGATTTCTTGATTTGTAGGTTTAGGACAGTGCCGGCTGGACAGCTGGAAATAACCCGTTCAGAGCCCGTTTTCGCTTGCTGAAGAGAGACACGAGAGCTCGAGAATAGCCTCACAGGCATTACATTCGTGAAACGGCGTAGCATCACTCGTTGTGCTCTATTTTCGTGCGATTGAAATTATGAGATTGTAGTGAATTTTTCAATTTCGAGGTTTTTCATTAAGCTCTTCTTGATAATTAATGTCATTATCTGCCTGGTAAAAGCTGGAAAACGACAGTACGACATCGGGTCCTAGAAGCATTGTAAGTCGAGTTGAGTTTTGTTTCTTGTCTCAAATGAACACCAAAAATAATTCTCAACTCATTGCTATAAAAATGGGCTCTAAAACCCATCCGACCATAACATCCATGAACAGGTTCCAGCTCACGTAGTAGCACAGCTTGGGACTGAACACACTCCAAATAAACAAATGGTATCGCTGGATGAAACAGGATCCCAGTAAAAAGCAGCCAAACACACAGTAAAATAGTAGTGCAGGCAAACGCGAAATCGCGAAGACTTGCCATTTCTGTTGTAGAGTTGGATGCGACTGCAATAGCATTTTCAAACATGTGCAGGACCAGTAGACCGAGGGTGCAAAGTTGCTCAAACACATCAGGAATCCCACAACGTTGATGTTGTAGTTTTCGGACACTCCGTTGTATGCATTTGTGAGACTAACTGTGGCAATCGAGTTGGTACCTCCAAATTGAAAAAACGTTAGGTGTTGAAGAATCAGTCCCACAGTCATCAAGGCAGTAGCGTTGGAGCTCGACAAGCGACGCCATAGCAGCTCTATTTGTGGCTCGACAATTTGGAAAACCAGAAATTGTGGGATGTTTGCAGACGAGGTTTGGAAAATCAAAATCAGCGTAATAATCGGATGAATTCTCTCGAGCAATCCCTTACCACTGCGACGCTGCCGGTCTCTCCTATGCGCCATCACTTCGAAGAACACTGCTGCAAAAGCCAGGGAGAAAAACATTCTGGCCATTTTAACAAGCTGACCTTTAACTGCCTCTGTGGGGTCTTGATCGTTCGCGATGCCTGGAATGATTTGAAATACCGCCTGTTGAAGCTGAAGCGGTACACGTTCGGCATTCACGATACTCCACGAAGCCTTGTAGATCAGGCACATGGCTGAAAGTGAGACAATCGTTGCAATAGAGATCACGGATTGCTCGCGAACCTTCAAAATAGGACCCAAGAGAGTAAGTACATTGAGAACCCATTGCCATCCGCTGTTACTCTTAAGAAGCTCAGAAATTGTATGCTCGTAAATGTATTTTTGACCACTATTGTTCCATCCACGAATGATCCTGAGGCCACCTAGTGTCACGAAAATGGAACCTATTCTGCGCGGTGCCTTCACAAAACAAATCAGTGCAAACCCCACTGTAGTCCACCACCACAATTGGTGCTCTTCCTCCACAAAACTACTCCCAAACGTGCTCAAACTGAGTAAAAGACACACAAGAACCAGAATAACTAGTGAGGCAGAAAAATGTAAGGTTTCCAAGCACAGTTTACTGACGCCCAAAGTCGCGAAGACAAGCAATATTAGACCAATGCCCAGCAGCTTATAATTATATTTCGTCGCCGTCTTCGCTAAACGGGCCTGAATTTCTCTCATGGCGCTGATGTGAGCGTCGATGGTTTCGAATTCCTCGCATGGCTGCCCAGAAACACTCGAAATTTGCTGGTAGTTATCCATTACTTTTATGTGAGCTTCGTGCGACGAAAATAAGCGCAAAAAGTCAGGAATCAAGACCCCGATGCTATTCTTGGGTATGGGGAAATTGAAAAGTGTTGCTATTGTGGGCACAAAATCGATTTGGTTTACTTTTGTCAAATACTTGTAATCCTCGTTTTTGGCTTTTATAGGAATATGCTCATTTTGTTGAGCCTCTGGTTTGGTAAACTCCGCTAGTTTTTTGGAGATGAAAAGCATCCCCGATGAAGTTTCACCTGCAGATGAACCGCCATGGTTTCCCATGTCATTCATTCCATGATCTCCCATCACGCATATCAAAGTATTTTCATCTACCGAATTGTAGATCTGTTCGATGACGGTGTCCATTTCGCGGTGTTTAGGACGCATAAATTTGGAGAACGCTCCACCTTTATGTCCAATATGATCTAGTCCCAAGTAGTGCAAAATCATAACATCCCACAGTTCCTGAGACGCTAGTTGTTGCGGCAAATGTCTTGTAACATTATAATCAACTTCTTCAAAATCGCTAACAAAGAAAGAATTGGTCCCATCGACCATGTTAAAAAAGTCTGGGGGAAATAGCTTGAGCCACGTATCATCCCCAAAGAAATCTATGGTTTTCTGCTTGATACGAAATTGTCGCAACAGAGAGTCCTGCTCTCCTAGGCTTGACGAAGAATCCTCCCCAGCGACGTTTAATATGGCATCTAGAAAGTTAGGCGTTGATCCTGTGGTTATGCCTTTCAATCTAGGAAGTGTCACGGTGGGAGGATTAGAATATGCAGTATAGCCCCAGGCATCGCCCTTATTTAATAGGGAATGCACGAAGCTGAATTGACTCATCTCATCTTGGAAAAGATAGTCAGATCTTAAAGCGTCGATTACAACAAGCACAAGCTTTTCAAACCGCGGTTGTATGTCCTGTTGCTCTTCTGGAAGATGTAAAAACTGGGCATCGCCTTTTAAGAACGTTTTCTGGGGGAAAAACCCCGCTGAAAACGTCAGAATAGCTATGAGCTGAAGGACCAATAGTCCTGCAATCCTTACTAGAGGACCCATTGAACTAATTGAGGGCTAGCGGACTCTATCTATTGTGAATTAATGGATCTAGTTATGTCGTTGATATGTGCGCTTAACCTCTTAGTAGCTTAACATTGATTTATCCTCTCGAGTACCTAAGTACTCGAGAGGCCTTCCTGGGTTGAACAGACACTAACAGATTTAGAATGTGAGGGCCAGGTAAAGAACTCTGAAGCATTCAGAGCGTTGAGATACAGATTCAACAGTTTGCCAATGCTTTAATGATGGCTCGCTTTTTATACTTTTCATTTGTATGAAATTCTATCTTACTGGTATGTAAATATTTTGTATCCGATGACCCATTGCTGAAAATTACTATGCTACAAAAAAAAGCCTGACTATTGCAGGAGCTGGTCCCTGTAATGTGCTTGCTGGTTAATGAACTTGGCAGCTCTCTTGTCGTGAGTCTTTTTGTCCTTTACTTGTGTTTGCCACACTCTCTTCTGGGTTGCTACCTGCTTTGGATCCATGATTGTGGCAAAATGTCTAGTTTCGGCCGCAATTAGCGTACCCTGGCCCTCGGTAAGTACGCTCTCTGGCTTGAGGTTTTGTCTGTAGTACCGCTGCAAAGAACGGTGGCCAACCTTCACGCCCGTTGGCAAATGCAATTCTGCACCGTCGTTGTAGAGATACTCTTGAGGCAGTTCTTCCTCTCCTTCGTCCTCGCTTCCTGCACCTTCTTCGTCGCTGGCAACATCCTCCCAGTCTTCTTCATTACCGTCGCCCTCAACTTGGTCGCCATAAGTGCTGGAGAAATCGTAAAACTCAGAAATTTCTAGTCTTTCGTCCTCACTTTCGTAAGGAATTCGACAGTGAGCCTTGGCTAGCATGTGAGCACGAACAGCCTCCAAAGAACGTCCTTGAAAATTACAGCACAAACACATGTTTCCCAGACCGATCTTTTCGGAGAGATACTTGATTAGACCCTCTTTATCGACCAAATATTTCTGTTCCGGTATGTAGAACCCATGGCTTTTGAACATGTGTTCCAAAGCGGCGTCCAGATCTGGGAAAGAAGCGCTTTTGCTGCAAAATAAACAGTGGTTCAAGGGTATGTCTACCTTACTGTCTATTTTTTCTTGCATCAATTTTTCGGCGAGTTGGTCTGGAGTGAGGTCTTCATTTTCTTCCTTCTCTGGTTCTTCGCTCGATTCTTTGTCCTGCTCATTTTCTCTTTCTACCGCTGGAGCTGGAGCTTCGGGCTTCTCAGAGACATCTTCCTGAGTCTTCTGCATGTTTGAGATGATACTTTCACGGGCCTGCTCCAATAGAGCCTTTTTCTTGGCCAACAATGCCTCTTTCTCCTTCCTTCTGATATCTTTCTTGGTCAGCTGTCTTTTGCTTTCAGGTTCTTCTTTTTGTTCCGCAAACGTTTTGACTTTGGAGTTGAACGTAGATTCTGTAATCGGTGGCAGTTGAGCCACCCTTCTCTTTAGGTTGTAGCTGTGCCAGTCTGTCTTCATATGGTCCCTCTGGTCCCGGGTGCTAGAGAACTGTAGCGCACAGGAGTTACAAGTATAGCTGGTCATTTTGTATGGATAATTCGGTACCAGAACCTGAATAAACTGCTCTATCGCTGTCTTGGTGGCGGTCGATGAGGTAGCGCGGGGATGCGATGAGTTCTAAAATTTTCTTATAGCAGGACAACTTTTTTTAACGTTATTGGAAAAATATCTTTCAGCCAATTTTCTACCCAGTTATCTCATCGGAATACGCGGGACTCGAAGATAAAGTAGATAACGCTGGTCGATTGAAAGCATTGTAGCTGCAGCTGGCTGGTTGACATCACATAAAACTTGGAAATGCTAGAGCATGGTATGGATTGAGAAAAGGGTTTCCTTGAGGCCTTCGTGTGTTCTTGAAAAGCTTATATGTCTTCGCTGTAAGCAATGTAAAAGTGGACGCTTCGATCCTGACACGTCTTGAATGTCATTTCGAGACTTAAAAGTTACTCTTTCGAGTAAAGTATCCAGTTCTTGCCCTAGAAAGAATCTCAAGAGGTTTTCTCACAAGACTTGTGCCACCTCTTTATTTGGAACTTGCAAATGAGCATGTATACAGGAACGATTATCAGGTTCGCTATAATACCCAACAGCCATTGCAAAGGCCACCCAATTGAAACGTTATTTTGTTTATTCATACCCATGTCCGTGCTCATCAAGACCCAGCCTATGAAATCCGTTGTAATATCATCGTAACCCAGTTGTAACTGTTTGACAATCCTATTACAACACGTCTCACACGACAGTGCCTCAGAAGGGCCCTCTATCTCTCTGGTAATATCTGGTTTGGTTTCATTTTCAAGAGCGTAACCCTCGCTGTCGAAATTTCCTGGGTACACGCACGAAATTCGCGGCTGAGAACATTCTTGGCGTAAAATAGCCACCAGCGCCTTTATAGACTGCTTTTGTGGCGCATATTGCGAATATCCAATGAAAGGGAAAAATGCTGTTGCGCTCGAAAAGAACACAAGATGGGCAGACTGCCAATGGCGCACTGCGACATGGGCCAGATTCGCGCACGTCAAATAGTTCACTTTGACACCCAATTCGATCTCGTCTGGTTTCAGATCTTTGAAAAATCCCGGGTGTGAGCCACCAGCACACAGAAGCACCACGGTGGGCGTCAGTGAGCTAGAGGCTATCTTACACCGCAACCGCTCGACCTGCGCGTAATCAGCCACATCGCAAGACGCAAATAGTATTTTGTTGCCCTCACGAACCACCTCCAAACCTTCAGTCAGTTCCTGTGCCACTAGTTCGCCCGAAATTTCCCGAGCAGCTTGTTCGAGCTTGCCGCGGGATCTGCTGACGATAATAGTAGTTGTATTGGACCCCTGCAGGTAGAATTTTCGCGCAAACTCTTTACCGAGTCCCTGCGACCCACCGGCCACGATTACGACCTGATTATTGAGCGAGAACCCTCCCATAATTGTCTCTTTGTTGTTTATTTCAACAACTTTAACTATAAATGTTACATCTTTAATGAACTGTAATGTGTATTTATATATATGTTTAAGTACATATCGATTCACGAAGCGACAGGAACTATCATTAATGTGGTTTGAATCAGAAACTACTGTTGGATCGTAGGTTAGGAGCAAGCTGTGATTCCCTCAGCCAAAAAGCTTCGACTTTAGTATCTATTTACATGACAGTAGTCTGATCCATCGTAACAACCACCACCTACTTAAACTTAAATTCACCGAAAACAAAACTTTTCAGTTTTTGCGGGCGTCTTTCTTGTGTTCCTCGTACTCTTTCTTGAGCTTTTCTAGCTCTTGGGCATCGATAGGTGGGATTGGAACGTCTGCAAAGTCGTTATCCCTGTTCAAGAACCGGTAAGTGTATACGTAAATACCTCCAGTAACTAGTAGAAGTGCGCCCAAACCAATCAGGTTTCTCTTGACAAAAGGCTGTCTGGCTCTAATCATGGCCGGGGTCATTTTCCAGGTTCTGGGATCCTGGTAAGGGGAGTGTTCGAGCACCATCGCGGTTGGTTTTGAATGGAATTTTCTTGTAGTTGGTGGTGGTAGTATGTTTTTCAATTGGTAGAGATTCTTGAATATCTCTTATGTAAAAGGCTAATAATAAGGTTTTACAAAAGGAGGAGCGTAAGACGAATACCAGAGTGTGTGTGAGTAGTGTGGATTGAGATTGAAAACTTCAAGTAGTAAATGGGGTCGGCTTTGAGAACCATGGAAGAGTTTAAAGAGTATCGATCAGATATGTTTTAATATCACTTTGTACGTCTTACTAAGTTCACGTTCATTCGAAAAGTAGTATTCTTACTGTAGCAAACAAATCCTTGTATTCCCATGGAACTAGTTTAAAGCCCCGACGTAAAGAAGCCGCTCAAGAAACCTAAGATCCTAACTGTACGTTAGGCATCACTTGGTACGGATATGTCATGAGCTATCGAGAATATCATTTCGCAATCACATAAGCCAAAGCCGATTATCTGTTCCACGATTCAAACTACCAAGAAGAAGAAAAAGGAAACAACTTACGCCCTTCTAACAAGACAAATATCTCTCTCTCCCGAGTTCAACACCAAAATCTATCTTTATCACGTGACCTCGTGATTCCTCATCTTAGCTTTTAAGCCAAGATGTTCTTGTCATACCAAAACTGAGGTTTTCGGGCTTCCAAAACCATCATTTTGATCAGAAAAATCTGCACTTTTTACCCTCTGCAATCACGAAATCTCAAACCTGGCCGGTCTCTTTCTCTCGCTCTTTTCCAAACTTTAAACTTGACCGAAGACATTAATATATGGAAAATTTGAATAATTTATATTTGAAGCTTCTTAAAAACATCGAAGTCTAACACTTTGAAAGCCATCGCTGTCCTGATATCTACACCATGACCAGAGGACTGACGCGTCACTTCTCGCGTACCAAGGCTCATCGCGATGCTATGTTCAGAAACTTGGTCACCCAGCTCTTCCAGCACGGATCCATAGTGTCAACGCATGAAAAATGTCAAGAAGCAGGACGTCTTGCAGAAAGAATCATCACGATGGCCAAGAGCCTGGAAAAGCATCCAAACTCTGCAAAAGAGATTCAATCGCGACTCTCGCTGGCCGGAGACTCTAGTAAGCTCCTAAATCGTGTTGTTGGCGACCTGGCACCACGCTACCAAAACAGACCCGGTGGATATACGCGTGTGATGAAATTGGAGCCTCGTCTTGGAGACCGTGCGAAACAGAGCATTTTGGAGCTCGTTGACGCCCCCGTCGTGGACCAAAATGGCGCGTTCCAAAGAGGAAACATCAAACTTTGGCTTCTTTGCAAAACTGCAATTGCTAACGAAACAGCAAACGTTCCTTACTCTCCCTTGACGTTGCAGAACTTTGCCAAAATGCTGAAATTTAGAACTGATGCTACAGAGTTCTTCTCTCGCGACGTGTTGGCCGTCAGACGTTTTATAAAACAAGAATCGGAGATACCATACGACGAGGCCGCAGAGCTCCAAGCCATAGCCCAACTGCAAAAACAGATAAATGAGCTCCCGGAACAAAAGCCTTCAACCTCCAAAGTCCTGGGATACACTATGGTCGCGGAAAGGCCGCAACGCTAACTTTGCGAGTTCCAAGAAAAAATCCAGGCCTTTCAAAAGCTTTCAAGCACACACCACGCATCTGTAAATAAGCCAAAAAGAACTACACCAAAGCATTCAAATTCGCTAACCATTTAGACTAGAACACTAACAACTTGATTTCTGATCAATGTCGCTGTAAGGCTGTATCGTCTTGTACTAAATGCTTACTCTTACCACCTATATTCATAGATATACCTATATCTATACAAGAACTGACCCAGAGGTCTTTAGAAATCTAAAGAACGCCATTCTTTCTGGCTTCTCATCGCTCGCACTTCCCTGCAACATTTCAAGCCCCTCATGAGTTTCCCGATCTTGGCCAACAAGGGCATTTCAGAGGCCGTTGGTAGCACACCATTGATAAAACTGAACAAACTATCCAGAGAGATTGGTCGGAACATTTACGGCAAAGCCGAGTTCCAAAACCCTGGAGGCTCTGTCAAGGACCGTGCCGCACTGTATTTGATAGAACAGGCTGAAAATAATGGCCAATTGGATCCAACTCGTCCTGCCACCATTGTGGAAGGATCTGCAGGCAACACAGCAATCGGATTGGCACATATAGCCAGATCCAAGGGCTACAAATCAATATTCTACATGCCAAATACTCAATCAGCATCGAAAATCAATCTTTTGAAATACTTGGGTGCAGAGGTTCATGCTGTGCCCGTTTGTCCCATCACAGACCCATTGAATTTCAATAACAGGGCCAGAGACCATGCCAAACGTCTTGATAACGCTATCTGGACCGATCAGTTTGATAATCCAGCTAACTGGAAATCGCATTACGAAACAACTGGGCCCGAGATCTTAAAACAGCTCGAAAGTGCTGGACTATCTTGCGACGCCTTCACATGTTCCACTGGTACCGGTGGCACTTTTACCGGTGTTGCTAAATATCTGAAGGAAGCCACCAATAATCGTAGCCAAGTGATTGTTGCTGATCCACCGGGTTCCGTTATCTACTCCTTCGTCAAGACGGGTGAAATGAACCGTGAGGGTTCTTCGTTTACAGAGGGTATTGGCCAAGGCCGCATAACCAAAAACCTGCAAGCATCGATTGATATTGTCGACGACGCCATATTCGTTCCTGACGAAGAAAGTATAGTCATGCTCTTCAGACTTTTGGACGAAGAAGGACTTTTCGTGGGCGGAACCAGTGCTTTGAACGTAGTGGCAGCCGCCATGGCAGCAAAGAAGTTACCAGAAGGTAGCAACGTTGTTACCATTTTGTGCGATAGCGGTCATAAGTACGCAGACAGAGTCTTTTCCAAGAAATGGCTAAAGGAAAAGAAGTTATACAATATCATTCCAGAGTCCTTGAAAAAGTATGCTACTCTTGAATGAACGACTTTCGTCAATCACTTCATAGACCAAAATGACCAGTAATGTCAAATATTCCTTTATGCAATTATTCAAAAATCAAAAGTACATCCGATTCAACTCCGAGATTGCTCGGCACACAATGTGCCAATCAACTGTCCGGCGCATTCCCTGCGCCTCCTGCCATTTGCAGAGTTCATAAACAAACATCAAGTTTGGCTGAATTATGATGTTTAGCCGTCGCACACGGACGTAAAGGTATGCTCTCAAGAGATCGCAGTTAAGTCTTCGCATACATTCCGCGATGCAAACTGTGGCAGAGCGAGATACTCCAACCATGCAGTGCACAAGCACTTTCTCGTCATTTTTGTAGCATTCGTCAATGAATGCTAGCGCTTCGTCTAATTGTGTTAAAAGCCTGTCTTCGCCGTTGTCGTCCAGATCAGCAATATGCAAGATTCTGAACCCATTGACCTCGAAAATACTGGAGTCGCGACCATTAATACTGGTCAGTCTCGTCTCTACTCGCGTTATTTGAGACGACGACATGCTCATGTTCAGGTGTGGCCGATTTATTCCGTGTCTAATGTCTGTGTCGCCCACAGTCAAACTTCTCTTTCGTGAGACTGCAGAAAGCAGCCAGGGCATCGTCTCTCCCACAGAAACGATGTTCTTGATTCCCAGCTCACGAAGCATGTTTGAGCTCTGCGCATGTTCTAGCGATCCAAGATACAAGTGAGGGAGAATCTTAGACGGCAGAGGACCTTTGAGTTGAGCTAGATTGTAGTTGTCACGAATCTTAGTAAAAAACATTTTACTGAAAAGGCCGGGATCAACTTCCAAACATGGCGCGATAGCGCTTTTCCTTTTCGGACTTTCCTCTCTCAAGAGTATCTGTAAATGACTTAGAACCTGCAAGTCTATTGGGAAAAGAAAAAATGGCCTTTGTACGTCCTTATGCAGCTTGAAAAGAACTTCGTCCAGTGGTAAGTCCCATATGAATATCGAATATGCAACTAGCAGAAAAGAAACCTCAGTGTAGCCATCCGAGCAGTAAATTAAGCTGCCAAAAGTCGTGAGCTTCCCAACACAGTATATCAGATAGCAGGTGTTAAGGATGATCTTTATGGATTCTAAATTCAAGTTCCCCAGTCCTAGTGAACCTGAATTTGGAAATGATATGAGAGTGTGGTGGATAGCGCGCTCGGTCTGAACGTAGTTCAAAAGTTTAGTAATTTTAGAAAGTTCGGGAAGAATGTTTGATTCTGTGCAGCAAACAAATAGCTTCCATTCTTTAGAGGGACGCGGGAGATTGAAAAGTTGAGAGTCGATAGGTTCCTGAGTCGAGCTTTCTGCTGTTATGTTCAGCAGAGTTACGACTGTGTTAAGACGCTGTTCCCCGATACTGGCTTGGTTGTTATTCTGCCATATTTCGTGACCCGGTAGTTGACTGTTTAGCCTAAAAATCTCATAGTCAGTGCTATTGCCACACCAGGTGGAAAGATCGCTGCTCACACAAGAGGCGCTGGACATTTTGGAAATTTCAAGTCGCTCGCGATAAAATAAATCTCGATCCCAATTATTGAATGAAGCGATATCGAATTTCGATGCTAATTGTGATTCTTTCTCTTTTTGCAAGGCGTCTATCCTCATTGGTCGCGTTCCCCACCAGCTCGAATCGATTTTTTCAGTGCACAATATGCTGACCTGGAATTCACCAGTTGAATCAACGGCTTTACGCGCCACGTATACAAGAATGGCAAGCTCCGCACAATGGCATGATTGCCAGTGTCGTGTTTCGTTCAAGCAGTAAACCACACAAGTTTGGGCCATTTCGATAAATTTGGCCACTTGTAAGTCAAATCTGCGAAACAATCCGGGCTGTTTCCAACCACTTGATGGACGAGATGCAGATCCGACTGTTGAGTTGCAGACTTTGTTTTTTGAGGCATTGACACCATACGAATTTTGGGCGTTCGCGTCCGAAACCATAAACGGTAAAAGCTTGTAGTTTTTGCATGCATGTATCAGTAGTTTAAGCTCATCGTCTGATAGTGTTATGTTTTTGGCAACGTCTTGGATAATGGATTCCAGACAGTGTTTGTGATGATCCCATGGCATTAAGAATTCGTGCGGATCTAGAGACGATTTCAAAATTCCCGAGTTCTCTATCATACCGTGAGAAAGAGGCTGTGAACGAATGACTGCCATCCAATGTTTAACGCGGGGAGGTACTCGCGATCCTGAATAGCCGTGCAACCAGGGAAAAACCTCGTCACAATGTGGCAGCTGCTGTTCCTCATGCTCATTGAGAAGACGGGACATTTGTTTGTGTGAGACAAGGCCGATATGATCCGAGATGCGGATTCCATCATGTAACTTAGCATTAAAATGCGCTCCCACAGCTTGATCGCCGGTCGTTTTGTGCTTTTTTTTGGGATGGGTTTCTAGCCCGTGTGTTTCTAGAGGAAGAGACGTACTCATCTCAGCAACCAGCAATGTTTAGGTAGCCTTGGTCGTTCGATTAGAGTCTCAAGCATCAGTAACTGGACTTTACATATTTCGATGAGCATCTCATCTCCGGTATAAGGGTTTGTTCGTTCACGATGACGAAGAAATGCAATAGTTAAAGTTTCGCTCTGTGACTGAAGTTCTTAGATCTTATTCTGGGATAGGCGAATTTTTAGCTAGAATTAGGGATTTAGGATATGCTGGGGTGAGTGAAATTACAGGTTTTCTCCCAGACTTTTTTCCAGAATTTTTCCCCGCTTTTTCGTTTTCTGAAACATGGAAAGGCGTTGGTAACAGCGATGAGGGATTTGAAGGCGATTTTAAAGCAGATGTTATGAGGATAACCATTCAATTATGGTGGCCAAATTACCGGTGGCTCACTGCATTTTTATTCACCGATTTTTAAAGTCTTTTCGAGAAATCGATATTGCCAATTATATCGTGACGCTGACATTGGTTTATATAGCTATATATCTATATACTTATATATAATATAGCTTGAATGAAGACGAGAATCATACAGACATCTGGATTTTGGCGCCAGGAACTGGATATTATTGGTATCGTCTCTTGGATTCAATTTGGCGGGTTTAAGCTTGAAATATCTCTAGGAATTCTGAGTTAATACCTTGAAATTAGTGTTCTCTCCCATTATTTTTGGCACAGTGAGATGAAGCTTTAGCGGCAGGATGAGGATCATACAGATTTGATCTGTTGCCAAACCTCTGAATTAACATTGTAATTTGTATTTTTATGGTTAATTGACCAGATGGATATGCCAACGTTGTTGCGATTTCTATAGATTATCGTAATTGTCGAGTGTGACGCTGACGTTTTCGTAACGTAAATTCAACACCACGTCGATCTCAAACACTGTAAGTTTAGCATGACCCACAGCACCTGAGAACTTCCGTTTTGGTAGCTTTGATAGGGTTGAGTCCCATAGTTTTTTATTCATTTTCATCAACTCATCCATTTCTCGGTGTTTGTGAAGATAACACGGTTCCTGACCAAACCAATCATTGAGTTTTGAATTTCCTGTCTTTTAGTTTTTCAGAAACAATTTTAGACCACAAATCACACTGGCTACCAGTTATTCAACGACCTATTGTATCATGGCTTCTCTATTTTTGGTCAGCTTGACCAAGTTGATCACTTTCTTGCCAAAAACTTGGCAAAAAAAACTTGGATACTTTCCAGAATTTGAACTTGATAGTTTAACTTCTCTTGGTCTCTCAAAACTCATCGCTGTCTTGGTAAATCCATTGTTTTCCCAGATCTCTGAGCTATGCCATCTATATACATATTTATTATATATTATCAAGACATTCATTCAATACTCGACTAACCAAACTAGAAAACTACTTCGATAAAGCATCATTCTCGAGTGCATTTCATCAACAACTAGCTCAATTGGATCGCAATGGATTCCAAATACGATCAAGAGACCTTCAAGAAGGCTGCTCCCAAGTTGCCGCTTTCCAAAGTCAAGAAAATTGCTAAAACTGACCCCATGCACATCATCACTTCACAATCTGCTGTTGCTGCTGTTGCATTTGCTACAGAGCTGTTTGTTCAGGTTCTGACTGAGGAGGGGCTTGCGCTGTCTCAGCTCGAGAAACCTAACGGGTCAAGACTGACTTTACGGTATGACAACCTTGCTGCCGTGGTAGCAGACTCTGATCGATTTGCATTTCTGTCGGATGTGATCCCAGAGACACACAATCTCGTGGCTTTGACACGAGGAAACCGGGTGCGCTACACTGCATTGGCTCCAGATCAAAGTGTTCTCCCATTCAGAGCTCAAGATACAGCTCCAGCTGCTGAGAACGATGGTGATGCTCCAGAGGAAGATGCAGACGATGGCGTTGAACCAGAGCAGGAAGAAGCTGAACTAGACGGTGGATTTGCCGAAGATTTCGATCTTACGCAAGACGGAGACCAGAAACATCAAGATGAGTCTGATAATGACAATCCGCAATTGCCGGGAGAAGAATTGGAACCCGAGCCCGATACTGAAGAACCGGAAGAGCTCGACGAACCGGAAAATGCGGGAAATGAAGCAGACAAAGATGATGCGTTAATGGATTCGGATCAAGAAGATTAAGGTTGAGTGCTCTGGCAAAACTTGTCCAGATTAACACACAGAAAAGATACTTCACAATCACCGCAGATACAGTCAACGAAAAGACTGGGCGACGACTAGTGCCTCTAAAAACAAGAAGGCGGATACCGTGAAAGTTTCAAGCAGATACCCAGATCTCCAGCGTTAGCACTCAGACTCGATTGGCATATGACTTGAAAAGTCTCCTCTTACGAATCCTTTCCTGAGTTAAGAGCCAAGTTCATCATATCCTCACATATATATATGTCCTTGATTCCGATTCTGATCAGAAAGAACTGAACTCTCAATCAAACACTTGGACATATTCAATCAACTATGGGACTATTCACTAATACCAACGACAAGGACACTCAAGAATTCAATGAAGAACTGGTTCAAACTTCCTTGAACGAACGCGTTCATGGAGGGATTCAATCTGTAGGGGATTCAATCTTTTCAGTTTGGAAAGACGCTATGAATCATGTGGAAAACCCGATTTCCAATATTTGGGGCAGTGCTAGTGGCGGGGTTTCTGATCTTTTGGACGTTCTTGGTTTGCCAGGCGGATTTGGCCATCCAGCACGCATCCTAAGACTGTTTGAAGACGATTTTACGCAAGAAGGCACAACTGGGCTCTACGGATACAAAACTCCCTCAGACAAACAATACACGAATTGCAAGCAGCTAGAAGGGCTGTCCGTATGGGACTCCCGCGGCTGGTGGCGTTGCTTGTTTCCGGAAAAAGTCGTGGGCAGCAACCTGAACCCGGACCAGATGCGGGGCGTTTTGACCCGTGAAAAAGTGGAGCAAGACAAGAAACACAGTTTAGGGCTCTTTTTCACGGAATACTCCTCATACTTGTCCTGGCGTGCAGATGTATTGCGTCTTGCTGAAAATAAACGTCAGTCTTCGCTCGCCAAGACGGAACGCCGTGAAGCGCTTGAAAATATCTCTACTACTCCTGAAGATCTAATGGATCGTGCCACGGGCAGAAATGTAGTGGGAACCTCAGAGTATGTAACCTACAACAATACACCTGAAGGTTTGGAAAAGGTCAAAGAGGTAAAAACGTTTTTTGACGATGGCACCGTCAGACTTCGTTCTGAAAAACAGCGCACCGATGCTGAGGGTCGTTCGCACGTTGACTCGTTTGAGAAACTACTTTCGAACGACGATCACGCCAAGGACGGCTGGTTTTGGCGTAAGTAAGTAAACTGAAAAGGTAAAAGGGGAAAAGAAATAACTCGAAGTGGGAATTCTCAAAGCAGTGTAATTAGAGGACCCATCTTTCTTCAGGGCAGTTTTTTTGTGGGTGGATTGATTCAACGCCGTTTAATCACAACGCCTTCAAGAGTTGAATTGGTATGTATCTGTACATAGTAAGGTTTTTGTGCTAATGCACTCAACATGTAAGGTGTCTTTTTCCATCATAAAATGAAGTTCAGAGATTAATCGCCGTAGCGACGCTCTCACTAGCGCCAGTGGCCATGATCATGGGTCAAGACTGTAAGGTGTGGGTATTCAAATTCTGGTCAAAGTTCCCAATCCTAACGAATTCCAGCCCTTCGTCTGAAGTGCTATCAACACTTTCATTTCTGTCAACATATATCATAGAAACTCTTCCCATCAGCACAACGAACCTAACATCCTCTTCAATCGCCCAAAAGCGTCCCAAAATGTCGAAGAAACAAGAATATATCGCTAAAATTCGATACAGAAACGATTTACCTCCCCCACTACTTCCCCCCAAGCTTTTGAAGTACGAATTTTCTGCGGATGAGGCCGCAGATTCTGCTAAACTGGTGACATCGCTGTACGCCAAGTCTAACGTTACACCATTGGTGAAGATAGATGAGGACCTGGGCATGCCAATGGATCTTATGGAGCTTCCTGGACTTTTGAATCACCAAGATCCTCGGCTTTTGCTGGGGTTCGAAAACATTAAACTGCATCCGGAAGATCGAGCATTGTTAAGAGATCCTCGAGTTGACAAGTTGACAAAAACAGACATGTCTAAGGTGACATTTTTGAGAAGAACCGAGTACGTTTCCTCCTCGCAAGCTGCAAAACCAAGTACTAAAAAGAGAGCTGCTTCAGAAGCTTTAGATGTTGACGAGGAAGTTCTGACACCTGCTCAACGAGTAAAACGCGTGGAAAACACTTTTGATTTCATTACCGATGACGTCTCTAAGATTCGTCATCCAACCAAAAAAAACGTTCATGCCGTGAAAACCTGGAACTTACTTCCAGACACGGCAGCCATGGACCAGACGTTTTTTACCATTCGATTTGTGGGCTCTGCCGCTTTGCAAGAGCAGGAAAAGGACAGATTGGCACTTTCCACTGCCCTGTTCCGCCCGGTAGAGCTTGAAGAAGATGAGTGGGTCTCGCTTTACACTACTGACAAGGAAGGCTCTGCTATCTACGAGAAAAATCGCGAACAACAGATTGACGAGATTGTGGACGACGACAGAGCGTACCAATTCACACATCTACGCGATTTTGACATGAAGCACCAACAACCCACGGGTTCTGGACCCTTCAACGAATTAGCCCTGCGTTTCAACGACGATAAAAAAACCATCTACTACACTCCTATACGGTCGCGGATCGAGCTCCGCAGAAGACGTGTTAATGAGGTGATCAAGCCACTGGTGCGTGAAAACAATCTAGATCAGATAAACATCAAGATCAGGAACCCAACACCGCAGGAAACCCGCCATAGAGACTTGATCCGCATGAAATTTGATCCGATAGATTTTCCCAATATAGACGAAGATGAACAGCCAGACCAGGACCAAAACGAGGATACTGGTGAAACCAATACAGAAGAGAAATCATCTTCACAAGATCACACATCCGTGCAGGAAGATGCTCAATCCCGTGAACAATCTTTGACCGCGGACGCAACCACGGCCGAGTAAGTTCACTGAGCCGATTGACGAGACAGCAGTGTAGCCCAGTTTCTGTGAATTGATGGCACCATTGGCGTTCAAGCTTCAGTTCAGTGGAAACGCGTGTTGTTTGGCCAACGTGGATTGCGAGTACACATGTGAGCATGAATACAGCATCCTATTTTTCATGGAGGATTAGCTTTAAGGCTAATTCGCAATTTGAATGGATAAGCATACCTTTAAACTAAACCGACTTGAGCTGTGAAATCAAAAAGGCTCTGATTGAACTAGACACATCCTTTCTAGCAAAGCAAGTTATCATTACAATGGGTTTTCAAATTGAATCACAGATCGCCAGCTGTGGCGGAAAGCTTCTGAAGCTCAAGCATGAATCTACAACAACCGGCACTTCCATGAACGTTAACGTCTATTTGCCTCAACAATACTACAACCAGCCTCAACAATACTACAACCAGAAAGCTGATAAGATTCCAGCGGTCTACTATCTATCGGGACTATCCTGCACTCCTCAAAACGCTTCAGAAAAAGCATTTTGGCAACCGCAGGCCGATAAATATGGGTTTGCAGTTGTGTTTCCAGACACTTCACCTCGTGGAGAAGATGTTCCTGACGATCCAGAAAACGGTTGGGACTTTGGTCTGTCCGCCGGATTCTATGTTGACGCCACTCAGGGCCCATACGACAAAAACTACAGGATGTACAGCTATGTTCACGATGAGCTCCCAAACAAGTTGGAGGAATTTTTCAAAAGCACCGGTTCTGAAAATGGCTCCACAGTAGACTTCCTAAACAACGTTGCAATCACTGGACATTCCATGGGTGGATTCGGAGCAATCTCAGGATACTTGAGACAATATGCAAGTCCGAGGAAATATAGATCATGCTCTGCTTTTGCACCCATTGTCAATCCATCTCAAGTTCCATGGGGTATTAAAGCTTTTGGTAGTTACCTGGGCCATGAAAGAGCTCAATGGGAAAAGTATGATCCTTCCGACTTGGTCAAACTTGTAACGAATAATGGAAACGACAAGATCTTGATTCATCAGGGAACGAATGATCCTTTTTACAAAGACCAACTGAAACCTCAATTATTACTTGAGGCCGCCAAGGGTACTTCGTGGGAAGATAAGTTTGATCTGAATCTCGTCGATGGTTTCGACCATTCTTATTACTTTGTGAGCAGCTTTGTTCCTCAACATGCCGAATTCCACGCCAAAAACTTAGGTCTTATTTAATACTTAGAACGACACTTGTTTTTAATAGTATGAAATCAAACGAATGCTTTTTCAATCTAGGATTAATGCAGCTGTCTGCCACCCCGCGGCCGTGACCGCCAAACATGTATAGTCGGTATTTCCCAGCTTCACCAAAGTCGGCTTAATTACTCTGGTGCTTCGCAGGTTTCCGATCCTTCCAACTTGTCGGCCGTTCACAATTTCTTCTCTATCGCCAAGTCCTAGGCATCCGCAAAGCTCGCTTTCCAGGCCCCATGTGTAAATTTTCCCACTTGACGTAAGTGCCACCGTGTGATAATCACCTGTGGATAGCGATAGGATCATATCTTCTGGGTCTTCCAACTCCAATTTGACTAAAGTTTGGGTGACAACCTGGCCTTCCACAACGTTCACGGTATAGCAGCTGCGGTCCGTAAAAATTGCCAACATGGTGTAGCAACCAACAATCTTAACAATGCGACCTTCGATGGGCAAAAGCACTTTATGCACAGCGTCATTTGCATATAAATAAAGCTCATCTCCCTTGGCATTGATGAAGAAAACGCACAAATTTGCGCAGCAAGCGAAATCTACGATTTTATTATCACCGCTCATTATGTTGGTGTTGGGAATGACTGTGTAATTAGCTGGTGCAGATATCTCATTCTCCTGTATGGCATGACGACCGCGCCAAAACACCAACCCTACATCAAAAATGGAAACGCAATTGTAATCCCATCCACAGCCTATCTTGATGACAGGGTTTGTCTCTTTGGTGGGCAACCCATTGAAAACAATCTTGATACCCTGCTCTACATCGGGACCATCCCAGGAGTACAAATCGCCCTGATCGCTCAAGGCCAAGATGTGTGATCTTCCAGAAGAGACGGCTTCAAATTTTATTTCATCCAGATTCTCTTCATCCACGTTGAAGCTACCAGAACCGCTCAAATCCACTTTTATGATGTCGCGAGTGAATAGCCGTCTAATGTTTCTGTTACCTGCAAGTTTTTGATCCAAAACACGTTCAGCTTCCTCGAAGCTTGCGTAGAGGTTTTCATGCGGTCTCTCCAAAGGTATTGTGCTTGTTGTATTTATAGGTACGACGCCGCCTCTTCTTGGTGTTCTACCATTGAAGAGTGTGAGACTACGCTCTGTATGCATGATCAAGTGCTGAAATGGATTATAATCACTTTGTCCTTCAATAGGGCCGGGACCACGGTGACCTCCGGAATAAGTTGACCCCGTCATGTAAAGCTTGCCTGACTTGGTCAGAATTTGAAAGGAAAAACCACCAGCAGAGACAGACGCAATGCTACTGTCTTCTGAGGATGACGACGCCGAATCCTTAGTATTGGAGTCCCATGGTACCTGAACAGGTTTGTTTATTCCAAATTGAAGCCGCATTCCCGCGTTATTGATGACGCTCGCAGGCAACGAAGGATACGTCGAGGTCGTATATCCCAGTCGGGCGTGTTTCAATGAACCCCATGTGTACAATTTGGTCTTGTAAGATCTTATTTGGTACAATTTGTCCCAGGAGTCCTCAGGAAATCGATTTCTCAATATCAGCTCACAGCAGCTCATATAATAAGAATTTTTGTTTGACTCTAAGGGCTCTGTGTCGGAATGGAGCGACCCAAACGACTTACGAAATAGTTCATGCCATAGCGTGCCGGAAGAATTGAAGTCAAGCAACTTATGAAAGTACTTGTTTGTCAAAGACAGGTTTCGTATGTCCTTCGAAGAAAGATAAGGAAGCGCTGCCTCCACTATATCCGGTGGCAGAGATTGTTCAATAGGATGGTAGCTCATTGAGATCTTTCTGTAGAGTGCCATCAAGTAGGGGAGCCTTAGTCCCTTCTGATATTTCATTTGATTCAAGAATCATTTTTGGTTAATGTGTCGCACCCGAGGTGGATGATGTAAATGCGGGTTCCCCGCTACTTTTAGCGGTATGAAAGCACGCTCACTTTCGATCAAACTTCTGGTATCTTCGAAGCATTTTGTACTTGTCAGCCATATTGATGACTTCCAGGGAGGCGCGGTATGTCGAGCAGCAACCTTTTAAAGTTTGGAGAAAGCGCTTTCCAAAATTTGGCGAATCTTGTACCAGTTCTCGATGCGTAGCTGCTCATTGTTCAAATGTGCGTTGTCTGTACTTTGACCACATGGAATCTGAACTGCAGGTGCTTTCAAAGCTCGTTCTAGGAAACGCACTTGTGGAATAGACCCGCCCTCTCGGATAAAAAGCGGATCTACACCCCAAGCATCCAGGATCTCGTTTTTTAGAAGCTGATACGCAGCATTACTTGGTTTTCCAAGCCATGGTTCTGCCGCATTCAGCAGTTTAAACTCTAGGTAGTTGGAAGTATCAAACTTGCTGAAACAACTCGCGACGAATTGTTGTAGTGAATCTTGCATTGCGTGCACATCTTGTCCGGGAACAATTCTAATGGACAAAGTCGCAGATGCGCTATGCGGTATAACAGTGGCGTTTCCTGGACCACTCACTTTCATGTTGGTGATGGAAAGGGAAGGGCGAGCCCACTTAGCTATCAACTTATCCACTGACATCGACTTTACGAGATCTGCTCGCTTGCGAACCTCCTCAAAGCGCTCTTTCTCATCATCACCCAGGGCGATCAAAGAGTCATAGAAATGTGGAATGAGCACGCGCCCGTCGTCATCCTGCAGTTTGGAGAGTAGTCGAGACAAATCAGTTGTGGGTTCTCGATGTGTACCGCCGTCAAGCCCAGAGTGTCTGTCGGGGTTTTCACTCCATACTCTAAGCTGAGCGTTTATGACACCGCGCAGGCCATAATTGAGACAAGGTGTCTTCTCGTCAATCCAATAAGAATTACTGAATAGTACCCAATCCACGTCGTCACCAAATAGGTCGTGATGCTTTTTGATTGCTTCTGCAAATCCCTGAGAATTCGATTCCTCTTGGCCTTCTACAAGAAAGACAATGTCCTTTTCTAGAGTCCCTCTTGAGAGAGCAGATCCAGCGCTGTACATGGCGGCCACCAAAGGACCTTTATTGTCAGTGACACCTCTTCCCTTGAGATATCCATTTTCACAGGTCAGAATATAGGGATCTGTGTTCCACTTGGTGGGGTCACCTGGAGATACAATGTCGTAGTGACCATACCAAGCTATTTTCGATTTAGAATTGGATGCTCCTTTGAAGGTCGCATGCAGAAGCGGATTGTCGTTGCTACCTATCGATAGCAGGTTACAAGTGGCACCCAATTTTGTGAACACCTGCTGCAAGTAAGAAGCGCAGCGGCGTGAATCAATTGCATGTTGATTTTCATTCGATGCAGAGACGGTTTTGAAGCTAACCAGATCACGCAGGGTCTCTAGCATGCTATCGTTGTCATATACTGAATGACAATTAGTCAATTGCTTGAGACCACTGTAACAATTTGGTGAAATGTTGACATTGACTCCATAGTTTGCATGATCTCTCATTAGCCCATTCAGATTCCACAACGTTAAGCTACCATTTTTAGCTCCGGTTGCAAGTCTCAAATGACGAAGTCCGGTACTGGGCTTATTGAGAATTTCGGTACTTAGAACAAGTCCGTCTTCTACATTTTTTTCGTAGATCTCGTTCTTGTGAAACTTCGTAATGCCCTTTTCATGCGCAGCAAAAATATGGTCCTCATAAACGCTGACAGAAACAACATCGCACTTGCTTGCGCACTGCAAAGTAGAAACGAGCTCGTTAACGTTCAGATCCCAAATCTTGACGGACCCCCCATTGAGGCCACAATATAAGAAGGGAAATTGAACTACTTGACAAAGCACGCTTTCATCGTTGTCCATTTCAGATATTAGAGTTACATCCACATTGCGCTTGTCGCGCTTGGAAAAAGCCCAGATTTTGCTCAATCCATCCCCACCGCCCGAAACGATAAAATCCGTGCTGCCCTCTTCCAAACCGTCAACATAAAACTTATGGGGCAGTTGAACATCAGTGATATCAATGGGTTCAATTGAATAAATGAAGCTGTTATGAGCATAGGCAATGCTGTTGCTAAGAGGAATTTCCATAATGGCGTGGTCTGGTCGTGGGAGATTAACGGGAGAAGGTGAGGGTGTTCGGGCGATAGCTCCGGGACCCGTCGAGTCGAAAAACTTGTCATATCGACGATGGGGCAAACGGTTCACGTCATTCGACTGAGGTTTTCCATTAAGTCGGTCTATCACGTCCGTCATGTACAGCATGTTGGCGTTTTGACAGCCAAAAACAATCGTTTGATGAGCATCTAGATACTTCAACGAGAAAATGTCGCCGATATCCAGCAAAGAATACAAGGTGGCCATTTCACGTACTGTGAGGTCCCCGTTTGAGGTCAAACGGCCAATTGACCAGATCCTGATAAGAGAGTCTGCACCCGCCGAGAATAGATATTGCTCATCTTGCGACTTTGTCAAGCACAAAACACTGGACTTGCTATGCGTTTCGCCTTCGTCACCCAGTGGAATGGTCTTTACGAGATTGTAGGTAGCCAAGTCCAAACACAGGATCTTGGAGTCATGCGTACCTGCGAACAAAACTTGTTTGTTGGGAAAAGCCACCGTGGAAAGAATAGCGCTTGGGTGATTCCATTTGTGAATGGCAGGAAACAGCATATCCACAGATGTGTGTTGCAAAATGCTGTGCTAACAGTCTTTCAAACTTGGAAGTGCACAGCGGTAAGTATGCTACCCTGATCTTTTTTTGTATTGGCTTTAGATAGCATCCACAGTTGTCGATGTCTTTCTCTATCATTAGTCTCTTGGAACGACAGGATCCAAAAAAAAATCAGGCTGGCTAGAGATCTCTTGCGTTGCCGCCGATAGGCGTGTCAAAGAAAAGCGTTGTGAGGCGAGGTGCCTTTCTTGCGAGCCAGACCTTTCAAGAGGACTTGGATCGCCCAATGATTGGGTTATCTCAAGCCTGTGATGCGATCGGTGAGGAGATTCATATTTCAATACTTCAAATTTCGATCTCTGCTTTGTTTAGTAGCGGCTGTGAAAAAAGTCCCACTAGCTTTGGTTTGTTCTTGAGGGCACTGCGTTGGGTGTCGCAATGATGCGATTCAGTGAACCATGAGCAGACACCATCTCCGTGTATTGTGATTACGGCTGGCCATATTTCTTGAGTCGTTTCTTTGCATCTTCGAATGGTTCGCATATGTGTGCTTTCTTCTTTTTGTCTTGTGGAATGGCTTGTTTTGTGCTCAACTACATCAGAACGTGGCATTCTAATGTCTTTTTTTCAAAAAAACCAACAATTGTCACTTCGACGTAGCGCACTTGAGCATGATTGTAAGCTTTGATCATTGCTCGCCAGGTTCTGTCCCACTATTCCGTTTTTTCGTTTTCAAACGCGCGGTCTTTTGAACTCATCTTAAGCTTCAACTGAAAAGCCCTTAATCTCTCTGTTTTCCCGGTATGCCATTCGGTATGTCCCCATCCTTGACTTCGTTCATTGTGGTCTTTCAGAATCAGTAACACACATACACCACATGTTCTGCCTTCTCAAAACTTTATTTAAAGAGCCCAGGAGTAACGTTTTGTCAAAATACAAAGATCGACTTCGGCGGCTATTTCACACTCGGGCTCTGCAAGCGTCTTTCGACGTAATTTTTCAGGAACGAAAGCAGCAGAATGTGCATTTTGCACTCTTAGTTTCTTTAACATGCTCATTTCATTCCTGAAATAGAGCCATTTCAACCCTTTTGCTAGTCGCTATTTCGCACTGCACAACGCCACGGGTTACTGTGATTATTCCAGGCTGAATACAGCAAACCAAGGTATAGGTGGACTGGTCAAAGTTTTCTCCTCTCCTTTAGTAGCTCTCTATCAGCTCTACTTGCCCTCAAGCTAGTCTCAGCTATGACTGTTAACACCAGTCTAGAAAAGTGGTTGGTACCATCAAGATTGTCAAAGTTATTGATCAGTATTCCTTTAAATCTCGAATATCATCATGAGTACTTCTGAACAAAAGTACTCATGATGCATTTCAAGCTTTATTGAAATTGGAAAATTTTAAGCTTAAGGCATCTCATCGCATCTCATCGCGAAGAAAAACCAACTCCAAAAGTGGTGAAATGAGTGCCGTTGAACACCATTTACACGGTGTACCACCGCCAGATGAGGAAGAAGTGCTGCTGAGCAAAATAGTGTTTGGAGACACCGCTGGATTTCATGAAAGTCTGTCAGAGCTACGGCATTTGGATGAAGGTTTTTCAAATAATGACGGTGGTGATGCGCTGCTGGATGCAGACGAAGAAGATGAGGAGGATGAGAGTGCGGAAGCCGATATGGATCGCATGAACGACGACCAACTCTTTTTTGTGGACGATGGAACCGAAGGCGAGACCGCCCAGGACGATCAAATGTCAGTGGATGATGAAAATTCGGAAAGTGATACAGAAGAGGAAGTGGGAGAAAGTAGTGATGCGTGGTCCGACTCAGACGACGATCGTGTGGAAGTGGCTATCACAGCCACAAACAAGACCAAGAAACTGCGCACTTCTTACAGCGAAGGCCACATCAGAGGCCGTCATTACGTGCAGCGTCTGAGGTCGCAATTCGAAAAAATATATCCAAGGCCGAAATGGGTCGACTCTCTGAGTGACAAGGATTCAGACGCAGAAGGTTCGGGCTCCGATAATGAAGATGACGTCGAACAAGTCATCAACGGCGACGTGAGTGCGCTTTCCAAGATTTTACAAAGCACATACGTGTACCAGGATCCTTCGAACCGTTTGCTGCCGCCAAAAGTGCTTGATATTACACGACTCAAAGATGCGAACGCCGTCCATCCTTCTCGCTCAGCTGTGCAGTCGCTCTCTTTCCATCCACTGAAACCACTGTTATTGACAGGAGGGTACGATCGTACTCTCAGGGTATACCACATTGATGGCAAAAACAATCATCTGGTCACCAGTTTGTATCTAACAGGAACTCCTGTTCAGACATGCACATTTTACGTGACCCCTTCGCATCAAGAACAAAAAATACTTACCGGTGGCAGACGCCGTTATATGCATTCATGGGACATCTCTTCTAGCAGCGGTGGCCAACAAACTAAGATCGAAAAAATATCGAGACTATATGGGCACGAAGAGACACAAAGGTCTTTTGAAAATTTCAAAGTGGGCCATTTGTGCGGCAAAGCCGAGAAGCATGGTATTATTCTACTCCAAGGTAATAACGGATGGGTGAACGTGCTACATGCTACCACAGGTGTCTGGCTGACCGGTTGCAAAATAGAAGGCGTACTGGTGGACTTTTGTTTGGACTATAAGCCCCGAGTCAAGGATACCTTCCAAACAATTTTAATAATGGTCAACTCTTATGGTGAAATATGGGAATTCGACCTGACCAACGGCGGTGAAGTGCTTCGCAAATGGAAGGATGACGGCAGTGTGGGTGTCACCACGATTCAAGTGGGAGGGGGGAACAATTCAACCCAACTCTTACCTTTCAAAAAAGTAAGACAAAACAGATGGCTGGCCATTGGCAGTGCTAGTGGGTATGTGCATGTTTATGATAGAAGCACCACCAATGTCGAACCCATTGCCAAATTAGATCAATTGACGACATCGGTGTCGTCTTTGGCATTCTCCCCCGACGGCCAGATCCTATGCATTGCTTCTCGTGCCACCAAAGATGCCCTGAGATTAGTGCATCTACCCTCTGGCAAAGTATTTGCAAATTGGCCCACAAGCGGTACGCCTCTGGGGAAAGTCACAAGCGTTGCATTTTCACCTCGTGGCGAATTGTTTGCCGCCGGTAACGAACAAGGAAAGGTGAGACTATGGAAGTTGAATCACTACGGCTGATGGTATCCACCACTTTTTTTGCATAGTCTATAAAAATGCATTTTTCTAAAGAAACTCGCAAGAAATTTGTAGTTTAACAATTCGAAGAAATACCACCATCTGTCAACTCCCAATGGCTTTGAATCGTAGCTTATTGAGACTACTTTTTGGATTCCATGAAGCTTGAGTAGAGCTGGTCTAACCATCTTTCGTCGATCATGTCACACGAAAGGTCATCTTGTAATTAATATAAAATTTTAAAGATCAGTGGAAAAGCTAACTCATCGCACAACGAAAAGATCAACAAAAGACAATAATTTAGGCTCATTTACTGTCGATATGAGACCAACTCTGGCCAATCTGTTTCGCGAGTCTCCTGTGTCTCTTCTGACGAGACCCTGGAAGAAAAACCGGGATGGAACACTGTTTTATGGTGTTTCCAAGTCAGGAAACAGAAGAACGGCTTTGACCACGAAGCAAGGGAACAAGACGCTGTATAAAGGTACCCGTTCTTCTGGTATTGGTAAACATACAAGATACGGTGGCTACACGATCAATTGGGCCAAAGTGCGTACTTTCGTGACCCCAATGAATTTTAACTCGGAGCTAAAACCTTTGGTAAGCCATAATGTGCCTGAGCTAAAGCACAACTTTCAGGGATATCAAAAGGGTGCACTGGATGCACAGTTGTACTTCCAAAAGCTCCGGAAATATGTCAACGACGGTAAAGTTCAGAGCAAAGCTTCGGACATAAAATGCTATGTCGAAAGGGGATAAATTAGGTGTAGGTACATGTATATAGGAACGAAATTTGCATATAGCCACATTTTATGTGGTAAACAATTCATGAATAAGACGAAAAGTGCAGTTCAGTTGATCTAGTATTCTTTGGGGGTTAAAAGACGACTTCTCTTTGGTTCCTTTCCATGTTTTTCGTAAATCTTGGTATACTTGAGTACATGGTAACTACTAGTACATCAAATCTTTCTTTAATGTATAAGTCCAGAAGAAACAATTACAACACGAGCGCACGAGCGCGATGGACATCGTTAAATAACACTCTATTTTTTTTTATATACTCATTTTAGTCTTGCTGCGGCATAGCGCATTTTGCTCAAGCTCCAGTAACGCCCAAAACTTGCGTCAAAGCACTTTGGCTGCCACTCTGTTGAAATTCGGCGGTGATTAGCTCTAACAGTGAGAAACCACAGCTCACACCAACAATGATACTGGCTCCCTTACCTTTCAAGCCCAAGAGCTCGCCCACTACAACTAGTAGGGCGAGAATACCGGCACCAGTGGTGGAGGCGACTGGCACGATTTTGTCCAGCTCTTTAGTAACACCTTGTTCTCTGTGGCCGGTCAAAGTGATACCTTGATCCTTGAACTGGAGGCTGATGTCACGAGCAGAAGCTCCACTAATGGCTTGCCAGAGTCCGGCAAACCAAACACCTGTCACCATCATGAAAGCCGTGAAAACAAATGGTGTAAGTGGTTGTCTAGTGATGCACTCTAGGAAAGACTTGGGTGGAGTCAATAACGACAATGGGAATTGTGGGACATATAGCAGGTTGTTAGACGACGCGTAACCACCGATAATTTTGTACAAGAGGGAAGAAGGGTCATTGCGAGCAACAACTTGAACCAAAATGAAAGCCAAGATGTGAATGTAAAAGAGCAAAACGTATGAGAACAACACGGACAGTCCACCCACATATAGAAGACGGATTGGGTACACGTTGTTGACACCGCGGGCTCTGGTAGATCTGATTGGCAATTCAAAGCGGAAGTTGTTCAGCAGGCAGACGGCACCAGCCAAGGCGACGACCAGAAGAGCAGTGGTCAAATTAGGCAAGTAATCACGGTTAAAAGCTCCCACGATGCCACCCACAAGGGTCTTGTGAGAGGAGCGTAGAGACTGGAACAAGTTGATGACAGCACCCTGGGCTTCATGGTGGCCCTCACTATCGACTGGTAGCTGGTTAACGCCTAGCACATCTGCGACGAAGTTCGTGGCAATGTTTACTGTGGTGATGGCCATTGCACCAGAAGCAAAGCCGTAGCCTTTGTCGATGACTTCAACCAACAGGGTTACGAATAGTCCGGCTGCAACCAATTGCAAGTTGAGCAGACCAATTTGGATAACAGACAGTCCAGTACCATAGTATCCTGAAAAAATGAACACATTGGCTAGCACAACGTACTGCAAGATCGCAAACAATTTCGTGCAGGTCTGAAAAAGCTCACGATCCTGGCGCACCTTAAAGTTCACACGCACCAGCTTAAGACCCGCTAGCACCTGCATGATCAGCGCAGAAGAAACCACTGGGAAAATTCCAAATTCTAGTAGCGTTTTAGGCTCAGCTGCAAAAACACCACGCACGAAGTAAATAGGGTCCAGCACGGCGCCAGCACTTCCCTGCTCTTCTAGACCACCGTTTTTGGCCAGCCCGGCCAGGGGAAACTGCCCAAAAACATAGATCAGCGCTGCAATGATCGTGTACACGACTTTATCGTCAAATCCAATTTTTTCATACGGTAGTTCCACCTCGGGAAGTAGCGGCGCAAAGGGCTTTGCCAGCTCGATCAGACGAACTTTAACACACCAAAACGTTAGTACAATAGTTTAAGTATTCATCACACATAAAATAAAGAACATACAGCCTGCCATTTGTCCAATTGAGTTGGTTTCTGTAGGTTGGTTCTTTGTCAGATGTTGAAAGATTCCAATTGATTGTAGTTATGATAATTTGGAAGTTTTTTTGACTGGAGGAGGTGATTATGTACGGCGATTGGACGAAGATAGATTATGTCTCTGTAGAAGACAATCAAGATCGTGAGGCGTATTTGGGGTAGACAGACTAGAGACTGTGATGAAGCAGAGGGAAATTGATGAGGAGCGCTTGCTTATTATTGGAGCTCCTAGTAGTGTAACACGGAAAAGAGAAAATTGTTATGTATTCATATCACTATGTACGCATATGTCGTTTTTCACCGTGAAGAGACAAATTTCGCACTAAACTTTGAATATAGCCATGCTGGTGTTGTCATTGTGTATGTATTTTGGTGGTTATTTCTAGCTGAAGATACAAGTACCACAGACGCTTAGCGAGCTTGAAGGAATTGAGTAAGACTTACGGTGTCATAATGATCACGTGGTAGTAATGATGTTTCTTGATAGCTCATAGCAGCGTGAAAACACGAATCTGAGCTTTCTGACTAGTTTCTTTCTCTAGCATTTGCATTCAAACAAGCAACATATGTCTTGACTCACACGGGGATCGACTCAGATTCCGTTTGTTCAATTTTCGGAAAAAATGTCTCTCATGGAACGAACAATAGTTGATAATTACCAACTAAATACTCTTGGCTACCTCAATCTTCTCTAGTGACTAAACTACCATAGCGGAAGCTCTCGGGTGCTTCATTGAATGCCACGGGTCTTTGCCGATATTTTCACGGTGTTGGATGTCGTGCATAGTTACTTCATTCGACAAGTAAATTAGAGATTTGGAAGTTTAACAGGTAAATAGATCTACTCGAATGGCAAGTAAGTCGTAAAGCTTTAGCTTCAAAGCCCTGCGTTCGTCTTCTGTCCTATTAGCGTGTCTCTTTGCTGTACTAATTGGGTCTGGAATTCCAAAATGAGTAAAATACTGAAACTTACTTCAGTCGCATGCTTGACCTCGGTATTGGCCGGTGCTTCTTACATGTATGTCATTAACAGAAATGGCTACCATTATCAAAATGCGACTTGGAAACGGGTCTCAGACCATGTACAGGGCATTTTAGACCGCAAAGACGATCTCGTGGTGCACCAAAGAGGCCAAAAAGCTCAAGACGTGGTGATCAGACCTATGGGCGAGACTTTGAAAGACCTATGGAATGCACAAATCAGAAGCAGTGTCGACTGGATATACTCGTGGGGTAAATGAAAAAGATGGAGATTTGATCGAGGGAACGAAATTCGCATAAAAATGAATGGACGGAACAAATTATATGGTCTCAATGGTTGCAATCCAACATCGTTGAAAATACTTCATGCAATGCAACCCACCTTTTCTAATATTCAATTGAAACTCAAGTCACACCATATGTATATATAGACGCAAAGAAATAATGACGAGAGACCCCAAACAGCACGGACAAGTTTTGCAGGATTTTGATGTTAGATACGCTGCTCTGGAAACCGGATCCATCCTTTAAAAATAAAGACGAGATGCCACCACACTGTTCTCTTCTCTTTAGGACGCTCTGCTACACAATTTCGTCAGCCCTACGTTTCTTTCTGAATTGCGCGGAACGGCTAGAGACTATAAAATCAGTAAAGGGCGATACCATTTTTGGTTCAAATTGAGAAATCGAAAAACGGTCGAAGCACTAAAAGCTGCACATTAGGCTCAAAATGTATCGTCGACGATAGATACAATCCAATTCAGCTTGATGGAGAGCTCGACATCTTTTTATGAAAACTGGACTAATCATCATCAATTACATTATTTGACGTCAAACGTCTGAGTTACTCGAACCCCGGGAACTCAAAAAAAAGTGACAAATGGGCCGAAACCCTCTTTGTTTCACATCATCATAGTTTCCATGAGGTCAAAAACGATCGCTACATATACTTTCGAGGAATGCGGCGATTGTACCAAATTTCAACCTATTTTGTTCCGGTTGAGGGACCAAAGCTCGAAAACATGGGCTGTACCCTGGATATGGAAGCCCAGGTTTTCGATAAACAAAGAACGAGTTGGTGGTGGGTGGCCCAATTGCCCACGTATTTCTACATGGAGAATGTAGCTGGTTTCTTGCCGGTGTTGAAAAGAATCGGGAACAACAGTCACTGATGTCACTGATGTTATTTCCAACTCTTCTGCCTCCAAAGCCAAGATATAAACATTTACACAACCGCGCAACCAAGCCAAAAAAAACACCACACTGCAGTGCAGATCGACAGTGTCAAAACTGGCCCATTTCAAGTTTTTATAAACCAATTCTGACAGTGATGCATTGCACCAATTGAAGCGTCAGAAACATCCCAAAATTTACAAGAGTGGCAACAAAGATCTACGCGGGTTAACAGTGGTGACCCAAGAGCGCTTTGAGATCGAGCTTCTAGTAACTCGGTTGTTGAAATAATGAACTTATATATATATATATATATATATTCTAGATGATGTGAATCTGAAAAATTTCGAGTACTTTATTCCGAAGTCATCGCATCTCACCTCATCGCATTTGCCAAGTCAGCTTTAAGTCAGAATATGGATAGACCAGACGCTCAAATAAACTACGACGATGCAGTGGAGTACTGGACGTCGATTCCAGCTACGGTAGATGGAGTTTTGGGTGGATATGGCGAGACTACGGTAGTCCCAGCAATGGACGTTGTGGGTTCTAACCACTTTTTGAGAAAGCTCAAATCTCGAATGATCGTGGAACCTGGATATAAGAAGATAGGTTGCGACATTGGTGCCGGGATTGGCCGTGTTACACGGGATATGCTACAGAAACATTGCGAAATTGTGGATCTTGTAGAACCAGTAAAGCCATTTGTGGATCAGATGCGTGTGGAATTGGAGCCGCTTGCGAAAGAGGGACGTTTGGGCCACATATTTGACATTGGAATGCAGGAGTGGGTTCCGGAAGAATCAAGGTACTGGCTCATTTGGTGTCAGTGGTGTGTGGGCCATCTGCCGGACGATGAGCTCATAAAGTTTTTCCAGCGTTGCAAGAAGAGTTTACAGCCCAATGGGACGATAGTTGTGAAAGAGAACAACACAAATGTGGGAGAGGACGATTTTGATTCCACAGACTCATCAGTAACTCGCTCGGATGAGAAGTTCAAGCAGCTGTTCGAAAAGGCCGGATTGAAGCTGATAGCCACTGATCGGCAAAAGGGTCTACCGAGAGAACTATATCCAGTTCGCATGTATGCGTTGAAGCCGCAGATGAGCTGAGGACTTACCCCCGCCTGCGCGCAATTGAAGATAAATCGAGAAGTACGTATTTACCATTCTACTAGAGAAGTTACGAAAACCAAATTAAGAGTCTCAAATCAGATAGGAGCGAAAGACTAAAATCAATGGTAATTTTTTTCTTCAATCAATAAGTCAGTTGAACTATGCATTAAACCGGTAAACTATCATCATCTAGAGAAATCTCAATTTTCGTTGTTTCTTGGCCTTCAAGAATAAGATTTTTTTACGCGATCGCGCAAACCGTAAAACACACCCTCATAGACTTTATGAGCAGTGTCTCTACCGTCTTACGCCATCTATTCAAGACGAGTTGGCTATTCACTTCTGGATAGGTTTTAGAAAGTAAGAGTGTGAGCGAGAAGAAAGAGTAGGTTAAGAAGTTAGGATCTTGAATACTATTCAGTTTATATAGTGCTGGAAAAATATATAATTCCGTCTAAAGTGATCATTATCCCGAACTGTTTAGGGCTTCAAAAAGCTTTCGGTAAGGGCTATTGGAAGGGTGCAAATGGCTAAGGAGAGGAGCTAGTCCGATTTGTAGAGTTTTTTGGGTTAGGCTTTGCTAGTAATTCGGAATAGTTATGGACAAACAATTAAAACTATTTTATTATATTTATATGAGTCTGAATCTGAAGTGTGAGTGCACCAGAAAAAAACAGCCCATATTGCGCGGCCAAACTCCTAGGGCTGTGTGTTGAATAAGCTGGCTTTGGGTTTCCGTAATGTCCATTTGGCAAAAAAAATTGTAATTTTAGTCAGAGTGAGACATGCCTGACCAATGAAGGAAAAGGTAATTTTCTTGGGCTATTGTACTATGACTATGGAGAGCAATGTTTGATTCCAATTCCTAGCATCACTGGTACGTATGGCGCCACCTTAGCGTTGAGAGTCGAAGAATATCGATTTAACTTTCCCAATTCTGACGCTGACATTGTGTCACGTGAACTGATCACTTTTTAACCCTCTGACTCCAGCTTCATGAAAAGAATGTAAGAGTGTTAGCTGATATCGAGCTGTTAGCATTTACGAGTTTTGCACCGTCTCCCGTGGGAATTTTCACCGATACCTCAAGACCTTTCGAAGAAATCACTATGGGCTTTGTCAGTCGCTGTCATCTGGTATAGTCACTTTACTGTTTACTGATCGGCGCGCGACCGTTGAATATAATAAATGTAAAATAAATAACTCGAGAGAGTACTGCATTGTACAGCCAAATAAAACACACATCCAAAAACATCAGATACCTCGCCCACAATATCACAAGAACTACATACTCCTTTTCTCAAAACGCTGTAATCCGTTCGCATTAAATCCCGGACTCTTTAAATTGTCACTATATACGTAATTGTGCTGAAGACAGACAAGAACATCCATCTATATGACGAAATTAATTTAAAGCACCAATCATTCTAACTCTACATCATTAATTATTATACATCAAAACCCAGGCCGCCTCGACATTTATCTAGTTATCACGAATGTGGCCATACAATTCTTGGCAATTTCATACAAATGTATCACTGTGTACGAAACCCATTTTAAATTATACAGCTTCGGGTATGTAAAGTTGAACTTGATTCTACGACTTGTTGTCTCCCTTTTGAAGTTTCCGATCAAGACCATTAGAGGACATCGTTGGCACCACCACACGTTTCAGGACTTAAAGTGTTCAAAACAATACACTTCTTTGCGATATGTCCGAGCCTCGAATTTCAACGAGTTCCGAGCGTACCACCGATGACAATGCTGGATCAATGATCGAAGCCAACAACGAAAGTATTGGTGAGAGAGTAACGTCACCGTTGTCCAAGAACGAAGTCAAAACGGATCTGGACGAAGACATAGCTCTGAGACCGGAGATTGCCAGAGTATTAAATTCGGATCTTGCCATCAACGCATTGTTATCGCGATTGAAGCAATCTCTATTGACCTGTGAGGAGCTCACAAAGTTCGTGCGTAAGAAATCGTTCATGGAGGATGTACATGCTCAGGAGCTAGGTAAAACGTACAAGAATTTTTTCCAAACCAGTGGATCAAGCTCTTCCCTGCAAAGAAGTATTCACGGTGTACTGGACTTTGATGGGAAATTAGCTCAAGTCAAGAACAGCTACGTCAAAGCTTTGCAAAAAATGGGTGAAGAGCTGGGTGCTTTGTTATTAACTATAAGCAAAATGCGGAAAGGGCTCAAAGAAACGAGTCGAAGGCTGGAAAAAGAAGTTGCAGAAGCGATTCATATGGCAGAGAAGGCCAAAAACAGGTATCTTTCATTGTGTCAAGATTGGGAAAAATTAAGAATGGCAGACCCTTCCAAGACAAAGCTAACTCTTCGGGGCTCGAAAACTACTCGCGAGCAAGAGGAAGACTTGCAAAGGAAAATTGATAGCGCCGACCTTGATTTCAAGCAAAAAGTTGATCATTCAACGTCTTTGAGGAATACTTTCATATCGAAGGAAAGGCCGAAAATCGTGTCTGAGGTGAAAGATTTGATTTTGGAAATCGACACTGCGATGGCAATTCAATTGCAAAAATACACAATTTGGACTGAAACGCTCATACTCAACAGTGGTGTTACCATCACTCCGTTCGACACTTCCAAATCCATGAAATCGGTTGCTGTTTCCATGTCTAACAAACAAGATTTGTACAATTTTCTAAACAAGCACAACCAGGGATCCCGGATCAACAACTTCATAAACAAAAACCTCATACCCGTTGAGTACAGGCAACATCCCTCGATGGTCAAGCATCCACAGGACAAGAATAACTTCAATAAGCTCGGAGCGCAAAATCGTACTGTGCCAAGTGGACAATCTTTCAGCACAACAACGAACAGTCTGCCCAAGAGGATTGTTTCCACACATCATGAATCACCTTTCGAGTCACAGAAAACCAAGAGCGCTCATTCAACTGGTTCCGGCGGCAATTTCGGTAATGTTGGCATTACAGCTCAAGAACCGGCCACAAGAACCCGAGCAGGGGCTGCACCACCAGCACATAACAAGCCCGTTACTTCAATGGTAGACGCGGTGAGCAACGTGCCCGAAGGCGTAGTGAATAACGTTCCAGAAGGCGCAGATCCCGGTGGTAAAGACTTTGCCACACTAGACCCCGGCAATGGCACCCGGACGGCAAGTTTAACAACATCTATGGTAACATCTGCAACCGATCGGCCAGTATCCCATGTTCCATCCTCTGGTTCTCTTCCTCCTGGTATTAGCAAGAATGTGAAAACATTTGGTGTGCCACTAGAAAATCTAATGGAGTTTGAACAAGAAATGGTCCCTGCTGTTGTGCGACAGTGCATTTATGTCGTAGACAAACACGGTCTCGATCTTGAAGGAATTTACAGAAAGTCCGCAAATGTTCTGGAGGTTAGTAAACTCAAAGAAGAAATTGATAAAGATCCTTCAAACATTTCAATGATTGTGCCTCCTAAAAATTACACAGAGTCTGATATCTACTTGGCTGGCTCCATTTTAAAAGCATTTTTCTCCAACCTGCCGACTCCACTTCTCCCCCCTTCGATGACCTCTGACATCAAGACTTGTCTCTCAATACAGGATCCCGTCACCAGGAAAAATTTCATGCATGGTCTGATATACAAGTTACCTGATAGCCAGTACTGGACCCTGAGATCTCTGATTTTTCATCTCATGAGAGTAATCAGTCATGAATCATCCAACAGAATGAACCTGAAAAGTATTTGCATTATCTGGGGGCCAACCATCATAGCACCAAGTGACACGGATATTAACGACGTCAACTATCAAATCCAAGCTATGGAAGTCCTCATAGACGCCGCAACCCAAGCTTTTGAGCCCGAGTAATTTTCTGTAACTTCATAGAAAAAAATGCACAACTGTCAAGCGAAGCTAGTATAGCGACTTATAGCACAATTATTGAAGCAAATTAAGCTTTCATGAGCTGTTGAGGGCGAATCGGCCAACATTAGGTCAAATATAAAGCATTAGTCGTCAATTCATGGTATATAATAATACAAATCGTCCTTGATGGTGAAATATTCGTCACTTGCCGCAAGTGCTGATTTGAATTCCCCTGTGCTAATTCCCAACATTCTTGTTTCAGTTAAGCGCTTGAGCTCATCGAAAGACATTCCCCCAACATGTCCCTTCAGAGACCGAACAATAGTCGCGCATAGCACTTCTTGTGCCCAGTTAGCATTTTTAGGCTCGGGTGTGGTGAACACGGAGTTTCGATTTTGAGATTTGGTTACTGCTCGTTGAACAACCCTTAGTCGCCCATTTTTGACCTTTTTAGGATCTACAATAAAATTTTCGTTTATTTTGTATGCTCCATCAGTCTCTTGCAATAGATTGAACTCGACAAAAACCTGTAGTGTGAGCTCGATTTGATGAATCGGGACACTAAGCGAAGATTGCAGCATGGAGACAGTCACTTCGTCTCGCGAATCGAGAATTTCAAGCACACTGGCTTGTAGTAAGGAAACTTCTAACGTGAGAAGCGAGCCATTCTCTAGTGGAAAGCTTGTCTGGACCTCCAAGTGATGAAGGGAGTTTTCCAAAGTCAGCGGTTTGAGTCCGGCTTTTGAATCACTTTTCAAATAGTAATTGTGGAATCGATTCCATTGTTGTCGCAACAGCGGCGGAAGATCAATGTCATAATTCGGGAGCTCTTGGAAAAAGGCAGGGACGTTTTTGCGCTCAAAAATCATTGGGATGATCTCAATCTCGCCGCGTCGATTTCCATTGAAGCCTTCAAATAGTGCTTCAGTGCGAGCCAGGTCATCTCGCAACTTCGATACCTGGGAAAAATTGTCATTTAAACTCGACATCGAATCAAACTCGTCTAAAACCATTCTTTCAATATTGTATTGATGCGTGGCAAAGGTCAAATATTCTTGGCCCATGAGAAATGCTCTTCGAAGAAGTCCTCTCTCCAGGTACAGTTTGAAAAAAGGTTCTGTCAGGTCAAAGTCGCGGAGAATGGTGAAAAGTGACTTTATTGTGTGACTTTGAATGTCATAGTACTTTTTAGCTTCCGAGGCATCTGTTTTCAAAAGTTCATAGCAGCGTTTTATTATCATATTCAGACTCTTAAGAAGAGGCTCAAGAACTCTCAGCTCGCCGCCAAAAGTTTCTCTCAAACTTGCTCTGATGATTGAATGACAGGAAGGCTCTTTTAACGCATAAAGCGAAGAGCAGCACCACAAAATATGGTTTGCATTTCGATGCTGCCGTAAAGAGACATTGAATCTATTGGTAACCTCGGAAGCAAGAACATCATAGAACTCCTGGCGCCTAGAGCTCGTAACATGGGTCAGTTTTAATAGTTCAAATTCTTTCCTAAACCCATAACATAGAGCATAAAGATTCAAAAGTTTTCGAAGACATTTTTCAGGAAAGATGAGACTGTCGGCAAAAGCTTGCTTAACCTTTACGGTGAGATTTCGAGAAATACATGCGCTTATCTCGCACTCTCTGACCATGAAAATCCTCACATTTGCAAGATAATTCTTGTCGACAACAATCTCAAGCTTGTCCAGCATAGACTCGAGGTTATTAATATAGGTCTTTTGAAGGGATATTTTTTGTTCCTTGATCACTGTAAGGCGGCATTGACTCATCACACGTAGTAGCATCTTGAGACTCTCAATGCGAGCTCGAAGCCCACTATTTCCATCTGCCGTGGCCAGTCTTTCTAGATCCCGTCTCAACGTTTCGATGATTTCCGTCACTGTCCGATCTATCTTGTTTCCCAGTACTGACAAACCTGCTTCGACTAGCCGGTAGTCTATGAAGTCGGCTATCGATTGAACGCCTGGAATTTTGTCTAGCAAAAAGGGGAAAGTGTCTGTCAATGGTTTTAAAGCTTTCGAAATGAGAAGTTTTTGATTTCGGTAAACACCCAAACAACAATCTGGCCATAGCTGTACAAAGGCGGCTTCAAAGTCACTCTCTAGAGCCAGATTTTCTATCAATTCCGAAATTACTTGATCTGCAGCTTCGTCAAAGCAATCTGTGATAGATTCCCAGATCTTGACTACAAGCTCTTCCTGGCCTAGTAGACGATAAAATTTAGTCCTTTTCCGCGATAGATCTAGTTCGCCATCTTCTTTCGATGCGGTTGAAACGTATACTTTGCTCTGGGTAGTACTTTTGATCAACTCAAAATAGAAAGCTTCATCCACTGCACTCAGTTGAATGGATCCATCAGTGTTCTTAAAAGAACACACTTTCTCACTTAACAACTCAGCCAGGGCATCTTTAAACCGCAGAGAAACTGAATCAAAATCAAAATCCACACCCCTGCTTGTGAGCATGCTCAGACGCAGCTTTGGCCCAGTGCTAAGGGAGCTTTTCGCTGCTAAAACATTCACTGATGATGAGGGCTTCTGACGTCTTATCCTATAGGTAGTGGAAAACTCTAGTATTAATGGCGTGAAAAGTGATAATGAGTAGATCAGGAATTCAGGACAGACGCTGCCCTCCAGCACACGATAAAGCTGACCAATGCTGAGCCATTCCATTGCTAGTATGATATCGAAGCTTAGCTCTGGCTATTTTCCGATTTTTTTTGCGAAAAAAACGGTCCCTTTTTGGTCAAAAGGCCGGTGACAGCAGTTTTAGAACAATTCGTAAGACCGTAGCCCAAGTTTACTCAGTTGCCTAGTATGGGGTTGGCTGTTGCTATCGAGCACGGAATTTGAAATGTGCAAAGTTCTTTTCGTCTTAGTAACAGCCTGGATTCTTACGTTCAATCTCCAATTGGATTTGTTTAGCGTTTGTCGATACATTGCCATTTGATGGAGTTCATGAGACGACAACCATGGACATTGGCGTATTGTCCTCCTCATCTGTTGCAACATACTTTGACTCTTAGCGTAGAGACAGCGACTGGTGTTTTTTCCAGCCTCGAGAAAAGTCCGAAGATGCCAAAAGTGGTCCAATTTCGCCAGAAAAGTACCGGACAATTGTTGGACTATTTTCTGCTCCTTTGATATCCACGAAAATCGACTCTGACGATATTGGAGCCATTGGTAAGTTTTGCGGGTTCAAAAACATCATTGAAGGTGTAGTGATTATCTTTTTGAAGCAGAAGGCCTGTGTTCACCAAGGATTGTAATGACATCTGCAAATGAAAAGTATCAATTTCAGTTCGGTCTAGCAGGTCCTGAAAACTCAAATTGTTGCACTGGTCAAATTGCATCAGCACTGAAGCCTGTAACAGATTCAATTGAAGGACCAAGGGCTTCGAATTACTGCATATGAAAGGCATCTGTAGCTCAACAGTATTGAGCATTGGAATCAACGTCAATTTTTTTTTGTAAGCAGCCGGGTTTTGATCACTCAAGTACCTCCCCGAAACGTTGTCCCATGACGATTGCAAGCTTTTCGGCAATCTAACAGGCGTCACAGAGTCAGGTTTGTACACAAGCTCAATATCCTTTTCGGACAAAAAAACTAACCCCAGCCATGAGCTGCTGTCCAAGTGTTGCTGAATCGATAGCGATGTCAAAAGTGAGTCCCTTACACTTTTTAGTTGACATTCCCCTGGAAAATGTTCGCAAAGAAGCCCGTCCAGTACCTGGATTTCTGGAACAGGCGACACAGGATCGAACAAATATCTCAAAAATGCGCCGCCTTCTTTAATTGACCTACGAATAATGCAGTGGTTAAGAAACGCGGTTATGATTGTTTCTTGTAGTCCAAAAAGCTCTGTGATTCGCGCTATATTTTGCGTCCACAGTTTACCATTGAAACTGCCATTTAATGAGCGCCTGAATTCCTCGTTCAGCCATTTTGATATTCCCGTCGCCATTTTTGTAGCATAAATTCTTGATTCGCAATGTGTTCCCCAGGAAGCTTCAAATTCAACTTTAAAATCAAGATCCTGAAGGAGTAGACGAAGAATTTCCTCGTCGTACTTGATTAATTTTCGGAGCGCTGGTAGTCCGCACCGCTGTAATATAGCTTGGTCCATTGTGTTGTAAATCCCCACAATGATTTCATTCAAGAAAACGTCACCGTTCCCACCAATCTGTGCTAGATCCTGTAAGTTTTTGATCGCGGCTTGGTTTAGATCCCAACTACCGCAGTAATCCCCCACCAGAGAACGAATAAGTTCGCCCAGTAGCCCAGGCCGAAAGAGAGTGTGTTCCAGGATTTTTAGACGTGCAGTCTCCCTTGCGTTCCATGAAAGACCTGATGTGATTTTCTGTTCTGTAATGATGACCTCCATTATTTGGGTCAGGAAACTCGTAGCCGGGACAAGAGTTAGCGTAGATGCGAAACGAGTCGTGTTGTCCAGATAAATAGACTCGACGGAAAATTTCGACGCTTTCCATTCAAGATTTTGAAGCATCTCATGAATTCTTGTAGTCAGTTTTCTTGCTTCTGCAATGAAAACGTCTTCATCTCTGGCAAGTTTCCAAGAGTGCTCTAGTATTGTTTTCAGCAGTTCTGCTTGAGATCGAAGCATAGATTCTAGAAATCTGAAATTGACCTTTCGACTTAGACTGTTCGGTAGTCCATTAGCCTGTAATGCAGTGCTTTCATCTTCCTCGAGTAGTCTGAGCAGCGGAAGCCATACCATGAACGTTTGCTGAGAAGCCGAATCTACGCTTCGAAATAATTCATAATCTGTGTCCAGACAACCCGAGCGTTGATTTCCAAACTTCTCAACCATATTTGAGGCATACGAGTCCAAGTTCAGATCAAGTAGTCTTAAAGCATCACGACCTGAGGACGACAATCTTTTTCTAAGCTTTTTGGGCCGTGTTCTTGAAGTAGAATTCTTGAATTGAGAAACCATGTTGCAAAGGCTAGACACTTCATCAATCGTGGCATTGTCGACCTGCAATGCATTCAGTTTAGCTGTCAAGTCGTCCTCAATCGCATTGGAATTGGATTGGGGCGTACCGTGAAGTTCAATTTTAAGGTCCATTTGCCTCATCTCCAGGACGAAAGAGGTTTCTTATCATTCAGAACTTCTAACGACTGATATGCTATCTGTTTTGTTTAAATGTTCTCTGTTTACTTTGATCTCATCTCATCTCATCATTAACTCTGAATTGAACATTTCATGACAAAACAAAAACGCATCCAGTGATCCCAGAAGTATCTAAAGCTTTCTCACGGAGCTCAGTTATATGACCACTCACTCCCAACGCTAAAGGGCTTCCGCTATATACCGTCACTTCTTTCCAGCGGACTAGCAATGACCACTCAGGACATAGATCCAGCGGTCAGGCTCGCTGATGATTTTAAGAAACGAGGGTGTTTTGACGAGGAAAAAGGTCGCATTTTAGCAGCGATCGTTGATGGTACAGACGGCACGAGCGTTGAAGAATTTGTGCGGGGTAGAACAGCAACGTTGGTCAATAAGATGGTTCAAGAAGACGAGTCATTGATTTTTAAGAATAGGGGCTCTACTAGTGCTTTGATCGAAGGCAGACTGGTAAAAAATGGATTCGAAGAGCTGAATACGGAGAGCGTACATATAGATGCCTTCTTGCGAAATATGGTTGAAGATCCTGCTTTCAAAGAGAGTCTAAAGAACCGTTTGCGGGCAAAATGGGACAATGAATTGAAAGAGAAAAACGAAATGGACTTGGGAAAAGATATGGACAATTCAGGCTGAATAGAGAATGAAGCGACCAAAGAGGAGATTAGAAGAGGGGTTTCCTATATTGCTGTCTCTCTTTTCTCAAAGATTACTTCTCTATGTAATAAAGCATGTCGTCGCAACGTCGACTTTTGAACTTACGACCAGCGCGATCACTGCTTCTGTACTTGAATCTGTCGCCTAAGATGGTGTATTGCAGGGCTTCTTCGTCATTGACCGGCACTTCGAAGCTGAAGACAGTGCCCTTCTTTGGTATGCACTTGATATCGTCAACGAGCGTGCCTTTGCATATTATTATGAAGTCTTTTTGAGAATCCCAGATCACTATTCCGGTTATCCCACACAGATTAGCGTTGCGACTCTTGGTTACAGTGATCAGACACCCGTTGTAATCGGCCATTGACAATTTTACAAGCGCGTTCGAGCCGTTGATATTCAGTTTCGACGCATTTGTAACTTGAGCCGGTATATTCAGAATTTCTCGCACGTAATTCACCCACAATTCTTCATGCATGGCCACAAACTTATCGTATCTAGGAACTGACTTGTAAATTTCATAATGTTCTTTCTTCATATGCTCAAAAAGAGCACTTTGGTCGTAAAGAGCCTGCTCACTAGCAATTTGACGTGCTTTTCGAGCAGCACTTCGACTTTTGGTAATATACTCTTTCAATGCGCTTTTAGCATTTTTGGTGATTTCTCTGTATCCTCTGTTTGGTGCGGGCTTCGCTTGTGAGTCTTTCAAAAGTCTGAAGTTCTTCTTGGACTTCTTAAGTCTCGAAGCTATTCCTCCATCTGTTGGTAGTAAAAGTAACGTATCTTGAAGTCTATTTTCTTCCAGTAACTTTGCTGCGTTAGAGGAACTTCTTGTCAAAATGCATTCGGTGACAAACGATGGACCACGATTCATAACACCCACGTTGCTGAGCTCTGGACTTCGATCTTTTCACGATCAAAGTTCATCGAGCTCATCTCATCAATTCTGTAATTTTTCAATTTAACCACATCTTTAAGTTTCTTGTGCAAAAGGTAAAGAAATCGAGGACTTCAAAGCCCATTTTCACCTCATGGTAGGTTTCTTGCGGAACCTAAACCCCGTCAGTGGATTAGGACGACATGTAAGAAGTCAATTGCGACTTTTTGGCTCAGCAACGCCGTTCGACCTGGAACTAGACGCCCAAAATGATAAATACTCAGAGCTGAACAACATGTACACTACAATGTTCACGGGAAAAGATTCAGAAGCTACAACACCAAGTTCTAGTGGTCTCAAAACAAATTCCAGCTCTCTCGAATCGGAAATTGATGAGATCAATGCAGAGCTTCTTGATTCTTACAGTTTTTCACCCAAGGTTCTTTCTGGAAAAGAGTTGGCAGAAATTGTTAAAACATCCGGACGGTTCATGATTCAAAGCTTGTCTAGAAATCCATACTATAATCTGGCTGTGGAGGATTATGTATTTAAAAATACTCCTGTGGAAAAAGGCGGGCCGTTTTTTGACGAGAGACTTCTTTTCTATGTCAACGACAAATGCGCTGTCATTGGTAAGAACCAAACACCTTGGAAAGAACTATTTCTGCAAAATTGCAAGTCCCGGGGCTACCAATACGTACGAAGACTTTCAGGTGGAGGAGCTGTTGTACACGATCTAGGAAATGTGAATTACTCCTACTTAACGTCCCGCGATGCGTTCCGTCGTGAATATTTTAACGAGCAGATCGTAGCATGGCTTAAGGAAGCTCAACCAAAGGCAAATATAAGTCTTAACGAGCGTGGTGATATTCAATTAGATGATTACAAAATAAGCGGGAGCGCTTTTAAAATTGCAGGCGGGAAGTCATATCACCACGGCACAATGTTGGTGAATGCCGATCTGGCTTCTTTCAGAGGACTACTCAAGCCAGCTCATATCGATGGAATTACTTGGTCGGGGGGCAGTGTCGATAGTGTAAGATCTCATGTCAAGAACATACAGGACGCGGGCATCAAGAGTACAACAGATTTTATTGATATCTGTACCAAAGGCTTCAGATCCATTTTTCAGGAAAACGTACCCATTTATTTGGTTGACGAAGTTGAGACGCAGACTGAGGAGATTATGAAAACTGCTGAGCAGCTGGCCAGCGATGAGTGGTTATATGATAATGGGCCAAAATTTACTGTCACTGTGAATGACTCCAAATTTTCGGTGGAAAAGGGCCTGATTGTAGACTGTCCAAGCCCCCATATGAAGGGTGAACGATTCAAGAACTTTGTTGATTCGTTTAATAGGCAAGAATCCGAGACCCCCAAAATAACAATATGATTGCCTTGTCAAGCCTTCAGTTGATCTGTTTGCATTTCGTGACGTCCTGATCCTGAGGCAATCCGCTTGCAAAGTCCTCAATGTATAACGTACCTTTTCGGTCCAAAATAAAGAGCTTGTGGCCATCCGCGCTGAATTTAAGAGAAGCGGCGTCTCTCACACGCGATGCATTCGCCACGACGTCTACTAAAACAATGCGTCTCTTTTCGTTATCGAAAAGAGTTGGGGCATACATGATGGAGACGTTTCCATTGCGGTCAAGAAATGCAATCGAGTCATTTCTTGGAGAGATTTCACACTTGTGAATTTTTGAACCCAGTTCGTCAAGACGGAGTAGCATGGTTGGTTGTGCAACACTTTGTGCAACACTGATGCTTTGTATGCGCGTGTTTATTACTATAGGAGGGGCATTAAAAGCAACTGATGTTACGCACATGAGATTCGAGTTACCGGGAAACATTTTTGTATCTGTTATTCCTTCAGATTCGAGGGAAGTGTCGATAGAACGTAAAGATTTCATTACCAATCGTGGCTCATGAATTTTGCGCAGAGATATGACTAGAAATCGTGATTCTAGTGCTGTGGAGCATGAAATGTAATTAGTGTCTGGTGAGAACTGTAAATTGTTGACGGGATCTCGATAGGGAAGCGTAGTTGTGATTGGTGACAAAAATTTGTAGACTGTGTCCAGACTGCAACCTTTTGTCGATGCTGAGGGTTCTTTAATTATCTGATGAAATAATATCAGCGCTTGTTCAGCCCCTGTAGTTCTGTCATTGCCCGTTATTCCGCATGCAATGAGTGAACTTTTAATATCCAAATCAATGCATCTTATGGGGAACGTGGAACCATAAGTATAAATAGGCCTGCCTCCACAATTCAAGTCAAACACCCTAAACCTTCCTTTAGTTCCAGAAATGATTAAAAGATCTTCAGACATCTGGCAATACAAATGCTCCCAACTGTCCGCTGGCGGCTTTGTGGGAGGTGTGGGCATTTCTTGCAACTGTTTGGGAGTGTAAAGAGATTTCAAGTTCACGGGCAATTTCAAAGTTTCGAATGTGTCGCCGTATTCGCCTGAGGACTTGCCGCAGAAGAGCAATGAAACGCCCTCGCCTTGACTTGACCGATCATTCTTGACTTGTGATTTGCGACTCACTCTTGATTTGAGTTCGCGCTCGCTTTTTGACTGCTTCCCATCTTTTTTTAGTTGATGCGGTATCCCATATACCTCCCATTTATGTTCGGTAATGAGGGCAAATTTGGAGCAGTCCGGACTTATTGCTGTGTTGACAAATTGCCTGCTCTTTGTTCTCAGAAACTTATTATGGGTATTGAACTGAGACCTCTTTCTGTACAGGGGGAAACACTTGGCAAAATAAAACTCCTTTTCCTCGTCCAGATCTGAGATCTGAACCGAGGAGAGAGACTCTGTGGTCGCCAGCGACACTGGGACCGACCCTGTGTCTTGAATCGGGACGGTTTTTGTATTGGAAGCGTTGTCTAGCGAATGTACCTCGATAATTTCTTCCTCCTTGGCGTCATCAAAACTCGACGCTACGGAATGGAAAAGTGAAATCAGCGATTGTTTTGGCATTCCGGGATGGCCTTTATCGTGATCCTCGTCATCTACATCAGGATTTGATGATCGCTGCAGTTTCGAACTTGCTTCTTGGCTCAATTTTCTATTGGAGGCATCGAACAATCCCCGCTGGGCTTCCTCGTCATCGTGTTTAAAAAACTGTAATTGTTCATAAAGTGTTCGCAGCGGCCTCACTGGACCCACCATTGTGACGGGACAGCTGTGACATAGCGGGCAGAACAACTCATCGCCCTCCAAGAGCTTCTCTAATTCTTGGAATAGCTTTTCGGAGAGAATGCACCCACAATTGAGCACTGAGGGGTCTGGAATGATTCCATATGTTAATGTACACTTATATCGTGACTGGTTAATGGATTTTTCGCACGATAAGAGCCCAGACGGTAGAAACAGGTTTTGCTCTAGTTGCTGCAAAACTTGCTGGGTTTCCATAGCGGCGCTTTTCTTCCAACTTGATATATTCTAAATGCTTTCTCTTAAAGTGTCAATTTCGAGCTAAAAGAAAGCACCTTTGGGGCGTTCTTAAAGACGAGTTGGCCTCAGGACCAGAGAAAGTCCCAACTCAAAGAATCCTTGTGATGATCCTGGTTGAAGTTCAGATTGTTTGAAACTAAATACCGACTTTACGCTGTTCTCAATCGTAGCTCAGATTATGTGCATTTGAAATATTCATATCTAAAATTCATATCACTTTGTACTAATTGGTCAAATCAAGAATTAGACCTTCAATAAGAATGTGACAGAGGACAGACCAAGTTGGGTCGGTTCTTTATCAAATATCGTCTGCTGAAGGTCAATTGCTCGTATTAGAACCACAATTTGAGTATAAAAGCCAATTGACTATTTGTGTGGAACTTGAACGAGGCGAAATCGTTGACTTTTCATTGTTTCCAGCAATCGAATCGAGCACTATTGAACATCACACATAACAGCCGGTTGAAGCGTAATCGGTAGTATTCTCACTTTTTAACTCTTTGCGAAAGAACTCACACTCAGCGTAGATTCAGCATGGCAGAATATCATAATTGGATGGAGCGGCAAGACGACAATGTGGCGATCTCAAAACTTTCAATTCCAGGAACACACAACAGTGCTGCCTGTCACATTGCATTGCCATCAGTTAAATGCCAGGATCACAGTGTGAAAACTCAATTGCAAAATGGGGTTCGTTTTTTCGACTTCAGACTGGGAAAATTGTTCTTCAAAGACAGCGAGCAAGGTGACTATCAGGGTAAAGATCTACAAGTGATTCATGGTAAATTCCCAGTCCGGATTCCAGCTCCTCTAAAATTTTCGTCTGTACTGGGCGATATTTATGCGTTTTTGGACGCAAATCCTACGGAAACCTGTATCGTGTCAATCAAGCAGGAAGGAGAGCCCTTTGACGGATTTGACAAGTATGTGTGGGAGCACTACATTGAGAACAGCCAAGATCGCTGGTATTTGGGGTGTAATGTTCCAAACTTGGGAGAAGTGAGACGAAAGATCGTGCTTTTCCGCCGTTTTGGCGTCTCGGATGAACTTCAGGGCCGGGACTTTGGTATCGAAGCTCCATGGTGGTCCTATTGTACTCCAAATGAAGATCGCGGCACTTTTCAGGTACAGGATTTTTGTGAGCTCAAACATGCGGAGAACATTTCTGAAAAGAAAAACTACGTCAAACAGTTCCTGCGTACTGCCATTGAGCACAACAGTACTTCAGAGAGGGACCCAAAGCTTTTCATAAACTTTTGCTCCGGATCGAATCTCTATGACACTGACTGCTGGCCGGAAAAGGTCGCGGATGAGATGTTCAGGAGCGATTTGGCGTCCGATATAGGTCGTGGGTGTGGCATTATGATTCTCGATTATGCTGGCAAGGATGGCTACTGTCTAGTCAAAAAGATCGTGGATACGAACTTTCAGTGAGAGAACGGTGGGTGGGGGGAATTTTGTGAGGCGACTACGGGGGCGGAAAAATGCTCGACTTAGATGCCTTATGAAATGGATTTTGTCCGCGTTCGATGCATCTGTGCATTTGATGACAGGAAAGTACGAGATGACGTATCGAAAGATACGACAGCGACTGCTCTTTTTAAGCTTTTCTCTTGCCGCCGTTTGCTTGTTGACGATAATAGGCTTTGAAAGACGCTAAGTTTTCGCTTACTGTGACATTTTATGGCCGTCCATTTTGAGAGTTACAGCCGTTCGCGATAAAGTTGCTCAGATTCGCGAGCCAGCTCGCCATATTGAAAACTCCCACTGTGATATTCTTGAATGTCTCAATCTCGAATTCATCTACCAGTGTGGCCTCTTAGCCACGATGCATCGCGATCCTGTTTATCAAAACCTTTTTTGCATCAATAATATGAATTCAAAACTTATCGCACTGATTCCAAGGTAAAAACCTGGAGGCCGAATCTCTATCACTGCATTGTTTCCGAGTTTCCAACCAAGAAAAAACCTCGTCAGAGTCGGGATTCCCCATCCCATCATATCCAGTAACGTTGACCTAATACTACTCGCACTTCATTCACAACCATTAGTGAACAACATGATATTATATACAACAAAGCTCGAATTTTTCATAAATGCTGTTAGATTTCATCCCACACCACTGGCTTGGCCGTTTATCGAGTCGCTGTCGTCGATCATGTGGGTGCCACGTAAGTTCCAGGTCAAGATCAAGAACCATATAAATTAAAGACAAGTTCGTCAACTAAGGTCTTCTGGAAAAATTTACCAGGACTAGGTCAAAAAAAGTCGCAAGTTGGGCTGGAATTGTTGCTGTTTAACGCTCAACTACTTGGATCATTTATATGTCCGAGCCCAACGCTACGAATGTGGAGATCTCAGCGGAAGCTGAGAACTCAAGTAATCATAACGAGATGATCAATCCTCAACCTAAACCAAAACAGATTCAATTGACATTCAATGACTTCAATCGTTTCAAGTCATCTTCAAAAACATCAGATCATCACAACAATAATGGTAGCCAAAATGGAGAATTCAATAGACGCCGGTCAACCAGGGTTGTGCCGAAACGACCAGTAGAGTTAGACGAAGAGGAACAGCCCACAAGAACCGTACCCAGAAAAAAGAAGCCGGTTTTAGCCAAACCGAAAGAAACAAGCATAGATCGAGAAGCAGTTCGTGAGCGAGCCAGGAAACTTCAGTTACTCGGAAACCCAGAGATTCCGTTGGCAGAAGAAAACTGGTCTCCAAACGTGCCGCTGCAATCAGGCGATTTCAAAAACCACTTCAGCATTGTCTCACGCTTTAGATCTCCGAATTTGAAAAACTTAGCATACGCGAAAGACATTTTGCCCATCTTGACGTTCGTCAACAAGTTTAACACATTTTTACCCCAAGAATTATGGTCTTTGTCGTTCCAGGATTTTGAATTAGGTCTGGATCTGTATCCTGACGCTGAGAAGGAATTACCTCGTAAACTATATCAGGACTATATGCCAATCAAAGAGCTGGTAAGATGTCAGGATAAAATGAACCTACTTTTCTTGGCGCTATTGAAATTGGCTCTGAATAACTCTTCGGCAACTACCATGGAATCAATCAAAGAAAACAAATCTTATGCGAAATTTGTGGTTCCTCTGCGGGCCAACGCATGGTCGTGGGGCTACCCCTCGCAATGGAAAGTAGAGGTTGGCGATTCGAATACAAAAGTCTTCAATACAGATGACACGGAACCCGCTGATCCTTCAGAGCCAGAAATACTGGTGCCTAACCTTGTGGCATGGCCCCAGCAGTACGCCATCGAGAATGATCCTTTACTTAACGTGGATTTGGAGAAACGCGGAATCTTGGCTCTGGCACCTACAGACAGAGTAATTCTTCTAAAAGCCCTAGTCCAATGGGTATTGGCGCAATCAGACAAAATACATCAAGAAATTTATCGTTTATCGCATTTGAAAAGAGATGAGCCCTATGGGGTTCCGACTTACCACGTTTCGAGATTATTTGCAGACGGAGAAGCGGCCACGAAGGCTCGCTTTACGAAACTTTGCGACCTGGTACAAGCAAGGTTGGAAATCAAAAGCGGAAGAAAGCATGTCAAGAAGCAATTGCAAAACGGAAAGCGTAATGACTTGTTCGAAAAGCTCAAGATCATTTCGAATATTCACCGCAATAGAGATACAATTTCCGTCGAAGAAAATGAGGAGGAAGAGCCCAAGCCCAAGGTCGATTCTTTTGACGAAGAATACAGCGACTGGTGTGAAGTCATTGAGGGGCAACTCCCGGACCACCCCATGTCTTCGCCGTACGGTGATGAGATCTTTAAGATGAGGTCTCTAGAGTTTTTCATTGGTAGAGTTCCGCATGTTGGTGACTTTTATCTTCCACGATTGCATACGTATCAAAAGTCAGGCAAAGCTAAAATTCCCACAACTTACACCGATCCAAAGACTTTAAACGACACGCTCGACGCTTTCTCCAACAAAGAGATAGATGCATTGACCTTGTTCAGCGGGAATGGTAAGCACATGAGCACTCAATTTAAAGTTCTTTACCATGACTCGCCAAGTATGATTAGAGACGTGGCCAGCCAGGTAGATACTTCGAAGAAGAGCTACTGGTACGAGGTATGCCATGACTGTGCCACTTTACGTGAATTTATAGTCCTTTTGGATTACAAAGTAAGTGTGCTTGAATCTGCAGGGAACGAGCCGGCTAATAAGGGCCCAATCAACAAAAATCCGTTGCCCAAGGAATCAAAATTCAATGCTTCACGCGAAAAACTCAGATGGATCAAGGATTATCTTGAGAGACTTGTGCCTTTTCTGGAGACATTTGAGGAACTCTACGCAAACTACGATGACATGAAAGCTAACGTTAGAACTCTGCGAAGGTCGCAAAGAAACCGAAACCCCCAGTCCCGCGATGACGATGAAGCGGGTGATTATTCAGGAAGCGACGCCCCTGAAGAAAATAGTCGCCAACAATCGGGAGAAGAATCTGCATTTGAAGAGTTCGACGATTCACTAGAAGAACAAGCCAATGATGAAGTGGAAGATGACAAGATCGAAGACGACGAGGCTTTCACTCTCAGTGGCTACAGATCTACGCAAAACACCCAAAGAAGCAGAACCAGATCTGGCGGCGGAAGTGTTCCAGCAGCTGAAAATGCCACTCCGAAGGGTACAGGTGCCCGAGGCAGTGACAGAGGTAGAGGGACAGGTCGTGGCAGAGGAAGAGGAAGAGGAAGAGGAAGAGGTAGGGGACGTGGGAGAAGCACGTCTTAGATCAGAAAAAAAAGAAATATATTAGTTCTAGATAATTACAGATCGGCATACATCGTCAATTGATGACAACCTTGTTGAATTAAGACGGTGTTGGCTGTCAGTGACTTGCATAGTTTCTTCATATTTCTCAAAAGTCAAAAAAGATAAAATGCTCCAGGGGAGGTTCGAACTCTCGACCTTCAGATTATGAGACTGACGCTCTTCCGACTGAGCTACTGAAGCTATTCTTTCCGCATGATGCGAGCATGAAAGATATACCCAGTGCTAACAATCAGCTTCCTGCTTTAGCTTAAAGTAATGCCATCCCGGACAGCATCGTGCTATTTTACTGCTTTGACAGCGATAGATACCTAAAATCGAGTAGAGGAACAGCCTCAGTGGAATTTCAGCTAGCTTAGATCAACCATAGTAGTGTTATATTCCAATATGAGCTTTGTGCGCCTCGAAAGTAGTCTCAGTAGCGTAGCTAAGTTCGTAATGTCACATTATTGTTTTAATGAATCAGTACTCTTTCAGTTGCATCAATTTCACAACAAATGGGCGGTTAGTGTAGTGGTTATCATCCAACCCTTCCAAGGTTGGGACACGGGTTCGATTCTCGTACCGCTCAATTTTTTTGTTTTTTCGAAAAGTATAATATGTGGAAACATACAGATGGCCTCACATGGATCCCGAAGATGTCTAGTTCAAATGAGTCTTCTTTTATTTGATTCCAATTAGTGTCACAGCTCTTGTATATCTATATCGTCATCCTTGGACTCTTTGTCAAGAGTATACGCCATTAACTTCCTGCCGTCGAAAAATCGACCGTCCATCGTCTTGCAACACCTCTGTGCATGTTCTTCTGTCGCAAATTCGACCCTCGCTTGACCCAAAACCTCGTCGAGCTCGAACCCGACTACTTCGCCCTGTGCTTCGCAGCCCTCTTTGAGGTCTAGGGCTATATCGGAGATTTCAGACGGACTCAGTCTTGCATACAGATCGAGCACGTTGGACAAGACGGTTGTTCTTGCACTTTTATCCTCTGATTCTTGTGGAGTGGACCCATTGGTTAATTCGCTGTGTTCATCGTTCTTTACTTCTTCTTCTTCTTCTACCTCATCGCTCCAATCATTTAGCTCATTTTTCTGCTCTTGTAGTTTACGGAGTTTCAGTTTCTTCACCTCCGTAGTCTCTTCTTCAGCCCAGTCTTCGTTTTTAGTCTCCGGCTTGAATGTTGCCTCTTCAACTTTCAGCTCCGTCCCTTTGAACTTGGCACCGTCCATGAACTCTACTGCCATTTTCACACTTTCAGGCTTCAAGTATACGATCAGAGCGTCACCTTTCAAATTCCCCTGATCGTCGACGTAAAGCTTGCACTTGGGATGATCTGTAACGGGGTCTTTCCTTATGATACCGAACCTTGAAAACTCATCGAAAAGGTCACTCTCATTGACGTTTTCAAGCGGTAAGTTGGAAACGTATATAGCACAATTTGGAGGTGGCTTCTTGTCGACAGTTCCAGCGTCCGGACTCGTTCTTTTCTTCTTACGCCTAGCAAGCTCTTCAGCTTTAGCTGCTCTAAGCTGCTTCTTCAATTGTAGCTCTTCTTCTTCCATTCCAATCGTTTTGATTTGAGCAGCAACGAATGTTCTTGATGTGGTCTAAGTGGGACCAATTTCTTGATAACTCCTACAATGCGAGATGGAATAACAAATTTATAAACTTGTATCCAAACAATGTGGTGGTAAAGATCATCACGGTTCTATTCACTGCTGCATTTATATTTCGTGCTATATTTCGTGCTATATTTCCCTAAATAAGTCCATTGACAATATCGCTACATAGGACAGCATCGTCAGACCTACCTTCGGCCTTCAAGGCAATTCCTTTAGAGCTCTTGATCATCCGAACGACAAGAGCTACTCTTGCTCCGTTTAGTACACTCTTCCCGAACAGTTTCAAAGTGTGCGTGTTTGAGTCTGTAGATGTGAACTGAGTGTTATCCAACGTCAAACAACTGGTATTGGTGATCAGCTTGTCCACAACTTCTTGTAAAGACAAGTTTTCTCTGATATTGTAGACGGAAATTTCATGATTGGGCAGCTCATCGAAGCACGAGGTAAAGTCGCCCACAAAAGCACCTCTGATATAATCGCCCGCAGTCAATGGCAAGCTATCGATTTCGTATTCGTCCTGGTAGCCTTCATCTCCCTCGAAAGGTTCCTGAGTGGAGGAATCAAGTTCTCTGGTGGTGAAGTATAAGGTGTTCAACAGATCCTCAGTGACAACTTCCTGGGATTTTTCGAAAGCCACGTAGGACGAAAATGTTTCTGAGGGCTTGATTCTATCAGCCGGTATGGAGATCACCTCAGTCAACGAAGACTCCTCGTCGCCAAGAGCTGGGGTGCACCCAACGGAAACATTATCCAAAGCGACATCAGCCAAGGTGTTCGTAATGTGGAACTGTAAAACAACATGGGATTTGAACAAATGTTTCACGCCGGTAACAACAAACTCAGCCTCGGTTTCAGTCAATGCGACGTCCCTGGAGGTGTTGACGATGGAACCGAACGACTTGAACTCTTCAATCGAAGCGAGTTCCTCGGCGTACTTCGTGGCCTGCATATCCTGGTCCAGTTCAGTAGCAGCAGGCCCACCGTATGATCCATTCTTTTTATCAGCTTCAGATGAAACTCCACTCTTACCCTTGGATTTCCCGGAAGACACTGTCGTGAATAATTGTTCTTGCTTTCTCTTAAAGTCGATGGCCTTTCTTTCGTCCTCGGTGTACCTAGCGATGGAAGAAGTATCAAATGGAGTCTTGAATGCCTCCTGTTTAGCAGCCATGTACTGGCTGAGTTTCGACTCTAAGGATGCCAAATCATAGGTATACTTGGACTGGATGAGACCCTCGGCAGGAGATGAGTCATTTCCACCCTTCGATTTGATGGATTCGATTAACTCCAGTGCAATGGTTGCTCTGTCCCTCACTTCGTCGTCAACATCGGTGGAAATTCTTCTCAGCAAGATTTCAATTGAGTCCACAAACGTTGGGTCGTTTTTGACCAAAGCAAATTTAGAGAGAGCCACGACAGCAGCGGATCTGACTATGGAGTTCTCCAACACAACCCTGTTGTATATGTGCCTGACGTACAGCGATGGAGTCTTCATACCAGGACCCTCCTTACCCAGCAAATGCAAAACTCTCACAAGAATCTCATTGTACTCGCAGTCCTCGATGAAATCACACAAATTTTCAAGAGCCAGTTCCTTGGATTGTGGAACAAATTGGACGAGATCAAAAAGGGCCTCCACAATACTGTTCTTGAACTGAAATCCACCCTCACCTTGCTTCAAAACATTAACAAGAAAGTTCAGAATAGCCTTCCATTCTTCAGGAAACTTTAAAGCCATTGTGCGGACTGCATCTATAATTATAATTTTGAAGTCATCCGATATTTCGTGAATGAAGTTTGTGATAGTTTTGATGAGGGATGCAATGTTATTAGAAGTTCCTGTCTTTAACAATGCGGTGATAGCGTAAGTGGACACGTTTCTGTTGCTGTCGTTAATCAATGACTCCAATTCAGGGTTGCACACAACAATCTTTTCAGGGGCTACCATGGAGATTCTGTTCAACACCCTAACAGCTGCGAATCTGGTAGTAGCACGAGGAACTGACAGTAGTCCTTGTAAAGTTTGAACTGCCGATGAAAACAATTCTGGAGAAACGTAGCGGTCTGGCAAAGAAGTGATTAGCTTAGCAGCTTCGAGCTGGACTGATTCGTACTTGTTAGACAGCCAGCCGAGTAGCAAAGGAGACAGCTGCGAAATCATTTGGTTGTCCTTGGACAGCAAACTTCCTACCAACTTGACTAGTTGCACCTGGGCTAGTTGATTCTTCAACGTGCTTCCGGAAGAAAAATGTTGCACCAACTTCATAAGAGCTATTTTATCATGGTTTTTTAGCATGCACAAAAGACCCAACGCATGGTATTGTGCAATATACGTCGAGTTTGGATAATGCTCCGACAAGCCATCATGATAGGGGAAAGTTTTGAGGTCGCCTACGGCTTCCTGAGTTTCGTTGGAGTAGCGTTTGACAGTACTTTCAGCGATTGGCAGCAAATGGTATGAGCTCACAAGTGCAGCAGACGAGATCGATGGATGTTTGCTAACAACCGCCGATTTGAACAGACGTTCTGCCGAAAATGCGGTGGATTCGTCCAACACGCGAGTTAGAGAACGAATTGCATTGGGTTTAATCATGTCAGAGCCATTCTGCACGTCCTTCATGATGGAGGACGTAGCCATCAGAATATCGTCCGATACACTGCTCAGTTCCTTGATGGCGAGGTAAACCACCTGTCTAAGGGAGTCATTTGGGTGCTGAAACAGTTTAGAGATGGCGAAAAACAGAGCAGTAGCTTCCGTGCGAGGAAAGGTCTGACCCTGGGCAAGTAATTGCAGAAGTCTTGAAATCAAAAGTCTGCACCTTTTGGAATTCACAGGCGATTCGTTAAACGCATTCAAACAGTCCTGATATATGGTCATTTTATCGGGCAAAACGCCCGATTGAGCCTCTTCAAACTTCTTATAAGTGTGTGTCGACATGATGAACAGATACTTGGCCGACCACAGCGACTCAATGAGTTAAAGGGTGCGATTTTACGGTAGTTTCCTGTCTTGATTCGTTGTCAACAAGTTTTGCCGTCTATTTATTTTAATATATCTTGAAAAAAGAGCCCTTCGTGTCAAAGTGACCATTCGAGAGAGCGAAACAGTGCTAAATACAAGATAAGATGAGCTTTGGTAGCAGAAGTCGTTTTTGATAGCTGATTGTAGTGTACTTTAAAAACCCTTTGAATATAATTGTTCAAATTGGTAGTGGTCGGTAGTCTTTTGTAAGGGACTACCACGTAATTGAGACCCAAAATGGTCTGCCTCATATTATACAAAATGGTGATTGAAGTCAATGGTAATGATGACTCGAACTGAAGGTCCTATGGTGCAGGCGGCAGGAGGTCTATGCAGAAAGATGCTTTGTGGAACAAGTAAAAAAGCGGGAAGAGGGAAAACAAATAAAACCGGAAAAAAAATAATTAGTGAGTATCATCAATCCTCATTGAGTGTCAGTAATAGCTGTGCCAGACACCTCTTGGTTCCTAAATCATCACGCAAGACTTCTCCGAAAGTGTTGTCCTTGAGTTGTCGAGGAAGCACCTGTTTGAGCAATCTTCTGGCCTCAAGATTGTCACTAAGACGCAAGTAGCATCTCACAACATGTTTCAGGAGACGCCCCGGCGTCTGCTGGAGAGTCAATTGCTCGACCATAAATGTAAGCACTTGGGAAACGGCGTGGAAACGTTCTGGAGTTGCGCATATGTACTGGAGTCCTGCGTCGTCCAGTAAGATTTTTTGTAGAATGAAAATGGCCACCGTTTTGGAAAGCTCTGAAGACGACTCCATGATGCGGAGGCACAGCGGGATGATATCTGTGCGCAACAGGAATGCTATTACCTCGGTAGAGTCGTTTTTGACGAGAGCGCCAATGACTCCCAGGGACGTCAAGCGCAGGTATTCAAAAGTTCGTTGTCTTGACGTGGTGTTAAGGAAGGGGAAGAGTAGCAGTGGGATGTGTGCTTGTAAAAACAGGGTTTTAGTTTCGGGATGGGATGCTACGCACTGCAAAAGCACGAGGGCGTTGCAGACCCGGTTGCTTAGCTGGTTCGACAGTACCGGAGGCGACAGCATGGGGTACACGGAGGTTATTTCGCTCAGCAGTGCTGCAACGACTCCGAAGGATGACCACAGCACGACGGCGAGGTCCTCGTATTGCTCGCGTTTACGTCCCAGTTCCAGCAGCGCTTGCTCTTTGTTTGGGCCGTAGGTGAGCTGGCAGATCCAATGGTACACGTTGGGGTCGTCTAGTGCATGGAGTGAGTTCTGCACGTTGCCGTTGGTCGTCGTCCCGGGAGCGTTGGCATTGGCATTGGCGTTGGCATTGGTGTTAGTGCCAATAGAGTTGTTTCTGACATTGTTGGGATTATTGTTGTTCATGGAGTTCAGAGACCCTGGCAAAATCCCGGGCAGCGATGTCGGGTTCATGACAGCTGTGTTGGAGGGCGCAAACATAAGGTGCGGTGTTAGCGGGAGAGGGAGGCCTTGTGGGGGAAACGGGAAATCGCTGGTGTTTGGTGTGGTGTTGCAGTTGTCTTTGGAGGGACATTTGTATGTTGAGTTTTGAATATTTTGGCAAATAATTAAATTGGTGTGGTGGAGTCGTTTGGTACGGCAATCGTAGAGGGCGATTGCGGTTTTATAAAACAAAACTAGTGCAGGAGAGAAATAGAGAGGGAAAGAAAGAGAGAGCTGGTGTAAGAAACGATGGGTTGCTGCTAGGTATGTAGAGGTGTGGAGGTGGGATGAAGAGAGAAAAAAGACAAGAAAAAGTGTGTGTTACGTATATAATGATGTTCGTCAAGAAGTGTCACGGGTCTTGCCCTTACTTACGTGATTTTAATATTTTAGAAGTCTTTAGCTACATTCACGTTAACAAAACCAGACCAAAAAACAAAACAAAACAAAACAAAACAATTGTTAGAACACCGCTAGAGCATCGATTTCCTTGTGTAACCCAGTAATATAAATCTATGATTTTTAGACAATCAGACAAAAAAGGGCTTCTTTTGTTGTTGTTATTGTCGTACGTAATGACCCATCCAATCCTCTCTCACGCATAATCTCTCTAGTGTATATTACTTATTACTTATTATAAAAGAGAGAATCCATATACATATATCTGTTAGAACAGTCTTGTTTGCCAATTCTTCTTCTCTCTCACTGCTCTCTCCCACTGCTCTCCCTTCCTACTCGCTTCCCCCCCACTTACTTCAACAACTTCTTGATCTTGGCCACAAGCTTCTTAAAGATGCTAGGCTGTTCCTCGTTCTTGGTAGTCTCAGCACTTGGCTTGGAAGCCGTAGCAGCAGCAGTAGCTGTCTTGTCCTTAACGGTTTCAGCCTGAGCCTCAGTCTCGCTCTTGGCTGCCTCCACTTTCTGTTCCACCTTTTTCTCGGGTTCACCTGCCGCGTGCGCGGCCTGCTCCTGAGCATCTTTCACGGCGGCCTCCTTGGTCTCGGTAGCCTGCTGTTCCTTCTCATGCGCAATCTCTGCGACCTTGTCTTGGGCAACAGCGGTGGACTCAGCTAGCTTAGTGTTTTCAATAGGTGTTTCGGTAGACATTATATTATTGGTGTATAATACTGTACGATGACGGTGACGATGACGGTGTAGTGAAAATAAAGATAAACAATAATAATAGAGAGCCTGCTGTGGTAGTTGAGTTGTGGTTTATATAGTTTTCGTAAGTTATCGCTTCTGAAATGATCGGTTGGCCCTTTTTCTCTAGCGTTCCTTGTTGTTGTCTTTTTCCTTTTTTCTTTTTTCGCTGGTGTTTTTTGCATTTCAATTCATCGCTGTGGTTCTAACTAGGGCCGTAAGCCGAAAAACGGTACAGTGAGAAACACCAAGGCGATGAGCATCGAGCTAGGGCAAAAATAGCGTTTACATCAGAGAAACTACGGTGGAAAAGGGACGGGAGGGGGAGAAGCGAGAAGCGAGAAGCGGGAAGCAAGAGAGTAAATAGTTTGAACAGTGAGCGAGGCTCAGACAGGGGAGAATTACTTAGATGAGACAATGATAACTTCTCGGGCAAGGTCCAGACGTGGTATGTGGTGGTTTTCAAAACAAAGAATGTGAGAGGAAGTGAGGAGTGAGGGAGTGACAGGGAGAGAGTGTGTGTGAGAATTTGAATATGCTTTAGTTTTACTGCTTTATCTTGGCAATCCACATCAATTGTGAGGCTCATTGAAAGCTTATTGAAAGCCTACTGCAACGCTCTGCAACGCTCTGCATCGCTCTCTGCATCGCTAACGACGTCACCGATAAATTGAGGAATGCGTGCGGGAAAAGGGTCTGGACCCGCACTATGGATCTGAGAATAGACTACAGCCAAAAAAAAAATATAGAAATATAGCCATTCTTAGTGTAATCTATATAATTAGGGCTGTCGCATGATCACTTTGGGGTTTTAGTGTCGCTAAAACGGGGTTAAGCTGGGAAAGGGAGAGAGACCTCTGTCACTTTGTCTTTTCCTGTCGCTATCTGCCGTATGAAATTATAAAAAAGACTTTCCTCGCAGGACATGTATAGTGGATCCACTCTGGGATCCATTTTTATATGTCAATTGACGTCCGGGAAAGCGACTTCTGGGGAAAATAGGGATCATTTAGTCCAGGAGCCAAGTAAGTATCCGAAAAGTACCTGGTTTTCACAATTTAGAATCCACTGTAGAGTCCAATCCAATAAAGGATCCGATCCGTATATAGTTACGACCCAATTGAAATACTCAATTTGTGATCCGGATCACCCCGTTGAACATGACTGCCCTTCGGGATCCAAAAACGCAGATCCCTTCATGAACAATCGATGCCAAGGCCTCTAAATTGGCGGCAAAATTTGAACCCACATACTTTCCCATCTGTGTTTTCTTATACGCCGAGAAGAGAAATAACATGTCATTATTGACGGCAATGACATCTCTGTCTCCGTCTGTCTCTGTCTCTAATTTAAATGCCTTTTCCTTACATACACGCACATACATCATCATCATCATCATATACATGCTTTCTAAACTTGATTCGGCTCTACCAACTGGCTCTCGCCATCGGCACCTCTTGTCTTATAAGTATTCTCAAATCGCCCGCATCCTCTATCAATGGCCTAGCGGACACACTCCGGACAACGAATTGATCACACCCTGGGCATCGAAAGTGTGCTCGAGTCTGATCAACTTCAAGTCCGAGTTCAAGGTCGCTACAGACTTTCCAGGAACGTCCAAAAGCGAGCCGTCGCCCTTGTGGCCGTTGAACACTCCGTTCTGGCTGCCCCAGTGTCTCCAGGTCAAAGTCGCATTGGGCAAGTCTGTCTCCAGCGTCAGCAGTTCCCACAGAAACCCAGAACGCATAGCCTTGCGGAAATCGTCCTCGGACTTCTCGTAATTGCTTTCTGAAGCATTGTAGTTGGGCAAGTCCCCGATAAACACATTGTAGCCTCCCTTGACGGTCACGTCCTCGACTGTGTACTCACGGCTGCCGTTCACGGTCATCCGGAACACTTCAGGGTCCACAGAGATCCAGTCTGCTGGGTTGGCCTTGTGTGTTGCTTCCATCTCGAAAACACGCACCAGGTTTTGAACGGACTCTTCCAAAGAGCCTGGCTCGAAATGCACTTGACGCTGTTCGGCTAATCTTTTGTTCGTGACGTTGTAGTTGGGTTTTCCATGACGCCATACGGATTCTGGAGTCACTGCGATGACCGCTTCACGGCTCTGTAGCCATAGAGGAACGCTTTGGGTTTTGTTTTCGGTTTCTTGAGACATTATAATATTGGTAATTGATGATCTTGAATCTAATCTTGATCTTAATATTGATATTAAACTTTAAAATAAGAAAGATATCTTCACACAGGTATCCTTCGAGGCACTTTGCTGCTCTTTATATACTTCTACGTTCTTGAAAGCATTCCTGACTTGATCTGCCCTACTGTACGGTTACAACTTTTCATAACCTCGTTGAACACATGGAATGGTGAATTTATCATCAAAACGCGTTGCAACGTTCGGCGATTCAGCTGTTTTTGAACCGTTTGTTTCGCGAATCCCTGCACGAGCTGTGTATTTTTAAACCCATCGACACTTTTTTTCTCCCACACCGATACTAGCGTTATCAGATCCACGCTCGAGCGTAGGCAGTTTTTTTTCGGACCGGCGTTAACATCATTCTACCAAGAATTTTTCAGATCCGCAAGCGTTGCTGGACTCGTTCTCTCTCGTTTCTGTGATGTTAGAAATTTATCGGATCGACATGGACCGTACGTGTATGTGGCAGGTTAAGAGCGGGAAAGCGGAATTCCCAATCGTCGTTGTCGTTTGTTGAAGGAACGAAGAGAACGAGAACGTGAACGTTTTTCGGTGTTAGCTCTCTTTTAGAGTTTCCTAGCCTGGCGTATTCTAGTTTAGCCTTACTTGGCTTTTTTCACTGTTCAGTTACAATCTCTTACTCTTGCGTGTCTTGTGAGTATGCAAGTTTTTTTCGAATCTACGTCTGGACTCTGGATTCTTTGGTTTCTCTGATCTCTACTACATCTAAATTTTACAATATGACACTACTGCTCCATCAGATATTGGGTTATACTCAATGCTTCAACTGCTCCACGAGTACGTGTGGAACTTTCAGACTGGTGCACAGCATTTCACTCATCACTTGGAGGGTTACATACAAATCTGCAACTCCATAAACTTATGGAATCCATGTTGCATATTTGTCGGGACGCAGAAAATTACTAAGACGTTCATGGGCTTCGATCGATGTGATGTTTCTCAGCGTTCAAAGACTCGATCATGTCGTTGGTTTTCGTTTTCGTTTTGGTTTTGGTTTTGGTTTTGGTTTTGGTTTTGAATTCTTCTAGTAGTGGTGAGAGTTGGAAAGAAATTGAATCAACAGGAACGTTTTTATATGAAAATTGACGATGCTGTTACCCGGTCGGCAGAGATGTGACGGACAGAGGGCATACATACAAAGTGAGCGTGAACAAACAGTAAGACACAGCTTGGTGAGACAAACTTGAGGAATCGAGAAAACAGTAGACCGTACGTTTTATAATTTCTGGTCTTCCGAGTGCCTCAAATAGGCTTTCTGTCTTGGTTTTTCTTCGATTTGAAGCACGGTGGAAATTATTGAAATGAAATCTGTAATATTCGAATTTGGTCCTACAGGTGAGCTGAGAAGCTTCTAGCCAAATACTGGCCCCACAGCAATGCTTTAAGGGTCTTCACGGCTAGTGTATGCCGACATTTGGCTGGACATCGGACGCTGCAAACATGGTGGATTTGTCGATCACTTTGTACTATCATGACACCGGCCTCGAGATCGAGATCGAGATCGAGCTCGGTGACAGCGTATAGGGCTCGAGATCTTAGGTCCTCCAGTGTTCCTTTTATTATCCCATTCCATTTCATTCCTGATGTAAACCATATATATCCCTATACCAGCGTAGCGGTACTGTAGTCGCTGCGTGTATATATATTTGAAGAGTCCAGCTGCGGCGCCAGCTTGTTCGGCAGCGTCTTGGGCGTCGATATGGACGACCACGACGCAAGTCTGGGCAGCGATGGCAGCTTGGGCAGGGCCGGCAGAGACTTGAGAGCCTGCAGGCTTGGTGTGCCGACAAGTGTGCTGGTGCTCGAAGAAGCACTCATGTTGCGCTGGTGGTATTGGTTGCGAGCCATTATTTTGCGAGATCTCTCCAGATCGTATCTGATTGGCTCCAGCAAAGGTTCCAGTGAGTCGCAGAGCATGGGTTCCTCGACCCGCAAGTCCCAGTTCAGCAGCTGTAAAAGCTGGCGCTCCATCAGATTCACGTCCTCCAGACAGAACACCCCGTCCGTGTACTCTGCCCAATGCTTGTTTTGGGGCGAAGAGTCGTTATGGTATTTGGCACTAAGGATTAAGCACGCCAAGAAAATGCGGTGGCTAGTCGAGGGCAGACCGTGAGCGTCTTTGGGCAGAATTTTTTGCAATTTGTGCAGGTAGCAAGTGGCCGTGAGAAGCGTCGATGTGTAAACGTTGGTGTAGCGGACCAGCCGCGTGATAAATGTCATCAGCGATGGCAGAGACCTTTTCCCACTTTCAGAGGGACTTGCCGGAGGCGAAGGGTACGTGCTTCTCGATTCCTTCGCGCATGGTATCACGCGCAGCGTGGTGTTTGTCAAAAACCGAATCATGTCGTCAGTGACAGGAGACTTGAACAGCACACGAAGGGCCTTGAAGTCACTCATTTTGTAATTTCGAGAGCACTAAGTTAGAGGCAGCGAAACCGGTGGTGTTTTGAAGTTTTCTGAGTTTTTCGAAGTGGTTTTCTGTTTCCACAGTACTCGAAAGAACTAGTGTTACTACAGAGTATAGCTGACTGATGAAGTCTAGATAGATATATAGTGGCATTGACACAACATCGTAATCCTAACGGTAGCTACACACTTTCTTATATACAGTTTTAACCGTTCGTGTCAGTTGGGCGGATCTGTCGACCTGATTCCCCATAGCGATGCCGTGTTTATCGATGCATCAACACTTTTCGTAGTTTTCCACTATTTCGCAGTCGTCCATGTAATTTTCGTAGTTGTTGTATTTCGTGGTTACATTGCCCGAAAAAAACAGAGAACCAAACGGTTCGTCAATTTCGCATCTTCCGCCGAGTCTAGTTCACGGAATAATAGTAGTTACGGTAGGGTTAATGCTGTAGTTTCGCGGTTAGCTCTTTACCCTATGAAGATCAAATTGTCGTCCCATTTAAGCTAGTTTTGGTGGTGTTCTGATTTGGGAAGCTGTGGTGGGTAAACTTGTGGTAAACTTGTGGTAGGAGTCTTTTAAATTCGCGAGGGTGTTGAACATTTTCGCAGTAAGTGAGTGTGGTGATATATGTGGGGCTGACGGTTGCCGGGTTTTGAGTTTTGAGTTTTGGGTTTTTCGTATCATTCGAGATCGCTATACTAATTTCTTGATGGAATACCGGAAAGACAAGGTTCTGGACACCTTGGCTTTTTTTTCGGGTGCCGATATCGAGCATTTCGACTGTGCTCAAATGCAAATTCTCGCCTATGACAACATGGGAAATCTTGGGTTGTGACAGTGACGACGGTGACAAGACTCGAAAGCACTACTGCTACTGTAATGCCAATTCAGGATCTATACGTATTTATTTTGTAGAAAACATAGATTATCCACATCTGGAGATTTCATTGAGCAATTTTGTACACTTCCAGAAAGTGTGCAGGTGAGCTATGAAAGCTCGGAGTTCTCTACTGTGTCTTTCCCAAGATGACAGACTCTTGGGTGTATTGTTGAGAACATTATCTCTCCGGTCACGTGAGGCCAAAGAAACCCTGGGAAAATGGCACTGAAAGATCGAAAACGCTTTCCCATATGTTAATCATACAGTCAAAATAGCTGTCACCAATTACTCGACCTATTGCTGATCGTGTCTCAGCTCTCTGTGCTAGTTTCTATTCTTGTTTTGTTTTTTTTCCTGCACCCCCAACCCAGGCCGAATTCCCGGCTGGATCTCTTCTAGAGACGCGTATTATCCTACATCTGTCTTTTGCAAACGTTTGTCGAGGCTTTGAACAGCAGCCTCGACCTTCAGTGTCCCTTCAGTGTCCCTTCTTGAGCATGACAGATCGAAATTCTCCTTCTTCAATCGCAGCCATTCTAAGCCTCCAGCTCGAAACTCGACTTCACCACACCGATCACAGCGCTGCTCTGAATCCTGTCATTACCGCCCTTCGAAATCGCATACTCGACATCCGACAATTTGCTCAAAAGTTGTGTTCGCGTTTCCGTCTTCAACTCGTACTCTGCCAAGACCTCCACTATGCCCTCGATGAGATCGATCAAAGCCAGACCCTTGCTGGTACGTATTTTGTTCACGGTGAAAGAAGCAGTGCCCCAGTCGTCCTTCAGCATTGACTCTAGTGCAGTCTCGATATCTTGAGGATGAGGAGCACCAATGCACTCATATATAGTGTTTTCTGTGACTTCTTCGGAGCTTGGATCGTCCAGTGTAGCTTTGCTTGCCTGCAATACGTTCAGAGCTCTTCTCATATCGCCCTTGGAAAGCTTTAAAAGTGCCTTTAGTGCCTCTGGACTGAGCTTCAAGTTCTCCAAGATTAAAACTTTATTCACACGCTTCTCGATGGCATCAACGGGCAAAGGTTGAAACCGGAATCGCGTACATCTACTCAGAAGGGCGGGGGTCAGTTTGTGGGCGTAATTCGCCAGGATACAGAACCGGGTGTTTTTCGTGTACTTCTCGATGATCCGCCTCAGGGCATTCTGTGCTGCATTTGTCATGGCGTCTGCTTCATCCAGAATGATCAGCTTGAATCCTTTGGAAAAAATCTGGCGCGTTGAGGCAAACTCTTTGATCTGGTTTCTCACCACATCGATACCTCTATCGTCCGATGCATTGAGCTCCAAAACCATGTTTTTGTAGTTTTTGCCGAAAATCTCTCTAGCGAGAGCCACAATCATAGACGTCTTACCAGTTCCTGGGGGACCATAGAACAGTAGATGCGGCAGTCTTCCCTCTTTCACAAATTTCTTCACCGTGCCAACAATCTCTCGTTGTCCGTATACGTCGTCCAGCGTTTCAGGTCTGTATTTCTCAATCCATGGTAGGTTTTCGGATGATCTACTCATTGCGGTCTTTCTAAAAACAACGATGGTTGCAGTGAGACAGTAGCGTCTTCAGCGTATGGCTTTCTAGATCAAACTTGGATGGTATTCTTGAAAGTGTGTAGCTGGGATATGTTAAATAAGTTGGCCTCTGCTAGTATATCAGTATCATTATAGACGACGGGACATTATCACGACTATTTTTCTTGACAACAGCGCCAACCATCTTTGGGCTTTATGGATCCGGATTGAAGTGACACAAACTACTTGTGGGACGGATTCGTGTCTTGTGTAAAGAAATTGTTGTTGTGTTGAAGTAAGCAAACGCTATCGTTTCTTTCAACCACTTTTGCCAATTCTTGTCCATGTGCACGTGATCTGGAATTTCAGCGACAATTGTGTCGTTTTAAAATGTGCTATTTGAAGGCTACGCCAATTACTTGCAATCTTTATTTTGGACTCACTGAAGCCCAAACTATTGTCACCCTCCCGTGTCTATCTCTTGTTTCGAAAAATATCCGGTATTTTGAAGAAACCCGAGATTTGAATGTCACACAAGTCTGCAAAAAGAATCAAATCTAACACACAACAAATATCACTTCAAATACCTCTATTCTCACCTTTAAAGTCCAAAAAACCTCACGCAAATGCTCATCCTCTCTGACAATCATCCTGTCTGACAATCGCTTTACCAGCCCTATCTATTCTCTATAGTTTTCTTCAAATCTGATCGCTTTCAACAAATCGTCCCAGTGGCCGAGTGGTTAAGGCGATGCCCTGCTATTCGACATATCGAAAGCGAGTTAGGCATTGGGTTTTACCTGCGCAGGTTCGAATCCTGTCTGTGACGTTATTTTTTGAAAATTCCAAAGAGAATCACTATATACATCTCTAAATTAAGAATATCAGATTGATATATATGATTTGCATACTTTCCAGCAAAAAGTTCAGCTACAACACACCGTTTTCCTCATTTTTTTGCTTCAATTGCGAGCTAGAGAGCTCCGGCCTATTTTTGCGGTTCTTCTCGTACTTTTTTCTTGGTTTTTCCCTCACGGATCGTCCTTGTATACAGCGTTTATGAGACCTTAAAAAGATATCTAAGATCTTAGGTCCTGTCTACAGATAAAAATGCTGTTTTTCCTATGGTTTTGTATCACAGCAGCTTGGGCTTCGCTAGACTTCGCCGAATGGAATGATGTAAGACAGTTTGAGCGTCCAGACGGATTTTCGTCGCCACTTTTTCAAGAGCGATCGTTTTTCAACTCTGGCATGATTGAAGAATGGACGCCTGTGCGATCGACTATTGCACCCGGCAATCGCCAATATTTCACTTTTCCGGTCAATTCCAGCTATTCACGTATCATGTCAAGTGTCGATATGCTTGTCTTTCTAAGTGGTAATGTGAACACCCAAGCACCCGAGCTTTTCCACTCGCATTCTGACCTCGCACTTGCCGTTTACTACACGTTCGATGAGACGGTTCTTTCTAACATCACAGAAACGGGGAACCTAGCGCTTTTTCAGGCCGGATATTTTGAAGCACTGGCACTGCGGCCCTTAAACCAAGATGATAACTCCACTGAATATTCCAATCTTTTCCTGGTCGTTGACATCTACAACACTTCGTCCAAATCGGTGGTGGTACCGTCGCAAGTCACTGAGCCGCTTTTTTGGAATTACACGCTAAGCATTTCGCAGTATGATTTGGTTTTCCAATGGGACAATCGTGCTTGGATAGAATTGGTCGATTCTGATTATGACTCAGCTCTACTGGTTACAGGAAATGTCACACAAAGCGGTGCCACAAACTCCAATTACTCCATATATGATACCGCCTTGTACGACCTATACCTCTACTCATATGACGACATTGATTACTTTGATAATTCCTTAACACATTCACTCGGTGCCGTGCGTAACGGTCCTTACTTGGCATCCTCTGCAATGAACGCGAGCTCAACGTATGGATATGAGGCTAACAACTCAACGGGACTGGCAATTCAAAAGTCCATCACTGTTAGAGAGGGATCTGTGAAAGAGCAGTTTCACATAACGGGCTTGAACGCTTCAACAACCTATGTTGTGTATCTTACCAAGAAGATCTCGGATAACCAAAACGTTTTAAGTTCAGATGGTGGTGTTTTGTTTTCAAAATCTACGTTCAACACGCTAAGCGACAATTCCTGTTCCCTCATTTTTGGTTTAGATTTCTGTGATGGAGTTGCGTATTCAGTACCAACATCGAGTCTTGCCAAAGACAACAAAACGGCTAACGCGATCATGTACGATGACATTGCGAAGTCTTTGTACGCGAATTTCAGTAAAGCATTACAGATCATACCTTGTGACACGGAGGATGATGCTAGATTCTCTCCGCTCAGGTCTTGTGATGATTGCGCTGATGCCTATAGAAACTGGCTCTGCGCTGTAAGCATACCGCGTTGCACGACATTGCAATCCAAATACTTCATTCACAGAAAGAAGGACGACAATAGAAATGATTACTTGAATCAACAAATTCAACCATTGAATGACTACTTTGAAGTCCTACCTTGCGTTGATATGTGCTATAGCCTAGTTACAGATTGTCCTCCCGATTTTCAATTTTCATGTCCCAGCAAGACATCCCATTCGGAATTATTCTACCTCAGTTACAATGTTTTTCAAAATGGCGAACCGTTCGATACGTGCAACTATGTGGGGTCCTCCAAGAATCTACACATCATTGGGGCCTAGTCGAGAGTGATTCTCTTCTTCCTCACCTTCGAGAGGTCGCTTCGTGCCCGCAGCTGGCGCTTCATCACTTACCGCAGGCTCTGGGCCACTGACGTCAGCCGCTGAATCGCGTTGCGCCTGGACATTCAACTCTTGTTGCAGGCCGCTGACCTTTTCTTGAGCTTTCACCATTTCTTCTCCGACGTTCACTGCAGAACCTTTTTCCAAAACTTTCTCCAGAACTTCGGTCCACACCGCTTCATCATTTTCAGTGAAATCCTCCATTTTGAAAACATTCTGTTTGTCAAGAGCCCAATCCTGCTGCTGGCACCTAATCAGTTTTACCATGTACGACGATGAGCGCATTGCTTTGCCGATATCACTGATCAGCGATCTTATGTATGTGCCAGACGAGACTTTGGCCTTGAAGTGCAACAAAGGAGCACGGTATTCGTCACCTTTCTCGATCAAAGCATGAATTTGTTCGTCGTTCAAAGTAAAAGGCGGCTCCACTTGAGCATTTTCTGTTTCCCACCCTTGCGAGTCGCAATATTGTTTAGAAAAATACAATGTATCGGTCAACAAATTCTTTTGGTGGCTCAAGCCTGACACAGTTTCCTCACTTTCCTTGGTTGTGGGTCTCAGGAGCTGATAACCATGATCTGTATTCAGCGAGTCGGGGAAGATTTGCAAGCTGTGTATTTCTACCTGTCTAGGTTCAATGGCACGGGGAAGGGGCAACCCTTCGCGTGCGTATTGATGTAGAGGCTTTCCGTTCATTTTAAGAGCCGCGAAAATCGGAGGCGTTTGTTTTAACGTTCCTACAAGTTTCTGTTCCATGGTTTTGAGTTCTGCCATTGTGAGATGGTCAACTGCATGCATTGACAAGATTTCTCCCTCTACGTCTCCAGACGTGGTCGAAACCCCGAAAAGCGCCTCGCTTTCGTAAACTTTGACGGTGCCTGAAAGATACTGTCCCAACTTTTTGGTACCGGTCCCGACACCAATTACTAACACACCCGATGCTAGTGGATCCAAGGTCCCGCCATGACCCATTTTTACCTTAGAAACTTTCCGCAATTTCCGCTTGCTTGGCACCTTTCCTGTTTCTCGTTGGAACTGCTGCATTCTTTCCGCTGTAGCCCGTTGAATCTCTTTAGAGAATACTGAACTGCTCATCAGCACATTTTGCAGTTTCAATAGAAACTGGCTCGACGAAATTCCGCTGGGCTTTTCAATTGCAAAAATTCCATTCATTTCTCCTTGTCAGCAGGTCTGGGTGCGCTTGATGTAGCGTGTGCTCAAAAGAATCAGTTTCCCGTTTACTTGATGTCTTTATTCACACACTGACATGTTGTCCCATCTCATCTCATCGCATCTCATCTGGTAATGGAATTTTTCACTCACCTCATACGGGCTTTGAGATCTCGAAATCGAGCTGTGATCATGTTTTACGGTTAGTAACAATAAAGGCCAGCTTCGAATGCTGTCGTCACCAGGCTCAAACTGAGAGGTTCGGATAGTACCTTAAATTTTGGTTTGTCCAAAATTCACACTCTCTGTTCAATTCGCTGGCTTAAACTTTAGAAGTTTTGTCGTTTTTCTGAACATACCGAAAGATATCCGGATTTTCGCGGCGAGATCAGCCGAAGTCTTCGCTCTTGAAATTCCGGAGATGCATTTAGCGTTTTGACGTAGTCTTCGAGTACCAATAATGGATTTTCAAATACTCTGGCAGCGACAAAGCTCCATAAATGGAATGTGAATATGTCAAGGATGGAGTTCACTAAATTCCACCCAGCGGTTGATGTGTATGCTTTCAGCAGATACTCATTGATGGTTTCCACCAGTTCTTGGAACTCCGAATCGCTCATGAGTCCGCTCAGCGGACTCACTGACGACATTCCGTAGATCTGGCCTTGGTAGACACCACGGGGAACAAAATTTACGCTGTTGGCATTGTCCACCAGTGCAGCGGGCTCCCGTCCCGGTAGCTGCGTTGAAAACGCAGGAACATCGACAGTTTGTTCGAATCTGCGGGGGATTCTGACTAGCCGCGTTTCTTGGAAACGTGCAGACCCCAGTGCACAGTACACATTGGGGAAATGTGTTATGCACAATGCTTGGTCGCCTCCATGCTCAGTCTCTTGATCTGAGCCCAAATCCGCGTATTTTGTAACCGAGAACTCGTGGTAATTGAAGAAAAGGGCCTGCTTTGACGTTGGATTCTCAGCTTCTTTGTGCGAACTCGAACTCACCAGGGTACTATTCATGTAGCTGGAACTGGGAAGAAACAGTGTGAATCTTTTCTTACAGTGGCAGACTGCTGGATGGCTGCTGGATGGCTGCCGTCTGTGTGTTGTACATGGTTTTGAAGAAGAAAGACATAGAGCTCATCGCTTTGGCTTTCCCTTGCATTCTTTACTTGGCATTTTTAATTGACATCTAGTCGATCACGTGTTGATGAGCCAAAATTTAATTCGAGTTAGCAAGAAGGGAGCCATTTCGTGCGATTTGGAAAGCCGGTAATTAATATCTGCTTTGTTTGCAGCATTGGAGCAGCTTTGACTATTCTTTGCAACATTTTTCTGACGAAAACTGAATGAGTTTTATGTAAAAAAAAAATTCGTTTTCTTCCGCCTGACTGCTCAAATTAGACAATGGTTTATCCTTAGAATTATCATAAAATGCAGATTTCTGGTGGCAAAAGAGGCTAAAATCAGTTCATTTTCACGTCGCATCACTTCGGGTCTGTTGGCTTCCTACTATCAAATCTTCTCTTTCGTCCAAAGTGAGTAATACACACAGTAGATAAAAACAAAACTACCAGAGCATATCTAATGTCAAGCAAATTAGTTAATTAGCACTGAATGGTTGTGGATTTTTCAAATTTTGTATTTTCTGACCAACTAGCTAGCTTCTCTTTATGTTGTTATTTTCCCGGCGACATACCTGTAAAAAAATCAGATAAATAGGTCAAAGATGAAAAAAAATTCAAGTGCAGAAAACCTGACAAGTACCATAATTGAAGATGGTCTACCTTGGAGATTTAGAGGTCTGTGCATTATGCGACTCCAGCTGTACAGCTTTCGGTTATCGTTATTTACGTTGTTGATGTTATCAACTATCTAGCGTCTTATTAGTAGAAAGTGATACACTTCAAATTACGATTTCTCTACTCAATGTCTTATTTCAATATCATAGTTGAAGTCAACTTAGCTTCTGCTCCAAAAAGCCAGCTCAGAAGCATCAAAAGGATCGTCACAGTACCAATGACCTCGCCAGAAAAGGATTTCATCAATAAATTCGTGGCCCTGGCTACTTTACGGCAATCAGCCCTTTCTTCCGACTCCAAAAAACCATTACAAGATGTTACCAACCTGGGCGTAGCATTACCGGCTTTGAGATACAAATATAATCATAAAAGGGCCAGAAAAAGTGCAGGCGCCGATTCAGTTGTTCAGCTACGCTTGAAATCTGTCAGAGCGCCCAAATTTGTACACTCGAAGGCATTTTCCGCTACCCAGACCATATATCAAGTAAAACGGTTTTTGGTCGAGGTTGAAGACTCAATTGTCGACAGCTCGCAATTGAAGGTACTGTTGAAGGGCAAAGTACTGCATGATAATATGCTGGTGTCAGATCTAAAGGTGGAAGAGGCCGATCTGGTTATCATGGTGTCTAAAGCTCAGCAATCGCCGCCTGTCACCAGCCAAGAAAGCACTCAATTGGCATCTGTCGAAGTCCCTTGGAACAAGATCAAATCGCTTCTTCATGCGGAGATCTCGGATGCTGCCATTGCAGAGTCCGTTTTCGAACGTCTTCAAAAGGGATGGCAATCGACAGAACCCTCAGATCTGGACTGATGGCTTTAATATAACAATCAATGATGGATACCAAGAATAGTACGCTTGAGACATTTTTAAGACAGCTATAGCTATGTCTTGTATATACATTATTCGAGGTCTCTTTTGCCCAAAAAAAATATTAGAACAGGCTCACTTTCTTCGGATTTGCCGGACCTTTTCCTTTATGCTGTTATTCCAGTGTGCAGCTGTAAGGCTCCGCCTAAAGCCGTACACTTCGGAAGATAATGCGTTATCGACAAAGTCTGATCCCATGGAATTGTCCCTCTTTGTGTTATCTTTTGTGGCAGTTCTGTCACCCATAATGTCAGCGTAATTTTTAAACTTTAGCCGTTGCGCCGAGACATACCTACGGCATCTATCGATTTCATCTTGACTAAGATCATTCAGTGAATTTCGCCTCTTGAAAATAACGCGCTCGAAGATAATCTGTGGATCAAGGAGTTTTTTTGGGACACTTTGTATAGCTTGAAACATCTCGATATCGCTATCATCTTTGCTGGGATTTTTATTGCGCATCATTCGACGAGCAGCAGTAACCTCTTGATCACAAATCCTCAAAATGAACAGAGACGTTTTGAATAATACGTGTGACTCTTCGTAGAATAAGCAGTCCCAAATTCTCAATGTGGTCTCGATTGGCACCACACCTACGAAGCAGCTCATAAACCAGCCTGCCGTGCATAAGGTAACCGGCGGTAACTTGTAAAGGAATTCATTGTTTCGACTTTGTTCTTTTGTTACGATTCGCTGCCAAAAGTCCGGCAGGTATTCTTTAACGCAAAGCATCAGAACGCCTTGATCAATATTAACACCTTCCAAATTGATGTTGTGTACGCCTGGTAGATACCGTGATGTGATAATGACGAGCATCCAAAATGTTCGCTCTTCATCGAGGAACAATAAAAGTAAACCAGCCAGAAAATTCATTGACTGACAATAACCAATCTTCGGATTGTAATCAGAGAATGCCAGCAGCACCCGACGCAACGATTGGATCATCAGCGGTTCTTCAATGTCATTAGGTTGCTTTTGAAAATGTATGTTTTCAGGAAATGTTCTATGCAGATCTCGTTCGATTACTTCGAGGTCTCTACTAGAGACTTTATCATTTCGAGCATTGACGCCAGCCAAAAGTTTGTCATAAACGCCCTTATTTTTGTTCAGTTTTTCCTGGCCGCGTGCAAACTGCCACCAGGCCTGTCCCCTCCATTCTGCAGGAATGCCTTTACGTACATATCGCTTCAATTTCTCGCTTCTGGGCGGAAACCTGTCTGGAACATCGTTGTTTGACGTCGCCAAACCACTTTTGGCCAGTAGATCTTGCCATTTGCGTTTTCTGCGAATACAATAGCGAGAGTATTCTTCCCACCATTCGTGATATTGCTCCTGTGTAATATACGCATTTTGTTTCTTGAACCCATAGCGATCATATTGCGAAAGGTCTTTGTCGACCTGATCCCTATTTACCTCGTCACTGGAATTTTGGACTCGAATGGTCACAGAAGGCGATTGTTTCGGAGTGGTCTCAATTCCAGGGTTTGTGTGCCTATCTTGTGCCACTTCAGCACTCTCGTTTTCGTCATCATCCTGGTCGTCGTCTTCGTCGTCGTCATCGTCACCATATAGATCGATCAGGCTTGCGTTGGTTGGATCTTCCGAAACTGGCGCTGGAGATAAATGACTTTGCGGTCTTTCAGGAGACAAACGTGCTCTAAAGTCACCACGGAACGCTCCATTCAAATTAGGCACAGATGGTGATTTTGAGGACAGGTAAACCATGCGACCTCCAGACTTGCCGTTAGCACGTAAAGCCCCCACACTATCGTCCATCTCCTCCGCAACCCTAAGCTTTTAGCGTCTCAATAAAGGGCTTGTGGCACCAGTACTTTCAGAACTTGTCAAGTTTTTGATTTAATGACACTTCAGAAAATGTGGGTATGATGATGATGATGATGATGATGATGATGATGATGATGATGATGATGATGATGATGCAAATGCCAAAGTGACAAAAATTGTAGCCCGGAGAACAAACCTAACAAGACTTTGCCAAAGTATAGAGTCAAGTTATCCTCGGTGGGCACCTGTAAACACCTCATTCTACTCATGGAACCAAATAACAAGCTTTTCTTTTAGTAACCTTTGTCATGCGAGTAAACATTATAGCAACTTCGAGAGCGAGAATGCTAAGAATGAAAGTAGTAGTCTTGCAGAAAAAGGATGAAAGCGTACTCTGAAAACTGGTTATTATCAATTCTGAACAGAGACTGGTCCTGAGTGCGGCCTTGTAGTAAATTTTGGCTGCTGCCATGTCGAACGAGGACAAGGAACTCGAAAAAGAGGGTCGTGAGTCCGATTTTTGAACGTCATTGGCATGAGAAATTCCAAATCATTGGCATCAGCTCAGCTCTTATACCTGAGGCATTAGAAGACTTGATTGTAAAGTGTTTTCGCTTAACTAGTCCCATTGGTTTATTCTTGGTATCAAAAAGGGAGGATCAACAGTTCATAAAACCAAGTTGGTGTTTGTTTCGTCTTGAACTGGAATACAGGTTATGGATTGCCTATAACACGTTTCATTGCATGTAGAAGGACGCTTTTCAGCTTTCTAGCCCTTTCGTAAGGCTTCCTTCATTCAGACGACAGTGACTTCTATAGAGCACTGATCTGCTCTCATCAGAGCAAGTAGTAGTAGATACGGACACCTTCTAGAAGCGCGTACTAAGTCGCGTTCAGATCAGGGTTCAGATCGTTGATCTAGTAAACAGGACGCCTGATACGACAAACTACATATTTCGGCGGCTATTTATTTAATTATAGTTTTTGGAACCCCTTCGCACATTCAGCGCCACAACACTTTGAGCTTCTTTCAACAGCTGTTGAACGTAAATAGATTTTCGGCATGAAAGAAATGAAGCTTCAAGATGATTGTGGTGAGAGGAGAGGAAGACTTGCTGAAGACCATTGAAGGCTAGAAGTCGAAGTTTTGATGAGATTTGACGCCTTTCTAATTTTACGAGGTTTCGTAGAGCCCATTCGAAGAACCATTCGTTATAAACGATTACAAATCTCTCATTTATTACGTCTATGCTGATTTAAATTAAATCGCTAGGAACGAAAAAATTGAAAACCAAATATCACTTCTAACGCGGAAGGAATCAATTACATATCTACTGTACAGAAGTCGAAAGCTAGCCCAGCTCATCGCTTCCATACAACAGATCGGAGACGCTCAAAAGTCTAAACCACCCAAGCTTTTAATTCCCAAGTTATCGAAATCTAGCTTTGGCTGGCTTAACCGATGCATTCTTTGTCTTCAAAAAGTCCTTAAAGGTCTTTATTGTACTAGGAGAACAAAAGTAACAATCGACAGTTTGGGTGTCTCAAAACGGTTGACGCAGTCATCATCATCATAGTCATCGTCATCGTCACATTAAATTGGTATCAAGATGGGAAAAGCAGATTCTTGGCGGTATGATAAAGGTAGCGATACCTATGAGAGCTGCGAGAGTCTAGACTTGGGTAGCGGAATTTTATTACAATCCCATAAGGATAGCCCCATGGTTTTTTACAACGACGTAAAGTTCACCAGTTATTGCGATAATGAAATGCCGGTATATTCGGCACTTGTGAGGACCGAAAATTCCTTCCCGTATTTGGATGCCATCCAGCAGGACTGGGGCAAGTTCATTTCGGTGGACGACAGCGATCGTGGTCCTTTCAAATATAGCATTTATGCGATTTTGGTGTCATTCACGGCCAATTTCATCATCGTGCTCTCTCTTACCATCATTGTGTTTATCACAGTACGACAAAAACCATACCGTGGCGCTTCCAACTTGCTGAAACTAGGTAGTTCCCTGGCGTCTATCAATCTCACAATCTTTGTGGCAAAAGCTTTGGACGTACTGAAAGACGAGCACATTAATAAAGGCATTGTTTCCACGGATGAGGTGCTGGACTTACTTTCCCACGACACAGCGTTCACTTGCCTAGATTTTTTCGTTGTACTCATTTGCGAACTATGTCAGGTTCAGATCGTGATGAGACTTTTCTCGCGAGTTCGCGAAAAAAGGCTCGTTTTTTTCACCGGAATCATACTTTCCATCATTTCACAGGTTCTTTGGGCCATTCCTTCCTTTTCGAAACTTGCAAGAAATCACTACATGGGTGAGTCATACGATGAGGATGGTCTCATTCTACTGTCACCTTTCGTGTATCTCATGCGAATCACATTCTCTGCATTTTTCGCCAGCATCATAATCTTCAATGTGTTCATTAAGCGACAGCTGTGTTTACATAACCAGCGGATGACACTACTGACTCTCATCACCATTTTGATTATTTTTCTACAGCCCGCGTTTTTCGTCGCAGATGTGACGAACATCTGGGTCGATGACCTCAGTGAAATCTTCAATACTACGTGTTACGTCGGATCGGCCGTCATAGTGTGGCAGTGGGTCGACTCTCTGCTGATTTTGGAAAGAAAAGTACAGGCGCAGAGCGTGCTGGGTCGTCCAGTATATGAAGACGACCAGGAAGACAATTATTTCGCAAGGTACGCATTGAAAACTCAGGAACCGACTACCGTTAACGACAGTACTTCTGGTAATAGTGATAGCAGTGCACCGCATGGCAACATACCGTCTCAGGTGGTCAATACGCTCGATGCTAACAAAGTTGAATTTAGCGAGCGGCCACCCGTGAAGGAGAGAGTTTGGCAGGGCTGCACGAGAATTATAGATGGAATGCTGTATTATACCGACCATTTTATTGTCAAGGGTCTGGTAATTAAGACATTGAGTTTTCAATCAAAAAACAGTAGCGACGACTACAGCAAGCGCAAAGCAAAGGTTAGAAGAAGAATAGGTTTGGACAGACCCAATGAAATTTACGTTTACGCTACGAGGGATGTTATATTTGACTCAGATGAAGCGGACGACGATAGTGTGGTGGAGGAAGAAGGAGATTCATCTCGCGGCGATCACGAGGGGACAAAGATGTCCGTTTGAGCATTCACCGAAGCTGCAAACCTCAAACCCAGGTGGCGAGGAGTTTACAAAACAATACAACTGTATAGCCGTTAGCTAGGTGCAGTGTGAATGTATTACTACTTATACTCGTTAATGAATTCTTCCCATTCTGTAAACGCTTCGTGAAATGTCCTACAATGTAAGCTAATTGGATGTTTCATGTACCGGACACCATTTCTACTCATCTTGTAGTTCTCATTGATGTTGTAAACAAAATCATTGTCGATATTTCTGCCCCAAAACACTCGATGCCTTTTAGCATAATTAAGCCAGTGCAACCTTCTAAATGCTGCGACGGGACTTAAACTGGACACACAATCGATTGAATTACCGCTGAAAAATATCGATGGCAAATAGTCGCAAAGATTTTGAATTAACGTATTCGTTTTGAGTCCGACTCGTTTCTCGAATTTCGTGCCGTATTCAGATTTGCCGTAAGAGGTCATAATAGTCCTCAGCAAAGGGTCCGTGTGGTCTACGATCCGCTTTAACAAAAATCTTCTAAGGAGCATTCGCGAGGAAATTGTCTTTTCAATGTAAATGTACAAAGGAAGGTCGTTATTGGTGAATTCTGTGTCAATGGTGAGTTTTGTTGCCTTTTGGAATTCTTTGGCCAAGAAAGTGCTCAGTTTGTTGACATCTGTCTTAAAGACATGCTGGTCGCTTCTGATAAACTTGAACTGGCTTAGTGAGCTGTGAGACTGCGCGAATTCTTCTTTAGATTTGGACGTTGGTGCGCTTGCCTGGGTCTTGCCGGTACTTTTGTTCCTGGTTAGACTGATATCAACCAAAGAGGTTTCATCGTTGATCTTGGCGTTATGAAATTTTAGCTTGATCAACTTCGGAGCTTTCAACTTAGCAGTTTTGCTTTTCCTTTCAACTCGTATCAGCTTGTATGGTCTGAGCCTATCGACGACGGTACGCGGAACGGCTTTGAAAGGATCGTCGTTGTAAACCATACCACTTATAGATGCATCCCAGGGAATGATAGGCTTCTTCAATCCGTCATGGTTGACTGCCGTTTCTGTAAAATTCTCGTCACTTTTCAAATCATTGATTATTCCTTGCACATCGATCTCCGAAGTCGAGCCATCGGTTACTTTCTTGACCTTAGTCAAAGTGCTGAAAATAGTTTTGAGGTTATTACGAGATGCTCCAGAGTCAATTGATGCATTTCCCAGAAACAATGGTTTATTTCCAGCAAACAACCCATCGGTGTGAAGTTCGTCCTGTTTAATATGATCAGTGGAACCTACTTTCGGAAGCAACATTAATTGCTTCTCAACGGTTTTCGAGGCATTATCCTCCTCCAATGCTGAACTTGAATCGTTCCGGACAATTCTAGAAACTTTCTTGACCTTTGAACTTTTATGCGTTTCTTGGACACATTTGGACGAGCTGAACGCTCTGCTGTGGTTCAAAATTGCCGAGGATTTGGTACCCAGCCGTGAAAGCCGTCGATAACGGTAATGGAGAGTCCTTAGCATCCTCAAGCTCCGCTAGTAGAGACTTCTTGAGTTCAAGCTTGATCTTCAACCGACATCGTTATGAGATGACAATCAGTAGGCCTTTAAGCCTATAGATGACCTCTACGTTCCGATAGGTAAATTCAAAACCAATTATATTCATCAATCATCCGCGATAGTTTAGTGGCTAGAATTCGGGCTTGTCGCGCCCGGGACCGGGGTTCAATTCCCCGTCGCGGAGTATTTTTTGCTTGCAAGAAAAAAAATCAGCAAGGGTGGTAACATGAATCCAAAAACATTAATCCTTACTCGGAAGACTTGCTTTGTGCTTCTTGAGTCGAAAAAGACTCTCATAATGTGCCATATTGCAACTTTAGTAACCTACACTGATATTTTCATACACGAGTACTTTCTTCAACCCACTTAACTACGTGAGTACATCATCGATAAATTAATTAACGATAAATGAGAATCATCCTGCTAACACGCTAAAACCCTATAACATGTATTCTGAGTTATATTTCGTCAACTAATCTTATTTGAGGGCGTTTGCAGGGTCAATTGCACACGCATCAGTAGCTGGTCAGATTTTGAGCAGGTCTCGGATGTCTACTAAAGTGTCTTTCGAGAAATTTAAGCATCAGCTATTCCGAGAACTGCATGTATTATCAACAGAGTCCAAACGCAGAAGCACAGAAATAAAACATGCAAGTGACAAGTCGCAGGAAATTTTGAAAGTTGTGAACAGCTTCGATGATTTACTGCGTCATCCAGACTTTGTCGCACCCTTTGTGCTATCTTGTGCGTCTAGAAATGCTAAATTGACAACCATTGCCATGCAATGTCTTCAAAGGCTTTCAGGGATCAGAAGCGTTCCAAACGAGAAACTGCAAGGTGTGCTGAATGCTTTGATGGAATCTTCTCATTTGGCCGTGGAAATTCAACTCAAAGTCTTGCAAATAATTCCTATTTTCTTCAAAACCTACAATGATGCCATCACCGGCCATCTGTGTGCCAAGCTTCTATACTGCTGCTCAAGTCTACTGCAACAACCTAACAAAGCCCCAATGGTTGTGGGAACAGCTAGTGCTACGCTCCAGCAGCTGATAAGCGATATTCTGGATCGAGCCAGTACGCCCGAGAACTCTAATAGTAACACGTTTGAGGTGGCTATCAGCAATACAGATTATGATGAAGTGGGACCTTTTCGATACGATGCGAATCGCTTATTTTTTGACCTCTGCAGCCTCAAGAGTGGATCACACGGCAAACAAGATAATATCCTTAACATCGAGAGCGTTCCGGAAGATTACGGTCTAGAGATTTTAGAGAGCGTGTTGAACAATCACCATAAGCTCCTTGAGAATTGCTCCGACTTGCAGTTCATTTTGAAAACTAAAGCTGTACCTCTTCTTCTGCGATCAGTCTCCTCTTCTAAAGAATTTCCCATAGTAGTTAGAAGTGCCAGATGTTTAGTGATGCTCATTAAACCTGAATTTCTGAAAATACTAGAGCTGGAGCTGGAAATCATCTTATTTTTGCTCATCAAGGTTATTAGCAACGAAATCGACTCTCCCATGTGGAAGAAGATCGTTACTTTGGAAGTATTTCAAATCATATCAAAAAATCTGACGTTGTTGCTGGCCATATTTCAGTGTTACGACAGAAGGGATGACCGCAGATCCATCCTGGAAAGCTTGTTCGAGGCTCTTCAAAACTTGATGTCCTCCACTGAGTATCAAAGTTACTTGAAAATTTCCTCCATTTTGAGTCGGGGCGACAATCCCATAATATCGCAAGAGAACTCTGTGGCAAAATTTTCTTTGATAGAGCTCCTTGACAAGACGAGTCCACCACTAATTGACCAAACATACGGAGTGGTTCTTGTCCTGTTCATTACAAATCAAATCTCTGATGAAATAGGCTCTTACGCTGTCACAATCAATCAGAAGGACCCTGGCGAAGATGCTTTAGAGCTTTTTAGATCTTATTTTGTGGCTCTTTTTCCTGGCCTTTTTGCCTTGCATAGAATGTTTCTCTACTCGACCACGCTGGATACACCTCTATTCCATTCCGTGATAAGAGCTTTTCAAAAACTCTCGCATTCCTCTGGTATACTCGACATCAATGATAAACTAAGCCAGTGTTTGGATTTATTTGGAGCTATTACAGTGGAGGGCGGTTTTTCAAGTACAGAAGAATCAAGTTACACTGAGCACAGCGCGAACCCCGCGACAGCTATGCTTAATACTATAGGTGAATCCATCATGGGGAATGCACAACAATCTAAAGAAAATTGGAGCGAGCCTAATCTGATTTCACGTCCAGTGCACCCCCGAATGATAAGCGTATTCAGAGCCCTAATCTCGCTATCAACATCTCTAGGATCGAGTTACGCCCCAGCGCATTGGGCAAGCGTTCTTAAGACATGGCAGTGGATGTCCTATTTTCTTCAAAGTTCTTCTCGAGACCAGGAGGGATCCCTGCGATCCCCATCCACCTCTCATTCCATTGTCGCTGACTTGAGTGCTGTACAATCGAGCGTAGGAAAGTTTTACGAGAGTACTCAAAACTATCCAGATGCGAGTTTCAATTGTCTCATACGTCTGATGGTACAAGAGTCGTCAGATTGTTTGAGAACTTCAACAAAAGATGCTCCGTTCACGGAGCATGGACCGAGGACTGCGCAGGGCAAGCTGGCAAATTGCGCATACAACAAGGATTTTTATATTCTACAGATAGGAGAGCTAAGCCGTCTCAACATAACAAGGTTGCTTAAAGAGACAGGCGAGCAAACAACTTGGCAGCTCATTGTCGAGTATCTAGTATCAGAGGGTGCGAATAGGGAACTTGAAGTCAAGGCTTTGAGGTTCTGCTCCGTTGGTGTGCTCAATGATATAATAACTGAGGCTGCAAGGATTTTCGGAGATCGTGAGCTTGATACGGGTAGCGAACCAGAAACGATTCAAAATAGGCTGCTCAGCGCGCTGAACGACTTAGTGCAGAGAATAATCGGGTTGGATCGTAAACGGGAGGCTGTCCAAAACGGCTCGATAGATACTGAGTGCGATATCTTGTTGCAAGTACTGCGTACGTTGAAAGCGCTTTTGGACGTTTTTGGAGATTGCCTCAGGGATTCCTGGGACATTGTCTTCAAAATAATAAACTCACCTTTTGACATCATTGAGAAAGACGCCGTTCTTGATTCGTCGATACTAGAAGAAGACAGCTCGATTTTGGATGTGATATCTTCAAAACATAAAGGAATGATTCAAGTTTCTTTTGATGTCTTCAAGCTGATATTTGACGATCTTTTACAAACCTTACCAGCCGAAGTGTTGAAGGATGTTATCGACACTTTACTGAACTTCGTAAAACAAAAGCGGGATCTCAACATCTCCTTTTCATCAATAAGTCAATTTTGGCTCATTGGTGACTACGTGAGAAACTGTGTTTCAAGGAATAAAGAGCACTTCACTGATCGACAAAAAAAGAATTTCATTGAAGAGGTTGAACAAGGAAAATTAGTGACATTGCTTTCAAGTGGGAAGTGTGATTCGTATGGTTCATTCAACAGCCTTTGGATCTATCTCCTCAAAAGACTGGTTGAGTGCACAAACGACTCACGAGTGGAGGTGAAGAATGGCGCGATCCAGACGTTTTTCAGGATAGTTGACTCTCACTCTGCTTCATTTCCTCCCTGGAATTTGGTAGTACAAGAAGTTTTAAAACCCTTGCTACAAGAGCGGCTCGAATTCGATGAGTATCTGAGAAGCACTGAGTTCATTGATCTGACACTGAAAGGACTGGTCCAGGTGTTCTCTACGCACCTCACAAGTTTTTCTGGCACTGATAACTTTACTCAAGCATGGGAACTGCTGGTACAATACGTAGCAGATCTCGTGAAATTACCGTCATTCGAGGTCTCGTTCGTTGTTCTCACTAATATGAAGAATATGCTAGAGGCGACGGTGAAAATGACGGATATACCGGACTCGATTCTCCTGAAGCTATATGAAATCTGGTGTGGTTACAATATGGTGTACACGGACTCCTCCAAATCGTCAGAATTCAAGAGAAAAACAAATTACGAATGCATCGAAGAGCTTCTTAGCTGCTATCCCTTTCTACATCAAGTTCTGAGCCGACAAGGCTTGCTGGTCGCCTCTAGGGTAGAATCTATTCTAACTGTCATGAACTCTGCTGCTAGGTATCCATTACTGCCAGAATTTTCAACCGACGATCAAAAACCTTCGTCTTTACAGCAGGCAGTTCTGGCTTCCATCAGGCTATTTGAAGTGAACCAGCCTCTCGAAATAGAAATTTTGATTTTAAATCAAATCACCGTTCTAATCGAACTTCCCTTCGAGACAAAGAGCCGTATTGAATCCAAGCTGGGGCCGCGGTTAGGCACAACGTCCAGAAAAAGAATTCCTACATTTGAAGCTCTAAGTTACGAGGTCTGTGATTATCTCAGCAAGCGATTAAAGAGCATCGACAAGCTTGATGCAGGGTTCATATGCTCAAAGAGGTTACCTAGACTCATGAAGAATTGCAGCGTTCCTATTTTGCGCAAGTCGCTAATTGGAAATGAAGGAGGAAGACTTCCAGCTTTGTGGATTCTTGCCTCTCGATGCTTCTATCTACTTACAGAGAAGATAATCTGTGCCTTGAATGATCCGCAAATCGAGCGTGAGGTACCGGACGACGCCAAAGAGACTTTCTTTGATCTATTTATAAGCGTCGCAGTCACGCCTTTGAAAAGGATAGATCCTGAGAAAGATGCTTTAACAGAAGCTTTCGACATTGAGGAGTTTACGCGCTATCGTGACATTTTCTTACAAAATTTGAGATCAGATTATCCCAAAGCGGCACATATCGAGAAGTTTGTATCTGCGGTTTGGTCAGCCTCGTTTTTCAGCGAAGTTGATGATATCGAGGATTCCATTATCAAAGAAAGCGAATCGCTTCTCGAAGTATCCACGAAGCTGGCCAATTTCCCCTTCGACACAATACTGGGATCAACGAGGGAGCAACTTATGCTGAGCAAGTATAAGACTGCCTCACTTTGTCTCCAGAACTTGATGGAGTTCACAGACTTTGAGGGACCAGGAGGAGAGAAGTTGCGACCAGTTTGCGTTCCATTTTTAGTGGCGCGGTACGCTTTTATACTGCGCCGCTATATTTCGGACGTAGTGCTCCAGAACCGCAAACCCGTAGCTAGAAATAGGAAAGCGGAGGTCTTTTTAGTTCTCAGCGGTCTCAAAGGCATTCTAGCATCCATTTCTCAAGGCGCCCCCATCTCCGAGTCCAAAGAAATTATCCAAGCGCTGAAAGCCCTCTACCCGTTGGTTTTGAAAACTATTCCAGCATCTCACAAAATAGCCGGTCTACAAGCAATAGTTCAAGAGCTTTCTCTCGAGTTTACAAAACTTCTGAGATAGATATGTTCTCGTTTCCCTAATATATTGTCCCGTCTTTATATGTCAATGCATGAAGCTATGTAATGCCTTCACTACTTCTTCCATTCCAGTAGTGGATTTAATTCTGCTGGTTCACAGCTCATATCAAAAAAGCTATGGTGCAACAATTCTTCCGTCGAGGCTCTGTATTTTACATCAACGCATAAGCAGACACTCAAAAATCTCTTTATTTTTAATGAAAGTGTCTCTGGTTGCTTGAGTTTAGGAGTCCCGTTTGTAGCAATCAGATAGAGTGCCTTCAAAGGATCTTCGTTCAAGTATGGGGGCTCGCCCTCCAACATTTCGATGGTCATGATACCGAGCGACCATACATCTACTTTTTCGTCGTACTCACGTTGTTTGACAACTTCTGGCGCCATCCAGTACGGCGTTCCCACCATAGTTGCTCTTTTACTTCTCTTGTCTGTGAGCTTAGCACAGAAACCGAAATCTGTAATCTTGACCCTCCCCCTGTGGTCCAATAATACGTTATCGGATTTGATGTCTCTGTGAATAATATGCTTGTCGTGCAAAAACTTTAGGCCCTGACAGGTTTCCCGCACAATGTAAGCAATCTGAGGTTCTGTTAAAGGTGAGCTGTTGCTCCCATTGGCGGGACTATTTTCAATCAGATCGGTCAAAGATCCACCTTCCATATACTCCATGACAACCCAGAGATCGTCTTCTGTTTTCAAATACGCTTCCAGAAAATTAACGATATTCTTGTGTTGGGAATCTTTCATTACTAGAATTTCATTTACTATCAGTTCTTTCCGAGGCTGCTTTGACAATATCATTTGCTTGATGGCAACCTTATCTCCGACATGTTGTTCACCTATTTGTTCGTTGAGATTTCCTTCTTCGTAGGTGGGCAATTGACTTCTTTGAGCAAGGTATACAGAACCACTTGCGCCCTGTCCAGCCTTTTCCATCATTTGAAAGAAAGGGCTTGGATCGTAGTTGAATGTAACACTTTTCAATTTAGCCATAATTTCTGCATTTGACATGGTTGGCTTCGAAGGTTTGCGAGGTTTAGTAACTCCAACATCTTTCTTTTGTTGCAATTGGACATCAGGTTTCTTGGGTGCTTCCCTAGTGGGCTGAAGATAAGTTGGTACAGTATCGTCTTTAGGTTGCTGACGCATGGCAGCTGCCGCAGCAGAGCTTGCACCTGACCCAGCGGGTAGCTTAGGTCCCGATGGCGGTGCTCTATGAGGGTGGAGTCTTGGTGGAGGTGTGGATGAGTTAGAATGCGGAGAGTTATTGATTGGGGGACGCTGCTGAGGGCGTCGTTGATCGGTCTGCTCCTTAGATCCGGCCTGAGAAGACACTTGTGGGCTCTTTGAAGAGTAAGGATTATGCAGGTTATGCTGAAAGCGCGATGGTTCCTGATGAGGCATTGACCTCTGCTGTGGGACTTGATGCTGCTGAGTTGGAATTGGCTGCTTTGCTGGGGAATATGGGTTTTGCTGAGCAATTGGAATCCTGTGAGCAGAAGAGACAGGTGACGGTAGATGCGATTGAGGTGGTCGATTCTGTAGAGAAGCTACAGATTTGGAGCTTGGATAGGCCGGGTGTGGCGGTCTTGCATTTTGATAAGATGTGGTGACCTGCAAATTAGGGCGATGCGCGTTTGACGCGGAGGGCGGCGTGGGTGGCTTACGGTGAGGGACCAAGTCTGCGGACGGCTGTCTGATTGGCTGATCTTGTGGACGAAACTGCTGTGGAAAGTTCTGTGTTTTTGGTAATGAGGAAGATGAAGAAGAAGCAGAGACGTTTCCCATGCCTGCAGCAGCAGCGGCAGCAGCAGTAGCAGGTGCACCAGTACCAGTACTAGCGCCAGTTCCCACGCCGTTATATTCCTGATAAAACTGCAAAACCTGAATAACAGCGGCAGAATTGTTGTTCCAGTCTTCTCCAGTAATTCGAGAGTGTTTCAGCAGTTTTTCCCAGTTAGAGGGCATTCCGACGAAAGAGCCCGTCTCGGGGTCGAATCCAACATGCACTTTGTGGGTGAAATTAGTGGGTGACGAAACTCCACTCAGCAAGGGACATTTGGCGAAAATCGCATCTAGCCATGAATGGAGCTCGATTTCGGTCTTCGTGGAGATATAAATGGTTTTGCGGTTGTAATCTGAGCTCGAAGAAGGTGACGGAGACGAGCCTGAGCCGTTGGACCCCCCATTTGTGTTGTTACTGTTGCCACTGCTGCTTCCTGGCACTGAGCCTCGATCGTGGTTCCTGACCACTTCAAAACAATTCTGTTTGAGCTGTGTGCGGCTAACGCTCACAATCGTCGTTAGCGGAATCTGTAAAACGGGGTCTTCACTCGCAGAACGCGGTTCGTTCTTGTACAATGTCAAGTAAGAGTCGCTCAGCACCATATATCTTTTCTGCCATAGAAATGACAGAATTCCATCATCCTTGTATTGTATCCAACCATTTTTTTTCGTGAATCCACGTCCAGATCGCAATCCGGTCCCAACTTCACCGCCTGAGCCGCGTGGTTTGTCTTTAAGGTCTAACTGTCCAAGATAATTGGTGATCGGTTGTGTCTTGTTGTAAGACGCGCCTGGCGGTCTTGGAGCAGGGCCAATATTCTGGAAATCCGAGTCGGAAATTTTGTTTGCAGCTGCCGACAGAGACATTTCTCGTCAGTCTTAACTGATTCGCCAGGTCGATCTTCCCGTAAGATCAAACTGGTTTGACTTTTGAACGACAAAAGTGATGAATTGGAGCGATGATTTTGAATTCGAGATTTTGTTTTAGAAATTAGTTGAACAGTTCGAGGATTCGTATATGGTGACGGAAATGAATGACAGTAATGAAACCTGTCAGATGGGAGTATAAAAAGTGCTATTTTCGAGTGCATTGAGCTTTGTAATAATTAAAAGAAAGCTTGGTGACTTCGGAGGGGTTTTTGGTTTTTTTTCTTGCGCTTCTTTAGGGCAATTAATGCAATTTACTTTTAATCGGCGATTTTCGATGTGTTCTTCGAGAAAGAGGTAAGTCATACAATTGAAGTAACTGCTAAATATCTGGAAAGAAAAAAAGGTCGAAACTTTAGCAAGCGGGAAGCGAAATCTGTTGTAAAAGTTGTATCTGTCGTGCGAAGCGATTGGTAAACACTATAGGTCCCTTTTGCCTGCCAGTTTTTGCAAAGACATGAGCGAGTGGCTGGAAATATGTACTTACTGACAGCGGTTGGCGTGTAGGAGATAGCACTCGCACATCCTGTGATTATGGTTTATTCCTGAGAAGAAAAGAAACATGCCGAGCTTCTCCTCACGTGACCCGACGACAGCGACGTTCTACAGGAGAAGTGACATCTTATGACAATCGGATGGCGATGCTGGCAATGCTGGCGATGATCAGCCGACGATACGTTGCAATCAGATCATCGAGTGTACAATGGTATGGTGGTACACTAATCAATCGATGTGATTAATCTCAACACAGAAGGAGATGTCGGCTTAAAAAAAAAAATCTCTCCAGAATTTTGACCCAAGACTATTGAACTTGATAAGCTCACAGGAGGTTTCAAGAGAAGCCAGAAATGTCATTTTTGCTTCCTATACTGCCCCTTTACGACCTTCGCCGTATTTCAAAAAACCGTTTTCGAGATATTTTGGCAAAATTTGGATAAGAAAGCTGCCCGTAATGCCAAGATCGAAACACTCTGTCGACCTCATTCGCTGTCAGCATGTAACAAGAGTTTTGGAATAATGGTCACTTTCAGAAAAAAATTGTTTTTACTATGCCATTGCACGCTTGTTACTCTGCCACATCCTGCAAAAGGTGCTCTTCTTTTCTTATTCTACGACATCTTCAACCTTTCAATTTCCACTTAGCTTCTTGGTGTCTAAAATACCTCGAAATTGGCCTCTAACATTGAAACTGTCCCCAAAAAAGCTCTTGGAACACCCTTGAGACTACTGCCACTCCTGTTCTTCAGGTTTGCTGTCATTTTTGTCAAATCCCAAGAGTTTTATCAAAGACACGATTGAAAGTGTTGAAACCCCAGCAATTTATTGACCTTTCTCTGAAAGGTTCCTCTTCTCTTGATTTTAATGATGACTCTCTTGTTTCTCACTTATTCTCTTGCTTTCCGCCTCCTCTCTTTGAAGAATTCAATTGATGAACTTTGAGTCCAGGATTCTTACCCAATTGCCAAAAGTAGCTCTCCTTTCAATCCATTCTCTTCAACGTCTGCAACTTCAATCCCTCAGACTTTAATTCTCAGTGTTTAAATTCGGAAAAGCGCTAACTGAGCAAGAGTTATGCTCCTTGGAACAACTTTCTTTGGACCATGACTTTACTATATGGGACGAGCACTATTTTATCAAGATCCAGCAAGTTTCCTCTCCGGCAACATTGTTCAAACATCTTAAAACTGGCGTCCTTCTCAAATAAGACTAGTTTAACACCTGAACAATGGCTTGAGGCTTTGAATATCAGAACTTTACCTTCAAAAAGCTTTTCCTTTCAGTTTGATCGGTCTAGTGGTCCAGGTGGTCAAAAGGTCAATAAGAGTAGCACTAAATGTACCTTGACGATTTACGGATTTTCCAAATGCGCCTGGATCCCACAAGAAGTACGGAATCAGCTTTTGGCCAAAAACTTACGATACTGGGCCCAGTCCAAAGATTGCATTGTCATACAGTCCGATCAAACACGAAGTCGAGAGACGAACAAAGAGCTCTGCTTGGAAAAACTCGTCAAGGAAATCAAGGACATTTGCTGGTTTGCAAAGCCGGTAAGCAGCCAAAATCTGGAGAAATGGGAATCTGTGCGACGCAAGACTAAGGAATCTCGACTTGAAGAAAAAAAGTTCCGTAGCGACAAAAAACAACTTCGACAAAAGCCCAATTTCTTTTGATTGATCAGTCCTGCTCCCAAGCATATTTCATGTTCGGCCTCTATAATATTATATGTTACTAAATGCAATTACGTTTTCTCATCTAAAGCGCTTGTCCCTTGCTCAACCAGTAATCACGCCTCGTTTGCGCGTTCACTGACTTCGTCACCATGCTAGGTTTATTCGCGTCGTCTGCTAATGACCCCGTGGCAGAACTGAGGGGATCGTATCCATCCTCCTCAGTTTCATCGTTCAATCCCATGAGACTTTCGACCTTTTTCCTATTTGAACCAGAGTTCCCAGACTTGCTGGAGGCATGATTTGATGATGTGTTCGCTTCTTCAGATTTCTCGTTAGACGCTGCTTCTTTCTGTTTCTTCTTGCTCTTTTTCTGCTTCTTCTTTGGAGGTCTCTCCACCACATATATGTCTCGTTCTTCCTCGTCACTCACATCTGTGAAAAGCTCATTATGAACAATTCTACCACGCTTGCGATGGTAGATTTCATTTTCAGCAATCGCCTTATTGACAACCAAATTTCTTTCATCCTTGAAGTCTCTCTGTTTGCCCTGATATTTGATTACATTACCAAGAATGCTCTTCCCGACCCGATCTTTGAAGGTGGCTGCGTCCAATTCAAAACATCTGTTTGTCAAAAGGTCAAATGCACCTGCAAAGGCCTTTTTGATATCTCGAATATTGAAGGAGCCACGACTGATGTTGTTGTCAGGGTCTCCTGGATCCTGTATGGCGAGTGAGAATGATGTGCGTGGGTTTTGTAGACTTGGATATCTGTCTTTCGGTAGATAGGATGCTCTATCGCTTTTGACCGACAGAGCAACATGGTCGTATCCAAAATTCTTACCGTAGAGCTCGAACATATCTATCAGCAAAATTCCAAGATTTTCCTCTGTGCTTATATCACCACTCAAAACCCGAGGATGAAGTTGCAGGAAGGCGTAGACCAGACAAATAACACTGAACCCACCCAAACCACCGGTATGCACACTATTGAGTCTTCTCGCCGTGAGAAACTGCTTCACTATCAGAACGAGCTCTCTTAATCCGGGCGTCTGTTTCAACCACCCACGAATAGTTTTAGCAGCCTCCAGACCATTGATTCTCTCGAAAGAAATATCTATGTGAATCTGTGATTCTGGTTCCACAAACTTGATAATTGGTACCCGCGCTTTGGAAATTACTTCTACCTGAGTAGCTAGCTTGCGTCTTTTCAAAAAACTGGCAAGAGAATACAGACAGTTTCTGTTTTCTTTGTCACCCGCGCTGCTGTTGACGACGCAATCAATATCCGATCCCGGCAGATAAAGATCGGTCGCGAAAGAACCGAAAACATGAAGGTCAGAATCGGGCCAAAGAGCTTTGATCGCTGACCGTATTTTCGTGATTGTCGAGTTTCTAAGGGAGATCTCTTCCTGACTGGGAGAAATGTATGAGACGAAATCTTTGATCTCCAGTGTCAACCAGTCCGCAATTTCCCGCTGTTTGGAATGATCATGATTGAGAATCCACGGATAGTCGCTGTTGAGCCTCTGTTTTGGTGTCGGTGTGGTGGACTTGCTGGGATACTCATCGTCGTAGTTATCGTAGTCGTATGAGCCCGCAACGTCGTTTTTACCTTTAGTCTCGTTTTCATTTTCGTTTTCGTCACTTTCGTCTTCAGATTCACTCATGCTCAGCGATATGAAGTCCGTATTGTCATCAAGTGCATTTGACGTCCCGTCTGCACTTGGACTTGTGGAAACCTTTTTAACTTGGCCATCGCTTGGCGTATCACCAGAATCGCTGTCGCTACTGTTACTGGAGATTTCCACCAGGTCGATTTCACGGGGTGCGTCAGTTCCATCGTCCTGTATCAGCACTACGTGCTCTTTCTTCTTGTTATTGTTTCCCCGCTCGTTTTCGTTGCTGTCTGTCCCCGAATCGTTTGGATCCATTTCTAGGTTTTCGTACTTATTGAAATGGCTGTTATCTTTACTGAAAACTGCGAAATTTCGCTGTGCCCGACTTAGAGACGACTTCCTCAGTCTTTTGATGCTCTTGTGGTTTTCTTTGAGAGCGTTGGGCTTCGCAATACTGTTTTTGGTATTGCTTCGACTCGATTTTTGTCCCGTAGTTTTGTTTTCTTTCTTACGATCCATTCCAGGCTCAAAAGAAGCCTCTAAAGCGCACTTTGAAATCCTTGAGACTACGAATAGTTCCAGATGCTAAAACAAACCGTTGAACCTCGCCCTAAAGGTCTAAGTTGATGGCACTTTGTGAAGAAGTTCTTGGTGTAGACGCTGTTAGTGCTCATGGTATTTGATATTTAAAATTTTCTATTAACTCATCGCGATGCCCTGGAACGTGACCTATAGAAATTGTGACAGACGAAGTTTCACCGATTTTTAGGAGCCATCGGAAGCGTTCTGGAGTTGGAATGATTGAGCTGGACTAAGTCGTAGCAGAGGGCTATCTGTAGATACTTTCACGGTAAAAATCGAGCTAGTGAAGGTTGAATTTTTCGTCATTTAAAGAGGTTTTGGCTGTTGAAGACGATGTGAAGAGCTGGTCATATTAAGGACTATCAATGACAAGCTTTTGAGAAAACTTGAAGATCTGCAAGCTTTGAGTAGGAATTTGGGCTATTTTGCGACTACCTTGATTAGGTGACAGAAACATTGGTAGTGACGTTCAACTTTTATTGATGGTATGTGTGTTGAGAGAGAGAAAGAACGTTACAATCAACTTCGTAAGGATATTATGCTTTGGAAGCTACTTTGCGAGGATCACAGTAATCACCTCTTCTTTGAGTTACTACAGAAGTCTACTTCGAAGCCGTCGTTAATCACTTTAATATAGAGAGAAAGGAGTTCTTTAAATACCCATGAATGAAAAAGAGAAGGCTTGACAGTATTGCTGACAACAGAAAACCCTGGAATAGTAGTAGCAAAGGATGCATTACTCTCCACAAGCTCGTCAGTTCCACGTAAATGTAGGTGTTTGGTCTTCGGTCACGTGATCCGCAATGACTATGTTTATCCACTATAGAATCAAGTGGTTCAGAACGGTGTTGCCCGAGCTTCTAGTAGAGCAAATCATTATCCTTCAGTGCTTGTCATACTTTGAGGTTCTGGTTCCCACTTTTGTGAAATATTGACGTCGGCCACTCTTCTCTCTCTTCGTGAGCTCATCTCACCATTGACACACTCTACGAGACTGATGTCGCAGTAGTATAAGGTGATGTGTCTACCATCGAGGTTTTGACTGACACTAGAGAATCTTTGAGTCCAGATATCTTTATTATTCCAAAGCACTCAATGCTCTGCCTTATGTACGCTCTGATACGTACGGATTTATATAGTACAGGTCTTAATTCGACTTTTCATCGATTTTCGATTTTCCATGAGCTCTTTACAAAAGAGCGAAGGCAACACCAGCTGCCAAGGCTCCAAAGCCGGCACCGGCAACAGCCTGTGGGGCACCAGCGGTGAAAATGCTCAAACTTGCAGTGGAAGATGCAGTGGCAGCGCCAGTGGAGTTGCCGGAAGGAACAGTGCTCCAGGTGTATGGGGTAGAGGTCGATTTGACGGTCTTGACCTGGGAAGTGGTCGACTGTGGAGTAGTTGTGACGTCGACGTAGGTGATGTCATCAGCAGCACCGGTGATCGAGTTGGATGGAGTGCTGGTGAAAGTGGTCTTGGAAGAACAGGCATTGTCGAGGCACGAAGTGATGGTCACCAAAGTAGTGCGTTGACGGTCCAAAGTGCTGGTGCTGTTGACAGCGGTAGCGTTGGTAGAAGCGGAAGCGAGGGAGGCGGCAGCGGCGACGGAGACAGCAGAGGAGAATTTCATAGCGAGTGGAAAGTACGAGTTGTTTCTTGTGGAGTGTAAACTGGTTGCTTGGGAAAATAAAATAAGAAAAAAAATCTCTCCAAATGCAAACCTGAGACCATTGACAGGGGTGGTGGAGCCCTTCTTATACTTCAAGCTTCGATAGCTATTCTATTGCAGCTCCCCATCAAGTCACGAAAATCTTGTTGAAAGGTCCCACGACCGCGGTTGTAATCCAATTTGCCGCCAGTTTTTTCGCGTACCGCGGCAAACGGATCGGCCAATCCCTCGAGCGTGTCCAGCAAAAACGAAAACCACTTCTTGTCCTACTTTCCAGTCCACACGTTGATCTTGGAGTTTTCCTGGCGCTGATGGACCGTGAGAGATCACCCAGAACGAAAATGGGTCTTTCGTGTCGTTGGAATCACGAAACGCGAAATACACAACTCGAAAATCAGAACTAGACCTCGAAAACCTCGAAAACCTCGAAAACCTCGAAAACTTCAGAAACCTTAAGCCAAGAATAACTAAAGCCGACTCGATTCGCGTAGCTTTTTTGGCTTGAGCGGTTCGCGTTTTCTTATTTTCGTGTACTGTAGCTTTCACCTTGATGCCGACATTAATAGTCTTGAAATCCCGTAGCTTTTCCATAAAATCCTTACTGTAGCACTTCGCGAACATGCGCTGCCATTTCAGAGAACTTGAGCTGTGCATTACGGCTGGGGCTATCGCTTACGGCCGGAGACATCTCTCGCGCATGCTTCAGTTCTTGCAGTAATTTCAAAGGTCGTAAACCCTTCAATCTACGCGGTGGTAAGTTGAAAATACCAATGCTTCCTAGCCACTCATCGACGGGAATAGCGGCCGATTCACCATGCCCCAGCGCGTGAAGACCAGACTGCTGGCCGTTGGGGTCTCGTGTGGATAAGTAGGTGTCTCTCGTGTAAGAAGTGAGCGGTCCGCGGACCTCGTCTCCGAAATATACCAAATCTTGGGTCAAATCCAGCTTGAAGAACACCGGAGCGGTATCATCCATGATACTTTGCATGAGGATAGTAAGAATCGAATTGCGGGTTAGTTCTGGCAGCTCACCGACCTTTAAAAGCCCCTGGATGTCGGACAGTGATATACATGAGTAACAAACTGCCAAACGGTGCCACAACATGCGCACCTGCAACAAGCGGACCACAGACGGGAACAAAGGACGCAAGACGTGTGAAAAAGTTGACTGCTGCGTTGCGGCCAGCGCAATTGCAAAGTCGTCAAGGTTGTAGTCGACAAACGCTTGGTATAGCTCTTCCAAGTGCCGCGTGAACTGGGATTCCAAGATCTTGATCTGTTCTAGTTCGAAAGGGGAAATGACATCGTCTAGTTGGGTTTTTTGGCCTAGTTGAAGCAAACTCGTCAAAATGAACGCACACAGAACCAAATCTCGGAAAGACGTTTTATTCCCCAGTTCTTCTAAACACTTGAAGGATTCCCAGAATTTTGCGTTACAATGTAAAGTGAGCTTTTTGTTGGAAGTGGAGAGTTGGTCTAGTGAGAGGTATGCTTGTGTGAAATGCAAAATGGCCATCATGGATAAAGGTCGTGTGAGGGACTTTTGCAAAAGCGAGAAAGAGCGACTCACAAGCTCCTCGCAAATCGCCGCCTCTTCCGCTTTAGTGTCATTCAGTGTTGTGGATATGAACCACGCTAGAAGAAATTCAAGGTTGCTGAGTTGATCCTGGCTTGATTGATACAACTCTTCCACTAAAACGCGCTCTGCAGCTACTGTGTCGTCGATGCTCAGTCGCATTACTGCAATTTCGTACTGCAGCATTCGAGACCGCCATAGATTGGGGATGAGCTGGTTGCCCAGCAGCTTGCAATGTGTCAAAAAGAGCCTGGAACAGGAAATTGGAACCCTGTTCTCGTGCCAGGATGGATCTAGGACGAAAATTGAGTTAAGCGGAGGAGCAATCTCGTTCACGAGGTCTTGGAAACTGAATTGTTGGTTGTTGTGTATTGGGTCAAGGTCAAGCGCACCCTCTAGATTGTCGATGGCTTCTTGCACAGGAGTGAACCCAATTGTGTCAATCGGCAGACTGGATAAACCCCCAGCCCACATATGGTACCTACAACGCACAATTTGTAACGCAGCTGCAAATGTTGCGTGGGCTTGAGGTTGCAGCGCAGCTTTGGCCAAAACTTGACCTGCCTCGTTGAACCGCTTTTGCTCTACCAAATCTTGCGCAGCGGAGACTAGATTGCCGTAGACGTTGGATGTGTGGGGTTTAGCGGGATCGCTGGGCTGCTCGAACGAGTCATCGCTTGCATCGTCCATCTCAATTTCCGCGTCTACTTCATCGTCTGAGATCATGAAATCGTCATAGTTTTCGGGCTCATCGTCTGCCAGGCCATACCCGGTACCCGTGGCCATTCCCAGATCGCCATTTGACATCAACTGGGGCGGTGTACTTGATGTGTTGTGGTGTGATGGAGAAGTGCCCTGATGATGATTTCGAGATGATCTCTTTTCAGAAATGAAGGGATATGAAAGGAATGAGGGAGTATCATGTGATCATCATATATCACGTGCTTCCAACTTAAATTATGGTTCACGTGACTTTCCAAAAAAATTTGTTCCAAAGTCGTTGAGCTTCTTGTCTCCCTTTAGATGTAAAGCTTGCTGGAGAGCCTACTGATCAACACTTGTGTTATTTTATCCTGGGATTTTATAATTTGTCTCGCTCTGTACGGAAATCAGGACTGAATCACGAATCACGAATCCAGTGGCCGGATCCACTCGTCCAAAATGCTTGGTGATTTTGAAACATCTCGTATATGATGATACAATACTCACCAAAACACCCGGCACAAATCCGTATGAAGTGCTTTGATTTAGCTCGAATATGCAAGTCATTGAAAGCATTCCCGTAGAGTTGATCTGAGCTCTTCTTGCACATACCTTACGGATGTTAGATGACAAGTCCAGTGAATACGAGCTCTAGCCCATGGAAAAGAGAGTATAACATTCTCTTTGAGTAATATATATACCAAATACAGTTCTCGGCCATTGCCGGTTCCTATTGCAAAGTCAGCCCGTTGACCTCGAGCGATGACTACGTTTACAGTGATTGATTCTTGTTCATTAGCCAGGACTGTTCATGAGTCCATGACTCCACCTAGAGTCCACCTCCGTCTGTAGTGATTTTCGGAATCGAGTCCGGCGTATAAAGTGACTTTCATATGATTCCGGCTGTGAGTCCGGCTAATTACTAGTCAAATTTAATTATTGTTGACATTGATGAATGTAGTTATTTGAAGTCATGGAGAAGGCTTGAATATTAACAAATTGCAAGGTAGTCTGCACCTGGTATGTAGATCTCTTACTTATTTCGCAGACCTTGGTGAATCTCAGAAACAGGCGCGCTACGGCTGATAATCACGAGTCACGTGATATCATCGTATACAGTTACCGGAGTCGCGAAATTGACGACTCCTTTGTCGTATAAAGGTACTGGAATCGCGACTCTCCGGACTCATGGCCAAAAAAGCCGGACTCGCAGGAGTCGTGAACAGTGCTGTCATTAGCGAATCCATCTTCGTACTTGACGATGTGAATTGCGAATCCCTGGACTCGCCGGATTCGTCCCCGGGCCTAGCTGATTACGGCAAAACACAGTCATCATGTACGACATATTTTATATGCGTATATAGTGATGTCCCCTTCCCACTTGTCAACAGCATGAGAGAGAGTAAGACACACAGCACACGCGCATACGTCTTCAGTAGGTCTCAATCCGTTGAGTTGTTCTCACAAAAAAAACAAAAGCAAGAACAAGAAACCGAAATTTTCAAAGATGTATAGTTAGCACCTTAAGATATCAAGACAATTTAATCTCGAAAGGGAAAGCCATTTACTACATCAAGATCTCTCTTTACAAGACTAGGTGTGTTTCCAAATTAGTACTCCGTTAAACATGACTACACTACCGAAAACCGAGTCATTTTATACGTCCCACTCGCTCTCAAGTCACATGCGCGCTTCTTCCTTCTCACTTTCTCTCTCTTACGTAATATTCTCGTGACCATTTGAAAAATTTCTATATTCGTCTTTTTTCTTTCCAGTTCTCTTCCTCTCACTACTAGAGACAGCGTCGTTCTCACATAGCGTTCTCACATAGAACCTCAGATAACCACAGTCTTAAGTCTTCCTAAACACACACACACACACACACACACACACACACGCACATCTCTCTCTCTCTTCCTGTCTATCTCACCCACACGAATTTCGAAATTCTAACCCCTTCTATCCCCTTCTAACCCCTTCTAACCCCTTCTAGCCCAGCCACCCTTGCTCACCACCACTTCCACCACCACCACCACTACAAACCGTCCCTCTACGTCTTTTTCTTGTCTGCCTACGTCAATATTAGTTTCACTAACCCGTCTGTCTCTGTCTAGTAGAAACCCACCCTCTCTCCAGTAGTAACTCTCGGAAAAAAAAACCCTCGCACATAGCTAGCACGCGGACTCGCTCCCGTCTTTCTGCGCAAATCACCATCATCATCGCACCCAACCAACAAAACCGGTTTGCTATTCGCCATTCGCCACACGGAATTCAACGCAACATGGCTGGGTTACCACCATCCCGTGTAGGGTCTCATGACTGTTGAGATGCAAAATATAAAAGGGTGTTGAGGAAGCCGGGAGTGGCGTACCTTGCAGTATTCATACATGTATATATATATATGCGTATATAAGATGTAGAATTGTCTGATTTATGCTCAACGCTGTACGCTCTAGTATTCGTTATAGCTCTATTTGCAACAGAAGAAACTCTGCGCAACTCTTCCACACTTATAATCCACTAAAAATGTTTCAAGTCGGCGACGTGATCAAAACTGGCCTAGCAGGCGTCCAGGAAAACTCCCCAGGTAACGCTGTGGACATCGGCAAGATCGTGAGCCAGGGCAAGCACATCATCGTGGGTGTCCCAGCTGCTTTCTCGCCAGCTTGCACTGCCAGCCATATCCCAGGCTATGTTGCCAAGTTGAGCGAACTAAAGGCCAAGGGCGTCCAAGACGTGTACGTGACCGCTGTGAACGACTCTTTCGTCACCAAGGCGTGGGCCGATTCCCTAAAGGTGCCTGAAGACGTGCACATCATTGCTGACACTCGCGGTGAGTTTGCCAAGTCCGGAAACACTCTTTTCGACTCCGAAGAGGTGTTTGGTAACAAACGTAACTACCGTTACGCCATCGTCGTGCAAGACGGCAAGGTCGTGGCTGCTTTCGAAGAGCCAGACAAGACCGGTGTCAACGTGTCCTCTGCCGAAAACGTTCTCAAGTCGTTGTAAATTCGAGAACGCACGAAGATCATGAACAACTGTTTTGTAGCCAATGAGCTAAGTGTTTAGAAAAACTTGTATAAGAAATTACGAAATTTTAAGCAAGAAAAGGGGAGCGGTAGGGGAGCGGTACGGTATGCTAGACTAGGGTACAGTAGAGGTTTGAATCAAGCAGCTGAGGCATTGGTACTTACTACTTTACCTCTGAGTTGTTGTCGTTGGGACTCGAAACGCGAAATTCGATTGTAATTGACGTGGTAGTATCAATTCCAAATTGGTTGATCACTACATACGTAAGTGACATCTTCAACCACTTTTGTCTCTGAAACCAAGATTTCCCATCGTTTCAATCTCCCCCCGGGATCAGTCGAGTTTCAAGAACAATTGCCAGAATTTAAATGACCAGCAACAGTCTAAATTTGCAAAAACAAAAATAGTGACAAAAAAAAAACGTCTTTCTTCAACTCCGTCATTGTATATATCTAAACTGTAAAGCCCTCACAATCACAAAAGACGCACGAGAACTGACCCTTTCGCTAAGTGTCACCAGCCTTGAAAACCAGTTGGTTAGCTGTGCAAAATGTAGAGTCACGTGACAGGTGTCAGCGACGCATAAAACCAGTTAGTGAATCATACCACCGGGCCAAACTTGGTCTATCTGTTTGTCTGATACACACGGCAGCTTGGGTACTCCAATTGTGAGAGTAAGCACTCCATTTTTGCATTGAATTCACCGGATTTTCATAAACGCAACTCCACTCTGTTTTCACTAATATTTCAGGCAGCCGGAATAATTTCAAAACCCATAATCATAGCCTATCTCAACAACTAACTCACAATTGCAAACGTAGCTGTTTATCAACCACGCAGCTTTAATTCAATCTAATTTCAAACTGTATCCTCAAGACATATCTCTTCAAAACTGATCTTGATTTCCAATTCTTGATTTTTTTCGGTATCCCAAGAGCTTTGCGATACTAAGTAGACACCCAGTAACCCAACCACGCCGATTCCCAACCAAGACTCAAATAACAGAAAAGAATCCGGTATGCTGCGACTAAAAGATCGAAGCAATTCTAAAGACATCTTGACTTCCACGTGAAGCACTATTTTAGCTCACGCGATGGGATGAGTCAATAGATATAAGATGGAAGAACCTATATATTAACTGACACCTTCTGACCATCTTTCGGTAAACGAATCCCGAACCATGCTCAAAAGCCAGTTCTTCGATCCTATATCTTGCTTGGTCAACAACCACAATTCTTATTCCTTGATCCACTCTTGCATGTTCTTAAAGCTCTAAAAAGCATGCTTCGCTTACTGCAATTGGAAGAACCTGCCAAAACGGCTTGGAAAAGTTCCAAACAGAACCTTAGCCACGGCAATAGCTCGCAAGTGGGTGCAAGTTCCGGTTCGAAGCGTAGACACGAACCGGATGGCGCAGTTAACGAGCAAACGCTCGAGCTGTGGCCGGAACAAACAACAGTATCGTTTGACGAGGACGAAGATCAGAACAGTTTCCCAGATGGAGGACTTCCGGCGTATATGGCCCTTTTGGGCTCATTCATGGGTCTTTTGCCCGTATGGGGTGTGATGAACTCATTGGGAGCATTAGAAGGTTACATTTCCACGCATCAACTTGCTTCAAGCTCATCATCGGGAGTATCGTGGATTTTTTCCATTTATCTCACTTTGTTCAGTTCCAGTTGCGTACTAACTGGAGCGTATTTCGATCGCAACGGTGGATTCGTCCCGCTCTGTGTGGGGTCCCTGGTGTTTGTGGGAGGCATTTTTGCGACCGGTAATTGCCAGACTATCTGGCAGTTCATTTTAGCATTTTCCGTCGTGGTCGGTTTGGCCACTGGTGCATTGACAACTCCGCTGATAGGAGTTGTTGCAACGTGGTTTTCCCGCAAAAGGGCAATGGCCACCAGTGTAGCGACCATTGGAGGCTCTCTAGGAGGCATTGTGTTCCCTCTGATGTTGAAGAATCTATATGGGGAAGTTGGGTTTCCTTGGGCCATGAGAATTCTAGGTTTTGTGTGTCTGGCTTGCTTGAGTATTGCATGTCTTTTCGCTCGCGTCAATGACAGCGCCAAGCCTGCAAACATTGAGTTTAGCTCGCGCTCCGAAAAGACCCGCTACTACATTTTTGGCTCTTTCAAGCTCAGCTATTTTAAAGATTTAAAATACCTACTCACCACAGCTGCGTTCTCACTAGCGGAAAACTCCATCATGGGCACCAACACTTTTATCGCTTCCTATGCGATGAAACGCGGTAACTCTGAGGGCCAGGCCTTTACGATGATCACGGTGTCGAACGCCGTTCAAATTTTGGGACGCTACATTCCGGGATACATTTCAGACAAATACACGGGTAGATTCAACACCGTTATCGTAATGTCCTGCTTGACAGGAGTTGCCAATCTGGTGCTCCTGCTTCCATTTGGTGGGAATTCCAAGGTCCTGTGGACGTACATGGTGCTATACGGATTTATGTCGGGGTCAGTAATGTCACTGACTGCAGTTTGCGTGGCGCAAATATCGAGAACCCGCGACTTCGGAAAACGATACTCGACTTCTTACCTGCTGAGTGCCATTATGACGCTGCCCATCATTCCCGTGTGTGGTGCTCTTATTGGGAAAGGCTCTGTCGCCGAATATAATCATTTTATTATATTCACAAGCATCTTGATACTGGTGGGATCTGCATCGTATTTGGCAGCGCGGTACTTATGCGTCGGATTCAGTTGGTGCAAATTCTGAATGAACTGGCCCGCTGTACTTGTATGAATCAAACTTAATGCCTTTATCTCTAGTACGACAGCTAAAAGCCTAGTCTGAACAATATCACTATGTACATTTCTGTCAGACAGAGACACAACCCTTTGTATCACTTTAAACGCATTGTTAATATTTGTCGCACCTTTTTTGGATGTACGGATGTTGTGAAAAAAAGCTGCGTTGGAAAAAAAGATAGTTTTTCAGGACCCACGCAAAAAAAGAGACGCAACAATTTCGCGAATCGGCGATTTTTCACTTTGGTAAAAGTCTCCATACAAACGACATCGATATTCATCAACTTCCACCACATTGATCCTGGTTTATTTTCGGTTCTACTTCGACAAGCAGCAACAATGGGTATCGATCACACTACCAAACAGCACCAGAGATCCGGTCACAGAACCGCTCCAAAGTCTGACAACGTCTACTTGAAGTTGTTGGTCAAGCTTTACACCTTCTTGGCTCGTATGTGAACTATAATAGTTTTTTCCACTTGGACTACACACAGCTGAAGAAAGGGAAAGAGAATGGGCTCTTCTCACAACTACGCATAACGATTGCAAATCTTCTATCTGGACTTTTCTACTTACCCGGTTGGATGAGAGATATGCGACTCCCAACACATCCTTTTTCTTGTCTTTTCTACGTTCTCTCACAGAGTTGTGAGGGAAGGAGTACAAGATGGAAAGAGCGTGTTTGGCGTGTGCGTACTCTCAATTGGCTTGAGACTCGTTCTGCGAGTGCGGAACCCCGGTGTGCGCTAGACTCTGGCGCGCCATTGCTTTGCCTACCTCAGCACCGGGTGTATGATTAGTTCGTACTTTGTTCCGTGCGGTTCATTTTTTTTTCCATCGAGGAGAAAAAAGCTAGTGAGCAGGACCTATTTTCTACAAATTCTCGCCTTCTGCCGTCTCTGTCTTTCTTTTAGCCAGCGCTGTGTTACTAACAATCAATTTCTTTTCAACAGGTCGTACCGATGCTCCATTCAACAAGGTTGTCTTGAGATCTTTGTTCTTGTCCAAGATCAACAGACCTCCAGTGTCTGCCTCCAGAATCGCCAAGGCTCTAAACCAAAAGGGCGCCGCCAACAAGACTGTTGTTGTTGTTGGTACCGTCACCGACGACACCAGAATCTACGAGTTCCCAAAGACTACTGTCGCTGCTCTAAGATTCACCGCCGGTGCCAGAGCCAAGATCTTGAAGGCTGGTGGTGAGTGCATCACTTTGGACCAATTGGCCGTCAGAGCTCCAAAGGGTCAAAACACCTTGATCGTTAGAGGTCCAAGAAACGCCAGAGAAGCCGTCAGACACTTCGGTATGGGTCCTCACAAGCACAAGGCCCCAAGAATCCAGTCTACTGGCCGTAAGTTCGAGAGAGCTAGAGGTAGACGGAGATCTAAGGGTTTCAAGGTGTAAGCAGCTTGCTGACTTACAGTTTGTAAACTTGTTAGCGCACAAGTTGTCGCGGGTGTCTTTGCTGTGTAAGTATATACTTCTAGTAAATGATAATTGGGCAATTTAATGTAAAATATTAGGTATCGGAATGAAAGAAAAGACCAACTGAGACACTGTCAAAGAAGAAGCGTTGGTTTGCTCCATAATCGTTGTTGGTCCGTGCCGTGTTTGTTTGATGGATTTATGTATAGCAGGATATTCTTCTATCTTGGTTATGGTAAAGGGGCAATGCATGCTAATTTCTCTACCTTCAACGTCTTTTGACTGCTTTTCCCAGACACCCATACATCTTTTCAAAAAAGTTTGACGCGAATTAATCTTATTCAGAAAAATGTAGATGTGCTACCCATTAAAAGTGCGTCTTGTGTGTAGAAGCTGCGAAAGAGCTAGGCGGAGCTCTCTGTCTGGAGGAACCCGTCCGAGCCAGGCTCTAGGCTCGCTTCGGACCTGGCTCTCCTTCCAGGAGGCGCGCAGGCTGGTTGGAACCAGCCTGGGTGGTCCGTCTAGGATCTCTGCCTAGCGGTTCGGTGTTCGCTTCGTGACCGGATTCTGTGGGACTCTTCCCTCCTGGGGCAGCGTAGCTGGAAGCAGTAGGACGTAGGAATTAACAACGAAATTTTGGCAAATATCTGTATTAGCCATTGATTCGGGACCAATTTCAGAGATCCATAGAGTAAAGATGCCAGGTGTTTCCGTTAGGTACGTACGATTGCGACAGTTATGTTGGGCACACTGAGACGAGTCGAACGGTGTGATTGGGGCGTGCTTATGGCCCAATTTGAGGAAAAACGAGTGCATATGAAAATCCATGCTTAATACCAGAGACGAGCAACGCTTTAGACGTTATTGATAGCCAAAAAGACAACGAAGTTCAACCAGTGAAATTGCACCGCTTGGGAGCCATTTCGATGACGAGGTTCTAAGATGGCCGGCTGAAAAATTGTGGGAATGTATTGTTCTGTTGGCTCGAATGCGCTAAGGTTGATCAGCTTTCCATTTTTGCTGATAAATGTCCAGGGAAATTGCAACTCTTTGGAGCGGTTTGCAGCCCGAATAGCTTGCCATTTTTTCTCTGGTTACCACAACACACCCGACGAGTTTCGTCTTTCACCAACCCAAAATTCGCAGTATACTAACTTTTAGCTTTCTACAGAGACGTTCCAGCCCAAGATTTCATCACCGCTTACGCTTCTTTCTTGCAAAGACAAGGTAAGTTGGAGGTGCCAGGTTACGTTGACATTGTCAAGACCTCCGCCGGCAATGAAATGCCTCCACAAGACTCCGAAGGCTGGTTCTACATGCGTGCCGCTTCCGTTGCCAGACACATCTACATGAGAAAGCAGGTTGGTGTCGGCAAATTGAACAAGTTGTACGGTAACGCCAAGAACAGAGGTGCCAGACCTTCCAAGCACGTTGACGCCTCCGGTTCCGTCAACAGAAAGGTTTTGCAGGCTTTGGAGAAGATCGGCATTGTCGAGATCTCTCCAAAGGGCGGCAGAAGAATTTCTGAGAACGGCCAAAGAGATTTGGACCGTATCGCTGCCCAGACTTTGGAAGACGACGAGTAAATAATATAGGCTCTTCGAATCCCAAAACCTAATCATATACTCAGAAAAATATCATAAACACGTTTGTAGAATTGTACATTTCCGGTTGTTATCACTAGCACACAAAATAGGACACTGTCTAGTTACAAGCTGTAGCGGCGGACGTGCAAATTCGCGTAACAAAAAGAGTCGCACAAAGCTAAGAGTACACCTCACAAAATGAGTGAAACTTGATCAGCTGCGCTCAACATCGGTGTTCATTCAAGAGTGTGTTTTCTATACATGAGAAACATATATAATTTTTGCAAAAAACAAATGGTCTCTAGCGGGATCGAACCGCTGATCCCCGCGTTATTAGCACGGTGCCTTAACCAACTGGGCCAAGAGACCTTATTGAAAGAACGGGGCCAAAACCAAAACATATACACACAGACAAATAACACGCTTTTGTCCAATCAACCGTAAAGTGGATATCTGATGATGAACAACTCATCTTATTCAAGATTCTAAGGTTATGTCAAACAGAATAGTTTCCATCAATAAACTCGCTATTGCAAAACATGAAGCCGGTGGTTGCAGTATGTTGCTCACATTCGTTTTCGCTCTCATGCACACATCGTTTTTTTGCGGTGTCAGCTCCGAGCTCAGTGTCCCAGTTACTCCGTTTTAAGACGGTGTACGACTACAAAACCCCTTTTGGTCTGTCCCAACCCTGTTCTTACTAACTTTCCTATTTTCTGCACTACAGTCCGGTAAAGCCTGGTTCTGCACGGTTGTGTCCGCGTTTGGTATTGTCATTCTATCCGTCATTGCGCATTTATTCAATGTGGGTCACGAAACGTTTGTCGGGTCCATAAATGATCCTGAGGACGGCAAAGCGTATGTTATTAGTGATGAAATTTGACAAGAAGGAGAAACAGAGGTATAACAGAGGAAGGCCTGGTACAGGTCCAATAGCTTCGATCACTGCATTACCGATCTGCCCATTCTGGTGTTTTTCTCCTCAATTTGCTTTTTTTTCTTTCCTTCGTTCGATACCGACCATTTTACTAACCGACATCGTCATCAAAACAGCGTTGCACACACAGTTTTCCTCGCCGTGTTGGTCTACATTGTGTTTTTCGTATTCTGCGGCTCTCAAATTTGGCTGGCCAAGAAAAACTCCTCCATCGAGTTGCGTTGAAGCTGAAAAGCTACCAAAAACTCCAAATTAATGCGTTTTATACACAAGAAATACATTTCAATTAAACAAAAAGTTTGAAGCTTATTTCCCTAGTTACAGGTTCAGAGTTTGTCTCTTTTATCTGTTTGTTGATGTCCTTGACTATATCTATCTATAAACTTCGAAAATAGACATCTCAAATTATCATGATCTTTAACAAACTGATATCTTGATATCTGCAAACTCAACTCTCTTTGAAGCCGCAAGTCCACTCATTTAAACTCAATGCATTCTCCACGACGGGCTGAAAGAGATCCGGAGCTGGAAAAGTACCTGGCTCGCGTTCAAGAACTGGATTACGAGAGAAATAGCTCTAAAAAGACCAACAACAATGATGTGAAGTATTCATCCAAATATCGACCGCAAGATCTGGAAATATCCAGAAAACTGCTCAATGGCGAATATTACGGGTCTGAGGATAAATCTGCAACTTTTAGTCCCGGAAGGGCCTCCGAAATGGCTTACAGATCGGCCTATAACTACGAAAAGTCATTTTCTCCAAAACGAAACTCGAACTACTCAAATTCGCCCATCAGAGCCGATAAATATGCCGGAAGCCGGAGCGATGATGTCGCTGCAGACTTTTCAATCTCAAGATTTGACTTTCGTGATTCTGGGAGGCAATATACCATTTCAGAAGAGGACTACCTACTTTTGACTCAGTTGAAGCAGGGCCTCATCGATCCATCGCCTCAACTCCCAAAAGAAGGGACTAGGCAGTATCCTTCGCGGGGCAAAGCAAGGGCAGCAAGAGCACCGTCCCCTCCTCCTTCTCCTCCTTCTCCGCCTTCAACTCGACTCACTAAACACGCCGAATACAACAGCAGTGACTACAGCGCCAAAGACAGCACAACACCTCCACCATTGCCTGCTAGAAAACAAATGGACGATCTCGCAAAATTCACCACTCCAAATAAGGCTGCACCAGTCAAGCCTCCCAGACCTCGGCTCCTGCCTACAGCATCTGATGAAATTATAGACATACCATCAAGTGTACGAGAACCGTCACATCCTAAATCGACGCTCGGTACACTTGGCCAACCACCTTCAGAATCGAATGGCAGCTCTTACCTCACATCTTTGCAGAAAAACAAGGTCACTGCGACTTCTCCGTCAAAATTGGATTACAACCCAAAGCTGGCGGGTGGGTTTAGAGTTAATGAAACGCCTTTGAGCTCAGCACAAAACAACAAACTTTCTGCGACAACTTCACACAGCAGGAAGAATCTGAAGGCCGCTCCTGAAAAACCAGAACGTCCATCTCAGTCATTTGTGACATCTGCTCTCAAGGGTGAAAGTTCTAAGACTGAAGTGCTGGGAAAACCGCTGGAACTTCCGCCGCCACGTAAGCATTCTCCCGGGAGAATCAGTGCTGAGGAACCAACCCTAGCGCTCAATGAGCTGAAGCTTAAACTCAGAACTTCTGAAAAGCAAACCGAAACTAGTAGCAAATCCCAGACAGGCACTGGGAACATACCAGATTTGAGTTTGAGGATTCCTAAAACTCGTAAGACAACAAATGAAGAAAAGAAACCAGCTGTTGAGCAGCTACAAGCTTTACGACGCACCCCCGCGGTCACGGCAAGGAAAGCTTCAGAGCCTGAAATTATCGGAAAGAGAAATTCGCTTGCAAAACCGCCTCCAAAACCTGAAAGGAAGCCTTCAATGCCCGAGGCTCTCAATAAGAGAGGGAACTTGACCAAAGCGCCTCCTAAACCAGTAATGAAATCTTCGCTGCCTGAGGCAGTCTCTAAGCTTTCCAGTCTCTCAAAAGCTCCTCCGAAACCAGCGCGCAAGATATCAATGCCTGAAGCTTTAGCTAGACTTGAGCTGATGAAATCAAGGAACGGAAAAGAACACACCAAAGAAGGGGAAGGCAGAGTCCAGGATCAAAAATTGCAGCATGCCAAAAGTGAGGAGGAAGAGGCAATCTTATTTGTCAAAAAGTTCAAAAACCGTGGACACCAAATAAAATCCCCCGCTTTATTGCCCACAAATAATATTCCTGTCGCAGTGCTCCCCACGACACAGGCCGTTGATCCCAAACTTGCGAAATTACTGAGACCTGCCGCTGAAAACGATGCAAAGTCTTTGGAGTCCGCTCGACCCGAAGGTGACGCTCTGGTGCATCCAACGAAAGGACGAGCTCGGGGGCCCAAAAGAAAGCCTCCAAGAACAGTGTAACGATAAGTGAAGTTTATATTAATGATAGCGTATTAAGATAGATTTACAATGGGTCACTGACTCAAAACATGTATTTGAAGCCTGGGGCAAGATCACCCTTCAAAACACGCTCTCGTGGCGTGAGTTCCTCAAAACGAGAAACATAGGCAGGCGTCGTCTTGGTGTTGTTTAGCCACTTAAGACGTATGATGATGAATATCTGACAGGCAATTGACAGTCCGACAAATCCAATAGAGGCGCCAAGACCACTAACATAGCGCGGAGAATCCTTTTGCAGAAACAGAAAAGTCGCGATAATACCTCCAATGTTTCCGAAGCCGATTTGGAAACCAGTCCCAAAAGATTTTCTAAGATGGCCTCCCAAATTCAGAGATGTTGAACAGATGAGTGTTGGCATTGCACTGTAAAGTCCAAGACTGGAAAGGAAACAGCCACCATACCTTATGTGGGGATGTTCTGAGCCCAAAATCATTGCGAGCCCAGCAATTCCTATGAAACTTGATGACATGATAAAGCACCAGCGGTTTTGCAAGTAGTCGGAGAAAAAAGCGGTAATGTTGATGTAGCCAAAGGCTGCAAGCCATGGATAAACGGAATGCTGTTGGGCACTGACAGCAGTATATCCTAGCACTTTGACAATAGTGGCCGAAAAATAGGCGTAACCGTAACCTGGCACTACCAATCCGAGGTAAGAAAGAGCGTTGGCGTAAAAGATTGGGTCTTTGAAGAGGGGCAAGTAGTCGCGCCAGCTGAAGCTTACTTCGAATCCGGAATCGACTTGCGAGTATAGCTTGAGCTTTTCTTTGAGGTATGACCTTTCGTTAGGTTTTAGGAATTTGGCAGTCTCTGGGAAATCCGGTGTAATGAAAAAGAGGAGTATGGAGATGAATACTGTTGCGACTCCTTCGATGATGAAGATCCATCTCCATAGGGCCAGATGGGAATTGTGAATACCTTGATGAATTTGGAATGCTATCGAGCCACCTGCCGCACCAGCCAAAGTGGTGGAACTGAAGAAGAACGAAAACCGTTTTTGGGCTTGGCGCGGGGTGTAGTAGGAGGAAAGAATGTAGAAAATCAAGCCAAAAGTGGCGGCTTCGGCAGCTCCCAAAAATACTCTGGCCGTTACGAGACCGCCAAAATTCTTGACAAATCCGCATCCGATGGTTGCGCATCCGAACACGAAGATACTAATGGAAAAACACCAGTGCGGTTTGAACAGTTTTGCCAAATAGTTGGCAAGAAGCTCGAAGAAAACGTAGGGCACGAAGAAAACTGTGAGTGCAACGTTGAACTGGTCTCCATGCAGTCCCAGATCGGCCTCCATGCCGTAAAGTCTGGCATTTGAGATATTGATGCGGTCTAGGAATGCAGCGAAATACAATAAGATCAACGCTGGAACCACACAGATATCGATTTTCAATTGCAGACGAGAGTCACGGACGCCGTATTTTTCGGCCAGCGCATTTTGTGCAGACTCGATGTCTTGAAATGGCGGTTGGGACGATACTGACGAAGGTTTGAGGTCGTGAATCTGGGAGTCATTGGACACTTGATCGAAGTTATTATTGGTAGTTGTCGTTGTACTGGTGTTGCTGGTGATAGTGTTGGCGGCTATGAGATCACTTTTTACTTTAGTGACATTGTCACGTGATTTTTCGTCCGGCATGATAATGATAAAGTTCTTGGGGGAAAGCCTATTGAAGAAGGGTTTACAACAACAACAACAACAACAAAGAAAGAAGGCAGTCAGTCAGGTGTGGTTGAGGTGGTGTAAAGACGTTCTGTATTCAAGCGATGAAAACAGCTGGGAAATTCTATAATCTCTATGAAGGCTTCATTTACCATTAGGATCTTCACCGTTATGTGTGTATGTATGTTTTGAACTCTTATATACAATAGTAGATATTCTGATAAACTCTCGAAAGCCCACGGTGCTTTTACTTGGCGGCCAGATGCGTTAGTAGCGGTGACTAAAAAAAAAGTGTCACGTGACTATGACTCATGCGCGTGCAAAACCGGCCCGTACCAAAAGTTAGGTTGCTACGCAATCTTCTAGGAGCCGTACAATGGTATATCTTTTATGAAAAAGAGGTCCGGCCGGTACCGCTTGTTTACGTAATCGGGACCTTAGCCGCCGAAACGTTTCGAGGGTGCTGTCGCTACGGACGACGGCGATCGCCAGTTTGGGTACTCGAGTCGAGTACCTAAGCACGTGAGTTTGACAGTTGTGTATAGGAGCCGCCAAAAAGAATTCAATATTCCCAAAAAATTGTATGCGTGTGTGTGTGTCACATTTCTCGTATTGAAGACCCAGTGGCTAATCACAGACGACAAAAAAAAGGTTTGGTTACCCTTTCCTTTCCTTTCCCTTTTAAACTCCCCAGCCAGTTTAATGTGTGTTTTTATGTATAAAACATTATAATGCTAGTTATCTGTCCCTTATAGGGTTTATGACCGTGTGTCATTAACAAGTATGCTCATTTGATACGTATCCACTATGGGTTCCAAAACCCCATCCGTATATAGTTACGACCCGTTTTGGAATGCGTTTTTCCAACTGGATCCGAATCGATCCGTTCGTGCAAAAGACACATAACTTTCGTATACAAGCACATATAACGTGCCACTTCCCATAACAATTTATCTAAAAATCGCTTTTCTTCAAAATCAACACCATCAAGCATAAAGACACAAACAAGTATACAGAAATGTGAGATTCAAAACCGCCCCCCCCCCCCCCAATTCTTGATTCAACAGCTCTCCCAATCTCTTTCTTGCTCGACCTCTCTCTTTCTCTGTCTCTGTTTTCTATCTTTCCCTCAATATAATGATCACGTGCCTCTATCAACAACTTAATTCCAAGATTAACGTGTGACGTTTAAACCTTTCCATCATCAACAACTACAACAATCTTCCTAAACTCACCAAAAGAGAACGTTTCTGTTGTGCTGTCCCCCGTTGGAATCGCTCTTCAGGACTAACAGACATTCAAAACCAACCATGGGCTCTCAGCTGTTGACCGGTGATCTAGTCCTTTGTAAAGTCGGTTCCTTCGCGCCCTGGCCCGCAGTTGTGTTCCCACAGCGGTTTTTGAGAAAAGATGTATACCGGAGACGACGGCCGGATTGTGTGGCAGTGTGTTTCTTCAATGACGAAACGTACTATTGGGACAAGCCGAGCCGGCTGCAACCGCTGTCAAAAAAAGTAGTTGACGAGTTTTTAGAGCGTGCAGAAACCAGTGGTAACGCAGGAGATCCAGTTTTGGTGGAAGCGTACGAAGAGGCCCGGAACTTCACCTCGTTGCACGAGTTCCTCCTGCAAAGACTGCAGGAAGAAAAACGTATGCAGGACTGGCATGAGAACGCAGATAAAGATACAAAAATCGAAGCGGGCGAAGATCCATTCAAGGGCAAATCCGCGAAAAAAGTGAACCCCATCAAAACAACCACAGATGACGAACATCTGGCAACAGCACCATCGCGGTCCAGGTCGCGAGCCGCTGCATCGCCAGACTCCAACTCGGCGTCCACACCAGGTGGTGCCGCGGCCACCAAAGCGGGACCCAAGGCCGATCCCAGCGTTTCTGCCCGCAGATTGGCGCGACTGGATCATGCCAAGCGGATCGAAATCTCTCTGCTGCTTCGCCGTAAGCTCCAGACCAACCTCGTACAGCGAAATACGCCCCCGGGTCCCGAAGAGCTAAAGGAGTCCCGAAAACTGCTAGCCAAAATAGCCGAGAACATGTCCTCGATGCCTCAGTTTTTCGATCTGGACGCTCTCAGACAGAGCAAATTGCACAAACTACTCAAAGTGATAGCCAACGATGAAAACTTGCAAGAATTCCATGGCCAATGTACAGAGATCTTAGAAGAATGGAAAGATTCTATTTCTCAGTTGAGGAAAGAAAAACTCAAGTCTCAGGAGACATGACAGGGTTCGCTGCAGCAGAAACCTGCAGCGTTTCTTGTTGAGCTCCAAAATCTGCAACATGTGGTGATCAATGAATACCAAGAGAAAAGGGCACTACCAGTTTTTTTATTCCAACTTACAAGCACATTAGCAAACCGACCGGTCGGGAAACACCAAAAGCAAAAATGTACACCAACAAGGAGCATCTCCAGTGGTTCTTGAATGACAATTTTTACAGGTTGATGTTATCACGCTAGTATTATCCAGACTGAAAAATCACCTCTTCGGATGAGGTTCGAACGCCCGTCAACATTTTAACGGATTCTTGCGCTCGTCTAATTTTTTAGGATTCTCTTTCGAACTTTAAAGGGTTGACAGAGCATCTTTCTTTCTTCTTCACCAACAACTTCTAAACTGGTGTTGAACCTAACAAAGCGAATCCCAAGTCTTCCAAATCTCAGTGTTTCAACAATGTCCTCTCCTGCAAGCCTTCCCGAACACGTTTTGACCCTTTTGAAAACGTCCAAATACCTTCATTTGGCAACTTGTTCCAAGCCAGAGTGCATCCCTTCAGTTTCTCTAATGAACTACACATACATCTCTCCAGAAAGGGTGTACAAGCCAAAAAGCTCCGTTTCGAACTACAGTGCTGATGCAGCAGACAAGGGTGGTCACTACATAATCATGGCAACTCAGAAGAACACTGAAAAGTACGAAAATATTCTTCATAACCCACAAGTGTCGGTTTTGATCCACGATTGGGTTACGGCCAAGAAGCTGTCGCTGAGGAAAAGCAGCATGTCCAACACGCCAACGCCAGCAGAATCGTCGCAGGAACTATCGTCGCAAGCTGCTAACGCAGATCATCCTAGTAGGCTCCTAAATCTGCTACAAGAACTAAATCAATCAGAACTTTCGCAAATGAGTGCCACTTTGCAAGGTCATGCCGAACACCTTGACACCTTCAGCGATGAATTCGACTACTACGAGCAAGAGCTTTTGAAAGCAAACCCCGACGCTCGCGTTTACACCAGAGGCGAAAACGTGTCTGTAGTCAAAGTCAAGCTCGTCAACGCCAAAGTGTCCGACAGCGAAAACAACACAAAGTTCTATGATTAATTCGAAAGGGCCTTCCTACACAAGGATCAAAATGTCAATTAGCCTAAGTTTCCATGCTTCTGTTAAAAACCAGCAGCAAACTAGTTTTTACTTGTTGTATAATTATGCTAATTACTTTTATTATCTTCTACTTGGTATGGTTGAAAGAAAGAACAAAGAATGGCAATTTTACAAACCCTCTTGTCCGAAATCGTTAGTGAACTCTTCTTGTTTCTTGAGATCACTTTCATTCACAGTAGGCCTGGTAGTTTTGATAGCTTTCAAAAAATCTTTGATATTGAGTTCTGGTTCTTGCAGCTCATCAGCCTCTATGTCAGTCCAGCTCAGTTCAATGGCACCATCGTCTCCCGGGGAGCAAGGAATTAACTTACGATGTTCCGGGTCTTGCGAAATGTCTTTGAAATGTGTTGAATCTTGAATTTTCCGAATAGGTTGCATCAACGCATCTTTGACCACAACAGCGATATCACTACCAGAATATCCTTCTGTTAACTGGCCCAAAGTTCGGAAATCTTCCTTAGAAAGTGAGCAAGGTGTCTCACCAATATTCAGTTCAAACATACGAGTTCTTCCTGCAAGGTCAGGGAGAGGTATGTAAATCCTCTTTTCAAACCGTCTTCTTATAGCACTGTCCAGCTGCCATGGAATGTTCGTTGCTCCCAGGACCAGAACTCCTTGGGCATCATTTCCCACACCATTCATTTGCACCAACAGCTCGGTCTTGATTCTTCTACTGGCTTCACTTTCACCCTCGCCTCGTTGGCCTGTCAAAGCATCTACTTCGTCAATGAAAATAATAGAAGGTTTATTCTCTCTTGCCATTGCAAAAAGTTGCTTCACCAACCTTTCGGACTCACCCATCCATTTCGATACCAGGTCACTCGAGCTTATGCTAAAAAAAGTTGAGTTAGCCTCTGTCGCAACAGCTTTTGCTAGATATGATTTACCAGTTCCCGGTGGGCCAAACAACAAAATTCCTGACGTTGGTTTACGGTTTCCAGTGAACAGATGAGGAAATTTCACGGGCAAAATAACGGCTTCTTTCAATGCCGCTTTTGCGCCTTCTAAACCAGCAATGTCCTCCCAGCGCACATTGGGTTTTTCCGTGAGAATTGCGCTGGACAATGCGCCCCGCAATTTTTTATCATCTGCGTCGTCGTCATTACTGTTGGAATTAGCACTTGTTTTCTTCGCAGGAGAGTCTTTCTTGTTCTCCTTGTTGTTCTGTTGTGACTCTAGGTGGTCCTTCAACTGCTCAGCTCGGTTCAAATATTCGGTGAACTTAGCCCTTATGAGATCTTTGGATTTCGGATTTTTCTCATATTTCAATGCCAGCATTAAATAATCCAACCCATTGTAATACGCGGTATATGCTTCCTCATATTGTGTACCGGTATCAAGATCGATAGCTTTCTGAATAAGTCCAATCCCTTTTGTCAAAAAGTCTCCAGTGCTCATTGCAGACCTAAAAACACGTCTAGAGATCCGTTTTTCCCGCCGTTTTTTTGGTAAAGTCCTAATAGTTACTTTCAGGACAGCCGAAGATGGAAAAGGGCTTAAAACTGATCGCGTAAGGGTCGAGTTTGGCCCTGAAAAGGTTACTGGTTTCTTCCTTTGCATCCGGTTCGAAGTTAGCATGGGTTCTTGGAATCTAATTATCAATTCTGAGCTTCTTCACAGCGTAAGTACCGAAGTACTCGGCAAAAGTTATCACGTGTATCGATTCGAGTATTTGGCCAAATCGACTCTGATGGGTGACAGAGAGCTTTCAGGATCTTTCTGCATCGGTTCCGTGGTTGGTATGCTTGGATATTTCTCGTAGAAGCGAGATGGCGGTTTTCGGCGGCGACTGTTGATGTTGGCGTCATTGTTGAAGTCATCGCCGTCATCATCATCGTCATCATCGCGTTCATCGAGGTTGGGCAGTCGCACGGGGCTTGATGTGACCAAGGGATTCAATGCACGGTGCGGTGATGGTGGAAGTGCGCCAAAATCTGGTTTCAAGTCAGTTTTTTGAAAATTGGTGATGCGACGGCGCGATTTTACGTATTCGTCGTCAACATTGGCGTCGTTGACTAGACTCTCCAACAAAGCATTTTTCTCACGCGCAAACATCAGTTTCTTGCGAGTGAGCTGCAGATCTCGCTCCAAAGACCCGACTTTTGCATTCAGAGACTCCACTTTGTGCTGTAGAATCAGAAGTTGGTCCTTTTGATAATGGGGCAAAGGCCGTTTCGCCTCGGGGCTCCTTCCGCGTCGTAGCTGCTCTAAAAGCTTGTCGTCGTATTTTTTTTCCATCACCTTGCGTTTCAAAGCAGCGCTTGCCGCAATACGTCGTTGCACCTGTGCACTTATTTTTGCCCGGTCTGAGTGGACAGGCAACTTGAAATCCGCGTAGGCATTGCGCATTTGCTCTAGATCCTGGTCTTTCGGCGAGAAAACGCTTTTCACTGCACTCCAAAGCGCCCCGGGTTGCTGAGATCCATGATCGCGGTCCCTTTTCCTATAGCTTTTCGTATTTCGAGTATTACGGAGTCGTTTTGACACGCTAGAGCGGCCTTCTGTCGCATAATGCCGAGTTTTCCACTTGTCTAGCGACCCGTGTTCACTTTTACGTCCATCATGGCCACCAATCCCACCAAACCAACTCTTCCAGTATTCACGAGCGGATTCTAACATTGCACTACTCAGTGCACTATTTTGAGCTCCAAAAAAAGCGTTTGAAAGCCAATGAACAGAAGAATTTTGTAACGGTTTTAACAACAGATGTTAAAACTACAAAAGTCGCCAGAATGTGGCTCTTGATCCTTTTCTCTGTCTTGTTTCTTCAAGCCTTAGCCCATATTCTTCAGTTTACGCGTCTTTCTTGAAATATATCCTTTAATATAACCACCATCATCAATTACGCGTCATCTCATCTCGAAAAGATTCAAGATTCATTCAGCTGTTCAAGAGCCATTGAGGTACATAAGCGCGGAAAGAACAATTGCAGTAGTTTGAGACTAGCGTATTAATACACACAAAAAAAGAGCGACTTCAATTCGTCCAGTGGAAGTCAAGTTATGGATCATTTAGTGACTCTTCCTGTGAAGATCGCTCCAGGTCTGCTCAGGCCCTTAGCATACCGAATTCTGTCCAAAAAATACGGGTTGAACATCAAATCGGATGGACTGGCAGCGTTAGCAGAGTATATCGGGGTCAGTTTTGGCAGCAATTGGCGTAAAGACAGCGCAACGTTCCAATTTCTAGAACAGTTCGCTGCGATCTGGGAACAGCAAGAAAGAGGACTGTTCATCGATAAAAACGGCGTAGACGAAGTGATTCGAGAGGTTAAAGAGCGTTCTAAACCTGCACAGGCTACAGCTACTGCAAATTCGAGCAAAAAGGACTCTGATTTGACATCAAAGCCCAACACATTAGATGGGTTTTTAGCTCGTAAAACCCTACTGCCAGGTGAAGAAGACGCATTAGATTCCGGAACTCAAACAGAAAGTGTTACTGAGACGAATGCGGAAAATGCAGAGGCATCACTGCGAAGCGAGTCCCCAGAAGCTTCACTCGATTGGCAGGCCTACTATAAGTTGGTGGACGCGCAAACGCATCAAAATTTCCTTTACGATTCTACATCTAAACAATACAGGTTGAAGCCTAAGGATACCAAAAAATCAATCTTGCCCCGTGCAGAATCGAATGTGGCGCTTTTCGCAGCGCGCTACAATGTATTGAGAGACCGAGTGCTGCGGAATGAAGTGTTCCAGGGCGGCGAAGACACGTTCAATCCATTGTCATCGATGAGCAACTTCAAGAACTCGCTAGACACTCCAGCAACTCAGACAATGACTCTAACACAGATCAAAAACTTGTTAGGCAGAGACGGAAAGAATTTTCTGCTTCTGGGTCTTCTCAGGCCCAGTGCTAAAGGTGGCTGGTCCCTCGAGGACCCTTCAGGCTCGGTGGAGCTCGACATGTCGCAAGCGATCCCTGCAGAAGGTATGTTTTACGTTCCAGGTTGCATTATATTGGCAGAAGGCATTTACTATTCAGCCGCCCACAAGTTTTTTGTTGCTTCCGTTACACATCCACCTGGCGAAAGACGGGATGAAGCTATGGAGGCAGCGGGGAACCTGGACTTTCTGGGGGTCCATCAACTCTCAAATTCGAGCTACTTATCAAGAATCGACAAAGACTTGAAGATCAGACTTCATTTACTCGAAAGAGAACTAACAGACCATAGAATCGTTGTCCTGGGGGGAGATATTTTCCTGGATCAACTTCATGTAATGGAAGGGCTGCGTAAAGTTTTCGACAAATTGAATGATGATCCGCCCATAACATTAGTACTTATGGGATCCTTCACCTCCACACCTACCTTCCCCGTAATGAGCAGCAAAAATATCAGCGCCACAACTGCTTACAAGAATGCTTTCGATGCTTTGGCTCTTTTGATGTCAAACTTCGAGAGGTTGATCAACGAAACAAATTTCGTGTTCATTCCTGGAGCAAACGATCCATGGACCTCGATGGTGAGTTTGGGAGCTACTGCGATATGGCCGCAACGCCCCATTCCAGGAACATTTGTTCAAAGGGTGAACAGGGTTTGCAAAAACGTGTTTTGGGGATCGAATCCTTCGCGGCTCGCATACCTCTCCCAGGAGTTGCTTCTTGTTAGAGATGACTTGAACGACAGGTTCAAGAGACATAACATTTTATTCCCAGCAACTATGGACAGTGACGAAGAAGAAAGCCTCGTTCAAGATTTCTCCATGCAACAGATTCACGATAAAGAATACGAAAGTATAGATCAATTGGTTAAATCTAAAGACCAGAGATCTGCAGGAGTGCAAGAAGCACGTAAGCTAGTCAAAACTGTGTTGGATCAGGGCCACATCTCACCATTTACCTCTTTCATCAGACCAGTGGTGTGGGATCTAGATCATACTTTACACCTATCGCCAATACCAACCGCGCTGATCTTATGTGACACTTCTGCTTCGCAATTCGAAGTCACTTACAATGGTTGTAAGACCATCAACACTTCCACGTTTATACACAAGCGAACGGCGAGATACGTTGAATACAGACCGGCCTTCAGGAAAATGGTGCAGGAAGAGGTCTATTTTTGAGCGCAAGAAGAGACTCGAGTGCTTGTAATCGCCAGTGGCCACAGCTATTCATCATATGGGTACTTTTTGAAAGTCCGCGTCACGGACAATGGCATACAGTAAACAGGATCAATTTCAACCAGCTTGTCTTTACCCATCAAACTTAGGCCTGCCACGCCAAAACAGGTATGAAAAACGTCAACTTCATTTCCAGGGCGGTCGCTAATTCCACCCTTTTTCGGATCCTGCGATTGTAGAATGAACTCTCGAAGTTTATCGAAATCGATCCAGTCGCGTTTCCCGATGATGGCCAGAGACGACAGCACCCACCAGCTGTAGCACACGTCTGGTTGCTTACTGGGACGTCCGTTTAGCCCACCTTCAGGAACCTGTCTTTCGCACAGCCACCATGCGATGTCCTCCAGCTGATCTGGCGAAAGGGCATCTAACCGGTTGACTACTGCCAAGGCCGCAATGCATGTGAGGGACATGGCGGCATGGCTTTCAGCGCCAGGGCTCAATCCAAAGCCGCCATCAAAGTTGTAGCATTGCTGGATGAAATTGACTGCTGGATCGACTACGTCCGCTGTCAATTCTCCCAAAATCGATAGCGCATTCAATGCTGCGTAAACGAAACGTGTATCAATTTCACCAAAACGGTCTCCCTGAAAGGAGCCGTCAGGAAGCTGATTAAATCGCAAGAAAGCAACGCATTGTGTCTTCATGTTGTCGTTGTTTTCGCTGCCGTCAGGTTTCTGCTGAAGTATTTCCAGAGCATCGTAAATGGCCAAAATCTGAATTCCCGAAAGCGTCGTCAATACATGAGCATCGTGCCCAGGAAACGCAGCGAATGCGCCATTTTTAGCATCCCAGCAGCTCAGCACGAAGGAAATGATCTCGTTTCTGTTAAATGTGTCTTTGGCATCCAGTACACATAACGCTGTGAGTCCCCAGTACACACCGTTAAGTCGCAAGTGTTCCGATAACCAGTATTCGTAATCGTCCCGTTTCGAATCCAGCGATGCAATGTAACGGATATGACTCTCTCTGTCGAGTTTGGACATCTTCGTTGGTTTTTCGATGATTTTGGTTAGAGCTATTGACAACTCATCTCATCTCATTATTTTGACAAGTTCCAATCAAACTTAAAAACTAGCCATTTGTTACGCCAAAAGGCTTGCTTAAAACGATCTGATGAGCAGTTCAGATGGGCGAATTCATTTGGAAGATATAAGGATCGATACTGGCTTTCAAACCAACGATGGAGCACCTGCTGATGAAGGGTTGAAGAAGTTGAAGTTCTTTCGAGAAGAAGTACTGCAGTTGATTCCTACAAACGATTTGGAAGTCCAAAAAACACTTGAGTCATTCAATGCAGAAGTCATAGTGGAAAACGAGTCTCTGAGAGACCGCAGAGAAAGATTGGCAGAGCTGGTTTTCCAAAATCCGTCTTTCAAAGAACAGCTTTTGGATAAAAACAAGGGACTTCCTGCAACAGAAGAACCGGACGCCAGTGAATTTGAAGCCGAAGATGAAGAGAAAGATGAAGATGAAGACGAATTCTATACACCAGCTTCGGACGCCCTGGTACACGCCCGAAAATTTTTAATACGAGACTCGCTAGACAGAGCTCAGAAAAGGCTGAAAGCGAAATTTGCGCTGGCCAGTGAACAGGACGTACATAGGACCATTTCAGGCAGAAGAGCATTGAACTCGAAATTGTCAACATATGAGCTCCAGGGGTCTCAAATTGTTTCTGAACGTCCGGTCTCAAAAGTGAAATACAGTCCTAATCAAACGTGCGCAGCAACTGGAAGTTGGAAAGGCGACATCCAATTTTTGGACCCAGAAACACTACAAATATCTCGCAAAATTGAAGTTGGACATGATGGTAAGATCGGTGGACTGGATTGGGAGTCTACGTCACGATTTCTGGTATCCGGCGGAGCGGACAATCTTGTCAAGATTTGGGATTTGTGCGCCGATGACATGAGACCTCAAGCAGTTTTCAAGGGCCACGAAAACCGCGTTGCGAATGTAAAATTCCATCCTAGCGATAAGTATATTGCGAGTGCCTCGTTCGACTTGACGTGGAGGCTTTGGGACGTGGAAAGTCAAAAAGAACTCCTGTTGCAAGAAGGACACTCCAAAGAGGTGTATAGTCTCGATTTCCAAACCGACGGCTCGCTCATTTGCAGCGCAGGTCTGGATTCAATAGCTCGTGTTTGGGACCTCCGATCGGGTCAGTCACTAATGGCTCTGGAAGGACACGCAAAACCAATATATGGAGTAAGCTGGTCTCCGAATGGACACGTTGTGGCTACAGCCAGTGGGGACGGGACAGTAAAAGTTTGGGATCTGCGAAACGCTGCCGAGCCGTTCTCCATCTTGGCACATAAGAGTATTGTATCGGATGTCAAATTTGAAAGCGATAACGGACGCTTCTTGATCTCGAGCTCTTACGATAAGACTATTGGCGTTTTCGCTGCAGATTCGTGGTTGAGATTGGCCACGTTAGAAGGACATATGGACAAGATACTTTCTGTAGACGTGGCGCCTAAGGGAATGCATTTGCTGACTTGTGGTTGGGACAGATCAGTCAAAAAATGGTCGCTACATAACTGATAGAACACAATTAATCATTAGTACTTTGGTTTTGTAGTTTATTTAACTTTTCGAGTTTACCTGGCTCTTATGCCTGGGGGTCTGCGCTTGGTTTGTCGACCGAACTCTTGAAAATAAAATTTTTTTGAGCTGCTCGGTGAGCGTTTCCATTTGTTTTTCAACAGTGTCCAAGATTGCTTTCTCATCCTGGATCTGTGTTGTTAGTCTCTGAATTCTATCAAGCGATTCTTGAGACTGTGATTGGTCGTCCTTGATTTTGCATTCAATTTGTCGTTCCAGCTCATCGGTTTCTCGAAGAAGTTCCTCCTCTTCTTTGTGGAAAGCTTTGATGGCATCTTCAGCCCGTGTGAGCTCCTCTGACATGTATCTTTGTTCAGCCAATTTGGACTCTGCTGACTTTTTCTGCTCCTCTGACTCTTCTCGCACCTTAACAAGCTGAAGCAGAATATCTACTAGGCTCGCGTGCTCTGGTCCCTTTTCCCTGGCGGTTTGGAAAACATTTTCGATCTGCTTTTCGATTTCACTTATTTCGAAGCTCACGCCCTCGGTATGACTAATGAGCCTTGCATTCTCTTGTATATTCATTAGGTGCACTTTCATCGCGTCGTGTGCTTTAGCTTTTATGTCATCGTGCTCTTGTTGGTAAGTTTTGGTGCGATTCTCTTGGTTGAGCTCTGCTTTGCGGAAGTCGTTCAACTCAGCCGCTTGCCTCCGTAGGTTGTAATAAGATTCGCCGATGGCTTGTATGAGTTTGTGGGTGAGATGGCCACCCGAAAGATGGTAGTTTACAGCGCCGCCATTCTTGGCGTTCGCTATACCCGTGAGTTCTGCCATATCTTGCTTCAAAGAGTTTGTAGAATAGTCGTTTTTGAGTCTCTTCAATTGATAATAGGACGGGCTTTGAGTATCTTTCGGAAAGGCGGAGTTAGGCTTGCGGCCACGCTTGCGGCTACTTTTGAGGGCCTGGGCAAGTACATCGTCAACTTGACTGTAGTGGACCTCAGTAAGCAAAGACTTTTCAACATCCATGGGAGTATAGGTCTTTATAGGGTATATGTCTGGTAAAGGCCATGGTATGCTAGGATCTTCAAGCCACGCAAGCATGTATTTTAAGCCTTGAGAATAGATTGGACGAAGATCCGGTGGCAAGGTTCCGACAACATCACGGAGAGCCACCACTGCAGCGGTTACTTTGACAAGATAATCCCTGCTTCCCGGTTTCACGAACTTGCTGTAATAGAGTTCACAATGATCGATGGAATTGATGGTCGTGAGTCGCACCACAGGGGCTTTTTGTTCTGGTCCTTCCACGGGTCTATTTTGCGTGAGAATCTGCTGCACATGCGGTTTTGAAGTGTCAACAGAGGGATCCAAACACAACAGAAGATCAAAATGTATGGCAGGATCAATGACGAAATTGGACGAATTATCGGGCAGATCGTCAGACGGGAAAAGATGGCATGTACAGGAATTTTTCTTGGGTTTCTGCTTGACCTTGATGCACTGTCCCGAGTAGCGTTTGATATTTACCTTGTTGCCCAGCAAAAGAGCCTCGAGCAGATCCATTGTTCTTCCAGAACGACAAAATAACGCCGTTTCCGTTTGATAATCCTGAATTATACTGATCAGATCCTTGAGAACTCCAAATTTCCCACTGGTTTCGGCAAGGTGGTTTGGGATGTCTTTGGTTATCAGAGATTTGGGCACTCCATGGTCTATCAGCAGATACGGGTGTGTCGCGACGTACTGACTGTTAAGACACATAGTTTCCATGGAATGCAGCACCACGTCCGTGTTGTAATCCTCTGTTTCGAAGTACTTCAGAATGTCAGAGTAGTGCAACGACACGATTTGTTCGCTCAACTCTTTCTGATATAGACACATTGGTGCTGGAAGCCAGTAATCGCCTGAGACGTCGCCTGAGACTCCCATCGTTCGAGGGTCCACAATGGCTGGCTCTGGAACAGTGTCCAGAATCTTGAACAGGTCCATTGGAGGCCGTCTGAGATGTTTTCGACTAGCTTGGAGTGGGAAAGTAACGGTTTGGAGTGTAACGGTTTACTTGAGAACTGGTTGTTCAAGATGGCCTAATTCGTTAAATTTGAATAAACATTGTACTCGCGGGTATCCGAGTACTTTTCTGAGTACTTGTCTGTGTACTCGTTCGAGGACTCGATCGAATGCTTGGGCAAAGCAGAGAGATAGAAACGATGCGAAAAAGAGATTTTCGGCATTGAAAATTAGCAAATTAACTTCTCTCTATCGTCTGTATCTATCTTCCAAGTGTCAGACTTGATTTAATTCACTTTATTGGGCTAATTTTTTATATTTTGGGTTTAACGTCCTAGACGGAGGAATTGATAATTTGCAATTGTGACTAATGGTATTTTGGCTTTTGAGATAGCTTTAAATCGTAGTATGGTGTCGATAATTGACTCTTTGAGTTGGGTTTATCCATGGTGCAGCAGGCCTGACGCTAACTATTAAATTAGGTTCGAGGAAGACAGATAAGTACAAAGTGATCTGGGTTGAAAGGCTCGGAAAAGAAGCAATGTAATGATGCATCTACGTCTGAGCACTTTTATATGGCGATAGAAGTTTGAGTGCGGACTATGATGCGTGTTCTGTTGGCACTTACCTTTCTTCAATTTTACGTACTTTAGATTTGAAGTATTACATACAGTGTAATATTGCCCAGGACGACAGACTGTATTCGTTCCTTGACCCTAGACTGGCCCAAATTAGAGGTACATGAGACCGATTCAAAACCATACACGAAAATGAGCTCTAAGGGTTCGCCAATGACTTTTATGGGCCATCACAAAAGTCACGTGACCTATACAGATCTTGTACTTTTCAGAAATGACGAATCCTGCACTTTTTAACACAATTATAATGGTGCATACCCGCCCCCCCCCACACTTTGCTTCTTTTTATCGCGACATGAGTCGTTTCGTGCTTTCCTCTCCTTGCGAAGGTTTGGCAAGAAAACTTTATACGTAACAAATGACATCTCGTTCGACTTTATAAGTGCATTAACGTCATAGTTAGATAATTAGGTTGCAGGCATCTCTGCAAGATCTAAACAATTTTGAGACAGTTGAAATACAGCGGCAATGAGCTCCAAGGATGCCGAAACTTCGCAATTGAGCAAAGGCATGTTATTTTTTACATTCGTCTTTTTTCGGCGCTTCCAAAGAGCCTTTAACTAACATTTTTGGAGTACTTTTGATACTCTCTCCATACAGACGAGATAGCCCTCTATGACAGACAAATTAGGCTTTGGGGACTAGCAGCCCAGACGCGCATGCGTAGTGCAAAAGTTTTGGTTATCAACTTAGGAGCTTTGGGTACCGAAATCACGAAAAATTTGGTTCTCAGTGGAATAGGTTCACTCTCCCTCATCGATAATCACACCGTTGGTGCTCAAGATTTGGAATCACAATTTTTCCTGAGCAAAAGTGACCTAGGATCCAAGCGTCTAGATGCAGCAGCGTCCAGAATCCAGGACATGAATCCAAGAGTAGAATTGAACTTCGACAAAGACGACTTTCGAACAAAGCCAGATTCATACTTCCAACAGTACAATTTAATTGTTGCCACAGACCTCCACAGCGCTGATATAGTCAAGCTCAATGCCATCAGTCGGCGCTTCAATGTTCCGCTTTTTGTTGCAGGACTAAACGGACTCTCCGGTTACATCTTTGTCGATCTAATCCAGTTTGATGCTACTGATGAAAAACTGAAAAGCTCCATGGCCACTCCACTAAGCCGACTGTCTCAAAACCGTGAGGTGATCGAAGTTTTAGAGCACTTCAATGAAGAACAGAACAAGACTTACGAGAGAATTGTCACGCGAAACAGTTATGTACCGTTTGAGAAGATGCTAAAGGCTGGCTCTCTCAAAGGTAAACTTACTCGAAGACAACTCAAGCGCCTAACCAATGCAGTTCCTCTTACTCTGGCTCTTTTCGATTACGATGACGAGATTGTGAGTATCACCGCACAGAACCTAAAGGAAAAAGCAACAGAGAAATGCATACAACTAGGTTTGCCTGCGGAAAACTTGCAACAAAAATACATCGACCAGTTTGCAGAACAGGCAGGTCTCGATTTTGCGCCTGTGGCTGCAGTCATTGGCGGTGCAGTAGCTCAGGACGTTATCAACATCCTGGGTAAAAAACAATCGCCCTTGAACAACTTCATTGTGCTGGACGCTATAACCCTGGACATGCATATTTTCGAGCTTTAAGAAGAACAGTGGATTCGACATATGTACCTGGCCATCCATCTTCTCCAGAACACCATTAATTGACGTATCTATTTGTAAAGTGCTTACTTTGAATGTCAATATGTACTTTCCTACTTGATGGGTCTATAAAGCGAACAACTTCTGGTTGTTTCCTCTTTCCCAACACGAACGAGATACCCCGTAAGGCCTGTGCTTACAAGGAAATTCATGTCATTCCGGATGAAGTGAATATGTTATGACATGGCCGTTGGAGGGGATTAGCTTCGTATCACAGCTCTTTCAAGTTTGACCACTCACCGTTACCTCTTGTAAATGAACCATAAAATTTTGTAGCGACACGTCATCAGTGAGTACGATGGTGGAACCGCCAGCTGATTGATCTTGGTAGCTGTCTGAAGGGTTCAGTTTGGATAGCAAAAATCTAGCCTGAGAGCCACCGGCTTCAGTGTCAATAAATCTTGGTAGTGGGAATCTGTCGACAAGCAATTCCGCGGCTTCGAGTTTTGGTTCCTCCAATAGAGATTTGAAGTCAGCGTACTGCGGATCGTCTTGGTAACCGGCTTTTCTCCATTGAGCAATCTGCTCACCATGGTAAATCAGAATGTAGAAGAAGGTGTCTAGAAGGAGAATAGTATTAGGCTTCACAGAGACAGAGTCTAGCAATACTGGCTGAGGCTCTTCCTCCATGAAAAATGCAGTCAACGTGGGCTGGATCATAATCAAGGAGTTTGTTGTATCCTCCCTGGTGAAAATATGTCTGTAGAATGCCGTCTCATCAGGGGAATTGTTGAAAACACTCAAAAATTGAGATCTTCTCAGGTAATAAGTGAATTGGGGGTAAAGAGAGAAATTTGGCGCTAGTCTGAAAGACCTTGGATCATCCTTGTTGTAATCCGCGTATTTTTGACATAACTTGATCAAAGTCCTGTCAATCCATCTTATAACGTCAGCACCATCGTCGGATTCCGCTTTGTGCACGGCAATTCTTGCCATTAAAACCGCAGCTGCTTCTTGGTCAAAAGATGCAGCAATAGCTGGTGAGCCAAATGGTAACAACTGATTAGCCACTGTGGTCACTCTAACGCGGTTAGTACCGGACGCATGCTGGTAATTGGTCACGAATTGAGTGTAAGCCAGTTTGGGTCTGTCTCCGCCCATAACACCTGCAGATGTGACCGCAGTGTTGGCGATCTCGAAGAACACTGCGTAAGAATGATGAGGGCTGATGGAGGACATTTTCCACGTTGAGGTACCACCAACACCTATTTCTGAATCGCTTATATTGGCAGCGTCTGTCTTTTTGACGGGAGAGGCGTGACCTATTAGTCCTTGCACCTTTAGGTCTCTGCTCGTCTTGACAGAAAGGTTGGCGTTGAAGGCCATGGTCAAATAACCCTCTTCGTCGCTAGAAAATAATCTCAAGAACGATTGCTTGAAAATAGATGTCGAAAAAGCATCTGTCAATAGAAGCACACCACCTGTAGAGTCTGTCAGTTGTTTCATTTCAGACATACCCACTTGATCATAACAGCCTGCAAATATGTCAACAGTGTGGCCGTTTTGAGCAACTCTGTCAGCTAACAAGCTGTAGAACTTGGTGGCTTTTTTGAAATGTTTGGCATTGTCGGAGTCTATATCATGATGAGATCTCAAAGGATCCTTGAGCTCAGAGGAGACGACTAAGCCAGGAGCCAAAGTGCCCGGTCCAGAAGCGAAAAGGATGATCCTAGCGGCAACATTTTTGTAGCAACCCTGAAGAATCAAAGAAGCAATGTTCAGGGCAGAACCTGTAGCACGCAGTGGTCTGTGGCCAGCTGGTACAGACCATTGGTCAGGAGAGAGGTTTTCTAGCAATTGCGTGAGCTTAAACTCGACTTGTTCCAAGGGCAAGAAAAATCTATTCAACGAAAATGGAGTGATCTTATTCAAATGCACGTTAGCTGCAGCTGAGGCTCCCCCTGCAGCTCCTGCTGCACCTGATTTCTCGCCTGTAAGCATCTCAACGAGCTGCAAAAGCTGATATTCACGATCACCTCTGAACACGTTGCATTTGTCGATAGTGTCGCAGGAGATGTCGTGGAGCTGAACTACGTTGCCGTAGGTAATCAGCCCAACCATAGCGTTTGGAGGTAGTAGCGAAAGCGACGCGATTATGGATTCTTTCAAAGCCTGCAGGTTCTCTTCTTCAGCTGTGATGTCCACAACGAAAAAGTAGATAGGAGGCACTTGGACCGGTCTATTTGTGATATACTCGATCGTCGTGTTGCTGAGCTCTGCTGGCATGTTGTCCTGGCTCATGTTGGCGTAGTGGGCAGGCAAATGATTTCTCGAGTTGCAAATAGGACAGGTCCATGCATTTGAACGCAAATCGATCTCACAGTATGGATTCAGAACCGCTTTGCACTGTGGCCCGCCACACACCACCGGATTGTATGACATGACCTCCAGATCCTCTTTTTCCTTTAGCGGCGTGTACAAACACCCCACAGGAACCACATTTTTGTTGGCGTCCGCTCTACTTGATGGAAACACATTCCACGAGAAACGAACGCCGTTGATATCTTCGTTGGCCTCGAAATCCATTTTGAAAGTTCCAGCTTCTTTTCCAGTTGCTCAGATCTCGATTATCGTTTTCCTGTCTGGTTCTAGATCACAGAAAACTGAGTTCAAAATCGATCCAAAAAAAGGCCCGAAAAAGGTTAGAGAAAGGTTTTACAAGCGCTGAAACGACTCAATGCCACTGGTGAATTCAAATGTCGGCCAAGTCACACTTTTTCACGCGCTTGAACTAGGGTCTTAATGCCTTTGTCTGCCCTTTTATTCCCAGTTTTACCGTACAGGAGGTAGTTCAGTTGTGTTTACGCTAGCTTTATTTCAATTTCTTCCGGCTTTTTTGATAGCTTTTTGAACGACGTGTAGATTCCTAGATTTTTTTTCTGAACAGTGTGGGTTTGCCACCGTGTAAGAAAACCTGGAAAAAATGTAGCTGCGCGCTGCGCTGGCGCGGGAAAAGTATAGTTAGAGAAAAATTTAAGATCGCAAGTAGTGATCTTAGCATACCTGGAACAAATATCGCGCTAATGATATCTGGTATAGAATCATTCAACGTTTTGAGTTTTGTCCTTCCTGAATCAAATCACTTTAGACGAACGTGTCGCTGCAAGATTCATGAAGAGTCAAAGGTTTTGTGCTGCTGTAATCACTGGAACGGAACAAATGCCCAAATGGTTTGATATTATGATAAACCAAGAAATATATATATACAAAGGTGTCATCCTCTTATCTGTCGTTGTTCTTCTTTGTTGTTTCTTGATCTCGAGATCTGATCTAGAACTTTAATATCTGGCGTCATATATCCATTGAGATCACGTGATGTATCGCCCTGTCATCTTCTTTTATAATCACTTTATCCTTAACGTGACACAGTCTAATTCCATTGTGAGTTGGTGATTTTATTCTCTCTCAAACAGCACGCACAGAGTCGTTAGTTAGTAAGCCAATTGATTGTAGAGGAATATACTTTTATATACTTCGACAGACATTAACTAAAGCTCAATTTTTTCTTTTTGGTTTGATCAACATACTCCACAGACACACACTGATTTCAGAATGAGAAAGAGAAGAGTCTTCGCACTACTAAATAACCAGCTGTCGTCAAATACGTCTAGCATCCAGCTCTAATTTCGACGTCAATGCCAACTCTTAAAATCTTTAGAAACAATGATCATGAATCACGTGCCGCTCTTCTCGTTATTTCACTATTTACATGTAACTCTATACATATGGAGCTATATATATAATAATAATAATAATAACAATTCTCAGGATATACAGCCTGTGCAACGGTTTTTTCAAATAATACAAGACCAAGTGGGATTCTTGGGCTCACAACATGAACTTGAGGGAGGCTCAGGTTGTGATCGCCTGTGTGGCATCCAGGTTTGGAGCATCCACTGTGTTCCCAGTCTTACAGCATCAGCTGGATAAATCCGTGGAGTTCTCAACACCGGTGACATCGTATAGAAGTTTGCAAGAGGGCGTTTTCCTGCTTCGAAATGACTTCCCGCTGTACTCTGGTGGAGTGGTCCACCACGCACCACTCCTTGTGGCACTCATGTCCGCCTTCAGCAGCGAGAATGTGGTGTCTCTGCTGTACGCTTGTGCCGATGCCCTTGTAGCGTACCAGTTGATTGCAATGGCCAAAAGTTTCAACAGCTCAACTCTCCCACCATGGGTTCCGGGCGCACTGTATGTCATCAATCCACTGGTTCTGCTGTCGTCGGTCTCCAAATCCTCGATTGTATTCAGCAACCTGGCCATTTCCACAGCCCTGCTGACGGCCCTCCAGGGTAATTGGGTCTGTTCCGCTGTTTCAATCGCCGTCGCTTCTTACCTTTCGCTATACCCATTGACTTTGCTCGTACCGCTGCTGGCACTGCTGCATGATCACAAACTGAAAACCGTCTCCACCACAACCGTCACCTTGATCGGACTACTTTTGTCGAGCTACAAGATTAACGACGGCAGTTGGAACTATCTTTTCTCTACCTACGGTGTGATTATAACGTTCAGCAAAATCATACCGAACCTGGGGCTTTGGTGGTATTTCTTTGTCGAATTGTTTGAGATGTTCATTCCATTTTTCAAGGCCGTGTTCAACCTATTTGTGGTTTCCTGCATCATACCATTTTCACTACGGTTCCACAAACAGCCCTTCTACGCCTTTGTGCTGTGCCTTTGCTGGATCACCTTGACGAAATCGTATCCAACTCTGGGCGACGGAGGGTTTTTATTAAGTTTCATTCCCTTTTTCAAGCCGTTGTATGGATACTTCCGATACTCTGTGATATCTACTTTGCTTTTCATCCACGTCACTGTGCTCTCGCCTATTTTTTACCATTTGTGGGTTGACTTAGGGTCCGGGAACAGTAACTTTTTCTATGCGATTTCGCTGGTGTATGCCTTGGGTTTGGCAACTGTTTTGGTCGACTTGGTGTGGGCGATGTTGAGAATTGAATACGACAAGGGCAAGCCCAATCTAAATCTCAAACTAACACCGATATAGTTTGACAATCGGCCAACTACTGTTTCTAATTTGCTATTTACTTTATTATGCCCACTTATAGAATTCGGCCAAATTGTTTAACTTCAACTCCGGCCAAACATTGTCACTGTGTTGTCAAATACATGTGCTAGCGAAGCGAGGGACATTCCATTTGCGAGCTACAGATGCAAATGAGCAGGATGTCACGACGTGAAATAAGCACCCATTGTTCTGTCGTGTAAAAACAAAATGCGCATCGATATTTGCCGATTTTCCGACTCAGAAATAAAACGAGGGCAAAGTTGCATTGGAATTGGCTTTGTACTGATGGGCAGGCGCCCGCAGTCTCTCTCTTTACCTCGAGTCTTTGTCGCTACTTTTGAAGCGAGACAGCCCGTGACACATGATATCGAAATAAACATGCTTAAAGATGGGTTGCCCATTACAAGATGCAGGTCAGCTCTAAGCCTAAACTCCATCTCATAAGCATCAAAAGCCATAATGTCGAGCGTACGTATCACTGCAATAGCGATAACTACACTTTTTGGGTTTTCATACTAACTGCTAGGCAGCTCTCTCCTATCAATCCAAAGCCCTTTCTTCGAGACCTCATAGGCAAAAAGATAGTTGTGACTTTAAAGTTCAACAACACACAATACAGAGGAATTCTTGTATCCACAGATAACTACTTCAATCTACAACTATCAGATGCAGAAGAATTCATCTCCTCACAATCAAAGGGCAAAGTAGGTGACATTTTCCTTCGTTGCAACAATGTACTCTGGATTGGCGAAGACCGGTCGAACACAGCTGCCAGCGAATCAGAAAAGAGTGAAAATGCACTGGAGTCTCAACCCGTCGAGGATAAAGAGCCACTGGCTCATACAGCACCAAATCAAGAGCCAGTATAAATCAATCTCGATTCTCAAAAAAATTTGTACATTAGAAAGGACTCCACTGAACAGCTTTGAACACAAAGACCTTGCATTGCTCTAATCATTCGAAATCAAACGCGGTTTCAATGGGAATCGAATTTCGAGGATTACTGCTTCCAAAGTAGTTTTTGAAAGAATCAAAGAAACCCTAAGTCGTGCAAAAAGAATTTACCACAACGAACATGGTACTGTTTTCTCCGATAATAGGCTTCTCAAATAATTCGGCGGCTACAGCTTCCGGTGGGTTTTCGACGACCTCATCGAAAGGTTCCTGCGTCGAGCTCTTTCCAAAATAGTGTCTGATTATGTAACATGGATCAGTTTTTCATCTTGAAAACTCGGACCTATTAATACACGATATTTTTCCATTAGACAAAACAAAACATTACACTCCGTCAAACACCAAAAATCATACGCAAAGATGGCCATTGTAAACTCGGTGGTTGTGCCCGCCTACCATGAAAAACTAAACATCAAACCTTTGACCACAAGACTGTTCGCAGCTCTTGGAAACGAGGGTTCCAAGACGACAGAATTGATTTTCGTGGACGACAACTCTAAGGACGGTTCTGTAGAAGAAGTTGAGGCATTGAAAAAACAGGGCTACAATGTCAGAATTATTGTGAGAACTGACGAAAGAGGGCTTTCGTCTGCTGTTTTGAAGGGATTCCGTGACGCAGAGGGACAGTACCTTGTCTGTATGGATGCAGACCTTCAACACCCTCCAGAGAGCGTGCCTCAATTATTCGACGTGTTGAGAAACCACGCTTTCGTTTTGGGCACCAGATACGCTCCAGGGGTTGGCATCGACAAGGATTGGCCTCTGTATCGCCGTGTGATTTCCTCTGGCGCGCGTATGATGGCCAGACCTTTGACGACGGCTTCGGACCCAATGAGTGGGTTCTTCGGTCTGCAGAAGAAATATCTGCTAGAGACCGATCCCAAGGATATCAACGCTCAGGGCTTCAAGGTCGCTTTGGACTTGCTGGTGAAATTGCCCTTGCCCCAGACCAAAGCCATTGGCGAAGTGCCCTTTTCGTTCGGTGTGAGAACCGAGGGTGAATCCAAACTTTCTGGAAAGGTCATTGTCCAGTATCTCCAGCAATTGCAGGAACTGTACGTGTACAAATTCGGAGCCAACAACTTGGTTCTATTCCTGGCTGTATGGATTATCCTTGCGCTGTACGTTTTTTTCAAACTGCTGTCGCTAGTTCGTTAGTTTACAAGCGCGATATGTGTACGCTGAAAATAGATATGTTTTAAGAATTCTGCCGATGGTAAACCTGTGGGATTCACATCGTGAACATGAAAGATATCCATGCGTTTTAGTAGTTGGTATACCTTTCCAAAGACGCCTTCTGGATTATCGAGTTGTGCCTAGTCTATGACTAGATACAAGTGAGTTGTTATTCGCGACACATTAGTACAAAGTGATACTTACTTCACAGTCCTCCACCGAAGCAAGCTGGCACTCTACTTACACCTCATAATCACTAGGGGGCGTTTTCAAATCGAAACGGACCCTGGAGTATGTGTCCTCTTAATTATAGAGCCGACTGAAACCTCACATCAAATATTATGAGCCTGAGATGCCTGACAACTGCTATTAATCAAGAAACGAAAATTGAACCTACACAAAGCACTGATTGACACAATCCGAAAACTATGAAGATAATATCGCTGAAATTTCCAAACACAAACTCGGAACTGTTAAGGTTGTAGTACCGTATGCAACATGGGATGTGTGCAATTTTTGACCAAAAAATGAAAAAAAAAACTGCAATTAAAATTGAGAACACACTAATGATCTGCATCTCGTCGAACCGTCAAGATAAACTGTTGGAAGACGACTTTCCACACTCAATGAAGTTTTATACACCCAGTGAAGCTCTCTTAAACCGGCATGGCCCTGTAAATCAATCAGTCACATGACTCACGTGACTATTCTTTCTTAGATGGTCATCTTTCACGATCGGAACCCGAATCTTTCGTACCCTGTAGTGTCTTCCGATGATCTTGGATATTACCTTACAAGCGTCCGCCGCCGGCCCGCTCTGTTGCGGTCGCCCCTCAATTGTGCACAAAGACGCATAAATTTAGGGGAGCAGGATTGTTCGAATTGGGAGTATAAATAGCGCCGAGGAAAAATGAGGAAGGTATGGTGCGTACCACCACTTTCTCGAGAGGATATACGCTCAAGTCAACAAGATAGAAGCTTTTGTTTAAAGGTTCGGCCGCTGGAGTGTTTCTGGAAGAAAATTGAGACTTTTCATTGAATAGTGCTCGAAAAAACGAGCATCTTACCTTTTAAGCGCTCGTGGTTATTTGAGCTAGAAGTTTTGGTAAAGTAAAACCTTTACTTTCTCGATATCCCATGACGTTACGTGAGCTTTTGTTGCGTGTCTCCGACGCAGGAGAACCGCTGGTGAGCTGTTCGTACGGCCAAGGCGTGCTGACACTGCCTTCTTTGCCGCTTCCCGATGGCTACGATGGCTCTCAACCGCTATTTACTATAAAATTGGTCATTGCAGGTGGGTCACCTCTTGCGCGCGACGGATTAATTTGGACAAATTGTCCCGTGAATAGTGGAGCGGAGTTTGTGCGCGACAAATTCGTCAAGAAGAAAATCAATGCTACGTTTCACCAAGATTCGCACGTTGAAATCGAGGTATATGCACCCGGAGCCTTCTGCTTCTATTTCTCGTTCAGAAACGAGCACGACGAACTAGAGACCACGAGGAGATTTTATTTCGTGTCCCCGCCTAATCTCTATGTCTCAGGTAAGTACGTTCCCCTGAACTCGATTGCTATGCAAAGCGTCGTTTCCAAGTGGATGGGATCCGATTGGGATCCTGTGTTTGAAAAGATTGCTTCAAAAGGATATAACATGATACACTTCACTCCCTTGCAGAAAAGAGGCGAATCGAATTCGCCTTATTCGATCTACGATCAACTAGAGTTTGATCCAGCCTTCTTTCCAAACAACGTACAGGACGTTAAAAAGACTGTCGATAGCTTACATGAGAAACATGGCATCCTCACATTGACGGATGTTGTGTTCAACCACACTGCAAATAACTCCCCTTGGCTTGCGGAACATCCAGACTCCGGCTACAATCACAAGACGGCGCCTCATCTCATCAGTGCAATAGAACTGGACGCATCACTTCTTGAATTTAGTGATGCTCTTCCCAGTCTCGGACTCCCAGTGGACTTGCATACCACCAAAGACTTGTTTGCAATCATGGATGGTATCAAAGCGCACGTTTTGTCTACCTTGAAGCTTTGGGAGTTTTATGTCATTGATTCCACCTCCACAGTAGAGGCTGTCGAATCTGATTGGAATATGATATCTAATGAAACCATTGAAGTTCCGGACAGTGTTAAAAGTGACCTGGTCGAGTTATCTGCATTTGTTCGCGATAATGCCTCCGCGGAAGGTTTCGGCCAACTAGGAGAAAGGTTCTCTAATAGGCTTGACAGTGTTAAGTTTGTGACCATTCTGAAATCTCTATATGGACAGACTTTTAGCGATACGGTCGCAGAGGAGGCTCACAAGATCATCGATGAATTAAACCTCCCACTTTACCGAGAATATGATGATGATGTGAGCGACATTTTGGAGCAGTTGTTCAATCGCATAAAGTATATGCGAATCGACGAACATGGTCCACGACTGGGTACGGTAACACGCGAATCTCCCTTGATTGAACCCTATTTCACTCGTGTCCAAGGAAAAGATGGTGAAAAGTATGCTCTTGCGAATAACGGCTGGATCTGGAACGGAGATCCTCTAGTAGACTTTGCCTCCAATCAATCTAAAGCATATCTTAGACGCGAAGTGATAGTGTGGGGAGACTGCGTGAAATTGAGGTATGGTGCGAAACCACAAGACTCGCCATATCTTTGGAAGAGAATGTCCAAATACGTGGAGATCAGCGCCAAACTTTTCGATGGCTTCAGAATCGACAACTGTCACTCCACGCCTTTGCACGTCGGCGAGTACTATTTGGATCTTGCTCGTAAGCATAATCCAAATTTGTATGTCGTCGCTGAGCTGTTTTCGGGGTCAGAATCAATGGACTGCTTATTTGTGGAAAGACTCGGTATCTCCTCTCTTGTGAGAGAGGCCATGCAGGCGTGGTCAGAAGAAGAATTGTCTAGATTGGTTCACAGACACGGTGGAAGGCCTATCGGCTCTTTCAAGTTTTTACCCTTGGATGATTTTGCCTACCCTTCGGACGCTAACAAACTTGACTCTAGTGAAAGCAAGTCTGGGACTAACCAGGAAGTCAATATCCCAAAAATTTTGACAGCAACGCCACCTCATGCTTTATTCATGGACTGCACACATGACAACGAGACGCCATTTCAACGGAGAACGGTGGAAGATACTTTACCCAATGCTGCCTTAGTGAGTTTTTGTTCTTCAGCCGTCGGTTCAGTCTATGGGTACGACGAATGTTTCCCATATTTACTTGACGTGGTGGGAGAATCCAGGACCTATGAGGTCGAACGTGATGCTGGTATATCGGAAGTCAAAACACGTCTTAACAAGATTAGAGCAGAAATTGCTGATGGTATTGCTGAAATTGAGGATTCAGAAATGCATGTTCATCACGACGGCCAGTTCATAACTTTTCAGCGGAACAATGCTAAAACAGGAAAAGGGTGGTTTTTGATTGCCCGCACAAAATTCAGTGGGAATGCCGGGGAGCAGAAATTGCCGAAAGTCATTTTCAATGGCTCTCGCTGTGAGCTGGACTTTGCATACTCACTTGTGAAAGTCGGCGATGTTATTCAAGATGACAAAGTCATCAAGGGTGTCCCTACTAAACTCGAAAAGCTAACAGATTTTTTGGTCAACTACAATGACGGTGCGAAAGAGTCTATCATCGAAATAAGTGGCGATTTTCCTCCCGGCTCCATTGCTGTGTTTAAGACCCAACAAAATGGTATCGATGAAACATTGTTGGGATTTCTGCGTTCTGGCGCTTTGAAGGCTTCGGAGAAATTGGACTTGTACTCCCTGAATTCCCTTTTGTATCGCTGTGACGCGGAAGAACGCGATTTGAGTTCAGGAACATCAGGCTCTTACAACGTACCCAATTACGGAACTCTGACATACTGCGGTCTGCAAGGATGGGTCTCTGTATTGAGACGTATCATTTTTAGTAACGACCTCGCTCATCCTTTGAGTGAACATCTTCGTTCTGGTCATTGGGCTTTGGACTATGTTGTTCAAAGACTTGATATCTACAAGGATAAACAGGGAGGAGTTGCAGAGATGCAGGACTGGCTTGCTTCTCGGTTCGACAGAGTCAAGCAACTTCCTTCGTTTTTGGTTCCAACTTACTTCGCACTAGTGATCGGCACAGCTTACCAAGCTTGTCGTTTCAGAGCGCTTAGACTGCTGTCTGAAAATGTGGGGGATTCTACAAGATTTGTTCAAAGTTTGGCTTTGACATCTTTACAGATGGTCTCCAAAATGCAATCAACTTCTTTGTTGCCTGACGAAAAAGTCCCCTGCATGGCAGCAGGTCTTCCTCATTTTGCCACGAACTACATGCGGTGCTGGGGAAGAGACGTTTTCATTTCTCCGAGAGGCCTTTTACTTACAACAGGACGTTATGACGATGCAAAGGAACACATTCTGGCCTTTGCTAAAACTCTCAAGCATGGACTGATTCCCAACCTTCTAGACGCGGGCAGAAACCCGCGCTTCAATGCTCGTGACGCCGCCTGGTTCTTCTTACAGTCCATTCAAGATTATGTCAACATTGTGCCAGGCGGAGAAACAATTTTGAAGGAAAGTGTTACAAGACGCTTCCCACTAGACGACACTTACGTTCCGGAGGATGACCCTCGTGCATTTTCGTATGAGTCTACAATCGAAGAGGTTGTATATGAAATCCTGGCCAGGCACGCCCGCGGCATTACCTATCGAGAGGCGAATGCGGGACCAAACTTAGACAGAGTTATGTCTGACAAGGGGTTTGATGTTGAGGTTAAGGTTCATTGGGAAACCGGTTTGATTCATGGAGGGTCACAATACAATTGCGGAACATGGATGGATAAGATGGGGGAAAGTGACAAGGCCAATTCGAGTGGCGTCCCAGGGACTCCTCGCGATGGGGCCGCTGTTGAAATTAATGGATTACTCAAGAGTGCTTTAAGATTTGTCACGCAGCTGCACAAAAAAGGGCTTTTCAAGCGCACTGATGTAGAGAAGGCAGATGGCAGTATGATCGCGCTAGCTGAATGGGATAAACTCGTGCAACAAAACTTTGAACGCAAGTTTTATGTTCCCACCAATCAGTCAGAAGACGAGAAGTATGATATAGATCCAAATCTGGTAAATCGTCGCGGGATTTACAAGGATCTTTATAAATCAGGAAAGGACTATGAAGACTACCAATTGAGGCCAAATTTTGCCATAGCAATGACCGTTGCGCCAGAGCTGTTTACGGCCGAAAAAGCCCTGACAGCTCTGAGGAACGCGGACGCCATCATTCGTGGACCCGTGGGGATGCGCACGTTAGATCCAAGTGACTATAACTACCGTCCTTATTATAACAATGGTGAGGACTCTGATGACTTTGCCACGTCTAAGGGCCGAAACTACCACCAAGGTCCTGAGTGGGTGTGGCTATACGGTTACTTTATGCGTGCGTTTTACTACTTCAGCTCGATTGCTGACCCGCATTGCCGAACCAAGGACGGCTCTCATCCGTCTTCGTACCTGCTGCAGCAATTGTATTCTCGACTCGATGGTCAAAAACATGCTATCTTTGAAAGTCCTTGGGCAGGTCTCACTGAACTGACTAACAAAGACGGTGCATTTTGCGGTGATAGCAGTCCTTCCCAAGCTTGGAGTACAGGATGTACCTTGGACTTTTTCTACGATTTATGGAATGCAGAGAAGAAAGGCATTAAGTGAACGGAAGAGCCATCGAGTCCTGCTTTGGGACAGTTGTAAGACAAGCAACTTTATGGTTTTCCGTTTTGATCGAAATTGAATCGATCCGAGTGTGCCAGGCAAACTGCTGGAGTGCAAGCTAGCATATTTATAAAATTAATAGATAGGTAGCCAGCCACTCTGAATCGATAGTTTAAACTACGTGCACGCACCGAGCCTCAATGGTGGCCTGTCAGAAAATTCAGGCTATTGATGCTGTTGGTATTGAATAGCTAGCAAAAATGTCAAATTCAATGGCTAATGTATGGATGGCAGGAGCTTCGCGATAGCTATGGCTAAAAACTCATTCAACTGCAATACCGGATTTCGAAACCTGATAAAGGCAAGTAAAGATCTAGATTCCAGTAGCAACGCAGTAAGATGAACTTTCAATGCGATAATTGATTTTCTAGCCCTGACGTCTTGAGGACTGCCAAGCCTTAAACAACAGAAAACAGTGATTAAGGAACTTACAACGGGAAATTTGTAAAAAAAAGAAGCAGAGCGGAGAAACCAGAACCATTTCGAGGCTTTTGATAATTGCAACGCTACAGATAATATCTTATGTCTGCTACTTGCTTCTAGAATAGAAGCTAAACTGCTGCCGTCGCTTGGACCTCTAGATCACGTGATTTTTGATGAGCTATGCCATCACAATTCAAAACAACATGAATTATTCGCAGTATATCACATTTTGTGATATGCTGCAGACAAAACTCAAGACATCTTGTCGAGTTCTTCACACAATCAGGAGACTATATCCTACACTGGTTTGTCAATATATCGAAATTTATTTGGTCACGTGACCATACCTTTTTTATCAATGAAGCGTTTCAATGGGTTTCAAGGGTTTACTCGTTGACGTGATGCAGTCAGTCACTCAGCTTCTTTGCCATGAAATATTAACTAACTTTCTCTATTGCTCATTGTTGAAGAACAGGATAATAAAAAAAAGTGCTTTCTAATTTACTGTATTTTACTATAAATTGAGAGACACCGCGAAAAAGCATAGAAACCAAGCCTCTTTGAAACACTGCAACTCAGGCACTCTTCCTGGAGATAATCCTGCTAGCTTTCTATGAATCTCACCCGTATGCTGTGGTACTTTATAGCATCTTCTTATAAAGATATCGTTTTATCTTAACGTGTCATCGAGCCAACTAAATTTAGTCACGTGATCCATTGTTCAATCACTTCCGTGCCCTAATCACAAAGCCCTAAAATAGTGAGCTAGGGTTAAGGCCAAATAATAATAATAATAATAGTCATAGAGCATCGACCTAAACCCAAAACCCTTTCCAGTTTAAACATATACAGATACCAAACACAAAATCCCAGCGATAACGGTTCTGAATTCCACATTTAGGCTGCTGCAATTGTGAATCGCGGCCTTGGTAAGCCTATACAGAACTAAGGGCGTGGAAAGTGTGAAAATCAGGCTTCTTTTAGCCGGTTTTACGGGTCCAAACTGACTTCAAATGAACATTGTGAGATCTATTGAGATAAATCAGGTTCAAGCATGGATAGAGAGCTTTGGGAGCTGGTAAACAAGTTTTTCCTCAAGTCCGCACTGCTGGTGTGCCAATCGAAACATTACAGGGGCCAGCCGGCTTCAGAGAACGCCACAAACACAAATAACTGGTTTAACATCGAAACACTGGGAAATGCTGTTTTGGAACGTGAGATAGGTCCTTGGACCTCGTTTGAGGGATCAAGAACCGTACCACCGCTTGTGATAGAGACATATCTTGATTTGACGCATTTGAGCCCGTCGCAATCAATCATCCTACGGGATCAAGATGGAAATCCGTGGAACGTATGCAAGGGCACCAGAAAATCGGAAATAATGCTGGAGCGGTGGCTTGTACAGCTAGACAATGACACACAAACAAGTGAGGGCAACGGCAATGAGCCCCACGCCTCTAATGAGGAAATCTACAGACAGCTGATTTTACTTTTTCGATACTTATACACATTGGTGGGCTTGTTGCCAGCCAACGACCTGCATCTCCGACTTTCAAAGCCGGTCTCAGCGTCGGGAACCGCCTCCTGCGTGAACGTAGGAACGCGCGTGTTAGATGGTACTAAACCCATTGTTTCGAAGGGCAGAATCGGACTCAGCAAACCTCTCATTGCCACTTATTCTAACGTGGTCAACGAAACAAACTTACCGCCACACCTCGAGCAACGCAAAATCACACCTATTCAAACCAAATACGGTTCTCTAAGGATATCCGTGTCGTACAGACGCGATACAGATTTTCAAGTCAACGATAACGAAGAGTACTACGCAAACGAATTTGGAAGTGCAGCTGCAACTCAGCGTCAAATGCAGACTGCAATGCCCGGGGCTACCAACTCCTCACTGAGAAGGGTGTCCATGAATAGTCAGCGTTCGATTTCTGTTTCACCCAATACACATATAAGCCCAAACCTGTTAATGGACCAATCACCTCAAAAACCAAAAACTGCTCTCACACGCCAATTTCAACCTTTCAAAGCAGGTTCGGTCGGAAGTGGTTCCATTCCACAAGTCATCCAGGGTAACAGCATAAGCAGAAATCCTTCGGGCACTTCAGTTGTCGCCGCCCTTCGAGCTCAAAGATCCAGCAATGGTTCCATTACAACAAGCTCAAATCCATTGCAAGAATCACACCCCGAGCCTTCCAGTATAGGGAGCGGCAGCGTTTCCAAATATTCGTCCTCATTCGGTCGCCTGCGCCGTCATTCGAGTGTAAGAAGGTCGGACAGTGTCGAACGGCCTCAAAAGCCCAGCAAATCAAACGAATCACCATCCAGTGACCTTTTAGAGTTTATGAAACTTCTAGACGACAGAAAGGAACTTAAAACCAAAGCTAATGATAGAGCTGCCACCATAGACATGGCAAGCTCGCTTTTGAAGTTCCAAGGTATGAGAAACACCAACAATAACTTAAGCACCGACCTTTCGATGTCTATGTCTCTGGAAAGGCCGCCGGTCGGTCAGCAGAGAAGCAGATCGAGGTCCAATTCCCATTCTCCCAACTCTTCATTTTCACCATCCATTCAATATTCTTCCATTCCTATGAGACTTTCTCAAAGTCGTTCCAACTCTTATCGAAAAGACATTCTTGACGAATACTCCAGCAGGAGAGGCTCCGCGGACAGACCAGGATCACTCAGTTATAACCTCAATGAGAGCATGAATAACGCTCAAAGAACATCTGTTCGTGACAGTGCTATTGCAGATGACGACGACGACGATGATCTATTGATCGGTAGAAGCACCTATAACAACCAGGCGCTTTCAAACAAAAATCGCTCGACGTCTCCCGGCTCAATGCGTAGCATTTCGAGTTCGTACAACAAAAGCCAATTGCCTTTCAAGTCAGTGTCCAATTTCTCTGGGCCAACGACTATGGCGACACCTGCGCATGCTAAGCTACACAAGGCTGCTGCTGTAGCTTCTACAGAGTCGAACGATGCGGAGACTGAACCTAAGAAGGACGATAGCTTAGGTCATGCTGACGAAGATGACGAATTACTATTTTTCATGAGCGATATGAACCTTTCAAAGTAGGAAAAGAGGGTAGCTCTGCAAAGCGGACTATACATGATTTTGATCGCTGTAGTGTGAAACAGCCAATAATTAACTAGACATGATCTTATGGTACACTACTTATCATTGAAGCGTTTTCTTAAACATTTGGTCTAGGACCGCTTTGAATATCTATCCACCTACGGCGCATTTGGCCAAACTATATATCCTTCACCCTGGGTACCTGATCAATGCGTTCAGTCGATGCGTCCGTAGATTCTTTCTCAGTTTCTCGACCTTGTAATATTTTGAGCTTCAATTCGTGAATTTTGTGTTTTTGTATGTGTCGATCGTACCTTTCTTGAGTCTTGAATGTTCTATAACATTTCGGAAAAGAGCATTGGAGCTTCCTGCCTGCGGAATGGTGCAGTAATGAGACCGTAGATTTTCCTGTCTCCAAATACTTGCGCAATGTGACCTCAGTTTGTATTGATTCCAGCTCAGATTCTTGAGTATGTGCCCCTAGCTTTGAGCGCCGTTTTGATTTGGTGGCTACTGGAGCCTGGTGCGCGGTATCGTGAATTTTGTTGCACATTTCTTCGTTCGCCAGCAAATCGGAAACAAGCTCCTTGTGAAAATCCATGTAATGCGACATTAAGTCCGTTTTCTTGGCAAAAAACAGATCTGGACAGCGCTCGCACTTCCAGTTTTTTATAACAGTTGCGGTGTCGTGTACCTTCATGTGCATGGCCAAACCGGATTCCCCCACACAGGCCCTGCTGCATATGGGGCATGAAAGCTTGGGATGTTGCTCCTTGATATGTTGTTGCAATGCGGTCCACGTCTTGAAAACTTCCAGACACGCATTATGCGTGCACTGGTATTTGAAAACAGAGTCTGGATTGTGATGTTTGTCCAGATGTGCTTTTAGTCGGTAAGGACGCTGAAACTTTTTACCGCAGTGTTCGCAGGTCAGTTTCTGCAAATGTGCTGAGAGGATATGGGATCTCAGTTGTGGGTGTTTATAAAAGCTTTCAGAACAGTTTTCGTAGGGACAATGGAAGGATCTGGTGTGGGTAATTTCATGTCTGCGCAGTTGTTGCTTTGTTGTGACGCCCTTATTACACACTGAGCAGCGAAAGGGCTTTTCCTGCGAATGCGAAAAAAGATGCCTCTCTAGATGAGATTTCCGACTGAAATGTTGGTCGCATTGAGGACATTGAAAGGGCTTAATTCCCCTGTGAACGCTTTCTTGATGTTCCGTCAGCTGTGATGGTCTCGAAAAGGCCTTATTGCAGCCTTCATATTCGCATATCCACGTCTTGGGCCTACTAGTGCTTGAGGAAGTGCTGAGTCCTGATTCGGAGTCAAAATCGGTATCCGAGTTGGTTTTCTGATTATTCGTATTGGAAGTGATGACTTGTTCGTTTTCTTCCAGTTTCTTGGCCGTTAAGAACGGCGTTCGAGCCCCACTTTCGCTAGACGGAAGAGCATTAATACACGGTTGTGCGCTATCATTCATGACAAGCAAATGCCTTCGCTGACTTCGCTATTTTGAAGTTTAAACTTCAGTTCCAGCGATGAGATGAGATGAGATGAGATGAGATGAGCTATATTAGCAGGCTATAATTTTTCGACGACGGTGTGACTAGATAAACGACTAGATGAATGGGTCAAAGACGATTCCCGACAAACAAGGAGCGAGATCCAGCTCGTAATAACTCTACCAGCATGTAGCAAATTTATCATTTTCCAAGCATCACTTGCGAAAGCCAGGTTTTGGTGTATTTTTTAGATCTTTTACTATCGTTCTAACCAAACTGTTTTGAACCATAAAACAACACTCAATCGATCCTTAGATTTGACATTCACACTGAATTTTATTCCATCAACGACGATAGCATGGCCATTTGTGCTGGTAGTCCATACTATGTTCTTTAAAACTTTTTAAAAAGCATCAAAGTTGTGATCACGTTACACTCATGTTCAGTTTAAATTGATTTTTCTCTTGGCAATCGTTACCAGCGAGTTATTCTTCGAGTCGTCCACACATTTTTCCATCTGATCCTCCACTCGCCACAAGTTGAAAAAAACTTTTCAATAATGAATATGAAAGAAGTGATCATCATCGGTAGGCATCAACACACCTTGACAAGCCTTTAAAGACTGCGTTCGAAATGTCAGATTACGAGGAAGCGTATGTTGAGCATTGAATTAGAGTTCTAAGTAGCCTTTGAGCGGTAGTTTCGTGCCGATTTCAAGCTCTCGAATTGACCCTTTTGTCATCATTTATTAACCTGAATATGTTATTCTCTTCAGTTTCAACGACGGACCAGAACACTTTGAGGACTTCGACAACGATCACTTCTCGGATGCGGAAGTTTACGATGCACCAGAGACATTCAAAGATGGCGAAACAAAGGACGAAAACGGGAAAACCATCATTGCAGGCGGATTGAGCGCCGATGACTTCCAGCAACAGCAGCAAGAAAGTAATAGAAGAAGAACGCTGAGAGAGAAAGCCATTCCAAAAGATGAAAGAACCACGACTCCATACATGACGAAATACGAGAGAGCTCGTATTTTGGGAACCAGAGCTTTGCAAATTTCGATGAATGCACCAGTCTTTGTCGATCTTGAAGGTGAGACGGATCCTTTGAGAATTGCAATGAAGGAATTGGCTGAGAAAAAAATCCCATTGGTCATCAGAAGATACCTACCTGACGGTTCGTTCGAGGACTGGAGTGTGGAGGAGCTCATCGTCGACCTATGAGCGGGGACATTAGGATAGACAGCGCTTATTCAGCTCGCCATGTACAATATCAAACCCAAAAAAAAAGAATCAAAGAAGAGCTTAAATAAACACACGCACACATTTTCGAAATAGAGAAAAATGACAATATTGCATATAGATCGGCTCTGGTGAGTGGGCAAGAAAGCATTTGCGTAGGTGTGTATGTGTGTGTGTGTGTGTCAGGTCCTCCAATCTGCGAATGACACAATAAAAAGCTGGGCAAACCAGGAGCCACTCAAACGTGAATTTGCGAGAAATTGTCACAGCGTTAAATGAGTCCCAAAAACGACTCTTTTCACGCATCTTCCCTAACCCCACGTTCAATTATTATTTTTTCTTTCCCGCGTCTGTTCCCTTTCCTCCCCGTGTTGTATTTCTGCGTCGTCAATCCACGGTATCGAGAAATTTCCTGCCCTTAAAGATGCGTTCTCCCGATAGCTGTGCGGTGGAGAATTGTTTCAACACCGTTTCAAGAACCGCAGTGTTGTCGAATCCAGCTTCTCTCAAACTTTCTCTCAGATCGTTCACATCAGCATTAAGTTCATGAGTATCGCTGCGATCAAAAGCTCGGAGGGCATCTGCCATTTCCTGCTCATCGGGAAATTCGGTCAGTTTTCCACCGATCAGCGTCAAAAACTCTGGGAAGCTCAATTCCGTCACTTTTTCGCTGGCCAACATCTCTTCGACTTGAGATTCCATACCATTCTTCCCCAGGTTTGCGTATGTCTTGATCAAGTCTGACTTGGAGATTTTCCCGTCACCACCGTCGTCTATGAATTGGAAGACATCCCTTATCTTCTGGATCTGTTCATTTGAAAATTGTGAGAAGGATGCAGACTCACTCCGTTCCATCTTTGGTGGAGCGTTTGTTTCTGGATACTTCACTAGTCATCGAGCCCTGGTGAGCAGAGTATTATTATTATTATTATTATTATCGAATTACTATGGCACATACAAATAGTGTACTCATACTTCACGAGCCCAATTTGAGAAGTTGTCAAGCTCGTTAAACGTGATTATGGTTATCTAGCTGATCTAAGTTCTGCGTTGATAGCATAAATCCAGGCCCAATCGTTCTTTTAGAGAATGCTATAGCTACAGCAGGCCTATCGTGGCTAAAGGCTCGAGTGTTACTGATTTTTTGAGTCTCGTATATGATTATCTGGACCGACGAGACTTTTTTCGTGAATAGGTATAGTTGTGAACAACACGCACATAGATCAGCTCACAAATCATCATATATCATGGTAGAGTGGTGTCATTATACTTGCTTTTTTTTTTTTGGGCGTGTGTTGACATTAATTGCCACATTTCAATCAGGAAACGTTTTTTCCTGTCAAATAAATTTGACTACAGCCACTATCGTCCCACTCTTAAACAGACTTCAATATGTGCTGTCTTACCCACAAACCTGTGAAGTCATTCGCACTTAATTTGCTGTCTGCAGGGTCTGAACAAGCTGTGCAACAGTTCTCGAAAGCTATATCATTTTATACTATACTGACATGGCTTTTTTTTTAGGTGTTGGAAACCTCCAAGCAAACACCGCAGAAGCATGGTGTCTTAATCACGATGCTTTGAGAACGTAGAACTGTCCACGATAACTCTCTCCAAACAGCCACTGGCGGTATCCTGTCATATCAAAAATGACATCCTTTCACGTGATCTCTAAATTGGCAATAATATCAAATATACCAAATAAATCGACCTCGCGCTTGCTAACTTGACTGCCAATCGGAACTACAATCGAAGCCAAGCTGTCTGTTTTTGCTCGATGGCAAGCCTTAAACAACATCTCAAGGATGCCAAAAGTTACTTGGATAGTCAAGACTATGAATATTGCATTGAAAGCACCAAGGAAGCTTTGAAAATAGATAAAAAGTGCTATTTTGCCCATGTCTTTTTGGGCAAAGCCCTGTCCTGCATTGATGAGCTTGAAGGATCCAAAAAACATTATCTAACGGCAATCGACCTAGATCCGGAAAATGTACTGGCTTGGAAGGGTCTTTTCGTGCTTTTTAAGCTTAGCAACATTGCTCCAACGGTTGTATCGTTCGACGAATACTTTGACCTGTGCGGGAAGTACGCAGAGCTGCTGTTGCAAAAGCAGCTACCATTGACAGACCTTATTAGTGACATTCGAAATTTCAAAAATTTTTACAGAGACTCCCAGGAGTCATATCTGCGTCATATGCGGCCAGGTACTCCAACTGCTGAGCTTTTGTCTCGCTACTTGATATCACCCAACGAAGCCTTGCAGGGACTACTCAACATAGTCAGATCGGCTGAGCAGCAAAAAGTGTCGAAGTTAGTGAGTCGAGAGCGGCTGAAAATTAGCGCCAATCAACCGGATTACGATTTGAAAGTAAATTCTATCGCATGGGAAGTTTATAAGGATTCAGAGGTTGACGAACTGTACCAGCAATTGATCAACGTTACTGATGCTGACGAACAACGACGCGATAACGAAGCCAAGTGGCTTGAGTATAGATTGAAGGTGTTAAAGTCCATGCCAGCGAACATGAAATCTCATTTTTTCTTGAAAGTCAAGGGAATGGTCGAGGACATGGTGATTGTGGATCACGATTTTCTTTTGGCATGGCAGCTGTACTTCGAATGGCAAGACTACTCGAACCTCGATAGCATGGATACCAACATGATATCTCGATTTATGAAAAGGTTTCCTCGGGAGCCACTCTCAGCCATTCTGTACGCCTGGGTATGTTCAGACCTATCCGCTTACAACTCAAAAGAGTTTTATGAAAAGACATTTCAAGATGATATGACCAATCAGATAGCTTCATCAAATGCTGTACTGGATTCAATTGACGACGAAGTAGACGAGTCTGAAAAAGAGAGGCTCCAGAAACTGGTTGATCCGGGATCTGAAGAACCTTCTCACGGATTATCTGAAGATGAGGTTCTACTCTCGTTTTCAGACAACATCAAGAAAACGCAGCAAAGCATTCTGGCACATCGCGTAATTTCGCACTACTATTTGTCGATGCATGAGTATGAGCCTGCTCTCCAATATGTCAAAGCGGGAATACTGCTATGTGCACAAAATGTTAAAGGTTTGGGTGCTCATTTGGGCAATTCTAAGAAGGAACTCACGCTAGATCTGGCTACCATTTATACTTATTTTGAGGCGCCCAAGAACCACTCAACTGCGCTCGCGCTTTTCGAAAAGGTGCTATCAGAAGATGCTGAAAACGTGAATGCAAAAATGGGTAAGGGACTGATAGCCATAGAAAGGCGTAATTGGACAGAGGCCTACGACCTTTTGAAGGATGTGTCTGAGCGCTACCCAGATAACTATGAAGTTCTCTCTGAACTTGGGTGGAGTGAATTGAATTTAGGCAAGGCAGACGTTGCCATCGAAAAATTCAAGTATATTCTAAACAACATCGAGGGTTCGGATTTGAAAACTCTGGAGTTCAGATCCCTCAATCATTGGAGGATAGCAAAAGCTTACATCGTCATAGATGAAAGTACTGATAGGGACTCGGCTTCGATCAACATAAAGCATGCATTCAAACAATTGGTCCAGTCGATCAAAGTGAGCGACAGTTTTGCCGCTAGTTACTCTACTCTTGGGGATCTTTACGCCCAGTATTACGAGGATTCGACAAGAGCATTCAAATGCTACTTCAAGGCTTTTGAATTGGACCCCAGTGATCTCACTGCTGGAAGATACATGTGCGAGCAGTATTGTGGCCTATCCAATTGGTCGTCAGCAGCACTAATCGCGGAAAGAGTTGTTAAAGCGGAAAAGTCAAAAAGGGCTCTGCAAAACATCAACTGGCCATATCGGGTGTTAGGTATTGCTTGCCTCGAGAAACAATCAGAAGCGGATTCGATTGAGTGGTTTCAGTCTGCTTTACGTGTCGATTCCTCAGATCTAGAGTCTTGGATTGGCCTTGGCCAGGCATACTACTCATGTGGGAGGGTCGAAGCATCACTCAAGGTATTCGAGAAAGCTCTCGAGGTGGAGCCTGATAACCCTCATGCTTTATACTTCAAAGCTCTCGCGTCGTCTAAGATGGGACAATATGAAGAAAGTTTGGAAATTCTTCGGGTGCTCACAGATATTCACCCGACCGAGGAGCACTATCATGTCACTCTGGTTGAGATTTTGATTGAGCATGCAAGAGAACTTCATTTACAAGGATACCTCATTCAGTCGGTAGCTGCTGCAGCCGAAGTTGTGCGTCATGTCGAGACCATAATTCTAAAAATCTGTTCGGGCAGCCAGGCCGTTTGGATGGTGTTGTCTAAGGCCTTAAAGTTATTTTGCTCAGTGCAGTCTCAGATTCATATGTTGCCTTTGGAAAGTCTAGTCAACATATTCGATAGTCTTGAACTAAAGAATACAGCTGAAATTGATGCAATCGACGGCGTGCTTTACGCTTCGCTACTTTCTGACCTCGAGCAGGACAATGTGGTGATTGCTACGAAATTTTTGATTTTATCGGTCAAATATTCATTGGCTTCCAGTGAATATGAGAAACTTTCTCGTACAGTGCGTGCCTCTCTATGGTACAACATGGGAATAGTTGAGTTGATGGCTTTCGTTATCTTGAAAATGAGCCAGTACAGAGACGCCGCTATAGTCTGCTTCAAAAAGTCTATTGAGTTCCAGTCAAACACCGCCGAAGCTTGGATAGGATTCGGCATTGCCTCCATAGATTTGAATTACCGAGTTGCTCAGCACTGCTTCATCAAAGCGGCTGCGCTAGGACCAAGAGATACCAGTGTGTGGTTTGACATGGCTGTTTTGGCATTAAAGCACAACGACGTCGCTTTTGCAAAAGATGTGTTGATGAAATCACAAAGCATTGCCCCTCAGGATTCCACAGCATGGCTCGGCCTTGCTCTCGTGTCTGAAAAAAGTGGTCCTACGGAAGAAACGACCAGTCTTTTCGCTCACTCTTTCGTACTTTCAAATGGCAAGTCAACTGCGGCTCAAATTCTTTATGCAAAAAGTGTTCTAGGCACGCGAATCGGAAATGGAGACGATGCGAGAGATATTGGAGCAACTCAAGAGTTGAGTTCGGTGGCCTATGGATTGGATGAATACCTAAAGAAGGATCCTGACGACAAATTCGCCTTGCAGTGCGCTATTCTGACACTTGAAAGACTGAACCATTTCGAAGCTGCTCGGGCTCTTTCGGGCCGCTTACTCGATATTTTGGAAAGACGTTTTGAAAAGATGCAAGATGATTCAGAACTTTTCAACTTTGCTGTGATCAAGTCACAGATGGCTCGTGTGCACTTGGGGTCCAAAATGTATGACGCCGCAATTGAAAGCGCAGATTTGGCGCAGGGCATTTTAAGCGAGTACGACAACGAAAGGGCGAAGAGATCCGTCATTTCAAATCATGCGGTAATGGGATTGGCTTATCTCTTTTCAGACGACTTTGATCAGGCTGTGGAACAGTTCAAGAGCATCTTGGAGATATCCAGCGAATCCAAAGAGCTTGTCATAATGATTGCGAAGGTACTTTACAGCATTGATTCAGAAGAGACGCGCGATGTAGCTTTCAAAGAGCTTGTAGACTACGTCAGCGAGCACGGCCAGGATTTGGTTGTCACCCTAACTATCTCTGCTATGACCATACTAGAGGGAAGGACTGAGGACCTGCGCATGGTTTTATCTGAGCTGAAGGGTCTACCTTTAGAATCACTCGTTTTCGATAGACACCGCGATGTTTCCTTCCTCATTGACAAAGTGGAGAAACAGGTATTTGGGGATAAGCGAACAATGGCTGTATGGCAGAGGTCGGCATTTTTCTTCCCTAATGATCCGAACTCTTGGCAAAGTCTAGATAAAAAAATCAGACTACGTGTTTCTTCAGAGGGGCAAAATAATGTTAGCGCCAAAAACATGAGTGATTACTACTGTGCTTTGGGTAACGTCTCAAAGATCCAAAGAGGACTTTTCCTCTGTCCTTGGAATGCGAAGGCTATATCTAAATACGAGAGCTGCTTTAGACAGACAAGTTGATGTAAATCATTCAAGAAGTTTATATCAGAAGAATTTAAACACTTCCCATAAGGAGAGAATTCTTGAGCACCTAGTGAGCCCATTGAGCTCACGTTCGTTGACCATTTTCAATTGGTTTAGCTCGCTGGGCAACAATAACTCGACTTCCTTCCCTTTGACGTCATCACGGTTCGCTTTTTTCAGAAGCGTTGAGTTCTCGTTTTTCAAGTCTTCTATCTTATGGTACAGGTTCGCAATGTTCCAAGTAAGGTTTTCTAGCATGAACTCGTAGGCATGTTTTTCATTATTACGGAATAAGAAAACTGACCTGGATGCAGCTCTATCAGCAGTCCGTGGTACTTCCTGGATTTCCACAGCGTTATATTTTATGAGAACGGAGATCACAGATCTAATGTCTTTTTCCTTCATCAAAGCAGTTGCATTGATGACCTTCTCAGATGCTAGTTTATTATCACATATGCAGCGCAGTATTCGAGCTGCCGATGCTCCTAGGGTGTAGCTTATCAGCGTTTCGTAAACAGAAGACTTCAGCAGCGGCAGTAATTTCGAATACGGTACGAAATATTGGCCCGGCTGGGATTCGTGGAGAAAAGGCACTGGAGAGGTGGAAAGTAGCTTCAGATGAGCGTTAACCAGCATCACGGAATGTGGGTCATCGTCATTGTCATCAAAATCTAGAGCAGCATCATTTTCTTCAGCATCATCCCCGGGATTGGTAGGCAAAGAAGGGATCACAAACCCGTCTTCGGTCTTCACTCTCTTCGTGGGCTGTGAGTCGTTGCCATTAGAACGTGGTCTTTTCATCTGGGATGCGATGGTTCCGCGCAGATCCAGCGTATCGGCGAGAAGCCTGGAAACGTCAGTAGCGCTGATATTCGTCCCTTGCGTTTTCTCCTCAGCAAAGATCAAATCTTCACGCATAGCAGCTTGTTCGTCTGCATCTTGAAGAAGACCAGTTTTGGTCAACGGATCGATAACGTCTGGTGAGAATCTTTCCGTGATTTGAAGAACAATTTTATAGATTGCGGAAGGTATGGTCCCCACTCTTGCAGCAGCTAGTTGAACCAACTGTTTTGATCTCCTTAGCTTTAGGTATGTTTTTAAGTTCAGTGTCAGTGGCACAGAATCATTGACTTTCCTCATGGATGTTTCTGGATCCGTTTGAAAGATTGATGCAGAATCTGGTGGGCAGAGAAGTTTGTGGAAACGTTCTTTCGCTTTTTGCTTGGCTTCCGTTCTTTTCTTGAGGTCCGACAGCGTAGAGGTCTTGGGAATTGCATTATATTGTTGAGCGTAAAGTCGAGCCCACAGGTCTCTAGTTGTGGCATAGTCAGTTACTGTCAATGGGATCAGAAATCCAGCCTCACAGAGCTTCACGAAAAATGAAGAAACTTGCGCTGGCGAGTCATCTGAAAGACCTGCACTCAAATATGATTTTACTGTTAATGAGCCCAAAGCTAACACATTCTGCACAATTTGCGCAGCCAGGTCAGATTGGAAGACTTCTTTCACTGTTTCCACAATTTCACCAGCATACAGCATCAAAAGCATACCATCTTCACAATAGTAGTAGTAAATCGTAGAGCGTCCTGATGCTGCATGAACTTCATTGCAATATTGCACACAGCGTAGCTGTACCAATGAGACCAGAATTCGTTTGACACTTTTTAGATCCATTTCTGATCGATCGCACAGTTCCCTGGCCGACATACGTCCCTTGGAAACAAGAATTTCGATAATTGCAGCAGCTCTCTCTCCCAAGTGTGTGCGACAGAGCTCTTTGTAAAGAAATCTTTCAGGATTCGCGCCCCGCGCGTCCAATGTCGCTACAGATCCCGACAATTGCTCAGTATCATTGGGCAGTTCTGGGGTCGCTGAATTGGTGGCCATAAATATCCTGAGGAGCTACTTCGGATGTTCTTTGATCTGGCTGAGAGTGATGCGATGAGCTTAAGCACTGAAAGTTGTACCAAAATTTTTCAGATCATTTTGTTCCTTACAGACATTGCCTTGGGTACTGGTGTGAAAAGATGCGAAAGCACGGAAAAAGGCACTTAGCGTAGGCAAACTAACTTGAGCAGAATTTGGGGCTGCTGTCGGGACAGTATTTCATATTTCTGCTGGAAGTAGTCGAAATCAGCAGTGAGCAGAAATGGATTTTGAAAGTCTGAAAACATAGATAGATAGATAGATGGTGGTTGAATAATTGAGAAGAAAAAGGCAAGATAGCTGTAATTATAGTGGCCTCTGTCTGGCAATGTTACTAGATGAGTGGTTTTTAGTGGTGTAACGTGAATATCGATGGTTGATGGTATGCCCAGATATATCACTTTATTGCAGGATGGCGCTGACACATAGTGTGTCACGTGACCTAAATATTATATGTGTATTATTCTATAAACCAGCAACAACTCCGCTATCTCTTTCCCGAACAGCAGATGCGAAAACACTTCTTCTCCTGCCTGTTCGGCACCCCTAAGCTGAGCCCCAGGACATAAATTATATACACCACGACACTACAATGACACGGTCGTGGATAATGATGTAATATTCTATGCTTGCCCCCAAAATGAAAGTAAAACTATCACACCGCATTCTCGAGGTTTTCCAAATCTCCTAATCTGACCAGTTATCAATGAAAACCTTCCCTTACGTCTCGCTGATAATTGTATTCTACAGATCAAATCTTACCCACTGTTGTCATTTTCTACGTCCACTGACACTTCATAGTCCTCCTTAGCCACAGCTCTTCCACTCGAATATCCACTATACTTAAAAAAATTAACAGCTTTCAAATAACGCCTCTTAACTTAACTCAACTCAACTGACGTTTTCGCCTTAGTTGCAATTTTCCACCTTCATGATAATTACTCCAAAAACCCAACTTAAAAAGCTCACATAAAAAACTCAAAGTACACACATTAGAATCCTTGAAATTTGTGTATTTTCATGCCATAATTCTTGCACTTAATCCCGTCATCTACCAGTATAATTCAGCTCATCCTACTTTTCAGCCAATCATATCGCTTTATTTCATCGGCTCGGTCTCGTACATAGTTATCTCTCTTCATAATCTCTAATTCTGAAAGATTTTCTAATATCGAAATAGTACATCAACTCTAGAAACTGGAATACTATCGGTTCAAAGACTCAAAATCGAGCTTTGAGGTCTTCCAAAATCCATTTCTTCAGCTAGCATTGAGGTTCGAGCATTGGCTAGGCTTTTTGATACTTATTTGACGAAAAAAAACACAGTTTCAAGCACAATGATTGGTTCCAGAATGAGAATGCTGGCCGCTAGACAATACCATATTTCTGCCAAAGACAGCGCAAGCAAAGTGTCCACTTTGGCTGTCAGAGTTCACGGTGGTTCTCGTTACGCTGGGAAAGACGGTGTGGCGCATTTGCTGTCGAGATTTAACTTCCACAACACTGGCAACAAGTCAGCGTTGCGTTTGGTGCGTGAATCAGAGCTTCTAGGAGGCCGTTTTGAGTCTAGTGTGGACCGTGAGTTCATCACGCTCAAGGCTACGTTCTTGAAGGAGGATTTGCCATACTACGTGTCGGCTTTGGGTGACGTGGTTTACAAGACTTCCTTCAGACCCCACGAGCTACCGGAATCTGTGCTTCCAGCAGCCAGATACGATTTGGCGCAGGCCGAAGCGTGTCCTATCAAAACCTCCGAAAACTTGCTGTACAGCATTGTCTTCCGTAATGACCTCGGTAACGCTGTGCTCTACGACGGTGTGCAAAAAGTGACGCTTGACGACATCAAGGCGTACGCTGACAAGGTCTACACCCGCGACAACATCGAGATTTCGGGCCAGGGTGTCAACGAGGCCGACCTCAAGCGTTTTGTCAACGACTCGTTGTTCGCGTCGTTGCCCCAGGGCACTTCATTGGCCAAGGAAAGCGCCCCACAAACTTACACCGGTGAGACCCGTCTGAGATCCAGCGAGGGCGAGTCTGTCGCGGCCATTGCCGTGCCAGTCGCCAAGTCCGATTTTGCTACCTACGAAGTGTTGGCCACCTACTTGTCGTCCGCTTTGTCGGATCTTTCGCCATTGATCTCCAAGGTCAAGTTCGACTCTTACTCGAACGCCGGTTTGTTCTCGCTCTACGTGAAGGGTGCTGACGCCGCTGCTGTTTCCGACAACATCAAGAAGGTTGTTTCCTCTTTGAAGAAGTCTCAGGACATTTCTGCTGCCAAGGACGCCACTGTCTTGCGTTTGGCCTTGAAGAACGAGACCGAGCCTTTTGCGCAGACCGTGTCTCTAGACAAGGTCAAGGACTTCAAACTGGGCAAATTCAGCTACGCTGCCGTTGGTGACGTGAGCAACTTGCCCTTCGCCGACCAGTTGTAAGCTCCAGCCACCCAGCACCGCTCCGCATTGCGCCGCACCGGCCAAAACCATAAACTTCACTTATAATTGTGGTTTTTTCGAAGAAATATTTCACTTCAAACCAACCTAGGAACTATTCAACTCATGTCTTGTGTTCCTGCAGACAACTCAATCCAACTCAACCTATCCTATCACCAAATGCGACGATCTTTACGTTCAAAAAAAGAGAAAACACACACACACAAACGAACAATTACATTACACACACACACGACCCGGAAAGTTTACAAGACTAAGACTACCCATGTCCAAAATTCGATACACACGCAAGCACAAACGGTCACACTTTTTTCAAAAGGTCCTGTGTCACCCTCACCGCTTTCCATAATATCATGAATCTTGTAAGAACTTGTATTTCTTAGTTATACTAAATTTTATTTATTCCTACGCTATAAGCAGATTCTTAGCAACGATATTCACGTACAACCAAATGGCTCATTGCCGTTTCATTGTTGGCAACAGAATGGATTCCATCGACTGAGAACACTCTTCAAAATATTCAAATGCCATTATTATGTTTTGGCATCATAACATGTTATTCAGTCACTTTTGACATTTTTATATAACCTGGGTGCAAATAGCACTAGTTCATAAACAAAACGACAATGCAAAAAACACTAGCATTGACGCTAAGTCGATGAGCTCACTTTACCTGCTTGTATTTAGATCTATAGGTTTATATGAACCAAGTGTTTGTGCCGTTTGTCCTTAGGCTTATGGGAAGCGTTGTTGCATTGTAAAACTTAGTATTGCAACAACATGAGTAATACATGGAGGAGTATAGCACTGGCGTTCCATTCCCAACCGATTCCGCAGTCGTTGCAGGTTCTTCTGGCTTGCGTTTCCGAAGCAGATCGGTTGGAATGGGCCTACGAGGAAAGTTTGGAAACTTCGTTTTACGCTAAGGCTTGTGGCAGTTATATGCCATTTATGCAGACAGCCATGAGCTGTTATATGTCACTGACGGAAAAAGGGCAAGCAAGTATTACAGACCGACTGGATAGCTACAGGAATACGTGCAGCAGTGTGGCAGGCACGAATTTCTCGCAAAACCAGATCTGGGACATCTGGCGCAACGGGACGCAGTTTCTACAGGACCCTCAGCAGGACGTCAACGTCGTTGGACAGCGTCTCTCAGCGCCCGTACAATTATCCAAAAGTGCCATTTCTGCGACTTACCGATACTATTACTACACGTTCTACAATTTGACTGCCGCTTTTGACTTCAATCTGGTGATCAACGGTAGCGTTTTAGTCTTAGTTTTGTTTGCCATTTGGGCCCGCTACACTCGTTGCAACGGAAAATTCGTGAGGACTGCAAGGTCCAAATTTTTGGTCCCCGCATTGTTCGATACAACGCATCATACCGAAAGCAGACCTCTTCCCTTCTATAAGGTGCTTCTGCCTACCAGAGGCGATGCTGTGGCCTTGACAATATTCCTCCTGACAAACGCAGCAATCTCATTGTACAATTTCCAGGTTGTAAGTTCGAACGTGGACACCAAGTTTTTCTTTCTGGTGCGATGCGTCGCGAACCGGTGTGGTGGGCTAGCCTTTGGTTTAATCCCCCTCACGGTTCTTCTCGCCGGAAGAAATAACCCATTGCTTAAGCTCACGGGCGTTCCGTACTCGAACTTGATATTTTTTCACAAATGGGCAGCACGGACAATGACGCTGTATGCATTTGTCCATTCACTGCTGTGGACCGTGTATGTGGTTGTGCGATTGAAGGAATCCTTCTGGTTTTTCTTCTTTGATTTCGGGTACTGGAGATGGGGTGTCTGGGCCACATTGGCAGCCCTTGGGTTGATATTTCACTCAATTCACTCGATAAAAGCTAGACAGTATGAGATTTTTTTGACGATCCATATCGTGTTGGCCTTGGTATTTATTGTGGGATGCTTGAAGCACTGTGCTACTTTTGGATGGCTAGGATGGATATACCTAGCCATAGGATTTTGGGCTTGGGACCGGGCCACTCGGCTTTGGCGTCTATTCTTCAATTTTGGCGGTTACAGAAACGCTTATGCTCGCTGCATATCAGCTCAGGAAGAACTTTTCCAAATCACTGTGCCGCACGTTGAATCCAAACGATTCCAGTTTTTCCCAGGATGCTACGGATTTCTGTACTTCTTGGGACGCAAATGGTTTTGGCAATCGCACCCTTTCACGCTGATGTGTGGTAAAGACAATTTGGAAGTTATCGTGAGGGCCAAGAAGGGCCTTACCAGAGAACTATTCGAGACCCTCCCACACGATGGCACAAAAGCTCCCTTGAGGATTGCAATTGAGGGCCCATACGGCCATGAGGCTCCACTGGCACTCCATGACAACGCTCTACTGATTACAAGCGGCGCGGGTTTGCCAGGCCCGCTCAGTTACCTGAGCAAAGCTGCTGATCGAATGGATGAAGCCGGCAACTACACATTTGTTTGGATTGTGCCCACTGAAGCATTTCTGGCCTCCATGCAGAATACATTTACAAGCATAAGCGAGAAGATCCGCATACAGGGTGCAAAGAGACGGATAAAGATTCACATTTACGTTACTCGACCTCAGCAGAACGATGCTTTTGCGGAGGACTGGTGGCCGAAAGAGATACAAGTGCACAGATACAAGCCCGATGTGGGAGAACTCGTGAGTGAGTTTTGCAAGTCCGCAATTGGGAGTATTGGTGTCGTCTCGTGCGCGAACCCTGGACTTGACGACAAAATACGGCATTACGTTGCGGGCCACATAATGCATCACGAGGGCCGCATAGACTACTACGACGAACTGCAGGTGTGGTGAAGTATGTAACGCATTCTGACCAGAGGGAAGCAACACTTTATAGATGATGGATTAACGTAGTTCAGTGAAGCAAATCACGAAAAGAGCAGCAAACACTCCTAGTGACCAACATAGTTTGATTCGCAATGAGTATGTTTTCGTCATTGAGATCAGATCTGGTATGACCAAAGTTTTGAGGTGAATTGGAGGAGGAATGACCGTACTTTCTTCCATGCTTTACGATTTGAGCCAACTCTTTTTATTGCTTCAAGGCCTAAGATCTTCTTCTTTCTTTGCGTGGTTTTTTCCCTTCTTTGCCCGCGACTCCGTATCACTGAGGGCTGTTCAGATTCAGTGTTTCTCTTGAGGAGCCGACACTGACCGTTCGAGGTTCCGTCCAGCGTTCGTTGAGATCGTTCGTTATTCGGTGCATATTCCTTCTGGATCGCTTAGGTAAGCGATGAGCAGTGAAAAATTCCATGGATCTAGAACGAGAGATGGGACCAAGGTTAGAGGAGAAACTCAGCGAATGGTCGAGGATCTTTGAGAAAAGAGAGCAACTATCCGCACTGGAAAGTTTCTGAATTGTTTAGCGTCATTTAGTGTCTTTCAGGCTCGTTAGGATTTACCAGGGCCCAAACTTTTCCAAACAAAATGGGACCAGATATTCCCGTCAGCTTGAATGTGTATGCACTATTTCCAACTTCTATGAGACGGAAGCCCGCTGGACTTGTCGTCATGGCTGTTCTGGGACTGGCTCTGTGTTACATGGGTAAGGTGTTTATTTGAGGGCTGCAAACGGATGCCTGTCTAGGTCGGATGGGACTAGTGGACTGGGAAAATGCGACGCTCGCCGTAAATGATATTCGAAAAAACTGTGAACACATTTGTGGAAAAGAAAGCCCTCTTGCTCTTGCCTTAATGAGAATTCTGGCGCGCAGGAATGGTAAAAGATGCCATTTTTCCCTAGTCACGACGTTTCCACATAGCGTTTGGGTCAACCATTTCACCCACGTCGACAGCTAACAGCCGGATCTGGTATAACCCAAACTCGTGTTTTGGTTGCAGCAAGAAACAAGACAGAAGACCTGCTATTCTTGGAACACACACTGACCAGACGGTAACCTGAATGTGTAGATGGTGGTATAGAGGAACGATCTTGTTAGAATCGAGTTGTCCATGGTAGCGCGAGTACATGTCGTACGTTACGGGAAGGACGAAGATGTCTCGTCTTAAGTGATCACAATCACGAGTGAACAAGAAAACTATTGTATGTGTGAACTTCGATCGAGGAATTCCCCCCACTTGATGTGTCGAAGGTCACTGGCTATGCATTTATTCTGTAGACTGCTCAGTTGGCTCATCTCATCCCGGGTGTCATTTACAACGAATTGGATCTTTAGGCCTAGAATGTGTATCTATATACGAATTTCGTATCAAGATATAAATCATTATTACAATCAATGTCTTTACCAAGATGAGTTTACGCGAACTCCTGGGAAACAACCATTAGACTACTCCTAAAGGTCAAATCAAAACCTTCATCTCTAGTGTTCCACTAAACATGCGACACCACTTAAACCCGGCCCTGCTTCTACAAGCTTCTCAACCGAGGCTCGCATTCTGTGCATGCGAGCCGAGATCTCCCTGAGACACGGGTAAACGATGGCCGCCGACACGATCAAGAATGAAGTCATATTACGAGAAAGATCCAGCAAAGAAACCAAAATAGATTTGCCCCGGAGCTTGGTGTCTCGAGGAAAGGATCTGTGGCATTCCCGCCGAGTGTGGAGAGCTTGCAGGACGCAATCCAAGCGCCAAAAAATCCAAACAAAAGCATGTCCGGGAATTGACGCAATAAACAGCGTCTTCGAAAGCGTGCGTGCGTGTTCCACACGCAGCACGATTTTAAGGGCTTGCAGTGTTGTTTATTTACCTTTTCCGCTGAGCATCCCGGAGCTCGAGTTCATCAAAACCCCACAATTTCAGAACAACGTAACATTCCGCTGTTCAAGCACTACTGTTCCACTTCGTTCATCCACGATATTGTGGGCCTTCCACGAGATCACATGCGGCTCACGTTTCACTATCTACCGTGGAAAAATGCCTCTGTGTGTGATTCCGGCCGGTATGAACGGTGTACGGTGTGTGCCTTTTATTCTATTGAATTTGTCCGGGTCTGCCTGTGAGGTCTTCCAAGGTTGCGGTTACTTCCAGAATTTTTGTCCTTTTTGTCTTTTTCGTCTTTTTTGCTCGTTTCTCTATCGGGCCTTCTACGCAGTCTCTTGACTGTCGCGAGAAAATAAGGCTCTGACAAAAAAGTGAAAAAAAAAGCAGAAGCACCACCCGTCGTGGCTATTCAACGTTTACTTCTGTGCTCTTGCCGCATAACGGTTGCCAGTTACAGGTTCATGTTTTCAAGCGTCTTCCTCTGCTTTTTCTGAGATCAACCGTCAAATTAAATGAACCGTCAATTCTTGCGTCGATGACTCGAGGAAAAAAACAGAACAGACCGAAAAAAGTAACATGGGTCGTGGAACAATGGCAAATGCAAGAAGGTTCTCACGTAAGCTCTACCGGTAAACCCATTGTACTAAGTTTAGCCTTGCCGTACGGTTTGCCTATATGCAGGAAATTGAGACGTCACTTCCAAAACACGCAACTGCGCTGGGAAATGAGCTCAGCCGCACACAACATGGTCACAGCACAGCGTGCACGGGATGAGTGGGCGGAGTGAGGAAGGAAAATTTAGCCCCATACAACAAAACAGGTGTGCGCTGAGATCAGGAACGGGAGGGAGCCACTCAAAAGAAAAAAAAACGAAGCAATAATACTCTTCTGAGCTGTGCGCTCGCTGAATTAGGCGTGGGATTTCTCCAGTCCATTTACGAGGAATTTGGGATTTCTCTGCAGTCTTGTGAACCTTGCGTATTTCCCGTTTGATTTTGTTCTTCTGCATGATCTATGCATATACCGTGCAGGATAGAGTGGACGGAGTGTAGAAGGTTGGAATGTTTTAGCAGCGATGGGCGACGGTGTGGGAGTCGCAACTCACCGTCATCGCCAGTTGGAAGTGCACAGCCTCCGGTAAGTGGTGCTTGATGCGGTTGGACCTGTGGAAAAACAGTACAGCAGAACTGCTTTCACAGTTACGACCTAAACTTAGGCGAAGCGAAGCGGTTCGCGCCATGAAGAATTTCAAGCAAACAAGGGCCGACAGGAGCGACTGAGAACCGCTACGAAACAGGTGTAGGCTCACCTCAAACACTCTCAATCCGGTATGAAGAATGCCCAAAACACGAAGAACTGTTGTCCGTAAACATTACGTCGCACTCTGCATTAGGATGTTTTTGCAGTAATCAACACTGTTGTGACGACGGAGTAAGACGAACCTTTACGGACTTTTGTCGACGCATCCGAATGGCCTGGCGGGGAGCAGAACTGTATAAAAGGGTCCAGGTCGAAAGTCTACTTTCTGGTTTGGTTTCTCTCTTTTCCCTTTAAACCTTAAAACACCAAGAAAGCCTTACATCTTCAACGGAAGCTTCTTTGAAACCATGCATTACTTGTGGCTTCTTTCCGCTGCCGCATCGTTGGCAAACTCGGTGGATGCTTCGCCTTTACAGAAAAGGTGTTCAAATCCCAGCCAGTTTCCAGGTAAATCGCAAGGCCAAAAAAAATGTGCTCATGTCGTTAACGGCTGTCCTAACTTGGATTTCACTTGGAACTCCAAGAACCAAAACCGGATGACTTACGACATCTCGATGAAGCGAGTCAAATGGGTCAAAGACAACATCTACGAGATTACCATTCACGTGCAAGGTGAAAAGCAGATCAGCTTGAACTGCATTAACGACTTGAAAATCATTGGTATCAACGGACCTGACGGCGCTACCTTCCAGCTTCTTGACAGACAGCACAATGTCCAACGTGTCGACAACCCTACTGATTACGACGCCACTTTCAGAGTTTACGGACAAGATGATGTTCAGAACTGCAGATCTTGGATGCCAAACTTCCAGATTCAATACGACTACAACGGACAATGTGACGTTCACAGCTCCCAGTCTTTTGACCTGATTACCGGTTGTAACAATTCTGACAACCAGGGGCACTCTCAGACTGATGCTCCCGGCTTTTACTGGGACTACCAGTGTGGAACCTGCCCGGCCGGCAGCAGCAGCAGCTCATCGAAGCCATCTCCATCTTCGAGCTCTTTATCTACTACTGAAAGCAAGCCTTCTTCTACCTACAGTCCAACCACTACAAGTGAATCATGCACCACTGTTGGCCCAACCACAATTTCTGGTTACACCAGCTGTTCTCCTGGTCCTTGCCCACCTCCATCTAGCTCTGCTCCATCTAGCTCTGCTCCTTCCAGCTCTGCTCCATCTAGCTCTGCTCCATCTAGCTCCGCTCCATCCAGTTCCGCTCCATCGAGCTCAACTTCCTGCTCCAAGACTCACAGATCTAAGCATTCTACGTCAACCTCCTGTTCTCGTACTCACAGATCTAAGCACTCTACTTCAACTTCCTGCAGCTCCACCCCATTGAGCTCCGCTCCTTCCAGCTCTGCTCCATCTAGCTCCGCTCCATCGAGCTCTGCTCCTTCGAGCTCTGCTCCATCTAGCTCCGCTCCATCGAGCTCTGCTCCATCTAGCTCTGCTCCATCTAGCTCCGCTCCATCGAGCTCTGTTCCATCTAGCTCTGCCCCAGTTTCCTCTTGTAGCACAGTTCCAGGCACTACCGTTCCAGGCACGACCGTTTCTGGTTCTACTGTCCCAGGAACCACTGTCCCAGGTACCACCAGCTGCAACACAGTTCCATCGAGCTCCGCTCCATCGAGCTCTGCTCCTTCCAGCTCTGCTCCTTCCAGCTCTGCTCCATCGAGCTCTGCTCCATCTAGCTCCGCTCCATCTAGCTCTGCTCCATCGAGCTCTGCTCCATCGAGCTCTGCTTCTTCCAGCTCTGCTTCTTCCAGCTCTGCTTCTTCCAGCTCCGCTCCATCGAGCTCTGCTCCATCTAGCTCCGCTCCATCGAGCTCTGCTCCATCTAGCTCTGCTCCTTCTAGCTCTGGTCCATCGAGCTCTGCTCCTTCTAGCTCCGCTCCATCGAGCTCCGCTCCATCGAGCTCCGCTCCAGTCTCCTCCTGTGTTACTGTCCCAGGTACTACCGTTCCAGGATCCACCGTGTCTGGAACCACTGTCCCAGGAACCACTGTCCCAGGTACCACCAGCTGCTACCCTGGTCCATCCAGCTCTTTCTCGTACGGCAACAGTACTGTTCCACCCAGCTCTGTTCCATCGAGCTCTGTTCCATTGAGCTCCGCTCCATCGAGCTCCGCTCCTTCCAGCTCTGCTCCATCTAGCTCCGCTCCATCGAGCTCTGCTCCTTCCAGCTCTGCTCCATCTAGCTCCGCTCCTTCCAGCTCTGCTCCTTCTAGCTCTGCTCCTACCAGCTCTGCTCCTTCTAGCTCTGCTCCATCGAGCTCTGCTCCATCGAGCTCTGCTCCTTCCAGCTCTGCTCCATCTAGCTCTGCTCCATCTAGCTCTGCTCCATCGAGCTCTGCTCCATCGAGCTCTGCTCCATCTAGCTCCGCTCCATCGAGCTCTGCTCCATCTAGCTCCGCTCCATCGAGCTCTGCTCCATCTAGCTCCGCTCCATCGAGCTCTGCTCCATCTAGCTCCGCTCCAGTCTCCTCCTGTGTTACTGTCCCAGGTACTACCGTTCCAGGATCCACCGTGTCTGGCACCACTGTCCCAGGAACCACTGTTCCAGGCACCACCAGCTGCTACCCAGGTCCATCTAGCTCCGCTCCATCGAGCTCTGCTCCATCTAGCTCTGGTCCTTCCAGCTCTGGTCCTTTCAGCTCTGGTCCATCGAGCTCTGCTCCATCTAGCTTCACTACACTTGCTCCTGTCTCGGAAAGCAGCTGCGTCTCAATGCCAGCCACCACTGTCTCTGCCAGAACCGTGTCTGGTACTACGTACCCAGCCTCTGTTATTTCTGGATCCGTCAGCTGTGGCCCAGCTTCGCCTAGCTCCACAGGCTATACTGAGAGTGTTGTGACCGTTACGTCTTCTGGTATTGAAACTATTTACACAACGACATGTCCACTAAGCGGAACTGAGAGCAGTGCCACTGCACCACCTCATTCCGAGAAACTTGTCACTGTGACTGAGTCAGGTAAAACATCCACATTTACCACCACTTATTCGTCGGCGTCTCCAGCCAACAGTGATGCTAGTGAAGCCGCTCAATCTACGCGTTACACCGAATCTGTTGTCACTGTTACGGAGTCTGGCGTCGTGACCTCTTACACCACCACTTGCCCGCTATCTGAAATCACCGGTGCCACCAGAACTGGCGGTAGTGCTCCAGCTGCCAACACCCCAGCTACCTCTGCTTCTGCTCCAGGTGCTTCTGCTCCAGGTGCTTCTGCTTCTGCTCCAGCCGCTTCTGCTCCAGGTGCTTCTGCTCCAGGTGCCTCTGCTCCAGCCGCTTCTGCTCCAGGTGCCTCTGCTCCAGGTGCTTCTGCTTCTGCTCCAGGTGCTAACACCCCAACCGCTTCTGCTTCTGCTCCAGGTGCCTCTGCTCCAGGTGCTTCTGCTTCTGCTCCAGGTGCCTCTGCTCCAGGTGCTTCTGCTTCTGCTCCAGGTGCTAACACCCCAGGCGCTTCTGCCTCTTCTCCAGCTGCTAATACCCCAGCTGCTTCTGCCAGCTCTTCCAAACCTCAAGGATCTACCGGTGCTTCCAGCACTGCCGCGGCGATCTCTACATATGAAGGCTCGGCCAACGTTCTCAGAGCAGGCTTGCTCTTGGCCCTTCCATTGGCCTTATTGTAATTCTAATTTAGATACCCTATACTAAGTATGTATGAATGATAAAACCTATGATATACTCATGCACAGTCGAGTGCAGTTTATCTGTTTATTATACCTACCATCATGGCATCTGCTGTTCAGGTAAATCTGGAGTTCTTTAAGCAAATCATCACTTATATAGTTAACCTAGTGGAGGGTCCATACTGCGTGTTTTGGTGTAGTAATGATCAACAAAAAACGACGTTTATGGCTATAATGATACTGAAGACAGGTGCAGTTCACGAGAGACTTCTTCACAGCCCGCATACAAAGGACTGCTTTTCTGCGTTACTTATTTAGTTCCGAGAAGGCCTCCCTAATGTGTGCTTCAAGAAACCTTGGGTTTAGTCTTTTCTGTATTCCGAGTTTTCAAAAAGAACTTCTATTATAACATGTTTTGCGGGGAGGATTACATCTCGCGCTCCTTCCACTTCCGTATTAATTCAAACTTTGGTCTTTGCTCCACGAAGCCTCTTCAAGTCATCGCTTCCTCCATTTGTGGAACGTGAGGGGAAGCAAAGGTATACTATGAGAACCCTCGAGTCAACAATATCCAAGGCTGTTGGCGAATATCAGGAATGCGGGAAATGCTATCATTGAATGCCGCTGTATAGCTCCAGTGCTACACGATAGCCACTACTGCTAATGCATTTTTCCAACAACAGCGTTCGACACCATGTTTTGTATTTGAGCTCTTTTGATAACGCTTTGAAAATTTCGTAGGACGACGGCAGCCTTGCGTTAAGGCCCTTAGCCGCAAAGGGTTCTTTGTTGTATGAGTATAAGCCATCGCTTTATCTGAGTCACATTTTGAAAGTCTCAAATGGCCGTCCGAGCACTGAACTCGGTGACAGGAAACTGTTAGGAATAGAGAGGTCCGTTCCCAGAATTTTTGGCGATAGCGCGGATTGCTTATGGTGAGCCAAGTTGCTGGGCTAACTGGTTTAATGTGACCACGCAGCCTCGAATATCTTCATGTAGCCCTTCTTTGTGCCCTTTTTGTGAAAGATTTGAGGTAGATCGTCGAACTTTTTAGATCTCTGAGATTTTATCGTAATGAGACTTTTCACACGATGAAGCCTTTTCAGGTTGTCATGGCCGTAATCAACATAATTCGAAGTATCACTTCTCTCATCAACAACCAGATAGCCCTTCTCATGCGCTCTTCAACTAGAGCATTCGAGAGTTTTGTTGTCATGGCTCACAGAGCGAGCAAGAAGCTTTATGAGTTCTTTGGCCTTGAGTATAATGGCTGGGTCGAATGTTTTTCTTGTTGTTTTCACTGTCATCGAACCTTCCGCCAAATCCAGGGCGCATGATATGTGGCATTTGTCCAATGCGCGGGTGACGTCGTTCCACACTGACCTTAGATACACTTCTCGGTATTTTGGAAACAGAGTCATGAAACTGGACTCTTCTGAAAATGGTAAGCCCGAAGCATTGTCTTCAGGAAGAAACTCCCGAATCGTCTATTTGTCGATGTCAGGTGTGTCCCAAGGTTTATCTTTGTTGTGGGTCGAAGGCAAGTATATGCATAAAATTGAGACGACCAAGCTGAATTTTTATAACATATGCAAGGTGTTGGCAGGTTGGTTGTCATGTTCGAGCAAGTGGTGGAAGATCCGGGCACCATTTCTAATATCGATTTCGATAAAGCGGAAAGGAAGTTGGGGAAAGAGTTGTGTTTCATAAACTGCTCAGTATAGTTCTCTACTGATTGGGAACATCGGCGTTTATCAATTTCATGCGTCTCGAGTTCACCATCAGAATTCGATTGCGTTTGCACACGGACTGCTAGATTCTGACAGTATCACCACCCCTCACATCATGATTTCGGATCTAAGAGGCCTCAAAACTATCTGTCGCATCCGTTTTTTCTGCAGAAGCTAGCTCTAAGTCCTGTTTGCTGGATAGTTTAGCCTCATCCTCATCAGCAGCCCACCTTCTTACAAGCGGTACGAGTAACTTCGCTGTGACGACTTGTTCGCTTTGGTAAAGTACCAAAGGAACCAGTAACTTCCCCAGTTGTGGAAAATCGCTACCATACTGTGAAGAGATGAGTGATACACCCAGGGCCGCTGTTTTCGCAGGTCCACAAAATAAGATCGCCACAGTATCCTTTTTGTTGTAGTAGAAAGGTCTCAAGACGCGATAGCCGAACGCATAAACCTGCGATGAGGTTTCATTGGGCTCTTCGGGAAATATCTTGGGTATAAACCAAGGTCTGGCGCAAACGAAACACAAAACGCTGAAAAACAGGTAGATCCCAATGTTAAACAGGACGATAAACACCATGGAAATGCCGGATACGCTGGTGAATGCGTGTTGGTAGAAAGCCGTGGAAAAAGAGCTGAACATCACTAGCAACAAGCAAATGCTACCGATCTTGTTCATCCGAAATGTTCTCAGAGTCCAGGATACCTGGGTTGGGAATATGTTTTGAGCTACTTGTCCGACAAATAGCGGTACCAGAACGGATAGCCCGATCTGTTTCATGACGTTTGCATACACCATACGCACGCTAGAGCCGTTGCTTGGATTTCCAAACGCAAACAGCGACGTGCTGAGGTACATCTGTACTATGGCTGGTGTGACAAATCCACCCAAGACGTTTCCTATGAAGACCTCACACAAACACAGCAAATCGTTACCCTTGGCCTGTTGGGTCATAATCACATTGGATGCCACGGTAGTTGGACTTGCTGCTGTCAAAATCAAACCTACCAATAGCCACTCATCGATCTCAGAACTGTGAGAGCTTTGAATTGCGCAGCAAAACCCGAAAAGAATCGAACTGGTGATGAGAAAACTCATTACCAGTACCACCAAATGCGCGCGCCAATTGGAGAGATTGACGCATAGGTTTTTGGTTGACATGCTCAAACCATTTTGTAAGAAAATCAATGCAACGGCACCGTACTCAATAGTGTATTGAGCCTTGATGAGTCCGCCTTGGCGAGCAAAATTCGGCACAAATCGTGCCAGAACGATGAATATAGCTAGAGCGATAAAAAACCATTGCGATATTATAAAGCTCACAGGTTTAGAATGCCATATTTTGGACAATGTTATTGTCATCGCGATTTCGTTTGAAAGCTGGGATTTTCAACTCAAAGTGACCGAAACAGCCAGCCACTTGATTTCAAGCTGATATTGTCGAAATAAACAACATCGAAAGGTGTTGTTCAGTAGGTACTGTTTTGAAATCTTTCCTTCTGCGATGCCCTTATATCTATGCTCGATGACAGTGGGTAGTTGATTTTTCAAATTGCCAAGATTCGGCGGGCCTCGGAGGCTCGGACCGAATCGATAAGCACTCACGTGACAAGCACGCTAGCTGTTGTAAAAAGTTATCGATGTTGAAGTTAAAGAAATGGGCAGCGAAGTAGATGATTGCTGAACTGGGAGTGAGTTGTAGAAGCGTCTTTTGTGGGAATGGAGGCCATATTGTTCACTGGGAACATTATCATGTTGTTGTGACAGATTAGTACATAGTGACATGATACGGCTAAGTCAATGCTCATTACCGAACTGCAACTCTTGATAGGGCTAGAAACGCGTTATTGGTATAGCATGTTATATTTCGGTGATCTGTTATGTTTATTGCCAGGTTTTCAAATCAGTCAGCTCCTCACAATAAACAACCCGTTTGGGACCCGGGTTTCAAACGTGTGAGGCGGATCGACTTATATCAGCTCAGAAAGTGAAAATAAAGCTATTCATGCATAAAGAAAAGTAGCACGAGATTCAAATAGCTGAGGAATCTGTGTGACTACCTTCACGATCTCAGAGGCCATTTCATTGGCGTTCTTTCAAATCCTATATATCTTGGTGTCGATTTAGTACAAAGTGATATGACTGAATTAAAATCGAGGCCTATACGTGGTGACAGTAAAAGTTGGCAATGGTGCTGGACGGGATACTGTCTGGAACTTGGGTCTATATAGAAAAGACGGGGAAGTTTGGAGCCCGGCTTCACTCCAGTCCCAACTTCGCCATTACGCATTCGATTGTATCGTCGTTTTTTTCACGTGCTACACCCACCTGGAAGACTGAAAGTTGAGTTTGGCACTCTATGCCGGCAACAACTCACGATTTGCTGACAATAAAGTGAGAATTGTTCACATTTAGTAGGAATTTCCAGTGCCTGCTCCTGATGGAGGACCCTGAAGTGTAGTCTTAGGATCCTTTGAAACTTTCCCTCAAGACCCATGTCTCTGTGCGCGGAACTCCAGCAACAGCGCTGCTTTTCTTGCCTTTGACATATGCATTTGAGCCAAGTTTTTATACATCATTGTGCAGCTCCATAATTCGAAACTGAGTGAAGCATTTGTCGTTTAAATCTTTATGTATGATATATTGGTACAACGTACATGAACTTACAGATGCGTGCTATTGGACGGCAGCAACTTGCTTCAAAAATGGTAGTGTAAATCAAAAGATATTTGAAAATGACCATGGTGATTGCGACGTGTTTTGAAAATTGCCTGTTTGTAAATCCAAACATGGGCAAGGGTCTTCTCTTCATCAAACCGCATTCGGCTGATTTTTCGAGCAGATCAGTGTATAAGTTTAAGTCGTCCAAAAGTCCTAAGAGTGGCCCTCCAATTTTTGGAATGGGATCACAGGACCAAAACATGGTAAATGCCAAGACAGATTTCTTTTCGTGGCTAACCAGCGGTTTGGAGTTCGATGTACCCAGTCCTCTTCCATAGAATAACGTCAGATTCGCATCTTGACGATCTATGGCACGTGATAAAAGACGGCGACAGATTGAACTAAGAAACCCAGATTGCTTGACATCTACAATCACGGATCACTTAGTGACCGAGACATCATAGTAGCGAGCTGTTCGAATAACTTAACCGCGACGATCTTTTTATATGCAGATGCTGTTCATACTCGTTATGAAAGTTGATTGAGTCTCTGCAGTGTTGTGTCGTGGTACACGACCGTTCCATACCTTCGGTGCTTAGCTATTTCCTGAGAACGGGTGACTATTGTTATTGATTGTAGCCAAGAGGTCTATCCTTCTGTACTGTTTCAAGTGTATAGAGAATAGTCCTATAGGCTGGCTAAAATATTTGCCTTCCTTACAATTTTGGGAATCGGTTCTCAATCGATGGAAATGAAAAAATTTCACTTCCGTTTGTGTGGTTTGACGGTTAGTCAGGACATTTCTGGAATGTTTAATGATACCGGGCGGTACCATTCGTTGCTCGCTGCATCGTAAGCGCTAGGAAGCTTAGAATTTGGGTGCTAAAAGCTGTTTCTATATCAACTCTGTCGCTATCGAGCATCACGTGGTCCAGATCTCTCTGTCATGAATCTGACGCCAAGGGCATTGCCAGCAGCTCAAGGTAACAACTGTAGCTAGCTGTGACAGTCTAGGAAAAGAGTTCATGAAGCAAGAATCTCTTAGCAATCAATGTGAAAATGCCACTCGCACGAAGAGAGCTGTACAATATCTTTCAAATAGAGACTCTGGTAGTTCAATGAGCCCTCCCGGAAGAGCACTATTGAGGTCTTTATTCTCAGCTTAGTTTTGAAAACTTCTTTGCGGATTCAATCAATTGCGAACCAGGATTGCAAGGCTTGGTTTAAGTCCTGGAGACAATAGTGCGCCTCAAATCAGCGCATGCCATGAGAATCATTTTCCTTTCAAAATAATATCGCTCAATGAGAGCGGCCAAACTCGTGGCGTAGTAACCATAATTTGCCAGTGAATTAGTGCTGTCTTTGGGCCGAGCTTTGGAATAGCCAACACTCATAGTTTCCTCGAAAGTGTGTCTACTGTAGATTTTTGAATGAGGTAACGTGCTTCGCTGACTGCTGGCCACGCAGATTTGCTGCGCATTATCTCGACTACCAAGCTCCTCGAATACAATTGCCTCAAGCCTTTCGAGATTTGTTCGCGCTCTGAACATTGAGAGTGTTAAAGCAGAATTTGACTTTAGTTGGGCGAGATTGAATCAGCTCAAGGCCATTCAAGCCAATAACTTCATTATTCACACATTTCGAAGTATGTGCCGATCTTCAAGTGATTCTTCTTCTCAAGGGAGAAAGAGCACATGTAGTTGTTGTGTCGCTTCATCGTTTGTCCCCCGGGAAATGTGAGTATAATGGCGATAGTTGACAGTGCTGCGAACGTGGAAACAAGATCGCGAGAGCTTTATAAAAGCTTCTTGTTTGTGACTGCGCGACAGAAGCCAAGTGTCGTAATGCTTGGAGATACTAGGGCAGTGTGTGTATGTTTCAGCACACCTGTGACGTTGTTGATTTTTGAGAGTAGACGGGCATACTGCCTTTTCGACCGTAATTGTGAATCTTCAGTGATTCGCTTTTCAACTCTTAGAGCATGTAGAGTTTCTTAACCCAGTCTTCAAGGTTAGCTCACCTATTTCGCTGCTTATTGAAAAGCTTAAGGGCATGCCAGAAGACATCTTTTGTAGAATCTTAGCAAAAGCACCATCGGCCTTCGAGTTTATAAAATGAACAACATGAGAATCAGGTTTCAAGGATGCGGTGGCATCCTACTCGAGTAAAACACAGTCCGGCCTAAGCAGGTACAAAGAAACCAGAACACTTCGCAACTTCTTTGGCTATAAGTATTGCGCAGGGCTATGGGGAGATCGAAGACTACAGCGCTCTTGTAGGTTGTCTTCGATTGCTGAACAAATTCTTCTCTGAAAGGATTCAATAGGTAAAAAAGCCCTCAGCAAGTTGAACTTTGTCCTCTTACCAACATATGCTATCCGAGGACTGCAATGAACGGAAATGAACAAAACTTTAAAGTGATACTACCGGTAAACGAGGAATTGAACTTGATGAGGGATGAATTTGCAGTCATCGATCAGTAATTTTTCGTAATGCAACAAAGTGCCCTCCTGTGGTTTTGAACAGAGGTTCTGCTCGAAGAAGTCTTAGTCAATCTTGTTTGGCCCGAACGGCCTAAGCGCGGCACTGTGACAGAAAAAGCTTGAATTCAAAGCTGCAAAAGGTGTTGGCATTATCACACAAGATTCAGATTTGCATACGGTAAATCTGCCAGCCAGCATTAGAACGCTTTCGACATAATGTTGCACATCGTGAGAGCCAGAATTTTCCGGTCGCACGATCGACTAGCTGGTAATTAAGGAAAGAACAAACACGTTTTCAGCTCACAAGTGAAGCCTTCACTGCTCTATGGTCCGAATTCTTGCTGTTCTTATAGCTGTCATTTTCTCAGGTGTAGGTGTAAGGAACCCGAAGTATGATTGAAAGGCAATGTCGGTTAGATAAACATATAATTTTCAAATCCATCAATTATTCAACTATCTGACGGCTCGCTACAAGATCATTTCAATGCTGAGCCAGATTCCAATCATGGTGGAAGAAAGATAGATACGTATGCATAGTTTTAGGTCTTTCTTGATTTCTTAAAACCGCCTTTACCCATGTTTTTTCTACCCAGACTGCAGTTTCTGCAAGCTCCAACTTCGTCTACCTTATACAATCCACTTGATCGAATACTCACTGGACAATTACTCCAGCACCCAGTTTCTATACCACAATGAGCGCAATCGCATACATAAAAGGATTCTTGATTATTTCTTCAGTTTTACAAAACAATTAAAGCTACAAAGCTTGATCAAGTTCGTAAACTTTTTAATATCTGCCTTGTTGAATAAACTTTCTGCCAGCCCCACCGAGGGCAGTATTATGCGCATAGGCATTATCGTGGGACACTTCAAATTCTGGCTCCAACAAAGGGGTCTTGTCACCACTTAATTGGCGGATGGCAGTCTTGCTGGCGTAGAAACCGGAAATGTGCACACTCTATTGATTCTTTTCATTTTGAAGGTAGACTATATAAGCTTTTGGCTCTGAAATTGCTCGCTTGTGTTTAAAATGCTTGCCGCTCCTGCTGCTGGTAAGCCTGGGTGTTTGAGTCTTGGTGGTCTTCAATAAAGAAACAGGCATTTATAGATCACAAATTACCAGATTTTCGAGCCAGCTGTGCTCCTCTATACTACATCAAATATATCAGAATTGTTCTACAACATTGACAATTGATCTGACGCTGCCTAATTTTCAAACGCCGAAACAAAGATTGTTCAAGCTCTTATAACCTTCAGAGAGCCGCAATAAGCCCTGAACCTTTTCAAGACTCATTGGATGATTCTAGAGAACGTTTAATCGATGAGGCTTACGAGTTCTTGTCATACAACAAATTCGATCATCAACGTTACTTAATGACATTGACAATATAATTAAAAGACGCTTCATAATGTCACACAGATCACTTAAGAAACAAGAAGAATGACGCACATTATGACGCTGCAAGTCCCGAAATATGCTGAATTCAGCTCACTCTGATGCTCTCTTAAAACATCAAAGAACAAAATGAAGAATAAGTGATTCTTTAGCCGAATTTTGGACCAAAACGCATAATAATTCTTCACCAAAAAGAAGTAAAGACAACTTTCAAATTCCTATCAAAAGTCAACAAACGAATTCACGAAGGTTAATGTGGACCCGTAAATTCGATAGTGTCTAGTTTCGGTCTTTGTTTTTTTCCCGCAGCTGCTATTTCCTACTCAAAAATTGAAAGGCTGCCAGCTGCAAATTGGTCCCCACACGAGTTCATTTCCTGTGCATACACCGCTTCACTTGTTGTATTTGTTTTGAAGGATATACACGTTCAGCTGGCATGATGGTCGATGTCCGGCTTGAAAATTTCATGTGGCGATCTTCGGTACAGGTTTGGGTGGACAGAAAGGAACTGTGGGCAAATCTCGAATTGGCAGCTTCAGACTCTGATGCACCCAGCGGTTTGGCACCGATTACGGGATATACACGTATCAAAGAGATAGATGTGAGCGGCTGAGCATTGCTCATTTACGGATAGCACCGTGGTGTTCAAAAATTTTGCGATAGGCTTTTTTTTTACTTGATGGAGATCTACAGTCTTCCGAGAAGTCTACAAGCCAATTCTCATGTTGTCTCTTGACGTTTATTGTCAATTATGAAACTTGGAGGAACGGGTTTATAACGCTTAACTTGAAGCATCATGACACCGGTAAAGATTTATCAGAGATGCCAAACGCTTCAGACTTGAAATAGTCGAAGCACTGGAGAGAAACAGGATTTGGCTCCTTCTCTTCGAAGCACATTCTGACGCACGCTCTGCGTCTCTCATTGAAGATGAGCACTGAAATTGGTTCGGTTCCGTGGACTATGGAAGCTGTTCGGTGTTTTTTGCCAATTTGGAGAGCTGCTCACCCAGAGCCGTCGCACGTTTTTGCAGACCCTTTTGCTCGAGTTATCTCTTGATCATTGAAGATGATGGAAGTCTCAATCAATCAATGCACCATCGTTAGCTGCCCTCTAAGAGAACGCTTTTATGTGAACAAATCACGCCCTCATTCAGTGAGCTGTGGCATTCAAAGTATCAATGAGGGGAATTAAATCAGGCCAAACTAGCGAGTCAAGAAAACCTGCACCAGCTATCAGAGAGTAAGGCGTAAGTTGGCCTTGAGGGCGAGGGTTGAAAAGAGCTAACTCATTGAATTGAGGGTATCAACGTAAAGATGCCTTTTTCTGCTGTGATTCCAGACTATCGCGGCTACATGATGTTAGCTTTCGGTATCAAGAGTAGCACTATCACTATTAGCCGATGGAATGTGCGCTTTGAATGAGCCAAAACACATCCACACACACCTAAAAGATAGCGAGCTCTTAAACACTGTTCAGCTATTATAATTGGCGACTCTTCGGTAGAGCCCTACAAACACTAATTTTGAACTGCTCATGTCCTCGAAAACCTTACAGAGGGATGCCGCGCAAGTAACTCAATACTTCTTCGAGCATCAAGCGCACTTGTTAGTGCGCATAGGTATATCGAGATTACAAGTATCACGGAGAATACTGCCGTGTATACATATGATGTGCGATGTGCCTTCACTTTTGGACTCACCGTAGCGCTTCTTGCAGCGACTAGAGATTCGATAAGAAAGCTCGCGCTTTTTCTCACTTTCCGTTCTCCCTTTACATTCATTGCTGAAGTATCGGTAATTCTGCGATCCTCTCGCCTGAGAAAATATCACTCCCGGCTATTATGAAATGGTCTGGGACGGTGACCGTGGAGTACCCTTTAAACTCAACAACTTGAAGGCTTAGCAAGTGGATTTTGCTTGAAGCAAAGATGACTCTGGTGGGCTTCTTGAATAAGATAATCTCTACCACGTTGCTGCATGCTGCGAAACAAACTATCATGAGCAAGCTATAGCTGCGGCCATTGCCAGGGTTTTCAAGGAAATAAACCGATTTGTATTGGCTGACAGTTTAACGTTCTGAATTTTTCAGTGGCGGCGGCTGCGCGACCTCAAGATTTGTACATCTTGAAGTGTAATAGTCTTGTATTCATCATCGCAGATGCAAATGAGTCGGCCAAATTTCAGCAAATTTCCAACAAGATCAAGTTAAGGCTGTCGCACCTGAGAGAAACTTAGATGCAAGCTGCCGTGCGCATGTAACTACATGTGAAGGATCTAAAACAGCTTTTCTTCTGTACAAGTGATTCTCTGGTGGTAATGAGTCGTTAGAGTATGCCGTAACCACCACAGCACAGGCGAGGGCGAATTATTGGCTCTACTACGACGGCTGTCTTTACCTTAGATACCATAAAGACGAATGGTGTTATCTTATTGGCCTGAAATCGTATTATTGTGAGTACTGAAAGTGTTTGCAGGTCATACATTCCATGTGCTAGTGCCTCCACCACCACTTATTTGACAAGTGGGGAATCTGATAGTGTCTCAGCTACCATCAAGAATTACTCTGTCGATTCCAGCTAAGATTTCCGCTATACATGCTCTATGCATCGATATTTTGATCTCAATGTTTTGAACCAGTGGGATCTTCGTGACTGGAACCTAGGAAACCCTGGGCTCGACAGAAAAAATGCCACACATCTGAAATAAATGTTTTGGGAAGACTGGCCTTTTAATTCTTTGCAGTCCTTCACTCAAAATAGCGTCTTTGAGGCGCGACTCGTTCCTGTCGTGAATATCTCCATTATCAAAACTCCGTTAGACGGTAAAACATGATGCGAGAAAATGCTTCGATTAGTTGAAGACCTAAAACATGTCTCGAGCGTGGGCAATTCATTGAATGAAAAGAGATTTGCCATTGCTCCGTTGGGTTGCTTGGAGCATTCAAGGCCATACCGCTATTCGAGCCGCCTTGAAATTGTGCATTAAGTGGTTATCTATTCAATTGCAGTCACACTTGATTTTTGGCCAAGATTCTTAACCAGGCAAGGTACTAGTTGAATTTTTGGGAGCCCCGGTCAAGCCTCTAGGGCGCTGCCGAACAAAAAAATACTTTTACACTTTGAGGTCAAAAGTGCTTATTTTATTGAGATCTCATGGATTTTCGTGGTGTGTCCACGGTGTTGCGGTCTGGGTTACCGGCCCACCGATGTGGTTTCGGAAGCGTTTTTTTGTGTGTAAAATAGAAAAGTTCGACCAAAAATCTTGTATGTCATCCATGTCATTGAACAATGCCACTACTCAGAGATACCACTGAAATTCAACCAACTCACTATCTAAAAGTGGACGGATCGCATCAAACTTGCAAATATACTTGCGGAGTTTGACGCCGTAAAGACGTTGTGTGTGCTGGACATGAGCCTGAGGCTATATCTAGCGAAGGATCTGGGGCCGGAGCACTAAGAAGTTGGCCTTGAATTGTAAAAAATGTGAAATAAGTTCACACCCTAAGAAATACTGCGTAAAGAGTCAAGCAGTGTTCAGGTAGATCAATGAAAGTATGAATTTTCTCCTCACTTTCGATTTTATATGAAAAACGACGTTTACCATTTGAGCTAGTTGGAACATGGTTTTGGTATCTAGTAATGCCTACGTAATTATTCATAAGTAACAACGAAGGAGATATGCTCAAGTATATCTATGATGATGGTAAAGGCTGATTGCGTATGACACTAGCAGGCAAATCGTTCTTACAGTGTAAGCATTATTCACTTAAGACAAAAAGCTTTCCGCGTGTAATACCGCCATCAATCTTTTAGACTTAGTTGTTTCACTTCAAAGTCCAGAATAGTGAAGACGTCGTCAACCCCGCTTGAAATTTCCACAGAGCCTATGTAGTTCTCCTCCGTTAGGAAAAAGAGGTTAGTCGAAGTGGACGAACCGTCGTTGAAAAACAACTCGATGATATTTCTGTCGATGAAACCCCGAACTTTAAAGACAGGAAGACCGTCTTCCGCGAATCTGTATGTTTCGATGTTCTGTGAAATTCTGTTGTTGAAGAATGGATTATCGTTGACGAAATCGACATCCGTGTTACCTCTGTCAAGGAAAAAGGCAGCCGCATTTTGTGCGTAGCCCAATCTCAAATACTCTTCATCATCCTCGACACCTCTGAAGTACAAAGACATATCAGCGAAAACGTGGTTCGAGGCAACAGCACTTGCATTGACCTTCCATTCAAGAGAAAACTCCAAGAGGCCGTCAGGATATTTACCCAAACGGTAAATTTGAGACTCTTCGGAATTCAGCTTCAAAGAGGTTTTGTGCATCGACTGATTGGTATGCAGCTGGGTGTAGTTGACGAGAGGCTCGCTGTACAACGTGTACTCAGTAGTCTCCGGGTTGGGATTGTAAGGCCGCAATGTGAGGTTGCGAACCAAGGACATTGATCCTCTGTAGTCATCAGCTGGCACGTAAAAGCCATAGTCCCAGTTGGAAGCCCAAGCAATGCCCAATAAGTCGTCGTTGGGAGTGTCAGAATAGGTCTGGAATGCATAAAAGTCCTTTCCGTGGTCCAAGACACGAGTTGCTGCATCCTGGGCAGTGAATGTTTTACCGTCGAAATCACCAATGAAATATTCATTGAATGAACCGCCCGTAAGAGCGCCGGGATTTATACTTAGGAACATGACCCATTTGTGGTCCACTGAGCTGGCATTGTTATGGGCAGTGGCGTTGGTGGTGGAGTTCATCCCGTGCAGAGTAACGTTGGATGGGCTTTCGTGAATGACCGGTATCTTCGCAAGACCTGGGCATTCATATTGGAAGCCAAGAACACCATGGTGGGAGAAGTTGGATTGGAATTCCCACGAAGTCAGATTTTCGGAAGAGTAGATCTGGATCTTATATTCCTGCGACAACGCCAGGACCATAATCCAGCGCTCGGTCTCGTCGTGCCAGAAGACCTTGGGGTCTCTGAACTGGGTGGAGTTGATGTCAAGCACAGGGTTATGCTCGTAGTATTTGAAGCTATATCCGCCGTCGAGCGAGTAGGCTGCGAATTGGCTCTGGCTCACATTGCTGTGCTCAGTGTAGATAGCCACGACTCTTTGGCCTGGCAGAGTCGAGTCGTTGAAAAAGCCCGAAGTGTTATTATGGTCCACCACCATCGATCCAGAGAACGCACCGGAGTAGTCATCGCGTGGCTCGATAGCGATATCGTGGTGTTCCCAAGTGATCAAATTGTCAGACGAGGCGTGGCCCCAAAACAATGGCAACCCTGCCACAGTGTCGTTGGGCTGGTATTGGAAATACGTATGATACGTTGAGGTCTCATTATCGTAGAACAGTCCGTTAGGATCGTTCATCCATCCTACACTGGGGGTCAAGTGTGCGAGTGGCCGCTCTGGATCTTGACGACGATCCGATTTTATAGCTGTTTCATTGAATGTGAAAGCAGCATTAGCTTCGAGAGCGATAGCCAGCACTGCGAAAAGCTTCCTTGCAGATTTCATTTTTTGGTAAACCTTCTATTGGAAAATCTATATTGCCTACTTCCAAGAAAAACTTATTATTATTGAAAATGTTAAGCCCAGACTACAAGTGATATTTGAAGCGCCTTTTATACAGATTGAGATCGTAGTATCCGGAATCGAATGGAGCCGAATCTCTTTCATCTTGTTGTGTAAATTCCTCACCTGTTGTTTCCCAAATTGAGCTTTTCTCTGTAAACGAAGAAGACCCGGTGTTTAATGACCATTCCAAGCAATGCAATCTCCAAGCAATGCATTTCCAACGCAATTGACTCCAAAAGAACCGATGTGGTTACGGAGTCGGACCGAAAAACGGGGGTCCTTTTTCCCCACAAAAAAAAGTACGGATGTTCAAAAGAAAGCCACGAAGGGACGGATACCTTTTGTTTAGATTTCGAGCTTTTCTCGAGTAAAGGAAGGCTTCTGGTTATTCCGAACTATGACGTTTTGTTGAAAAATCAATTTTCCGGAGTCAGCGTTTTCGGAAAAACTCTTCCGAGAAAATAGGATGATTCTTCCGGAAACGTGGAGAAATCGATTCAATGGCCTCAGGGTGCAGGAATACGGAACCAGGTTCGTGTTGCGGGGTTTGCCTTTTAGAGACAGATCCGGATCTCGAGCGAGCTAGCGAGCGGAAGCGGAGAATTGGTTGGTTGGGCGAAATCGTTTAGAAGATGGGGGGAGGGGAAACTGTGACCCTGAAATGGGTGGAGAACGTTAAACAAAGGGTGCGGAAGCAGAGGGAAAATTGGGAAAAGTGTAAAGCTGGCATCCTGTGTGTGTGTGTGTGTGTGTGTGTGTGATGCAGTGCTGTCCAACGGGTTGACCCGGATCAAAAATTTGCAACCCGGGTTGCAAAATTCGGGTACTTAACGGGTTGCTGTTTTTTTCAATCAGGTCTTTGAGTATTAATAATTTAATATTTACGGATCCTTCAGTGAGTTTCAATCACATTCAATAGCGTCGCTAACGGGTTGGGAACACCTCACATCGCCTCGGTGACAAAGAGGAGCAGCTCATGTTTGTTCGCGATGCTAAAAAACGTTTAGACTTGATATGAATTGTATAATGCTACCTGGGCTAAATACTGGTCAAAATACTAATTACGCCGCCCAGCGACCGTCGAGATGGTCATCATCATCATAGGCATCATCATCATCAACACCGTAATCATCATCCTGACAATCATCCTCAAGGGGTTCTTCATCAGATGATATATTTATAAAATCATCGGCATCGCCCGGTTTCGTGAGTAGAAGTTCCTTGTCGTACAGGCCGAAGTTAAAAAAGCGGTCTCTTAAAAGCATGATTCTCCTCGCATTAGCGCTCCCGAGACTTCTGCGGTCGCTTCTCATTAGTTTTCCACTGATAGAGAATGTTCTCTCAATACCGCATGTGCTGAACTTTGTGTACAACATGGATAAAGCCAACGGAAACAAATGAGGGTAGGTCAAACGCCGCGAGTACCACCACTTCACGGCATCTGTCAAAGAATCTGAAGTTAAATGAGAATCAGCCTTATAGTTCTCCCATTCTTCCAGAGCTTTAGAGGTTCTTTCTGGAGGCTGCTTGAAATGCAATTTTAGCCTTTTGAACTTGGTGACGCGATTCGTGTTCACTGGCTTGAGCATATTGTCAATGTACGGATGGTTTTCGGATTGGCACTGCTTGAGGTAGCCCTTGACATATGCCTCTACCCTTCGAAAGTGCTCTGATCCCTCATTATCACCAAAAATTCTTAAATAATCGCCTTTGATACTAGGATCCAAGAACGCCGCAACAAAGTAGATGTCGTCTTTTCATACAACTCGAAGTATTCGTCGAATTTTGACCTGGAAGAGATGATGGCTTTCAAAACAGTACTCTTTATCTCTTCAGAGAGTTCGAACTTTCCATTAATGAAGGTGAAATCAAAAAACCCCTCTGGAGAAGCTGGAATGGTTTCCGTTTCACCCCTGCTGCATAAGTCATAAAATTCCTTCATCGTGGAATAGAAAGTGACTGCATTAGCTATGTTGCTTGCATTGTTGTCTTGCAAAGTATCGTTCATTAGCTGGAAGATCGAGCAACAGCTCGTAAAATACTCTAAGAGTTGTACTGTTTCGTCCGTGAGCTGCAGCCGCATTTCTATCTTCGGAAGGACATTGTGATATTGTTCATTTGACTTCAAACTCTGAGCCCACCCTAAATATCCTTTGTGATGCTTTAGAAATGTAGCGACCTGTTTCCAAATGAAAATCCACCGCGTTTCGGGAGCCGAAGGCACCAAGGGTAATCTAGCATCCGCTATAGCAGACCTTAAAAGAGATGACCTCTTGATTATTTTGGCGAACGCACTAACATCTCTCAAGCCTTTTTCAAACCTCTCATCTTCCCTCAGCTTTCTCACGATCTCCTGAAACAGAAGGTTCAAAATGTGACTTGCGCAGCGAACATGATGAAAGTTTTTTGTCTTCTTGAATGCCGTCGTCCTCGAAGGTTTTATGAGATTGTGAAGAAGGAAAGAATGCATGGCCGTATTATTAGTAGCATTGTCAGAGGTAAAGGAGAGGACTTTATTTGTTATTCTAAATCGGTTCAAAACCTCCACGACCGTGGTATGCAGACTTTCACCTGTATGGCGTGAGCCGCTGATATCAACAAAATCCAAAAGGTGACTGTTATTGGTCTCTTCACAGTTATTGAGTAATGCCTTTTCTCCAACGCCTTGTAACATCTTTTCATTCAGCAAGTTCGGAGCGAATGAAGCTGCAATACCCAAATAAGAGTGACCGTTGCCTCCAGTCCACACATCTAGCTCTAAGTTTATGAAATCGGTTTGTTCTAGAGCCGCAACGAGTGCCTTATCAAACCATTGGGAGTAGGTTTCGAGTTTTGTATTTATCGTGGTGCGAGATTGAATGAATGACATTTCTGGACATGCCTTACATATCCATTTCCACGTTCTAGAGCTGACAAACGAAAACGGCAACAGTCTTTCCGTCAAAAACGCCAATTGTCCCGATGGAGCCAGGACTGTGCTTACACTCGCGAGCAATTTCTCCCGGCAGCGGAAGCGAGCGAGATTTCATGATCAAAGAGTCTAGTGAACGCTCCTTTATAGTTGCAGTCCTTTTGGGATCTGTACTGGCAGGGGTGAATGTTCTTGACGTGCTTGGAGAGATTACCCGTAGAATTGCTTTCGTAGAAGGTTCTTCCGCAATGTATACAGCTAGCTGTGGTCAAACCATCTGTTTGAGAAAGTCGAAAGTGCTTGCGAAGTGCGGACCTTTGCATCCATTGTGATTTTCGACGCGTTAGAGCCTTTTTTGTATTGTGGTGGGGCAAGTCACCTAGGTGGTTCTCAGGATCACTTAGAACCGTATCCCCTTCAAGATCAGTACTGGGACTCGGCGCTAGTTCATGTGGTGCAATCATAAGAGGGGCTTCCATTGTTGGTAGAAACTGTGGCCTGAGCCATGTTCCTGAATGTGAAGTAATGAATTCTGAATTTTGTCACCTTTTATATCTTCAAAAGTTTACGCGTTGCATTTTAAAAAAGACGCGTTACATTTTAGAAAAAACGCGTCCAGGTTCCTCTCAGGTTGCAGTTCAATTCTAAGCGGGTTGTACGACAGGTTATGATTTGCCCGAAGCGGGTTCTTTCAGGTACCTAGCTATTTAGCAGATGGGTCCTCAAATTTTATGAATTTTTTTTTACCCGGCCAGTTTTGCAACCCGTTGGACAGCACTGGTGTGATGCAAATGGTACTTTAACACGAAAAGACCCTGATGTAGAAAAAAAAGAGTAGTATTAGGGTTTAGATGGAGACCACGTGATCAAAGCTTTGGGACTCTTTTTAAATAGACTTACTGAGGCATGTAGCATTCCTGAGGTATCTGATGTGAGAATGAGAGTCAGATTTCATACACTGCTAATACCTGATTTTTCAAACTTCGTCCTGGTGCAAAGAACTTAGCCTTTTTGTGATAGGATCACGTGACTACCATTTTGTGTGACTTCACGTTTCTAGATCAAGGTATTTAGGCTCTATTTCTGGTCGTTATAAGTCACAGAGCTTTCCCATCAAAACACAATTTTCCAATCCCGCTGTGTGCCGAACTTATTGTTCGACTAGGACTCTGATACTTACCTTCTACACCCATACACCACACCGACTTACACGTGACTAAAGGCAACCTTCAATGTTAGGATTTGGGCTGTAATATGTGTGAGCACATCACCGCCAAAAAAAACCGATAGTATTGAGCACGGAATTCGCCGTTCAAATGAGGGACCGTGTGTCTTTTTGTATATATTGAACAGACACGTATTTATGGATCCCGATTTACGTCCGGGTAAGTGCCTTTATGAGAAAATTTGGGGTCTTCCAGACAAGAGCTAAGTATCCGAAAAGTATCTGATTTTCACAAATTTGGGAACCGATCAACGACCCATTCCGTATATAGTTACGACCCAATTGGGATACTCAATTTGTGATCCGGATCAACCCGTTAAACATGACTAGTTTCAACGCAGCATCACTTTACACGTGACAAAAAAGTGACTCAGTTCCTTCCCAGGACTCATCAGATGACTCTTTCCGTGATTTGTATATATTCTTCATAACGCACATCACGCCACCTAGAACACCTGCGGCCGTGCCAGGGGATTGAGGACTTTTCTTTTCATAGCGGACAGTTCTACCAACCGTTATTACCTTGGCACGTCATCATAGTTGGACCCTAAGGGCCGCTTGGATCGCTCTGCGATACGTTCTGAGCTCGAGCCGTGATGCTGTGCCCACCAAATCAAAACAGATGAGCGGGACTAGAATGCCGCGGAGCAAATCTAATGCCTTTCCAGTCGGACCAGAACTGGGTCAAACACTACAAATAGCAAGCATCCTCGCTGGTATCAGCCGGGATGATGTTTTCTCCTAGTAAGTGCTCCCCCAAAGACCCTATCATGTCCTCCACACAGCACCAAAACGAAAACTTGGCACACGTAACAGAGTCCATTAGTAGCCCTACCGCCTGGTATTCGCACAGGGTCTTTCTGGTGACGTTTCGGATCTTGCAGTTCGCTTCCACTATCACAGCACTAGGCTTAATAGCATTCCTCGTCGACTCTGGTAGCACTTCCGGCTTCGAACTCGCCGTCTCGGCTATTTCGCTCACGTACTTGATTGTCGTTGCTTCCGCAAAACTGCCGCTGAATTTGTACTCTGTGGTTGCCTTATCTGCATCCGAGGTTGTAATCTTCGCACTATGGGTGGGGGCTAGTGCCACTCTCGGAATCGGCTACGATCAGTACTCCTGCGAAATTTACTGGTCAGGTGGCGGATCCTACGGCTATTTCGATTTCAGTTACTATTTCCAGAGCCTTTCCAAAGAGTGTAGAGTAGGCAAGGCTTCGATCGCGTTCGCAGCGTTCTCAGCGTTTCTCTCGTTATGTGCGCTTGCCCTATTTTGCAAGAACGTTTCCGTGCCCATGAACGCCGTTCTCGCTGGCAAGGTGCACACAGAGGACACGCGTGCGTACCTATGTCGTTTTACAGGGTTGGCAATCGCTAATGCTTCAGTAGACGCCGATGCTGTTGACGAGTCCGGTCCCGTGGATGTAGAGGCCGCCCCAGCTACTGCTCTCGTCGAGGAAGAAGCCGGCGAGCCCGCTCATCCCGCGGATGTCGAGGTCACAAAACCTACAGTTCCTGTGATTGCTTAGGTGTACTGATACCACGAGAATTTTTCGAGCTGCCGCAGTGGAAAGCATTTGACGTAAAGAGGCTGCGCTGCTTTTGATGAAAGTAGATACCGTTGACAAAGTACCTTTCTAATGACAGTGAGTCCGTCGAATTTGATTCCGCCTTCAAAGAATACGGGAAGTACCGACCCAAATTTTTAGTGCTTAATGTAATAGGAAACTTCCGTATAGCTTAAAAGAACTCAGTGTGAATCAATCAATATGATTAGAATCCAGGATTCCCATTTACTTGTTGGTAATTAATCTTTTCAAATCTGGCGTCAACTTCATAAATAGAATGGAATGCCCGCATCTGTCCTGCGTCAGCTTCAGCATTAACAAATTGGGCCAAAAAGAATCTATCAACTGTTGCTTCCACTTTTATCCAACCGAATTAGTGACAAAAATAACCAATCAATTCGTTACAAACGCAGCAACCTATCACTATTGTAATAATGTCGCGGGGATTCCATATCTTTCTTACCAGAGAGTGACAGAATTGCTTAAAACCATCCACAGGCGCGCGTCACTTAAATACAATTTAACGATTGTGAAACTTTAACAGACGATAAAATTCATTCCGATAGTTTCTTTGAGGGAGGTCAGGCTGTTGAATTTCCAAAGAACGAATGAGTGTCCAAAGCTGCTGCAACACCATTACTTCCCGATTCTCGCATACTTCTTTATCGATTGGGTTTTTGGAATATCCGATCTAGTAACTCATCGCTTTCACTAAAAGTCACATGCTTGATATGTCTAATCCGCATCTCATCTCTCGCGTCAGTTTTGTCGTAACCTCCAGTCAATGGTGATGCGAAGTCGATAGCGTGATAGTAGGCTAATGACTCAGATACTATGAAGGTTTATCATTGATCTCTTCACGCAAGTCTTCGCGAAGACAGAGAGTGAGATTGGGTGCGCTGGCTCAGAGTTGAAAATACTTAAACAGAAAGTCATTTAAAGAGCCTGCAAACAATTGCTGGGTTTAGATCTTCGTCAAGTAGGTTAATAAGGTTCCAATTAGAACATTTTGGGTGTGGTCCGGACCGCTGTGGTGAAAAATGGTAACTTGAATGTTGTGATCTCTTTATCGAACATTTTCTACGGAACTGTCATCGACGTATGGAATCAAGCACTTCACAAGAAGTTTCTTAAAGGAGTACCTGGCTACTGGTCTTGGACTTCATCAGTAAGTGCGATCTAGTGCGTATCGGAGGTGACTATCTCATCATTGTATAAGATGAGCGGTTTTTGAAATAGGTATCGCAGTTGCGAACTAAAACAATGAAAATTGAAGAATTAAGTAACTTAGCTGACCCAAGTTCCGCAAGGAATTCTTGGTGTGAGACTTTCCATAAGAAATCTCATCCACCGCGGTATGCTTAAATATGCCTTTGGAAGAGATTGTCACTGTAGGTTTAGTGCATTGAATTTGGAAGATGATGTTTTGGTACATTGTGCAACATGAGCAGATAATAATAAACCCGGGTTGTTTGACAAGGCCTTTCACAATAATGTATGCAACGAGTCTGTTCCGAGAGCATAAGTAGTTAGGATTGTAACTTATTTGCTCATAGATCGTTTGTCTTCGAATAAAGTTATTAGAGCGTCCCTTGCCAATGAACAGTGACTACATTTACCATCAAAGTATTATGACCTCTTTATATCGACTAAGTTGGCCTACAATTGGTTGATGAGAAAAACGTTTGATCGATATCAAGAATAAGTGCCAGGTACAGAGCGCAGTCAACGTCTCTATTAGAAGAGCGGTTACTGGCTCGCGATGGCTAGGTTGGCCAAGAGATACAGGAATACATCCTGAAGGCTGTCAAAAATTCGGTCTACTCTAGAGCTTCCAATGTTGTCCGCCAAAGCGACAGAAAAAGTAGCAAAGTTTTGGATCAAAAGCTTCCGCAAGAACTTTCGGCTGTAATATGGAAACCAAACAATTCTAGAATTGTAAGTCAACTTGGCAAAAGCTTCACCTTCCAATTCAGATCCCACACATCAAGATTGGAAGATCCTATCGCGACTATAGAGTGGGTGCTCAGTCTCTCTTCTGCAATCGAAGAATGGAGCAAGGCATTCTTATCTCATGAATTATGACAAGACAAAGTCAAGGTTCCATGGGCTTATAGCTACCATTATTATGAGGACGGAAAGAACATACGTTCAGCGATTTTTCAAGGAGTAAGAAGAGGAAACTTTTGGCCGGAAATCCAGATATTATTGCGTCAGTCACTGTTCAGATTTTCCAGTTCGTTTCTTCCGTGCGTGAGAGCTTTCGAGAGGGCACTTGTCAGGTACAAGAATTCTGAGCTACAAGTACGGCTTGATCTTCCACTTGGACAGAGTTATACGCGGTACATGTAGATATCACTCTAACGGAAAATCGAATTGCAGTGATCGTACTCCGAATTCTCGGCGGTTAGAATCGAGCGACTTAGCCTGGAAATTAACTGAGTCGCTGCAACTCCGGCAACCGACTGAAAGGCTTTGAGTATGAATGATGAAGAAATAAAGTATTGTTATTTTTGGCCAGTAATTGCTGAAAGAGGCAATCTTAGTAACTAAGTAAAAAAGTTAGGCAGTTCTGGCGCCCACAAAATCCTAAGCTTCCAAAACATCAGTAGTTCCCTACTGAAAAACCATAGAAGTTGCACTTAATTAGCCACTGCTCAAATGATGATGAAATTTCAGGGAAAAACCGATCCCGGACTATCAAGGCATTGGTGATAATCATTTTTGCCTCAGAAGATGGCAAGCCACATAGCCATATTCTGCGACGTTACTCTATTGCCTTATGCAAAGTCATAAATGGCCTCTTTCTCGAAGCCATATTACCATCATTTTCGTCTTCATCTTCGACTTTCAGAGAATTATGACCTGTGTACACTTATGGTGAGACCCTGTTCAAGTACAAGAAGTGCTGTAGTACGACAAATGTCCCATACCCTGGTAAATTCATTCCTTCAAGCTTGAGTGGCGATTATTATTATATGCAAACGATAGGACTATCTTCCAAAGCATAGTCCTATAGGCTGATTGAACTCTGCTCTTTTTTGCATTTTTGGGAAATCGTTCCATCATCAAAGGTAGTAAAAAGCGTTCACCTAATGTCATGGTTTAACTAATGAGAAGCCCATTTTGAAGTGGCGTGATGATTATAAGTGGTCCAATGCAATGCTTCTTGCATCGATGATGCTAGGAAGCCGAGAATCAGATGCTTGAAGTCTGGCACTGACGCTGTCACGCGCCACGTACAACGTATCGCTTCAAGAGTCTGACGCTGGGCTTTATGAAGATGATACGGGCGTAATACGACAGTCCAGGGCTATCTGATAATCCAGATTTTTTAATTCAGAGACCCCAGCTCGTCATGGACATATAATCGAGCGCCATGCTTGATGCCTGTCAAAAGATGACCGTTTTTGTAAGAATGATATCTTGATTCGCATTTTTTCATCACCTATCTTCTATGATTGTTCACCTGTTATTCCAAAAGTCCGAATGTGCCCATCTTGACGAACATCCAAGCATTTTTTAACCCGAACATCTCATTCAATACACCACTTTTGACCCAGAAGGTCGTGCTTAGCGGATCAATGTGGGTTGGTCGAAAGTTGTATGAAGGGTTGTTGCAACACTCTAATTTCAGAGCAGCAGGAGGGTGCCTCTGTAAACTTTTTCGCTAAATGGCGCCAAAAATAGTCCAAAACGACCTCGCTCGCTGAGATATAGCGAGCGTGTTTCCTGTAAAACCTATGCCAGTTCATTATTTTGTGCTTATGCGGTAAAGTGGGCCGACGTAAGTCCTCAAGAAAGAACTTTGCGCGTGTCGTATTGAACCGCTGCCAGTTGAGCGCTTATAAGGCGAGTATAGTTTTCTGAGATGTGCCAACGCTGGTAGAGCGGCAATTCGAGAAGGTGAGCGAGAGGAGCCCTTGATAATCCGCTGTAGGTTCGGCGATCAAGAGCGAGATTGATAGCAGGACGTTCCCGGCCAGCAGACATGTTTCTTGGATTTTGTGCAGCTATTCAACACAATCACCATTATTCAAGGTCCAGCCAATCTTGATTTGCAACTTCACTCTGAGTTCCATACGCTCACAATGAACTTAAAGTGCCTGATTTCTTCCTGTGTAAATTCTAAGGTTACCCCCGTCGCGCGGTCCGAGCGATTATACGCACACCAAACATAACCAACACATCCCATTTTCTCACACTTGCGAAAGCCACTCTTCACTCCTAGCATTTTGTGAAGCAGCGATAAATCTGACCTAGCTGGAATAACGGCACCGTTTGCATCTATTGGCGACTCATAATGCCCTCTTAGGTTTTCGGCCGTCTTGTATGTTTTTCGGAGCGACTTGTGCCTTGAGAAATCAAAGTCCCAGAAGGGTTTCTTGCAAAATTTCGCCCCGCCATTAAGCCACAAAAGCTTGTTGCTTTCATCAAAATGACCCGGTTGAGTCGAACATGTGTATGTGATCTTGTTATTCCCATATTGCGCCAGAATACCCACGGCTCCTGCTGGATGTTTATTGAAATCATATTGGCTTTTACCAGCAATGGACTGACCTAGCCAGAAAAGCTCCTTATCACCGTAAAAAGTTTCATTTGTTTCTTTCCATAAGTTCAAGGCGGTAGAGATAAGAAGACCAGGCATATGATCTCTTCTCCTTAAGACAACCACTCCGCTTTCCATTATATGCTTATAACCAAATCGGAAGAAGTCATTTTTTTTAATCGCATCCTCAGCAGCTTCAAAGTTGAAGAACAAGGTTTCAGTTTTGGAGGGCAACAAGGATTTGAAAAACTTCAAGTCGCCGCGCTTAACATATTCTTCTATAAGCCTATCCCTAAAAAAAAAGGCGCCAGTTCTTTTGTATTCGCGGGTGCGGAAGAGAGAGCTCGGCCTCACAAATGGCACCGTATCAGTGTCCAAAAGAATCATCTCCTCAAACGAGTTGAACAAAGAAGCAATCCACTTGTTAGAAAATCTCTCAAACAAATGCAAGAATTCGCTTTTAATCGATTTCTTTGCGTCCACAAACCATATCTCTTGCAGGTGTTCCATGTTGTCACTTTTATCATGCATTTGAACTCTGATTGGACTTCTTGCGACTTTGACAAGTTCCTGCATGGAATCATCGGTCAGGTCTCCTTTGTGCACCACTTGAATAGGCAAATCGTTTTCAAGCGTTTGCAGTACTCTGAGCAGCCGCTTAGCTTCAGAAACGCCACTTTCTCCCACACTCATAACTATGCCCCGACCGTTCATGTTGTTTACGATATGCCTCCAGAGCGATTCATGAGACGATCTTGGCTTGTTGCTGTTTGATGCTCCATCTTTCAATGGAAGGCCTTCAACTACCACTCCGTCCCATCTTTTAAAACTTGGGATTGTGCTCGTAAAAATTGGAAACACCTTAGCTTCAATCTCTTTGATGTTCAAGTCTCGATGAGGCGATGAATTCTCAATGAAGCAGTGACCAAAAACTCTCATATGACGCACAGAATCAACTACCTGTCGTCTGGAAAAGAATGATGTGTGTGAATCTCCGAATCTGCGTACGTCCCATTCGCTATCGATTGACGCGAGGAGTCTGAAGTACTCGAAACAGGAATCTTCGAACGCACTTGAGCCGGTAGCACTTTCCGCCAGCTGTGCCTCAAGAAGAGACTTTAGCACAGCTTTGGATTGCTCACCTGAGGTCCAAATCTGGCGGAATAAACTCAGGCCAAATAGGGACAAGAAAAGGAGCATTAGTGAAAGCAGTCTCAGATATCGCTTACCGAAAACCATGACACGAAGACATACAGTTTGGGTTTGGACAGCTGCGGGGATTAAAGGTAGCTGAAGTGCGATTGGGTTCGGAAGTTTGTCGCGCGCTTTCAAAGAAAACGAGCTAAAGTAAAATATCCATTATCACTCCTGAACGACTTCTTCGGCCTCGTGTCACGTTATCACCTCCGAGAATGAAACACTAGGTGAACTTGTCATGCTTGATTACAACACTGCATTCTCGACTTAATCGGTACAAGCATTCCTTTTAGACGGGCGGATCTGATGATTCCTGTAAGTGTGGGGAAAATTTTTAAACGATTCACACAAACTCATGGGGAAGTATTGCGTCGGCGTTAAGAAGAGCAAGTGCGAAATGATGAATGACAAGTAGCGATTACCTTTTGTCCTTCCGTAAAGCTTGTCGGGTGTGATTTATGGCCGATGAAGTATGGGCTCCTTACCTGACATGCTCCTGGATCAACTTCGCAGAAAAACAAATACGAGCGATCTGCTTCACGTCAGGGAAAGGGCGAGAGCCATGCTCGGGAATTGTTAGTCGTTACTACCATTCGCGATCTGGGCATCGATATTGCGGACAGGAGTTAGAACGAGTAAGGTAGACAACATCGCGAGCAATTCACTCTCAACAAGTTTGCCAACAAAATTAATGCAATGCGATTCAACAACTGATAAGTCTTCATATCGAGAATTCGCAGCGGGATATCCTTAGCACCGAAGGCTGAAAGTCTCTCCCGCCACATGATTGGATATCAAGAACCAAAAATTCACCGAAGGAGCTTGGTATAAGTACCTGCACTGAGAATACTGATTGAGCTTCCAAATTCCAGATTTGCTAAGAAGGAAAAGTCACAGCTTTAACATCCCAAATACCGCAACCTTTCGGGCAAGCTATTGGCGCTGTTGGAAGGTTCGCTAACGGGTACTCTGTATGTCTACCAAGGCCAGGAACTGGGCCAAATCAACTTGAAAGATTGGCCGATTGAAAAGTACGAGGATGTTGACGTCAGGACCAACTACGAGATCATTGCCAAGAAGTATGGGAAGAAATCGCTACAGATGGAGTCCTTTTTGCGCGGTATTGATTTGCTATCGAGGGACCACGCTAGATCCCCCATGCCATGGTCTTCGGAGAGCCCCAACGCGGGCTTTTGCGGACCCAACGCCCAACCCTGGTTTTTTTTGAATGAAACTTACAATCAAGGAATTAATGCAGCCGACGAAGAGTCGAACCCCGATTCCGTTCTGCACTTTTGGAGAAAGGTCTTGGAAACGAGAAAGAAGAATAAGAAAGTTATGGTATATGGGTATGATTTCGAGTTCATCGACTTGAATAACGACAAGCTTTTCAGCTTCACCAAGAGGTCCGAGGATAAAAAGCTGTTTGTCGCTTTGAACTTTAGTGATGAAGAGATAGAGTACAAATTTCCACAGGGGACTACCTCATCCAGCCTCATTCTGGGAAATTACGACAACATAGACCAGTCGTCGCGTGTCTTGCAACCTTGGGAAGGAAGACTTTACTATGTCGATTGATTTAGGTCTTTGCGAAGCAGTGGCTTGGTACACGATACATACGAAATAAATTTTATGACAAGATAAGACATAACCACGAAGAAAAGAGGGTTGCTAGATTGAATGTAGATGGATACGGATTATACAGGTCTACAAGCACAACATGAATATAAACGTTTTGACTTCTTTCGTCTCTTGTTTGTTACCTCTGGGTCTACCTCTTAGCCTTATATTAGCTGACAGATTAAAATTGATATAGCTTGAATAAGCATCGCAGAAGAATTAAAGTCTCGAGAGTAAAAGAAAGCATGTTTTAATGATACACATTGATCTGGATAGCACCATTTTAACCTCCCAGCATTGAGAATAGTTGAAGTAATGATTAGACTGTTTTTCGTGCTCGGAGTGTAGCAAAAGGCTACTTGCAGACCTATTACTATCTCACAATAGTAGTAGAGCAGCGGCAGCTAGGACCAAACCTTTGGAAGCCACGACTTCCACTCCCTGGTTGTCAGTGAAGACACTCAAGGACGTTGTGGAGCCAGTCTGAGAGGAAGAGGATTGAGCGGGCAAAGAAGTTACGGCGCCGCTGGAATGGTCTGTAGAAGCGGAAGTGCCAACAGCAGCTTCAGTAGTGGCAGATGGCTTGGATGGTGAAATTGTGGAGGCAGCACCGGATCCACCGCTGGTAGTTTGTGGGGATATCCATGAGGAATATTGTGACAAGAGCGAGGACATCATGGAGTTTGAAGTATAGGCTGCTCAGTCAGAGGACAAAATGTCGTGTAAGTGGTGGAAATGCCGGTAACGGTTGTCACCCCAGTAGTAACTGAGGTTTCGGAACACTTGTTGCCTGAGCAAGAAGTGATGGTCACAACGGTGGTAGAAGGACGGTGGGTAACCACCGTGGTATCAGTGGCATTGTTTTTGTATCCGGCCCAAGCGGAACGAGCAGAACTGACGTAAGAGGCTTGAGCAGCTTCCACCGACGATTGCACGTTTGCAGGAGGGGCGGCAGAGCCAGGGGCAGACGCAGAAGCGGCGGGTGCAGATCCAGAAGCGGCTGGTGCAGAGCCAGAGGCAGATCCAGAGGCTGGTGCAGACGCAGAGCCAGGGGCAGAGCCAGAACCAGGGGCAGGACCGGATCCAGAGGCAGATCCAGAGCCAGAAGCGGCTGGTGCAGGGCCAGAGGCAGAACCAGAGTCAGGTCCGGATTCAGAACCAGAATCAGAGTTAACTGGCGCCGAACCGGATGCAGAGGCAGATGCAGAGGCAGGACCCGATCCAGAACTAGACGCAGATCCGGATGCAGAGCCAGATCCACTGACGGAGCCACTCGCCTTTCCAGAGCCGGAAGCATTAGCTCCTCAGTACTCCTTCAGATAGCATGTCGCTGTTCAAACTGGTACAAGTGTTTTTGATGTTATCGTTGATGGTGTACACACTCATTTGCGCATCGTATGGAGATGCTCCGCTTTCCTTTCCAAACTGGTCGACCCACATGAGCGGCATTTCTGCCGCAACTGAGAATTCCTCGAGCGCTTTTTCCAAGTTCGCCTGCTGGCTGGGATAATAGGTCAAAACGTCTGCAAATCCTTCCGCTGCGGTGCATGCGATGCCCTTACCATAGTGCGACGTGAAATCGGCAAACACTCCAATCCAATCGGAAGCGCGGTTCATAGCATCTCCGGTGAACTCCACCGTCATAATATTCAAATCCTCATTACCGGACATTTTGGATGATTTTGATAGATTATTGACCTATCAATGGAAAGTTTTCTCCATCATGTTAAACAGCTTGTGTTCTTTTCGCACAGCACCCTGCAATATATACCACAATTGCAGATTAAGAGCCCCACCAGGGTTAGCCAACACCAATGAAATCAGGACATTTGGAACTTTTGTTCATGTTTATTCTCAAATGTCTACGAGCTGCCGAAAAGAGTTCCGTTGCATTTCGATCTACCAATGAAAACAACGTGGAGTCAACAAACCGCCCTAGGGACCACGGACACAGTGTGCTATACTGTTGCGAACTTGACCAACAAGGAAAGCTTATCCGCTTATCTTAGCGATGTAGTTTTCCGCAAACGCATACCCGAGGTATTATTCTTGGCAAAACTGGACTTTTGAGAAAAGCTTCACAGCACGTCTTCTTGATGAGAAGAAGAGAGAAAGCGCTTTCTCTCTGAACTCGTAAACCTCTACGGTAGCTTAGATCGACAAGTTTTAGACGGATGCATGAATATTGTCTATTCTTCTTGACAACACAACGGAGCGCAGTTGATAAGCAGAGTTATTCAGCTTTCCAGAGAGAAGCTACTGGTATATGCAAAGTATGCTGCAAGATGAGCATGCAAGCTGTTCAAGCAAGATGGGCATGCAAGCTTATCGAGGTAAAAGAGTGCATGGTTAGCGTAATTACCTGGGCAACGGCGCCGCTATGAATTTTTGCAGAACAAGGTTTCTCGATTTTCCTGGAGTGGCCACCTGGTAACCATTTGCGCCGGAGCCACAGCAGTGAAGAGATGAAAAGGACGTAAGAGCCGGATTTGGAGCTACCGGACTACTCACAGCAGCTCTAATACAAAAAGTCGGCTCATGAAACGTTGACAAAACTCGCAAGGAAAACAGCAGAACTTCTGCATTCAGCGTCGCCAAGAGAAGCTACGCTCGTACTCTCATAGCTATCATAGCGGAAAAAGCTGCATTTCTTCTCTCTCAAAGACGCCTTTTCTTCTTATTGGTTGTTCTGGAAAAATGTCATATGCATGCACTCATATTCGTACATGCATCCTCGAGAACCTCACGGGATACGACATCTGCAGTAGAAGGACCGCGTTTGACGACGGTACTAAGGACTGAGCTTCTGTAAAGATACAGCTGCGAAAATATCCCATCAGATTTAAGATGGATGATTGAGGCTGTTTGGGTGCCAGATAGTGGTAAAGACGCTGTGTTTGGAGAGATAACGCACAGCACAGTTGTTTTTATTTTCAATGATAGCGAGATGCACAAGCAGGGGTATGATAAGGCTCATCAAAAACCTTCATGCGTGAGAGAGTTCATGGAGAGAAGGTCATAAAAAAGTATCAAAGTCTGCGGACTAAGATCGGAGGCACACCGTTGCGAGAGCATGTGGAGAATTGGCACTTGAAATGGAGAGCACTCTGAGCTTTGGTATACTTTAGACTACTAGACCAAGTGGTATGTTAAAATGAAAGCTTGCCACACATGAAAAACCACATTTGGTTATTTTCCTGGGGATGAATTTTTGGTAAAACTGGGTAAAACTGCCCCGAATGTTACTGTCATCTCCACTAGCGAAGTGTGGAGCAAGACGGTGTCTGCATTATCTCCGGAACTCCAAAGTGCGTGTTGTTGACATCTTCCTGGCTCTAAGAATGTTTACCTACAAGTAAGAAAGCAGCCCGGCCACAGCAGAACCATGAATCCGAGCGAAATTGCTGTGATCTTGCTTATTGACGTCTTTTGAAAAAAATCCGGCAAACAAAGTGCACTAAATGCGTTGAAGTGCCCAAAAAACTGCTTGTGTCGGGGAGCTTAGTACTGTACATGAAACGTTGAGCCATAGCTCAGGCAGTTTCCTAACGATATTGCGTGGTTCCACGAATTTATATTTTCGGGGCTCAAGTGTTACAACTCATCACATCAAATAAATCAAAGAGCATGGCGCTCTATACTCATGTCAACTACTTGGACAATGAGCGCGAATTAGAGCATTATTCAGAGGGGAAAAAGTCATCTCATCTAATCAGTTTGCAACGGGGTGACAGAATCTCGGCAACGTGGCTAATCATATCCTTCAAATGGAAAGCAAGACACAAAAGACTGTTCTCCTACTAGGCGCCGGAAGTGGTACACTTCCATGTCCGACTTATTTGTGACATCCTGAAAATCCCAGGACACAACGAGAGGTAACTTGCCTAACGCAAGCAAAACTCCATCCAATATCATCTTCGCAAAGCATTTGGACGAGCTTTTTAGCAAGTCTCTAAACCAGTTCAACGTTATTTACTTTGCCGATGACTCTGACACCGGCGTTGAGGCAACTCAGAAACTCATAATAAAAGAACGCTTGATGAACAGCGACCAATCGCAGAGTAGTCAAGTTCTAATCTGTGGCCCTTCCCAGTTAGTTCAGCTGTACAGCGGTAAAAAAGGTCCTTAAATGTGCCAGTGGAGAGTCATGGGGGGTATTTCAAGAAACTGGGCTACCAAGAAAAGAGTGTCATCTAGTTCCAACTAGCGTAATGCCGAAAAAGACCAAGACAGCTCGAGCCTGCAGAAAGTGGACCTATTTGCTACATCAAAACTGGCCTCAGGCAAGAAGTGTTATTTCCATTACCAAAACGGTCTTGTTACATGTTTCGAGGAACGCTGGGTAAGAAAGTCAGTTATTCTCGACCCTGATCAGCCCATGTGCAATTTTCTAGATGCCTGAATAGTTTTCAAGTCTCTAGAAGAATCTGAAGACTGTCGTGAAATATTTGAGAGACGCTTGGCTTGAGAGGCATTGCGATCAATGCTCCAACCTTACGTCTTGGCTGAAAATGAAGCTTTTGCTGGACGGAAAGCTATAGAAGATGTGTCAAAGATACAAAGCTGTTGACATTGGAAGAAGAAGCAGAAGATAACCCGCTAGCAAATTCAGTTTTCGCATTCCGCATGTGCTAGGCCTAAATTGTGATTAACCTAGTTAGCACAAACTCACGCGTCTTAGTGGGTTGCAACAGAGAGGGATCTGCAGATGGTAGGGTTTGAGTGCTTGTCTCGGATAATGCCCGAAAATGATGTTTAGAACGCGTAGCCCAGCATAAGCACAATAATCAGCACAGGATGGTGCCTGTATTGGTTTCCAAGAACCAACTTCACACTCGTTTTGCAAATTATTGAGAGAAGACCATAGCCAAATGGTGAAAAAGAGTGGATTTTTGCGGTAGTCTTGCAGGTATTCGCACAAGCTGGAGCCGTGTGAAACAAGATGCTTCAATTGCTTTCCTCGAACGCGATTCCAAAGTAACCGCACTGAAGTAATGATGTTGACTCCAGTGGCAATGCAGTAAGTTTCATTTTTCGTCAACACTATGCATCTGTGTGAGATTCTAGAGCAGAGCGTGAGTAGCAGCAACAGATCAATGCTGCCAAGGAGCTTAATCAAATACTTGCCGAGACTCGCAGCTGTGCAGGGTTGGGTGCTCCTCATGAATACTGGTAAAATGGTGAAGAATATATTAAACATCTAAAACGAAACGGAGGCCAATCCATTATGTGCTTTCTGGAAAGCACGCACACGTCTCATACCTTGACTCCCATTTCAATTGCATCGTTTTCTTCTTCCGCCGTCGTTTTTGTGCGTCTATTAGAAGTAAACAGCGAAAATATGAAGGACAGCGCGCTACAGCCTAACGCGAAAAGAAAAACGTTCCGGATAGACTTTGCCAGCAGCCGTCCAAGCTCAGAGTTCTTGCCGTCAAAATGATGCATCCTAAAACTGATGACACCCTCCGTGCTTTCAAAGTTGGGAATAGATGATCCTGCGGTAAAGTTGTGGAGAGAGACTCCAAAGATAGTAGTGCTGACAATTCCTGCAAACGCAAATCCCAAGGTCTTGAGGAACGTGTTGTATGCTGTTACTTCAATGAATTTGGTGTGATAGTCAATGTCGTTGCGGTCTATCTGTAACTGGGAACTGACTAAACTTAATTGGTACACCACGCCGAAGGATGCCCCAGCTAACATACTGTAGCCAATAGATGCTCCCAACTGAGTATTGCTATCAACTAGTGTGAGAAGTCCGGATCCTATGAAACCCAAACTGCTACCCATCAAAATAAGTGGCTTGACAATACCAAATTTTTCGTTTATGAAGCGCTTATGATTACTGAAATCAGAGCCGGAACTGACATCTGCCACAAGTGGATACTGGCAAGCACTGGTTTCTTATTAACTACCAGCTGGTAATACTGCACAAGGAAGATCGATTGCAGCTCAAAAGCAAAACAGTTGAAAAAGCCTGCCAACGAGCTGGTCAAAATGCCTGTGTTAGAGCCCATACTCCAGGATATCAAAGGGTTGGTCGACCTTTGGTGGGCCTGTCTTCCTATCCACGGAAATAAGCAGAAATCATAGATCAAAAAAAGTATCAGCAGACTGATTCCCACAACGAACATAGTTATGATTGACCCTGAATTCCAGGCAAATTTATTCCCGCCAAACGTGAGGGCCAACATGATAAGAGCAAAGCCCGTGGATGAGGATATTAGACCCATGATGTCGAGCTTGAAAAATAGCAGCACAAAAAGTTTCAACCAAAGCTCCCTATGAAACATTTGTTTGTAGCTGTAAGTCTTTGCTTTTCTCCAAAGCACGCGAATTGCAGGTTGCGGTTTATTGCCGGCCGGATTAAAACCGTAGGACAGAATGGCCAGAGCTACCGCTCCGATAGGAAGATTGACGTAAAAACACCATCTCCACGGCACATGCTCTGCAAAGGCACCTCCTATAAAAGGGCCCACGCCTTCTGCGACCATGCAGGCAATTCCAAGAATCGTTATGACTCGGGCCCTGTGTTTCTCCGCTACTATTGAAGTAACCACAGCAGACACAAGAGATTCTATTCCGCTTCCTGCAAAGCCCGCTATGACTCTTGCTCCTATCAGCATTCCCATCGAGTTTGCCTTGCCACCGCTGCAAGTAGAGATTCCACTTCGAAAATTACTATCGAAATCACCAAGCTGCTCTTGAGACCCAGCAGTGATGCCTTTCTACCCCACAAAAGCATGAAAAGTGCATTCGGCAAGTTGTAAGCGGTCATAATCCACCCTACATTGCTATAATCTTTGAACTTTACCCCAATAGTATCATACAAGGTTGTGCAGATTACGAGATCCAGCGCACCCAGGAAGAGTGCCAAGCATAGCGAAACGATGCAAAATACCAAAATCGATCGCCTCATCGTGCGTGGCAAACTTTCCGGAGTTTTCGTCATTTGCCGCGTTCGGTGCGTCTGTCAAGACAGAGAACACATCGGCCCACTATAGTTTTCAAGCCGAAGAAGTTTTTGCGCATCGGAGATGACACCTACGCCCGAGCATTGTCATGTTCACCCTGGGGGCTCAGAGGAAGCATTCTCGAAGACCTTGATTCACGTTTCGCATCATTCTCGCGGGTGTCTCGTCAGGAGTCACAAAAGCTGGGAAGAGACCCGTACTGAGAAGTTTTTTGATCAATTATCACAGTCTATAGACTTTGTTTTAGAGATCGGGCGACGGTTCAAAAGGGTGCTGTGTTCGACGACGATGGGACGACGATGGGCTTATTTGAAGAAATAGAATGTAGGGTTCGAGAATAAAAAAAAAAACGCGTCACGTGGATTTCGAACGATTGAAAAACCAGTTATTGATTGGACATGCGAAGAGATACTTCTGGGAGTACGTTGCCGTTGGTAGCCGTCATGGAAGGCAGGGATGTGTGCGTACATCACAGCAAATGAGTGCGAAAAAAGTGGGGAAGCAGAGTGTCTGTAGTTTATACGGTTTGTATTATTGTGGCGGTCTTATAAGACTGCTGACGTCTCAAAGTGGGACCATCTGTGTTTGTCTGTGTTGATTTGCATTTCACAACTTGAGCGTTCTTTTCAAAAGTCAGAGTAGGGCAATTTCCATATTCTTTGGGTTAGGTTTCATGGAGATATAAGTTAACATCACTCAGTAGCATAGCTGACCAATGCGCGATGAGCGCATATAACGATTGCATCACACCAGTTCAGTCACGACAGTGACAAAACCGAGGCAATTGTTTGTCAACTCAATCCCATATAACTAGAATCAATTGAGAATTTTATTGTGTCACTCATGAGTCTGCTTTCTTTTAGTTCTAAGTAAAGTTCACTAAAGTGTTGTACTCTTCATCATGCAAGCTTTTTCCAAGAAGAGTGTTCCTCCCGGGTGCGATACCACTACAGAGATCTAACGCGGCTATTATGGGCTTTTTTCTTCAGCAAGATAGCGCTGATGCATGAATTGCAGTATAGTAGCATTGACTTTGCAAAAGAGTGTGTCTACTATAGTCCCCCGGTATGAGCTCGTATAGCATGGTGGCCGAGAAGATAGGAAGCTGATAAGATCACATGTTGATAATCTCGATGCTTCACATGCCTCTTATCTAAACTCTTATCACCCGTGACAGAAGCCCTATAGAATGATTTCTAGCACGTGATGTAGTGACGGAGTCCTTACCAATGACTTGCATTAACTGCCATCAAAATATAATATCTTGGTCGAACATTCAAACTTTGGAGATAAAAAGCCGACGCCGTACAACCCGTTGAATCCACGCAAGATGGTGAATATGTGGAAGAACAAGGTCATGCGCCTATATTATATGGGGTAAATTGAATTTTGAGGTGCAACCAACTTTGTTAGAACAACCAAGATACTTTTTGTTTATGAGTATACTACCGACATTCAGTTTCAGGTTCTCAGATAGTTATGAAACAACGTACGTTTCTACGGTTTCCTCGAAAAACATTAAACAAAGGCCCCCTTTGCTCACTTTGTCCTCTTCTTCCATGATAAACGTCAAGGTCTCAGTGGATACCTTGTTCATACTGACGAAGACGGACACCAACGGCTAGAAGTACCTGGTCGCAATGTCAAAAGAATGACAAAAGAGGAACGCTCCCTTTACATGCGCGACTTGTCGCATTATATGAACAGTGAATATGATCTATTCAGCTGTGATTCCGCGAGCCTTTAAGATCTTCTACGCAGCTGTCGGTGGAAAGAAATTGATACAAAAGTCACGTTGCGCCCTCTACTCCATATTCTCGTTCGTCTCAACGGCTTCAAAATTGATGATCTTCGTCCAAGCATGGACACTCCTGATCGGATTCGCCGAAAACTGGATGCGTTCAAACAATTTGTGGTCTACTCTACGCTATACAATAGTCCTGATGAGAATGTGCAGTACTTTACAGAGGATCTTCCTTCCGAATGGCCGTGGATCAAACAAACTTACCACCAGGTTGTAGCGGAGCACGATGCAAAGG